AAACTCGGTACTTAATTCGATCGTCCGGGAGAATAAAACACTCGAAAGCCCGGTTAAGCGATATATCGCTCGAGCTACTACCGCCCTCGAAAAGTCGAATTCCGAGAATACGCTTTTACGAAAAGAGAATACCGAATAACGAGAGCTTCTCGAGACTCGTAAGAAACGAACGAAAGGGAAACGAGTCGCTTTAGAAAGGCGTTTTATTTTTAATACGGAGGAAATCCTCGAAATCGCCCGGCAAGCCGAAGCGGAGATAGCGAAGAAAACAACTCGTAAACGGAAGCGGAACGCCTCTCCGAGTCCGGAAATCGAGGATATTATCGAGGAGGTACCCGAGAACGAGGATAGCGATAGTGAGGGTAGCTGTATTACTGTAGCGTTACGTAGATAGTCGAGAGTATCGAGGATTCGAGGCTTGTACGCAGCTTCACCGTCTGCGCAGCTTCCCCATCAAGTACGTTAGCACTTAGTATTAATCGACAGGACCGAAACACATGAAACAAGAAAAGACTACACTATCAGGCTCAGGGAAAGGACATCGCCGGTTGGAGAAGACTTGCGAAGGGGCTTAGCTCCAGAATTGGGATAGTAGATAGACCTTACGAACAGAATGACCCTGGATGACTGCCACCGTCGTGCCTGCCTCCGCGAGTGATGAGCCATCGCAGCTTCACTTGATATCACATGAAGACCCTGAATGGCGCTCAGGTACTTAAGCTTCTGAACTTCAGCTCTGCTCCTTCTACTCGACAACCACTTCAGTGCTTCGACTTCTTCGAGCTTGGTCGCTTGTCCACTTCATTGACGTTCAACAATAACTCATCAAGGCGTCTCGATACTGGACGTCTATTATCGACTTCACTTCTTCACATACCCAACTGCTTCGACGACACTGCGCCGCGACAGGCGTCCACTCTGATCGTTGTCATCTGACGGTTGTCACAAGGCAAGCAGAGTCGTCGTGTCGTCGTTGATCTCTGATTTGAAGGACCAACTTCCACACTCGACAACAACGCGACACTCAACAACAAGGCAACACTCATCAACAAGGCGACACTCGACAACAAATTGACACTCTTCCGGAACCAACCCTTGACCATCATTGCTGCGACTTGAGCACTCACACGACTTTCAGCATCGGATGCAAGGCTAGTCAGAGCCTGTCGAACTCTCAACAGACTCAAATCCGACTCATCTGAATCATCCTCATCAGTCGATTGACTCTTGTCATATCTCGCCTCCACCATGGCGGGCCAAGAGGTCGCAAGAGCGCCGACCATCAGTCCATTTCCTGAGCGTCAGGACCAGACCAGGAAGGATCGGGAGATGCAGAATGAACATAGCATGAGTACAGAAGCCAATACCGACGGCCAACTTCACGAACGCCCAGACTTTGCCAGCCAAGAGCAAGAATTCCAGCGAGCACGAACGATGAGCAATAGCCCACCATCAGTGGAGGGTGAGAAGGATAGCGACTTCCAACCACCAGCAAGATCCAAGAGTCAGGCCGATGATGAGCCCAAGCGACGTATCTCTACCAGACGCAATGTGGTCGATGATGAGGAAGATGAACCACCCAGGAGCTCCAACGAACCGAGCATGGAGGCACGAAAGCGTAAGGCTGGAAGTCCCCAAGTCCAAATTCCTGCGAAGAAATCCAAGACGTCTCGCGCCCAGAGCGAGGCGGGAGAGTCGGTGATTGTAGTGGGGGCTCCTGATAGGGGTGAGACGGTGGTGGAGACAACAGAGAAAGAAGACGGGCACAAGAGAGACTCCAAAGCAGTTTCTGGTAGCCGTCCACCAACAGAAGTTGCCGAGGACGATGCTGATGATGACTTTGATGGGGAGACGATTTCCAAGGCGGAGCACGAGAAGAGGTTCCAGGCCAAGCGTGCTCAATTCAACCAGATCCTCAAGGAAAAGAACGATGCGATCCGAGAACTGAAGAGCAGACTTGGGCAATCTGAGCAGAAGCTTGAGAGCACCGAGACTAGGCTCGGGAATGCAGAGACTGACCGAGACAAGTTCCAGATGGATGCATTGAGGTTGAACGTCAAACTGGACCGCATGGTTACCGAAGAGGAAGAGTGGTTTACCGTGGTCCCGGCAAGGATGAGAGCCTGGAAGAAGCAGGAAGCCGAGAAGGACAAAGCGACACTCCAGGCGTGGTTCGAGAAGGAGCTTCAGAAGGAGAAGAACAAGATGCAGAGGAGGTTCGAGTCGCAAGAGTCTCGACATAAGAAGGAGCAAGCAGAGAGTAGTAAGAATGTGAAGGAGTGGAAGGCGGAGATCACGGAGAACAGAAAACAATACGAGGCTCTGGAGAAAGAATTGCGAAAGGAAGCGGATCAGCGAATCAAGGAGATGAAACCGGAGAACCAAAAGGAATTGCGAGAGAAGAAGAACGAGATCGACCAGTTGCATGTTCAACTCAAGACCCTGGAAGCTGACCTTCAGAAAACCAAAGACGATTACGACAAAGTTCACACCTATGCCGCCGACAGGAAAGCTCGGTGCACGGAACTGAAAACGTCATATTTCCAACTCCAAGAAGAAAAGAATCAAGCCCTCGACAAAGCCTCCACCGCCGAAGCCAACTACCGCGGCGAGAAGAGACACGGCAACGACCTGGCGAAGCAGTACAAAACAGCGCTGCAGCAACAGCAGCAGAAATACGACCTCCTGAATCAGAACAACACGGAGAGTCAGGATGCTTTGGCGGGGAATCAGAGATCTCTGTTCTACATGAGGCAGCAAAACGAGAGGAATAATGCAAAGGTAGAACGATTGGAGAAAGAAGTCGAGGCTTTGCGGAAGGAAAAGGGGGCGGTGGAGTGGAAGTTGCAGCAGCAGAATCAGGCGTTGAAGAAGGGGCTCGAGCAGAAGAGGAGTCTGTCTGCGCCGACGATCAAGCCTCAAGCTCAGAGGCAGGAGACACCCTCTCCTTCTGCGGCGATGTCGAAGCCGTCGAGGTCGCCATCTCTTCATCAGCGACAGCAGTCCCGCCATCCGTCTGCATCTTCACCGCAAGACGTCCACCTCCACCGCCACGCGCAAGCGAGCTCCATGGGTTCAGATCGCCACAAGCACTCGGTTCCCGATCCGCGGACAGGCTCCACCGACCAGGGGGTTCGTGACCAGGATGCTACCGCCGCGAAGGCTTTGAGGGTGGTGGAGACGGCTAGGGAGGTGCATCCACAAGCCGAACCGATGGAGGGTGGTCCGGTGGATTATCGCCGGTTGGAGGGTCGAGATGGTGGGAGGGAGGATTTTGGGAGAGGTGCTGGTGGGGTTGGGGATGAGGTGGGAGGTGTGCGAGTTGGGGAGGGCTCAGGGGGTGCTGCTGTGCCACCGGAGCACCAGTCGTCGCTGTTTGGACGCCTTGAGAAGCAGGCTGTCTTCACAACCGATCGTGATTCTGCTGGAGGTGGAGATGATCCGATGGAAGGTGTGCGAGTCGGAGAGAGTCCGTTGGTTGCTGCTACTCCACCGAAGCATGAGTCTTCAGCCTCGATCTTCGGTGGAAACAGACCTGCTGGAACGATGGATGGAGACTCTACTGCAGCCGGTGGTGAGTCGATGGAAGGTCTGAACGTCGAAGGAAAGACTGAGACAGCCAAAGTCGAAACTGGAGAGGATGATGCTACGCCCCCAGCTGGAGATGAGGCCACACACAGCGTGGAGCGAGAGGGACCATATGGCCAGCATGGCAGTGCGGCGAACGTGGTTATTGCATCGGATCGGAGCCGTCTGGGAGAATTGCTCGCGAACAACCCTTGGAGTCCCTTCAATCGCTGGTAATGGCAGCAGTAAAAGCCACCAAAAATCGACTTCCCACCGACGGCAATGAAATATTGGAGACTTCTTCGTCTTGGATCTTGTACGATATGCGACCAAATTGGAAAACCAGCGGAGCGGAGCGGGAGGAAAAGCATCGGCCTGTTTTTGATCTATCTCATCTTCTTTTCTTTTCTGTAACACCTCTATCAGCCACAACCCAAAACCCTCTACAACTCACGTTTAACCTCCACATCAATCCCGCCCTGATCAACCAACACCCTCGTCATCCCAATCCCATCGGGGAGATCATCCTCCAAGGGATCGATTTCCTTCTGTAACCTCGCGGCGACTTTATCCGCCTCGTGCCAGACGCGCAGGACATTTCGTCCGGCGATCTTCGCGGCGTCTTTTTCGCTGACGCCTTTCTCCAGGAGGAGGTTGATGAGATCTGGGTACTTTGATACATCGTCCAGACCCCGGGGGGTGGTGGGGATGCCGTCGAAGTCGCTTCCCAAACCCACGTGGTCGTAGCCGATCAGGTTGCCGATGTACATGATATGTTCGACGACGTGCTCGATGGTGTTGGCCTTCTCCACGAATTCCGGGAGACCATTCTCGGCGCCGACGTCCTTGCAGCTGATGAACTCCGGGGCGAAGTTGATCATGACGACGGAGTTCTTCTTCTTGACGAGGTGCAGGACATCGTCGGGGACGTTTCGCGGGTGGGGGCAGAGGGCGTAGACGCTCGAGTGGCTGAAAATTGGTGGCGCGAGGCTGCCTCCCCAGCCTTTCTCGGGGGATCCACCGAGGACGTCGCGCATGGTGTCCGGGCTGACGTGGCTTAGGTCGACGAGCATGCCGAGGCGATTCATTTCGCGGATGAGGTTGCGGCCTTCGTCGCTGACGCCGCCCCAGTAGGGTTTGGAGCGGCGGGATTCGCCGTCGATGGAGACCACGGCGGCGTCGGTGTATCTGTTGTGGCAGTTCCAGTTGAGCGTGGCGTAGCGCACGCCGAGTTCGTGGTATAGTCGGAGTGTGGCGATTGAGTTGCCGATTTGGTGTAAGCCTTCGATGGCCAGAGGTGATATGAATTGGCCTTTCTTTTCGAAGTTCTTCTCTGCCTCCGCAGCGTTCTTCGGTAGGGTGAAGTACTTCGGATGTTTGGCCGCGATTCGATTGAACAGATCCAGCTGCTCCAGCGTAGCACGCACAAAAGGCGCATAGTTCTCATCTGAGAAATCAAACCCGTCCGCCGGACAAGGCACCCACGCCGACCAGAAAGTCCCACCCAGCTGGCCCTTCTCTGCACGCCTCAGATCGAAATGGCCAGTCAGATTCCCATGCTCGAATGGCTCCGTGAAATTCTTGCCATAGATCTTGTTCCCATACAACGCTCGTATGAGGATGAGAAGATCATTATGGCCGTCGATTAAAGGGTTCTCGTGCAAGATCTTCTCCGCCCCGGATAGCGACGGCTGCGTCAGGTAGTCGTAGTATTTGTATAAATCAAACGCTCCAGTGGAATAGGCTGTGATGACTATCGATAGGATGAAGACCAGCTGCGCGAAAGTCTTCCAATTGCTCTTGGAATTCTCAATAATGAATCGCGGATCCTCGGAGGGCGGGCGGTTCGACCGCTTCTTCTTGTTCTTCTCATCCCCACCACGGCTGGCGCTGTCCTGCGTGGGCGGCTTCTCGGAGGCCATGATGCTGTCCTGCTCGGCCGTGGGCAAGAGAGATGCAGTCGACATTGACTTGTACCGCCGAGAAGTCTCGACGAGCCAGGACCAGGCGTCGGACATAATGCGTTACTGGGTGATTACTTACTAGGGCTTCTCTCGGCGTGCCAATACCGTGTTTCCGTGTCCGAAGATGGCACGTAATACGGAGTCAATTTCGCAGGCACGCGACCCATCCGTGGGACGTGACGGATGTCGATTTCAAGCTTCCGGTCCGGCTGCGGGCGGATGGCTTGGCAGATGCGGTCGTCGCAGGCGGGCACGTGTCGAGGGTGAGCTTCTTGCAAACACCAGCGTTCACTTCACTATCTTCACCTTTGGTTGGTTTTTGTGTTAGCGTGGTGTGTGATGGGCCTCATTTCAGCTTTCACGCTCATCAGAGCCGTCTCGCTCTTTCACATTACGGCGGCCTACTTCTTCCTCACGGCTCCCAAGATTCTGTCGGATCAGAATGTCGTCTTTATATTGGGAGAGTCTATGCAAATTGTGGGTGATGTACAAGCCTGCAAGACGCGGATCGAGTTACTGATTCTGTTCGCTAGCCACACGCCAGTTCCCTCGACAAACCATCCGATGCATCAGCTTTTGCCGGAATGCTGCTGGCACTTCTCGGCATTGCAGACTTGACCGCGGCATCGATGGAGGAATCGTTTGCGCTCCATTACTGGTTGTCCAACGTACCAGTCCGATTGGCCTTCTTGTTCGGCCTCACCGGCTATGTGTACTTGTTCAAGGAAGGTGGGGTGTTTGGCAGTGCTGTTGGCTCCTGGCGCAATGCGTCCATCGGCGAGCCCCTTCAGAACAGTCTGGTCTTCACCTTTGGCTTTCTCGAAGTCGCCGTCTGGTTTTGGGTATCCCTTCGTCTCTTGCATTTTTTGTGTCTTGTCTAACGTTCCCCAGATTTTCACCTGCCTGAGAGACGACAGGCGCGAGGCCTTGCGCAAACGAGTGGAAGCCGCAAAGGCAGAAGCAGACCATCTCTGAACGCAGGCAACCGATAGCGACAGTACGGGCTTCCAAGTATATTGTGGCCATCACCCCAGTCTTATCTTACTACCACCTCTTCCGTGTATGGTTCTCCCGGTCTCATTCTCGATTTAGCACGCTTCTGTCACTGTCTCTGCGAGATGAGGGCATCGAGCACGTCAGCCCATCCGGCTTCGAAGATCCAGGCAGCGATCAAGCGGTTCGGAAGATTGTGAAACTGGGACTCTGTGCTACGTCAGATTGTACGTCAAGGCATTTGCATCGAAACAATGAGGTTGTCCTGGCGACTCGCGCGTGCTCCATGCTGGGCTTCCTGGCCTTCCACGACCGTCCTACGCGCCAGACGCGCCGCCCACTCTCGAATTGCCATGTTACACAGCCAATACATGCTGCCGGCCTGAGTTCAATTTCAACACTCAGCCTCAGCTGGCTCGACGTCGAAGTGACCAAGCATTCGCCTCTTTCTGCACGAACCTTTTGCGTGGAGGCGCGTGTTGCAGTAGCACAAAGAAAAGGGCGGGACATTGCAGCAGATCTGGCTCAGAATAGATCGCTTGTGCTCGCCTAGCCACATTCTGGCCAATCATGTGACTTTGTTTGCTGCGCCCCCACTCTAATCCTCTCAATGGCGCCTCGACCGCACCGAAAAAGGACGAAGGCGTGCACCATTGTGCCAGACTGCAAAGTGGTATTTGAACAGCCGCGCACGCCTTTTTTCCTCCTCTTCATCACCAACAACGACATTCGCTTTCGTACCATTCGCTAATTCGCACCGTGTTGCTCGGGCAGAAGAGCGAGAGATTGACAATCTTCGGCTCTTTGATTGGTGTCAGGGAGCACGCGACCAGCCGACGACGACAGACCGGGAAGACCAGCATCTGAAAACTACGCAAGGGTCCCTCTAGCAAATCGCGGAGAATGTACGACAACATCTGGTTGAAGCGTGTCTGGATCCCCTTCTGGGTCATCCAGTTGCTTTTCTCCATCATCCTGCTCGCCTCCATTGGCCTTGGCTTTGGTCTCCTGCGCGACAACAGGGACGACATCTCGGACGACTTGTCAGATGCGGGCTACGACTCCAGCGATGTCAACCACGCCTGGTCGGCGGTCAGGTAAGTGAGACATGTCAAGTATTGCCGACAAACACACCAGGAGGCTAACAGGGTACCCCTCACAGCGCCATCCTCGCCGTCTGGATAGCTGTGTGTGCCGTCACCATCATTTTCGACATCGTTGAGATCTTTTTGCTCGCGCGGAAGAGGCTGAGCCCCGTCGTGGCCGTGGTGCTCAACAGTCTGACGACGCTCGTGTGGCTCGTCTTGATCATCATAGCCTGCATCGGCGCTGTCAACAGCGGCACTGGACTTGGCATCATTTGGCTCGCCGTCATCTTGTGAGTGAATATCGCAGAACACGGGCGCTGCCCCGTCTGTGTCGGAGCAAAGCCCAGCTGACCCCCTTGATAGCGCGACCTGTCTGGGCAAGCTCATCTACTGTTCGGTCGTCTTGCACAGATTCCGCAAGACGCGAAGCCGTGGTGCTTACACGCCGGCCCAGGCAGAATCTGGGTTAGATCCTGGCTACACTGCATACAACCCAGCAGGCCCTCCGCCAAATCCGTTCCGGTTTGTACTGAGACTTAGCCGTGACTATGCGAATGTGCTAATGGTTCTTCACAGCGACCCTTCGCGAGACCCTTCGCCAGCGCCGACTCCTAACCAAGGCGCTGCAACAGAGTATTACGGTGGTGCACCCGCTTTCGAGATGCAGCAACAGCAGCCGCAGCAGCGGTACTACTCATGAGGACCCACGATGGCATGATCCTCAGACCCCCAGCAGACAGGTACCCGAGTACCCGACTCCCAGCAAACGCACACGAGATACCCCATACTTTTGGCCTTTACAGGTCGGATAGGACCGGCCAGTTGGTCGGTGTAGAGTTTTTTGCAACGAATACAGTTTCAAGTCCAGTCTCCCGATCTTTAGCAGAGAACGAGTGCGAGGCAGGCGTCGGTATCGTTCTGTATGCGAGGCCGCTTTGCTCTTCAAACCAAGCCCACGGCCGATTGCCAATGCGAATGGGTGATAGTGTTTCAGGTGACGTCTGTTGGTTATGCAAGATACGCTCGGCGATTTCTGTCGATCCCTCGGATCCTGAAGGTGTATGCTTTGATGCTCACGTGCGTGGGCAGTGCACGCTGCAGCGGCCGGCTTGGTCCATGGAGGCCTGCCGAGTCAGAGTAGTCTGGCATTGCAATCTTACGCTGTTGCCGGTTCGGGCCTGGCGCTGGCTTTGCACGCCTGTACCTCACGTGGCTGACGGACGTCTCTCCTTCATCGATGCTGTCGCTGAGTCGACGCGCCGTACCAGCACACAGGCTCAAACGCCGCCATGTCGTGAATGCTGTTTGGGCTTGGGCAGCATTAGTCGTGATCCGAACGAGACCGCCAGTCTGGACTCTTTGCGGGCGGGCAGGGCGAGCAGTGCTGCCCAAGACTCGCGCTGATCATTACCACACGTGCATTGGACAGGGCACGACCAACATCCATGATCCTCATCAGACTTCCCCCAAGAAATTTCTCGAAATACCTGCATGCTCATCGACGCCCAACGTCCCCTCTTGCTACAGCCTCGTTTCGTCCTCCAGGCAGCAGATCACACGACGCCGAGATCGCAGGCGGATCGCGTTGAAGAAGTACCTGCCGGTGATTTTGAGGGCGATGAAACGAGGCGAGCGACTTCGCCTTGCGATTTTGAAAGATCTTCAGACCCCTGCCGCGACGCTGCAGACTGCACACACCGCACGCACGCACGGCGACCTGCTAGCGATTATTCAAGGCTGCAGCACATACTGCCATCCACGGCCCGTTCTCAATCAAATGCAGGGCGGGCAGAGTAGCCTTTCGGCACTTGCAACGACCGTTGGATGTCAAGTGATGTCAGCATCGACGGTGGATGCGGACAGGCGAAGGTTCATCCACCTGGTCTGTCACCACCCATGTGCGGATATGGGCACTAGACAAGGCCCGCCTCCCATCCCCCGAGCAGCGCCCGGGACCTCTGCAACACTGGCTCAGCTTGTGGGTGTCTGGCGTCCGCCCGCCCGTCTTCGCTCACCCAGAGCTTGATGCTCCGTCCCATAGGGATGGCAGTGCTGCCGGGTCAACCTTGCGACCTCGTCTTTTGGCTTGGGCAGGCACGTAGGGACCGCGTCACAAGCTGCACAGCGAAGATCCTGGCGTACCGATGAGAGCCTTGTGTTTCTACATGCTGGATGGTTCGATCGCAGCACGACCCAAGGGCCAAATGGCCATTCGCTGGTTGGCGCGTTTGGGACACGCCTCACGTAAGAATGGGCTTGACCGTCACTCGTTAACAATCTCTGTACCACAGTGATCTGCGAAGCACTAGTCTCCCACAGCACCATTTGCGTTGTCGTGCACCTGCAGTAGCCACGTCTGCCGATTGCACATAATGACCTCCGGCGCTCCAGCTGAACCTACAACTACAGGTTACGCTCCCAACGAGTCAAGAAGAGCTGCGGCTCTGCCATCGCGTGTCGAGGAGCCGTTCGCCAGACAGTACGTGACGCCCTCAGAGCGTCGAGGAATCTTCAAACATTCCACTGACAGATATGCCAGGCAAAGGCTTCAGGATAGAGACCCTTGGGCTTCCTCCCGTCCACCAGCAACCCTCAGGTATGCCCACACCTACCCGGGATCCGTACCAACGACGAGTACTCAGCAATTCAAAAGTTTTCCGCCGCCTCCCGGCTTAACAGGTAGCAGCCGGACGCCTGCGACATACCCTCCCTTCTCTACGACACAAGCACAGCGCTGGGCTCGAGAGGAATGGTCCAGCCGACCCGCCGCACCCTTTGGAGAAATTCCATTGCTCTCGGGCTGGGGGACATCGCCGCTGTCCGCCCAGTTCCCAACATCGAACACGCCAATGCCTCCAGGAAGTGATCGCAGCCCGCGATCCGGATACACAGCTTACCAAGGCGCCTGGCCTGGGCCGCCTCTTCGTCGCAGTTCGTCGGAAGAGGCACGTGTGAGCTTGGGAGGATACTACGGTGGTGACGCCTCCTCTAGCACCGCAAGCCTTCAGGGCAAAGCGTTTCCCCAGAGACGACCTTCTAACAGAGATGAATTTGACGGACCATCACAGCTGCTCGACAAGCCCGATGATGGAGGCTTCGAGCCCAAGGAAGAAGAACTGCCCCAGTTACCCATCACGTTATACGCTCAGGAACAGGACGAAATTCTATCGAAAGTGAACGACAGACTGTCTCAATGCGCATTCGACTTCGTCGCGAAGTACCAGTTTCCTATCCCCATCGAACCCGACAAACGACCAGTGCGAGTACCAGGCGATCGAGAGTGGTCAGAGTGGGTGTACCTCCTCAAGCGCCTCGCGACCAAACGACGCATCCCGGCGCGAGTGCTATACAACGGCCAGATCAAGCAGCTCATCACGATTTTGGAAAACAGCTTGGAAATGAGACACGCGGCGAAGCATCAGTCCCGGCCGCTGAAGGACGACAGGAACATCCTCCAACTCATCAGCTCGGGCTTGCAGGTTGCGAAGATCTTGAAGGACGCGCCGGCGATGCAGTACCTCGACAGTCTGTACATTCAGACGGAACGGCTGATCCAGAGTCGTCGAGCGCCTGCTCCTTCGTCGTCATTCACGCAGATGTAAGCCAGGGATACCAGGTCGTGCGAGCCGCTGCAACCTCCTCGGATCACCAGATTCGACTACTGCACGAACGTCGTGACGCAGATGTTCGGTCACGAACTGCATTATCAGCAGAGCTTTCAGGCCGCTGCAGCCACGATGCAGCAAGACGTTGGACAAGTTGACCACCCTAAAACCCTACGAATACGTGTCACCGATCTGACAACAACGGCAACGACAAGAACCCATCAACGATCCACCCAGATCCAACAACAAAAGTAATGTGTATTTCTACCACAAAATCCAGTCCACACACAGCCGACATGTGGACTATCAATTCACCCAACAACATACGAGAGAGAGGCGTTCTTGACGGCGACAGAAAGAAGAAAAGGAGTCCCAACACACACTTCTCTTCGGAGGACCGGAGAAAGCGATGCAAAGTCAGCAGTTGCACCAGAGTTTTTACCCGCCTACTTTGTTACTTCTTACTTACTTACCACCTACGTGTCCAACATGCACGCACGCGCGAAATGCAAGACGGGGATCATGCATAGACTTTCAGGTCGAGCAGGGAAGGGCAGGAAGGGCTTTTTTCATCAATCAGATCAGCAGATGTTGGAGTTGAGTGGGCTTTGAAAAAGGCCCTTTTGAGCACAGCGACGGGGCGTTTTTGATCATAGAATGTGTGTTTTTGGGAATGTGCTTTTGAATTTCCTATCCAAACATCACCAAACTTCTCAACAGCGACAAATGCACATTTCGACAGCGGATACGATACGGAGACAACACACATACGGCAGCGCGAAAGGAAGATACCGAGATAAGGGTCTGAGCAAGCAAGCAATCAGGAAGGAAAGAGAGTTTCAGGGAGAAGGGTTTTTCATACCTTGAGTTTGATTTTTTGTTGTTGTTGCGAACAGAAATAGGTACATAGTTTTGAGAGGGTGGGCAATGCATATGTTTTTTCTTTGAACCCTTTACACTTTATACTTTATACTTTTCAATCCAAAGATAGGTGCCGAGTGAAGTGAACGTTTCCCGGAATCTTGGAGCCTAATAAGATCATGGTAAGTAGGGAGAGATTGAGGTTGTTCGTTTGACGAAAATATCACGGACGAGGCTCGTATGAGGGACTGGAATAGAAGACTCTCGCACTCGTTTCGAACACTGTTGCATTGCATGTACCTCTCTACCTGCCTGCTTCGTTCCGAGAGAAGAAGCAGGAGAGGACGAGACCCACACGTCCGAACTGCATTGAATGATACTTGTGGTGCATGACTCTGTAGACTTTTCCCTCACGCTGTCCAGTCATCGACAGGGAGGGCAAGGAATTGTGGCCTCGCTGGGTTGGAAGGTCCCCGGGAGAAAGTGACTTTGTTTGACAGCGCAGATCATGCCAGGTGTGCGAGTCGAGGGCGTGGAAGGGTGGTGCTTTGTCTCGTTTCATCCGGCAGCTGGACTGTAACATGTCGTCGTGTAGACCTGTCGTTGGTTTGAAGAGGAGTCTTTCGCATCAGCATTGCCGGACATGTCTTATCGACACCTCAAACCACACGACAGGCTCGCGATGCATACTGGTCAATCCCCCTCAGCAGCAACAGCGACCGGTATCAATTCGGCTCACCGAGCAAGGTCAATCCCAGGGAAACTCTGCTTCACCGGCCCAGTCATTCCCTATTGCCATTCCCACCGCGTTCTCGCTGGTGTTGGTCAGATGAGCACATAGTGGATCTCATAAGTCGGGACTCTCCATTTGGATATGTCGTTCGTGGCCGTTTCCCTTTCCTGGGGAGAGAGGCGTTAGGGGATGTGGTATCGCAGGCTGGGTGGATGGCTTTTACGGCCGTAAGGTTTTGATGGGGGTTGCAGGCAGGCAGGCTGGCTGTGACGAGGGGGGTTTGGTTGAGGGGTAGGGTGTAGGGAATCGGGAGTCGGGAGTAGGGAGTTTTTGAGGTGCTTGGGGAGGGTCAAGGTAGTAGTTGGATGAGGACTTTGCGCTGGTGACGGCGGTGGTTTGGGCTCTTTGGCGTTACATTTCGAGCTGCCATCTATGTGGCCAAGCTTAGAGATTGGTGAAAGCTCTTTGCTACGTGGAGTCTGTTTTGTTGAAGAAGTGCCGATGGTCAGGGTGTTGTCCTGCAGGAATACGGCGTACCATATCTAAATATACGGCGTACTATGACACCACTGGGCGGCGCTCGCCTTCCTTCATTCAGCTCGCAAACAACTTTGCCTCCTACGATCCACGTCCTTAGCATCAGTGCCAGCTCAACTGCAGCATCAGGCTGGAGCGTGTGTGGTATCGTTTGACGAGCTCAATCACGCGGCTGCTTGAAGAATGCGGCGATGACAAAGTGCGACTCGCCCCAGGATCTCTACGAGCAAGAGGTACCAGCGCGGAACGCGATCCTGTCGCGTACATGGATCGGAGACAACGATGAATGAACCTTTTCGTGAGCGAGAAGTGTAAGACTTGGAGGGAGATCCAGTTTGGCACGTGGGAGGCCGAGCATGATTAGGACTTGGAACGGGATCTACTGGAGCTGAAAAGACTCCATTTGCAGGTTTATGGCTATGGAGAATCTCTGCCGGAGGAGGAAACGACATTGGACGCCTTACCTTTATGTTTCGGGAACGACGAAAGATTCTCCTCACCACACCCACCGATGCTTTTACCAAACGACAAAACTCTGGTAGCTCTGGCATTGGACTGCGCGGCGGTCCAGATCTTCCGAGTGCAATGACTAAAGAAGGATGCCCAGCAGCACTAGCCTCGCAGATCGCTGTTTCGTGGGTCGACTTGGCTGCTTCTCATCAATCTGTAACGACAGAACGTGGAGACCAGGATCTATCAAAGCCGATACCAACGCAGGTATGTTCGTGTTTTTAAACGTCTGGTCTTGTCCAAGGACATTTCTTCCCCATCATATCATTGACCATCTTCCTGTGCCGGCTCTTGGGTGCACGCAATGAAGCAACAACTCTCCGGATGCCCATTGTCTCCATCTCTGACGACGCCACCCTCCGCAGGGCTTGAGACCGTCGAAAGTCTATCTCACCACCTCGAACTATGTCGGCGAATTTCCACACCCTCGGGACATGGCTCCTCTGCTTCGAATTATTCATCAGCAGCCTCGACATCATCGAGAGGGGTCTCGTACCACGCCGCGTTGGGGCAGCCAGGCAGCCATCACGGTTCAGATATCTCTAACCAACAGCTCTCATCGCCATTGCGAAAGGGACCACAAAATCCCTGGGCGGACGTGGATCTGTGTGCAAAGATGGTCAAGGTAAGATGCACTCTCTAGGCCTTGCAATAAGCACGACTTCGCTGATGTCCTGGGATTTTAGGAGCACAACTTGATACATGATCATGGAATTCATCAGTTATGACAGTCCGTCCGAATTCAAAGCAGGCAAGAAAAGTCAAGTCGTACGGAGCTATGTGACCAAACGACAGCATCGCCTCAAACGAGAGGCTGAGCACAAAGCCAAAGGCGAAGACTCTCGGAGCGTGGACGCAGAGCCCGAGATATCCGGCCAAATTGATACTAAACCCGGCGAACAAGGGTCGACTCATCAGACGAAGCCGCGCTCCCGGAGGAGAAAGAAACATGCCGTGGCATTGGGGTCCAGCTCGCCGCGTCTTCCACCTCAAGTCTCCCAGCAGCTGATGTTGCCCTGCCGCAGCGCCTTCGATACCTTGGAATCGTTTATCCACGCCACCATGGTGCCCACCCATGTGTCCGCCCTGGGTTTGGATTCTTCCGAGACGCAGCTGGCATCACAATGGTTTTCATCCGCTTCTGTCTTCGAGCCCGCGCTGTACACCAGCGCACTGCTAACCGCCGCCCCAAATTTCAAGTCAGTCTCTCCGGACCTTATCTTCTACCTCCAGAGCGCGACCATCACATCTCTCGTGGAGGCCTTCGCCAATGAAAAGCGCAGACAAGATCCCGCTCTCATTATCGCCGTGGAGTGCCTCACATTCTACGAGTGCTTATATGGCGATCGGAACCTGGCGCAGAAATTCCATCGGCCGGCCATGCGGAGATTGATCCAGGCTCACGGAGGCAGAGACGGCGTAGAAATACCGCTGGCGTGGAAAAAGGTGTCGCTCATGGCTGACATCGTCATGGAGATACAGATGGGCAGCGAGGGCGAGAGTTCGTTTCTGATGAACGAGTCGCATCAGGATGCAGGGATCTTGGAGGCCGAGTGGACGGAGGCGCTGAAGATGTACTTGCCGGATGTGGAAGGGGGAACTTCTGGCGGTCGCTTGCCGAGCAGGAGGCGAGACCGCTAATTTGGCGATAGAAGTGAAGGATTTGAAAGGACGTCGTGTGAATTCGACGTACATCAGCGAGGCTGTTCCGAGCTGGCTGCGATGATGATTGCAGGATTTGGTAACAGACCGTACTCTCGCCGCCACTTCGACGGCCCCTTGCCAGAAGTGTCCGCGCAGCAGCGTGGGTCCGTTGTGTGTGTTTGATGTATTTCTACAGAAGATGGCGTTTGCTGTTGCCCGTCAGCCCACAACGAAGAGTATTGGAATTACTGCGTACCGTACGCGCTTGACCTCCTTTTTCATCAGCCGCGAGACGATGTCGTCTTTACTCATACTCAGGGCAAAGCCAGCATTCTCGACGATGATCAGACACAGCCGGCTCCCGATACCATACAATTGTCTCCAATGGCCAACAGATGGTTGTTACCGTCTTCATCAGCAGAACACACAGATGTTGAAAGGATTGGATGTTCAATGCTGCCAGCGCCGACCCTCCGAACCTGCCCAAGGCGGCTAGCGCGCAGGGACGAACTCACTTCACCTGCAACGCGCCTTCCTCTTTTGCTCGCGACTTCGCAAATATGATCATGTTCTGGTCTCTGCGTACCGATCAGTGTGTATACTGCGGATGACGAAGACGGTTTTATCGATGCCAAGACTCAATTGGATGATGGCGTCCTGCAAGAGCTGCGAGAGTATGGGTTCGAAACGTACAACATTGCAAGAAGGAGAATCGAGATTCAAATCATGTACCATCTGGAGATGCGTTGTGGATGTGGAACTGCTATCGTCGCTTGAGTGCCGCGATATCACAACTCCTCTCCACCGCAGAAAACAGCAGGCCCATACCGTGGCCAGCGAGATGGCGATGCGGACAACGGGACGACTGTGAAGCCGGGCTGAAGGACGGGAGTTGGTGTCATCTGCTTGGCAAGCTTTATTGAGGCCATTGGCCTTCAGCATTCAGTCGAATATTCGTACTGCATCTTGATGCGAACTCGTGGAACCGGAACGTCGACGTCAACGCTTCTGCTGCAGGGCATTGATTAACATAGACCAGTGGACGCACGATAGCAAAGTTCAGATCTTGACGGTGGGTATTTCATTTCAACCATCGATTTTCGCACTCACAGAGTATTCTGAAGGTGACGTTGATTTTGGCGTCGCTGTCGCTGCTTCCTCGCTCGGCACCAGCCGACTTCAACGGGAGGAAGGAGATCTCACTTGACTTCACCTCCACTGCTCTGTCTTTCACCACCACCACTCACTCTCAATACACCCAAGACTTTCTTCTCCCACCCGCCCACGCTCTCTTTGTTCAATACAGCTGCACTCACTTCACACACCACACCACACCACTACTGGCGAAACACATCGGTCCTCACCATGGTGGGCTTTCCTCGCCTGGCTGCTCTGGCCATCAGCATCCTCGCTTCCTTTTCGTCGTCTGCACCAACCACCGGTGATACTGACGTGGCCACGACCGTCCCTGTTTCGGCGAACAACAGCGCCGTCAATGCCGAAAACGTGAACTGCTACAACGCCTGTTATGGTACGTGATACTCGATTTGGCATTGCTGCGGCATGGCTGACACTCCGCAGGCATCTCACGGGACACGGTGGTCCAGGCACTGGATTGGTTCTGCCAACAGTTCGAGGGTCACGTACTCAAGACGCCAGCAGACAACCTCTGGGGTCGCTATCAGTACAAACCCAATACAGACACGACCTACCTCGGTCCCTACGACGAGGGAGAAATTGGCATGACCATCAACGTGACCTCCAACGCAGAGTGCTCCCCACCGCTAACTATGACCTACGATGCTTGCTTCACGTACTCACTCGTTCCTATTGACAAGTGATAATCTCCCACTCACATGGGTGGTTGACTGTGCTGACATGAACTTTCAGCTGCAACACGGCGTCGACCGAGGGCAAGCAGGGTGGCACGGTGCTCTATGGTTGTCTCCAGTACGGATTCCAGCCGAATCCAAAGTACTGGCCAGAGTGCGCCTTGGAGCCGCAAGAGGAATCCAAGAGCATCGACGTTCGTGCTGCAGATGTGTCGATCACGCCGGACCCGACCTACCTCAATTGCTACAACCTTTGCTTTGGTAAGACGACGGTTTAGGCAACAAAGGTCCTCATCGTGACAACTGACGCAATACAGGCGTAGAGCGAGGGAGAGCAATTGACGCAGTCAACTTCTTCTGCAACAAGGCCGCGGGTCGAATTTTCACAACCTCAGCGGACAACTTTGCCCAGCATTTTCTGTACGAGACTCATGGCGAATCGCAAGATCCAGGTTACTACAATGAGGGCGACATTCGAATGAGCATCAATGTCAACGACAGTGTCAAATGCAACCCGGGCGTGACCATGACATTTGACGAGTGTTATGCGAACGTGATGTACTCCTGCGTTGATGGGTAATAATATACCAAGCCTTATCAACACACAGTCGACTGACACATAACAGCTGCAACACCGACGGCGAGAATCACAAACAAGGCGGTTGGTCATCCAACGGGTGCCTCAAGTACGAATTCCAGCCGAACCCAGTGTATTGGCCCTTCTGTTACTTCGGACCCGACCAGCGTGGGTCTGGTTCTCGCGTACTTCAGGCATACAATACCACATCACGAAACAGCACACACAAAGTCCTCGGCGCATATACGACAACAATGACGCAGTCTCTTGCGACCGGCGAACCGGCTGCCATGTCTACAGAGCCGCCCCAAGCACCGTCAGGCCTCAATAACTTCAACATCGAGGACGACGCAGAGAGCCTCTATTGCTTCAACTCCTGCTTTGGTGTTTCTAGAGCTGTGATGGGGGACGCAACGAATGCCTTTTGCAACTGGATGGGCGACCATTACTTCACCTTTGCTGAGACCAGCAACATGGTGTTCACTTGGTAAGAAAGCTACCGTATTCAGCACCAGAACTGTGATTTTAACCTGCTTCAGGATCTATCCACCAGGAGATCCATGGCGGTCCCAGTTCGGCGAGTACTACGAGGAAGGCCGAGTCGAGGTGCACATTGAAGTCATTGAAGGCGCGGTCTGTAGCCCGACTGTTCTTGTCAACTATGGTGCTTGCTATCAACGTCTTATGTGGGGATTAGTGGACCGGTAGGCACTCTCACCTTACATTTAAGAAGTCGGGATTCCGAGGTAGTTGACTGACATACATTCAGGTGTGACACGGAGGATGAAAACTACAAGCAGGGCGGCTGGGTCACCCATGGCTGTCTCAACTACACCGTCCAGCCGAACCCTCTATACTGGCCGGCATGTGGCGGTCGACCATCATCAGATTCGAAGTTCGAAACAGCAGCCGATATGCTGTCAGACGACGCATCACCCGTTCAAGCCTCAGGCTCCGCTGAACCCCAAGACGGAACCCTCCTCGCCACCTCTATTGCACCACGATCCGAGCCTTCAAGTTTCACCACGCTCGACTTGGAGGGGACCGACTGGCCTGAACCTACCTGTCTGAACAACTGCTACGGTGTGTCGAGATTCATTGCAGGTGTCGCGGCCAATGAGATGAGCGTCCAGACGGGCGGCCGCAACTTTACAACCCCAGATGACAACGTTGAATTGGCTTGGTGAGTGCGGTAGTTGTGTGATGATTCGATCGATACTAACGTCTATCAGGTCTTACGAGCCGGACAGGCAAGAGCTGTTCCAAGGCCCAGGCTGGATAGAGGAAGGCAGCATATTGATGACGATCGAAGTCATTCCCGGCACGACATGCGACCCGCCTATGTTCATTGACAACCCCAACATCTACCGTGTCTTCATGTGGAACATCATAGACAAGTGTGACTTCCACCCCTGCGACTTGTGCAAGGAAAGTGACTGACGAATCGACAGATGCAACACAGGCGGCGAAAACCACAAGCAGGGCGGATATCTCACCAACGGCTGCCTCAATTTCACCATCAACCCCAATCCAAAGTACTGGCCAGATTGCGAGTTGGCGCCGGACGCTCGAAAGGCACTGTCGCCAACTGAGGTCGAGACGGCTACATTTTCAGCAGATCCCTCCACGCCTGTGCACTCCAGCTCGGGAGGAGTTTGAGGTGGTCGAATGGCAGTGAAATGATGCAACAGTAGTCTGTGGCGTGATGCGAGCAGGAATTTGGCTGTGAAGAGTATATGTTGCGCAAGATATCAATAGCAATGTTCAAAGTGTTTGTTCGTACCAAATTTGCGGATCGAAGGGCCATGAAAACATCGTGATGAAAAGTGCTTTTCGCTGAAGATCTCACCTTCTTCCTTGCCGAAACGAAATTATGACCGAATCGTACGGCCGTGTCCAGGTCAGATGGCGAGGTCTTCATCCATCTTACCACAGCCACATATGCCCATCCATCCATCCAATCTGGGTTTCAACGAGAAGTCCAGAAGCTGAGAGCGATGTGATGTGCAGCTGGGCATCAATACTCATGCACATGCACATGCAAGGTAGTGCAGCCGCTGATCATGTGATTATCTCATCTCATCTCATCTATCGCTCACGACGACAGATCTCTGTGATAGCCGCGTCTGCCGCTGGTCTTATCTCATAGATGCTGTGAGGCCGGCGTACATGAAGTTCGACGTGGTGGGTCACTCGTTATGTCTGAGATGCGTGGTCCTGGGAGAGACATGCTGTGGAAGGAGGCTGCGTGGAGTTTTGTGTGTACATAGCTTTTGGAGAGGGGGAGGGAGGGGGTTTATTGAGAGCCATCTTTAGTATAGGTTGGATATGGGGCGAGGTTGGTGTGAATGGTGGTTGAGATGGGGGATGGGATTGGGATTCTTGCGTAAGAAGTGGTGTTTTTTTGTTTGCTGGCATATGTGAGTGATGAGGAGGTTGATTCAATGGCGGGTGTATACAGTTTCGATTGATATGAAGCCGAATATGTTCAACCACCGACGGATGGATTCGTCGACCATTAAATCCGCTATAAGCCAACAGATCTGTCGCTGAGTACACGGAGTCTGATGGGGATGCAGACTTCCGTCGTGAAGAGTCACGCGTTTACCTTGGGTGATGTTTATTAGTAGTAGCTCTGGGAATTTGGATCGTACCGAAGCTGTTGGGTCGAGTCATGGAGGGTGGGGAGTTTTCTGTGCTTTGGGGATGGTAGTGTGAGGTTTGGATAAAGGAGTCATGGTGTTCTTGAGATTATGTTTCACTGCGCAGATCGGAGAGTCTCGCCATGGAGCATCTTCATCAGCTGTGGTTAGCACTGAGTCGATGGTGAAGGTTTGGGGTAGCTTCAATGTCGGTAGATAATGGGAATCAAATCTCTGGGCAGGTCTGACTCCTCGCGTGTATATTTCTCCAGGGAGTGGTCGAAGTGCTGGGCTGATGATGTAGTGTTGAGGGGTTTGGTATGAGTCTTCGAAGCGGAGATGTATTTTCGAATTTGCTGGGAGCCATAACTGTTGCGAAGACCGGGCTCGGGACTGGCTTCTGGAGGCGCATCGCTTGAATGATAGGTGTTGGAGCATCCCAGATGCGTTAAGCAGTACCAAGGCGATGAGGTAATGCTCGAGGGGTTGGTGGGCATTGGAGCGACGGTTGCATGGTGCTTTGCGTCTTGCGCTGACCGTCATGTATACATGTGTGTTTATCCGTTGGGTAGTCGACATGGTAAGCTCACGATGAAGTGTCGAGAGGCGTTGTATGAGTCTGCGAAAAGGAGACAAGTCTTCAATTTTGCAGGTTCGGAAGGCGTGCTGTTTCCGTGGCAGGGCAGACTTTTGATGGGGTATCTCCAACAGTTCGAATAAGACTAAGGCCATAAAGGGCTGTTCAACGAGTTGTCAGACGTTGGAGCCACGGAGATGTATGGTGCCTTGTGTCTTGCACCGACCCCTCGCGTGTGCGTCTCTCCGCAAGGTAGCCGTCGACTAAGCTCACGATCAAGTGTCGAGGGGCTTGGTATGAGTTCGCGCAGGGGAGAAAACTCGTCGAGTCGGTAGGTAGAGCCTCTTGAAGAGCTCCTCTCGGCACGGCCTTTACACGGGTATCAAGTCCATGACAAGTAATAACTTTGGTATGGAAATCCCCGAAACTTCAAGTAGGACCATGGCGATGAAGGAGAGCTCGAGTAGCTAGTAGACATGGGAGCGTCGGAGATGCAGATTGCTCTCCGTTCTTTGCACGTGACGCCGACCAACAAACCGAGGCCGAGTGGCTGGAACAGTTTGCTGCGGGAGCGGGAGCTAGCCAGATCTGGCGCATTGAGTGCGATCCTGCCGGCGGGGAGCAGGGCAAGCGCGCAGGATGCTGCCGAGAGGCAGGCACGGACTCCAAAATTTCGTCAGCGACCGACTTCACTTTCTGCTTCACTCGATGGCTCATTCCTTGACTCACATGCTCGCCTGCCGCCGCCTTACTTAAAAGCTCACTTCGACCCTCAATTGCTCCCTCGCATCTGCAATTCATCCCCAGAGCTCGACGCCCGTCCACGCCACGCAGAGAGACATCGAGCACCTTGACGTCTCGCCGATAACGGGGAGAGAGAGACCACTTCACACCATGTGCCCTGTCCCAGAGGAGAATGGCCACGCCAATGGCCAGGTGAACGGCATTGGCGCGTCCGATGGCGAATACGTGTACGTTGACCCTACCTCACCTCGCCGCCATAGCGCATCTACTTATCATCCCACAGCGCCTTCAAGACCAATGCATCCTCGCGCCCCCAAATGACCAATCCCTATGCGCCCGTGCAAGACTTCCTCAGCAACGTATCGAACTTCAAAATCATCGAGTCGACGCTACGAGAGGGTGAGCAGTTCGCCAATGCCTTCTTCGACACTGAGACCAAGATCAAGATCGCCAAAGCTCTCGACGAGTTTGGCGTCGACTATATCGAGCTCACCTCCCCCGCCGCCTCTGAACAGTCAAGACTCGACTGCGAGGCCATCTGCAAGCTCGGTTTGAAGTCCAAGATCCTCACACACGTGCGGTGTAACATGCAAGATGCCAAGCTGGCTGTTGCGACAGGTGTGGACGGCGTGGACGTGGTCATTGGCACCAGCAAGCATCTCATGGAGCACAGCCATGGCAAGGACATGGAATACATCAAGCGAACGGCGATTGAGGTCATCGAGTACGTCAAGAGCCAGGGCAAGGAGATCAGATTCAGCTCGGAAGACTCTTTCCGCAGCAATCTCGTCGATCTCCTCACTCTCTACAGTGCTGTGGACAAGGTTGGTGTCCACAGAGTCGGGATCGCAGACACAGTCGGGTAAGTCGAGAAGCGTGGGCATGTCTGTAGGTGATTCAGCGGTACTGACATACTGCAGCTGCGCAACCCCTCGCCAAGTATACGACCTCGTCCGAACCCTTCGCGGTGTCGTCAGCTGCGACATCGAAACCCACTTCCACAACGACACCGGATGCGCCATTGCAAATGCCTACTGTGCCCTCGAGGCTGGCGCCACCCACATCGATACCTCGGTCATTGGCATTGGTGAGCGAAACGGTATCACTCCTCTCGGTGGCCTCATGGCTCGCATGATTGTGGCCGACCGCGATTACGTCAAGTCCAAGTACAGACTTGAGAAGATCAAGGAGATCGAGGATTTGGTGGCCGAGGCTGTCGAGATCAACGTCCCCTTCAACAACCCCATCACCGGTTTCTGTGCCTTCACCCACAAGGCCGGTATCCACGCCAAGGCCATCCTCAACAACCCGTCAACCTACGAGATCATCACCCCTTCCGACTTCGGCATGAGCAGATATGTCCACTTCGCCTCAAGACTCACTGGCTGGAATGCCATCAAGTCGCGTGCTGAGCAGCTCGGTCTGAACATGACCGAGGCTCAGATCAAGGCTGTCACATTGAAGATCAAGGCGCTGGCAGATGTCCGACCACTCGCAATCGACGACGCAGACAGCATCATCCGTAACTTCCACTTCAACTTGAGCGCGGACAAGGAGCGACCTCTTCTCGAACTCAGTAACGAGGAGAAGGCCAAGTTCGCCAAGGCAGAGCAGGACCTCAGCAAGGAGCAAGAGAAGCGACAACTCGACCAGACGGCCGATCAGGAGGCAGATGTACCTGTCGCCAAGAAGACCAAGACGACCACAGTATCATAGACGACATTTTGACAGGTCGTCTGTATGATCTTACATCCGATCCCGCCATCGAGTAAGCATTGGGGAGCTTGCTACGCGTGCATGTGACGGGGATGAAACAGTAAGGCGTTTCTTGGAGCGATTGGCGGTTTGCTCTTTCTCTGGGATTCAGGCATTCGTTGGGAGCACTGGCTCATCAAAAGTAAGCTTCAGCAGCGAAGTACTGTATAGATTAGCACGGCATCCGAGATATCAGCGAAACAAGCCGTATTGAAGGTGTATTATCGAAGACCTTCCAAGCTGCTTCCGACAGAGCTTCACGCCGCCCAAAGTCTGTTCACATCCGACGTTCTTCCCGACTGCAATTCCGCTGTCGACTCGAGGCTGTGTCTTCTCTTCCCCATACCCCGCATTTCAGCCCGCGCTATGTCTCCATTGATTGAAGTTTGTTTGAGGAATGCATCAGGTGATGGAGTCGCGTACATTCAGAAGACTGACCCTAATATGCAGTAGGAGACGCGGTAAGGCGCCCAAAACACGCATTCGAAGACTCGAATCGAACATAAGACTGCTCTCAAAGATTGCCCGGAACAGTCAGAGCTGAGCGGGCTCTCACTCGGTCAGGCCACCCAGCGCAGCACACCTCAGCATGGACATTGCTCGGCTGCGCGTTGATCAAGCAAGAAAGACCAATGGCTCAAGCTCGCGGCGCGGAATTGAAACGACCGGTGGCTTGCGGTCGGGCGGACACTACTCGTTCGTGCCATTAAGGTGGGGGCATCATTCGTCCTCTGAGGGTAGCTCTGGCCCTGCAGGGATGATCTTGACGAGGACCTGTTCCGCTTTTGGGTGGAAGAGCTCTGGTCTATAAAGGACGGCTGAGCTGTTGTGGTGGGAGTGGACGTCTGCTCCTTTCGTTCGGTCTTGTCAATTCCTTTCGATTTGACGATCCAGTATGGCGACTAACGGTGTCAATGGCTCGGCCAATGGCCACCACCTCCCTGCCCTCCATACCTCTGCTGAGGACTTTCTCAAGCACGACTATGACTACATTGTGATTGGTGGCGGCACAGCTGGGCTTGTCGTTGCGGCTCGCTTGACGGAGAACGAAGATGTCACTGTTGGTGTCCTCGAGGCTGGAAAGTCGAAATTGGGAGACATGCTTGTCGACTCCCCCGTCGCGTTCATGCAGATGTTCATGAACAAGGACTACGACTGGTGCTTCATGACCGAGCCGCAGGTCAGCACATCTCGTCCTCGAAATCCAACACCAATGACTGATATTGTCACAGGAAAACAACAAAGGTCGACGACACCACATCCCTCGCGGCAAAGCCCTCGGCGGCTCCTCCGCCATCAACTACATGATGTACGTCCGCGGCTCCCTGCAAGACTACGACGACTGGGCCATCATCAGCGGCGACGAGTCCTGGAACGCCGAGAACATCCTCAAGTACATGCGCAAACACCAAACGCTCGAACCCATCGACGACAGCGTCACCGACCGCTCCACCATGCCCTTCGTCGGCGAATACCACGGCACCTCCGGCCCCGCCAGGACATCTTTCAACGACTTCCGTCTGCCGATCGAGGATGACTTCATCAAGGCGTGCGACGATGCGACGAAGATGACGAAGAAGCCCAAGGATCCTTGGAGTGGCGATCATATCGGTTTCTACAACACCCTCGGTCTTGTGGCGAGGAGTGGGCCGAATAAGGGCATGAGGTCTTATGCTGCGAGGGGGTATTTCGCTGCGAATGCTTCGCGGCCGAATTTGCATGTGCTTTGTGATGCTATGGTGCAGAGGATTGAGTTGGAGGGGGATGTGGCTACCGGTGTGACGTTCAAGACTGGCGGGAAGGAGTTTACCGTTAAGACGAAGAGGGAGGTACTTGTGGCAGGTGGTGCGATCCAGTCGCCGCAGATTCTGGAGTTGTCTGGTATTGGGGATCCGGAGGTTCTCAAGGCTGCCGGTGTGGAGGTCAAGATCGAGAACAAGAGTATTGGGAATAACTTCCAAGATCATTGTCTTACGGCGGGTGAGTCCATCCTTTTTCCGTTTAATATGCAAAGGTGCTGACTTTGGTGTAGGTGTCTGGGAGGTTCAGAAGGATGTTATGACCCTGGAGGCGATCCACAATCCTCAGGTCATGGAGGCTGCGCAGAAGCAGCTTGCTGAGACGGGCGGTGGGCCCTTGACGAGTGTTTGTACGATGCAGGGGTTCTTCCCTTATAAGGTATGTATTCACATTGCCGGCTGGCGATGTGATCACCTGAAGTTGCGAGGCACTCATCAGCAGGCATTGAGCGTTGAGCAGAACGATGAGGACACCTCATCCATAGGCGAACATTCGCTGACGAAAACGTGTAGTTATTCGCCACCCAAGAAGAACAAGACCGCGTCGTCAAATCCATCGAAGCCGACCTCCCCAACCTCTCCCCCTACCAGCGCAAACAATACGAACGCACCCTCGCCCACCTCAAAGACGACAAATCCGCCAACCTCCAAGTCGTCCTCATCCCATCCCGCTTCGGCATGGAAGCCGGCATCGAAGATCAATCCGGCGTCTTCCCACCTCCTTCCACCGCCGACTACACCCCCGCCATCTCCGGCGCCATGTGCCTCCAATACCCCCTCTCCCGCGGCAGCGTGCACATCAAAACCTCCAACCCCGAAGACCACCCGACCATCGACCCGGCCTTCCTCAAACACCCCGCCGACGTCGACGTCCTCGCCGCCGGCCTCAAAATGCTCGGCGCGGTCGAAAAGTCCCCCCACCTCCGCGACAAAATCACGTCCCGCGTCTTCCCGCCGCCGGAGGCCGACATGTCCGACACGGAGCAGATGCGGCAGGCCGTGCGCGAGATTTGCATGTCCGAGTATCATGTCTGTGGGAGTGTGGCGATGGGCGAGGCGGTGGATAGCAAGTTGAAGGTTTATGGGACGCGGAATGTGAGGGTCGTGGATGCGAGTGTTTTTCCGAACCATGTCAGTGGGAATATTGTTAGTAGTGTTTATGCGGTGGCGGAGAAGGCGGCGGATATTATCAAGGAGGAGCATTTGTATGGGGCTTTGAGGGGGGTTAAAACTTAAGGGGGCTGCGTAGGGGGTGTGTGGAGGAGATTGATGGGGATTTTGATATATTTTGAGAAGTTTCGTATGCTTGATATCAATTGGCTTTTTAATGAAGAGTCTTGTATTAATCGAACCTACGGCGTTTGACGATGAATTATGGCTGAAGGCTTCTGAGAGGATCTTCATGTGATTGCCAAGACTTTTGGATGCATGGCCAGGAAAGTTGATCCTGTCTGGGAATCGAGACTGCTGAGAGTCCTAGTCTTTGTCTACCGGTGTTGTTCCGTCCACTCGAAAACAATAGCCATTCTCTCTGCCGAACAATCCGTCTTTGTCCCTGTTCTGGAATACAATCTCTTGTTCCCCCTACACAATCCTCTTTCATCTCAAGAGGTCGACATCACCACGTGCCAGTAACATTGGGGTTTGCTCTGCATTCACGTGCATGTGCCGTGGCGCACGGGACGGCGAGTTCTATATATGCGTCCAGCTTACTGAAAACCCACTCGCAGCCTTACCACTTCCCTCTTCTTTTCTTCTCCAAATTCGAATGACACATTGGCATGATCATGGACCGTAATACAGACAACGCCTCGCGGGCTCTAGAATTCAACTCGGATACAGTGGAGTACCCCGAGGTTGTGCAGCAGGGCTGGGGACAAAACCTGTATCATGCTGCCCACAGCGTCGATGATGGGGCTTGGAAAGGCTCTCAGCAGCATAATTTGACGAGCGCTGAGATGCAGGAGAAGGTGTCGGACGCAGCCGAGCAGCGTGAGAGAGGCCACCGCATTGCGCGAATGCCAGTCTGGGCTTTCTGGCTCTTGCTGGGTGCTTTGGGTTTGGTCGTCATCGGTGCCTCCGTGGGAGGTGCAGTGGGAGGCTCGGCGGCTGTGAGGAGTCACGACAGTAGCAATGATTTGAAGTATGTCCGCATGCGAGTCGCGCTGTTGGGTATCACTGACCTTCTACATTAAGCACTTCTGGTACATCATCCATCCCATCCGCCTCCTCCGCGAATCCCTCCTCATCCATAGGCTCTACCTCGTCCATTAGTTCTACCGCCCCATCTGCGTCTGCGACTGCATCCACGGATTGCCCCGGCGTCAACGGAACAGCATACACTCCAGCGGGGTTTTCGGGACCAATAAGCCCAGGCACTTACACGCAAGTCTGTGGTGGAAATGATACCAAGCCGCGATGGGTACAATCGAATGGACAGCTCACATCGGCATTCGTATCCTCGCTGAAGCCTTGCATCGACTTATGCAGCTATTGGAATCTCTTAGCCTCAGACCAGACCACGCTTTGCGCCGTGGCGGCTCTCATACCCGATGGCAGGCCGCCTTATAACTGCTGGATCAGAAACACCTGGAACAACTCGGACGACTTCGAGGATCGCTACTTGGCTCTTGGATTCTTGAATTCTTGAATCAGTGCTCGGGATGTTGAAATGGAATAAGACCTCTGAATGCCAGGAGCTGAATGCAGTGCTGCCGAAGAACCGAGTTGGCACTCTTCGACGTTCAACCGCAATTCACTTGTCTTGTCATTGCGGTCATTTGATGTCAGGAGATAGAAGGAATAACGTGCAGGTGAGGATAAGTTACCCGGGTCTTGCATATCGGGATCTTGCTTGACATGAATCAATCGCAATTACCATCATTCCAATCACATGTATGATCTCATGTCGTAATGCAAATACAGCTGCGCCTCAGCCTGACGTTGTACACTGTATCTCTCCCTCAACATTCTCCAAACATCATCGGACCGCCCACGCAGCACTTGGTGTCGTAGATACCGTCCCGAGAGACGGAGAGGAACCAATATAAGGGTGCAAGGTAGTTCTCGCACCTTGTGTCGCGACGTCGTCAAGGTGATGGCCATGAGATGGAAAGGCTCGCTGTCTTGGCGGACTTGCTCATCGGATCTACACCTTTCTCCTTCGCCAAGTGGTAACAGTTTCGTAGCATTCGTCGTGATTTCGATTCCCCAGGGCGTGGCTCTAGTTGGGCTTTTCCTGTAGTTATTATTGTGCTTTCTTTTCTCGTCTCCATCGTCGTCAATCAGATCTTCCATGGGTTGCATGTCAGTACAATCTTTGAAGAACGCCGGCAGTAGTGCCAAAACTTCGCCACTGTTAGGAAGCGTCGAATTCCACGCAAACAGTGATTCGTCCGCGTCCTTTTGCAAGATCTCGAGTTGCAGTCTCCGAAATGCGTTCTCACCCTCTCCATACAGGAGGGGCATATTGATGTCAAACAACCCAAGCATGCAATAGGCCATGTCCTCGACACGGGTCGTTTCTCTACAGCTAGCCCACGACATCTTCTGCGCTGCAGTGTAGACCCGCGGCCGGCACTGCCCGCTCAAAATGTCCTCAGGAATACGGGTGCATTGTGCTATGGTTTCCCGAGCGCTGTGCTTCGAGCTGATGTACTTCCAGTTGCAATCGTAGAAGAATACCGGGGACGCAGCGACGAGTTCCTGCAATGTCCAGCCGCGACGCCACCATTCACTGCGTAACCAGTCGTTCTCCCCGCATGATGCGTCTTTAAGGTAGACGTAGCAGGTGGACGCATTTTTGTAGTAGCGGTACATGGAGTTGATGGCCTCAGAGATCTCGGCGCTGGATCGTTTATCGATGCAGCATGTGTCGACCCACGCCCAATCGATATCATGTTCCTGCAGTAATTTGCAGAAGTTCTCAATCTTCATGTACCCTTTCGTGTCTTGGCCACGGCTTTTCCGGAATTCTTTAAAGGAAACCTCTTGTTCGACAGATTCCCAGCGATGTGAAAGGATGCCATAAGGAGGTGTGGTCTCTGGAAGAAATTCATGTAATGCGAGCGTGGTGGTATTGATGAGCCACATGATAAAGGCGTACTGGTGTCACATCACCATCCGAACGCAGCTGCGTCTATAGCTCTCGTGAGCATTGGTGGTTGAGCATCGCGGAATGACTGAGACTGAGATTGAGACTTCGGTAACAGAAAGAAGTGATTCGGAGGGCGGCCTCAAGTCGTTCAAGTTGCGCTATAGCCACAGTGTGAGCCACATCAGTCGTATCTCACGATTCCCAGCCACACTGGCTTTGCTGTCCCGTGATGCAGTGCGTCGATGTATGCACGGGGAGACGGTAGATCATGATCGTGTTTGCAGGATCCGCTCTTTGGATAATTCGAAAGGTTCATGGTACATGTAGGTCAACCTCAGAAGGGAAGGAAGTGAAGTCAAGTTCTAACCAAGCTCCCATCAAATTGTAGTTAAGGCCACCGCCAACTCTAAACGTGCTAGCCCCAAACTTTAAAGCTTAACCCTGCGGCAGAAACGCGAGCAGCTTTGAGATTTTGGAAACGCGACTGAGAGTTGAACAAACACTCCCGCACATACAGTACAAGATGGTAAGAGAAGCCATGCAAAGCTCAAGGAAATCTGCTGACATGCTCAGTCGCAAATCTTCGAAGACGGATCGACCGAAGAGAGAGGCGAGAATGCACGTCTTAGGCAAGTCTCGTGAGCAGGCAACTTTTGTGGACGGTATGATTGACGATGGAACAGTGCCTTTGTCGGCGCTATTGCGATTGGCGATCTCGTAAAATCGACCCTGGGACCCAAGGGTCAGGACAAGGTACGTGAGAAAGTGATAGTGTCGACACAGTCTCTGACATTGCTGTTCGACAGATTCTCCAAAGCGGTTCGACCGGCGAGATCATGGTGACGAACGACGGCGCAACGATCCTCAAAAGCGTAGCTCTCGACAACGCAGCAGCGAAGGTTCTGGTGAACATCTCAAAAGTACAAGATGATGAAGTAGGAGACGGAACGACGAGTGTCGCAGTCCTTGCAGCAGAACTTTTGCGCGAGGCGGAGCAGCTGGTAAATCAGAAGATCCACCCACAGACGATCATCGAGGGCTTCCGGATAGCAAGCGCAGCGGCTCTGAAAGCATTAGAAGAGACGGCGACGGATCACAGCGCGAACCCAGATGCGTTCAGGAAAGATCTGATCTCTATTGCGAGGACAACGCTCAGCTCCAAGGTCCTGAGCCAGGACCGAGACCACTTCTCGACGCTTGCGACCGACGCCGTGCTGCGTATGAAGGGATCCACGGACCTCACTCACATTCAGATCATCAAGAAGGCGGGCGGTAAGCTTTCCGATTCATACCTCGACCCTGGATTCATTCTGGACAAAAAGTTTGGCGTCAACCAACCTAAGCGAGTGGAAAATGCGAAAATCCTGGTTGCCAACACATCGATGGATACCGACAAGGTCAAGATCTTTGGTGCGAGAGTGAAGGTTGAGAGCACGGGCAAGTTGGCTGAGCTGGAGAAGGCTGAGAGGGAGAAGATGAAGTCAAAGGTGGAGAAGATTAAGGCGCATGGTATCAACTGCTTCGTCAACAGGCAGTTGATCTACAACTGGCCCGAGCAACTCTTCTCCGACGCGGGCATTGCTTCGATCGAGCACGCCGACTTCGATGGTGTGGAGAGACTGGCGCTTGTCACTGGCGCTGAAATTACCAGCACATTCGACCATCCAGAGCACGTCAAGCTTGGCCACTGCGATCTGATCGAGGAAGTCATCATCGGCGAGGACAATCTCATCCGCTTCTCAGGGGTAGCAGCTGGACGTGCATGCACCATCGTGCTGCGAGGATCGTCAGAGCAGCTTCTCGACGAGGCCGAGCGCAGTCTACACGACGCACTTGCTGTCCTCTCACAGACTGTCAAGTCACCGAAGACGACACTAGGAGGCGGTTGTGCGGAGATGGTCATGGCAAAGGCTGTCGACCAGGCAGCCCAGAACGTCGCAGGAAAGAAGGCGCTGGCTGTGGATAGCTTCGCCAAGGCACTTCGACAACTGCCCACCATTCTCGCCGACAACGCAGGTCTTGATTCGGCAGACCTCGTAGCCAGATTACGAAAGGCTGTCTATTCTGGCATGTCATCGAGCGGTCTGGATCTGATGCGACCGGGTGGTGGCATTGCAGACATGCGCGAGCTGGGAGTGATTGAGAGCTACAAGTTGAAGCGTGCGGTGGTATCGAGTGCTAGCGAAGCCGCTGAGCTTCTGCTAAGAGTCGACAACATCATTCGCGCGGCGCCACGAAAGCGGGAGCGGATGTAAAGCGTCTGTAACACGTTCTTGCATGGCGAGGAGTCGGAAGGAAGAGGATACGGCGCCTTGGTAGATACAGATACCTGCTCGACTACTGTGCATGATGTATGAATGAAAAGTATTCAAGTCTGTATCCTACCTCTTCTCACATGAACACGTGAAGTCTTGACGCTCTCGCACGGGCCTCCCATATCCCAAACTTTGGAGCTGCACGTCAAGCTTTAAGACTGCATCCACGATTGATCTCTTCCATCTCCAACGGTTACACATCACGCTCGCTATCACCATGTCCGCCCTACTACGAAACCTCCGCCTCAGACCTCTACCCGCAACGACCCTCCGCCGCTACTCCACGCAACAACAACAACCACCGACCTACCAACCTCCCTCCCCAACAACATCCGCCGCAACAACGATTCCCCCTCCCCCTCCTCCCTCCGAAAACACCTCATCAGAAAATAGTCGCCAGCCAAACGCACACCGAGAATTCTATCGCTCCGGCTCGGGACGCGCAGTCGCGTGGAATTTCCTGGTGGCCATGGCGACGTTTCAGGTGCTGTACTTGGGGTGGTTGAAGTTGGAGAGCATGGAGGTGAAGAAGATCAAGAGTGGGGAGGTGGAGGAGGTGGAGGCGCAGGCGAAGGAGTTGGTTGGGAGGAAATGAGGGTGTGATGGGGTATCGATGGGACCTGGAGAAGAGGGGAGATCTGGGATTGAGGGTGACTGAAGGCGCTGTGTATGGGGGAAGCCTCCTCGAGAGGCTTGAGACACAAAATAGCCCCAGCAAGACTTTCCAAGCTTGATCGGGTTTACCTGCTCTGGGGCAACAATAAAGATGGCTCAGATCACCGCTGGGCAAGCCAAAAGCTTCGAGATGCAAGGTGCCAATACCACACCAGCACCAGGATGCGACCGTCATTACCGGTGTAGCAAAACAAAAGAGCAGATTGTATCGTTTGCAGAAAGTCAACCCATGGTCGGAAAGGACTGTGTCCCAGTGGCTTCATAGAACGGCCAAGGTCGATTCGCTTGCAAAAAGATGCGGCTCCACTGTGATTCGAACACAGGTCTCCTGGATGCAACCTCCGGCCGAAGCGAGAGGAGCAATACAATCGGTATCATGAGACCGTCCCCCTGAGGGGCCGACCGGAACGCGCACAGAGGCAGCGCCCTTACCTCATATTTGCCAGACGTGCTATGCCACTGCACCACGGAGCCCTTTCGAGATGAGTGGTAGTGGTGCTTTGATCTGGTGTATCAAGAGTCATACGGAACAATGAGAGGCTGGGAATACGGCTGCCATTCCACATCAATATCGAAGGAGATCTGGAACTAGAACAACGATGAATGCAGGTGTCCGGCATATCGCATTCGACTCATCTCCAGCTTCCAGTATCTATGCTCATCCTAAGCTGGCCTAAACCCTCCGCCACGACCGGAATCTTCCATCAACTCAGCACGGAGACTGTGCAGTTCTGCCAACTGGCGTTGTTCACGATCATCATCATACACCACCTCCTTGGACTCCTCAAAATCGATTAATCTAACCCCAGAGTCTTTCCCGCCCACAAGAAAGTTGAAGCGATTAACATCCCCATGGATCAGGCCAAGTTCATGAAACTTCCTCAAAATGGCCTCGCAGTCCCGCAGATCTTCGATTGACGCACAAGTCCGTCCCTGCATCTTCTCCAGCAGGAAGCCCATGGTCCGACCATTCTCGTGGATGTGCCCTAGGAAGCGTGGCGCCAGGTCCTCCGCTTTCCTTTGGTTTAGGATCTGGTAGATTCTGGTTTCGCGCTCGATGCGTGGGATTTCCCATTCGAAGTGGGCGATTTTGGCGATGGCTTCTACTTGTACACGAAGGGAGGATGATGCGGTGGTGTCTAGTGTACGCAACGGGCCTGGAAGGAGTGTTTCAAAAGTCGCAGTGGAAAGTTGTTTCGTCCTTTGGAGGGTCAAGACATCGAAGGAATTGTTGTGCCAGACATTCTCGACGCCTGCTAGCTTCCTGCCAGACAGCTGGGCCTTGAGCTCGCGAGATTGACTGTCACGAGAGATATTGGCGACTGTCCAAGAGGTATCGTTGTACGGTAGTACCGGTATATGGTTCAGAGGCAATGAGAGGTGGTCTGTATGTAGAGCGCCCGGCTCGACGATGATGTATTTGACGTTGCCTTCAGACTCGATGCGGTATTCGCTCTCGGTCTCATTCTCTGGATCTACTTCCATGGACAGGATGCGAGGCATGGCGAGATGTGGACATTCTATCAGTCAGAAAAGTAAGATGATATTCTCCTCGTGTTTCTGCGAAGGGCGAGGTTGAGAGCTGCAAGCATATCGCGAAGTCACGTGAATTTATGACACTATGCCGGAATATGTGTTCGCATTATGACCAAAAGACAACTCTGACTATTCACACATGATTAGACATTGGCGAGATGTCTGATCTAGAAGCGGAGAAATGCTTGTAACTCGAAGAGTAGAGTGAATGATTCATCACGTGGTGAACGCCAAGCACTCTACGCGTGACGCGAGGTGGGAACGCCCGACGCGCGAAACTCTCAAAGAAGCCGCGACTCGACTCGACCGCAGCTTCTTCTTCCACAACCCACATCCCACTCACACCTTCCACGCCATTCGCATTTGCAGCGTTCGTGCTTTCCTGTTCTCTGTTTTGACTTCCGAATAGAGCAATCATGCCTTCTGTACTGGGCAAAAGAACTCGCAGCGCCGCCGCTGCAGCAGGTACGAACCTGTCGCCAGCAGGACTGACGAGCAGGACTGATACCTCGACCGCAGAGAACACGAGCATTGCGACTCGCGCAAAGCGGAGAATCACAGTTAATGAGCCGAATGACGAGAATGAGAACCCGTTCATCACCGCCCGCAAAGATGCAGACGACAAGGACGAGCTGGACCTCGAGCCTCCGGCCAAGAAGACGCGTTCCTCGGGGAGGACAACAGCACCTGCTAAGCACGGCGCCGCGGAATCTCGTGTGGACGTGTCGCCTGCCAAAGTAGCGTCCCACTTCAGAGTGTCCAAGAGTGCGATTGGCGTGTATCAAGATGGAGGAAAGAAGGATGGGAGTGCGGCGACGCCTCAGACGCCGAGACATCGCGATGCGTTGTCGAAGAAGGTGCCGATCACTCCCAGACATCGAGTGCTTGTTGCGGGCAGTCGTGCCACGCCGAAGACGCCAAAAACTCCTGCTACGCCGTCGAATGCGGGGACTGCGGTTTACAATCAGGCGAGGCAGTTGTTTTCGCGGTCTTCGAATCCTGGAAGGCTGATCGGACGGGAGAACGAACGAGCTGAGCTGTCGACGTTTATCCAGAGTGCGATCGAGTCGAAATCGACAGGATGTCTCTACGTGTCGGGACCGCCTGGGACGGGGAAGAGTGCGCTGTTGGATGAGGTGATCCAAGAACATACACAAGACGGGAGTGTACCGATATCAGTGGTCAACTGCATGAGCGTGCGGAATCCGAAAGACCTGAGCCAGAAGCTGTCGGAAGACTTGGGGTTGAAGGAGGATGCAAGGTTTGACTACCTGAAGTCATGCTTCATCCGCGGCAAGGCGAAGGACAGCCAGAAGTATCTGGTGGTGTTGGATGAGGTGGACCGACTCGTCGATCTGGACCTCTCCCTCCTCTACAGCCTCTTCGAATGGTCGATGCAAAACACCTCCCGATTGATCTTGATCGGCATCGCCAACGCTCTCGACTTGACGGATCGGTTCCTACCAAGACTCAAGTCCCGCAACTTGAAGCCTGAGCTTTTGCCATTCATGCCATACAGCGCTGGGCAGATCGCAGAGGTCGTCACCTCGAAGCTCAAGAGCCTTGCACCGGCAGACTCACAGATCGTGCCCTTTCTGCACCCAGCAGCAATCCAATTCTGCGCCAAGAAAGTCGCTGCACAGACGGGCGACCTACGCAAGGCCTTCGACATCTGCAAGCGAGCAGTCGATCTGGTCGAGCGAGAGACACGGGAGAAAGATGCGAAAGCATCTCTGGAGAACAGTCCCTCGAAGACCCCTCTTATGGAGAACATTAACCTCTCCTCCCCTCCCACCGCATGCCTCGACCACCGCCGACCAATCTACACCCTCTCCACAGCCCCCAAAGCCACCATCGCCCACATGGCCAAAGTCACCGCGCAAGTGCTCAGCAACGGCGCCACCCAACGTCTCTCGGGCTTGAATCTCCAGCAAAAAGCCGTCCTCTGCGCCCTCGCCGCCTTGGAGAAACGCAAACGCGACTCGGCCGTCGAACGGGCCATGTTCGCCACTCCATCGAAATCCAATAACACCACCGCCGCATCCATCAAACAGCTCTTCGAAACGTACAGCGCCCTCTGCAAACGCGAGAATCTCTTCCACCCCCTCTCAAGCGTAGAGTTTCGAGACGTGGTCTCCGGGTTGGAGACGCTGAGTCTGGTTTCTGCTGTGGATGGGAACGGGAAGAATGGGAGTTTCGCAATGCCTGGTACGCCTTCGAGTGGTCGGAAGGGGAAGGGTAGGTTTGGAGGTGTGGCGGTGGGAGATGAGAGGCGGGTGGCGAGTAGTGTGGGCATGAAGGAGCTGGGTGCGGTGTTGGAGGGGCCTGGGGGGGAGTTGTTGAGGGAGATTTTGGAGGGGGAGGGGTTGTGAGTTTACAGTGGCTGGTGGTGGTGGTGATGGTGGTTTCTGTTGCATGGCGATTGTGTGCTTTGTTTTATGGCATGGCGAGTGTGGGACTTGGATACTGCTGTTTAGCGAGGAGTTTCCATGATGAGCAGGTGGATGGTTCCTTTTGCGTGTGCGGCATGAGCAGACAGTGCTCGTGAGAGGGATAAAAGATAAACGAATGAAATCCACGTCGCTCATTCAAAACATTACCTTCCCAACCTTCAATACAATTATCATAATATGCGCCTTCTCCTGCTTGAGAGAGACTCTAAATGATAGACGTGCAACGAACTCCCCGCCTGGAGTACCAAATGTAGGGTCATCTATCTCAACCCATGCATGTCAAGGTCGGTGTCCCATGCTGGGTTCGTATGGTAATGAAGGATTGAGCGTGACGTGGCTTTGGCTGTTCCTCGTATAGAATAGTTCATGGCCGGAGATATAGATATAGATATAAGACGATGGGGCAGAATAAGAGAAAGTAAGCGCCGTTTGATGAACAATTTAGGTTGGGATGATTCGTTTCTCTGTTTCTTTTCATTTACATATTTCTCCAAAACGAACGTATCGATCAAATTCAAAGCCATCGGGATTGCCGGGCAGTAACAGAGAGGAGGGAGGTGGTCAGGTATGGTATCATTTCATATTCCCCAGTCTCCACACATACAAAAGATTCTTTCCCATCTCACATCCGTCCGTCTGTCAGACTATTCATTCATGTCACAGATGCACATATCGTTCTGTATTCCCCAGATCCTGTTCAATCCCTAACCCCAGAAAAACCCTAAGGACCCTGACCCTGAAACACCCATCGCTTCGCTGGAATGCAAGATAACAAACAAACACAACCTCTCGCCTCTCCTCACCCATCTACCGAGGGAATCTCCTCTCAATATCCGCACTCGGCGAAAGAGGTCCTTCGTACGCCCCGGGAATCGGCACAGCATCGTAGACCTGCTCGCCAGGCGCAACGGCGGAGAAATGTTCTTGCTGCGTTTCCCGCGGTGGCTCGGCCATGAGGGGGGAGTGCTGGTCTTCGTTTATCTCCGGCGGTGAAGGGGGCATGGTGGCGACGGGCGTGAAGCCTAGCTGCTGCATTTTGGGGGTCGCGTTCGTCACGCGGATGGGCGGGGCTTGGAGTTTGAAGGGCTGTGGTGGGGCGGCTTTGCGGTCGGCGTCGATGTACTGCACTTCGCCTTCCTCGACGGCCGCGGCGTGTTTGTAGTAGTCGGCTCCTGGCTGGGGCTTCCAGCCGCCGTCGCGGGGGCTGAAAGGCGCCGGGGTGTTTGGTGCGGATTGGGAGCGGAGTTGGGCGAGGTAGAGATCTGAGCGGGCGCGATCCCTCGCGGCCATGGATTTGCGGAGCTTGCGTTTGGACCAGATGCGGTAGAAGACGATGGCGTAGACGGAGATGGTGAGGACCTCGACGACGATTTCGATCAGGGCGCAGACGAGGGACCAGTTTTGCAGGCGGCAGACGAGTTCGTACTTGACGTCGCGCTGGAAGAGTTCTTTGCGTTCGTTGTTGACGCACGACCAGCCCCACATGTCCTTGTTGTTGGAGTTGTTTTTGGAGGTTTGCAGGACGGCGGCGCCGACGGCCCACATGACGATGCTGAAGATGAAGAAGGCGACGGAGAAGGCGGTGTAGTAGACGGCGGCCTTTTCTGCTCGTCGGTGACCACCTCGCCAGTAGCCGTAGAAGACGCAGATGCAGGCGAAGAGCGAGATGCTGGCGATGCTGAGGAGGAGGATTTGAGGCCAGGTCTTTTGTCCTACTGCCCATGGTGGGAGGTTGTTTCGGGGAGGAAGTGCTTTTGTTGCGTTGAAGATGGCGAATGTGGAGGTCAACATGGCGATGACGATTAACGAGCAGGAGAAGTTGACGCCTCGGAGGAAGAACTTGGCTATCCGTACGCGAGTCTTGACTTTCTGTGGAGGAGGTCAGTAAGTAAAGTTAACCATGTTGATTAGAGTGATGCTGACCAGATCTTTAGCTTGCTCCTTTTCGGTGTACGCTTCGTGCTTCTCGAGCACATCCTCTTGTCGAAACGTCGGACTGAGAATGGCATTCAGATCCCTCGGCGGCGCACCAGGAGTCTTCATGGCACTCTTCAGCGGACTCTTCGGTATCGACTTGGCGGTAAGTGGAGGGTTGTAGTCGGTGTCGGGCATTTCGACCGATTCATGTTTGTTGACATAGCCGAAGCCGACGTCTGATACCTGTGGTTGGGCCATGTAGTGCTGGGTGGGAGGCTCCTTGAATGGGTTCCGTGCGACCTGCGAAGGCTCGATGGGAGAGTTGACGGCCGTCGCCTCAGCGAAGCGTGCGGTGCGCGGCGACTTCAACGACGGCGGCTTGACGGAGAGAGTGGAAGAAGAAGTGTCCTCGGAAGGCGACCGCGCCCGCACGGCAACCTGGACGTCTTTGGTTGGCTTGGTCTGACTGTCAGACATGCTGTCAGAGGCGAGCTACCGGGGTGGAGAGGGTAGTGAGGCCAAGCGGGCTGGGGCTGAGATGATGTTGAGAAGGAAAACAACAACAACAAGAGGCCAGCTCGAGGGTTTGGAATTAAAGAACGATTGGGATGTAAGATGTTCGTCGAGGCCAGCTGGGGAGAGGAAAGAGAAGAAGCGGTGGTGCGATGGTGGGGGAGGTCTTGGGTATAGTGGTGGTCGGCGCTTCGCACGGACAGCCGCAGTAGCAGCAGTAGGCCACCAGACTGCCGGGCGCCTGCGGGAGATGTTTTCGTGGATTGGATGCTGGGACGACGACGCTGGAGATTGGGAGAGCAGAGAGTGGTGAAGACGGGCGGGTAACTACTCACCTCCACCAAATACTCCCGCGTGGCTCGCAAGAGGTGGATTGAGGGCCTGAGCAAGCTGATAGGCCGGGTGAAAAATAGACGCTGGGAGCTGGAGAGGTGTGGACGGCGTGCAGCTGCAGCTCAAGGATCCCGTTCGTGCGCTTTTGCCCCGTTGGGCATGCTGTATAGTGATCTTTGGCGTGGCCACGAAGAAGACGACAACGAAGAGATGTGAAATGGAAGATGTTCTTGCGGTAGCAGGAGAAGAAGGTGGATGTCTGATCTCAACGGCGAAGAGGCATGGCCTGCTCGGGTCCGACACATTGTCTGTATGCTACGCGCCGGGCAGAGTTGCCAGCCCAGTGGGAGGGGGGATGATTGGAGCTGGGCGAGTCGCGAATGCACCGACCCTGCAGCCCTTCACGCTTCGGCAAAGAGCGGGCCACACCTAGTTTTGTGTCGCACGTCCAATCAGAGCTCGTATCGGGCTTAGACTTTCGTAGCGGCGCTTAAAACAGACTTCACTCTTTCGCGACCGCTCCTCTTCACGTGTTCAATCACATTCTATTCTATTTCATCCAAAAACAGGTTCATCAACAGCGTCTACGTATATACCTCCTGCTTGGTCAACATCCCCAAAAGCGTTATGATCCTGCCATCGTGGAACCCGCGCTAAATGCTGACGACCATCCTTCAGCTCAAAATTCAGCCTCAAGGCGCCCAGCATTCTACCCTAATAGGTCGGCACAGGGTCTAGGCCCATCACAAATCATACCCCATCTTGTGCACCGGAGTCACGCCCGTCGTCACCTCGCTGTCGTACAAGTTGGTCGATCATGTATTTATATGCGTTCGTCACCTCAGCGCGCGGTTACGATTGCCACATGGCGGGGGACGGTCGCACAGGGAGGTGTCCTTCGAGGCGACCTGCTCTGTTCTGACTACATGCCGGCGACCCTCGTTGTGATCGACGTTAGAGCTCTTTGATTGTTGACTGACGGGTCGTACCAACAATTTCTCTTACTAGCCTTTTCTTGTACACGACCAGCACAATCAGCACTGCCTCAGTCAGACCTCGTCATGACCCAAGCATAACATCGGATCTCCTCGCAACTTACCTGTTCTTGAAGGAGCCAAACTACCACATGAAACACCAAGCATACGGCCACCGAGGATGACAGCAACAACTCAGGCCTTATCAACAAACACGGAAAACCCGTCCATGACGACCAACTCTCAACACGTGGAATCTCTCAAACTCAAGCTTCCTTGCAGTTTTATCTCTAATCCTGTCTATCAACCCCAGCCAACCCCTCCCGACTGCGATGATATTCCTGCAACACCTGATCATAGAATCCATAATACTGACCAAGCCACCACAAAATTAGCCCATCATCTTCTTTCACACCCCTTCCAACCCAAGAGAAAGACAACTCACCATTGTATTCCTCACATTCCCATCCTGCTCTGGCGAAACCAATCCCCCCAGCTGCGGCGACTCAGGCCCACCCCAACTCAAACTCCTCTTCCTCGGAATCGTCTTGGGAACAAGAAACTTCTCATCCTTGACCGGCGGCTGCGGCGAAGCAGGAGACGCCGGAATCGAAAGCTGCGTGATCAAAGCCGGCGTGCCGGACCTCCTCGCCGTAGGCGCATAGAGGAGGCTATCCCTCACATGCTCGAACTTCCCACCCTCTTCAGGAGGCGACATTGGCGAGTCGCTCAGCACGCCTGCAGATTCTTCTATCATCGACGCCGGGCTGTCGTTCAGTTCGACGCGAGGTCGATCACCCACCGCTGTAGGCGCAGGCGAGACATCCCTCGATCGCTGGAAGAGCGTCGTCGGCGCCGCGTGGGGGTCGTCGTCGTCGCCGAAGGCGAAGGGGTTCCCCGGGTCGGAGTAGATCGTGCGGCGGATTCGGCGGATGCGGCGGACGCGGGCGATTTTCCTGTAGTTTCATCAATGATAAGGTAAGTGGCATTTTCCTCTCTCTCTCTTTGTGTGGGTCTTTGGATATACGTACATATACTCTTCCTCGTTGACTTCTCTCGGAACAGACGGGGAGGAGGGACGGGTGCTGTCGTTGGAGGAGTAGGTTGAATCTTCTTCTCCGTCGGGAATGTGGGAGGAGGATTCCCAGAATTCTGGGAGGGGTCAGTCAGTCTCGATGACGACTTCTGCTTTTGAACAGAGAAGGTAGGAGATGTGTTGGTGATTGGAGATTTACAATGGAAGAGAAGAGAAGAAGCGGGTCTTGGTGAGTACTTACAGTGAGTCGTTCCTATGTTGTTTGGTTTTCTTACCTCTGATCATATCAAAGTCAGGAGAGGAAGAAAAACAAGAAGAACGAAAGAGAAAGCACAAAAGACCGCGAAGAAATGCTTAAAAAGCAAAAGCCGCAAGATAACAATCAAAAAAGAACTCCACGAAAAGAGCACGAAGCGAGGACGAGATCAACTCAACTCACCATCAACCCTCCTTCCCCAACATCCCCCACAAAGCCCCTTCGTCAACGCCCCCTTCCCGGTGACCTCCCTTCCACACCGCCCACAACTCTCCAACTCCCCCTCTGGCGCACAGTCAGCGAAACTCAACCCCGAATCCTCACTGCCCCGCCGCTTCTTCGCCCAGTCGGTTAATTTCGAGACCGCGATGGCTGTGCGCTCGATGGGGTCGGGTCGTGGGTGGTCTTGTCGAGGTGGTGGTGGTGTGTGGGTAGAGTAAAGTGGCGGTAGTGCATTCCGTCGAGCTTCGCGCTCCCTCCGTCTCGCCTCCCTGTCCGCTCGAGACTGCGCTCGGACAGCCTCCCAGTCCTCTCTTTGCTGGCGCGCAGTAGCGACACTCTCCCTCTCAATCCTCGCTTTCTCATCCACCATCCAGCGTCGCCGATCATGTGAGTTCAAGCTGACAATATCCTTTCCGCGCGACAACTCCGTCGTAACTCGCGTGAAAGCGTCCTTAATCGACGAGGCTGACGCACCAGAACCCCGACGGCCGCGGGAACGTTTTTGCTTATGCTCGGGTGTGGGGGGTGGAGAAGCGGAATCAGAACTGAACATACCTTTCACACTGCTTTTCCTGCCCCAAGAGAACGTTTTGCTGAAGCCCGAACGCATCGAAGACGAAGAGGAGCCCGGTCTTGACGACGAAGAGCCTCTCCGCTCCGAACGCGGCGTCCGAGGCCTCTCGGCATCCAAATCCCCTTCCCCATCACCACCAATCCGTGGACGTGGATGCCGCACGACAAAATCCTCCACTACATTCCCCTCCTCGAACCTCCCCTCCGCATTGCGGACGATCCGCCTCACGACGTCGGGGGTCTGGGGTCGGTTGATGGGGGAGGGTGGGGCGGGGGAGTATGTTCGCGGTGGACGGGTGGTGTTGAGGGTTGGGGTCGAAGGACGAGAATCGGGGCGGAGCTGAGGACGGCCTCGAGGGGGTTGGATTTCGAGGGTTCCGAGGTGTTTGGTGGCCATTTCTAGGCCGGCGGATTGGCGGGAGGGGGGAGGGGGCATTTGGCGGGTTGCTTGTGTTGGGTTCTGGGGAGGGGGGAGGGGTGGCAGGGGTTTGTTGTCTTTTCTTGATGATGGAGGTTGGGGTTGTTTGGTCCGTCTAGGGGAAATATCGGCTTGAAGTTTCTGGCGGTGATGGTTGAGTTGTTGGGTGTGGGAGTCGGTCATGTCGTAATGAGTAGAGGGATGATTGGAAGCCATACTGCAGTAAAGTTCAAGTTATTCTTGTTGTTGTTGATGTTGATGTTGAGGTGGTCGTGTGTGTGTTTCGATTTCCGTCGGTGAAGACCTGCTTGCACCGGAAACGTATGTGTAGCTTTGCTTTTGGACAAAGAGAGGTTCGGTTGTGTGAGTTGGTTGATAGAGGGGGAAAGAAGAGAGAGGCAACAATGTGTTTATATCGAGCTTGTTTTGAGAGAGACAACGACAGGGTCTTAGACAAAGCATCGGACAAAGAGGCATTGTGTTGAGGGGGTTCTTTGAGGCGAGCATTGTCTGAGTCGGAGACGTGAGAGAACAAGTCACTGGAAAGGGGGACAAGTCTTGATCTTTTTTGAACAATGTTATTGAGCTGCAGCTATTGCTATACTGAAAGAAACGCAAACACCTCCTTACACTGACTAACGCCATCGCCGGGTAGATGCATTGAACAAAGAAGGAAAAAACAAGCTCAGGATTAGAAACCTCTTTTTCCTTTTCGCAAGATCAGTCGAGGGCCGTGTGCCTGAGACAAGGTGTTAGCCAAGACCAATTGAGAAGTAAGATTGGGTAAGACGAATTGGCATACCTCGTACATTATGCATTAAATAAACATCATAAAAACCCCCTGTGCTTCCTCTCTCTATAGAGCGAATGCGAATCCACCGACGATGAATGAAAGAACGATCGAAGTGATGAAGCCCAGCTGGCTCGTCGATGCCATGCCCTCGTATGGCGGTGGCGTGATGTTGCTGGTGTTGCCGGTCGGGTAGCTGTCTCCTGGGCCTCCGGCACCGCCAGTGGCTTTGGCGCGGCACTCTGGGCCGGGGCACTGTGGTGCGGCGGCGGATGTTGTTGGGTATGGTGGCGTGGAGCCGCCGCCGGAGCCGCCAGATGGGACTGGTGGCTTGTTGCCGCCGGACGAGGCTGGGTTGGAGCCTGAGCCTCCTGATGGTGGGTTGGAGCCTGAGCCTCCTGAAGGTGGGTTTGATCCGGAACCGCCCGATGGTGGGTTGGAACCAGAGCCGCCAGATGGAGGGTTCGATCCAGAACCACCTGATGGTGGGTTAGAGCCAGAGCCGCCTGATGGAGGTGGAGTAGAGCCGCTGCCAGAACCGCCACAAGACGTGCCATCGCAACCCTCGTCTGGGTTGGACCAAGAGCCAGTTGGTGCTGGACCGCTGCCGGAACCACCGCCTGGAGCTGGGTTTTGCACCTGGCCATCGGGAATCTGCTGGATTGGTGGTTTGCCGCCTTCAGAGGTAGGCTTGGGTGAAGCTGGAATGCCGCTGGTCGCGTCGCAGTCGCATGGCTCGGTAATGGTGACTGGCACTGGAGTCTTGTCGCAGACGGTGCACTCCTTGACGGTGACGGTGAAGCCGTTGGGAATATGGCTTGGGCCTGGAGTCCAGGTTGGCGTTGGCTCTTCGCAGCTCTCGGTGACAGTGTATGTAACTGGCACGGTGCCAGTCTCGCATAATGAGAGGTAAGTGGTGGTGTAGGTGGTGGTGTGGCCTGGCCCCTTTGAGGTGGTGGGTGCTAGAGTTGGGCCACCGCTGCCGCCCCATTCGCATTCAGGGCAGTAGGTGATGGTCAGACCTTGCGTGACGGTGATGAGAGTCTCCAGCGACGCGCTCGGGCAGTCGTCAACGGTCATGGTCGTATATGAGACTGGTAGAGATTGCGAGCTTGTGGTTTGCGCAGCAGCACCGGCCACCAACGCCGCGGCGGTTGCTCCCCTTCGGACCTTCATTGCGAAGATGTGTATGAATTATTCGAATGTTTTTGGTGTTGTTTCGTTGCTCGATTACGAAGGTCGCACTGAACGAATGACTGCAAGTAAGCGAGTGTAAGTTGCAAAGAATTAAAGCTTGGGAAGATCGAACGAGTGAGGTCCTCCGCAAGCAGTGATTGTGAGCAATGAAAGACAAGAAAGGTTACGGCATCTGGAGTGTAACTACCTTATAGTGAGTACCTGTTCGCGGCGTTGTTGTGTTGATACTGCTTGCATTCCTGGCGCAGATTGCCGGGTTGGTCGAGGCCGCATTCCTCATGGCTCGGTAACAAACAGCCGAATCGGGCAGCTCCAAACTGCCGTCCAGACGGGTAGCGAAATGAGATGCCACTGTACACCGACTAAGCTGTGGCTGTTGAAGTGCAGCTCCCCTCATAGTCTTATTGAAGCTTGTGCCGTAGGTCCAAAAGCCGTTCAGTCGAGGAGGCACAATCGCTCGGACGGGATTCCACGCCGACCCCTTTGTCCTGGAAACTGGTTTTTAAACCGGTGGACACGACAGCGCTGTTTATGCGTACACGGCTTGATTGATGCTCCAAGGGCTGAAAGTCTCCATAGCCCATGGATGTAGCTTGTCCATGGGCAGGAGTCCAGGCGGCATTGACACACTATAATCGAGTATATGCATCCATTCGAATCTGATATCTGTCAATGAGTTCCAGACGACGAATGGGTACGGCACAAAATCATGAATCAGAGAAAGGGCGCAATCTTGCCGTGATCAGCCATCGTGCCTGTGAGTCCACGTGATAGAAGCCAGCCATGATAGGCTGAAATGAGCACGAGTCCAGCAGTGCGGAAGAGGTCAGTCGAGGCATACTGAGACGGCCGCATGCCACCCGAGATGATGTTTTCAACCAGAGCACACCGGAACGTGGACGTGTGGTCGAGGTCGCGTCCGAACTGAGACTAGCTTTGTCGCTAGACCCGCCAATCAGAGCGCTGTAGATCCGGTGAGAGTCGCGTTCATTCGACTTTGTTGTCTTGTTCTACAACCTCCATCCTCTACACAACATTGATCAAACCCCTAGACTATGGCACTATGAACAACCCCAGCTACCTCGCTTCTTCTCGGTGACCTGGCATATCAGATCTGCCCGTGCACGCCATGCTCCCGAGACTTTGCCACGATGCGGACCTACTGCGAACATAGGAGACTGGATTACCACGGAATCAAGGGGTCAAGCTGAGGCAAGAGCCCATACCGCTCGAAAGGGACTGGACCAAGTGGTGGAGGAACACACGGTCCATCGCTGGGCTCGTGTTCTGCCACCGCCAAAAGAATCGCAGCCCGACCGTCATCCTCTGACCTCTGACCTGGGGAAGACTTGTTCTTCTGAAGGTGGCTAGCATGCGCCTGAGGATGATTGAATCTTGCAAAATGATAGTCTGAAGGATGTGAAGTGGAAGACGGTATGTACGTTCTACTGATGACGCCTCACAGCCAACTTCACAAACATTTCTCACCTGTCATCTCAATCAACCCCCCTTGTCAACATATGCTTGCTATTGAAACTGTCGCTTGGTCAGCCTTGGGCCAAAAACCACTACCAGGCCAACTCACGCAGTAACGTCGATTTTGGATACTTTACCAACTCGCATCGCCCGAGCCATCCTCTCCTCCGCATCGTATCCGTACGTCCACCAACTCGTTACCGGATCACTCCACTGGTTCGAGCTCCAAGAGAACGGACGGCCTTCGACTTCAGCTCTCATTCCCTGGTCTCTTGCAATCTGCTCTGGGCCGTCCTCATAATGCCAGATGATACCATTAGCCCGACTCGCTTCTTGCATTGCAGTACTTCGCTCCATTCTCTCCGCTTCGAACGATTGCATTGCAGCAGGTATCTCACTCCGGTCAGCGGCATCGTTCAAAGCAACTGCAAGAGCGGCTCCATCTTCGACCGCCATTGCTGCTCCTTGCGACATGTCTTCAAAGTAGAAGACAGCACGTCAGCAAAATCGTAAAATGTGGAACGACTTGTTTTCTCTTCTGGTGTGTACGTACATGGCAACATGGCATGTGCTGCATCGCCAAGTATCAGCATTTTGGACAAAGGATGAATCCAGGTTCGGAGTCTTGCCCCTGTTTTGAGAGGCCATTTGAGGCATGAATCGATCATCGACGTCAACTTCACTAATCTTTGTAGATGTCAATCGAAGCCCTTCAATGGACGGATACATTTTTCAACTCACTGCGGATCCCAGGATGCGAAATGATTCTTCATGTCGGTGACAGCTGTGTCTTGCGTCCATGTTGCAGGATCCGACTGATCGGCATGGCAAAGTACCATGTTGAAGGCTTCTCCTCGAGATATTGTATACGCCATGACGTGGCTGCCATCTCCAATCCTGTCGGATCGATGTCAGCAAGACCTCCTCCAACCGTATGATTCCCTTACCAGATATGCAACGACGGCTTGTCCAGCAGCCAGCGAAGTGCTGGATCTGCCTTCATCTTCCTGACTTCGATTGTGGCTCTATAAGCTGCAAACTCTGTTCTCTTGGGCTCTGGGCCCATCTCTGGTAAGACTGCAGCACGGGCGTGCGAGTGAATGCCGTCAGCTCCAATAATGAGATCTCCAGCAATCCTGGAACCATTCGAAAGCTGCACGCTGGCATCCATCGCATCATAATTTGTTACCTTGCTGTCGAGACGGATCTCCACGCCAAGATTCACTGCGGTGGCTAGCAAAGACCTATGTAGGTCGGCTCTATGGCAGACCAGGTATGCTGCGCCAAAATCATGCTCCATGTCTCTGAGCTCCGTATACCCGACTGTTTCGCCATTGGACCACTTTCGAAACTTAATGCTTTCGGGGCAGACGGCGTGTGGGCCCAGATGCTCGAGAACTCCCCATCGCTGCAGAAGAAGGCATGAGTTTGGCGGGACTTGAATGCCTGCACCAACCTGAGAGACGTGTTAGTACATCTTGAAGAAGTGGACGATACGATCGCATACCTCGCCCAGCTGTGATGCTTGCTCGAGCACTTCGACTGAATGTCCACGCCTTGCCAGCGCGATTGCTGTAGCCAGCCCTCCCAGACCCGCGCCCACAACGACAATTCGAAGAGGAAGCTTCGCCTGCGCTACATGTTGCTGGGTAGCCTTCGAATCTTCCTTCAAGGTTTTCAAGAAGAGGAACGACTGGGAAGGATAGCCCACATCAAAGTGTGGGGAGAGATGATGAGAGACGGCCTGAGCCCGCTGGTTGACCACCCCTGCAGGCATTATTATGAGTACCTCCTAGCACGATCAATCAAGACCTGAGAATGTTGTTCTGTGAGCCAAAAACGCGGTCCAAAGCAACAAGAGCCTCGACGAAGTGCTGACGATGACTCTTCAACGCAGACAACCTGGAGCCAGTGACAATATGCCGCCAATACGGAGCGCTTCCCCGCCGCTCAAAGTCCGCAACTTCGACGGCAGTTACTGTGTCTCCTAGCAAACGATCCGTGTTCCTCGCATTGAACTGGGAGTGGATGTTGCGGCATGTTGGGGTCTCTCCGGCCGATGCCAGCGCTAACTCCTATCTCCCCGGCGCAGGGTTCTGGACGACCTAGCAGCTTTACTTCCAGGAACGAATGACATTGATCCTTCAACTGACTTCAAGAATTGACAGTCACGCAGTGCCACTCTCTGGACCATCATCAAACTACTATTCCGCTTGTCGACGATGTCTCCCACATGGCAACGCCTGATTCGCTTCGAGGCAACGGATGGTCGTGTGCTACGCGGCGAACCGATTCTGCCACAAGAAGACTTCGATCTTGGAACAGTCACTGAAGACACAAAGCTTCAAGCAAAGGTCATTGTGGGCAGCGACATATACGATGGGAGCGGTGAAAGCAAAGTCAGCGATGAGGTCGTGCAAGTAAAGCGACTTCTTGGACCATTGACTGCGGAAGACGTCGATATCCTTCGATGTGTTGGACTGAATTATGCAAAGCACAGTAAGTATTAAAGTCTATCTGTGAATGGCTCTTGCTGAATTTTGAGCAGTCAAGGAAGCAGGCCGAACACCGCCGCCTTACCCGTTCATCTTCTTCAAGCCAAACACATGCATAACAGACCACGACGTGGACGTGGTCATCCCAAAGATCGCGCAAGACGACCAGGCCGACTACGAAGGCGAACTCTGCATAGTCATCGGCGAAGACGCCAAAGACGTACCTGTCGAACGAGCACTCGACTACGTCGCAGCGTATACCTGTGGAAACGACATATCCTCGAGGAAGCTACAACGAGATCCGAAACTCGCAGGCAACGTACCACAGTGGGGATTTTCGAAAGGCTTCGATACATACGCTCCGTTGGGTCCATGCCTGATAAATGCTTCGCTGATCAAAGACCCGAAGAAGCTTTTGCTCAAGACGATTGTTGATGGCGAGACGAGGCAGGAAGAATACGTGGAGGATTTGTTGTTTGACTGTGCATATCTTATCTCTTATTTGAGTTCGGGGACCACGTTGAGGAAGGGTTCTGTCATTATGACTGGGACTCCTGGAGGTAAGTACTGCCTTGGAAGGATTAAAAAATGCCATGCATGCTGACGATTGTACAGGAGTTGGGGCAGGTCTCAAACCACCACGTTATCTTGTCCCTGGCACTGAGATGAAAGTGTCTATCAGCCAAGTTGGGACGCTTACAAATGGTGTTCGATTTGCATAGATCTAGAGCACAAAGATACTTGGATGATCGCGTCTACACTCCATTCCGTACGTCTATTCTCAGAACCCTCTCGATGCAGATGCAGTACAGCAACGGATCTCATGACGCCTCTTGTCGGAGAATGGTTCCGCAGCACTCAAGGGTCAAAAGCTCGATCAAGAGTGAAACAGGTACCATATCCCTTTCTTCTAACGAATCATCTGGAATATGTGCTGCTCAATGCCCCAATGCAATGCACAGATTCCAGCTCTGATAGTCACTTGTACTGTTGACCACCGAATACTGTCGTCGGCGATGAGAATTTATGCATGTGGAAGTTTTGCCCTCCACTCCTTGCCCTTGTACTGGAGTAGTATGGTAGGCAGAACACAAAAGAAAACGACAAAGCCTGCAATGAAGCCAGAGAGCCCGCCGAAACCGATCTCGGACAAAAGGGGTTGAAACCTGCAGACTGGTCAGAGAGCTCATCTTGTTCATTTGGAATTGATAACACTTACCAGAACGGCCCAGCAAACCCCCAAACCTGCCTCACAAACGTGATATACACGCCGACATCACCCGCCTGCTCTCTGAAGCAGTCGACAGCGTACGGAATCAGCAACGTCGTAACGAGCTGGTTCCCCACCGCCGAAATAGCAATCCCCACGAGAGGGGTGATATTCCAGCTATCACCCGCATTCATCGTCTGCACCAGAAAAACCGTCAACCCACAAATCGTCAACGCATACCCAAAATGACTCAACAAAAGCCTCCTCTCCGGCGCGGGCTGCTCTTTCCCCTGCGCGCGAGGTTTCGAGATGAACTGATCCGTCGCGAAGCGGCCTCCGAATTCCCCGATCAGAGCTCCGGCAATCACGGCGAGGTACTGGAGGCCGACTTCTTGCGTGTTGAGGTTGAAGCTGCGGATGAAGATGGAGGGCATTTCGACGTTGATGAGTATTTGCCAGAGGAAGATCATGGAGTAGGATACTGCCGGGATGGTGACGCAGGCGTGGAGGCCGAGATAGAGGGGTTTGATGAAGGCTGTTAGGGTGAGGGGGGTGGTGTCGATGCGTGGGAGGAGGCGGTTCTTGAGGGTTTTGGGGTCGGTTGGTGTTGGGGTTAGCTTTACTTCGCGAAGGTAGAGGGTTTCGGGGCCGAGGAAGAGGTAGAGGAGGAATTGGACTGCGTTGGTCTAGGCTTGTTAGTAGGTCAAAGGTTCGGCGTCGATTCTTCCGAGGACTTACTATTGCAAGCACGACGTATATCCATCGATAGCTGACTCTCTGCGCTAGAAAGCCAAAGATGAACGGCGCAACGGGTACACCAAGCGTGACCATCAACGTCCAGATGCCCAGATATCGTGGTCTATCCGAGCGGAAGTAAGTCTCGACGACCGTGGCACTGCCGACAGCACTCGCAGGACAGATGAACTAAATCCCACCAGCATCAGCATCCCAACCCGCGGCCCACCACACCCACAACAACTCACAAAAGCCATAATCGCCCGACAAAGCGCCATGGTCGCATACGAATAGCTGAACCGACACCCAATATTGGCAATACAGCTGCAAAACAACGAAAGCAGAAACACCGGGCGACGGCCCCAGCGATCCGCGAGGGGGATCCACAGCAGCGGCACCACGCCGATGATGCAGATGACGAGGGAGGTGAGATAGGTGGCTCTTTGCTCGCTGACGTCGAGGTCCATGGCGATGAGTTGGAAGGCACATTGGATGGAGGCGGCGCTGAAGGTCGACATCATGGCGTGGAAGGCGACGAGGGCGAGGTTGGTGTGCTTCTGTTTTTTTGGTGGGTTAGTGGGCGTATTGCGTTGTGTGTCGAGGTTGTTGTTGGCTTACCTTCCACGCTGGCCAGTTCAATGGGTCCTTGTCGTTCGGGTCGGGCAGGGGGTCGAGATCCACGGTGCCGTGTCGTTGGATCAAATACTCTCGATGCTCTGGCGTGAGGCTCTGAGTATCTGAAGAGGTATTTTCCTGAGCATTCTCAAGGTCGGCAGTAGTCTTCTCCGCACTCGAAGAGAAATCAGACCGCCGTTCACTCTCGATCCACTGGGAGTCGATCGCAGCCTTGTTCCTCCCCAAGGAAGCCATACTCCCCAAGGAAGCCATAATGAGAAATCACTTCAGACTGGCAACACTGGCAAGAGATTCGAGAACAGAATCCAAAATCCGGGGAAAGAGATCTTGTAATAGTCAGTTCGTTTGGGGAGAGAACAGTCGCCAGCGATCCACTGTAAGCCAAATGATTTGCATTTCCATCTTCAGCTTCTTGAATGAAGCTGAAAAACTTGGCCGGACATAGAGCATTCGGCGAGCCTCGCTGGAACACGTACCTCTACCCCACGAAACATGAACCCTTCCATGGAGTTTACTGAAGGATCAGTAGAATTTCTGTGCATCATCCTTCCCGCCTCACTCCGTCGTAAGCGACCGCGGAGTTAGGGAGCCCCTGAGTCTGACTTTCGGAGTCGGGTGCGGGTCGTTCCCAGTCTGAAGCCTGACTGACTGATCCGCAGTATGCGCTTCCGTCTTGCAGGGGAGGAATTGGGGCAGAGGGGACAATGGTAGGAGACAAAAGGAGCTGGATTGGAAGGCGGAGAAGTTCAAAGCAGACATCTCCAACACTACACTTAGCAAGATCTCATCACATACTTCCTCACCAACATGGCCACCTCCACAACCACCGTCGTCTCATCCGAGCACGGTACGAAAGAAGAACAAACCGCGCAACTCCTCCGCAATGCAGCCGAATTCAAAACCAAACCACTCTGGACCCAAATGACCAGACTGAATCCTCCCGCCCCAAACCCAACCTGCACGCCTCACATCTGGCGCTACGACGAGATCCGTCCGCACCTGCTGCGCGCCGGCGAGCTGGTCACAGAGAAGCAAGCGGAACGCAGAGTCCTGATGCTGATAAACCCAGCACGTGGTAAATATAATCAATCGATCCATCCGCGCCGGCACACAACTGCCGGTCCCTATGATCGTCCAAGCTAACACCAAATCCGCAATACGCAGATGCCCCCTACACGACCGACACGATCTACGCCGGGCTACAGCTCGTCATGCCCAACGAAACCGCCCCGGCGCACCGCCACACAGCCTTCGCGTGCCGCTTTATCATCGAAGGCCAAGGCGGTTTCACCGCCGTGCACGGCCGCCGCATCCACATGAAGCGCGGCGATCTGATCCTCACGCCGACGTGGAACTGGCACGACCACGGCAAGGACGGGTCCGGCCCCATGATCTGGCTGGATACGCTGGACTTGCCCAACTTTATGCATTTCCCAGTGCACTTTGTCGAGCATTTCAATCAGCCTAGGTATCCTGCTGAGGATGCGGATTCGGCGACGTCGCCGATTGTGTTTTCGTGGAAGGTGATGCGGGCGGCTTTGGATGCAGAAGAGGGGGATTGTGTTACGAGGAGGTATTTGAAGAAGGATGGTCGGGATAGTGAGTTGTTGCGCTTCGAGACCGAAAGGAGTCATTGCTAACGACATCCCCAGTCAGCCGCATCCTAGGAGCCAGCGCGACCCGACTCAAGACAGGTCTGTCCACTCCAGCCGTGCAAGAGACCGCCTCATTCATCGTCCACGTCGTCGAGGGCACTGGCCATTCCGTGATTGGCGGCGTGCGTCTCGACTGGAAGAAGGGCGATACGTTCTGCATTCCATCCTGGAACGAGTTCGTTCACACCGCTAATGATGGCGAGGATGTGTATTTGTACCATGTGGATGAGAAGCCCATGTTGAAGTCGCTGGGCTTTTATAGGAGTGCGGGTGAGGATACTGAGGGCATTGTTTCGGATTAGGTAGATTGAATGACAGCTCTCCTGATTCAAATGCACTGAACGTCAGAGATGGTGTTGGGCATGAGAGACATGTCAGATATGAATGGGAGTTGGAACACATATGGGCCCAATGCTCTCGAATTAGGTACGGCGCTTGGTCTACCAAAATGCTGAGCTTGCCATGACCCGAAGTTGTTGAATGGCTGAATTGACCCCGAAATCGTATTTGTTCGGTGCTGGCTTTTGAGAAATGCAGTTGTCAATGTGCTCTTTAACTGAGATTGGACTCTGCGTTTGATATCGTAGCGTTGAAAGCTTGCTTCGACTGCAGCACGACTGCCCGCAGACATTCATCTCTACATACCCACTCCCCATCCACATATCCCCGTCTCAAACTCCCCCATCAAACTCCCTCCCAACACCTCCACCACCCATCCCTCAAACCCCATTCCTCCCCAAAAACCCCAAAATCCAGTCAAAAGCCCCTCTCGCCTCAAAATGCAAATTCAACCCATGCCCCGCCCCCTTCACCCTCAACGTCTCAAACCTCCCCTCCGGCACATTCTCATACAGCGTCGTCCCAACCTCCTCCAAAAGATTCTCCGGAAAAATACAATTCCCCGCACAGAACCCCAGATCCTCGTTGCCGGCCACCACCGCGACGGGGAAGGTGACGTTGAGGGCGGGTTTGACGACGGCGGAGGCGGTGAAGAGCTCGCCGATTGTGACTGTGCCTTTTGTGGCGTCGGCGAGGGAGAGGATGGTGGGGAGGAAGTTGGGGTATGTGAAGAAGGTTTGTTGGTTGGCGAGGGGGGAGGCGACGACGAAGTAGCCATTATTCAAGCTGGAGAAACGGTATGGCTGATCGAGGGAGGCGATGGTGGGGTTTTGGCCGAGGTTGAAGGCGGGAATGCCGGAGGCGTTGGTGGAGAATCCTGTCAAGATTGCGGCGTCGAGGTCGGCGGGGTGTGTTGCTATGAGGCCTTTTGTGAGGGTGCTGCCGAGAGTGGCCGATGCCGATGATGGTTTTGAAAGGGGTGGATGAGTAGACGCCTTGGCGGAGTTGGGTGATGAGGCTGTGGAGGATTTCCATTTCGAGGGGGGACTGAATCGTATGGATTGGGTCTTCCTTGGATGAGACACCCACTCCTAGACGATCGTAGAGGAAAGTCGAGTATCCTGCTTCGACGGCTACGTCGACGTAGCTCCAGCCGGGCGCGAAATCCCAGTAATAGCGATCAAAGCCAATGCCATGGGTCAGAACTTGCAGCTTGGATGTGCTGCCATTGCTGGGCATGCATAGCGTCGCTCCGATCTCGTAGGTGCCGTTGACGTGGAGTGTCCCGTTTGAGATCGAGTCTGGGAAGGTAGATCCTGCCGCCCACATTTTGAGCCATGTCTGGGTAGCCTCTGCCTGTGTGGCCGGTAGCTTGTAGTCGAATCTCACATTCTCGTTGGTGTTGGCTGCCACATGGGCGATCCCAGATGTACAGAGTGATGATTCTCCCCTTGAGATGTGCTTGGTTGCATTCGTGAATCCTGATGTTGTTGGTGCTTCGTCATTCGTGGGTATGCCGCTAACTGAGGCGTGCACCGTTCTAGTATGGGCAGAGAGAGTAGCAGCAATAAAAGGATACAGAACAGTCTTCATCCTTCAGGCTCATGTTATACGGTGATGGGATCTTCGTTGGGAGAGTTGAGCTGATCGAGCTGTTATAAGAAAACTTCTTCTGCACCCACTGCGGCAAGTTCCAGATGAGCCCCTTGGTAAGGACAGTCGCTTTCCTCATCACAAAGGCCGCGACTGCACCGGTCGCCCATGGTATAATTTGGAATTGGCCTCATCGACGTCCGGGCAAAGACATCGTCGACCGGAAAACACCACACGCCCAGCCTTGCGCGGATGCACTCCTCCAGTCGGTGCACGTGGATGGATACTGCTGACTCGTCATGCCAAATCCGTTAGAATTTGTCAATCAATCTGTCCAGTCACTCTGTACGGAACTGTCAGCATGTAGTCGTAGCGCCAATATTTCCTAGCTGGAGGTGGTTCGGCTTATCCGGAATCCTTCTGGTCTTGTCCCCGTTATCTCCCCGGCTCAAAAATTGTCAGCACCACGGGGGCCAGTGGCTCTCCAAACGAGCCAAGTTTACAAGGACGCACCATCAGGGAAACCCATCACGTGTCTCAGAAAGGGTAACAGAGGCTCAGCAGGCTTCAATGTCGTCAAATCCCGATATTCAGAGCAGAACTCCCATCGCTCCCAACAAAAAGCTCATCAAACCCAACACCAGTGTCGAACCCGAGATCATGAGAGTAAAACATCTGGTCTAGCAGATACTCCTGATCCAGGTTTTGTCCTACTGCAGCATCAATATACATCAGGTCTCATCGCAAAGGCCAGATAGTGCTCACCCATATGCATAGTAGCGTCGACTAGCGTTCGAAGACAGTGTCGGCATCGGTCGACTGTCTGATTGTTTCGATCCAGTGCTTCAAGACTTTGTATCGCGGCGTTGATCCTGTCGAGTGTTGTGATGTAGTCGAGGGCCCCTGGGTTTGTGGTGGACGTTCTGCAGATGAGGTAGCAGGCGAAGACTGTCAGGGCGGCGTTGAACGCTGTGGCAATCAGTCAGATGGAGAGCAATGCGAAGTAGGGAATGAGATACGTACTGTAGTACAGTGTGAACCACCACGCTCCCAAGACGTCTCTTTGAGCCGCAGACGGTGATGTAGTGGCCGTTCGCACCAGCTCAATGATATCAGTTGCGTTGACAAGTGATGCACTGATACTGCTGGCGCCGAACTGCTCCAGCAGAGCATTGTCACTCGTGATGGTGTTGCTTCTGCTCATGTCCTGCAGCATTCGCAGCAGGATAGGACGATGGAGAAGCAAACGGGCGCTCAGATAACGAAGCGTGAGGATGGTTCTCAGTTTCAGTCTTTGCTCCGCGACATCAGTCATACCCTGTGCTTGCAGGTAGTCCGTCAGGTCGTTGGCAGAGATTGTAGCTAGAGTCTTGGGGACGGACTGTTCCCAGTCTAGCAGAGAGCCTTCGATTTCGAAAATCCGGGTGATGACATCTCTCGACGGTAATGGATCATCGAACTCCAGGTTCTGTCCATACAGGCGGTCGAGTATGACAAAGACCACATTATATAGCTTGCTGGATAATGTCAGGTCCATTCCATAATATCTCATCGCAGACTCATAGCACTTACACCGTAGCAGCAAAGAAGCTGACATTACTAGGATCTTTCTGTTCCGTCACAGCGGTTGCAGATTCCGAAGGTGCAGATTCTGGGTACTGCAGAGGTGTAGGTACCTTCACGTACGAGCCTGGGATCGAAGAAGGCCTGCCAAAGGTCATGCTCATCGTGCGATCGAGAGAGACGCACGCAAGCCACGTACGCTTGCGGATCTCCTGATCGACGGCTGAAAGGCCGATAGAAATTGCATTGGTGTGCAGTCCAAGCTGTAGGACGACCTTTACCGCGAGGCCCGACACGGTCCAGGCTTCAGACGGCTTCTGTGTGCCTTGGAGATATTGACCTAGCAGCAACAGGAAGTGCGCTTCCTCAAGATCAGCTGGATATCCGTACGACCTTAGGAAATCAGTGGCGTATTACTCACCAGTTTCGATATTGACACCCTGCATCATGCGATTCTTGCAGTGAAACAAAGCTCTCTGGGCATAGACCTGTGACTTCTTACTCCGTTGTAGAGCATCGAGGCCATTAGAGCGGTCGGCACTGATGGCGATAGCTAAGATGATATTCAATAGCCCGAGCCAAGAACGTGGTCTTTGCCGTGACGGATAGCCTCGCAAAGAATCAAGTTTCGATCTGAAACGTCCCTCATGAATATACGGAAACAGGTAGCCTGTGTTGGTGAAGAAGCTGTCGATGATCTTGTCTTCGTCGATTGAAGTCAAAGCGTCGGAGGGGTTTTCAGCATGTGCTGTAGATGATCGATGGACACAAGCGGCTGCTGATGGTATAGACACTCGTCGGGACGGTGCCAAGGAGTCCTGATTAGCAGAAGCAGAGCTCAAAGTAAAGTTGCTCGCTTGAAGCATGACCTGGCCAATTGCTCTCAAGAAGAATATGTTTGAAGATGGGCCTTGAAACAGGTTAGGATCAGAGGTATGAATGACGAGACTCCACAACGTAGACCCACCGAAATAGCCTGACTCCATTTCATTCTCGAATATAACAGCACCCATAGCGTCAGCGTGATGTTGCTCGTCGCCATGATCAATAATGACTTCCGAGGCTGTATTGACGATCTGGGAAGGCCCAGCCTGGTCCATACGAGCATTGAGTCTCATCATTGATTCTTCAAGCTGGTCGACCCGACTCTGAAGCCTGTTCAAGTGGCTGATCACAAGAGTCAGTCGCTGACATTGCACCTGCTAAGGATATCGATCGTCGCACGTCTTGTCGACCAATACATTGGATGACAATGGATGCTCATGATATTGACATTCCAGGCCAAACTCCCGGCACGTTTGGCAGGTCGGACGAGCACCATCACACTACTCCACACGCGTTAGCATTGCATGTCAAAGACCAAGCCGGGGAGCTTCTATCGTACCCGGGTCTTTTTCAACCGGCATGATCCACAGGCGATTGGAATGCGGCGCCTTTTGGCCGGACGTCTGACGGCATCACCGCCCTCATGGGGCTGCCCGTCTTCTGAAGCCGGAGCGTGTCCGTTCATGGTTGTCAGAGTAGAAGGGAGTGTTCGTAGGATCACACCTGGGAAGAACTGACGTTGTCCGCGCAGCCGAGACCTGGACAGGACGTTTTGCCGAATGTCCCCGAAATCACGTGCCTCAGAAATAAGCTGCTCGACGACGCGTACGCTGTGTTGCGATGGAGACGCGTTCGTTGTGGAAATCTTGCGGCAAAGGATTCTTCTATTGCCTCGTGAGCTATGGGAATCATTTCTGTAGTTGTTTCATTCATTCATCCAGCACGCCTCGCTTTTTGCTCTCCGGCCCTATCTGCACGCTGAAATGTAGCAATCTCGATGACCTTCTGCTGACGTGGTATTCTCAACACGCGCTTAGATGTTCACGGCAGTGCGGAACTTGTTGCCAGCGTAGATGGCATTGCTGCCGAGCTCCTCCTCGATACGCAGGATCTGGTTGAGCTTGGCCAGACGCTCAGATCGCGCTGGTGCGCCAGTCTTGATTTGACCGGAGCGGAGACCAACGGCAATGTCGGCGATGGTGACATCCTCAGTCTCGCCAGAGCGGTGAGAAACCATGACACCCCAGCCAGCACCGTAGGCATCCTTGGCGGCCTGGATGGCTTCGGTGATGGTACCGATCTGGTTGACCTTGAGCAGGAGAGCGTTGCAAGCCTTGGTCTCGATGGCCTTCTTGATGAAGGTTGGGTTGGTGACAGTCAAGTCATCACCGACAAGCTGGAAGTCGGAGTTCTTGTAGAAGTAGCTCCAGGCCTCCCAGTCATCCTCAGCGAATGGGTCCTCAATGGAAACGATTGGGTACTTGGCTGAGAGGTCGCGGTACTGCTGGGCAAGCTGCTCGTAGGTGACCCACTTTTCTGGGTCGCTGTCTGGGTTCTTGAAGTCGAGATCGTACTTCTTGGCGTCGGTCTTGTAGAACTCGGAGGAGGCGACGTCCATGGCGATCTTGACCTTTCCGGAGTAGCCGGCCTGCTCAATGGCATCGGTGATCAAAGTAAGAGCCTCATCGGCAGTCTGGATATCTGGGGCAACACCACCCTCGTCACCGACGTTGCCAGCAGACTGGCCGTACTTCTTCTTGGCGAGAGTCTTGAGCTTCTGGTAGACTTCGGAGCCCTGGCGCATGGCCTCGCTGAAGCTGGGTGCCTCACTGGGAAAGGGTCAGTATTTCTAATGGCTGAAAGATGTAGGCGACGTACGATGGGACGACCATGAACTCCTGGAAAGCAAGGCGACCACCGGCGTGCGAGCCGCCGTTGAGAACGTTCATGAATGGCACTGGAAGGACGTATGGCTTCTTGGTTCCGGCGAGATCGCTGATGTGGGCGTAGAGTGGGACACGCTTCTCCGCAGCGGCAGCCTTGGCCACAGCCATGGAGACACCGAGGATGGCATTGGCACCAAGCTCAGTCTTGTTCTGAGTGCCATCGAGCTTGTTGAGGAAGCCGTCCACAGCAGACTGGTCCTTGACGTCAAGGTTGGCCTTGATCAGCTCTGGGGCGATCTTGTCGTTGACATTGGCGACGGCCTTGGTCACACCTGACAGCATCCGTCAGATTCATGTGTTTTTATGTCTTGTTTCATTGCTTTTCTCACCCTTGCCGCCCCACTTGCTCTTGTCACCGTCACGCAGCTCGCAGGCCTCGTGGGAACCAGTGGATGCACCGGATGGGACGATGGCGCGGTGGAGACCAGTCTCGGTGACAATGTCAACCTCGACGGTTGGGTTGCCACGAGAGTCGTAGACGGAACGGGCGTGGATCTTGCTGATACCCATGTTGGATGTTTCTGCGGGCGGAAGATGGGTGTTAGTGGTGTGTTCAGGGTGGTGAGGTCGATCAAAATGTCAGACGGAGGGGTCCCTTTCGACGCAGGGACGATTGGCGTGTCGATGCGGTGAAACTCCGTTTGGCTGGGCAAACGTCGTTGTTGACCGCTCAACCATTGCGTTTGCAGCCAAACACAGCGATTGGCGGGGTGCGGGCGAATGCATTGCATGGCATTGGGCTTGCAGCTGTTACTCACCAATGACTTGGGTACGACTGGTTGAGGAAGGGGTGTTTGTTTGTTGTGGTGGTGAAGGTGGGGAGGGGAGGGAGGAGACGTTGGTGACTGTGATGAGCCCAACAATTCTTTTCTCTGCTAGCTGTTGCTCGGTCGTTGCGTAGTGGGGTCGAGGGGCAGCCCGGGAAGGCGCGACCGGATCCCGTGCTCTACGGATTACTTCGGGACGACAGGGTTGTCCATGTGTGAATGCCTGAGGCGCGAGTCGAGTACTTCACCTTGTGATGAGGCACTTTGTCTTCTGGCCTCCAACACTACTGACGGACAATTGCGGAACGCCAGGACTGACGACATTACTCATTCGAAGCACATACAATTCTGCGAGTGATCCTCAGACTGAAAGTACGCTGTACTACATCGGCATGCCCGCCAGAAGAACCCGGCACAACATTGAGTCCTTGATCTCATCTTTTCGAGAAACCAGCTCCTCTGCATCCCAATTGACCCAAACGTACTTGCCCTTCAGGAACGCAGCCTCAGGCGAAGCGAGCCACACATGGAAGCTAGCCGGCAGCTCAACTGGGCAAACGTCAGTGAAGACTCATCACCATACGTTATAACGACTTACTCTCATCCTGGCCCTCCACATCAGTATCTGAATTGATCTCAGTCCTGATGACTCCCGGCTGGGTATTCACGACGTGCAGCTCTGGGTTCTCCGCGGCGAGGTAGTCGAACATCTTGACCACAGCGAGCTTGTACATGGCATAGTTGAACAGCCCCGGCATGGGATTGATATGTGCGATCCCCGACGAGACATTGATCAGCTTGGCATCAGATGCGGCCACTGGTACAACAGCTTGAATGGCGTTGAAGGCACTCATGACCATCAACTCAAAGCCGCGGCGGAACTCTTGCTCATCGTATCCCAGGACAGGTGCGGTTTTGGGTAGGATCCCAACACACCAAACGAAGACATGGATCTTGCCAACCTTGCTGGCGATGCTCTTCAATGCCGCCTCAGCTGCCGTAAGCTGAGACATGTCTGCGCCTTGAGTGAGGACAGTGGTTTTAGGACCAGCGGCACGGATTTCTTGCGCAGCCTCTTCAAGACGATTGGCACGGCGGCCTAGGATCGCCACAGATGCAGCACCAGCCTGTGCGAATGCAATGGCCGTCGCTTTACCGATGCCAGTACCACCTCCAGCTACCACCACATTCTTGCCCGCAGCTGAGAGTTCGGGTCGTTCTGGTGAGATGAAAGAGTACGGCTTGTTATGCCAGGTCTTCGTGAAAGAGATCCACTCTGGGACATCGGGGAACTCTTCGGCCATGGTGGTGAATGAAGCTTTTGATTCGTAGTAAGGAGTTGAAGTGGAAGATGTTGTGAACTGACGAGTGACAGGGGTAAAGTTGTTGCTTTTGGTCGACAATTGTCAGAGCAGCAAGCGTAAACTTATACTGCCGTGTCCTTCATGGCAACAAGGTCCAGCAGCGACGGTGTGATGCAGTCACCGGAGCAGATACTGACTGTGAACGCTTCCATGGAAGAGACTCTCCACCTTCGCTTTACAATGCGTTGAGCAAGGGACCTTCGACTCGTGAAGTCCCGTTGGCAACACTTCACTACAGAAACGTTACGATCCAGTTCCGGAGAAGAATGACAGGGACCACTCTCTTGACTACTGGCAAATATTACCAAGCACGCTCTTTGAACAGCATTCGCGGAGCGCTTCGAAATGTGAGACAGGCGAAAGGGCATTTCTCGCCATCTCGCTTACGTATCGTTTGTTTCCGTGGAGGCATCGCATCATCGCTTGCTGATGGCAGCTTCTTTCGTGTACAGCTTCTACGTCCCTCGAGAGCCCTGTCGTGGCCGATGTGCTGCATCATTGATGGTGTCTTGAAGAATCAAAAGTTATGTTGGAGAGCTGATGGAGTCCGACTGAATGTCCTGAAGATGAGACCTTCGTCACCGCGAAATGATTCCAAAGACGGACCTCGGTCCGAATCGTCGTCATAGCGAACCTTGGAACCTTACCTTCCAACACCTCAACTAGAAAGGCATTGGGTGTTCTTGTAGACAATCGCAACAGAGAAATCAACACATTCAAGAACTCGATCCAAGATGGGACAACCAAAGCTCACCCTATATGTCGACATCCTGTCTCCATTCGCCTACATGGCGTACTACTTAACAAGGGTAAGTCCAATCCGCAACTACGGGCCCGTACATCCGTCAAAAAGCACGACATACGAAATGTTCAGTAAACATCCACCCTTAATCATCCTCCATCCTACTCCCCTCCCAATGGCACAGCCTTACCCAACCCCAAACCACGCAAACTAACCAGACCCCCCGAAAAATGTAGAACTCCCCCGCCTTCCAATCCCTCCCCATAACCTACATCCCCATCCTCCTCGGCGGCCTAATGCAGCAGGCCAAAAACCAACCCCCCCTCAACATCCTCAACAAAGACAAGTGGATCAACGCCGAACGCCTGCGCTGGTCGCGGGCTTTCAACATCCCCATCGCGGAAGAAACGCCCTCCCCCTTCCCGCAATCCACCGTCAACACCCAGCGCGCGCTCGTATACCTCTGGCTCAAAGAGCCCGAGGGGGTCCTGCCGCGGGCGCTGGACGCGCTGTACCATGCGTTCTGGGTGGAGCGGAAGACGATCGGGAAGGTGGAGGTTATCGCGGAGGTGTTGGGGCCGGTGTTGGGGGCTGAGGGGACGAGGAGGTGTTTGGAGGGGGTGAAGAGTGAGGAGGTGAAGCAGGCGTTGGTGGGGAATACGAAGAGGAGTTTTGAGGAGGGGGCTTTTGGGTTGCCGTGGTTTGTGGCGGAGAATGAGAAGGGGGAGAAGGAGGGTTTCTGGGGCGTGGATCATATGGGGCAGTTGTTGGAGTTTTTGGGTATCGAGCCTTCGGGGGAGAAGGGATATAAGTCCTTGCTGTAAGTGAGTTTGGGAGGATGGTTAGAGGAGTGGAGAAGACACGACAGATGCGTGAGCCAGACACCCAGCATAATGAATATACTCACGCTGTACGATTGTGATGCGGTCTGGTTTCATGGCCTTTCTCTCCAATTGTACAGAATCTACACGTAGGAGTATCATGTTACCGCAAATGCAAAAGTCAAAAAGGAACCTGGAGACGAATAACGCTAACTACGCCTTACAAAGCCGAGCTTCATGCGTTTGTCTCTATCCTGATCGCTCCATCTGGTCAAGAATGGCCCTCGTGAATTCATGTGTCGTGGATGAACCGCCCATGTCGCGTGTCCGCGTCTTGCCTTCGGCAATGACATCGTAAACGGCCTTGCTGATACGGTTGGCGTGCTCGTCCAGTCCAAGATGTCTCAGCATCATACTTCCAGACAGGATCAAAGCAGTTGGGTTGGCCTGGTCCTTGCCCTGGATATCAAGACCAACGTGTCGGCATCCTGGCTCGAAAACGGCGACCTCACGACCCATGTTGCAACCGGGAACAATACCAGGACCACCGACGAGACCAGCGCCAATGTTGGAGAGAATGCCACCGTACAGGTTAGGCATGACCATAACGTCGAATTGTTGAGGTCGGCTGACACACTGCATGGATGCGTTGTCGACGATCATGTCGTTGGTCTCGATTGTTGGGTATTCCTCGCCGACCTTTCGTACAGTGTTTCTGAACAGACCATCGGCCAGCTTCATGATGTTGGCCTTGTGAATGCAGGTGACCTTGCGGCGGTTGTTGGCGAGGGCGAAGGAGAAAGCAAACTTGGCGATGCGCTCCGACTTGGCGCGGGTGATGATCTTGAGCGATTCGACGACGCCGCTAACGGATTGATGCTCCAGGCCGGAGTACTCACCCTCGGTGTTCTCACGGATGATGCACAGGTCGACGTTCTTGTGTCGGGTCTCGTAGCCAGGAATGTTCTTGATCAGGACGATGGAGGCGTAGATGTCGAGTTCTTGACGCAGGGCGACGTTGAAAGATTGGTGTCCAGATCGGGTTACGGGAGTGTGGAGGATACCCTTCAAACCGAGCTTGTTGCGCTTGAGCGAGGCGATGGACTCACGGAAGAGTTCCTCAGAGTGTTTGCCGCCAGCCTCCATACCAGACACATCGACCTGCTCCCACTCGACGGGCACATTGTCGGCCTTGAAGATGGTCTTGACCGATTCTGAGACTTCCGCACCGATACCGTCACCTGCATATGCCGCCTTAGCCCGCCAATGTCTTTATCACATGCCAATTTTGCTTTTGCAGTCGCATACCTGGGATCAGCGTGACAGTGTACTTGCCGCCGAACTTGGTTGGCTTGAAGATGTCTGATTGCACAGTCGTCGCGTATGCTTGAGGGTTTCGTTAGTCCTGCGCCTTCCTGCTCTTGCAAATGCTGTGAACGTACTACGCGCGGCCAGGGACGGGTTCTGAGCGGCGGCGAAGGCATTGCTGCGGAGGGCCTGGAAGAGACGGATTGTCAGTCAACGTCACAAGGTCTTCAATCTGTGTGGACATACCTGAACGGCCCGTCTGGAGAACATGGTGCGAATGGTGGTGGACGGGACGAACAAGAGTGTTTGGCGAAGTGGTGCTGCGCAAAAGCTTCAAGCTGCGCGAAGACCCGGCTTCGGAAGCGGAAGACGGCTATGCACTTTCCACGGCACTACGGCGACATGGCAGGTGTCTGTGCGTTGAACTTCGCTGCATGACGCGCCGAACAACTTTCACCTACCTTCACTCACCTCCATCTTCACATGCTTCTTCCAAAGAGGCTGTTGACATCGTCCAGTGAAAATCGTAACGTCAAGACTCGTAAAGGCCCTTCAGCGACGCCGGCGACATCGACCGCTTGCCAAGGACTTGGACGGGGACGGCGCGAACGCAGTCTCGACAAGCGAAGATTACATGTCTGAATACTACTTTCCTATGGTCTTCGACTTTAGCATTGAAGGCCTTATAACACATCGCACGCGCACAACGTCGCCCGTGGACCGCAGGACGATGAGTTGTGCGAAAGTCCTCCAACTCGCTTAAGACCCCTCAGGCACGCCAGCAGGCGCACTTCGAACAACCGAACGCTGTCTTGCGAACATGTTCAAATCCTCTACAAGAATCCCGCGACCTGTTAAAGCCTTGTGGTCCCAATAAGGCTCAGATTCAATGGTGACCTGCCGCACGTGAAAGCCAAACAGCGCTAACCGAATTTGGTCCTCAATAACGACTTTCACCTCTTCCCTATTGACACCCATAACCGGATAGCTCGCTCTTCAACTCGGTCTCGAGGCGCAAGAATAGCCAATGGCTGTTTCAGGATCATTGTATTCACTTCGACCTAGATGTCCCAGCCACAATGAACCTTCCACATGGCTTGGGAGCTGGGCGGCCATGTGCCGTCAAGGGCTATGCTCCCATGGACTTTTCTGTTGGAGTCTGTTAGGTGAGGATGAAGGTACCCAGAGACACGCAAAAGCACTGTAAGCTCTCCTTCTTCATGACGAGCGCTGATACTGTTTCGCAGACCCCTGAACCTCAAGACCAACCACCTCCATCATGTCACATCTGCAAACCAGTCCCAAGATGAACTCTCCTCTGGACACCTATCTCAGTCCCTTCTCATCTCTCGTTTCATTGTCAGTCCCGCATGTCCCCCGCAGAAAGACTCTCAGTGACGATGCTCTTCCCCTATTGGATCCTTATTGAGCCCGTCCGTCCAGTCACAAGGCTCATTGCCACCAGTCTGGGTGAACATCTCTTTATCCAATTCCTATTGAGACCTCTATTGGGAACATTCATCGCCTCTCGACGCTCGATCACGGTCTATATATGCCAGTCAATACGACCGTTTTCATAGTCTCCTCTGCTTACCCACCAGTCATTCTTCCATACCGATCCGAACCACAATAAACCCCAGGTCTAAGTCATAAGACCTCCCTACAACCCCCTCTCGTTTACACAACCCAACCCCCAACAAAACCATCAAAAACAATCACCGTTCTCTCACGACTGAGAGACTAACCACGACATGAAGGTCACTCTTTCGACCCTTCTCATCGCCAGCGCGGCGTTCAGCTCGGCCATCGCCGTCGCTGATCCCGCTGCTGTTGCCAACGCCGACGCTGATGCCCGCCGCGGCCGCATTTGGAAGTGCGGTGTCCCTGGCCAGGCTTGCAACAAGGCTCGTGACGCCGCTCCTGAGCCCGTTGCTGAGCCAGCTCCTGTTGCTGAGGCTGACGCCGAGGCCCGCCGTGGACGTATCTGGAAATGTGGTGTCCCCGGCCAAGCTTGTAACAAGGCTCGTGATGCTGCTCCTGAACCAGCTGCTGAGCCAGCTCCTGTTGCCGACGCTGATGCGGAGGCCCGCCGCGGCCGTATCTGGAAGTGCGGTGTTCCCGGCCAGGCCTGCAATAAGGCTCGTGACGCCGAGCCAGAGGCCGATGCCCGTCGCGGCAGATTCTGGAAGTGTGGTGTCCCAGGCCAAGCCTGCAACAAGCCCCGTGACGCCGGTCAAGCTGGTTTCTGCGGTCTTCCCGGAGAAGCTTGCTCCCGAGTCAAGCGTTCCGCACTGGCCATCGCCGACGCTTTCGCTGAGGCCGATGCCGAGCCACAGAGCTTCTGTGGTGCCCCAGGTCAGCCTTGCGAGAAGGCTCGCCGCTCCATCGAGGATGTCGGCACTGCAGCTGAGGAGGCCTACAACCTTGTCAGTGAACGTGAAGCAAACTACATCATCCAGAGCAGAGAAGCCAAGGGCCGCATTTGGAAGTGTGGTGTTCCAGGCCAAGCTTGCAACAAGGCTCGTGACGCTGAGGCAGACCCAGAGGCCGGCTTCATCTGGAAGTGCGGTGTCCGAGGCCAAGCCTGCAACAAGAAGAGAGATGCCGACGCCGACGCCCGTCGCGGCAAATTCTGGAAGTGTGGTGTTCCTGGCCAGGCTTGCAACAAGGCTCGTGACGAGATCCAGTCTCTCGGTGTGAGCCGATTCTGCGGACAGCGCGGCTCCGAATGCGATGCCAACGACCTCGAGGCCCGTGATGCCGACGCTCGCCGCGGCAGAATCTGGAAGTGTGGTGTCCCAGGCCAAGCTTGCAACAAGAAGCGAGCCCTCGCCACCAGGTCTGCCATCGACGCCAACCCCAACTACGGCGCAGCCCGCTTCTGCGGTGTCCGTGGCAACCGATGCGACAAGTTCGGCATCGAGGCCCGTGACGCTGACGCTGAAGCCCGTCGTGGAGGCCGCATCTGGAAGTGTGGTGTCCCTGGCCAAGCCTGCAACAGGAAGCGCGAGGCTGAGGCCGATGCCGACGCTGAAGCCCGCCGTGGCAGAATCTGGAAGTGCGGCGTCCCCGGCCAAGCCTGCAACAAGAAGCGCGAAGAGGAAGACTTCCTCGCGGACGTCAACGACGACCAGAGCGGTTTCTGCGGTGTCCCCGGCGAGGCCTGCGAGGTCACCAAGCGCAACGCCGAAGCCCGCCGCGGCCGCATCTGGAAGTGTGGTGTCCCCGGCCAGGCCTGCAACAAGAAGCGCGAGGAGGCGACCAACCTCGCGCGCCAGATCTCCGAGCTCGACCCCGAGCACCTCGAGGAGGTGTGCCACGCCGAGGGCGGCGAGTGCAGCGCCATCAAGCGCGCGTACGCCGAGTTCATGGAGATCAAGCGGGATGCCGAGGCGGCGCAGGCTGCTGACTCCCTGGAGACCCGCGCAGCGTTCTGCGATACCCACGACTGTACCTATGCTACTCGTCGCTGGATCGTGACCAAGGCCGATGATGGCGAGGAGGCGCATCTCGAGGAGAAGCGCTGCTCCGAGCCAGGTGGTGACTGTGATGTTGCCAAGCGTGCCCTTGATGAGCTTGAGGAGACCCTCAAGCGCGCTGTTGATGCGATGGAGCAGTAGATTACTGCTGCTGATCGTCTTCAACAACAACGACGAAACAAAAATTCTGGTGATATAGTCAGCTCCCATAGCTGGCTGACCTTTGGCTCAGGCTGAGGGTTTCCTCTTCGATATCCTTTTCACGGCTTTCATCTTCAACGGACGAAAACACGAATCATCATGCGCAGCGATCTTGGATTTTGGGTCGTTGGCGCGAGTCGGCGCACCGGTCGGGGTGGACGTATCTTGTCAATACATTATTTTGATCGGAAGACTTACCTGACCGTACATTATTGCGACCTGGCTGTACGGACATATACACGCATATGTCTCCTGTTATATAGCAACGCTCTTGAGAAGGTTTGCTTTGCTTGAAGGCACAGTTTGCCACGACGTGGTGCACGAGTTTCATTTCATTTCATCTCATCTTCAAAATGCTCGCTTCATTGATGCTACTGTCATAACGGCCTCGTCCTCTCCCCCTTCCAGAACCCCATCAACTCCCCCGTCTCACCCACCCACTCCCTCACACCATTCACCGCAGCCTTAGCCATGCCCGTCTGCGTATTACTCCTCTTATGCCTCGTCCTGATCGGCCCATTCACACCCCCACCCATTCCCATCGACGAACTCATAGCCGGCGCCTCCTGCCCGGGACTGATAAAACTGCTCCCAGCCCCCGTCGCATACTCACTGCCCATACTCGGCAGCACATTCTCCCCAGCGCTCAAACTGACAAACAACGCAAACGGCACCAACCACACCCCCAGCCCGAAGAAACTCGCAATCTCCGTGAACGTCGGGATATTCGCCTGTTGGTCGTAGTAGTTGTATCTCCCTCCGCTGCCGGCGCTGCGCTGGGGCGGGGCGGAGAAGTGGCGGAACCAGAGCCAGTGGTTTAGGAGGACGACGACGCAGGAGGCGAGGAAGACGGGGTCGGTGAGTTTGACGACGGGGAAGCGGCGGAGATTGAGTGAGTAGAGGATGTGGGAGGCGATGCTGAAGAGGGAGAGAAGGGGCGGGAGGCGGTCGAGGAGGAGGAGCGTGTGTAGGGCGATGATGGCGTAGATGAGGCGGGTGAGGACTTTTTTGGCGAGGACGGTGTGTTCTTCGACCTGGGGTGGGGGGAGGGGTGTGGTTAGTTGGTGGATTGAAGAGGTTATTGGCAAGGTGGTAGGGGACTTACCAATTCGCTGAGGTAGTAGAGACCTGAGGCTATGGCTAGCGTGAGGAAGAGAAAGCCTAGCAGCAGGCCAAGGTAGCCCTGCCCAGTCGCACGTGTCAGTGCGCGAAGTGAATGGAAGTCTATTCGTAGGGGTTCAGCTTACAAGGAGTGGTAGAATCCACATGGTCAAAGTCGCATTGGTTGTCTTGCAGCGATCATCGGTATCTCAATCCGTAAAGTATTAAATCGACTGTTGTGATGATTGAAGAGAACAGCTTTCACTCCAACGCGCTGGTGTAGCTGAGGTTACGTCCAGCACCTGTCCGATTCCGAGCTTATCGATAACTTTAAATTACTAGCGTGGTCGTCAAGTCTGAATTTCCATCTGAAGCAACAACTTCCAACTCCAAACCGAACCCACCAAGCTCACATCTCGTGACATTGCTGCACCTCAACCTCTCCCTTCACAACTCACACCGCCAGCAGCAATGTCACGACCCGAAGACATCCTCCCGCCGGACCTCTTCTACAACGATGTCGAATCCCGCAAATACACCACCTCGTCCCGAATCAAAGACATCCAAGCGTCCATGACGCACCGCGCCCTCGAACTCCTCGACCTCCAAGACCCCTCCTTCATCCTCGACATCGGCTGCGGCAGCGGCCTCTCCGGCGAAATCCTCAGCGACGTCCCGGAAGACGAGGGCGGACCGCACACATGGGTAGGCATGGACATTTCGTCGTCGATGCTCGCGCAAGCGCTGGAAAGGGACGTAGAAGGGGACATGCTACTCGCGGATATCGGGCAGGGGATACCGTTCCGCGCGGGCACATTTGATGCGGCGATTAGCATTTCGGCGATTCAGTGGCTGTGCAACGCCGAGACGTCGGATGTGTCGCCGGAGGGGCGGTTGAAGAGGTTTTTTGACGGGTTGTATGCGAGTTTGCGGAGAGGGGGCAAGGCGGTGTGTCAGTTCTATCCGAAGAATACGCAGCAGAGGAGTATGATTTCCAACGCGGCGATCAAGGCGGGGTTTGGGGCGGGGATATTGGAGGATGATCCGGAGACGAAGAATGTCAAGTACTACCTCGTGCTCAGCGTGGGAGGAGGGGATGTCACGGGCACGGTCAACGGGATGGACGGCGTGGATGTCTACGATGCGCGGAGGAAAGAGCGGAAGCGAGGGAAGGAGGTGAATAAGAAGGGTAGTAAGAATTGGATTCTGAAGAAGAAGTCGCAGATGGAAGCCAAGGGGAGAGTCGTCAAGGCGAATTCGAAGTATACGGGCCGCACGAGACGAACGGCGTTCTAGACTTCCGACACGAAGAACGCCTCTTTCTACATTCCATCGCAGGATCCATCACGTTCTGTGGTGGCGATTCTGAGTGATAGACTTGGCGAGACGCCCGCTCTGTCTGTCTGCTCACGGCACGTTCGCGGCGTTCCCGTGTGAAGGATGAGGAGGAGGCTGAAGTGCCGGGCGCTTATTTGGACTCTCTCATTCCTCCGACTTCGACGCAGTGGTGGCAAACCACTGCACGCACGCCAGACCAACAACGACAACGACGTTGTCGACGCCGTCATGCTACATGATCATTGATGCATTATGATACCCCCGAGCTGCAGCAGGCAAAAAGCATCTGCACATATGCGCTCATCAAAAAATCTTAAACAACGTTCTTTCATGATCGTCGTCACACCTCAGTTTCAAGAAGAAGATCAAAGTCCTTCCTATCGAATCGTTTGTCATTTTGACTACCGCTACCTACTAACTACCCTTATCACATATTCCACTACCTAAGCACACTATGAACCGAGCGAGCCGCCGAGAGAAAAGGGAAGGCATTGCTTTTCGTGAGTTTGTCTCGGTACCGAAAGAAGTGCGTTTCGTGCCAGCGTGTTGCGATAAGTGAAGTTTGAGAGGCTGTGAATGAAGCCCGAAGGCAGGAATTTTCCTCCTGGGGTTCTTTGGTTTTCGTAGAAAGTCGTGTCGTTGTGATGCTTTGTGGGGGTATAATAATGTAGGTTCAGAAAGGATTGAAGAAGATGCCATCCCATCGTGCAAGAACCAAAGTCCGAAAAAAACGTCGCTAGGAAATAATCCAAACACCCTCATAGATAGATAGTCACCAGCGAGACATGCTCAACGCTGCACAACCCCATTAACCTCGACCTCAAACCCGCGTCCCTTCTGCTGCAACGCCTTGGCAATCATCAACTCCCTCATCCACTCGATGCGCTCATCCTTGCTCTTGACAGCAAAGTGATGCGTCTTGCCATCCTTCGAAGAAACCTCCTTCTTGCCATTCGGACTGCCAGCCTTCTCCGCCGAAGGAATCAGCTGGAACGCAAACGCCGTGCCATCTTTGACATTGTGGTGATCCGTCTTGATGCTCAGCGCCTTCATCGCGGCGGAGAGTTTGCTGTTGGACGGCACGCTGCTGCAGGCGACGGCGTAGTCGTCGACGTTGAAGGAGTCGAGTTCGGCGGCCGACAGGCGCGCGTTGGCGTGCATGGCGAGCTGCGTGCCCTTGAGGCGGAAGTGCGCGTCGGTCCATTCGTGGCGGAGCATTTTGGTTTTGCGCTTTTTCATCCAGCCCGAGTGGGAGCAGGAGGCGCCGTAGCCGAAGTGTTGCGTTTTCGGCGAGTCGTGGGCTGGGTCCCGGATGGTGGTGGAGTTGGCGCGCGCGATGTTCGTGGGGGTTAAGCTGGGGCGGTTGTTGTTGCGTTTGGGGTTGGAGGAGGTGGTGGTTGGGGAGAAGACTTCGTTTTCTTTGACGGCGGGGAGTTGCATTGAGGGGCGGCGCCAGGAGGGCGCTGCTTCGCTTGATCGGGAGTGGGTGCGGGCGAGGGGTTGTTGGGGACGGTATTGCATGTTTGGTGGGACGGATTGGGATGTATCCCTGGCCAGAGGATCTGTTGGTGGTCCGCACATGGGGACGTCCACTTCTGAGGCCGGCGTGCCGAGGCGGTAGATCATTTGCACGCCTGGTGAGGCTGTGGCGCTGCGGCAGATTGATGTTGCTGGTTCAGGGGTGACGACTGTGTGGAGTTGGGGGTCTGCGCTGGCGGAACGGGGGATGTCCAGTCGTGGGAGGCTTCGGAGCTGTTCAGGTGGAGCGGCAGTGTGTCGTGGTGGCTGCAGAGGTGGTTGAGCCTGCTGAGCACCGAATGGCGTGAATGAGTTGGAAGGGAACATTTCCAGTGGTGGACTTGGTGGTCCGTAGTGCGTGTGTGGCGGCTCGGTAGGTGAATGCATGTGCTGGAAGTGTAGGAACTCCTTGACGTTGTCTTGAGGGTTACGTGATCCGAGTTGGTTGAGCATGTCTTCATGCAGAGCAAACTCAGGCACTTGACCAGGACCGAGAAGATCTGATGAAGCGACGACAGACGGCTGAGCTTCAGAAACAGGGCGAACTTCATCCTCAACAACTTGTGCTTGAGGCTCGGACTGCTTGTGGACGTTGGGGATGATGTTCTCCGCAGTCGAAGCGTTACCTGGGTCGCCAGCGACGAAGATGCGGCCACCTTTGGATGGGCTGATGGGGAAGCGTCCAATGCCATGTTCATCTTGAAGTTGCTTGAGCTCTCTCTGCTGTTTTCGCCACTTCGCGCAACGCTCTCCCTTGGCACACTTGTGTGGCTTTGGTATGAGCTGTTCGATAGCGACGATGGAGACTGACTCGGCTGGTGTGATGATGTCTCTCGTCTTTGATGCCTTGCGACCCCGTCGTTTCTTGCCTCCAGTGGGAGTAGTGGGCCTTTGCATTCCCTCGACCGGTGTTGAGCAAATACGGCCACGGCTGGGTGACCTTCTCATGCTTGAGGTCCTCGGCGGTGGAGCAGTGCATGGTCGGTCAATATCCTGGAAAGGTGTCTGCTGTGGGCTGATGTGGCCATCCTCGCCTCGCAAAAGGCAGATGGCGTTCCACAGCTGATGTCGCTTGCCGAAGGATTGAATGTCGAGCTCTCGCAGGTCATCAAACTGTAGGTCGAGGAGAACAGCGCCGTTGATGTCGTGAATGTCGAAGCATTCGATGACTGAAGAATCGATGCCAGTCTCATACATCCAGTCGATGACTTGCTGTGTTGACCAAGACCGAATGTGAGCCTCAGGGTCAAAGACTTCCGGTTCGGGTTGCCGAAGAGCGGTGTCGAGCGAGTAGGCTGGATGGTACGAGGTCACGGGAGTTGCGGTGTCTTCGCTGAATGCAGTTTGAGCTCGGAACGAGATTTCCTTTGGTAACATCGGTGACATTTGCAAAGCGTAGTCGTAGTCAAACTCAGCCGAAACTTGAGATGACCGGAACAGATGAGGTCCTTTTGGGCCTTCAACCGGTCGAAGTCTGAGGTCGAACGGGGCTCTCTGTTGGCTGGAACGAGGGCTTGGTGTTGGAGCCTCGTCATACGACGATATCGTCGTTTGACTTCTTCTTCTGCTGTCCTCCTAGTGGAAGGTCAGTACTTGGTTTTACGTGCACGGCTCCCGGGTACTCACAGAGTCGAAGCTTGGCTTGGGAGAGTTGCCTTCATAATCGCTCTCATCTTCAAAGTCGGTGTCGAAGATTTCCGTCGCTTCTGACACTTGAGATATCGGTCGTGCTTGTGATGACCGCACATCGAATACTGAGGGTGTCTTTGCTCGTTGGAACATCTCGCCACCCGCCTCCAGAGGCGTAATGGGGGTGATGGCCTGCATCACGGCTTGGGATGGGTTACTTTTCGTTCAGCGAGTGTCTTGCTGTTGTCAATGATCGTGGTGCCACCGTCGCCAGTGTGTCATTGTCTACAAACGCAACAGAAATGCAGGTATACGGCGCAGAGGGGGACCAGATGATCTCCGTGCGCGAGGGCGCCATCATGGCCTTCTATACAAGATTCGATGCTGGTCGCGCGCGCATAAGCTCCGACATGTTGTGCAGCCGTGACCAGCGCTCCTGTGCATCAGGGACATAGCCGGCGCCAATTGCGGACTCGTGAGGTGCATGAGGCTGCAGCAGCAACGGCCAGGCCTGCCAATGGCTTCGTGGAGGCTGTAGGCCGGGGCCAGCATCCGACCTTAGATTCGTGACTGGCAGCCAAGTCATCCTTGTCACACATCGTGTCGTCGAGTGCCGGGCGGCTACAGGTCATTGGCCTGACGTCTCCATCAACAAACCTTGGCGGACTTCTCCTTCCTAATCGAAGCTATAGTGTCACTAAATATACTCTTCGAGCAAGATAGCAGGCTAATTGACCGTCTATCTTTGGCTCAGGGATCGCAGGATCAGAGTTGAATCCGGCCGGAAGATCAACTCAGCAGGCGAGCAACGCTTCGGGACGACGCGGCAACCCTCTCCAGGCGTGGCAGATCGCAGTCGTGTCTTGGTCGATACCTGCCCGAATGACTCGGTCCCGAGGGGAGGCATGCTCGTTCAAGATTGAGATGTGCTCGCAGTGTCCTGATGCAAGCACTCGAGCACAGCAGGACCCAGGTGTTTCGTGTTGCTACGCGACACTTGTTCCTGATAAGACGTAGAGTGCTTGCAGGTCGAGTGACACGGCACAAAGTGGTTGCATTGGACGACGCAAGGGACACGTCGCACAAGCTCCAGTCCCCAGCCCACTGCACGACTGGCACGAGAAGGCCCTCGATGGCGTTGTGTCACGGCCGCCTCCCAGCGCCATATCACGTCGAGCACGACAGGACGCGGCAAGGTCACAAGAGCTCCGCACTGATGCCAGGGCGGGACCGACCTGCAGAGGTGCGCGCAGCGTGACCTGGCTGGGAGCAAAATGATGAGAATGGGGTGAAATGAGTGGCGGAGGGCCGCCGTGCTCGATGGGCAGACTAGAAAGCGTCCGGCGGAGTCTGCAGTCGACGATGCGGTCGCGCTGAAGAGTCTAAGCAAATCAAGTCGTGCCGGAGCCGAAATGTCTCGCAACGCAGCAGCGAGCAGTCGACGCGGTGAGAGTCGTTTCCCTCCAGCTGGTATCCAATCGACGCCGTGAGAGCAGCACGTCGGCTAGCCATCTCCACCTGAGCATGCTCGAGTTGTGCCGCGGTGGGCGAGGGCCCAACAACAGCAGCGATGGCATGACGGACGCAAGGCGCGGCCATCGACCATACCAGCAAGCAAGATTCATTGTGGCAGTTATATGTTCTGCTGCCCACGCGACGTGGAAGAGGATGCGCAGTGATGCCACGAGGGTTCGCGCTGCTGCTCGTGGCCGCCATCGTCGCCGCGCCAAGCCGTCGCTGCCGTCGTCGTTGGAGACGGACCGCATCGAGCCCGGCCGGCAACTCTATTCCTCTGTGATCGCTCCAGCCCCGCCGCCGCATCTCATTGGCCACGTCTTTTAGTCTAGTTCCATCTTAATGCAACCTCATCACATCCCCTCAGACGTCCCAGCAGCCATACAGCGCCTGCAAGCGCTCAATTGTCACGCTCGAGACCCACTGCCATTTCTTGCTGAGAATACCGCTCGCCAAATGCGGACGCTCTGCAGGCCAATCGTCCGTTTCCCGATGCTGGCCAGCTCGCAACAGCGGACTGCTGATGAGCCCCCAGGATCGCTGTTGTCCTGAGGGTTCTGACTCTCGCGAATGCCAGGACATCCTGCCCTCGCACACGGCATTCGCTGCAGGTCCAGCAGCTCGAGAGTCATGCGGCTCTGTCCACAGCTGTCGTGTCTGTTCTTTGGTTAATGGCGCTCTCTAGAACAGGCTAGGTCGCCGAGCACAGTGCATGCACCTGCAAGGATGATCCCCATGGTCGTCAACGGTCCGCATCGGGCTGCTATCGCAGACTACTGCACGCAACACATCCGTTTTGTGATATGCTGTAACCGAAGCGCAACAGCAACATTGCGGTCAAGACTGAAGAGCCCCACTCGGTTCCGAGTGCTCCCTCGAACGATGCGGCCATACCATCGCGGCCTGCCAATTGTAGCGCAGAGTAGCCGTCGAGCGCGCTGGTCCGTCGAGAGACTGACATATCATCAAAAGAGCAATCCACGAGTCGACCACTGCCGGCGCAGGGCATATGTCTTGGGTGGGGCCAAGGTCGACGTTGCTCACGCCTCGAGGATGCTGGATCCACGACCAGCCTTTAGCGGGCATAGGCCAAATTGCGTCTTTGGCCAGTAGGGTGACCTCACGGGCGGCTGCAAGAATAGCGTCGACGAATCGATTCGCCAGATCTGCAGCCACAAGCTTCAACCGCCAATAGACGCATGCCTAACCTTTCACAAACCCGCACAATTAACAGGAAATGGCCGGCAGACCCCACACCTTGTGGACTGCCTTCATGCACCTTCGAACCTCCTCCAAGAATAGAATCCGGCCCATTTATGGTGCTTTTCGACGACTTGCGGTCATATAAGGTACTCGCCCTCAGAATTCCTCCACCAACCCACGCAGTCGTTGATCGACTAATTTACGGTCTTTTTCTTTTACCTCGTTCCTTCAGCAAGTAAAGCCTGCAGGCCAGGCTCTGCGAACCCTGTCTTTAATCGTTAGTAGCATCTCGGTCCCCTGCTCGTGTTTCCCGGCCATTGTCTTCGGAAGCTCTGTACATATCCTCCCGTATGTCTTCCTCTGCGCGACCTCCCATAACCAAACAGCAGTCGAAGATGGCGGCGCCCAAGAACGCGCCTCCCTCTGCAGATGCAAAGGCCGTTGCTTCCAAGATGCACCGGCGTTCGCGATCAGGTACGTTCCCATCTGGGGTGCATGAGCACCTGGAGCTTGCGCGAAACTGACATGTTTCAGGTTGCTTCACCTGTCGATTACGCAGGAAGAAGTGCGAGGAGGGGAAACCTGCGTGTAAAGCGTGCAAGCACTTGGGCTTGCGATGCGATTACAAGCGGCCAATGTGGTGGAGCAATGGCGAGCAACGACGGAATCAAAAAGAGTTGATCAAGAACATCATCAAAAACACTCAACTCTCCAAGAAAGCAGCGCAAGCTCAACAACAACCACAGCTCAACACTAGCTCGCCGCCACCACTCAGCCACTCCGTACCGACCTCAGCAGAAGCCCCGTTCGCAGAATCGTTCCCACAATCAAGATGTCCGTCAGAAGGTTCACCTTACTCAACAGGATGCGACTTTACGTACCAGTCACCGGAAGGATACTTCGCCATGCCACCTCCACCTCAACCGTATATATCAACGCACCCACAGTACCCAATGTTCTCGCCGTACGAGGTCGACATCAAGACAGAACGCGAGATCTTTGTCAACGACATCCCAACTCGGCGCGACTCGACCATATCAACGTTCAGCACCTTCCAGCCGCCGCCGTCTATGAATGGCATGTCCGGCTATCCAGCAGACAGTTGGGTCCAGCAGGAGCATTTCGAGAGCACGACCGAGGAATACACCGAAGAGCCTGTCGACTTCAACTTCTTCGAATTTCCTCATGGCCCAATCACCCCAAACCACGAGGCTGTCATCGATGTTGAGGATTGCGACAAGTACCTACTTAATCACTTCCTTGACAAGGTAGCAAAGATGATCTTCCCCATTCTCGATGCCAACCAGCATGGCTCTGCGAGGACAGACGTGATCTTGCCGGCGTTGGAATCGAACAAGGCTTACCTGCACTGCTGTCTAAGTGTAGCTGCGACCCACATGAGGACGACCGAGGGCATGACTGGCGAACAGATCGATAACGACGTTGTACGCCATCGCTATGCGGCCATCTCTGAGCTTTGTGAAGCATTGGGCCAGGACACAAACCACTCGCAGATCCTCGAAGCGACGCTGAGCATGATCTTCTTCCAATGTTCTGTTGGTCGACCAGATGATGCGCTTCCCGACATCCCATGGCACCAGCACTTCCAGGCGGCGGCGAGTTTGGTCAACAAGTTGGAGCTTGCGACGGCGGCCTCTGAACTATCAACGACTGGCCAGCATCCTTCATTCAACATGACACTGACCTCATGGATCGATATTCTTGGATCGACAATCGTCGGCAGACTTCCGGTTTTCGCGGACACATACCGAGAGCTCAACATGGTGAATGGCAGCGCTGGACTTTCAGAATTGATGGGCTGTGACGACAAGGTCATGTTCTTGATCTCTGAGATTGCTTGCCTCGACTTCCAAAGACAATTCCTCACCGATGAGGTGGTCCTGTGCGGATACGTCGAGTCTCTGGCAAAGGCAATTGGAGCAACAGAAGAGATGGCCGGACTCGTGCAGAGCTGCTTCTCCAGCACCGGCGCCATCCGACCAAAACAACGCGCCATCAACATCACCGCAGTGTACCGCATCGCCGCCCGAATCTACCTCTGCACGCTCGTCCCCGGCTACTCCCCCACGCAACCCAGCATGTGCCACCTGATCTCGCAATTCGCCGAGCTCATGAACTACATCCCCGCGGGTCCAGAAGGCTTCGACCGCTCCCTCGTCTGGCCCCTCCTCATCGCGGGAGGCGCATCCGTCGCGGCCTCGCCCTTCCGATCCATGTTCGAGGAACGGTGCGACCGACTCGGCGACGCGGCCAACTTCGGCTCCTTTGGCCGGATACGAGAGCTGCTGAAGGAGCTCTGGGTGCACAACGACGCGGCGGCGCTGCAGGGAGACTTCCAGGGCATCCGCTGGCGAGATGTGATGCAGCAGAAGGGGTGGGAGTTTCTTCTGATATGAGGAGATAGTACTGACCTGCTTCTGACTGTCATCCTGGCCTGGCTGGTCTCCCTACAGCCGTCTTCCCGCAGCCGACATACGTCTGAGTACAGGAGCGCACGAACCTTTCGATTTCACATTGCATAGCGACGGTGCATGAGCAGCACGACACACCAAACACAGCATAATCCCGGGACTCAGCTTCCTTCGAGATGAGACAGATTTTTGAATTTTATTGTAGATGATACCCACGGCAGAAAGAAAAACAGGAGGAGGATGATAGACGTTTTTATCGGGAATGTTAAAGAGATGTGGAGGAGATGATTGAAGCACAGGACAAGATCTTTTTCCCATTGAGCATCTAGTGCAGCTCTGCTCGGGAAGAGGCCACAACCATCTATGATGAGAAGTAGGAGGAGGAGGAGGAGGAGGAGGAAGAAGAGGATAATTGTGGTGTTGGCGGTGGTTGGTGTGGCGTGGTGGTGGAGAGGTAGTGGAAGTAGAAACGATGAAGAGCAAATCAAGAAGATTCAAACTACAGCACATCTCAAACGCATCCATTCGTCTACTGCATCATTTCACCCTGAAGGGCTATGCAGAAGTCGTTGATAATAGTGTTGATACCAATAATGCTGTTGAATTTGATGAACGAACCCTCCCTCTCCACCACCTCCACGGAAGCTCACGCAGACAGCGGCCGGAGAAAAGACAGCTCCAGGTCTCCGCTTCGTGGACTTCTCGCTCGGTTCGGCAGCTGCTGCTCTTCTCTTGTGGCGTTTTCCCAAAATAGACACAGGCAAGTTTGCTGCATCAACGCATGCATCGAACAAGCAAGCCAGCCAGCACAAGCAAGCAAGCAAGCAGTTTCATCGTTTCGACGTCCCGCGATCAACGAACCACGCAACAGAAACTGTCGGGAAGCCCGCTCTACTAGTCGTCGATCATCCTCAGCGTTTCTCGCTGTTTGGAGGAGGCACACAACGGCTTTGGTTGTGGGACTTGCTGCTGCTGACATGCTGAGCTTTTGAGTTGTTTGAAGGACGACGACGTTGCGGCTCTGTTCGATACCTACATACTCTATACCTGATTTACCGGCCGATTCCCTGCCTGCACACGTGCGGTGCACATACCTCTGCGCGTGGCTAGCAGGTAGCGGGGCGAGCGAGCGAGTGAACTGGAAGCTGCACCGCGTGCTGTCTCAAACGGGCGAACCGCATCGATAAGAAACCCCGAACACACACACTGTCTCACCATGACCACCAACCCGTCGCCCTCCACGACCCGCCCCATCTTCGAACCCGTCGACACCTCCTTCAACCCCAGCGAACACTCGGCGCGAGACCGGGACGACGTCGAGAGCCCGTCGCTGACGAGCGGGAACGCCCTCGCGAGGTTCGAGTTCGAGCCGGGCAGGAGCAAGGATGGGACGAAGGTGTTGATGGTGGAGTGGGAAGAGGATGAGAGTAGCAAGCGAGTTGCGGGGGATTGGGAGATTTCGTGGGAGGGCAAGAGGACGGTTCTGCCCGCGCGGGATCCGGTGCAGGAGGAAGGGGAGGAGGCGCCGGTCAATCGGCTGTACTTTTTGCTTGGACCTGGGGTGTCTGTGCCTGGCGCGGTGAAGTTGCAGAAGGGGAACGCAAGCAGTGCGGTGACGTGGAGGACGAACCCTTTGCCTGCGATTTTTCCGCCGGAGTTGGGTGCCACGGCGCGGGCGGCGGGGAAGAAGGGCGTGCTGCATACGATCTGGGCGAAGAAGAGGTTGCAGGTTCTCACGAAGGAGATCGAGCAGGAGGAGAAGGATAATGTGGAGGGGATTGGGTTGGAGATGGCGGTCGCGGAGAAGGAGTGGATTGAGCAGAACTTTGGCGTCGTGGCGAAGCCCGGGAGTATCAGCCTTGCGACGGCGCCGTCTGCGATGGCGTCGGTGATGGGGCAGGGGAGTTTGAACAGTCCTACGAGTCCGAGGAGTCCTGGTGGGGGGAGATTGATGGATAAGTTGAAGGGGTTGAAGATTGGGACAAGCGAGCAGGATCTTTCGGGGCGGAAGGAGAACGAACAACAACAACAACAACCGCATGGATACCACAACCCGCTCAGTCCTGAGACGTCCGACGTGGCGGTTGGGTCGTTTGGCAGCTTTGCGGCGTTGAAAGGCGCGCCGCCTCCTTCGGCGATGGCTGCTAAACCCCCTCAACCGCCTCAACCACAACCGCAACCGCAACCGCAACGGAAGATCGCGGCGCAGAGACCGCCGGAGTCGTTTGCGTCGCAGCAGCGGCAGGCGGGAGGGATGGGCTCTCTGAACGCGTTTGCCAGTGGAGATGTGGGTGCTTCGAACGCAGCGCAAGAAGATACGGGAGATGATTTGTTTGCTCTTCCCATGAGTCCGCGAAGCCCCGAGATGACCAAGAGTCCGTTTTCGTTCGCCGCGCAGGATACGGTGAAGTATTTGGATGGCGAGAAGGCGTCGTGAGGCTGCTGGAGATTTGAGGGGTATGAAGGGCCGATCAGATAGAACATCAGCTGGGAGGATAGAGAAGGGGAAGTGAATCTGAATGAAGGGTCATGGAATGGGCTGTAGAGCAGTATTATATCCCCCAGGTAGCCCTTTGGGGCAGAGCTATCTATACCTAGGCAGTGAATGGACAGTCGTGTCGAAGGGTTCTATCTCGCACGTAGGATCACCAGAGTCATGCAGACCGTAGGCGACATCGTAGAAACATGACTAAATCGTATATGTATCCCACTAGCGTATGTAGAAAGCTTCATCAAAGCTTTCACATGTGAAGCCGTCTCCCAGAGCCAAAATAGAGTTTGCGGGCGAGCTTCGCAGCACTTCCGAAACTTGCAGATAGATGCACAAACTCACCACCACCCTCACCGTCAACATGGCGAAACGACCTGCGGAAGCCTCCCTGGAAGAGACGGTAACGGATTCAGCTGCGTCGAAGAAAGCGCGTGTTCAGGATGCGCCCGGTGAGGATCTCCCACCTCCACCTCCACCTCCACCAGCGGATCCAGTGCCTGTTAATGGGCATGTGAATGGTAAGTCAGAGGCGGAGCGGGTTGAAGATGAGGGGGATGAGGAAGAAGAAGAGGATGCGGACGAGCGAGCAGCAGCGAGACAGAGCGCACCAGCAGCAGGCTATTCCGATCTCTACCTCGACACGATTTCGCGACCACGCCTAGACTTCGATTTCGAAAAGCTGTGCTCCGTCACACTCTCCAACATCAACGTCTACGCCTGCCTCGTGTGCGGCAAGTACTACTCAGGACGAGGACCCAAGACACCGGCGTACTTCCACGCGCTGGAGGAGAACCATCACGTGTATATCAACATGGAGACGAAGAAGGTGTACGTGTTGCCGGAGGGGTACGAGGTGAAGAACAAGAGCTTGGATGATATCAAAGTCGTTGTGGATCCGCGGTTTACATCGGAGGAAGTGAAGGCGCTGGACAGGGAGCCGAAGCCTGCGTGGGATCTGCTGGGCAAGAAGTATATCCCAGGATTCGTGGGATTGAACAACATCAAGGCGAACGACTATCTCAATGTCGTGGTGCAAGCGTTGTCGCACGTCACGCCTCTACGGAACTTCTTCATGCTGGAGGATCTCTCGTCGCGGCCGGAGCTGGTGAAGCGCTTCAGTATTCTGGTCCGCAAGATCTGGAATACCAAGGCGTTCAAGTCGCATGTGTCGCCGCACGAGCTCATACAGGAGATCAGTATTCGCAGCGGGAAGAAGTTCTTGCTGACCGAGCAGGCTGATCCCGTGGACTTTCTGAGCTGGTTTCTGAATAACTTGCATTTGGCTCTGGGTGGGAGCAAGACGAAGCCGAAGAGTTCGCTTTTGCAGAAGATCGTCCAGGGCTCGCTGCGGGTGGAGTCGCAGGATATCAGTGCGCGCGCAGATGTCAGTGATCGGTTACGGTTCGAGGATGCAGCGATCAAGTCGCAGAGCTCGCCGTACATGATCCTCACTCTGGATCTCCCTCCCGCGCCTCTCTTCCAGGACGACGTCGAGAAGAACATCATCCCGCAGGTCCCGCTCACGACGATCCTACAGAAGTACAACGGCATCACTGCGCAAGAACGCATGAACACCCGAATGCGCTACCGCCTCCTTCATCCTCTCCCACCATACCTCATCATGCACGTCAAACGCTTCCAGCCGAACAAATTCCTCCAATCCCAGCGAAATCCCACCATCGTCACCTTCAACCCTCGCGCACTGGACATGTCGCCTTATATCGAGCCGGATCCGAAGCTTCACCCGACCGGGGAACCGGTCATCTACGATCTCGTTGCGAACATCACGTACGAGGGCGTCAAGGTGCGGGATGATTCAGTCGAGGGAGAGGCAGAGCGCAAGGTGTGGAAGGTGCAGGTCAAGGAGGGAGGGGAGAGTCAGCAGTGGTGGGAGATGCAGGATCTGTTCGTGGAGAAGGTGAATGCGGATCTGCTGTCGACGAAGGAGAGTTATGTCATGGTGTGGGAGAGGCGAAAGAACAGCAAGGGGAAGGGGAAGGCTTGAGGCGTGAAAAAGCTGTGGTTCTGAAGACTACATGAGGAACGGCCAGTTATTGGTCATGGACCCAAAGCCCGCGAAATCATTGGAGTTCAGCCACGACTCGACTTCATCATCCCACGATTTGGTTTTGCACCGAGAGCTGGAAATCACATCGGCATACGACCTCAGGTCTTGCACCGCATCCCGGAGTTCGCGGACTTTCGGCGTGGCCTCCTTTTGCGCGGCCATGGTGTCTAGCAACGATGAAGAGATGTCCATCAACCGCTGGTCGGACTCCATGTATGCGGCCTGTGCGTCGAAGATGGCGTTGGCGACGAGACAGATCAGGCCTGTGAAGTAGGCGCAACTCGCCAACCTAGCAGCAAGAATTAGCGAAAGGAACACAGAGTCGCCCACAGGGATGATTTCACTCACGCCTCAATCCACCCAACCCCCAACGCCGCCCGCTCAAACAACCCCATAAACTCCCTCGACTCCTGCACCAACCTCATCCACCCTTTCTCCACCGGCGGCTGCGCTTCCACTACCACCTCACCATTACTGATACTAACAGCCCTCCCATACGCCCTCACATCACCCACCCACTGCGAATAATGAAACGAATCCTGCGCACTCGCATGGCTAATCACCCCACGGCATCCCAGCGCCGTGCCATACAAGATCACAAAATACCGCGCGGTGGGATCGTTCGCGTTCGAGTTGCAGTTGGAGGAGAGATTTTCGGCGTGGAACGCTTCCGGGATCTGCGCGGTCCATTCGTCCAAAGCACGGAGGACGAGGGCGATATTCCTCGCGCGGGTGGCGGGAGGGGAATTTGTCGCCGGGAGGGAGTAGACGTACTCGTAGACTTTCCCTTGGATTCGCGCGAGGAGGATGCGGAGGCGGAAGAAGTTCGTCGTGCAGGGGGTGGAGGTGGGGGAGGAGAAGACGAAGCCGGTTGTTGCAGGGGAGTCCGGACAAGAAGGAGGAGGGAGCGTCGTGGGCGGCAGGTCGATGTCGATATCCCCGTCCTGCTGGATCGGCGGGACGCGCGCGAGCATGCTCGTGTCCCGATCGAGGACGTAGGCCATCCAGAAGACGTTGTTCCTCTGCTCGACCTCCCTCGGCGGCAGGTGCGCGGAGGCTGCGCGGCTGTGCAGGCCGATTTGGTGGGCGAGTCGTAGCGCCGTCGCGACGAGGATTATTGCGGGTTGGGTGTCGGCCACGAGGTAGAAGAGCATGGCGAGGGCGAGGGGGATTTGGATGTTGATCAGCGCGGGGGTGGGGGTGGTGATGATGGGGGAGAGGACGGATTGCGCGGCGGAGAGGTGCGTGGATGTTTGGGTGCGGGAGGACTTGAGGGTGGTGCTGCTGGTGGTGTGCGTCGCGAGGGCGAGGATCGTGTTGAGGAGGGCCCAGGAGACGGGGTCGTCGCTCGCGCTGTTGTTGTTGGTATACACGGCTCGAGTCGTCTGCAGCACCTCCCTGGGATCGAACAGCGGGAAGACGACGTTGAACGTCGAAAGGTACTCCTCGATCAACACCACGGCCTCCTCGTACGGCGGGAGGATACCCATACCCTTTCTCTGCACACCACTCCGCCTCTCCACCAGATCAACTTCCCCCCTCACACCACCCTCAACACCACCATCCACCTTCCTCACATCTCCCTTCCCTCTCAACCTCTCAACCTCCCTCCTCGCCTCCCTCAATTGCTCCTCCAACCCCTTAATCACCCCCTTCTGCACACTCCCAGCACCAGCTTCCCGCCTCCCCACTCCTCCTCCTTTCTTCCGACTCGCGGCCTTGTGCGTGCATTCGACGTCGTAGACGACGCAGGTCGAGCAGCGCGGTTTGAGGGCGTCGCATTTGAGTTTTTTGTGGTCTGTGGGTCATACACATATATGTCAGAAAAAGGTTCGGGTTTGGGAGGCGGCTGGACTGAACGGGGAATGGAAGTTGGGTTTGGGGGGACGTACAGCAAAGATCGCAGGCCTTCTCGGAAAGCAGTCGTCAGCACAGCACAGCACATTAAAGTAGTATTGCGAGTGAAAGCAAAAATCAACACAAATCTCTCGTCTCATCTCATCTATCCAGCCTCGAAACAAGAAGAGGAAAGGGGGAAAGACATACCTTTCTCTGAGGCTTGCTCGTGGTCGACTCCATAACTCCCTGCCTCACTCTCTCCTTTTCTTTCTCCTCTCTTCGCTCTCCGATCGATTCAAGCCTTATCTCGTCTCCTATCGTCTCGTCTCGCCCAAAAGCCTTCACTCGCACCGAAAGATGTAGGTGAGTAGTCGTCGTAGCAGTAGATACCAATACCAACCACGTACAACGAAAGATGTCAAGTATATGTCTTAACCAGAGCAGTCCTCAATGACGACTGCGTGACAAAGAAGTGATTTTTAAACTCAAAGGTCCCTATCTACTATCTAGAAGCGTAGTCGTCCATCATATGAAGTGCATGGCTGAAGTAAGCTTCCGTGGAACTTGTTGCTGACAAAACCCTTCCCTTTAGCTCTTCCCATCCCATCCACCTGCAGGCTCGGGACAAGTTGTGCGAGACCGACTCTACTACCTCCTAGCTGACTGATTCTGTGATGATGCAGAGTCTTTCATTCAATGGATGGATATTTCTTCCTGATATATACTCAGAGTACTACTGTGCAGCAGCAGCAGCAGCATCATCATCCCCAAAAACGACCTGCCGTTTCTTCTTCTTCTTGGCTTTGCTCTTCACCTCTGAGCCCCCTCCCTCTTCTCCCTCACCGGCAGCAGCAGACACACCCTCCTCCCCCTCCCCCTCCCCCTCCCTCCGCTTCTTCTTTTTCTTCTTCTTCACAACCTCCCCATTCCCTGCACCATCCCTATCACCCTCACCACCCTGCCCAGCACCATCATCCAAAAACTCCACCTTCGACTTCTTCTTCCTCGTCCTCCGCTTCACAACCGTGCCCTCCTCAGGCATATCCCTCGGCTGAATCCGTTCCTGCGCGCGCTGCATTTCCAGCCGTAACCGTTCGACTTCCTTGATCGCTTTGGCCATTTCTTCTTCTTCGGCTTGGCGGCGCTCGATGTCGAGTTTGCTGGCGCCGTTGGTGGCTGAGGGTTCGGTGAGGGATAGAGAGGACAAGCCGCTGCTGTCGACTTCGAGGAGGGGTTTCTTGCCTTTGGATAAAGTCGCTTTGGGCGCGCTGGATGAGAGTTTTGGATCGTCGTCTCCGCCGAGGGTCTCCTCGGCGGCGATTTCGAAGTGCTTCTTGACCTTCCGCACGGGTTGTGTCGAAGCTGGTCGCGGTATCGGCGCTGTGTCTCGAGCATCCAAGTTCAACTCTATCACAGGTATTGAATCGACATCTAGCTCCTCACCGTTGGCATTCCGTAAAATTTGATGCATAGGCGTCGAAGTCCCAGAGTTGCGTTCAGAGTCAATGTAATATGGATCGTCCTTGTACCGTTCTCTTCGCTCAGCTTTCTTTCGGAGAAGGGCGTCTCTATCGACCGGCTCGTCATCAGTCTCCTGATACGAAGCTGCTCGTGACGATCCAGGCGTCTCCAACAACTCTGCAGCAGGCCTTTGATAATCGATGGCAGCCACCGAAGGTTTTTGGTGATAGAATTTGGACACTTCGTCGTCGCCGTCATCGTATTCTGTATCGTACTCCGCTTGATTGAGCAACATCTGCAGATCGCTGTTGATGGGCGTATCAAGGTCCAACTCCTCTGGTTGCGGCACCTTGCGTATCGCCGTTGTAGCGACTGGGTTCAGCTCCATGCCAGCGAAGAGAGCTGGAATTGCCTGAGTTAGGAGTAGAGGCGGCTCAGCATAACCATCACCTTCGGTATCCTGATTGCCCGCTGCTTCAGACGCCAACCTCATGAGGTCCAGATACTCGACCGCCCGCTCTTGCACTTCAAGATTGGGATGTAATGTGAGTGGCTCCAAGAAATGCACAATGCGAGTGACCCACAACGTCGTCGTCGATCTTCGTGTGGTGCTCCAGGAGACTTGTTGGTTTCCCGTCAAGGCTGCGAAGATCTTGGGGATGGCCTGCAGATAGCTTTTCAGGACTTCTGCCGGTAGCTGAGAACTTGACGTGTGCAAAAGGGAGGTCAGGACCGCTTCAGCGTTAGGCAACATGCTCGCATATTCGCCTGCAACGAAAGCCGCAGGTGATAGCACTCCTTGTCCGGCATTGGAGCCCGCTGGGAAGAGCTTTTCCCGCTGCTCGATCAGTAGGAGAGACTGTGCGGCAGCGGCAGCTTCTGGTCGAACAGCCTTCACCCTGACGGCAACGTTTAGCAACTCTGAGCCAATTGTATCCGCAATGCCAGTCTGGCTCGCTCCAAACTTGCCAGTGGAGGACGACGGGCATTGCTTCACAAGCTCAAGCAACACGCCAATGTACCACTCGAAGTCGTTCATGTTGGCATAAGTGTCCCTCGAACACATCTCCAAGATGCGTTCAATAACAGACGCTCGATAGTCATCTGGAAGAGGTGGCTCTTGTCCTGATCCAGTATCCCTGCTCAAGACATTCGAAGGGTCGTCCTCGTCGTCCTCGTCGTCGGCCATGGGTATCACTCCCTCGTGCATCGCCCGATCGTTCTCAGGTACTTCTGCAGCAGATGCCTTGCCAGCGGTTCGCAGTTGCTTCAGTAGCCGCTCTACCACGCTCTGAAGATTGTTCGCGTTGACCATCCCAACGACCAGATCCAGTGCCCGAGTCCGGATCGAGATGTCCGGATCGTCGATACACTCCAGAACGACGTCCTGATGCTGAGAGACCAGTTCAGCATGTGAGCCCCCAATCTTGCCGAACGCCAGCAATGCCACATAGCGCAAGTTTGGATCCCCCTCCACGACCAACATAGCCCTGAGCTTGTTGACACACAACCTCGCGATCTCATCCCCCTCAATCGTACCATTCGCTGCCTCCAAAATCCCGCCCTGAATGATGCCATTAACACACTCATAGAGCAAACTCATAGCCGGCGTAGTCTTGATAATCGACGTCAAAGGCGGAAGCAACTTCTTCACCAACCGCGGCTCCACCGGTATCAGCACCGAAAACAACTTGATAATCTTGATCGCCATCCAATTATTCCCACCCGCCGTCAAAAGCTCAAACAATCTCGGCGCCAGGGGGAGGAAATCATGCGGTCTTCGCCATCCCAACTCACACACTACATTCACAATCGCCGCCGTGACGCTCGGATCCTCGTTCTCATCCAAAAGCCTCTCCTTGATCTTCGGCCACGCCGGCCGCAGCGTCTCGGGATACACCAGCGCCAGGCGATACAGCGTGACAATCGTCTTCTTCCGGATCGAAGGCAGCGAATGCGAGAGTCTCGGCAGCAAATCCGTGAGCAAAGAATTCGCCATGGAAGGATTAATCACATGCGGGATCGCACCCAGCGGCAACTGAATCGTCACCTTATCCGGCGAGTTCAGATCCTTCTTCAGAAGATTCTCCGCCAGCATCAACACCTCCGTATCTGGGCGGAACGTCTGCACCGCCGCGAGATAGCCCACGCGTTTCTGCAGGTACTTGGCCGAGGACATGACCTCGAGGACGTTGAACGACGCCCACGACATGTCGTGCCCGAACATCTCGAGGTAGACCAGCTTCAGCAGGGCCGTGGCTTTCTGGTCCATGTCCTGGCTCTTGATCTCCTTGCGGCATTCTCGCAGGCTGTCTTGGATGTACTCGCGCTCGTTGCCCTTGTGGGCCCGCAGGCCTCTGATGAGCTGGTATATATCCTTTTCAAACATCTTGCCCGCCTAATCCTTTCCACCCTTCAAAGTCTGTTATCTCTCCCGCCGCGGTGCCGGTATCGTTTTGCTAAATCGCTGTGTCCTGGGATCCAATGCGCCCAACTCTCTCAATGCCCTGCCTAGACGCAGCATATTGCTGCTCTCCCCGGAAGTGTGTGCGTCGCACCTTTCTTTACCGTGACACGGGTATCGAGTCTGGCTGGATACTGGAAGAGGGAAATGCAACCGTCGCGTGTCCGACCGTGGCGTCGTGGGAAATGTCTCGTGACGCAGTCGATGTGATTCAAAGAGTGATGGCTGCAGTTCGCTGGTGGTGGTGTGCTCCCTCCATCAGCGTGGGGCTTCGATTCGATCCGGAGCTGGGCTGCCCGCCGCGATTCAAGCGAGCTGTGCCACTCGCTGGCTATTACAACTCCCAGTTTCACTTTCAACTTTTTGACCTACAATCCACGAGCTACCTCAATCAACGCAAGCGGTGTGTTCGTCATGGACGAGGAAATGCGTGATGTTGCTCCTACACCCTCATCGGCAAGCCGGAAGCGTACCGCCAACGATGTTGACGACGACGACGATGAGGTTATGCAATTCGAAACAAACACAACAGACACACCCTCAAAGAGACTACGCAACCCGCAAGGCGACGCAATCTCGCGGAAACAACTCCACTTCAACGCGCACAAGCTCTTAAGTGATCTGGCATTCAGTCGTCTCTACGTGACGGCCAACTATGACCGCTACTCGGTGACCCAGTCTCCAATCCTTCTGACTGTGCTGTCTCGCCACGATGCCCTGTATCGTGCTGTATGGTAAAGTCCAACCCTGTTTTTTGAACTCCGAAAAGAATACAAAATGCCCCAAGCCCTTTCTCTTCGTGTATGCGTTACAAAACAACAATCAAAACAAAAACACAAGCTGAGCTTCAAAGCCAGACGTTGCCTGCCCTTTATGACATCTCGCCAAATCTTCAAGCCCTAGCCATCATCCCAGATAGCGAGACTCGACTGGACAATCCGGAACTCATCGATGCATCAAGCCTTCGGATGCTTCCGATCGTGAATAGCCTGAGCCTTGATTCGACCACCAGTGATAATCTGAACGCCTTGCTCGAGGCACTCCCTCAACCAAGGGATGCCGTTGTTCTTCTTGATCCAGCTGGGCACTGTCTGTGGGCACAGGACTTCCAATTTGCAGCTCATGCTTCTCTCCTGGCGACAACGTTAAGACGAAACCTTCAAGCAATGGCGCCGAGCGATGCGATGGACCAAGGGGTATAAAACTGTTCGAAAGGGCTCCCAGGAAAACGACGGCGCACACATGATCAATCCCCTTCATCGTCGTCTTGTGCTTCGTTCTTGTTGTCCTTCCGTATTGGAATCTTGATGCCTTGAGATGCAAACGTTTTGCTCAGAGGCGTCGACTCAATCACACCTGGGAACTTTTTGGCCGAGTAAACTTGGAACTTGTCGGAGAATGTCCAAGCCAGCACTGGTGCCTTTCCTCGGTTGACGCCTGGTGCTCCGTGGTTGCTAATGTCGATGAAGCTCATTCGAAGTCTGGGAGAAACGATTAGCGAAGGCCATCACACCCAGCGCCTTGAAAAGTCTCACCTGAAGAAGCCCTCCGTGCGGACACTCAAATCCTGCAGCACAAACCAGTAGCCAGCCTTGCTCTCGTTATCGGTCAAGCGCGCCGCGTTCACCGTCAGGCTGCCAATGAGGTTGCGCGTGTACATGGCGCTGCTGGCCGATGTCGATGGAGGCTGTTGGAATGCCATGGCCGGGCCGTGTACCTGTGGATACATGTATCCTCCATAACCGGGCATGATGGATGGCCTGCCCATCTGCACTGCATAGCCGGGCATGTTCGCGTACATGGGGTTCCCGTTATGGTCCATGTACATAATGGGTTGCGACTCGGCATGCCGTGGCGTCTCTTGTGGAGGTGGGTATGAAGTGGTGGTGGCACTGCTGATACTCACGGCAGGGCTGCTCGAGGAGGCGCGCACGACGTTGGCTTCACGGTCGGCACTCTCTGCCCACAAGTCGACTTGAAGGACGAAGAACGAGGGATCCGATCCGATGTCGTTGACATCGATTTCACGGCCGGTCTGATCATCCACAACGACGAGTCGGACACATGGTGGTGGGGTGATGGGCCGTCGGTCTTTGTCGCCAAAACCGCACATTCTTGCGCGTTGAGGTTGTTGGACGACTTCGAGAGAGTATCTCAACCCGTCTCTGACCATGCTAGAAGTCATTTTCTTCTCTTGCGGCGGCTTGGGCTCCGCAGGTCTGGATGGTGGAGGTAGCGATTGTTGAGGATGCGGAGGCGCTTGCGGTTGGGGCGGCTGTAACATGGGCTGTGACGGCGCTGGCATGTAGTGGCTTTGCATCGACTGACTGCTGTTAGCAGAGGAGGGTGGGTATGAGTTGTGGTCTTCTCGCACTGGAGGGATCCCGGGCATCGGCGGCGGAGGCATGCCAGGAACCAGAGGAGGCAGCTGGTTCTGCATGTACGGTTGCTGGTGTGTATGCTGGGCATGCTGCGAGTGTTGCTGCTGCTGCTGCTGATACGGGTTTGGGGGAGGTTGGCCTTGATACGGGTTGCCGCCGCCATACTGTTGGTATGGGTTCATGTCGGCACCGTTCGAGTAGCTGTTCCGGCTCTCTGAGCGCTGAGGTGCGGAGTCGTGGTGGATGCCGTTGGCGGGGTATTGGGACTGCGCGGTGGAGGGATGGTACTGGAGATGCGCTTGCATGGTGCGTGCTAGCAGCGAGCAGGCAGGTTGCGCTTGCTGCAAAGCTTCGAGTCGGGTCGTCCAGCACGGCTAGGTGCAGGGGCGCGAGAGAGTGCGGAAGGTTCAGGTTGGAATTGCAGCGAGGGAGGGGTGCAATATGTGAGCCTTTGACTTCGCACTCAACCAGGTCCTTGGGCCGTCTTCGTCCTTAGTCAACCTGAACGCACGTCTTCTGTCCGTCCGTCCACAGCTCATCCACCGCAAGCTTCCTTCACTCAATGCACTGGTCGTCTCCCTTGCTCATGCGGCCATGCACCATGCCGGCCGTGCTCAGCACAGCGTGTTTCGAGGGACGAGGTCGCGAGGGCGGTAGTGGGGCATCGGAGAAATGTGGAGGTGTCAGGCGGAGGCGTGGCGAGGTGTTGTTGTCGCACCGAGCGGCTGCGGCCAGTCAATTTCACTGCGTTGACAAGGGACAGCTGCCGGGTTCAACGTACAGTCAGTACCTACAGGCGATGCGGCCTGGCGATACTTTGCGATGCTGGCTGCGGTCCTTGCGCCGCGGCGACGTGTGCAGGCGTCGATGCAGTCTGCGAACGCCCTGGACGCTGACGATGGATCGGAGAATGTCGATCTCACAACACGGCGAGCCCAGCAGGACGGCGCTGCCGACGGCGGGCGTGGGTGGGCGTTGACGGTGGCACACCCAGGGCAGCACTGCGTGGACGAGGGCAATGGATTGCAGTACAGGGCGGGTGCTGTCAAATTCGCATGAAAACCACGTCCGTGGCGACCACTTTATCAGGCTCCGCCCACGACAACGCGCCTACGGCAACAATGAACTCCCTACGCAGGTCGAGGTCGATGTCGCGCATCCAAGCTATGTCAGCCACAGACCTCCCGCCGGCCTGAGCAAATAGGAGCAGCTCATCAGATGGGCGGGGGATGCCAGCAGAATCCTTGCAGCTGATCCCTTGTATTGGTTCCACTAGTGCGCGCACGCCAGTAGGCTCTCATCGCCCTGCTCCGCGACGATGCCTCACCCAAACGCCCAGATGCTGTGCTGTGCTGTGTTGCTGGCAGACACTTTGCCTCCCGCCTTGCAGCTACCTGTCTGCCGGCTGCCCGTGCGTGTGCGCCAACACCTCATCTCGCGTTGCCAGCATTGCTCGACCAAAAATGACAGCTCGGCTGCTACCAGCACACGATCTACCGTAGCCTCCCAACCGCTCTTCTGGGTGCTCCAGAACTGTGGCGCTCGAGATGCTCCTGACGCGGCCTTGGGAGACTGTAAATCAGCCTCTGCGTCCATATCCAGCGACCTGCTGTCCTCGGCCTGCGCGTGCTGCTTGTCTTGCGGCCAGAAGGATTCGCTGCGACCGGGATCTATCGCTGCCATCCCAGTCGGGCGTGCATAGATGGGTCCAACACGACACCTGGTTCTTACCTTCCGCTTGTCAAGGGACGTTGCCATTTCACAAGACAATCTCGTCGTGTCTTGACTCGTACGAGATTGAAACGTTTGCTTCCAGACTGTACGACACACATCACGAGTGGAAACAATGCGACGCCTGCCTTGCTGGAGAGCCACAGAGCTTGTGAAACCGCCACGTGAGGTTCGAAAGGCCAGACAAAGGCAGGTGGTGGAACATGAGTTTCACCTGTCTTGCAGAGTGGAGACACCAAATTGTAAAGGCTCAAATGGTGCATCCAACGCTGACGGCTAGATGCCTTTGCGATATCAATTCTGCGGCCTTCTTCACTTACACGATCTTCTCGACCGTCGCTACGATCGATTGCAGTCTATGAATGTACATCGTCGGCTGCACTTAAGCGAGAGGGGAAGTTAGCGCCGAGTGAGCCTCGTATCTTGGACGTCGTCAAGACTGTCATTGAGATCGACCGCTATATCGATCATATGATTTGATGAGCCTTGAAGCGATTATTGTCTACCTGATCGGAAATCGGGCAACCACCATCCGAACTTGTGGTATGTCTTCATGTTCATCACAGGTGCTCACCTCCCCTAGCTCTCCTTGATCTGCAATGTTCACTCGGATGCTGCCGAACCAAGGATGACAACAAGTGATCGACCACGAATACCAAGCAACCAGGCATGCACTGAACAGCTCTACACTTATCACGCAAGCGCTCCATTCGTCAACACATTCAGCCGCAGATTTCGCGAGATGACTTTCCGCATCACCCCTCAAGATACATGCAAAACAGTACCTTCCACATCCATCATCACCAAACGGATCGAATGTGGTTGTTTCCCTTGGCAAAGCCAATCGACATAGCCAATCGACATAGCCATGATCGAGGTCGAATGCCTACCTGGAGACTGTATGTGCCAATCAAATTTATGCTCGAGGCCGCATTTACCGCGGCTATTCAGCAAAAGCAAAACAGCAAAACGCGGAAAGACGGCAAAGGTGGCACAAAGCGGTTTTATCATCTCACCGTCAGGTTTAAACCTGCGGGACGGTCATCCGCCATCATTGAAATCTTGGCATGATGGCGGTGTGTATGACCCGGCATGCAGAACCGCCAGCTCTCAGCAAATTTCGCCTGTCTCTCTCGTCGGAGCGGGAGAGCCATCAAAGACATGAAGACATTTGCGCCGAAAGGACCGGTCACCTGCATACGTTCAGGATCCTCGCTCTTGCTGGACCTTGGCATTTTACCCGCGCTGCGGAACATTTGAGATAGAGGCTGGCTAAGATGCACGGCAATGACTCAGTCGCGAACCTATTGCGTGCTGTATCCAAGGCGGTGGGTAAGGTTTGTTTCATCTTTTGTTTACTCATAACATGCCACCGACTCACTGTGAGATGGAAGTTGTCGTCAATGCCGTCGGTGCCGCTGAGAGATGTAATCGCCACCACCAGCATCATGGGAACCAGACCGTCCATCACAGATCTACGTTGCCAGTTTGAGCTCCGTCAACACTCCTGACTTCAGGAGCTGCTCAACCTTGGAAACGACTTGCTTCGCTTGGGGCAACCTTCCACATTGCAAGCACCTGAACAAGTCTTTTGCCCGAATGCCCTCGATCAACCTTAATCGTCTGCGGATGGAACGGTAAAGCTGGCTGAGTGTATGTTATTACACGGCTCTCATGAGACATGTGGAGTCGGGCGAGTGACTCCCCTCCCCCCTACCCATGAGCTACTGATGAAGGCGCCCCTCCTCGTCGAATGAAGACAGACTCGCCCTCGCTGCCCACGGCGCTGGTGACAGTTTGGTAGGGGCCACTCTCGGATCCGATGGGAAAGTCGACTACATGCTCGATAGCAGTCGAATGATTTGACGACGCCGCTGGCCATACCTTCTCATGGTTCTGAGGCAGCCCAAAGAGGCATATCCAGCGGTCAACATGCGGTCGCGTTACTGTCAATGGCGCTCTTTGGAATGCATCGTTCCACGGTGCGGATATGTTCACACAAGGCGAGCATCCATATTACTTCACCTCGCTTCATCATACACCGAAGGAACAGCTCACCAAGAATTCCCACGGCAAAACCGGTTGTCATACACAACAATAGACGAACAACCTGTTTCCTTCTCTTCAAACCAACTTCACGCACCTTCCCACTCATACCAGCAATCTAGGAATAACACCCCCTCGGTGCCGACAACCATTTCCATTAGCTACCACCGTCGTCAATTATTTCCCCACAAACAAACAAACTCTCCACATTTCCCATCGACACCCAAGACGGACCACCCTGCGATCCTTTTTGGCTTGCTTCTGCCGGATCTCGCACAACCGGTTTCCGCGAACGGTACCTCCTGACGCCGGGACTCGGTGTTTGATCGGGAAGAAACTTCTGTTGCTTGATGAACTCGCATCTATGCACCGTACCGTGGTTTTGACGAGGACAGAGTTTTTTTCGTTTTCCGAGTTGTGTAACGTGCGGCGGTGTGGTGCGGCAGTGTGGCGCGTCTTTTTCATTCATTCAAGCATCGAGCAGGAGACGGGAATCGAGGTGGCTTGGGATCTTGTTGTCAAGAGCCAGTAGTCGCTGCCATCCTCCATCCAGCTTCCTACGAGAAGACTTGGCCATGTCTGTCGAAAAATGGCGATGCGTTCATGTTGTGATGTAAAACATAGACTATCCAAAAACGCGCCTCAATTAGTCATGCATTCAAATCCCGGCCAAACACGTGACACCACAACCTCAGGCACCCGAGCAACTCAGGGTCTCGGCAGCAGCAGCACCAGTGAGTGACGTAGCCAACGCGCAACTTTGAACAGCTCCCATCGCTCGCGTGCAAGATGTCGTGAATGAACAGCTGTTTATACATACACAAATCTGCGACATTGAATATTTGTGATCACAGTGAAGAACACATCCTGTGCTTTTACGTGTCCCAACACCCAGCTACCTACCTACACGTGGCCAGCTTCTCCCCTCTCCCAAAAGCCCTGGATCTTCGAAGACGAAAATGTCTGGTAAGTGTTATACCTTACCCACAGAATAGCTCCCATTACCAGGACCAGAGCTTGGGGAGAGGATAAGAAGAACCAAAAAGCTAACAGCATACATCTCACACAGCTCCGCCTGTCGATTACTGTAAGTGAGCCCCCCTCGCGGATACATGTACCCAGCATAGCATGTGATTTGAAACGAAAACGCCATTGACGAGTATCACAACGAACAGACGCGGCCCTAGAGGTCGACTCGAAAGCCTCGGCCCAGCAGATCCGGGATGCTTATAAGAAGTACGTTGGAAACATACCACACTCATTGAAAGGAAGGCTTGTAGATTGACTGATACGTGTATCTACAGACAAGCCCTCCGCCACCACCCCGACCGCGTGCCCGCCGACAGCCCCGATCGCGAGACGCGCACCAAGAAATTCCAACAGATCAACGATGCGTACTATACCCTCTCCGACTCCACGCGCCGACGAGATTACGACGTGACGCGTAATCAATTCCACGGGTTTCCTGGGAGTTCGTCGTCCTCGAGCAGGCCTGCCGCCGATGCGGACGAAGAGATCCCTCGTCCTGAGCCGGGAACTATGCCTGGCGGGTTCCCGTGGTCGGCGTTTGGGTTCGGAGGGACTGCGAAGACGGAGGAGGATGCGAATCGGTATAGCAATGAGCAGTTTGGGAGTGTGTTCGAGGAAATGATGCGCGATGAGGGGATGGCGGATGAGGATAAGACGCCGAATAAGGTGTTTTGGTCGATTGTGGGAGGCGTCAGTGGTGGCGCTATGGGGTTCATCATGGCGAATGTGCCGGGAGCTATTGCTGGTGCTGTTGCTGGGAATCGTCTTGGTGCCATCCGGGACAAGAGAGGGAAGAGCGTGTACTCGGTATACCAAGAGCTCGAGCAGCCGGAGAAGATGCGCTTGCTGTCTGAGTTGGCCCAGAAGGTCTTTGCTCATGCCATCAGCTAGGCATGAAGTTGTATGGCTGGATCAGGCGTTTATTATGGTCGTTTCTTAGTTAGATACCACGACAGTTGTTGCAATACCAGCAGATTAATCATCGTTGTATTTGCTGGGTGCCTCTGTCCAGAAGTTCGCGGGCAGCGATCAACTCAGATGCGCTGTAGCCATCCCAGCCTTTCTCGCCGGCTGTACCTCTTCGAACGATTTCGGCGAGCTTGGCTGTTGCGACTTCGTTGAGCTTCTTGACTGCGTCGATGGATGGAGGAGCTAAGTCGCCTGCTAATGGGTCAGAAGCAACCTGTTGCGACTTTTTCGTAGATTGAAGAGCGTCCAGGAGTCGATTGGTGGTCTGTAAGGGACAGTTAGCTCACTTTCAGCGATGCCTCTCTCCGATACATACCAGCTTGAGGCCATAATATCCACGAAGGTAGTCATCACAAAGCTCAATACTCCGACAGAACCTGCGCATGCTCTCCGACAGACCCTTGAGCTGCTCAGGACCAGCATCTTTGTGATTCGCAGACAAGTAAATGACCTCTCCGAGCTTGGCGTGGATATTCCAAGCATTGGGCATGACCAGCAACACTTCCTCCAGAGAGAATATCGCCTGATCGTATGCACCCTGAGTGAGGTACAGATCCGCCAACTCCGACCACGCCTCAGCATCCGTCGGCGAAGTATCCACAAGATTCGTAAGAGCACTGATCGCCTCCGCCGTCCGGCCCAAAGACCTCAGCAACGCGATCCTCCTCTTGCGAATCGCAAAGACACTCGGATCCTCCTTCAGAATCTCCTCGTAATGCTTCATCACATCCTCCAGCTCCTTGTCATTGTTCGCCGTGGCTTCTTCATAGAGTCCTCGCAGCGCGGTGACACGTTCGTTGTCCTTGCCGAAGCGGTCGGTGAGTTCTTCGAGGTAGAGGTACGCGGATTGGTTGTCGCCGGTTCGGAGACAGGCGAGGAAGATGTTTTCGTAGGCTTGCCATTTCTCTTGCGATTCGTTGTTGACGAAGAGGCTGAGTGGGTAGGGGAGGGACCAGGAGGCTTGCGATTTGTAGTATGTGGGCGCTTTTTGAGAGAGGGAGAGGGCGGTTTGGGGATTGGTGTTTGTTGGTGGTTCGAGAAGTGCGAGAGCCATTCTGACAGGTGTGCGTCCTTGTTTCGTGATGTGGAGATGTGTGTGTTGTGGTGGAGGGCAATTGCTGAAGCTCAACCTGAAGTGAAGAGCAGCTCGATGCTGCCTCAGGCACAAATCCAACGAACTTCCACCGCAGCTGTAGCCTCCATCTCATCCCAACAACTCGCTTCATCGCCATGTTACTCAGTCAGCCTCGAATCGAAAGTTTGGCAACTTCCCGGTGATGTCTGCACCGCCAGGCAGCATCTCGACCCTTCAGTCGAAGATATGGAATGGATCGCTGGCATTAGAGATCCGCCTGGCTGCTTCAGACTGCCGGACTTACGATGAATCAGAACCATATCTGATACAGTATCCACGACTGTCGTATTTGGCATTCTTGCTTCCAAGACTGCACGCTTTTTTCGCAGCGAGACTGATCAACCCAGAAGTGTCGTCTTACGACGCATGGCTTTCGTTCGAAGACGTGCCCTTGAAATGGCACTATCCACTGGGCCTGCTATACGACCTCTTCTCTGGAGCTGAACCGGCCGATCTGGATCCTCCAGGACAGAGTGATTCGGTCGTGGCATCGCAGGCGAATGTAGAAGCCAGTACTGGGCAAGCACCGATCCCCTGGAAGTTGACGATTCATTACACAGATTTTCCATACGATCAGCTCATTCAGCTGGATCCCGAAGGCTTGACTATGCGGGATACCTTTATCAACAGCGTCAAAGAAGCAGACTATGTTCGGAACGGTTCAGCTCGGACGGTGATGTCTCTTAGCAAAGAGGATTCGGATAATCTGTGGCTTTCGGTGCAGAACCGTGAGTGCGGCGATCGGTCTTTCCATATCAGTCACTGACCTTCATCACCAGATGAACTACTATTGTTTCGATCTGTCAACAACAAGCTACTCAACCCACCTGGAATGGAGCTTCGACACGTGCCAACCAAGATCTATCTGCCAGGCTCCGCCAGCGATGACGATACGGCGACGATTCTAGAAGAAACAAGACCCGGCCACATGAGAGTTGTGCAGTCATTGATCCCATTGCAACTTCCTTCAAGGCAACCACAAACGCTCGGAACTGCTCTGAACACCATTCTGCCCAGCATCTTCCCAAGTCGGCGCATTCTCCTGTATGCAAGACCGGTGTTGCATGGGGCTGCTCTTCCGCTAGCTGCTCGTATGGACGATCTGGGTAAAGCTGCTGCATACACCGATGGCTTCCTGCATATAGCGATCGTCATGCACGGTTGAAAAAGGCTGCACACTCCATTGCAAACGATACTTCTCGATGGCCGCATTGCGGGGTTACCCTGAAAGCACGGACAGGATATCTATTGGTAGGCGGGAAGGTGCAATGCCCGTTTTGATTGATTGCAAAAATTCAAACACGAGAGCTTCAAGATGTTGTGGCCTTCGATCAGCGACCCAGCCGGAGCGCAGGAACCGGAACAAGAATAGACTGCTCTCCAACATTCGAGAGCCATGTGGTTCAGGCGTCCAACGATAGCAAACAAACGAATCTAGTGGCTGAGCATCACGCGTTCGAGACAAATGACGACCTCATACTACGGCGACCTGTGCAATCGACAATGCAGTGTACATAAATAGCACGTGCACTCATTGTCAGCCTCACGACTGTGTGGTGTTTCGGAATGTCGACTCACCGGAAAAGGGCTACACTCGCCAGATATCGTGCTTGCCGGCAGCGAGTCTGGCCAATATCATCGTCGTGTACTTTCATTCATTCAGCAAACGCCCCGCTGGATGGTGCAGGGAAGCTGACCTACGACGGTATTCGCATCATGATTGGGTCTAATCAGGCTGGTACAATGCATCAGGTTGATTGACCCCGTCTAACGCCAAGCTCGATAACATCCTGCAGCATCAGACCTATCCATGACAAACGGCCGTTTATTGCATCTGTGCAAACAAAGCTTCTATCGATGGTCACGTAGGGATGCACCATGAACGATGACGCCAGTGATCTGAAAGAACGAACGATGCTCAGTTTCGGGTTACCCCTGGAATGGGCTTCACCTACCAGTCATCGCAGCTTATAGCTTCCTCTCCAGGAAAGAGCGGCCTTGTCCTCTGTGTTCCAGACATGAAGAAACCAAACAGCACACGACGGACATACTCGAGGCGACTGTCCATAGGCTCCTTCAGTGGTCACAGCAAAGCGATTTCGAATTCCCAACACCAATCGAGCAATTGCGAACCGTTCGAGTACCAATTCCTGCGAGGTTATGCTCTTTTCGGAGATACAGCCGCCTCTGTGCCCAGCAGCCTCCTCGTAAGGCAAACGACTCAGCTGACAGAAAGCCCAAATGAGGTACTGAGGTACTTAAGAAGTTGTACGCCGTACTGCCAGCACCCGGTGTCCTCCACCGCCCCCTTTGCGATCCGTCTCAGCCCGACCCGCATCACCATACACCTCTCACGATTCTCCACGAGGCCAGCATCCCCATGTCTTGCACCTGCTGTGGTTTCCAAACTCGGATGCCGGACACATGCCACGAACACGTTCGCGGCGCGGAAGCATGGCATGCCCGATCTGTGTCGCTGCAGCCAGCCAATGTTTGCTGTCATATGGCTATGGAAGGGTGGTTCGCATGGCCGCGGAACTCGGGCCGATCGGTGACACGTGCCTCAAGAAGAGGGCCGGTATGAGGTAGAGTGCGGTGTGGTCGAGGACTTGGCCGCCTTCTTGTCATACATCGTGGTTTTCCTGTTTCAGGAGGATCGTCATTTGGACGCGGGTATAACTTTGACCCGGGGCCCTGCTTCAGACGCCTCTCCCATCCAGTCCTTTTCTCGTTCCTGATCCGCTGTCGTCGAGTATCAAACCCAACCTGACTGCAGATCCTACCCTTCATTGTGGCCAACCTTCAACATCAAACACGACATCATGAGCGGCTACGCTAGCGCTTTCGGCTGGTGCTCTTGCCCCTACTGCCCATCCAACGGCTCAGCACACCAATCCTACCCCCTCCGCTACCTATCCTCAGTGCCCTACTACGACCCCGGCCATCAACACCAAATCTGCGAATGGTGCAACGTCTGGCAACGCCTAGGCCCGGGCTTCGTACGTCCCCCATCCACCCACCCCTCACCCACCCAACAACCAACTAACACAGGCCCTCGCCAATCCGCAGGAACTCCTCACGACCTACCAAAAACACATCCACACCTTCGAATCCATCCACGACTTCTTCCGCGGCGCCGCCCTCGCACCCGACTGGGTCGCCATCCAAATCCGCCGTGTTGCCGAGTATATCGACCTGAACGCGGCCGGGATGGCGTGGCGCCAGCTGGCGCTGGATTTGTATGAACTGGCGAGTGATGTGGGTTATGGGTATGTGCAGGATTATAGGTATTATTCCAGGTTGCCTGGCGGTGGGCCTTGGTATCGGAATTCGAGGCGGTTGTTGTGTTGACTTTTAGTGAGGGCGAATTGTGAGGCTAGCGGGCTGGCTGAGGGTGTTGGGAGGGGAAAGGGGGTGCTTGGGGGTAGAGTAGATGGGTATGGGTATGGAATTCGTTTTTCTCTTATTGATTTTCTCAGTGATGTTATGCTCGTTGCTCGCGCTTGATTGCCTCTTCTTCGGCTTCACCTCAAGCCGCACGATGTTTCATTGCTCCCTTTTGGAGGCGGGAGCTGCAGGATGGTGATAGCAGGGCTGTTTTCGAGTGTCTCTCTTCGCCAGACCGGTAAGGAAGATTCGATCCTGTCAGAGATGGTTCCCAGTTCCGACTGGGTTTGCTGAGGACTATGATGGCGCAACAGAGAAGTAGCAACAAGAACGTGTTGTAACTGCAGAGGTAGATGGCCAGGGTACTGAGGAAGCTGGAGGGCATTAGAGCGAAGGAGCATCTGCGCCGGCGATTCGTTCTAGTCGACAGCAGTCTTTGGCGATATCAGACTTCGAGCAGGTCGAACAGTCTCCGTAAACATATGACCACCTCGCCTCACCTAGAGTATACAGTCACAGAGAGCCTTCGACACGCTGTTGGATCATAGCGTCAAGCGGCTGGGCTCGCAGAAGTATCGCCATCACTGCCTCCCCTTCTCCACCACCCTCCTCGTCCCCTCCACAATCAACTTATGCTCCGCCTCATGTATCCTCGCCTGCAACTCCCCCAACGTCTCACACCCCTCAATGCTCACCTCCTGCTGCACAATCGGCTCTCCCATATCCACCTCCGCAATCACGTAATGGATCATAATCCCCGTCTTCGTCCTCTTGCCCTGCTTGAACTCCTCCCACGCCCTCTCAATGCAATGCGCCCCGACCAGATCCCCATGCAGCGACGGATGCAGGTTGATGATCGGGACCTTCTCCTCGTGCAACGGCTCCAGAAACGACGGCGTCACGATCCTCATAAACCCCGCGCAGACCACGATGTCCGGCTTCTCAGCCACCACGAGCTTCGCGAGATCCGCATCGTACGCCTCCCGCGCCTCCGAGAATTGAGGATTCTCGATATCGTCGGGATACTTCTTCTTGTACGGCAGAATCCCATGATACGTCGTCGGGATCTTCGCCGCTTCCGCACGCTTCAAGCCATAGGCATCCTTGCGATCGGAAATGACTCGCGCGAACTCGACGTCGGGCAGGGCGGGCGTGTTCGAGGCGTCGATGAGGGCTTGGAGGTTCGAGCCGGAGCCGGAGATCAGCACGAGCACACGTGCAGGCGCCATGGCGGGCGGGTGGTGGTCATTCACTTGCAGGGACGCTAGTGCTTCTCCTCCAAAATTTTGGTCAAGTGACTGACGTCGGTCGCAACTCCGCGATGATCGGCGAGGGCACGGGCCAGCCGCTGCAGGAACGATCCTAGCGCGCGATTTCGATGACGCTCATGCTGGGGTGAGAAAGAGAAAGAGGCGATCATTGTTGAGAAGTTGTGAAGTATCTTTGAACTTTTGACTGAAACGACAAGCACTCTTCCTATTGAACTCAGAAACACCTTGTTCTTGAAAAAATCCGGAAACAATCACCATGTCTCGTCTATTCACCCCACGAAACGTTGCCATTGGAGGTGCTGCAGCCGGCGCTGTGCTGTACTTCTGGCCCAAGTCGAGCAAACCGTACGTCTTTGAAGAGAAAGTCCTGGATCAAGGCTGATTGATGTGATAGAATCGAGACATTCGCCACACAGAACGTCGCGAACAGAATGTCCGCGGGTGGAGCGACACATACCCATACTCCAGCAGTCGCCACACCACGAGGTAGGCGAGATTCCAACCAATTGCGAAGGATCATGTCCTTTCGCTTCAAGGAGACTTTGTCAAACAAGTATGATTCAGTCTAACACACTTTGTAGGGAAGTCAGACCAGACAGTCTCGCCGCAAACCAACCCAACCGGCATCGACACGCCGCATTTCGTCAATAATGTCGCCGATCAGAAAGCGCACGACCAAGCAGGACCTAAGAAGGCGCTCAACCAGGCCGTGTACGGCCAAGACAAGGGAAAGTGAGGGAAGAGATATAAAAGACATCAAGAGGAGAAGAGACGAAAGAGACGTCATGGCGAAGAACCCGAACCTTGACACGACTTTCATCCTCTTCCTGAGATAGATTACCCTGCATTGATCCTTTCTTTCCAGCGTTGCATTGGGCGGTATGGGGTGTACACAAAATCAAAAGGCAGCATGAAGAGCCATCACCTGAAACGCCTGCGTTGCACCTTGCATGTCCAAATTCACGCCTCCTTCGCCATGTTGCTTGCGCCAGTGCAGTCTCTTCCACAGCCATCTCTTCAACTTCTTGATCGGTCCACCGTTCAGGCCCTGCCCACACGAGGGGCTCCAGATGTGCATGAACATGCTCGAAAGCAGAGGGAAGCACTCTTCACATCGCGGGCACTTGAAAGGTCGATGTTCGGGGTCGCTGCGGTAGCTGTCGTCGCCAGCGAGTAGGCTTTGACGGAAGGGCTTGTCGAGGTACTTCTTCCACTGGAAACACATGGCGGCTGAACGGTTCAGCTCTTCGATCGAGATGCCGGAGGGGCAGCCTTTGCCTTCGAGATGGATGATCATGTCGGGGTAGCGGCGGAATTTGCGTGAGCAGCCATAGCAGGAGATCTTTTCCGGGAGATGGGTGATTTGATGCTGATGCTGGTGTTAGATTGCATTGCCAAGGTGCTTGATCGGGTGGACTTGCGTGCTTGAGATGGCTGGGTTCGTCGAAGCCTCTGCCATAACCTGGCTCTTGACATCGGAGGTATCTGGAACGGACTCAATATCAGCTCGTCAGCTGGGTGTCGAGATTACTCACGCCATTTTGCGCAACACAGGTTCTGCGATGGGGAAGACTTTGTTCACACAGACATATGTGCGGCTTTAAATATTAGTAGGACGTGTTCGCAACACAAACGAGCCAAGATTGATCAAACGACGGTCTGCGGGATCCCGTCACGCATCCATTCGCGCTGATTGTTGACCAATGCGTTTCGCTGCAGAATAGCAGCAAAAAGAAAGGATATGCGGGCTTGCGCTTAGGGGTTTTATAGTCGCGTGACGGAAACTACCCTCGCACTGGTTAGGTTTCTGCAAACTTTGACAGTTCACAAGCTGTCGCCGCAAGTGATGCATGAAAGTGCTCGAACCACTTGGGTTGTGGTCTCTTCTGACAGCTGTCCCATGACGTAGTACTCAAAGAGCAGTGCAGTGTTCTGCCACGGTTTTGAGGCAGCCAGAAGTACCTATTCTTTGATGCCGGGATGTGCGAGCGCATGCAAAATCCTGGCTTCTTCTGACCACTTTTTCTCGATGTCGCTAAGTCATGTGTGATGCCCTTCGCCCTATCTAGTGATAGTCATGCCGTGTGGTGAAGCATCGGAGCGGTAAGGGAAGCAGGATGGTTATGCTTTCGACGTGCGTTCTTTCGTGTTCTCTACCCAGGCTCGTAGGGACATCGACCATCGTCGCCGACGTGTAGGATGGGAGGGTGCATGGCATAAATGACAATAACGCATGCAGCGAGCATGATTGCATGCCGTCAAACACAGGCGCGTTTGCGTGCGGGCGAAGTGCTCAGTTGCAACCGACGGGTCGTTCGAGGGCCCATCTTGAACATGGCTGGGTCAGAGTGATGTCAACCTCTGTGCTGATGCCCAGTGTGTCCCGGCGCAGTGAGGGCAGTCTTGTGCGTGGTGACCAACGACGTGGACCGATTGTGGTTGATTCTGGTCGAGCTCTCGACGTGAAGTGCAGTTTCCGGTTGAGAGACGGCTTGGAATTCGAGACCCACTTTTCGGTCCTCGCATTTGGTACGAGGTCCGACCTCACCTCTTCTTTCACTCACTTCGTCTTCTCTTTTTGCGGTATAAAATCCCTCTCAGTGCGCCCGTTGTGGTTTATTCGCGTTCTTCAAAGTGAGACATTGTCTGCTGAAGTGAAATCGGTTGAGTTTCTGCCCATCTTTGCCAAATGAAAGCCGATACCCATTGCCCATACCAACAGCTCGCCAGAGCATGTGCCACTTGTCAGATTATGAAGAGGAAGAAAGTCTCCAACAAAGAATAGAATGATTTTCGAAAGTACCAGTGAGTCCTCTACATCCCAATTTGTATCAAAGATAGGAACCAACGCGACACTCAATAGCAGATGATAGCAGATAAGACTCAGGAGCCTCACAGAACAACTTACAGAAAGATATCGTCAGGAACCATTGCGCAACGACGCCCATGAAGCCCAAAACACTGGCAGAGAACGGTAGAACAAAGCAGCGCGCCGAACGCCGGCCGAACATCGGCAGCGAGCGCGGTTTTAGCTACATATATCTCGCGAAAGCTACATCATCACCATTCAACCAACGAGGTTGAATGGCGCGACGGAATTACCACAACCGACCGAACGAACGAGTGAGTGTCGATCGAAAACTCACAGCGGCGGCGAACGACCGAATTACGAACGAATGAGTGTCGATCGAAAACTCATAGCGGCGGCGAACGACCGAAACGAACCGAATCGAGTGATTGGCGATCGAAGAATCACAGCGGCGGCGAACGACCGGCGGATAAAAAAAAGTAAAACTGGTAAGACAGTTTTCTCTAGAATCTCAAAAAGAGATTCTAGTTCTTTTGCATTTTTTTTCCTATGGAGAGGACTTCGAAGGTATTACCTTGTTGTGCTTACTGCTTCAGGGTCCCGGGTTCGAGTCTGAGTATTGGCTTGTTGAATTTTGCATGTTATTCAACTCTTTTTGATGGGCTGATGTACAATATCGATGCGAGGCAAGCTGGACAGCGAGCCTCACCTTCACGAGTCGCGCAATCTGATTCTTCAATATTGGTTATTTCACGATGAAAGAGGGAGTAATCTTCGAGGGCGACGCGCGACGATGAGATCGATCAGTTCAATTCATAATGAGGTGGTGCATTCTGTCTTCGAACAGCTCAGCAGCGGGCGAGCATGAGCGCCTACGTCATCGCCCCTTGAAACCATTCGAGCGAGTCGCCGAACGCAAGCTCTGGACCCACGAACATGAAGTCGTCCAGGTCGCCAAGAGCATCCTGTGAGATGCCCCCGTCGTTCCGCGTGGTGATCATGGCGAAGTCATCTTGCGTTTGCTCTGCATTGGGTGTCGCCTCAAATGAGGAGTTATCCTGAGCTGCTCGACTTTGCCACAATCCCTGAAGGGCTCTGACACATCGTGTTGACCTCGGCTTGCTCGTGCACTCCAGTACGTGCAGTCCCTGGTTCCACGAGTTGTCAAGTGCTCTTTGGCCAACGAGCGCTGAGACAGTAGGGCTTTCCTAGCTTCGCTGATCACAGTCGCGGCCGTGTAAACGACTTCAAAAAACGTCAGCTTAACCGCAGTACACTGCTTCGATCGCACACCTACAGCAGACATTGCAGTAATCCAGTAAAGGTACGCCAAATGAGCTGTTAACAGAATTATTGGCGAAACCATCCAAACCGTGGCAATCCTGCTATACGAACCTGCTCTGCTGTACTCCTTGAAGTCGGTCCATAAGGTCTAGAAGCTCTTTTGCGCTGCTAACGCAACGCAAGATGAGTCTTTGAAGCAGCACTTCCTCGACAGCGCTGTCGGATTCGTCTACATTATCAAGTTGCTGCTCTAATTCCGGCAGCAGTGGACGAAGTAGCGCGATTCGGCAGAAGAGATATCTGTGTCGAGTCAGTCAGGTCATATCTTACATCCACATACTTGTTATACCTTGTTCGCAAGATGCAGGACTGGTTGCGGTCGACCGTTCTCGCCCATTCCACATCTTCGTGTCCGTGGTGTAAAGCTCTTGGGAGAGACTTCCAATACTCCACAAGCCTTTTGTCGAAAGCTAGCACTTTTGACAGGTCTCTGTTACTGTGCTGATCTGATCTCTGCAAGTGAACTGATGAGCCAGTTTCATTCCACATGGCATATATCTCGCCTAGCAGTTTGTTTAGCCTAAGCGTATGGGAATAGAACTGCGATGGATGGTACTGCTGGTCGGAAACCTGGTGGGGCTCCTGCCTCAGACCAAGGGCTTCTTCATCGCACCCAAACGTTGGAAACGGTACTTCAGTGACGGTTGACGCAAGAGCTAGGACTTGTGGAAATTGCCCCAGAGCAGATGACACCACCCTGGCCACACTCATCAGCAGCCGTCAACTAGCATCTTGAATGTTGCAAGGATGGCTTACCGGCTCAAAAGGTGACTACCATGCCAAACGCAGCGAAAGATCTGTTGCTCCTGGGCTTTCGATCCCCAGCCATCTCTTGTCTCAAATGAAGTTCTCACGCTCCGTACGCTGCATATGGCGATATCAAGCACCCGCTTCGCCCTGGAGAATTCTCCGCTGGCAATCTGATACAACCCCATGAGAAGGAGAATCTGAATCTCCAGTAAGGACGATGGCTCGCATGGATCGAAGTGGAAGTTAGCTCTCGCACGCTCGAAGTAGCTGGCGGAGCCTTTGTCATTGCAGCGTAGCGGCAGCTCGAGATGAGCTGCAACAGCGAATACGACATTCAGTAGGCTGTAGAATGTGGGAGGCGGTGAGTTCGAGTCGTTCGAAGACATCCACAACGTCTGATACTGGCTCTCGAAAGTGCTACGGTGCAGGAAAGGATAGTAAGGGTGTATTCCGTCCCAATAAGCACGTACAAGGCGATCAGCCACGCTGCGCATGGGTAAGACACGGCCGTAATCGCTGCAGTCAATCGTGTTCGATTGCGGATAGATTCTCTGGGGCAGAGACTCAGCGTCAGGCTCCAGAATCTCTCGCAGCTGTTGCATCAGTTCACACGAGCTGTGTGGACTAGTGGGCGTTGAACCGCTCGCTGTGGGCGTAGTCTCCTCCTGCGTAAGCAAGGTGGACTGAACAATGGGATCCAGAGCATGGGCCTGATCGACGGTAGGGCCACTGTCCACAAAAAATGGGTCGGCGATAGCTGTGTGTACAGAAGATGCCTCTGCTTCGCTTGGACGAGCCTGAAGCTCTTTCTCCAAGTACTCAATGTACCGCTGGGCCCGGTCTGCAGGCGGATAGGAGCATTCGTCCCCACCCACTCCATAGCGATAACGTGTGCGTCGCGAACATGGACCGCATCCTTGGAAAGTTAGTGGAAACTTTTCAGATCTCTTGAAGAAGTGATGGCATCTGGAGTTCCACCGTCACATCGCACCTTCCTACTGCGGCAAGGAATGCACGCCACCGCAATCTTGACGCGCTTCTTGCGTGCCACCGCACCAGACTTAGCTCCTCTGCTATCGGTGTTCATGATCGCTCTTGTCGATTAAGCTAGGAAGAGGATGCCATATGAATCTCACTTCCCTCGTCACGCTACCCCACAATGCGCCCCACACGCTGAGAAGTGGGGAAAGAGCCACAGCCTTGTAGGCATCCTCTAGATCCTTTAGGGCCGCAGGGTAGACTAGGGTTCAGACGACGACTCGATTCTGCACAATTTCTTCAGCTAGACTTGAACTTCGGCAGATCTCGCGATGCTGGACTTGGCCCCTCGGTAACGGGGTTTCATCACTGCCGACGGTGTTGTACGCGTGTGGGTGGTACAAGTCTTTCTCGGAACGCTTCCGAAAGGCACGGCAGCATGTTGAGTGCTCAACGTTTCAAAAGGGGCATTTGTGCAAAATTCCGACTAGACGATAGTGTATGAGAAGACAACAGCTGCAAATACCAGCCTCTATTCACACATCCTGCAACAATGACGCTCTCGAAAGGATGGACCGACGCCGTGACGATCCCGTCGAAGCACTTCGCAGATGGACTCATCTTCGGCGAGAGTCCACGCTACAAGAACGGAACACTATATGTCAGCGACATGCTCAAGCGATGCGTCTACAACGTCGACCAAGATGGCTACCGAAAGACGCTGATCGAGAGCCCGCACAGCATGAACGGCAGCGGCTTCCTCCCAGATGGCACTTTCGTGTACTCGTCCTTCTTCGAGCAGAAACTGTACACCCACAAGGATGGCACTAGCTCGCTGTATGCAGATGTCTCGCATCTCATGACTGGCTACTGTGGGGATATGGAGATCGACCATGAGGGTTACATCTATTTGGACGACATTGGGTGTCAGCCCTGGCATGGAGATTTGACATCTCTCGGACGACTCATTGTAGTGAAGCCTGATCGGACCTCCTACGTCGCTGCAGAAGACATCCATTTCAGCAACGGACTCGTCCTCGACAGGAAACGAACCACTCTCTACATTGCGGAGTCATCCTCGAAATACCTGACTGCGTTCGACGTTCCATCTCCCGGTCGTCTGGAGAATCGCAGAACGGTGTTCAAATCCGACGACCCCAAAAGCGATGATGATGCCATTGACGGCATCTGCATCGATAGCGAAGATGGCATCTGGTTTTGCTTTATCCACCAGGGTGTTGTCGTGCGTCGATCTGCAGAAGGACGGTTTACCCACATTGTGCGGACTGGGGATATGCCCACGGCATGTACGCTTGGAGGAGATGATGGGCGTACGCTTTACATTGTGGTCAATGCAAAGCCTGATGGGTCGGAATTGTTTGCAGCGATGGGGGAGAAGTTGACTCATGGAGTTGTTCAGACCGCCGTGGCACCGTTCCCTCGTCAAGGGGGAGCGTAATACCGGTACCTTTGATGTACATCTTACAGCAGTACTATCTGTGGCTTAGGAACGGTTTGAATTTCATGCAGAATTCGTTGTTGATCTACTAAGAGTAATACGTAGTTGGATAAGACAATTCAAACGGAGCTCAACTGCAATGTGACAGGACCTTGGATGATAATCAATTCTGATTGATCTCGTTCTGATTTCTCCCAGTCTCGCTGAATCACTGCCATCTTATTCTGTCTTGATATACTGCGCCAAACTCGGGAACAACTTCAGCGCATTCTTATACGCAATCCCATCCATGAGCTCACTCTTCTCAAAAGAATAACTCTCCAGCCCCGGTGTATGATTCGCAATAATCGTCTGACTCGCATACGGATAATCCGAACCAAACAAAACATGATCAGCCTCCAGATGTCCCGACTTGACGAACCCTTCCAGAAGACCGAGCACGCTCGGGCTGAGCGAAATGGCAGTGTCGTAGTAGAACCTCTTGAACCCATCAAGGAACTTCTTCTGCTCGTCTGACCCATTGGGCCAGATACTTGCTGGGCGAGTGACGATCCAGGGTAACATGCCTCCTGCGCGCGAGAGGATTACTTTGACTTTGCGGTGGCTTTGGATGACGCCGTTCAGCATCATATCGACGGCTGTCTGTGTTGTCTCGAATGGGTAGACCAGCATTGGCTGTAGCATCTCCGGATTGACAAGGTGTGTGTCGACTGGATGCGTTGGGTGGACGAAGACGACGGCCTCACGACGGTCCAGCTCGTCCCAAATCTCTTTGAAGTCAGGATGTCCAAGATAGTGATTGTCCTGGCCGTATCTGGTGAACAGCGTGATGCCATCGGCCTTCAGCGTGTCGAGGGCATATGCTATCTCGTCCAAAGCGTCTTGCTTATCCATGAGCGACGGCAGGGATGCGAAGAAGCCGTATTTATCTGGCTCGGCGTCACGGATCTTAGCACAGTACTCGTTCGCCTGTCGCGCCAGTTTGCTCCGTCCTTCTCGGCTCTTGACGATGCATGCGCCAGGTGCCGTCAGCTTGTGTACGATGTTCATGCAATGGTATGTTCTACCCTTGGTATAGAAGTCCTTTACCCAATGATGGTGAGTATCAATCAGAGGCCGAGACATGCTTGGAAGGGGTTCAGCCTGTGGTATGTTTATCTCAAGGCTGTGACTAACCCGAGCAGACGTATATGTAGGGACTCGACTTTCCCACATGGAACACTTCCGTACTACAAGTGTACCGGGATTATCATCAGCAGGTACTTACTCCGTCATAGCATTGACAAGGGGTCACAGAAAACGAATGGGAAGCCTTCCGCATCAGCTTGGAAGGCATCCGAGTCCTCGGGACGGATAAGCGTTCAAGCTGCAATGGCCGGCCATGAATACATGTAAGAAAGTCATTTTCAAGTACTCAATCCTCTTTGGCAATAGTCTGTAGTCGCAATCCTGGGCCGCTTTACCCGTCCACGAGGACGGACGAGGCTCGCCTCCAGCAGCGGCTTTAAAGGAGATCGATCCGGAGGAAGGATATGTATAATGTTCAGAAACAAGCGGCTCATTGGCAAGATCTGATCTTGGAAGCAGAGGCGGAGTCATGTCTCGTTCTAATTAGTATCCTTTGCCTCGATACAACGGCGAGGGCGGACGGTACGCAGGAATTCAGCCTGGTGAGGCACATTCGTTTGTTCATGCTCCTTCGCGACACTCCACGCTTCTTATTCGCCGCCCATTTCCATCCCATGTCCGCCTTCATAATACCCATCTGAGACGGCAGTCTTGCTTGGGTAGTTCTCGCAAAAGCCTCAGACTCAGACTATACGCTGAAGCGTCTGAGGAGGTAGTTCCATCCTCAGGAACGTGCCGACTGCTTGGTGTACTTGCTGCCCACAAAGCTCCGTGAAAAGAGCTTTTGCGACCCCAGCTTGAACTCGAAATGGCCTTGACCTGCCTCTTTTGCGTAGCCTGGGTAGCCGCGTTCAATAGCTTCCTCGTGCGAGATGGATGCCCAGTCTGAGTCTTCATCACCGTCCATTCCTTCCCTGCGCTCACGGTCTGTGAGTTATTTGCTCCCCTGAGCGTTGAATGGCGTGAGTGAACCCTTCTCGTTGCTGTTCGCTGAAATGTGATCGTGCGACTCGTCCCTAGCGACATGGTCTCTGTCTCTCGGCTGCTCAGGGGTAGTGGTGGTAGGGGCTATGGTAAGCGATGATGTTCCTATCGAAATTCGTGGTAAAGAAGCTCTATTCAAGCAGAGACCGGTTCCTTTGAGAAGAGGAAGCTATCGTTTCGAGAGCTACAACTGGATTCTGTGAGTGGCGAATGCAACGCTGGAGCTAGGCAACAGCGATAATTGCATTTCCTAGCCGCATGCCGGCGGATCCTACCGGCCTGGATCATGGAACTTGGCTCAGTGTACAATAAATTCGTGCGTAGATTGATGCAGTTTGGTTCTTGTGCATGTCTGCAGTGAGCACTCTCAACCCACAATCTCGACCTGTTTGAACGGGATTCACTACAACCGTGGCCACGACTCGACCAGTCTTGTGCACCTCTTCACAACCTCAAATACGACAAAAGTCCTCCATCAACAACAACCTGCGACCCCGTCATCGCCACAAAGTCCGCACTCCCCAGAAAGACGGCCACCCGCGCAAGCTCATCAGGTTTGACCGTCTGCCCCGTAGGCGCCGCATCCGCCAACCTCGAAGCAATCTTCGAGGTCAATGGGGTTTCCACATAACCCGGTATGATGGCATTGCAGCGAATTCCATGCTGCCCCAAGTCAACAGCAACAGCTCTTGTCAGGCTCGAGACAGCCCCTTTCGAAGCGGCATAGCAAGGCACTCCAGGTGAAGCCACAACTGCTAGCGCAGAGGACATGTTGATGATTGAGCCTCGAGAGGCGTCCGCTTGGGGTGTTTGGCGTAGCATTTGAGCTGCGGCATGCTTGCAACCATAGAATGTGCCGAATGTGTTTACTCGTAATGTCTTTTCGAATCGTTCTTCGCTACTATGTTGGATTGGCTGAGGGTCCGCCGCCTCGGTGCCAACACCTGCGTTGTTGACCATACTGCAAACGTTTCATATCAGCTTTAGTAAATCGTAAACGGGACCTGGACGTACACGTCCAACCGACCATACGTCTCCACAGCGGTATCAACCAATGTCTTGACGCTCTGTGAATCGCTCACGTCCACTTCGACGAAGACACTAGATCCCTCTCCACCCTCCTCAATGACTTCATGTGTCGCCTTGTCATTTGGAGAGGTGGACGATGACGGGGAGAGATCACCGCAGACGACCTTTGCGCCTTGTTCGCCATATGCAATGGCGATGGCTCTACCAATGCCCGAAGACGAGCCTGTGACAATTGCTACGAGGTTGTGAAGTCGAAGATGGTTCATGATGGTTGACAAAGTAAGTCAGAGGAGCAAGTTGACTGCCGTGAAGACTGTGGCTTCTTGTGACTTGCACTTCGGGAGCACATGACAAGCCGAATGTTCGGGATGGTCACTCCGGGTTATGTCCTGAGCAGGGAACTGTTCCGCAGTCGCGCTGGCCTTTGACTTGTTCACGTCCCATTCTTGTTCATTCGGACTGATATTCGCTTTCGCAGGGCTCGGCATGCCGTCCAGGACCAGGCCGAGAAAGTTTGACGGGGAACCGGTATTCACGGAACACATCCGAACGGCTCCCCCATGACCGTTGGCGCATGCATCAGGGGTATGCAACGCCGTGGCGTCTCGCACTCTCGTATTCGCAGGCGTGGAATCCCGAACATCGTCTCTACTTGTCTATAACCCATTTCTTGTTTAGATATTGCTGTGGAGCAGAAGTTCCAGCTATCAACCGCAAACCGCCAGGCTGGTTTCATTCCAGGAAAGGAGAGAAACCAACAGCAACAATGTCGAAATCCACTCACCACACTGAAAGCGAGACCTTCGACATAATCATCATCGGCGCCGGAATCTCAGGTCTAGCAGCAGCGCATCAAATTCAGACATCTCTGCCTCATCTCTCCTACACAATCCTCGAAGCCCGCAATGCCATAGGCGGCACATGGGACCTCTTCAGATTCCCCGGTGTGAGATCAGATACGGACCTGGTGACGTTTGGATTCTCCTGGTATCCTTGGACGGCGAATGAGATCATTGCCAAGGGAGAGTTGATTCGAGATTATCTGCAGGAAGCGGCGGCGTCGGAGGGGATTGATCGACGTGTGAAGTTTGGGCATAAGGTTAGGAAGGCGGAGTGGGATGGGGGCAAGGGTCGGTGGCGGTTGAGTGTTGGTGTCGAAGATGAGAAGACCGTCTATCTTGAGGCGAGGGCGATTGTGTTCGCGGCCGGGTACTATGACTATGACTCTGGACTTGCGGTGGATATTCCAGGACTCAAGAACTTCGATGGCGATATTATCCATCCGCAATTCTGGCCGAAAGACCTGGACTTGAGTGGAAAAAGTATCGCTCTGATTGGCAGCGGCGCCACAGCCATCACCTTGCTCCCCAGTCTGGCCAAAGAAGCCGAACATGTGACGATGGTCCAGCGAAGTCCCACCTACATCCTATCCCTCCCCAACGCCATCACCGGAAAATGGCTCTACAAGTTCTTACCCGGCTGGTTGGCCTTCCAAATCCAGCGGATCCCCTATCTTCTCGGTCCCATGTACCTGTTTCTCTACTGCAAGTTGTTTCCGAAGACGGCCAGGAGAAGAATTCGAGACGCAGCCGCCGCACAACTGCCAAAAGACTATCCGGTCGACAAACATTTCCAACCGAGATATGAGCCTTGGGACCAGAGGATCTGTTTCTCGCCAGATGGAGACTTTTACCAGGCGATTCGAGATGGCAAGGCGAGTATCGTCACCGATACTATCCAGGAAGTGGGTAGTAAAGGCATAACGATGAGCCGAGGGGATCAACTCGATTGCGACATGATCGTGACTGCCACTGGACTGAAGATGCGCATCGCGGGTGGGATCGAAGTCGTTGTCGACGGCGAGCCAGTTGTACTGTCACGAAAGGCCCTCTGGAGAAGCACGCTCCTTCAGGATGTTCCAAATTGTGCGTTTCTGCTAGGGTACAAACACATGTCCTGGACAATCGGCGCGGAAATCAATGCGTCGTTGTTTTGTCGGGTTCTGAGATATATGGAGGGAAGAGATCTTCGGACTGTAGTACCGCGACAGACTGGCTTGAGTGAGCTGATACCTTTCCTCTCGCTCAAGTCGAGTTATGTGTTGAAGGGGATGGATGATATGCTGAAAACGGGAAGTTCGGGGCCGTGGAAGGGGAGAGAAACATACTTTGTGGACAGGCTCAAGGCTCAATACCTGAACATCACCAATGGCTTGGACTTCTCGTGAGGGGCGACCATTGAGACCGCCAACATGAAAGTCCTTGGGGCGAGCCATCCAATTCCCACAGGCTGTTGTTATGACCCGTACTTTATTTCCACACTCCCGTCCCAGCCTTTCCCTTTCCTGAGACTTCCCAGGTCGGGCAACCACCGCAGCTCCACTTCTCCAAAGTAATTCGCCTCCTCGACCGTTCTAATGAAACCCAGACTCTCAAACAACCTGATGCTTCCCGCGTTGCCTTTCTGCACCTTCACCCTCAAGAAACTCAGCTGAGGCGGCACAGAATCCCGAGCATACTCAGCCGCGATCAAGTTCCAGTGCGTCAAGATGTAATCGATGAAGGTCAAAACAGCCGCTCTGCCGTATCCCTTTTGTTGAAAATCCTTCCGGGCGATCATGAGCTCTATCTCACCGACCACGCCTTTGACGCCTGGAGTGATCGCTTCGACGTCCTGCTCCATCTCCTCAGAGTCGGGATCGAAGAGGAAGAGGTTGATATCGCCGATCATGCGGTCTTCGTTGTCGAATTCGCCAGGCCGTACAGAATCTGAGGTGTCGTTTGGAGAGTTGGAAAGAGGCAGGCAGACAATAAACGTCAGCTTGTCTCTGTCATTCCGCCATGACCTTTGCATGGCATACTCCTCCTCTAGCGAGAGCGGCTCCGATGCCGTGGCCTCTTGGATGGATTCGTCTTTCATCCATTCATGGTAGGTTGTGACGTGAGACTCCGAGTAAGGCACCAAGAGGACCGTTGGGGTTGAAAGCGCTGGATCGGAGTAAGTCGTGAGCCGAATGTCCAACTGTGTGCAACTTGTTGACAGCCCGTACCGGTATGCTCGTTGACCTTCATCTTGGTGATCTACGTGTTCGCCTCCAGAGTTGCATCACTCTCTGGCGTCGTGCTCCAGAAGATGAACTGCAAACTGCGGTGAGCGGCCCCGATTCTCGTGTCGTCCGTGAGATCGTCCTTTTTCTGCTCACGCCAGCCCCAGTCTTTTGCCCAGCTACATTCACCTAAGGGTAGTACAGAAAGTTTCCTGAGACTGCTGAGGAAAGTGTTAAAGACAAGCTGGAGTATAAACAGCTTTAAAAGTCAGGCGAGGAGACCACTCCACGAAAAGCTCGGGCCACATCCGAATCGGGAAAGTTGAGAGATATATGTTTGCGGATGATGGCATTAAAACGAACTTGTTGAGTGCTTGATAAAGCGCTCGAGTTGTATCATGTCATGCTATCTGTAGTATACAGGAGCTGCTCGCTCGCTTGCCAGCCGTAGGCAAAGCTGGCTCGTCCACGCAAACGCCATGCGGAATGCACGATGCAACCCATATCCACCATCTCTCGCCCACCATCTTCTTTTCCTCATTCCCTGCACATCGTCCTCTCTATTCTCCAACTAGAGCTGTTTATATTCAAGTTTTCCCTCGAGTTTCTTGCTCTCCGCGACTTTGCGTACAGCCTTGTTGAAATCGTCCTGGCTGACGGACTCCCGGTAGTCCTTGATGGCAAATAGCCCTGCTTCTGTGACCACGTTCCTCAAATCTGCGCCGTTTAGACCATCGCTCATCTTCACGACACTCTCGAAGTCGATTTCTCCCTCTTTCTGCACGCTCTCAGCGTGGATCTTCAGAACCTCCAATCGGCCGGCCTCGTTCGGTAGCGGGATCTCGATCTTTCGGTCGAGTCGACCAGCTCGTAGGAGGGCAGGATCGAGGGTATCGGGTCGGTTGGTGGCCATGATGATCTTGGTCTTGCCAAGGTAGTCGAAACCATCAAGCTGGTTCAGGAGTTCCATGAGAGTACGTTGAATCTCACGATCAGCGCTAGTGCCCTCGGAGAATCGTCGTCCACCGATGGCATCGATTTCGTCCATGAAGATGATACAGGGCTCGTGTTCCTTTGCGTAGCCGAACATTTCACGGATCAGACGGGCAGATTCTCCGATGTACTTGTCGACGATGGCAGATGAGACAACTGGGAAGTGTCAGCGAAGAGACAACGTAATGAAGAAAGATGCAATACCTTTGAGGAAGTTGGTCTCCAGGGAACTTGCGACAGCTCTTGCAAGAAGCGTCTTGCCAGTACCTGGTGGACCGTAGAGTAGAACACCCTTTGGCGGCTTGATACCCACCCGCAAGAACAGCTCGGGATTCTTGAGTGGCAGCTCGATGACTTCTCTCAGCTCTCTTATCTGATCGTTCAGACCGCCGATACCAGCGAATGAAACCTGTCCAGGATCTTCGAGTGACATGTTGTAGACGAGAGGGTCGACCTCGCGAGGAAGCATGCGCATGATCGTGAGCGTGGTCATATCCAGCGCCACACGTGTGCCTTGCTTCAGCTTCGCTTTCTCGACCTTTGACCGGCAGCCCACAACATATCGAGGACCTGATGAGGCCTTGACGATGACTATTCATCAATGATATCAGTATGTCGAGCCTTTTGCTAATCCCAATGTCTCCACTCACATCGCTCTTCATCCAGTTGTTTGAGCACCTCCCCAATGATCTGACCCACACTCTGCAGCGCCTTGATGTTGTCCTCGGATATGTCAAAGTCACGCTGTAGCTCCTTGATCTGTAGCCGCAGATCCTTCAGCTTTGCCTCCCATTCTCTTGAGTCTAGCAGCTTCGTCTTGTACTCCTCCAGCGCGTGATCTCTCTCCGGGTCGCTCATCTTGCCCTGTGCTGATGTGATGGAAATGCTGCTTTCGGAGGTGATGACCGGTGATCGTGGGAGGGTGATTATGGGTTGGCGACGATGTTTGGAGGTGTTGGGTGATGTTGTGCGGTGTTGTTTGATGGAAGTGCTTCAGTGAAGCTCACATGCAACAGGCGGCTTTGGTTTACGCCAGTCGCTCTGCCGAAGTCAGCCCGACGTGTTGGCCTGAGGCAGAAATTAAAGCACAGGCCATCGAAATTTACTAGCGGCTTTGCCAAGCGCACGCTCTTCCAAAATCATCCCGCCGCAAGCCAACGACATCGAGACGCTCGAATCGCACATCTGCGCAGACAATCCGCTACAACCACCGTCAAATCGCCAAATTCAGACACACATAGCGCAAAGATGGATTCCGCCAAGTGAGACCACGGAAATGGGTGGAAAAATGGAACTGCGACTGACAACAGTACAGGGTCCCAGTCAAGCTCGTCAAGGTCACCAGAGTCCTCGGCCGTACCGGTATGCGATCCCTCGAACACAGAAAGAGATGAGATTTGGGAGAGAAAGAGCAGTTCTGATATGATACAGGCTCCCGTGGAGGTGTGACCCAGGTCCGCGTCGAATTCATGGACGACACCACCCGTTCCATCATCCGCAACGTCAAGGGTCCAGGTACGCGATCCGAAGACATGGTGTGGTTTAGGCCAAAATCTAACAAGAAACAGTCCGTGAGGATGACATCCTCTGCTTGCTCGAGTCTGAGCGTGAGGCTAGGAGACTGAGATAGGCCGGATATTGTGCGCAGGAGAAGAGGGGCAAGCGCGGGCGATGGTGGGCATGATTCAAAGATTCTTTCAGCGGGATGCAACATCTGGCGTTGCGGCTATGGCATCGACACGTATGCAGTGACAAAAGGATCACGAACTCTTCGGCAAAGGACGTCGCTACAGTTCCTGTCCACAATACCCAAAGCGTAGGCGGACCGCCTGCTTCTGACACGATTTCTCGCAAACATCGTCTCTGTCTCACAAAATCAACGATGTTCACGAACTATCTTGTATGCTCACGTTCAGTAGGGATTTCCGACTCAATGAGTTCGCGCCACGATATCTTGCACGACATTGAAATCCCAAAGCAAGGAGGACTGCTCGTGTTCGCAACAAGGAAGTCGTGCACGTGGCCATGTCATCCACTCCTTTATCATTCCCGCACAAGCCCCAGCCGATTTTCAAATCACCATTCCCCTGACGCATCGTCCAATCACCGAACAAGTCCGCCCTGTACCGCGAATAGCACGAACTGCTGGTATCCGACGCCGAACTGCTCAATCCATGCACGGGAGGTTGCAGCTTGTCGACATGGAATAAAGCCCCATAAATCACAACCACGAAGTAGGACGCCACGAGCCATTCAATCCTATTCGCCGTATGACGGAGATCTCCAGCTTTTGCCGCCCTGCAGGGTCCCTAGATCCATTCCACAAGACCCGGACGTATATGCTATCCCCGTCCCATGATTGCCAGTCACAGGCTGAGAGTGGCACATCGATACCGCTTGCTAATTGATTGTCTGGCCTGTATGCTACTACTGCACCCATACGAAGCTGAACACACCTCGCCACAAGAGTATCACATGTCAGGGTATGCTCAGCTCTTCGACAGCGGCTCCTGTACACATCACCCCTGTTTCCCCAATTGTGCACGAGTCGCCACGGCCAGCAAAATCAGCCTCACTGACTTGTAGGAGCTGCAGCAGCAGCAGCACCGCATCGATTACTCGCCCGCCGAAAATTCAAAAAGTCGAAGGATTGGAAGAAGAGAAGACTCCGTACAGCCAAAACTTTCCCCAAATGCAAGCAAGCCGAACTTCGGCTCGCTTGTCACGTGCGTCAGCTGTGTGTTTGCCACTTTGAGGAAGGCGCGATCCACTAGGAGCCTGTCGAGAAACATCGGGATGCAATCGGCAACTCTAACGAAATGTGAACGAAGAGTGTACCATTGATGAGAAACCGCTTTCTACCATCGAATGGTACCTCTGCCATCATCGAATTAGCTGTAGACGTGGTCTGAACGATTCCCCCTTCTTCTTCGTCCTCGAAAGTTCAACCCCAGCGAAAAGCGCTTGCTGCCCAACACTAAAAGCGCTCTCCAATGTTACATTCATTTACACCGCGTCATCCATCCATTGGCATACCTCGCGAGGCACGCGGCTAAACTCGCACGCGATATTTGATCCCATCTCTCCCGGCAGCCTCTGTCGCCAATCGATCGTAGTCCACCACCTTGACCACATATCGAACTACGCAACCTACCAATTGATCATGTTCGGCAGAGGAAGACTCCCCTCGCCGTGTTGCACTTTCGAGGACGGTGCAGAGTCCCGTATGCGACAATGCAATCTCCAACCGGTTCGTCGACGCGTCGACCGCCTTGTCCTCCGGGCCTGGGCCCGAAGAGTCGTTATGGGCTTCCCCAAAGGGTCTTTCTTGTATTTGAGATGGCGCGTACGGAACGAGTACGCTGGTCGCCACTCGTCGAGACATGACAGGAATGGATAGATGAGGCTTGTCGTGATCGAGAGCCTGATCCCTGGTAATGAGTGGTCGACGAAAGACCACAGCGTGTGGTTGCCGCCTCTGTCGACTGTCAATCTCCTGGGATACATGCGCTATCGATGGCGAAGGATGAGGAACGAAGTGTCAAATGAATGGATGTCGTCGACGCCTCAACGACACGCGCCAACGTGTCGAAGGAGCCGAGAGGCGCGTGCTAGAGGACGGTAGATTGTCTGGACAACGATGACGGCTGACATGAGGAGACACGAGTGGTCGGCGACTGGACGATGATACCGTCGAACATCTGGTCGGAAGTAACGCCGAATGATCGTTTCTGACAGCCATTGAAGCCTGGCGAATGGTGTATAGTAAACGTCCCCTTTTTCATTTCCATATCTCGCTATGCTAACGCTATGCTACTTCTTCGTTCGACGATGCCAACAAACACGCGCCATCAAAGCAAGAAGAGGAGATTAAAGCGATCGATGGAGGCATTAATTAGCCGGAGCCTAGGCAGTGACCGTGTCCAAATATGAAGGGTTCCGGATTAAGACACGAGTGGATGCAGCGAGCGCCAGCACTGGCTGCGACGCGTGGGTCGTATCGCGTGGGTCGTTGGAAATCGGATGAGTGTGTAGCCGCCATATCTGATGTTGGGGTTTTGGTTGGGTATAGATGGTTGGTGTCGATATTGAGTTTTCTGCCTCGACGATGTTGAGGGCGCGAAGGGGAAGGGTGGTTGATACAGTCGGTTGAGCGTGTCGAGGTGGTCGTCGGTACGGGGAGGCAGATCGAATCTCGAGGGTCGTTATTGCCGTTGCAACCCGAGCAAAAACAGTCTTCGATCAGGAGCTGGGTGGCCGTTTGAAGAAGAGAAAGCCGCTGGGGGGAAGTACAACGGGCCCTGGGTGATACTCGCGGCGTTCGAATCGATCCATAGTAATATCCGTTCGAGCAAGCCATCCAGACCAAGTGCCTGTAGTCCGCCTCGTAGACTGACCATGCGTTGCAAACCGGTCATGTGCGTGTGAAACGTATCTCGTTGACCGAAGAGGAGTTCATACGTTGCCATCTTGCCCACGGCAGCGATGAGGGCGTCGCTCGTTGCTCGACCGCCGGCGCTGTGGTCGACGAGGGAACGGTTGATTTCTTGAATCGCCATGCCGCGGAGTTGCAGCAGGTTGATTCTGTGTGTCTGGGTTGGACGCATTTTGTTCCAGTGCGCGGCGGCTGTGAGGATTGTCGCGTGGAGGGATGCTCGGTCTGAGAAGACGATTGCAAGGAAGTTGTCTCGTATTAGGCCTCTTGAGGCTACGTCTGTTTCTTGGAGGTCGATTGACATCGTGTTGATGTAGTGATCCTCGTCATTGTTAGCTTTGGCGGTCATATTGTGCTTGTGGGGTGATTGCCATACCATCACAGGCCGTAGATAGGGATGCCACTCCTCAGGGTAGACTTCTAGTGGATTCAGTCGAACCAGTGATCCAGGTGAGTAGGAGCCCGGGTTGGGTGAGGTGGGAGATTCATCTGGACTGCTGGCTTCAGTGTCTGGTGAGCCTATTGATGATGTCGATCTGCTCATAGGAGGCCGTCGACTGGAGGAAGCAGCGCCGTCCGCGTATTGCTCTGTCGTTCTTCTTGCCTGCGCAGCAGCGGCTTTCCGTTGCTTCTCATGTTGCTTTGAAGTAACGTGGCTGCGGACACTCCTTCGTGTCTGAGCGTTGCGTGCATCTGCTGGATTGGTGAAGTTGAGGAAACGAAAGTCGATCGATTCTGCTGCGGAGCCTGACCTGCTGCCTGAGGATACGTTAGAATCGTCGTCCATGTCTGTCGAAGTCTCGTTGGGCAGAACAGAAGGGACGTACTACCACTTTCGGAGCGGCTAGATGCCGGCGAGGCAGGCCCGCTCCCTCCCGATTGATTTCTTGATAGCTCGGCGGCTCGTTGGCTACTCATGGCGGCGGGAACCGATAGAACAGCACGTGGACGTGGAGTGGGAGCCAGCATACTTGCTTCGAGACAGAAGTATAAGAAGGAATGGCAGATATATTCACTTGATCTTCAGGGGGCTGTTATCGTGGTAGGAAACACAGCATCGACATGAAAGCTGGGCATGGGAGCATGGCTCCAATACTTCTGTGCAATTCATACTATTGGAAGGTGCTGGTGGCGACCGTTTGGTGCCAATGCAGGCCCGTAAGGCATCGTCGTCTACAATGAGGTCCACCCTAGGATGTCATGCATGAGCCGTCCGGCAGTGGGTACAGAGGCGCTCAATGGCGGCGGAAGTGAATGATCAAGTGAGACCTGGGTGCAATGAATCCGCCATGCGACTTCATTGGCCTGAGGCGCTGACGGGATGCAGCTACAGTCGAGCGCAAAGGGAGGATCAGTGAGAGACGACGGTTTCGGAAGCTTTGCTCGTGAGCCTCTCTAACCCAGTGCAGGTACGCTCCGGCTCGTGTGTGCCTCAGCCGCGAGCGTTGCTTCTTTTCCAATGGCCCAGCAGTTGCCACTACTCTGTGGCGAGGAAGCTGAACCAAGAGCCCGCTGTACAAGCACTGTGGGGTGAACTGTCTAGCGAGTGCTGAGGTCCGTCGCGGCCCTCAGCTTTCGGCTCCTGGCTGACAGTGATTGGCTCCGTGAAATTTGTTGCCATTCCCTTGCAGAGCTGCAGTCGAAAGTTGACGTGCCAGTGGGGCCACCAGAATGCAGATTCGGACGGAAAAGCGCCTCATGGACAAGAAGGTCAAGCTGGAAGTGCCGTTCCGGGCATCGAGCTGCACAGGGACTGGACGCACGATCGCGCGATCATGTCGTACACTGCATACCAGCGACCCGGTGCGGTCGTATGGGTCGTCGACGCCGCGACCAGCATGAGTCGTTCTGTCATCCACCCTGTCGGTGAGTGAATGGATTCGCAGCTGCAGGTCCACGAGCTGCAACGTGTCTGCCGCGCCACGAACGGTGCAGTTTTAGCACAGCAGTAGGGGTTGAGCGAGTCGTTTCATCATTCCATGCAGGTACCTGTCGCGGCTAGCATCGAAAGAATAATCGTCACTTGGCGCAGCATTAGGCACAACGCAGCACTGTGAGGCAGCCCTTTTCGAAGGGCTGTGCAATCCGCGCCGAGCGGTGTCAAGCAGGCCGACGCGTGTGTGGCTGGAGACGTGCAGTGCTTCGGCCAAAGCCGTGCGAGCCGTAGGCGGTTGCAGATCAACGGATGTCCTGGCGGCAACTGAAGGTGATACAGAGCGGCAGAGGAGCAATGGCAATGTATGAATGTAAATTGGGAAACATTGAAAGCAACTGAAGTCGGATTAGAGCGATAGGGCCCCATCGAAGCGTCCCGCACTATTTCGTCACTCGATTCTGGTGCGACAAACTCAAGCCGCTGTTCCGGGACATGTCGAGCCACAGGTTTCCTCGTACCTCGCTCGCATTTCGTACGCAGCGGTCCGAGTCCATGCCCGGGGTTGCGAGGGAGAAGTCTTGGAATGCACGTCACATGCTGAGCATCCGTCGCACTCTGACCAGGCACTGTGCTGGCAGTGCCAGCAGGCAGCATCTTCATCAACGAGAATAGAGCACAGTAGTCGTGCATATCAATGTGTGCTGCCGTCCGCATTGGAACTGGTAACACAGCAGCACACGAGCCGTAAATTTTGCCAGCAAACAACGCCCAACATGTCGGCGCCGGTGGAGACAACCGCAGCCACCACGGCAAAGCAACCAGAAACGCAGGCCAAGGGGAGACCGCATAGCAGGAACAAGAAGTCAGATCCTTTTTGGAATCTGTCAGAGGATGCCTTGAAGATGCCCGTTCAGCCATCTCCGAGCACCAACGAAGTCAGCGGAACATCCCAGTCGGAGTCGCTTATCGCTGATGTAGGGGCCGCCTCATCTGGAAAAGAAGAATCCGAGATGGCGATGCTAATTGCTTGTCTAGTTAATCCTGACGCCCATCAACGTAATATCATTCATCTTGTCTTTGCTCGTCGTTGAACGCCAGCAACGGCAATGGCGTCTGTCACAACACGCACCACGGCACGAAGCATCCACCTGGGCCCAATTCGGTTTTCATAACCCTGAGCCTTACCAAGAATCGACAGAGACTACGTGGCACCCTCGCCTATCCTGGAAGCGTCGTGGGATTGCCAAGCAGCAGATGAGAGATGTGTTCGACATGCGAGGGCGGGTCATCCTGGCTCTCGTTGCGTGGACGCTTTTAGGAATTGTGGCAGTCGCGTATGCCTTTCGACGAATGTATCAATGGGCGCTCGCTTGAATGCAAACCCTAATGGCTCGATGACGACGGACGATCTTGTGATTTGAGGGGAAGCATGGTGTCTGGAGTTTTGGTACTGGCGCTTGGCCAGAAGGTGGTCTGTTGTACAGCGAATCTATGCCTTCGCTTGCTGTGTATGGGATTCGATTTCTCCACTGTCGTATAGCGGTCTCCGAGGGGCGACAAGGCAACCAAAAAGCAATGGTTCGAAATGGCGCACCTGCGGCTTCTTTCACCTAATCCCATTCCAACAGCTTCACTGAAAATGGGACTGCAGTCTCCATCGACCTGTTTTCCCCAAGAGAATAAGACGTCTGACACATCAAAAGACGTTTCTAATGGCTGTGTACTTCACACAGAGCCATTTCGTATCGAAGAGTCGCCAGACAAAGACTGCAGCTTGTTGTCTATTCAAGCCGTCGCAGGGATCGATGGCTTCCATATGGCAAAGGAGGCAAGCGTAGCCAGTCTTGAGGTCCACACTCGAGGAGCAATTTGAGACTGAAATGATAACTTGTCCTGGCTGTCCGTCCAGACGTTTTCGAACGTCATTGTAGTGAGTTGCCAGGCCGGTCTTTGCTGGCCCGCGTCCAAGCTCCACTGCGAACTCAGCGGCAAAAGATTGCGAAGAAGAGTGAGCCTCAAAGAGGCGAGTGTTCACAGCCTCTGCCATACCCCAGACGACGTCTTCCATGTGACTGGCGATGGCTTCAGGGTCCTTCCAGAACGGTGTCGAATCGTTGCTTGCCTCGCTGGGCGTCTGGTCAGTGTCACACTCCATTCTTCAGTATGTCGTCCTTGAGTAGCTTGATTCTTTGTTGGTCTCTTGTCATTTCTCAGCAAGAGTCGTCTTTTGCTAGCCTCGGAAGACAGTCGTCCATACGGCTCAATGCGCGAGCGAGTTATTCTGGTCTGCAACTCTCGGTAAGGCGCAGCGTCATGCATGCATGAGGCGCAGAAACCAATCAGCTCATCTGACGCCCTTGGTGCTCAATCTTCCCACGCGACTATGCACAAGCGTTGTCAGGAGAGAGCAAAATTGCTGATGGAGCGTGTCGGAACATGAGCTGCATCAGAACGCCAGCTGCCTTGATGCGAGTGAGAGTCGCCACAACACCACCTTCTTGCTCAGTCGAGCACCTGTTCCAAGTGAACCAAACAAAAAGAGCATCATGTGCTGCCATGATGTGCATGATCTCACCCCGCGTCGTCTCTGTTTGCGGACCCCTGGACGTTACTGTTGACTCGAGAAGTCGTGGGTGTCGTTGAAGATGAGGTCGGCGAAAATCGCCGGCCGCGATTCATGCCTATTGCTGTCATATGCCAAAGTGTGTGTTGCCATATGTTTGTTTCATCCATTTTCTGGTCCAAGACAGTAGGATGTCGAGGAGGTGAGGTCGAAGAGAAGGGATGTTTCCAAAGCAACGGCCACGACTTCCGCGCTTCGGCAAAATGTTAAGCGCCTGATAACCTTTTGCAGGATGCCTGCAAAATTAGCTGAAACCACCAACTCTCCCACCAAAGTCACCCTCCAACGCGAGCTACACAGGTACGCGTGCCAACTCCTCCTGATAACTGGTCGCGTAAGGCCCATTAAAGTCCTCGGCTCCCCTGGAGCTTGCGTCGGTTCAGGATGGTCTCTTTCTCGTGCGAGGTAAAGTCGATGAGAGCACTCAGCAATCTACCAACCAACACTAATAATTTGCCTTGAAGAATTGCGGCGATGTCTTGACGAAGAAGAAACTAGACGGCCATCGTAATCAATGCCGTGGCGCGACCTTTACTTGCCTTGATTGCATGGTTCACTTCTACGGAACCGAATATCGATCGCATACCTCCTGCATATCAGAAGCCCAGAAGTACCAAGGAGCGCTGTACCGGCCGGACAAGGACAAGCAGAATAATAAGAAGGGCAGCGAGGAGAAGCGCAAGTCCATGAACGGATATAATAACTCTCAGGCTATGGTGCCGAGAGGGGCATACGTTGAAGATGCACCAGAAGGTGATGACATGAACGCGGTGGCCGTTATCGACGTTCCACCGAGAGCACCGACCCCGCCGCCTGCGCCTGAACAAATCACTGAAGGGGTGAACGTCTTCGACTTTCTCGTCACCGATTCGACACCGAAGGGAGCCGTACAGCCGCCTGACGAACGCAAAATGCTTGGAAACGGCGAGTCGCAGTATTCGCAATATTCGCAGTACTCACAGTACTCCAACGGCCGTGGATCGCGATACTTGGAGCATGGATATTCTTACGGTGATGCGCCAGTGCAACCCAGCTTTGAGCGCTACGATTCCTACAATAATCTGGCAGAATCGCAACAGTCAAATTCCTTCGTGACGCCGGCGCCGAAGGAACGACGCAGAGAAAAGAAGGAGAAGTACACTGTGGAGAAGAGCGAGAAGAAGAGGAAGCGTAATGTAGAAGAATTGGACATCTCCAGCGCGAAGCGGCCAATGTCGCGCGATGAACCCATGACGGACGCACCTGCGACTGGCGGAAGGACGCTGCATTCTGGCCTTACAGGAGGCCTCAGTCGTCTGGTCACAGATGCTGAGTTCTACGATGACCGGATTGAAGCCGGACCTACCCCTATCAGCCCGTTGAAGCGAAGCAAGAAGGAAAAGGACGCCAAGCCTGGAGCGAAGGAAGAGCGCAGAAAGTCATCATACGTCAGCTACAGTACCACCAAGGCGCCCTCCAGCAGAGGCGACGACAAGCACCGCCGTCGTTCGCGTAGCCCTGATCGAGAGCGTCACAAGGACAAGCACGGAAGGAGCGCCCGACATGACTCTTTCTCATCTGAAGATCGCTCACACGTCAGTCGAAGGAAACAGATCGAGTATCCGGACAGACCCAGCTCAGTTCAACCCTCGGCGACAAACCAGATTATCTCATACAAATCACGGGCCGATCTCTTCATGTCCTTCATCAACAAGGGACCAGAGAGCGAACGAGGCTGCTCAATCAATAAGGCCCTGAAACGATATCATCGAGAGCGCGACGTCCGAGGCGAGGAGAAGGACGAAGAGGACAAGGAGCTATGGAAATCTCTACGACTGCGACGTAATTCTAGAGGCGAGATTGTGTTATTCAGCAGCTAATTCCACGGCTTTGACGATATCATGGCGAAACGGATCACGGACCCACAGCATGGCGTTTGATGGCCTACTTTATTGTGTTCGTCTTTAATGCTAGCTAATGCGCATGTATTCTATTCATTTCGCGACTCTGCCGATACGACTTTCGCCAAGATTCACGCGATTCACGCGATTCACGCCCAAACGAGAAGGGCAAGCGCTCGATAGGTGAAGGTTAACTGGACCTCACTTGCTGTTCTCTTCACATGCATGCCGATGACCTCGATTTGGTAGTCATTGACGCATCGGCAGGCAATGGTGGAAAGAATGGCGACGCAGTATGCTTACCTGCAAATCCTTCAGGTCTGATGCCAAACGACAGAATGAAGCGAAAGCGCTGACAAGAATGTCGTCTCAAGAACATATCTAAGCGATGACATGATCGGTCCTACAAACCCTGCAAGATGGCCGACATGGAGGAACCGTGGAGTTTGGACCCTTGCCTCGCCTGGATAGTTTCGCGCTTGATGCGACATTCGACATCCTCGAATCCACCTCAGCCCTACAGCTGAAAGCTAGTACATCTTCGCCCCCCTGTGGTGACTAGAATGGCCCCCAAAGCAGGTCAACTTCAGGACCTCGTAGCCTTACTTTCTGCTACCCAGCCAAATCGTCTTACCAATGGCTCGCAGGGAGTAGTAAGACCCTCAAGGTTATAAAGACTGGCGGGATTCCTTGCTTAACAACACACGCCTCAACTTACGGTAGGCAGCCTTCTTCCTTCGCCTTCCTCTTTACGTGTAGCAGCGTTTCAATCCAGAAGAAAGATGTCCAAACCAACACTCGTCCTCGTCCACGGCTCTTGGCACTCCCCCGAACACTTCGGCCCTCTCATCCAAGACCTCGTCTCCCACGGATACAAATGCATCGCCGTCTCCCTCCCCAGCACCCAAACCCCAGACACACCCCCGGCAAGCCTGACCGACGACACAAACGCCGTACGCACCGCCGTGGAAGCAGAACTCTCCGCCGGCAACAACGTCGTCATCGTAGCGCACTCCTACGGCGGCAGCCCCACCAACAACGCCCTCAAAGACCTCTCCACAGCCTCGCGCAGTGCAGCAGGCCACAGCACCTCCGTCCTCGCCATCGCCTTCCTCGCCGCCATAGTCCTGCCCCCAGGAATGACCTTCCTCGCCATGCTCGGCGGCAAACCCCACCCCATCCACGACCTCCGCACCCCGGACTTCGCATGGGTCGGACCCCCCGGCCCGCAACACTACTTCTACAACGACATGTCGCCCTCCGAGGCCGAGAAGTGGAGCAAGCTGCTGAGGGTGCAGAGCTGGCGGGCGTATTGCGAGGAGACGACGGAGGCGGCGTGTATGGAGATTGAATGTTTTTATTTGCGGACGACGCGGGATCAGGCGTTTCCGTTTGAGGCGCAGGGGGTTATGTTGGGGGCTTTGGAGAAGGAGGGGGCGAGGGTCAGGCAGGAGACGGTGGAGGCTGATCATACGCCTTTTATTGGGAGGGCGATGGGGGAGACTAGTGGGTTTGTGAGGAGGGTTGCGGAGGGGAGGTTTGATGAAAAGGAAACCTGAAATGTCGTGTGATGGTAGGTAATATCTCTTGATAGAAGAACGACATCTAAAACGGTATGGGTATCTCAACGAAGCGTCACACCCTCCACACATCGCTCAGCACCCTCTACTGCCTCCCCATCCATAAACCCCTGCAAATGACAATCCCCAACGAGCTCATACTCGACACCATCCCCTCTCCTCAGCACCAACGGCACCCTCCCACCCTTCAAAACCCAAACCTGATCCCCAACCCTCGCATTCGAATAACAAAGCCCCAAGCCCCCTTCCCTCGTCACAAACAACGCTCTTCCAAAACAAGCACACAACATCGCTTGCACAGACTCATCTTCCAACGTCGGTCTCATGAACAACACAGATTGCAGGAGTATTTGTCTCAGCCACGCTGAATAAGGCTCCGCGTCGTCAGCTGTGAACCGTCGAAAGGACATACTCCCAGACCGCCAGACGAGATCGCCGGTGATGGTGCGCCAGAACGCCGCTTGTTTACGGACGTCAGGCCAGAGGAGGGAGACGTTGTGGCCTGCGTTCATAGCTGCTTGGCGCCAGCTGAGGAGGACGCGCAAGACGTAGCGGGCGTCGCATTGTTCCACGGGGATGTCGAGAGGCGTGCAGATGGTGGAGATCGTGTCGATACATATCCCGGAGACGTGGAGTTGGTCTTTCTCAAGACTGATATCTGCACCAGACATCCCTCTCGAAGCATCGTACAGATCATAGGCATCTAATCTCCGCATCTCAGCGTGGACGGCCTCGACACTCGGTCGGAGTTCGAGGTTCCGTACCCAGGAGGGAAGGTTATGGGCGGTAGAGCAGAAGCCTTGGCCTGTTAGACAGCGCAGATCCCCCTGGCAGTTCTGGATGATGAGGCTCATAGCCTCTATATAAACATCCCTCACACTCCGCCCATAATCCACCTGCACCGTCTTCCCCGTTGCACCAAACAATGCCAGAATCCCGAATACCTTGTCCTTGGCATTGCGGCAATCCTTGTATCGATACATCCTCAACAAGCGATCCAAATCCCCTCTCGGCGCGGGTGACGTATACACCGCATCCGGCACAAACGCATACGTCGAGGGGAACAACTTCTCCACTTTCGCGCAGCACGTGTACAGATGGCGTCGTTGGTTCTGGAGGCTTTTGCGGATCGTGGAGAAGGGGATGCGGTGGCTGCCGTACATGACCCAGGCGTTGGTGGCGAGCAGGGCTTCTTGCACGGTCCAGAGGCGCTGGTGCCAGGTGGTGGAGAGGAGTTGGCGGAAGCGGAGCCACATGGACTGGAATTGGGGGGTTTCTTTGAAGTAGAGTTGGTTGAAGGTGTTGCGGAAGAAGCAGGGTAACGAGGAGATGTGGTTGTCTTGAGCGAAATGCATTATCATAGCGAACGGGTCGTCATCCTCGTGGGTATCTTCGTCGTTTGTGAGGAGTTTGTCTCGCCTACGATTAGCGTGGTTCGTGTGATTATTTTGGGGATAGCATACCGTAAGACTTCTTTCTCCTTCTACAACACCCACATCCCGCAGGTAACATCCCCTCCGCCGCAATCGTCGACCTCGCAGACCACCTCCTCAACAACTCATGCTTCTCCGCAGCCTCAAGAGGAGCCTCTGCGGGACCAAGCCAAATAAGCACATTCGAACATCGCTGAAAGATCCTATGCATCAACCCCACTTGCTGCGCTTTCTCGACTTCGTCCTGTTGATTGATGCACAGCTTGTCGATCCATAGCGCCAGAGGTTGGTCGTCTTGACGGACTTGTCTTAGAGCCGCTTCGAGACTGGGCGTGATTGTGACGACTCGGTCATTGACGATTATGGATGAGAGGTTGCTATGGTGGCCCCAGGCGTACGAAAGGGCGTGATAGATTAGGTTCGGATCGTCCAGAGACTCGGTCGTCAATTCGCATTGTATGTCGTCTGCCCAGGTGCCCGGAAGTACCGTAAGAATACGTATCTCAGTTCTGTCGTTCGATAATAGACTGTATTCTACGTCTAATGTTTGAGACAGGACTGCTTCTTGCATCGATTTGCTTCGATCTATGACCATATTGGCGTGGAGTACGCACTAAATCGAACGTATACGCAACGAGCCAGTCGCATTAGTAAGTGATTGGTGTAAGTGTTGTCCTGCAATGTCTGCGTTGAAGACCATCGTCAGGTATCCATGCTGTAGACAAAAGTGGGATGTTATTGGAGTCTGAAACAGCTGAGGCCTATAAAGGATTCGCTAGGATTTGGCCCCCAGTATGTGGCTGTGCGACAGGCTAAAGTAGAACGAAGTCCGTGCTAAAGTATATGTAAAAGTGGTATGGGACGATTGAAGGGGAAACAGAGGAAACGCTGAATCATTGGGAAGCGATCAAATTGAAAGCCATCCATGTATCGATGTTCGAGAAAGTCGAGACCCACGCTGTCAGGGCAGAATGAAGTGAATGAAAAGCATACTTAGTATGGCGCTCATCAGTCATCATCGGACAGTCTCAAGAGTCGAATGGTGGACGTACGCATATCGCTGATCCAGAAGGCCCACTCGAGGGCCATGACGTTGGAGCAAGTAACGACTCATGTATCGCGCCACAAAATGGCGCTCTCCCAGTCCACGCGCTCGACAACGGGAGGAAAATTATCCTGAACGTCGACCACAGGTATCGGATTGAGAGAACGAGACTCACCTATCAAATCACGAAGCATCATACACACGTCGTACATGGCGCTGCCGACTGCCTGCGGTGCAAGACGTCAACCTATGGTTTCGATCCTGACGACCTGGATGCGGCTCACACGTGCCGCAGTGGTGTCCAGGACTCCTTTGAATGACATCCCCGATGCCTTGTGCATAAGTTCGTCTCTTCTGCTCGATGGCACCTTCAGCGCAGTCGAGATACGAATGCGCATATATGACTCTTTCTTTCATTTTGATTAGCACTTAGGGCTTCTTGCTGCAGCTATCCCAGATCCAAGCGCACTGCAAAGGCCCACGAACGTATGTATCTCCATCTCTTGCGATGGGTTCTTGGCGATGTCAGGACATGAATATCAGAATGTTGCTTGACAAGTGTTGGTGCGTTGCAGGCGAGTGTCGTTCGGATTATCAAAGGCCATCTGCCGATAGCGTCGTCCAACTCTTGGGACCCCGAGTATGCTCTATCCTGAGCGAACTGCGCAAGAGAGCCATGCTGGCGCCGTCTAGAGAGGTGAAGATGTGGTGTTGAGAAGACCGGGTCGCATTGAGCTCTAAAACTCTGAAAGTGCACGGGCCTTCAAGCTTCTCTGCGACTTCACAGGATTTGCTTGTGGGAGTTGCGATTGAAGGACCAATTGCCGGCTCATACCAATCGCTAGCTGCATACATCTTCACTCGATTCCTGCACACTAGCAACACGTACTGCCTCTCATTTTTCCGTCCGAGCAGCGCTCCAGCCATTGACTATACCACGTGTTGACTCACCACCCGAGTCATTGCCGGAGCAAACTTGTGCTTCGTTGGACTACTTCACTTCGACCTGCATCTACTAGCAAAGACCACCGTCTGCAGACGCCGCTTGCTCCGCGCAAAGTATCCACAAGGCGGATTCGGCCTTAGCATTAATTGCTTCTATCCTTTTTACAAGAAATGGAGCTCGTCACTCAGTACGTTTCGCCCCATCCTATTCCACTATGGTCTCCACGACAGAGGTCGAGCGACCGTCAATTTCAGGAAGACGATGGAGTCGTTCTTTGCCCACGCTGACGACTGCTCTGGACAGTCTCCCAGATCGGCTGCTGTTCGCTGTACCCAAAAAGGGCCGTCTGAACCAGGCATGCCTGGATCTTCTGTCCGGATCTGACATTCAGTTCCACCGCCACAACCGTTTGGACATCGCGCTCGTTAAGAACCTTCCCTTGGCCTTGGTCTTCCTTCCAGCTGCGGACATTCCATCTTTCGTTGGAGAGGGACGAGTAGATCTTGGAATCACAGGACGAGATACCGTTGCCGAGCATGACGCCCTCAATCCACCTACAGAAACTACCGGAATCGAGGAGATCATGGACCTCGAGTTCGGCCGGTGCAAACTCCAAGTGCAAGTGCCTGAGAAGGGCGACATTCAGACACCGGAGCAACTGATTGGGCGGAACATCGTCACAAGCTTCACCAACTTGTCCGAGACATATTTCAGAGATCTGGAATCGAAGAAATCCCAGGCAAACGGTACTTCTAACGGCGATTCAGCGCAACCGAAGTTGAACACGAAGATCAGATTCGTTGGAGGAAGTGTTGAGGCTGCATGCGCTCTTGGTTTGGCAGATGGGATTGTCGATCTCGTTGGTCAGTACTCAGCAGTTGGACACCTACACAAGCGCAATGGCTAACCAAATACAGAGTCGGGAGAGACCATGCGTGCTGCAGGACTCAAGGCCATCGCCACCGTCGTCGAGTCAACAGCAGTTCTGATCCGATCAAAACAACCATCTGACCCGAAACTCGTCGAACTCATCACGAACCGGATCAAGGGTGTCATCACAGCGCAAAAGTACGTGCTTTGCACCTACAATGTCGAGCGTAAGAACCTCGAGACGACGAGCAAGATCACACCCGGCAAGCGAGCTCCTACTATCAACAGTCTCGAAGAAGACGGCTGGGTTGCTGTCCAGGCCATGGTCCTGAGGAAGGATACCGCGCAGGTGATGGACAGGTTGATCGATGCTGGAGCTCAAGACATTATGATCACCAAACTGGAGAATACCAGAACGGTTTAAGGTTGGATCAATTTGGTCGTTCTTTCGCTGTACGAAAGAGGCAGCAGTAACTCACTTTCTCATATAGACTTAGAGCTGCGGTCACGATTATGGCAACGCACGTTTGAACTGGCTTCGAGCAATGCGTGTCTCTTTCCAGGCTTGTATTTCTCCGATCACTACAACTGATCTGTATGCAGCGTATCCTGAGGCACTACAATTTTTCCTGTAACCGCGCACATAGCGTGACGTCATGTTTGCTCGTGCTGGAGCTTGGACCTCAAAGAAGGCCAACAACAGGATCATCGACAGCGGCAGATGCAACACTCTGCCTTCAACAAGTTCTTGCAACAATATTTGAGGTTCATTGACCGTTTCACTTTGTTCGCCTATCATCTCACTTGATTGATGGCGTCCAGTCTGCTCATCCAAAAACTGTGATTGAAAAGACAACAACACTCCAGCTTGACCCATCCCAGCTGCGTTTCGAGCTCTTTTGAGCTCTTGCCAGGATTCAAAATGGATATCCTCAAAGAAGGCGACCACCGCGGCTCAGGCTCAACATCCGGCGCAGCCATCCTCGGAGCCTTCATCCCAACCTTCATCATCGCCGTCATCTACGTGACCGCCTTTGTACTGGTTCGGAATCACTTCCGAAAAGTCTACGCACCCAGGACGTTCCTAGGAACGATTCCAGAGAAAGATCGAACTCCTACGTCGAGGGCAGAGGATTGGTGGTGGTTCAAGGACTTCCGGAATTTGACGGATCACTTCGTCTTGCAGCACAATTCCCTTGATGCGTGGCTGTTTCTGCGGTTTCTACGATTCATAGTCTGGATATGTTTTGCTGGGGTTTGCCTCACTTGGCCGATTCTGTTCCCGGTGAACGCAACTGGTGGTGGGACCCGCGAACAACTCGACAAGATTGCCCTGGGAAATGTCACGAAGAACAACCATCTTTGGGCACACACGGTCGTTGCCTGGGTGTTCTTCCTGGGCATTTTCCTTGTGATCGCGTTCGAGCGTCTGCAGTTGATTGGATTCCGACAGGCCTGCTATTTGAATGAGAAGCATGCGAGCAAGCTGTCCGCAAGGACTGTGCTTTTCCTTAACGCTCCAAGCGATGCTCTTCAACCAAGCAACTTGAAACAATATTTCGGGGAACAAGCAGATTATGGCTGGCCGGTCAAGGATACCGGCCACTTGGAAGAGCTCATTGAGCAGCGAAATGGAGCGGCTTTTGGGCTGGAAAGTGCTGAAATAGACTTGATCGTCAACGCAGTGAAGAGTCGCAAAGGAAGGCCGCAGGATGTGAATGGAAGTTCTGCACAGGAAGAGCAGTCTGCTGTCCCAAAGCACCAGCGGCCTACTACGAGAAAGCCCCCACTTGTTGGAACAAAGGTCGATAGGATCGAGACTTTGCGCAAGAAAGTGGTTGAGATTGCTGGCACCATCGACTCACATCGAGCTGCGCCTGGCAGGAACGTCCCCAGCGAGTCTGCAATCTTCGTCTCTTTTGCCAGTCAGGAGGCTGCTCACAGAGCGTTCCAGCAAATTACTTTCCAGCCAAAAGTTCCACTCGAAGATCGATACCTGGCTGTACAGCCAAAGGAAGTGCTATGGAAAAACATCCAGCAACCGGCCGCTAAACGCGTGTCAAAGGCCAGCCTGGCTCTTGTATTTGTCATCGTGTTCACAATCTTCTTTTCGATTCCCGTGGGTCTTCTCGGTACCTGGAGCAACGCAAAGCAACTTGCAGACAAAGTCGAATGGCTGAGCTGGGTCAACGATCTTCCACCTTGGGTACTTGGTCTCCTCACAGGTCTGGTTCCACCCGCCCTGACTAGTTGGTTCGTCTCGTATGTGCCAAAGCTGTTCCGCCATGTCGCGAAGCTTTCAGGCGAGCCCACTACTCCGCAAGCAGAGCTGAAAACCCAGGCGTGGTATATGGCTTTCCAGGTCGTTCAGGTCTTCCTCGTCACGACGATCTCTTCCGGAACTGCTGCAGTTGTCACGAAGATCATGCGCGAGCCTCATTCAGCGCCTGCCTTGCTGGCTGAGAATCTACCCACGGCGTCAAACTTCTACTTGACGTACTTCCTCTTGCAAGGTCTCACTAGCTCGTCTCAGAACCTTCTGGACTACTCAGAACTGTTCGAGTACTTGTTCTACGAGTACTTCTGGAACAAGACACCCCGAGAGAAGTTCCAGACTTACGCCTTGATGCGAGCTACGCCGTGGGCTGCATGGTATCCGAAGTTCACAAACTTCTTCATCATTGCGGTGGCATACGCCTGCATTCAGCCTCTGATACTGGGATTCGCAACGATAGGCATCTTCTTCTTTTACCTCAGCCATCGATACCAATTGCTTTACGTCAGACAAACCAAGATCGATACCAAAGGCGAAGCATACAAACGGGCCTTGCAGCAGATGCCGACTGGATTGTACATTGCAGAGCTGTGCTTGATCGGTCTTTTTGGAGCGAGAAAGGCGGCAGTGCAAAGCACGCTTATGATTGTCCTTCTGGTGATCACCGCGGTGGCCAACTTCTTGCTGGACAGGATGTTGAAGCCACTTGAGCTGTATCTCGGAGTCGACAAATGGCAAGAGCAAGAAGTACCTCTCCTCGCTGAAGAGGACGGTATCGATCCCAACGACGAGGCTGCCCTGCATGCAGCATCGCATGGAAGACGACTCGGCATCAAACGCCTGCCCAATCCCGCTCCAAGGGTGTTATCAGACTTCTTCGATTCCATCATTTCCGCCGCCCGCGACAAGGCATACTCTTGGCTCGACCAGCCACGAGTCATGGACGATAATCCACCACAACTCAGCGAGGAAGATATCGCAAAGGCATACATCGCTCCAGCGTTCACGTCCAAGACACCAAAGCTATGGATTCCACGGGACAAGTATGGTGTGTCAAAGCAGGAGATTGAACAGAACGAAGCAGTGGGGATCCAGGCCACTGATGAGGCCGCTGAGATCGATGAGAAAGGTAAACTGCATTGGGACTCGAATTTCGAGAATGTGCCGGTCTTTTCCAAGCCCAAGGTTATCTAGTAAATAGCTTGCTCGGTTGCATTGATGAATGCGAGTGTCGACAGAAACTCTAATGCAAATATGGTTGTGATATTGAAGCCTCCGCACTGTTGGGTGGTGGTGTCATGGCGGACACATGGCGTTGTCGTGCTGTAGAAGAGCCCAAGGCCTGGTGATGAATAGTGATGAAAGAGGCGTTCGAACTGACTCCTGTCAAGATGTTAACGAGATGTTCTATAGCACTATCCAGTGTCAGTCAACCTGATACAGTTCGCGGGACTAGGATGTGAGGTCGAAGTTGACTCGTGCGCACGGGCCATTTGGGCTCGTTTCGGGTTGGTGTGAAGCTTGGTTGGCGTGGAGATTTGGGGGAAGGAACCATGTCAACATCGCAACGCCCCTTGAACTCTAATTCTGGAAGGCACCTTCCGCGAAGTGAAGTCCTGAAGCAGCGACGATGGTCGTGACGCTGTGGCTTTGTGATTTCTTTCCAACACGAACTGCACACAAACTTCCTGACCAAAACCTCGAAATACACACACCACGGGCAACGGGCTCATGAGATGATCCTCTACACTCGCCGCCACCACACTCAGTACATGCCGACGTAAAGACCAACAAGGACAAGCTCGCCTCATATGGACGAGAAGGAAACCGCCACGGCAGAAACGACCGAGAAGACGCCTTTCCTGCAACGCACGCAACAATCCAAATTCGCCGTCTTTTGTCTGCGGCACAAACTCATCGTCTTCCCCGTCGCCGTCATGGTGCTGCTGCTGCCGCTTTTGGGGCTGATTGCTCTGAATACGAAGGAGGCGCGGGCGGAGTATCAGAGTCCGGTTGTGTGGCCATCACGTAGGTTTTCACATATCTCTTTCATGACTATTGATTTTCTGTGGTTTGCGATATGCTAATGATGTTGATTTGTCTTAGCGGAGGGATATGGCGCGGGAAATTGGTCGCAGTCATACGACAAAGCCAAAGCGATGGTTTCGAAAATGACGCTGGAGGAAATGAACAACATCACCATCGGCTACGATCCCGTCAAGGCGAACACAGGCTGCGTGGGACTTTCTGGATCGGCCCCGAAGCACGGCTTTCCTGGATTATGTCTTCACGATGCGGGGAATGGGGTCCGCGATAGCGATGGAGTCAATGCCTACTCTTCGGGTATGCATATTGGAGCTTCGTGGAATGTGTCGTTGGCGTATCAGCGAGCGGTGTTCATGGGTGCCGAGTTCAAGAAGAAGGGAGTCAATGTCGCTTTGGGGCCGGTGGTTGGGCCTGTTGGCAGAATTGCAGAGGGTGGCAGGTTCTGGGAGGGTTTCGCCGCGGATCCGTACTTGACTGGCATTCTGGGCGCACAGTCTGTGAGGGGACTGCAAGAGAATGTCATTGCGAGTGTGAAGCATTTTCTGGCGAATGAGCAGGAAACCAATCGGAGACCAATTCCTGGTGATGATGGGACTACCCAGTCTTCGTCTTCGAACGTGGACGATCATACGATGCATGAGCTGTACTTGTGGCCCTTTCAGGATGCGCTTTACGCTGGAGCGGGATGTGTGATGGTATGTGGACACAGACAGTGTTCAAACGCTGGGAATTGCTAACTTGTTTCGCTACAGTGCAGCTACCAACGATTGAACAACACCTACGCCTGTGAGAACAGCAAGGCCATGAACGGTCTGCTGAAGGGAGAGTTGAATTTCCAAGGTATGTCGAACGCTAATGGCCTTTACCTGTGCTGACCTCCGCAGGCTTCGTTGTCTCGGACTGGGTAGCTCAAATGAGCGGCCTTGCCTCTGCTAACGGTGGTCTTGATCTCGCCATGCCAACAAGCGATTACTGGGACGAAGGCCAACTGGCAAAAGCTGTGAACGACGGGAGCCTTAACAAGACTCGCTTGGTTGACATGGCCACTCGAATTGTTGCCACCTGGTATCAATTTGGCCAGGACAACCCTGATATGCCGGAAATTGGCGTTGGAATGGCTCCAGATCTTCTCAAACCACACAACTTCGTCGATGCGCGAGATCCGGCTTCGAAAGATTCACTACTCCAGCAGGCGATCGAAGGACATGTGCTTGTGAAGAACGTCAATGGCACCCTGCCATTGAAGAAACCACGAGTCTTGTCGGTGTTTGGTTACGATGCCATCCAGCATCCGACATACAATCCGGGAGCCTTCGACTTTACCTGGAATCGGGATGTGGTGACACTGCAGCAGAATCAGCTCAACAGCTTGGCCCAGAACAAGCCGATCCAAGGCGCACCGCAGACTGCCATGGGAACGCTTGTGGTTGGAGGTGGCAGTGGCTCGAATACTCCAGCATACTTGAGCTCTCCGTACGATGCTCTTCAAGACCGGGCTTACGACGATGACACGATGATCTTCTACGACTTCACATCCATCGAACCAAGTGTGGTTTCGAGCTCGGATGCGTGCCTCGTCTTCATCAACGAGTACTCATCAGAGGAGTTCGACAGGCCTGGGCTCGCTGACGAAGACTCAGACAATCTTGTCGGCAGCGTCGCAAGACAGTGCAACAACACTATCGTTGTGATTCACAATGCTGGCATTCGTCTTGTGGACGCGTGGATCGACAATACGAATGTTACTGCGGTCATCTTCGCGCATCTTCCTGGCCAAGATGCAGGCAGAGCCGTCGTCCAGCTTCTATACGGAGATGTCAGTCCATCAGGGCGATTGCCATACACTGTGGCCAAGCAAGACTCAGATTATGGCTCTCTGCAAGGCCCCTGCAACGATGACTCTCAATCGCCCCAGTGCTACTACGACGAAGGCGTGAACATCGACTATCGAGCATTCCTAGCAAAGGGCATCACTCCAAGATACGAGTTCGGCTACGGCCTCACATATACCACCTTCGACTACTCCGCCCTCAACATCAACCTAAACGCCACTTCCACGGCCAACGCCGCGAGCATCGCCCCTTTCTACACGAACGGCACCACCAACCAGAACAGCAATAGAACTGACGTCGGCATCGGTGGCCTTCAATCCCTCTTCGAAAGCATGGGCACCATCACCGCGACTATTCACAACTCCGGCGACGTCGCCGCCTCGGAAGTCGCCCAACTTTACCTCCAAATCCCTGTGCCATACAACTCGCGCAACCCCGGCACGAGGACGTTGCGTGGCTTTGATAAGGTTGCTGTTAATCCGGGAGAGTCCGCACAAGTGACGTTTCCGCTGAGGAGGAAGGATATCAGTTATTGGGATACGGGCAACCAGACTTGGATTACGCCGTCGGGCGACTTCAAGGTGTGGGTGGGGAGGAGTGTGTTGGATTTGCCGTTGACGGGGTCGTTCCCTCTTGATTGAGCGGAGTAGGGAAGATGAGATTGGTTGTGACGGTAATCAGACTTCTTGTCACTGATGATTAGCGATGATGATGAGATGGAGATGAATGTTGGGGTGGCGTTGGGTGGCGTTTTTGGCGGACGACCAGGCTGGCGTTGTATCATGGAGATGCGGTTGGTGAGAATGCGTTCAGGCGTATCGATTCGATGGTGTCGAAATAATAGAGACACCTCTCTCTCTCCCACACACATCCACCCTCCCTCTACTCCTCACTCTCTCTACTACTTAATCAACCCCTCCCTTGCCGCTTGCCTATCTCCCCTCAAAACCCCCCACAACAACCAACCCCTTCCTCAGCACCATCTCCCTCGCCAACAACCCTTCCTCGGCAATCGCCCGGAAAACTTGCTGGAATTTCTCCCCTTGGACGTGGGTTTCGTTGGCTTCGGGGGAGGCGTATTTCTCGATGAAGACGATGTCTTGCTCTGAGGTGGTTTCAGAGGAGGAGGACGTGGTGGGTTCTTGAAGCATGAGGTATCGAAGGGTTTGGGGTTCGGTTGTTTGGACGGTTTGGAGGAGGGGTTGGAGGAGTGTGAGTAGCTGGGATATGTTAGCGACATGAGGGAGGGGAGGCAAGGGGCGGAGGGGGTGCGTTGGGGGAGGGGACGGGGTGATCGGGATGACTGGGAAGAGAGGTGTGGTGAATGAAGAGTGCGGGCGGGATGTGTATGAGTGCGCAGAAAGGAACACGGTGCTGTGAGGTGCTGTGAAGGGAGGAGGTGGTGATCACATACACGTTCAGCTTTCCCGGGTTTCGGGGAGAGGATTGCTACGACGTGGATTTCGGGCATGGTGAATGGAGTAAATGTTGCTTGATGGATTTCCTTGTTCCTGGTGTCGCCTGGCTTATCGAGGGGAGAGATCGCAGGTTTTAAATTGCAGGTGGTATGGAACCAAAGTGCGAGGTTCGATTTGATTGTCAATCTTTTCGCTCGTGATGTGATGGACTTAAAGTGAAGTCAGGGCTTCTTCATAAGAAAGAGTGGAGACCTTGCTGGGAGCTTGCACGGGACAGACAGGGAAATTCTGTAGCTTTTCTTGTTTGCTCGAATGATTACATTCGCATTCTTGTCCTTATTAAGTACACAGCTCATGCCACCTGCAACAGCCGATGTAGGTCCCTTCTTCGTCAGCGCTAGGTCGAAACACCCCTTCTAGGCAAGAGCAAGACTAAAACGCATTCTCCGGCACCACAGGCTTAGGCTCCCTCGACGACGGGGGACAAAACGCCTCCGCCTCCACCGCCGCATGCGCCATCGCCTCCGCATACCCCTCCGAGTCCCTTGGGAACCTGGCCACCGCACAGATATGCGCATAAACCATGGCGGGGATCAAGAACGAACTCTCGGGAATCTCCTTCTTCTTCACGCGGGGTTCCGCGATGCCGAGGAGTTGTCCAAAGACGTTCTTGACGGCGCTTTTGCCTTCGCTGGGGGAGTTCAGGAAGGCGTGGACGTCGAGATCGCCGGTGTCGTCGCCGCTGCGCAGCATTTCGTAGCAGATGGCCATTTGGGCTTGGCGGTGTTCGTTGCGGAACATGATGCCGTGCCCGATGAGGAGGTGGGCGAAGGGGTCGGAGCCGGCTTTTTTGTTGTAGACGGCGATGATTTCTTTCATGTATTGCGTCGCTAGGCGGGTGATCATGGTTCGGGAGAGGTAGAATGCTGGGTCGCTGAGGAGGAAGAATGGCCGGTGGAGTGCTGCTAGGAAGCGTCCGTATGTGAAGGATAGGTAGCGGTAGAGGAAGGTCTTTCGATGTTGTGGTACATTGTCCGAGGTCGAGACAGGTGCCATGGCCTTTGTGAGTTCGCTACTCAGCTCGACTATCTGCTCGAACTGGAGATGCTTCTCACTGTTCAGGAGAGTCACTATCTTGTGTCGGACATGTAGCGATCGTGGCAGGACGTCAGAAAGGTCTTCCGAGTTGTCGTTCGAATACATGCAGGTGACCGTGGAAGGTTGAAGATTAGGTGCCGCTGGCAACGGCGACGCAGGCATCACGCCCGCCGCCAACGAAGCATGAAGATCCAGGTCCATGATTGCCTCCCACACGCGCCGTTTCTCACTTGCAACTTCGACCCGATGGAGATCCAGCACCATTGCGGTCCGAACGTATGTGGCAGAGCGAATGTAAGCAGCCGTTGCATCGAGCTTGAGGAGTTGTTCTGCAAGACTCAATGTGGTGAAGATGTGGGCGGTATGAAGCATGAAGTCGCCCGCCTCCAGTGCTGAGGGTGGTACTGACGAGGCCAAATCCATCCACTCTGCTATCGATGACTTGGAGACTGGCGCCTCATCAGGTGGATAAGTAGTATTCGCAATGGCCATCATGACGAGCACCTTGATCACGAAGCAGATAGGTACACCCTTGGGGTCGGAGAATAGGATGTTGTAGTAGGGAGCAAAGATGTTACGGTTGATGATTGAATAGACCGTGTCGAAGGTGTCAAAGTATCGCGCCACAAGCTCGTGGCATGTCTCTGATGGTGGCAGTTTGTCGTAGACTGATCCAGCAAACTGATGTGCCTGAGGAAGCGGCTCCTGCTCACGGTTCCTGTTCATCCAAGTGTTGTCCTCATTGATGGGATTTTCGCCGAGCCGGTCTCTCCCCATATACACGAGTAGTGGGTCGAATGTCCGCAACAGCCACAGCGTGTGGGTTCGCCCACGCACGGGACCCTGCTGCGGGATCCAATCGTGTGTGGGAAGTCTGGAGTGGAAAGGCTGAGTTTGAGTGCTGTGACTCGTCTCGTCTAATAATTGTAGCGAGCGGTCCCTCTCGGTTGATTGCGGTGGGGCTGGTTGTTGTGTGTTGAATGGCAGCCTTTCGACATCATTCTCATCGAGCTGTTGACCGGGTGATACTTGCTGGTCACTGTCACTCGGAGTGGTTGAGATGGCACTTGATTGTAGTCCTGCTGATCCGTTTTGCCCATTTCTGGCTGGTATACCATCGAATCGGCACTCATCCTGGCAGCCGTGCCTAGTGATGCGTTAGTGAACGCTGGATGTGCCCCTTTCCGTTTGGCCAGGAACAGGAGTGGCGGCAAAGAGCATGTAGCCGCGTGGTCTCCGGGATCAAGGCACCGCGACATGGCACTCGCTTGAGTCAGAGTGGACTCACCTTATACATGGCCCACAAGGCAACTCGTTATTACACTTCACCTTCCGGCGATGGCAGACCGCACATGAAGTCTGCGGTCGCGGCCGCTTGTGCTTTCGCCGAGCAACGCTCTCAGTCATTTCGTCCGTATCGGTATCTCGAAGAAAGACTCGGTGAAAGATCAGGGCTAATTGTACAGAATGAGGAATGCCCTGTCCACCGTCGCGAATAAGAGGGTGGAATTCGCCGAGTCAGCTCGGCGATATTAGATTTTCGCCTTTGGTCAGCAGTTCTGCTGAGGCGAACTCATCCCGCTCCCATCTTTCTTGGCGGGAAACATAAGACATGGGGCATTCCATGATGCTGGTAGAGATTTTGCAGTCATCTTCGCGATGCGACTGACTTTTGGAATGCAGTTTTTTTGTGGTAGAAGAGCGCAGATGAGCCCCTTCAAACTCTCCGCCGAAGTGACGTCCGCCAGCGTAGCGCACGGACCGTGTCTGGTCGTTGCGAGGACGGGGGAACAAGTCGAACGCCATGATTAAATAACACTGGAAAGGAACGTCGTCGTTTGAACAAGGGCTACTGCAGGTGAGATTTGAGAGAAGTTATTTAGTAAGCTGATCGCACACGACTCGCGGCAATTGCGATACTGCTTCAAAAATGCCAATGTACAAGACAACTTTCTTCTCAACGTAAAGGGAGGTTGTAAAGCCGGCGCTTGGCTTGCGTGATGTGTGATATAATTGACGGTTCTCAGTTGTCCACAGTCATTCATTGTGTTTCGCGACGTTACATCGACATCGATCTCATCATAGCTTCGACCTAACTCTGATCGTTGGCATGCGATCCCAGCTCATGCTTCACCCAGGAAAGAGCTTACGACTGGACATACGCATCGCCGATACCCCTCTGTACAGCTGGTCGCTCAGCGATGCGGTCAATCCATTTCAGCAAGTGTGGGAATGCTGACACCTCCTCCTTGGTGAAACCAGTCCTCTCCCATCCCTTGACCCATGGCCAAGTCTTGATATCCGCGACAGAGTACTTGCCCTTGCCATGACCCGCGAGATATTCCCTCGGCTCACCGGTATACTTGCCGCTGAGGTGGATCTCCAGCACACCATACACACGCAGCGTCTCATTCTTGAAGCGTGTGATGGCGTAGGGGATCTTCTCGGGGGCGGCGCGGGAGAAGTGGTTGACCTGGCCTTGGTAGGGGGCTCCGCTGCCGTGCCAGAAGAATGTCCACTGCAGGGCTTGGTTGCGCTCGAGGTCGTTGGTGAAGCCGAATTTGTCTTGCTTGTCGGCGAATTTGAGGAGGTAGAAGAGCTCGGCGGAGGTTTCGTGGACGGTGAAAGGCGGGGACTGGGTGTTGTCGATGAGGATGGGGATGCGGCCTGTGGGGCGTACAAGTTAGTAGGTGAATGCGAGGAAGTGTGGCGTTGACTGACCGTTAGGGTCGAGGCGGAGGAACCTGCTGATGTGTGAGCCTCTGGTTCACGACAAGTGTATGAATTCGTCTCACCAGTCACTCTTTTGAACGTTGGTAGAGATGTTGATCAGCGTTGTAGTCCACTCCAGACCATAGGCATCTTTCAGCTCCTCGAGGAAGATCTGAACAGCCTGGCCATTGGGAGTGTTCTGGGTAACGAGATGAATGCCTTTGGCGTTCTTGACGTCGTCTGGCGTCTCGGACGTGTATAGGTTGTGGGACATGATGGATGGTCTTGAGTTTTGCTGATGTGCTGCTTTTTGCAATGGGTTGAAGGAGTGGGTGAGATGTCTTATACCTGCTTCCTACCTCTCAATGGCGTTTGTAAGCAGCTCTATGATTCCAGGTTGTTTGCGTGTTTAAGCCCCTCAGCACGAGCTGTCGACCCCTCCATCGCCAGAGCACGCGATGGACGTCAGTGATTAGGTCAGCTCGAGTGTCTGATTCGCGACTCGCGCTACGGTGAACCTCCGAGTGAGGGCGATATTCAAAAAGGAAGATGGCCCATCTTGTTCAAGTACAACTCTCATCACGAAAGAATGGTGAGAGAGTACGAAGCTCTCGGCGTCGGATGAGCTTCGGCGGCATTTGCTCCGCGCTGTACTGACGGCTTCCATCTCACGGCCCGTGCAATGAATTGACCCGATGGCACAGTATGGTTTGTTGATCCGAGAGACAGGCTACAATACCTCAGTTCGGGCTTGCTCGCGATCCTGTGAGGTGGTGGAAGTATGGAGATGATGGCGCAGACGCAGATGAAAAGCTTCAGCAGCAGCCCTACGCCTGGCGCCCAGTCTCTCCGCAATGCATTGAACGAGCGAGCTTGATCTGAAAGCTTCTGCTGGAGGAGGTGCTTGGTCAGTGGGAGGGTTTTTCGCATGGTTTCTGACAAAGAGCAGACAGCAGTCGTGGTCGGCGTACGCGGTGCGGACGGCGTTTGCTTGGGCGGTAGGGACAGAGGCCGGGGCCATGGTGGCTGATCGTATTTTACTCCATGGACGCCGAGGAAGAGAGCTCATCCGCACCAGAAGACTCCCCCAACCACAACCACCACTCAGTGTACTAAAAGTGAGTCTTTTCGCGGAGCCCCCAAAACTGGCATTTGCAGCTAGCACGATGGACTAGCGATGCCCATGGGCTGACCCCCCAGATGCTTGTTCCTCTCTCCGCTCCCTCTTCGACTTGGCACACTTGATGCGAGTCCGCACCGCCAAGAGATACTGCTAAGAGTGAGTCTCCTCTGCTGCGACGCCTGCACGTCCCGGTGTGTGCGCGCCGCCCCATATCCCACCTCCCGTCGTCGTCGTCGGCGGCTGCTGTGGGCAGAGCGCAGATCGCGTCTCTGATCTTCACGATGCACTACTGCGACAGCAGACCATGGCCGTACCGGTAGCTGGCAGCAGCGCAAGCGTCGTTCCCGCTCAGCACAGCCCCAGCCAGCAGCCAGCCAGACAGACACCCTCAACGGCCCATCAGCATCATCGTCGCCTGCACCACCGCGACCGCCGCCCTCCCATCCGTCCGCGCTGCTCACTAACATGCCCTCGCAGCTAGTGGCGCCCTCCTCGACTCACCGCGCCCTCGCCGTCCCGTCGCTGCCCCTGTCGTCGCGCCTCCCACCTGCAACGACCTGCACCACTCCGACCCACGCTTGGCATCCCCGACGCCCCGCCGATTGCGAACGCGCATGTCGTCGCTGACCTGCTGCTGTCTGCCTCGTACGGCGCCGATTCGGTAGGGCGGGGAGGAAATGCCAGCCTCGCCCAGAGATCCTCACACGCCTTCTCGTCGCCTGCTGTCGCGTATCACCTCGCCCTTCTCCTCCAAGTCGCGCAACGTCACCGACTACTACATCCACGTCGACGACCCCCACAAGCAGTACTCCCCCGGCGACGACGTCAACGGTGCCCTCCACCTGACGATTGCGAAGCCCATCCGGGTCACACACATCGTTGTTTGCCTTCACGGCTTCGTGCAGGTGTACAAGAACCCCGGTGCCCCGCCTCCCGATGGCTACCGCACCAACAGCGCCCACATCGGTACTGGGAGAGGAGGCAGCAAGTCGGGCGAGTACTTCGGCAATGGCTTCGCATCACTGTTCGAGGACGAGGTGGTTGTGTGTGGAGACGGCAGGCTGGGAGAAGGAGTGTATCAATTCAATTTCAACCTCGAGTTTCCGGACAAGGATTTGCCGAGCAGCATATCTGTGCGCCTGCCCCGTGTGAGATGAGGGAAGAAAGACAGCGCTGACAATATTTCCTACAGTTTGAACGAGGAACGATATCCTACATGATCACAGCGACACTGACGAGACCCACAACCATCTCCCCCACCATCCAATGCGATCACAAAGTCTATCTCGTGGAGCGCATAGACATCTCCCAGCTATACCCCCCAAAAGCCAGGACCATCACATTGGAGCCTCTCTCGCGAAGGACTAGAGCCAGAACGCAAGCGAAGAAACTGGTCGACAGCGATAGGAAGAGTCGCAAGACTGATTCGAATTCCAACCAACCAGGTAGCGAACGTCGAGACAGCCAGACGTCTTCGTCACCTAGCTTACGTCCGGTTGGAGAGAGCATTCACAGCCCATCGCCGAGTGAGGTCAGTTTCGACAGCCACCTCAGCAGCAATGGACGCAACTCGCACCAAGACTCCAACGCGACCTCCCCTCGACAGAGCGATGGAGGGAAAGCCAACAACAGCAAGATATCATTGCATTCCAGGACCATCACGGCCACCGTGGAATCACTCATGGGAGGCTGTCTTCGCGGAGACAGCGTGCCTGTGAAAGTCCATGTCAACCACACCAAACATGTGAAGAGCTTGCATGGCGTCATAATCACTCTCTATCGGCAAGCACGTGTCGATTTGCATCCTGCAATCCCTCTAGGACCCACTGAGAAGGGCAAGGAAGCCAAGTACGAAGACTATTATCCGAAGTCGGTAACTGGGCTTGGCGGGTTATCCTTGTCAGGCGCTGGATCAAGTCATCTCTTTCGCAAAGATCTCTCCCAAACGATAGTGCCGTTGATTGTTGATCCAAGCACCCTCACAGCCGAAGTTACAGGTCGGGTTCACATGCCTGAGGAGGCTTTCCCCACAATCTCCACTGTACCAGGGGCTATGATTAGCTTCAGGTACTACATCGAGGTTGTGCTTGACATCCAAGGAAAGCTTTCTTCTCAAGATCGTAACTTGGGAAATCTTGGCGGCTTGGCCAGCACCATCAACACTGGGCAAGCGAGCGAGAACTTGGATCGAGAAAGGTCGGCCACTAATCCTTACGGCTCTCCCATCATCGACACTGCCACCGTCAGAAGAGACAAAGGTGTCGTCGCTTGTACTTTCGAACTCATTGTCGGCACTCGAGACAGTGAAAGACGAAAAGGAAAGCGGAAAGTGGAGGTCGTACCGGAGCAACCGCAAGAAACGCCACAGCGGCAGTCAAACGGACTCCAGGCTCACGCTGAAAATAATGCGGCATATCAAAGCAATGGTTGGTATGGTTCAGAGCATGGATATGACCAACAGTACTACAATCTCAGCCCGTATGCTCAGCATGGGTATCCCGTCTATCAAGGCGGCTACAACAATGGCTACTACGACCAGTACGGGTATGCGTACCCAGATGCAAGCTACACTGAACCTCCACCAGTACATGTACCCGTTCCGCCAATGGAAGACGAATCGCAGCTACCAGAAAAGGAACGAATGCGAAGAGCAGAGGCAAGACTTCTACCAAGTCAGCCTCCTGGTGTTGAAGAGGAACAAGCCACTGCTGGTGCCAGCGGCCCTACTGCACCGTACCTCCCCGAAGAGCAGCATCCAGGGGATTTTGCAGGGCCAAGCGCACCTGACGCCCCGCTTCTAGTACCGCCTTCGACACAAGCTGGACCGTCAACAAATGGCGTGTCTTTGATGATGAACCAGGATATTGCGAGCAGCATCCCATTGCCGAGGACGCCAGTATATGAAAGAGCACCACATGTGAATGGAGTCCGGCCAAGTGCACCAGCATATGAGCCCAGAGACCCCAACCTGCTCTCGCCACAGATGTCGTCCCAATCGACGACAACGATAGTGGCGCCGACCGACGACAAGCGAGAGCTCGAACGACGGCAACTACAACTGGAAGCATCGGCGCCTCCTGAAGATGCAGCCGGACCAGCACCTGTAGACCACGAGCCCAGCGCTCCTGTGTTGGGTGAAGAGGACGAGCTGTATGGAGACAGCCATAATGACAGCCACGCGGATGCGTCAAGCTCATCTGACCTACCGCGATATGAACGATGACATGATTGAAGGCGTTTTTGGGAGTGTATAGATTGGGGACCGGGATTTGAACAATCAAAAAGCGGAGGCGCAACCCGCAAAGGCTTTGTAACGGCTTACAGCTTCTCGTATCTTGGAAGGGGTGGGTGGATTGAATGGTGCTTCGGGACGAGGTGTTTTGGGAATGATACCTAAGGGAAAGCCTTCTGGCTGCGTGGTGATGGAAATTGCCGCCACTGCTGAAGCCGGGCTCGTCGTTTTGTTTTGTGTAAAATGCCCATATCTATTGAAAGATCTATCACAACAACGAAGCTGGTCGTCATGGCTGGGTCGAGGACTGTTCTAGGCGATACATCGCCCACGCGACGAAAAGCTTCGCGGCCGTATCCTCGTCGTCATGCACGTGGGAATAATGCCTGTGCCGTGATTGCCTTTGGAGCTAGAAGGGTGGAAGAAGAAGGATTGCTTACTGCTGACTTCTCCTCATCTTCACATACCACTTCATCAATTTGGAAGAGGAGGCTGCTGGTGGTAGGTAGCAGCACATGACTTGTTGGAGGAGGATGCCGGTATACACGGCAATCCCGGGATCTGCGGTTCTTTCAGCTCCTCCTGTCAGCGAGACACTCCCAGCGCGCCACAGGATTCAATGGTGGTGGTGGAGTCTGGAGACGAAGGAGAGAGGTGTGGTGGATGATGATGATGATGATGAGAGGTATGCTGTTATTCCCGTGAGGTGTTGATTCCTTGAGATGATTGACAGAGTCGTGTTGTAGACTTCTTCATTGCCAACCATGGAAGGAAGAGGAGCTTCATCACGAAACACTCTCTGCGGTCACCAGCAGGTGAGGTCTGCTAGCTAACGAGAGGACAATACAGGAACAAAAGTACATGCATACACCTCCATCGTGGAGCGATCGAGACCGCCTCTACGTTCAGCGGCGTCTCGTGGAGATCGACGAAACCCTCCACCGTGCACCCTTTCCCCAGAGAGCACTTTGCGGGTGTGCGGGGGGAACACCTTCGACGGCAAAGTGTGTTTCCTTTTTCGAACGGTCGACAGCCGTTTCTGCTCTTTACCGGAGCCACGAGATTGGACGACTGGTCGTTTCCTGCAAGCCCATTCGTTCGTGGACGATGCCAGCTTTTGTTGTTGGTTGGTATGTATCCGTCGACAGACTTTCAGCATGTGGGCGGCACGTTATTGCCGCGTGATGGGTACTGTACTGTCTGGCTGGCCTGGGTACATATGTATATAGCTGATCAGCGCTGTCCGTTTTCTTCAGGTTTGGGAGCTGAGAGCTGTGTTTCTTCCTCGTCTTGAGTGCTTTCTTACTCTCCTCCTCCTTCTCGTCACCAGCAAGAAAGACAATACCTCCCCTCCAGCTCAAGAGAGCCTCGCGCTCCCCCAACCCACCAACCATGGCGACCACAGACCCTCCCCTCGCCGACGAAAAAACAGACCAACACCAACACTCCCACGATGAATTCGCCGACGCGCACACCACGAGCAGCAACGACCTCGAAAAAGCCCCCACAGGCTTCCGCCAACACGAAACCGACGCCCAAGACGTCCCCTGGACCGCAACCCGCATGATCGCCGTGGCCTCCCTCTGCCTCGTCTACGTCGGCTCGCAAATCGTCCTCTACTTCGTCTCCTCCAACCTCACCGCCATCTCCGAGACCATCGGCACGCGCTTCGGCAACTGGATGATCACGGCCAACACGCTGGCCGTCGCGGCCATCTGTCCCTTCGTGGGCTATGTCACGGATCTGTTTGGCCGGCGCTGGGTGTGTCTGTTTGGGACGTTCATGTTGATTTTGGCGAGTATTGTGCAGGCGACGGCGGAGAATTTTGGGGCTGCGGTGAGTGCGCAGGCGATTGGGGGGATTGGGGCGGGGATTTGTGAGTTGGTTGCGCTGGCTGGGTGAGTTTTTATTTCTTCTCCTGTGGATTGTTTGAGGGGTGGCTGACTGTTCTTACAGTGTCGCGGAGATCACCCCTGTCCGATGGCGAGGCGTGACCCTCTCGGTCGTCACTTTCTCCATTGTACCATTCATGCCTCAGCTGCTCTATTCCGTCCTCATCACTCGAGCCTCGACCTGGCGCTGGTGCTTCATGATCACGGGAGGCTGGAACTTCATCGGTATGGTCGGGCTGTTCTTCTGCTATAAGCCACCACCACGACACATGCACGACGGCCTTACGACTATGGATATCATCAAGCGCATCGATTGGATTGGCGCGTTCCTCTCCATCGTTGGTGTTACGCTCTTCCTTGTGGGACTTCAAGCTGGTGGATATCAAGTCCCCTGGGTCTCTGGCCGTGCTCTGGGTCCGCTCATCGTTGGCGGTTTGATGACTTTCGTTGCGTTCCCCCTGTGGGAAGTCTACGGTCTTCACCCCTACCCAATGGTTCCCCCCAAGATCTTCAAGGGCCAGCGCGTCGTCGCCCTAGCCTACGTGATCGTCTTCGTCGCCGGCATGGACTTCTACTCCGTAAGTATCCCCCTCAACCTCCTCAACCCCTCCAGCCATACTGACCCACCTCCCCCAAAGATCCTTGGCTTCTTCCCCATCGTCCTCCAATACGTCTTCAACACCGACCCCATCACCATCGGCGTCCGCGGCCTCTGCTACCCCTGGGCGATCCTCGGCGGCGCCTGTATAGTGTCCTACCTAATGTCCTACACCAAGGGCCACGTGCGCACCATGTTCCTCATCTGCGCCGCCATCATGACCGCCTTCACGGGCGCCCTCGCACACTCCACCCCGGACAACTCCGTCTACACCATCACAATGGCGACCTTCTCGGCCTTCGGCAACGGCGCCCTCGTCGTCCCCGCCCTCACCCTCGCCTTCTACGCCGCGCCCGACGAATTCGTCGGCACCGTCGGCGCCCTCTCCCTCTCCGTCCGCTTCCTCGGCGGCTCCATCGGCACCGCCATCTACTTCAACGTCTTCCTCAACCAATTCAGCACCAACCTCCCCGCCTACGTCGGCGCGGCCGCGGTCCAGAACGGCGCCGACCAGGCCCTCACCGTCGAGCTCGTCAAAGCCTACGCCTCCCAGGTCCCCGGCGCGGCGGCCATGGTTCCCGGCGCGACGCAGGCGATGGTCGCCGCGACGCAGTATGCCAGCCAGTGGGCGTACGCGGAGAGTCTGAAGTATGTGTGGTATACGACGATTCCGTTTGGGGCAATTAGTTGTGTGTGTTGTGCGTTTTTGCCGAATATCAGGCAGTTTATGACGAGTAAGATTGCGGTGGATATTCATTGAAGAGGAGATGTGGGATGAGGGGGGAAGATGGTGGTGATGATGATGTTTTTGATGAAAAACGAACGATGTTTGTTCATGAGTATGACGTGCAGTTTGAGAGCGAATGATATCGACAGTCTATCAAAAGAAATCCGACATCCTTCAAATCTGCCCGTTTCGTCTCTCCTTTTTCAAAACCATCTAGCCATCAGAGCACCTCGTCTCCCCCATCGTGACCAAAAGAAGCTTGGCTCGTCGACAGACGAAGCTCAATACCTAGGGAGTTCGACCGCTTGAGACCAGAGTCGACAAGATAGGCGGAAGCAAGTACGAGGTATTCCATCAAGTCTACCTTTGCCAGGCGGTATCGTTCCGTAAGGGAGAGACAGACAGGCCGAACAGAACAGGACGGTGCAGATTAGATGTGGCGACAAGTAAGTAGAAGGCCGGAAACCTATTACTCAATGTTGCTCCCGTTAGATATCTCACTTGCTCACTGAACTTCTCTCGCAGTAGTACAGACATCGATACGACTCTGAAGCGTATATGGATAGGCATCGCGAACTCCGAAAATGATCTACTAAGTAGGGCGTGTAGCCTGGCATTGGTTCCAAGAAGTTTGCCGACGCGATTATTGACGAAAGCCGTTCATGCCTGAGCCTGTGTATGGCGAGCTGTCGAATGCATTCCACAAATATGGGGTCTTATGGTTGCGGTGTTTTTGGGTTTGTTTCGCTGGATCGGTGTGATGTTTTCGAGCCTTGAGTTTGGCCTTGGAGCAGTACTTGCCACTCACTGGCTTCTGGAATCAGAGAACTCACTGAAGAAAGGGGGGATGATTCACATCGAGGTTGAAGTCGTGACGAGCATGTTGATGTCCTGTCCCGCTCGAATAACCAAGACAGAAGGACGTTGGTGCATCACGATCTCGTCGACTTGTGAGGACGTTCCACGTCCACTGGGTGAGGATTGGTCGTTAATCCTATCGTGAATCGACGCCTCAGCACTCTCGAGAGGTACAACATTCATGCGACGTTCTGCGGTAGCCGTCGCTCGCGGCAGGACTTTTCGCTACACGCGGGCAGAGACATTTCTTCCCAAGATCGCGCGATCGAGGAGGTCGTCCACGACAACGATGGTGTCGTGATGGCGACAATATCGCAATCCATCGCCGGTACAGTGTGCAGCAATCTGAGGTCTTCCGCCCCCTGAGGGCTGCAGCAGTCCTACCCTCTGTAGAGCCATGCTTCTTCGATGGACATACTGGACGATCAGCTCTTTTCAATCGTTCGATCCCATCGCCTGACCGTATGTCAGTATCCATCGACGACGTCACATTAGCAGTGGGAAAGAGAACCCGAAGGGACGTCTGTCCAAAACTGCTGGCATGCTGTCATGACCGTTGGCTCGCGATGGAGTTTGTACCATCGCCATCTTAAGAGATCCAACGGTTATAACAGCTCTCTCGCACTGTTGGAAACGGTTCCGACGCGAGAAAGTGGATGGACATGCTGTCATGGCCGTTGGAAGATAACGACTATACGGACCACAGTTCACGAGGTCTTTTATCATGTTGAGGATGGAGGGGAGTTGCGATGGAGGACGCCTGACTCGATCTCCAGGCCAACTCAACCTCTTGGCCGGCTTCCTGCACCGGATTACCCGACCGTGCCCTCGGCGAGGAATCCACTCGGTTTCTTCACGGCAGGGTAGGAATCAGGCCGCTTGACGAGCTTATTCTATTCAGAGAAGTTGTGAAGAGTGCCTCCCGTGGAGAGTGCTCTCAACGAGCCGCAGATTTGCAGTGCAGCACGATGAAAGAGATGTTCCTGGGCAAGGCCAGCCATCGAGGCAGGGTTTCAGGAGGAGTGAAACATGTCGACAGGCCAGGCACGAGGTACGTACCTGTTTTGTGTTCGATCGATCTCGAACTCGAACTCGTTTCGGGAGACGGGTTGGATCTTGGCTGGTTGGGGGCGGTATCAGTTTTCAGGAACCGGACGGAGGACAGGCAAACTGTTGCGTCGTTGTGCAGGCTTTCCCATGCTGGGAGGAGGTTGTCATGAGGATGGCAGATGCAGGGTGGATACTGTGACAGTCGCAGAGCCGCATTGACAGCCGCGTACTTCCAGCGAGTGTATTTTTGTTTGCTTGAACAGTGCGAAATGGCAGGAGGCGCTGCACTGAGCAAGTTGACGTAGGCCGTCTTCGTCACGGATGTGGCATGGCATGGCATATCGATATCGATACTCGGGTCTCCCAAACCGAGGTCAGAACGGGGTAGACATCAGAGGCGTTTTGCTGTTGTCTGCCAAACGGCAGGCTCCACTTGCCATTCGGCTGGCGGGCGTGAACGATAGACTTTCCTCGCTACCAGACAATCTCGCAACGGGAGGGCGAGACAACAAGAGGTGTCTTCTTTTTCGGACGGCCATGTCGCGGGTGTGTGAGTCGCTGGAGATGAGGATGTGTTGCGAGGGTGGTATGGATGGGGATGCGATTGCAGATGACACACGGCAGTGTCTCGTGATGGTACCACCAGATGCGGTGCGAATCGCTGCGTTTGCCATTGTAGGGCTGGTGCATGGCAGGCGACGGAAGCGCCCTCTCCGCGGCGGCCACCTCTTCCAGACACGGCATCGAAGATCTGGGCTGGGCACCGCTCGTGTTCACCACCTCCGCCTCCATAACGCCAGCCGTTGACCTCGCGCGAGACAGAAGGGAACAGCTGACTCCGGCCTCCAGCGCAAGCAGTAACCAGGTAGAGACAACGGCAAAGCTACACATGGTGCGCAAACAGAGCGCAGATTGAAGGAGACGTGCAGTCTCGAGTCGTGCACCCAGCAACGCAGTACACACGCAAGCCTACTATTTTCAGCCTCTCAAGGTCTGACTGATGCTCGATGCCGACGACGAACCAGCTCCACCTCCTCTGCCACACCACCACCGCCGCCGCCCGTGGCAGAAAGGAGACTGGCAGGGCGCGGAATGGGCTGGCCGGCATCCCCCCCTCCCTGCTCCTCGCCTGCGCTGCCGTGGATGATGCAAGACACTTGTGCGTCGAGATCAGCAGACGCGCACGAGGCTTGATCTTCCCAAACCTTCTTTTTGCTCACTCCATCCACCCACCACACGCCAGCCCGCGGCCTGAGTGCCCAGCGTGCTAGCCGACTTTTCGACCTCTGCTGCTGTCATCTGTCTCACACCTCCAAGCCAGCCCGCCCGCTTTCGACCTGATCCATGCCTGTTCCCATGGCACGCGGCACTTCTAGTCTTTCTATAGACGAACCTTACCTCACTCCCGATCCTGGGGATGAGCACACAGGCCAGTCGTCCGTGGGCGACGAGGCCTGCAAATCGTGCGTGCGTGCGTGCGTGCGTGCGTGCGTGCGTGCGTGCGTGCTTTCGCGGCGGAGCATGACGGACGATGGTAGGATTGTTCCTGGACCACGGCTTATTTCTTATTTACTCCCTCACCACCGCCCACCACTCGTCGTCTCGGACGCCGACGTACTTTGCCTCGAGTGGATTGGGTTGCCTGTTGGATGAGCTCCCTTGCTTCGGCGTCAGCGAGCTGGTCATCCCACCGACCTGACCTCACCCTCCCACGAAAGCCTTTCGTCTTATCTGTCCAGTTGTTTCTTGTTCTGTCTGTCTTGTTTGCTACGATAAGATGTCTTCCCCTCCTCGCTCGCCGAAGCGAAATGGTTTGATACTGGAGGAGCAACAGTTTGTTTACGACGACGAGAATTGGCCGCTGAGGAACCAGATGCCGAGCCTGACAATGTCGCCGACTTGTTCTGAGGAGAGTCTGATGCCGGCAACACCACCGAACGAGCCCAATGAATCGATCCTACTTCCGGGCTTTCACTTCTCAACCACTGATGAGAATGTCGATCCGGCTGAATTCCACCGCATAGCTGCCCAGCTACTATCTGGAGAGTCGTCGATTAAGAGAGATTCCGGCATCGCCGAGGAATACACCCCACCAGTCCTGGAGAGGCATCTACATTGTGACTTGGGAAAGGACCCATCTGGTCGATATTGCTGCTCGTGTGGAAAGTCATACTCCACATCTTTCCGCCTTCGAGAGCACGTGCAAGCCTGTGCAGGAACCTCAAAGTTCCCATGCCCGACCTGCGATAAGGTGTTCGAGACGAAGGAGAAGCGGGAGAGACATGTCCAACAACGGCACAACGATAACAAGGAGGCTTGCCCCGAGTGTGGTGAGGAGTTCCCGGCGAACTACCTTCCAAAGCACCTAGCAAGTGGCCTCGGTGGATGTGATGGGATGATTCAGGCCTCGATGGCACCAGCACCTGAAATCGACGAAGCGTACAGAGATTCAGCAACTCAATCATCATCACAGCAATACTGGATCTACGAGGGCGATCTTTCCTGGAATCTGAAAACGACAGCCTCGCGAGACTCCAAAGTAGACGACGAGGTAGAAGACCAAGTCGTAGAACAAACCATGTCCTACGTGAAAAAACTCCTCCGCCGACCCATCTCCTCCCCGGCAACAGAATCCTGCGATCTCTGCGGCGAGTCCTTCCCCTCGGACGACGACTCCCTCGCCCAACACATCGGCTCGCACAGTATGGACTTCAACGAAAAGCGGCACCGCTGCGACGACTGCCGAATCTATTTCGCCAACGAAAAGGACCTCGAACGCCACCTCCAATCCGCAAACCTCAACCACCACTGCGGCTTCACCTTCCGGCACAACTCCCCCTCCTCCTCCTGCACCGGCCACCACCCACCCACCTACTTCAAATCCAGCCTCGCCAACGACCACAACCTGATGCAGAAACACCTATGGGCGTGGGAGCTCTGCCAGCTGCGCGCGCACCGCGTCACCGTCGCCCGCCTCCTCGCGGAACGCCTCACCTCGCCCCAACAGCAAATGTCCCTGAGCGACTGCCGAAGGACCTACCTCTCCCTCCTCCCACACATCTCCGTCGCGAGCAGCAGCAGCAGAAGAGACAGCAGCATCCGCACCTCGTACTCCTCCGTCTGCAGCGACGACGTCGCCGAGATGATCGATACGCATTTCAGCCGTATCATTTCCGAGACGGCCGACTCCTTCTCCCTCTCCAACATCAACGAGGAAGAAGAAGACGGCAATGTCTCCGCCCGTCCTGACTCCTCTGTCCTTTCGAACACGACGAAACGCATGTCGAAACGAAAATCCCTCGTCGAACTCGCTACTAAACGCGCCGCCCAGCATCGCAGGAACCGCTCGAATCCCATCGAGTACCTCAAATCGCAGGCTGTGAAGGAGGTGGGAAGGCCGCAGAGTTTGCCGATGCCGCCCATGGGCGTGGGAGTGGGCATGGCGGCGCTGCCTGTGGCGGGGAGGTTGGTGGCTGCTTGAGACGACGACGAAGACAAGGAAGAGGAAGAACAACCGACCGGTTTCTTTTTGTGGTTTGATTTTTTTGTACTATTGTGATGCGTGATGAAAAGTCCGGGGCTGAAACCTTTGTTATATTTGATTGAGTCGACTGATGAGAATGTGTGATGTGATGTGAACGAACTACGACGCGACAAAAGAGAGCGAGCGAGAGCGATACGACTTGTGTTGTTTATACACTTTATTTGAGATACCATGATGCGATTAGGACTACGAGAACCGAGAAAATTTGTTTGTAGGATTATCGAAAGAATATGAATGGACTTTGTACCTCTTGAGTTCATCTGCTACTGCCCTGTCTTTCTTTTCTTGTGGTCTCGCCTCGTCTTACGCTGAATCCTGCTTCTCACACGCGAGGGACCAAGCTCGTTGCTTGAACGGATGACTCGAAATACTGGGAATGCATGGGTTCAACCTTTGTCATAACGATGCACATGGTTTGAGATGGGGGTTGAGCGGTGAAGCTGAGAGATGGATGGGTAAAGAAGTAATAACAAAGACATTACACTCGCATTTCATCTCTCCTCTCTCTATCGGCTAGGTTCCAATACCCAATACCAACCAAAACAATAAAACTTTTCTGTAGGCTCCTGAGAGTCCCATTCGTCTATACCATATCGAAACCAAGAAGTGCAGTTCCTAACCCTCTCCCTTCTATCGAATACCTCGTTCCTTAACCCATGCAAGTACCTCACACCCGCGTGTATGGCTCAACGAATCCAGCCGCAGCCGGCTCGCTGCATACATAGATGGTCTTGTGCTTGTCTGGGAACCCATTGAACTTGGTAGCAGAGCACATCGTGTACGCGCCCATGTCCTCAAAGTACAGCCAATCGCCGATGTCGAGGGTCTCGGTCGAGTACCACTCGCTGGAGATGCAGTCGATACCATCGCAGGTCGGACCCCAGATCGAGTAGGTGATGGCCTTCTTCTCGCGAGGGTGAGCGAACGTGCCGTCGGCGTCAGACCCATAGCCAGAATCAACGAGCGACTCGGGGATCGTCGAGTACTTGTACCCATCCACGCAGCTCTGGCTACGCAGGACTCGTGGCACGGGATGCTGGTGATCGAAGATGATGCTCGAGAAGTTGCCGTAGACGCCATCGTTCATGTAGAGCATGTAGCTGGTGTTGCCACCCAGGTTGTCAGCCTCAACCGTGCGCCGAGCAATGACGTTGCAAGCCAGGGTGAAGGCGGAGCTCGTGTAGAAACGTCCTGGCTCTGCGATGATGCGCACATGAGGTGGGAACTCCTTGTCGACGGCCTCAGCCAGAACAGCAGACATGTCGTCGAATGTGTCGGATGTGAAGCCACCACCGCAGTCGAGCGTGTGGAGCTGGTATCCCAAGACAGCTGCCTGATCGAAGACACTGCGAGCGTCTACGATAGCTTTGCGGAAGGCGTCTGGGTCAGATGCGCCGGATCCGACGTGAAAGGCGACTCCAGCAACGTCGAGGCCCAACTCCTTTGCGAGTGCAAGCAGCTGTGGCACCTTGTCCATGCTGGCCCCAAACTTGTTGCTCAGCCTGCACAAGCTGGCCGAGTCGTCGGTGCAGATGCGCAAGAAGAGCTCTGCTGTTGGATAGATGTGCTTGATCTTGTACAGCTCATCGGTGTTGTCGAACGTCATCTGCTTGACACCCGTCTTGACAGTGCGCTTGAGGTAGCTCGTAGTCTTGCATGGGTTGGCGTAGATGATGCGCGCTGGATCAACACCCATAGCCCGGACTTGGTCGATCTCGGCCTTGCTGGCACAGTCAAAGCCAGCCCCCAGTTTGTCGAGCAGACGCAAGAGGCCTGGATCTGGGTTGCACTTCACGGCAAAGTGCGGTGTGATGCGTGGGAGCTGCTGCTTCCAGCGCATGTGCTGGCGGTAGACCTCGCCCAGATCCGCAACGAAGAAGGCATCCTCGTCGCCTGGCTCGCAATCCTGTGGATCAACCGTATCAATATGCTTCTGCAGCGCAGCGCCAATCATCTCCTTTGGTGTTTTCCCGCCATATTTGACAGTCTCAGCTCCGCTCTCGTAGTCGGAGACTGATATGGTGTCTACGTAGTCTTTGTCTTTCAACGATAAGACGTCGTAGTTGTTGGTGATGATGTCGGTTGCGCTAGGTGCCATTCCCTTGTTGAGGAAAATAGCTGTAATTGGATGGATCGGTGTGTTCGAGGGGGGTCTTTAAGGTGGTTTGAAGGGCGCGAAACCCAGTCGAATTAGTCCTGGGTGGCGGTGCCCAGAGTCTTCCCCGAGGGAGGGAAGAGCTCCAGAGAAGCTCTTATGCGGCAGCTGAGATGTTGGCGGCGACTGGGGGCTGTTTTGGAACAGGTGGAAAATCAAATCAGACTCTTCTTCTAGCGACGCCAGGAGATGGAGGGGGCTTGTTGTTGAGGATGTCGCGGTGCGGGCGCTGGGAGGCAACTTGGCTGATGACTCGAAAGCAGGCCGACAAGGCAATGGTGAATGGGGCACCTTTGACTAGGACCAAAGGCGAATCGAGGGTCGTGAAGAGGCCAGACGTGCGCCGAATCTGTTGCAGCGAGTGAGTCAGTGGGTGTTGTTGTGTGTTGTGGAGGAGAGGAAGGAGGAGGCAGTGCGAAGTTTTTATGGCGGGCGCAAGTCGTCTCGTGCCTGGCCGCGCACATGACGGCGGCGGGTGAATCGGTGGCGACGGGGAAGGGCGATACTCACGGCAGACTGGCAGATGAATCAATTGTACAGGTGAGGCGGCTGTTCAGTCGCAGGTGTCGAGCGGTGTTTATGTAGTAGTGAGAGGAGGAGAAGGTGAGCGAATTTTGGGACAGTGTCGGTGGTGGTCGCTTGGGCCAATCATCCAGTGTCAGATGCAAACTAAATTCGGTGACATCAGGCCCCCGTCGACTCTGCAGCTTCACCCATTGAGCTCCTGTTCCTGCGCAACACACCACCACAACACCCACCTGCATGTGTCAATCTGCAGCACAATCTACGACTACCGATCAGCCACCTGTTCACCAACATTTGAGCCATTCCACCGCCGCTTCATTGAACTATCCTCATCAAAACGTCCCTCAAAACAATCGACTCTACCCCGTACATTGGCCCGCAATTCTGGAGAAGTTCATCAACGCCGGTGTCCTCCATTCCAGCTGACTGTCTCCTCGAAATAGCTCCTAAGGGGCACCATGAGCACGCGACCGCACCTCGAACTCCTCTCGGACCGCCTGCGCGATTAACGGACCACGACCGAACGAGTCAATGAGACATATATGACACGCGCGACATTCGCAAATGGCTCATACCAAAGCCGCAAAAACTGGAAGCTTCGAGGGGTAGACTTGCTGCTAACGATGCCCTTCATTCGAGTCCCGAATCCATCGCGTGCGAGATATATACACGCATGACCTGCTTTGGGGCGAGGGACTTCTGGAGACTGCCCTACCGCTTCAAGAAACCCCCCAGCTTGCTCTTCAGCTTCTCCTCCAGTTGCCCGAATCCACTCTTCCGCCTCTCGTTCGTTGCCGCGGCCTCAGCAGGAGGCGGTGGAGGGGGTCTATCGTACGACCCTTCGAACCAGAACCTCGCCGCTATGACCTTCCCACCTAGCTGCGCCGCGTCCGTCCACGTACACAACATCTCGCCCCTCGCCAGGTCGCTCGCTCTGGGATTCGGATATAGCGCATATTTAGGTCCTGAACTCTTCCCGTCCCACGGATCAGGGTCTCGTGGAAGTTCACCCAAATCTTGTACTTCCCACGGTCCCGTCACTGCAGGTGCGGCACCGACGTAGAAGTGCCCGACGCCAAACTTGTTCACTCCAATCCAGAGGTATGGCTTGCCTTCGGGGGCGAATTCGGGTGCTTTGAAGATGGCCCCTTGAGCTTGGATATCCAAGTCTTGCAGCTTCTTCAAGTCGTCGACATGGTTATAGTGCTTCTCCCAAGCACCTTTGCCATCGAGCGTGTTGATCCAGACTTCGTAGTTCCCGCGCTGGGTGAAGTCGGCGTCGCGACGAATCCTCGCGAGATGGCATCGCATGTCGAATTGTTGAGGAGCTGGGTCGTGAGCGCCTAGCAGATATACCCAGCCGTCATCGTCGCAGAGGTGAGAGATACTCCCAAACTTCGGCTCTCCCTCACCAAAAACCATCGTCTCGCCCATCGGTCTCTCAACTTTGAGCGAACGGTCCGGTTGAACAGTAACTCTCGCGACGCCCATACCGAAATGATGGCCAGCGTCCCCGCCGTGCTGCAACATTATCAACCAAAGAACCTCTCAACGCGCAAGAGAGAACAGCAGCACATACCGTCAACATCTTATCAAAAAACACCCACCCACTCCCACACCCCTCCCTCTCCTCAATAATCCCCCCAAAACTCCAACAAGTCACCCGATCATTCTTCTCCTTGTGCTCCGGTTGATTCTCCCATTCTTCCTACCACCCTCACAACATCAGCCACCCCTCACATATATCCCCCATCAATCAGAACGTCACTCTAGAGAACTCACCTCGCCCCTCGTATGCGGCACAAACTAAAACACAATCAGCCCACACCATCTCCCTCGTCCCCACCCATAAATCCAACCAAAACAAACAAAACGAAAACTCACCGTCCCAACCTTGCCCCTCTCCCCACCCACCCCCAAATACGTACTCCGACACGGCGCTCCCCTCGGATCCTCACACAGCGCGATGGAATTATTCGTCACGCCCACGAATCCCCCCCGCGCGTCGTGGCAGAAGGTATCCCCGAAGGCGTAGTAGGTGTTGTGCGAGATGTGGACGGCGCGGCCGATGTCGCGGGTGAATTTGCGGTTGGAGGCTGTGGGGAGAGGGGGGTTAGTGAGGTTGGGATGGGAGGGGAGGTGGGAACTGACTGTCTTTCACCTCCCCCAACACATCCGTGCGAAGGAGTTTCGGGGGCCAGGTGATGTGGCCCATGGTTATTCACGATGCAGGAATGAGAAGAGTATAGGGAGGTAAGACAAGGGTGCGTTGGAAATGGGGAGGTAGCAACGTGATGTTCAAGGTATATAAGAGAAGAACGCAGTCTGTCGTACTATAAACCAGCTTTCCACGAGTTGTCTCTCTCGAGGTAGGTGAGCTCTCCAACAAGTTCCTGCATTACATGTGCGGTGATGCGTGCCGAGGTGCTCTGACGTATCTGGTCAACTCTAAAGTTCGTCGTACAGGATATCGAGGTCGAGTTCTCTAGCAGTAGGTAGGTACTGCTCGTTTAGATGAGTGGATCATATGAGACTGCGTCAAATGTCATTTTTGTGCATTATTCATTACTAGCGAGAGAAGCAAGTCCTACTTTTTCCCCGAGATATGCTCGTTCATCGTGACTTATTCATCCAAGATATACCATCAAGTCATCACTATACACAAAAATCTAGAATCATAATCCCCTTCCACACCCCTATCTTTCTCATGAAACTGTCGTCATGTCGGTCATTTAACACACAGTAATATACGCTCCAATAGGGCTAGGGTTATAATCCTGGAAAAACTCCAATTCCAACCCCCCCGTCGACTCAAACTCGAACGCCTTCCTCTCTCCAGCCGCACACTCATGGCTGAAGACAAGGTAGCTGTTCCCCGGCGCCACGCTAGAAATCGTCTGGCTAAGCCCACTCTTGGCGGGAGCATTCGCGTACGTCGTCTGCTCAGTCGCCGGGCCCGTCAACTCCTCAACGGTGATACCGCCCTTGCCGTTGAAGGTGAACGAGGAGGTTTCGAGATCCTTCTGCTCCGGGAAGAGGAAGACGAGCGAGCACGTCTTGCCGGCGTAGGAGGCCGGGATGTCGAAGTTGAAGATGCTGGATTCGGTGGGGGAGAGCTTGCCGTTGTAGGAGGTGCCGTAGGCGGTGTTGGGGGAGGAGGAGGAAACGGGGACGATGAGGTGCGGGCATTCGTAGGTGCCGCTGAGGTTGGTTGGGCAGGATTTTCCGCTTCCGCTTCCGCTGGATGGGGAGGATTGGGCTGGTGGTGGTGGGGCGGCGCTGCTGGCTGGGACTGTGACCGAGGTGGGCTTGGGGCAGCCGCCGGAGCAGGAGGTGATGGTGATGAGGGTGGTTTGGTAGTCAGTCTTGGTCTCGCCGCTGCCGACTGCTGGGGCGGAGACTGCTGGGGCGGAGACTGCTGGGGCGGTAGTTGGGGCGGTGGTTGGGGCGGAAGACTCCTTCTCAGGGGTCGTCACGATCGAGGAGGCAGTCTCAGCCGGCTTGGTGGTTGGCTGAGTTGGTGCCACTGCGGTGCTGGATGGGGTGGAAGCGGAGCTGCTGGCGGAGGTAGGCTGGCCGCTGCAAGCGAGGTTGTAGAGAGGCTCGCTGTCGAGGTTTGGTCCAACGAGGCCGAACGAGACGGCACCGCTGGCCTGAGGGTCGTAAAGGGTGTACCACCAAGTGTTGACAGAGCCCAACAGACGGCAGGCAACCTCTTGCCAGTAAGTCTCAGCGTTGGCGTCAGAGGCAACAGCCTGGCCAGAGGTGGGTCCAGAAACAGGGTAGCCAGTCTCGGTGACCCACACCGGCTTGCCCTGGGCGACACCAACAGTGGCGTTGTAGCTCTCGAAGAAGAGGTTGGCGGCGTTGTCGATGCTGTTCTCGTTGACGGTCTGGTAGTATGGGTAGCCGTCTACGCCAAGCCAGTCTACAGCGTTGATAACTGCAACGTTGGAGCCGTTGGTCCACGCAGTCCACGTGTCGACGTGACCAACCTTGGCACCAGAAGCTGGGGTGTTTGCGATGGCACTGCGAACCTGGCCAATGTAGCTGACGAGGGCGTCTGGAGTGGAGCCAGCACCGCTGTTGTTCTCAATGCCGGTAGGAGTGACACGGTAGAGATCCTCAGATCCAACCGAGATACCTTCAATCAATGATGTGAAGGCAGAGCCATACTGGCTGATGGCGTTCTTGAGCGCAGTGATCTCGTTGTTGAACGCATCCTGGCCAGCGCTCGCCCAGAGACCGAGAAGAAGGGAGGTCTTGGTGTTGATGGCGGCTGGAATAGCTGCAGTGACAGTGTCGGCAGTGTTGCCTTGGATCATGGTGTACAATCGGCCGGATGTGAAGCCAGAGGTGCCCTGAAGACTCTTCGCCCTGTTGAACTCATTCTCAAAGTCCTGCTGCACTCTGACCGAGCCATCGTTGTTGGTGGCACCGTAGTTGAAACCACGAATCTGCGCAGCTGCCGCGCTGGCAAGCGAAAGAATAGCGAACGAACGCATTATGAGGGTATAGTAGAAAAACGAGATACCGAAAAAGCACCAAGTGGATGAGGAAGACGAGAGAGACAGCAAGCAACAGAAAGCTCTCAGCTTAAGAAAAATAAGACCTTCACAAACAAACCTTCTCGCGATGACGACTGCCTCGCTGGATAACTCGGAACCCTCGAATACGAGCCCAACGACGTCGACGGTCGACGGTACCATCCTCCTCCGCGCAGAAGAACTCGTATGTCGCCGTCAAGCTTTGCAAGAAATCAATAGAGTCGTCGCCAGATCCGGTAACGAACCAGTGGAGAGCGCATGCGTGGAGGTGGAGCAGAACATCACCGGTCGTGCCAATGAGAGGGTGAGGTGAGACAAGAATAGTCATGGGTGAGCCTCGATACGGCCATCCGGCCGTCGCCTGCAGGTACAGAGTTTGCTTCGCGTGGTTGGGCGGCGGGCTGAGTCGAGTTTTGCCACGCACCGTCGATGGGATCACGAGTGGTACCTCCTAGCTTCTGACCCTGATGTCAGCGTGTGGTGTGCGTCTTGGTCTGGCTGGTTGGGGTGGGAGATTTGGCTGACAGAAAGGAAGATGAAGATGTTCTGTGCTGGACAAAGTCGTCGTACAAGAGAGGCTCCAGGATGGACTTTGATGAACGAAGGAATATGATGAAAGGAGACAAGATGAAGAAGGATGACGACTCGAAGCCGAGTCTGCCGAAGCTTCTTCGACGTTTGCTTGGCAACGGCTCTCGCCGGTTGAAGTAGAAGCCGGAGTGAATGAAAACGAGATCGGTTGCCTTCGCCTCATGAGGCTGAAGTAGCAAGGTGTCGGAGACATGGTCATGCATGCATTCATCTCAAATTAAAACACAATGTATACAAACCTCTATGCCAGCGTGAGGGCCGTCACGGTCATGCCTTGGTATCATTCTCTTCGCACCCCGTTTTTCCGTGTCCCCGCGCCATGCAGAAACAAACCCGCAGAATGCCAACTCAACTGTATACTATCTTCTTCATCCTCTGTCGTGTCGTAATCATCATCATGAATACTCCTTCCGCATGAGCGCACTCTCCGTCCGCTCAAGACCAGGCGACTCAGCGCTAAACCTCGCCTCCGCGCTATCAAAGAAGTCTTCTCTCCTGATGCCGCTGCGATCGCACATGCTCCTGAAAATGCCTCTCTGATCGTAGAGGTTCAAAGGGCTATCAAGTTCCGCCACGTTGCCCTGATCCATGACCAGAATGCGGTCGTAGCCGATGATGGTCTTCAGACGATGGGCGATGCAGAGCAAGGTCTTGCCCTTGAAACCACGCACAATCGTTCGTTGAATCTTTTGGTCCGTCTCGAAGTCGACCGATGAGGTCGCCTCGTCGCACACGATGATCTGTGAGCCTCGGACAAGCGCACGCGCCAGGGCGAGGAGTTGGCGTTGGCCGAGGGAGAAGTTGAGCCCTTCGTCTTCGACCTGGGTGTCCAGGTGGATGCGGCCACCTTCATCTTCCATGGTCTGCTCGGCGCCGACCAGATCTGCTTGTCGAAGGGCATGCCATAGTTCCAGATCGGAGTGCTCGTTGAAGGGATCCAAGTTACTGCGGATGGTACCCTTAAACAGGGTAGGATCTTGCGGGATGATGGCAAGTCTTGAACGTAGATCGTGGAGACCGATGCTGGCGATGTTGACTCCATCAATGGAGATGCTGCCGCCAGAGAGCTCCACCAGTCTGAATAGCGTCGACATGATCGTGGACTTGCCGGCGCCAGTGCGCCCAACCACGCCGATTCTCTCGCCAGGACGCACGTTCATTGTCAAGCCCTTCAAGACAAGTGGCAAGCCATCGCGGTAGCGCATCTGTACGTTGTCGAACTTGATCTCACCCTTCTCAGGCCACGATGGGCGTACATCACCGAGGTGGAGCGGCGCCTCCTCTTCAAGTTTGGTGCCGTAGTAGTGAATACGCTCTGTAGAGTTCATGTTGTTCTCAACCTCCGCAAGCTGTCGCACGGTGAACTGAATCATCTGTACGATGGAAAGGATGTACGAGAGGACCAAACCTCCTGTGCTCGGACTGATGGAGACTCGGGAGGTCACGACGAGGATGCCAGTGACGAAGACCAGGATGTTACCGAGCGCGTCCAGACGGACCGAGAGCCAGCGTTGGTTGGCGAACGTAAGGAAGTAAGCGCCGTCCATGGAGTCAACTGAGTCGTCAACTCGTTGACCGAATTGCTTCTGCACGCCGTATGCTCGGATGGTGGGTGTACCGTTGACAGCCTCGCTGAAGCGTGCAAAGACAACACTGCGCAGGACAGCCTCATGACGCTTGAGTTCTCGAGCGGACGAGCGGTAGTAGCTAGCCGAGAAAAGGAAGCAAACGGTAAGTGGTGCCAATGCAAGGGCGAACCAGTGGTAATAGGCGATGATGAGGATGAAGACTGAGATGATCATGGCCATGGTCAGGAAGAACATGCGCATCGAGTCTGTCAGGGTGTTGTCCATAGTGTCCACGTCCTTGGAGAATCTACAGAGTGTTAGCGATCAGGTCTTGTCCGTGATGTTTGAGTGCGACCTTACCTGTTGGTGATTCGTCCAAGCGGTGTTGTATCGAAGAAAGACATGGGAGCCCTCAAAACCCGGTACATGGCACGACTCATCATGACCTTGGACGCTTTCGTACCGCAGACTGTCAGTGTGACAGAGAAGGCAAATTGAAGTAAAGCCTGCACAACACCAAGAGCAGCGTAGACGCCAATGTAGACGCCCAATTTGAGCCCCCACTTCGTAGATGTCCAGTAAGAGAGCCACAAGCTGGTCATGATGTTGGCTCCTTGCGCAATGATAAGCAAGAAGATGATCAGGGGCGCTGCGAGAATCGATCCAGAAGCCCTCACGTACTCCATGTAGACTTCAGAGCCGACACTGTTCACAGCACGTTCTTCTTGCTGCATCAGGGCTGCCGCTGGCTTCTTCTTCGTCTTCTTGACTTGCTCGTTCTTTTCCTCTTCGACTTCGTCTTCGTCCATCTTATCGCCCTCTTCCTTCTGTTCGGAGCTGGCTGTCGTCTCCATGAGCTTTTGGAATTCCTCATCATTAGCCATCAGATCGGGGAAGGTGGCAATCTTGTGAATTCCGCCATCCTTCATCCAGACGATGCGGTCCACTCGATGTAAGACGTGCAGTTGATGAGTGGCAAGCACACGAGCCTTGCCCTTGAGAAGTCCACAGATGGCATTGTCCATAATATGTTTTCCGACGTGAGCGTCAACTGCAGACAGAGGGTCGTCCATGATGACAATGTCGGCGTTGAAGTAGATTGCACGAGCGATGTTCAATCGCTGCTTTTGGCCACCCGAAACAGTAATACCACGCTCTCCAATCTCAGTCTGGTCTCCAGCAGGCAACATTTCCAAGTCAGGGCGAAGAGCACATGCATCGATGACATCGTTATACCATCTCCTGTCGTAGTCCTTGCTGAAGATGATGTTCTCCTTGACAGTGGCGTTCTGGATCCACGCATACTGAGGGCAGAATGATCTGTCGGCGCCGAATGTGACACTTCCCTTGGTCTTGCGCATATCACCAGCCAGAGCGGCCAGCAATGAACTCTTACCTGAGCCCACAGAGCCAATGACCGCAACAAGCTCGTCTCTGCCAACGCTGAGGTTGACGTCTTTGACTTCGAACGGCTTTTCTTCCTCTTCCTCCGCAGGACTGCCGGGGCTTGCTGAAGTGTCGAGAGCAGTGTCGCTTTGTAGTTTTGACAGACGCTTTTCTTCCTTTGCTTTGACCTTGGCCTCTTTCTTCTCCTTCTTGAGTTGCTTCGACCCCTTTGGAGCCTCGTTCATAGCGGCAGCGTGCTGACTTGCAGCGCGCTCCCATGTGAAGTCTGCGTCCTCGATCTTGATTGCCGGCTTTGCTTCGAGTTCCCATTCTGCATCCTCGGTTCTTTCTTCGGCGTCTAGAAATTCAGAGATACGGTTCAAGGATGCGTTTGCGTCCACCACCTGTCCAATTACCATTGGCAACAGGTTGAGTGGGATACGTAGAGAATTGAAAAGTGCCAGTGACGAGAAGACCGTTGCTGCCTTGAATGAACCAGGAGCGTGGGTTAAAGAGAATGTGATAAAGGCCAGCATTGATGCGAAGATGGGCAGCGACATCGAGACAGCCATGATACCGTTCCTGATTGACAGCAAAAAGGAGACTTTGTTGATCTCGTGGGTTCTGATCTCATGCAATCGGTCGAGGAAGCTGGTCTCCCATCCGAAGAACTTGACGAATCGAACTGACGAGATGATCTCTTGCGTGAGACTCACACGCTGATCGGTGATCTTGTTGATGGCTTTGCGGCGGGTCATCAAGCTGCGGACTGCTTTTGCGAGCATGGGCATCGTAAGCATGATGAAGGCGAACCCAGAGAGGGCGCTGTAGGTCAAGTTGATGAGCAGCAGAGCCAGTGTCAGCAAGACCTGAATTGGAGAAGTCCAAATCATGTGGCCCATTCCGCAAGCCTGGTCAATTCGGTAGGTATCAGTGGACATGAGGTTGACGATTCTGCCGTTACCCCACCCTTGCTGTTCTCCTTTCTTGTTGCCACTCTCTTTGGCCAGCTTCTTGAACCAAGCCTTTTCTTCCTTGCTACCGGCTTTGAAGTCAGGCTTGGGCTCTTCTGCCTGCTGTAACTTTCCGCCAGCTTTCGCTCGACCTGAAAGTTTCATCGACTTCTCGAAGATGACACTGATGAGGACAGACCGGCTTTGGCCACCTACCATCATGCCTCGGTAAATGAAGTGGTTAGTACAGACGGATTGAATTATCTGCATTCCCGTGATTCCAAGGACGAGTCCAACGCCCTCTCCAATTGGCGGTTCTGGTCCTTGTCCCTTTGATGCCGCGTAGGCTTTTGCAGCGAATGCGATCAAGTATTTAAGGGTGAAGGGCCCAAGAACCTGAAGGCATGCGGCGACGAGCTGACATATACCTCCTATCCAGAATTCCTTCGTGAAGGTGTCGTAGAGCGCCATGGATAGGGGTGAGAAGCGATTCTGCTGCTGCTTCCGCTTCTCCAACGCTGCGTAAAGTTTGGCCTTCATGACCTCTGTGCTTCGGTCGGGATTCACAGCCCAGATGTCGTCCACCTCCAGCGGACGCTGGTAGCCGACGCTCATGAGTCCTGCTATCCATTGGAATGTGAGTACACTGAAGAAACCAGCCGTATGTTCCCGAGACGGTTGCCGTTCATCAGGGACAGGCGGCAGCGTCTTGTGCTTGAACGGGTTCAATTTTTCGCTCCATTTTCGTCTTCGTGGCGGTTGATCTGATGGTCGAGCTTCACTGGCTATGCTGGTCCCCGTTGCTGTAGTCCAGTTGCTTTGAGTTCTTTCGACTATCGGCCGATCGATGTGCTTGTCGACGCTGCCATGCTTCTCAACGTCGCTGGCATCGTCGGTCGAACTCGTCTCCTCTATTGCCTCCTTGTCGAAGATCTTCTCCTCGTCCAGGTGCTTCTCGTCGTTCACCAGTTCCAAGGGTTCTTCTGCAACAGGTTGCGAGTCTTGGGCTTGATTAGAAGCAGCCTGCGTGTCAACAGGCCGCCTCTCGTCTTCTGGCCCAGTCATTATTTGAGTGACCCACTGGTTGGGTGAGGGTGAACCAGAGGTAAGTTAGTTAGAGCCAGGGCGAAGTGGGCTGCATGTGAAGAGCCACAACAACGAGGAGGCCTGACCAGATGATAAAAAGATCGTTGACGAGGAGATCGGCGAACGTACAGCTAAGGGCCGACGACCGCTGGCCCTTTAGCAATCAAGTGCATCTATTGGCGCGGCAAGGTCGTAAGAAACGGTAAGAAGAAAGAGCTTGTGCCTCGCATCAACCCCAGCCAAAGTGCTAGCGGCAAACTCAGCATCTCATCAGTGATGGCGGCCTGCATTTTCCAGTCATCGACTCTGTCTCCTGCAGGTGGGCAAGTGGGCAGGTGGGCCTCGAGTGCCGGGGATCGACCTCTAACTCCGACAAGTTCTCTGTTTGAATCTGTCCGCTCTCTCCACCTGCTACGCGTACAGACACCACGAACAAAGCCTGGAATGCATTCTGGTCTTTGTCGAAGCCCATGTCGCGAGGCTTGCGATTCGTCGCCTGAGATTCGCCCGCGTGACAAGCACAATGACCGGCATATCAGAAATCCAACGGTCCAGCCCAGCAACCACATTCGACTCCACCAGCGAATATCGGGGTAGGCGCATGCTGCGTGCCGATAGCCGATACCACTCACTTCACGTCAAACGACCCCTCCTGACTGGACGCAGCACGAGAAGACTTTGTCCTCTCTCAAGCACATCAGCAGGACGAGGACCAGCCCGCTCCTTTCCACGTCTCTCTTGATCCATCTTGCCGTGGCATCAGTATTCCGCTGGCGAGACCGACTGCGCTGACCGGCAGCGGCCCATTGCAGACAGCATACCGGGCTAGACACCATACGGGAAGGAGAAGTGGCGGCCGGCCAAGGTACGTATTCTTTTCCGCCTAATTTATGCAAATGCTTTTCCAGAAATTTTGCGGACCCAGTACCGGCGGAGTCGAAACAACCACCACCGCCGCCACCCATCCCCGTCATGAAGACCTGCCTACCAGATGGAAGCGTCATTCCTCGGTCTCCGTGGGCGAAAGACGGACGAGATGGCGGTTCGTGCGACATTCTCTCGCTTGCTGACGAGAATCGATGACAGCGGAGCCGCTGCATCGCATCGACACCGCTTGCTGCCCGCTGTGACGATGACATGAAGTCGTCCAGTCTCGCTCGCGCTGTGCCTGAACATCCTGGTGAAAGAGCCACAACGGGGTGTGGCTGCGACATCTTCGGCCGATGCTGGGCAGATTTTCACCGAGCATCTGTCCAATCATCTCCCCGGCATTGGTCTAGATGATCGTCAAAGGCTAAAGCTTCCCTGTCAACGGGTAGCTTCAATCTGCACGTCACCCGCTGCCTCTGCATCTCGAAGTCTTCGAAAGGTGCTTGCTCACCAGATACTACTACTCCGCTCACGGTGTAATCTTCTCGATCTAGTACGGCCGAGGACTTCATCAGCTTGCTAAGTCTTGGATCAGCCGGGTAGCTCGTTCCGCTTCTGGTATGGAATTCGCCGTCCTGGGTTGCTCATCAGACGAGAAAGTAAAAACGAACGATGGCCAGGCAGCATCCATAAACAATTGTCAGCAACGGATGGGGCTCTGCCGCAAACGAAGTCCGTTGTTGAGAGATATGCGTCCAGTCTTACGAGCCCTAGATGGGTGGCAGATTCCGCTACCTTGATTCGCGTATTCATCCACCTCACCGTCTCCCAGGTCCCGCAACACTTCGTGTTTCGGAATCTATGGGGTTTACGAACGGCCACGGCGTCTACAACGCTGCCTACGTCCTGCTGTTTGAACGGTCGCCAAGTTTCAGATGGCCGTCTTGCCGATGGTACACTGCCGAGCAACACCGCTGAGGTCTGCATTGGACCTGTGACGAGGCAATTTCTGCGAGCCTGCGAGCCAATGACTCGAACAGACCATGCGGCTTTACTTGAACATCACATTGCACAACTGGGAATTTTCAACAATGGCCTACATGTCGTCGACATTAGAGCGGCCCGCGCGGTTGGAAGAGCAGTGTGTGCTCGATTGTAGGATCAATTCCTTGCCCAATGAACGACATACACGTTGATGCCAGAATCACTAATGCCCAAGCAGCCAGGACATAGCTCTTCTCCATGTCTTGAAGTATTCAAATCGTCAAGTATGCGAGAATAGGAACGTCGTCTCCGCATATCCAAGAAATTGTCATAGTCTCATGATGTAGAACTGGTAGGCTCCTGGGACAGGTCAGATCTTCTAATTCGCGGCTTTTCAGGAGGCAATCGACAATGCCAGCGTCAAAAGATCTATTGCTATTTGGATTCGGCAGAGTGGATGGGCGACTACCATGCAGTGTTGCACCCATCTCATCATTCATCCACCATTGGCAAGGCTGTCCAAATGTTAGAAACATCCTCCCTTGCTACTTTACCACTCTTCACCAACAAAAGACAAGAAGAACCAAGCATCGCGAGACCATTGCGCCTTGGCGAGAGGATAGCTTCATATCCCAGCAGTGCTTCTTTGTAATGACACGGAGATAAGACCGGACATGTGATCGAGCTGTGAAGATCACCGAGCCTGGCGAACTTCATATCAACAGCGGCTACACGAAAGAGAATGACTTGTCTCCAGGATGGACTACCCGTATGTCGTCGAACAACAACACCATGAGAGCTCTGATCTGGACCGGAAGCCAAGCAAGAGTCGTCAATGATCGACCCAGGACAAGCCTTCGCGACGACTATATCTTGATTAAGACCGCGGCCGTAGCACTGAACCCAACAGACGCCAAAGCAATGGCACAAGGCCGGGCCGCTACGAATGGCCTCTTAGGTTGTGACTTCGCTGGCGTGGTTATCGAGGTCGGCAAAGCAGTCACCAAGTCATGGAAACCAGACGATCGAGTTTTTGGATGCGCACATGGCGCCAACTTCAACAATGCTGAGGACGGAGCATTCGCGGAAGTCATCGCGGCGAAGGGAGATACGTGTATGAGGATCCCTGATCATCTGGGCTTTGAGGAGGCCTGCACGTTGGGAGTTAGTGTTTTGACGTGCGGGCAGGGGTTGTTTCAGGAGATGATGTTGGATCTGCCTTCTCCTGTCGGTGAGAGGATGAAGCGAGGTGAACATATCTTGATATATGGTGGGAGTTCGTCGTCGGGTATGGTCGCCATTCAGCTCTGTACAATGTGGGTGTCTTGTCCCTCCTATATACCTTCAGACCTTCAGGCGCTAACTCGACACATAGAGCGGGCTACACGGTCCTCACCACATGCTCACCAGCCAACGCCGCCCTCTGCAAGTCCCTCGGCGCAGAAGCAGTCTTCGACTACCACGACCCCGACTGCGCAAAGCAGATATCAGACTACACTCATGGTCAACTAAGACTCGCCTGGGATACGATCGGCTCTGCCTCAAGCACTGAGATTTGCATGCGTGCGCTCACTCAGCAGCCAGGAGCAAAGTACGGCACCATCCTCTTCAATGAGATCCCACGAGGGGATGTGCAATATTCGAGCTCGTTCTTGATGACATTCCTCGGCGAGTCGTTTGACAAGTTTGGGAAACATATGCCTGGAAGGGCGGAGCACTTCGAATTTGCGAAGCAATTTACTGAGTTGGTTGACGAGTTGCTGGAGCAACGACTACTGAGGCCGTTACCTATAAGATCGTGTCCTGGTGGACTTGAGGGGATTCTGGAGGGTGTGAAGTTGATTGATACTGGGAAAGTGAGTGGGTGTAAGTTGGTCGTCAAGATTGATGAGACCGAATAGGTTCACCGTATTACTGCTCCTATCATGTGAACAAAGCATTGTTGTTGTGGCCTGAGGCAGAATCTGTTTCATCGAGTGAATGAACGCGGGGCATGTGGGCGTCGTCGAAGGCAGGCGCGAGTGACGTGTGGCGTCTCGGAGCTTCACGAACTCGACTTTCTCTCCTGCAGCAATCCACCTCCAACCATCCTTCAACCTCCCCTTCCGCTCTCCCCCGACCCATTCTGCTTCCTCTCACACACCCTCGAGGAAACAGCAACGCCGCCATGGACGAGCAAATATCCACCTTCTGCGCCTTCACGTCGGGCACCGCCGAGCAAGCACAGCGCTTCCTCACGCTCACCGACGGCAATGTCGAGCAGGCCGTTGAGCTCTTCTTCAGCAGTCCAGATCTCGGCGCAGCCGTAAATCCACCCCCAGCACCAGCACAGCAACCATCGAGTCGCGACGCCCCCATCACTATTGATGATGACGAGGTAGAGGACTTCGATGATGACGATGTGCAAGAGACGGGCAGCAGACAGGCGCAGACCGGTCCCTCGGTGGAGGATGACGCTGCGATGGCACGGCGGTTGCAAGAGGAGATGTATGGAGGTGGAGGCAGCAGCAGAGGAGCGGCGGGCGGCGACTTTGACGAGGAGGGTGTCAGAGCACCCATGGCGAGGACCACGGAGACACTGGTGGGACCTGGCAGCAGCGACTGGCGGACAGATCCCGGCGAGATGAACTCTGCTATAGCACAGCAGCTCTTCGAGCGACAGCAGCGACGTGCTCAGCCAGGCATCTTCAACCAGAACACTTCCCGGTCCATTTGGTCGAGCGACGACCCCTCGAATCCAGAAGCCCACCGGCAAGTCCTCTCGCGTGCTACTGGCGGCGCCTCAGAGCAGACTGCGAAAACCAACCACCTCGCCGACCTCTTCAGACCACCTTTCGACCTGATTTCGAACATGGGCTGGTCAGACGCACGGGAGGAGGGCAAGGAGGAGCAGAAGTGGATATTGGTCAACGTGCAGGACCCCTCCATCTTCGACTGCCAGGTTCTGAACCGCGACATCTGGAAGAATGAGTCGATCCGCGATACGATCAAGGAGCACTTCATCTTCTTGCAGTTCAACAAGGATGACCCTCGGGGTCGGGAGTACATCCAATACTACCTCAGCACGATGCGCGACTCGGACGACGCCTACCCGCATATCGCTATCGTTGACCCACGGACGGGTGAGCAAGTCAAAGTCTGGTCGGGCTCGCCAGCACCGAAAGCTGCCGACTTCCTCATGGATCTCCACGAGTTCCTCGACCGGTACAGCTTGAACATGGAGAAGAAGAACCCAGTGCAAAAGCAGCGGAAAGAGAGCAAGAAGGACGTGGGACAAATGAGCGAAGAGGAGATGCTCGAGATGGCTCTGCAGAACAGCCTCGCGAATGGCTCTGCAAGTCTCAAAGATGAGGATCCAGACGCTCTCACGAAGTCGGTAGACAACATCAACGGCAAGGGTAAGGCCCCAGTAGGCGCCGAGTCATCGATGGAAGTCGATCAACCACAAGAAGACACACCATTCTCCCGCATCGCCTCCGACAAACCCCACGAGGAAGCAGCAGCAACAGCACCCAACACAACCCGAATCCAATTCCGCTACTCAGGTGGCCGCGTAGTCCGCCGATTCGCCCTTACAGACCCCGTCCGCCGTCTCTACGAATGGCTCAAAGCCACACCGATGGAGGGCATGCCAGCAGGTGCGCCTTTCGAGATGATCTTCATGGGCAAGAACCTTATGGATGGGGAACTACTGGACAAATCCATCGAGGAGGCTGGGCTGAAGAATGGCAGTGTCATGGTGGAGTTTACCGAGGATTGAGGATGATGCAAATGTGATGGGATGAGATAATGCATAGCGGTCGTCGACCGGCATGAGATATTGGCGTTTTTTTTCTCTTGGACTGGTGAGGGACGTTTTTTACTAGAGATCATTTCGATATCAGCAGGGCGAACCTGCCGTGATTGCTCCTTCCTGTTAGGGGAAGTCGAAGCCGAATGTACGATGCGGTGCATTCACTTGAACCAGAACTCCTCCATATCTTTCTCTTCCCTATACTACCGTCTCGAGCCTGGCACCGAGAGTGATTGCACTCGTGGGTTGATACAGTAAGGATAGGCATTGAAGCTTACTTCCTTCCCCTTGACTCACCATGTGATTCATTCCAATTACCAACGCAACATAGCTCCAACCTCCCAAACCTCCAATGCCTCACCAACGCCCACCTCCACAACCCCCATACAAAAAATGAACATCCTCATAACAGGCGCCTCCCGCGGCATAGGCCACTCCACCGCCCTGCTCGCCGGCAGCAAACCCAACTGGAACATAGGAATCAACTACCTCCGCGACGCGCACTCTGCCAACTCCGCTGTCGAGGAAATCAACACCAACAACAAAACCAAAACCAGCTCTGGAGGGAAAGCCATAGCTCTGCGGGGAGATATCTCTGATGAAAAAGACGTCCACAGAATCTTCTCCACCTTCGAAGAGGGTGTTGGTGGGAAGATCGATGGGGTGGTTATCAAAGCGGGGATCACCGCGCCCGCGCTGCCTCTAGTAGACATGTCCGTGGAACGACTAAAGCGGATGTTCGACACGAATGTTTTGGGTGCGTATCTTTGCGCGAGGGAGGCGGTTAGAAGGATCCCGCAAGACAGCAATGGAAGCATCGTCATCGTCTCCTCCGGGGCGTCTAGACTCGGCTCGCCGAATGAATATGTCGATTATGCGGGCTCGAAGGGGGCGATGGATACGTTGACGATAGGGCTTTCGAAGGAATTGGGGCCGAGGGGGGTGAGGGTGAATGCTGTGCGGCCGGGTGTTATTCGGACGGAGATTCATGAGAAGGGGACGGGGGATGCGGGGAGGGTGGAGAGGTTGGGAGGACAGACGCCTTTGGGGAGAGCTGGGGAGGCGGAGGAGGTGGCGAGGGCTGTGGTGTGGTTGCTTGGGAGTGAGGCTTCGTATGTGACAGGGGCGTTGTTGGATGTGGCGGGTGGACGGTAGTAATGCTCTGCTCAGTTCGGTGACGTGGTTCTCTGAAAGTTTGACTACCCTTCTTATCCCATTTCAAGAAGACAAAAGCTCGGATCTCGTCCTCGTTCAGTATCACCGCACTCCCGTCTTGTGCAGCATCCCAAACCACCGACTCAATAATCAGACTCATCATCCTCAATCTCAGCAAAGCGTCTCCTGCGGCTGCTACGACCACTCTCGTCTGCACGAACCGTCCTGCTGCTGCCTGAAGACCCGGATCCAGTCGATCCTACACTGACACCACCAGCGCTGCTTTGGCTGCTGACATTTGAGAGGTGGCGTCTATTGCCGCTTGCGGTGTAGCGATGTTGCGTTGGCTGGGTCGTGCTATTGAGACGTGCCAGCGTGCTGTCGAGCTGAAAGGGATGAGCAGGCCGAACGGGTTGAAAAGCGGGATTCGCTGGTCTGTCCGCCTGACTGACATGAAGAGTGCGTCTTGGTGGATCCTGAGGTTGCAGATGTCGTGTGTATGAACTTGTGGGTATGTTGGAGAACAGATCATCATAGCTTGGCGGCGAATCTGAAGGCGGGTCTGCGTGTCGGCTGCGCCGAGATCCAAGCGTGGCCAGGCGATGGCTTGGGTCACAAGATGGCATTCGGGTATCAGCTGGAGTATCTGCAGCACGAGTTAGAACATGATCTTGAAATAGCACACTGGGAAGATCCGAACCCCACCCATCATCTTCAGAATCATCGTCCTCTCCATTGTCGGATCCATATTGGACCATCGACTGTTCTGTCGCTCCTGAAGTGGCGCTCTGGCCGTCATAGTGGTCGTGATAATCGTGTTCGTCCTCGTGTTCTTCGTCGTCGGTGTCGCCAGTAAGGTCATACTGTGGCGGCGAAAAGCCACCATAGGCCGAGCGAGTGGTGGTTTCAGTCTCGTTGTCTGAGTCGTCGTCGTCATCGTCCAGGCGCAGATTTACTCTTCGAGCACCGCGAGATCGCTGGCTGGCCGTGACAGGTCCCTCATCATCGTCGTCGTCATCGTCTGATATGACAGTGGGGTCAGCACCAGCAGACGATGGCGCTTCTGATGTTCGTCGACTTGGTGCCTGGACGACAACAACACGGCGACGGCGAGGCTGAATGGGCTCTGCTTCATCGTCGTCTTCCTCATCATCGTCTGAATCGACAATCGGCATTGCCCTACGAGCTCTGCTGGGAGGGTGCACAGTCTCGACCTCGGTGCCGTCAGAATCTCCGTTGATATCGCTGCTCTCGTCGTGTTGGTGATTTGAGCCGTCGTCGATGAACCCATTCATTGACGGATCGTCCTCCTCGTCCGACTCTTCGTCAGACACATCGGATACTGGACCATCCGAAGGAATGAATGGGGGAGGCGGGCCGTAACCGTAATCGAAATCGTCCAGGTCATCATCAAAGTCGTCTGGGTCGTACATGTACCCTTCAGGATAGTCGAATGCGAGAGGGAAATCATGGTCCTCCGCATCAAGGTCATGATCGAGGTCGTCGCTCTCGTCCGAGTCCTCATCGCTCCAGTCCAAATCGTCATCCTGCCCGCGAACTCTCACATCGCACGTATTGCATCGGCCGTCTTCCACCTCGTGAAGACACTGCGGACATCGGTCTACATTGTCGCTGGCATCTCGAATCGCAATCAAAGGCATCAGCCTACCGGGGTTGAAAGATCCCTTGAATAGACCGCCAGTCCTGGCATCTGTGTTCGCTTTGTCCTTTGCGACGATATCGGCTTCCTCTTTTGCGTATTGGCTGTGCTCTTCGGACGTCTCTCCATCAGGTAGAAGCTCACTCTTGCTCAGGAACACCAACACCATCTCGCGGACCAGATAAGACGGGCTGGGTTGCTGCTTGATGACTGTGCGGCAGTCTGGGCATGTCTTCTTACGATTCTGTCCAAGCCACTGCGACAGGCAGCTGTAGCAGAACGTGTGGCCGCAAGTGAGCGCGTAAGGTTCGTACAGGAAACGTTGGCAAATCCTGCACGTGATGAGCTGTCTCATCGTGTCGAGGTTGTCATTTAGGCTGCGGAAGGCCTGTTCGTGGTGGCAAGGCGTTCCATTGGTATGTAAGTCATTCTCCACCTTGACTGCTGTCCGAGGTTTCGCTGGTGATGTGGCCGGTTTGAGGTCGGCTGGCTGAGACATGCCAGCTGGACGGCTATCGTCGCGCGATATCTTAAGTCGCTTACGTGAACTACCCTCAGCAGTGTGCTGGCCGTCGTCGCTCGGCATCTTGTCCTCGGTGGTGGACAGCTCAGTGGTGGTTGTAGTTCATAAGGTGGGCGTCGAGGGCGCGCGACTTCTGAGTGGGCTAGCCTTGTGAACTGTATGAAATGACAAGCCGGGGGCCTAGTCGGCAGGCGCGCTGAGGATTCCTTATCGCACCTGGAAGTTGTCGCCCGGTCGGATTTATTGTATGGGCTTTGGGGTGGTTAATGGTGTTCGAAGGTGTGCGGTTGGGAATGTTGTAAGGAGGGGTGTGTGTGTAGACGTCGGTCGATTAGTGAAGCACGTCGTTTGGGATTCCGGACTGATTCGACGCGCTAGCGAAAGCTTAAACCCGCGTCTAAATTGACATCACGTGCACACTTTCCGAAGTGACGAGACTCCGCCCATTGTCTCTCACCAAACCACATTGAGCATTGCTAGACTATTCAAACAAACGCAAGGTCTGAGTCTCTATTACAACGGTTTCGGTACAACTGAGAGCCAAGCTCCTCTCGGATGAAGCAGCAAAGGGTGCACCAAGTCCAACAGGGCAAGGCACAGTAGCCACCTGCCTCCAGCCCTCATTGCGACATTCACTCCATCCTCGCCTTCTTCTTCGGCGTGCTCTCTTCAATGCTCGAAGACACCGCATTAGGAATATCTCGAATGGGCTGATGTCCCTTCACAACCAGCTCATCAAGCACAAGCTCCTCGTCCGTCCTCTTCAAAAACTCCATCTGCTCCACCAAGAAGTCCTTGATCTGCTTCGTGTCGGTCTTCTTGCCAGCATTGTGTGCCCCACGCAACTTCTTCAACTGGTGGCGGATTCTCTCCTCAAGCATCTCGAGCCTGTATTCGCTGAACTCGTGATACAGGTCTGACAGATTCGATATGCCTCGGACTGTGGCGAGGCAAACGTCGTCTCGGTAGTGCGGTGACTTGGGTCGAAAGGAAGTCACCATAGTGATCCGTTCTTGGGCGCCTAGAGCTCGCAGAGCTTGGTGTGTGATGTAGCGGCCTTGCATTACCACGGCGCAGCCCTATATAGCATGTCAGTTCGAGTCGGACAGCAGGACAAGTGGGTCTCGCATACCATCTGCGGTCCTCTAACTTTCATGACACCGCCAGTACCAGTCCGCATGGCCGTCTCACCACCGATCATGTTTGTGCAGTCACTAAGCATTGTGATGCAGACAAAAGGATAGCTATCGTTGTGCCAACCAAGAATTGGCTTGTCGTCTTCCCACGGACAACCAGCGATACCCTCATCTGCGGCGTAGCTTTTCCTCTGTTCTTCGACAGCTGCTAATTCAGCTCTTGTGTCTTTTTCTGACTTGACCGAGATGTTGGTATGGCCGATCTCCAAGTCCATTTGAGGGATGAGCTCGATGCCCGCAATCTTGGATACTATGGCCAGGACTTCTGGATGATTCCAAGCATCGTAGATGAAAGGGGCGTATCTGCTGGAGCTCAGTACTAGCCTCTTCTTGTGTGAACAGGCGCCATGCTTACTTTGCCGCGTAGCCTCTGACCTGACAAGCTGCGATGTTGCTCTCTACAGCACAGTTCTTCTGCACCTCTTCGCTGAGGACTTCCTCGCGAAATCGTTGGATACACTCCTCTGTAAACAAAGTAAAGGGCTCAGATACCGCGATGGGAGAGATCCCCGTATCTTTGCTGAAGTCAAGGTCTTCCATCATAACTTTGTTCTCTGGCGCCCGGTAATTGAGATGCACCATGGGGTCGAAGACGGTTGCGCCATGAGCGCTCTTTTTCGGCGCCAACGAGGTCTGGATGATCGGCTTGAAATTGGCTTTTGGCAAGGCCGGTATTGTCTGGACGTCGACGGTCGCCATGTCGAACGTTAGAACTCAGCTGCCAGAGTCAGCAATTTCATGGTTGGCAGCAGTATGCAAACATCGGCCTGCTGGAAAGGCCTCCAACGAGAGCAGAAACAATTGAATCGACACCGTTTGCCTGTGTCCTCAAAGCAAGCAAAATGCATGGAATCCAGCACTCACCGGTGTCCAAGAAATCCAGGTAATGATTGACCCCGTGCTGAAGGGACTTGAAGCTGCAATGAAATCTAGCAAATACACTGTTGGCAATGGCTTGGACGGTTGAGGTGCGCTGAGTATCGGCCATATTGGGGATCCTCTAGAAGCCTTTGGCCACCCGTTTATACTTCAACTCCAGAGCAAGCACATGAATACCATACTTGGAGCTACTTCACGAGATACATAATCGATATGCGTCTCATCTGTTAGTTCGTTCCGACCTCAAAGAATCTCTCATCGATAAGAACGTCTTTGGCGTTTGATGGAGGGTAAGCGTGTAGCAGAGGACATTCGTCAAGCTTGCCGATCACATGGAATGCAATACTCAATATGGCATCGCACGGCAGTTCGTCTGCAGCAAATGCAGTAACTTCGGCTTCGAAGATTATCAGGGCGTACGATTAGGCACACGTGGGTGCGTCCTTGGAAGATAGCCACTTCAGATGGGCGCCACCGCGGCCGTGGACGAAGGACGTAATGCTGCACTGCGAGAACGTGCGAAAACAAGCAGAGCTTGCAAGCTGGCGCAAGGTTGTTGAGAGTCGCGTATCAGAGACACGTCCTTGGCTGTGGGTATAGTTCGTGGAAGTTCGAACCAAATCTGGCCAGTAGGACCCACAAGTAATGCATCAGCATTGCAAACCGCATACTTACGCAATCTACTCCTTCGCGGGTGAGTATTTCTAGGAAGGAGCTCGCGTGATGCGTTTGACCTGTGCTATCGTCGATGTAATATGCGTAGAGTCGACCATTGGATTTCGAGGTTGTGGATACGCAATCCTCCACAACGCAAGGCACCTTTCGTTCTCCGTCTCCAGGTGGTCTCAAACGTGCGAAAGAGCGATTATCGCAGACTGCAAGCCAATATTTTGCCTCTCGTTTGAGAGACGTCTGATTCTTATGCCATTGAGAAGTTCGCGTTCACGCCGTGACGCTCCGGATCGCGAAAGGTGTTTGCTTCAGTCCGTCTGGTGCACGGAATGATCATCGAACGAGGCTCGAGGCGATATGTGGGCAATACGAGCCATTGAGATGATTCGAACACTGGTCTGAGGCCGTTGGCGGATATTGTGAATGGTGAAAGTGACACGGTCATGTTGTGAAGTCGACACGACCAGGGGAGAAAGAAGCGGCGGGACGCTTTGACCACCTCCCGCTCCAGCCAACCTTGTCGTCGACTACACCTCATCGACTCCGTCTTCACTTCCATCAAATGACCACAAGATGTCGAAGCAAGAAGGAGGAGAAGACTCAGAGACGGCATGGGATAAGAGTTCGACCCGCTTCACCAGGTAAAATTTCTTGACATCCACTCTGAAAGCTTCGCCACTAACAAAACATCCATAGCAAGCGCAACAGCGAATATTTCGACCCCTGTCAAGAAGCTGCCGATCGAAGTCTGAAATGCTTGCGGCGAAATGGAGGTGACAGGGCGATGTGTATGGATTACTTTGAGTGAGCCGAGATGTGACAGATTCTGAAAGTCTTGGCACTGACAACAGCATAGTGCGTACAAGGCTTGTAAAAAGTCATGGGTGAGTACACCGGCTTGTAACTGTTCATAAACTGAGCTAATACACCTCTAGATGGATGAGATGAAGGAGGAGAAACGCAAGCAAAGCAAGGGTTGGTTTGGTTGATCCTCCGCTGTTTGTACATTACCAGATACCCAATACCCGGTGGCTACACTCCCCACTCACATCTCAAAATGAACTCAGCATCAGTATAGCCGCAAGACCTAGCCGCAGATTCCTCCAACCCAGCAGTCGTCTCCACGAGGGTCAACTGGCTGAGGCTGTAGACGATGTGGGACCTCTGTTATGTCGTTGTCCTCGGGATTGTTCTCTTGATAGGCTTCGTTTTCGTTTCGGAAACGACGCACAGACCGTTCTTTGGAGATGTACCACAACAGACTCGGAACTTCCTGCCCCTCTCCATTCCTGGAGCCTGATCCGTAAACCGTAACGGATGCTATTGTGGATGTTTTGAGGCGGAATTTGTGCGTGATAAGGAACATCGCGATTCCATTGGAGTTCGGTGTGCCAAGGATTGCAGAATAGCAGTACGTCCCGATGGGGAAAGTTATCTCACAAGACGTCAGCAGGATCTATCCGTATGTGGCTGGGGGTTTCGAGAAGTACCCTGTCCTCCCAGGTGGGAAGCTGTTGCGTAGCCCATCCATATCGACGGAGGCATCTGGAGACTATGCCGAGCGTGTCTGAAGGTCCCTGCACTTGGTTGATTAGCACCCATTTCGGCGGGTCGAGCTTGAAGGTCGTAGCCTCGAGGCGGGCGCGGGCTCGATCGCCCCAGTGTACAAATAGGCCCTTAAGCATTCGTCAGCCAAGTGATAGGAAGCAAATGACAACGACACTATATCCAACTCACTTCGGATAGCTGCTTCTCTGGTAGCGGCTTGCCATCTGGAGTTGACAAGCTGCTCATGTACTTGGGGCCATACGCGGATGTGACGACTGTGGAACTGTGAGCGAAGCAGCCTCATAATTACAGAGGGTACTTACCCATTACCTCTTGACCGAGGTTGATCAGTGTCTCATAGACCGCACCAGTGGCCTAGAATACACATCAGTATAGTACCTGTCATCTTGCAGAAGTGAGCACATACAGGTCGTTCAGTCATATCGGCAATATCAGCTCTGGTGTAAGATTTGTCCTGCACGGATTGCCCCTTCGTCCATGGCGTTTATCCATCCTTGTAATTTTGCAGCCCCAAAGGTTGTGATTGTGGGATTCCTGAAATACCAGTGAGCCCAGCTAGCTTCAATATGCTTGCATCCACACTTTCGATTTCGATGAATTCCCGAGCATATGTGGACCAGCCACCTCCAGGACCATACATGTCGTTGCGTGTGGTATGGACTTGAGCCCAGGATCCAAGCTCCTCGATCAGCTGTTGTTCGGTCGCGAGTAGCCATTGAAGCACCTTCTCGCCCTTGCATCGATACTCGTAGAATGTCTTATCATCAGCTGGGTCCGCCATCTGGCGTTTGACAAGCCCGCGACCGTCAATCGTGGAGTGACGCGAGATCACACTATCGACTGAGAAATTGCCTTGCACCTGGGGCTCCGGGAAGAGACCATTTCGAGCCACTGACTCGTCCGTGGCTGCCCTTTGACCCTCTGTGCTGAAGAGCGGACAGGGGGTAACAGCAGCGATGGTGATTGCCATGAGGGCCAGCCACAGGGGGCTTCGGCGCTTGATGTCGATGTACATCGTATTCGGCTCTTGAGAAAACAGTCGTCGAATGCTAGATTCGATTGGCGTCGATCGTGATTCCTTATTGATCGTGTGGGAGGACTTCAGACCTTTCACTAATGGAAGTTGTAGCAGTAGTCGTTCAGAGTGCTCAGAAGTCCATGCCGCTGTTGGAAGATTGTGTTGGTGGTTGTGTGGGAGATGATGTGTTTGAAGCTGTGAACTTTGGAGTCGCTTAAATGTAGAAAATAGATGCTTGAAGGCATGATCGGTGTGTTTTAGCTCTTACGTGGCTCGTGCTACACCGGCAGTCACTCAAAACAACGCTTTAGCCAGCTCAGCAGCCTCGTGGGTTGGTCGACGGCGTGACTGTGTCGAACCCCTGACGAGACGTGCAACCCCATGCCCCCAACGAATAACGACAAATTGATGGTTCCCGATCAATGGACGTAGAATGTCCTCCAGGCTCGCATGTAGTGGCAGTTTTGGCCATTCCCATGCTGTTTTAGTCCTATTTGACGATAGCTTTGGTCCTCTTGTTCTCGCCGGAAGCGACTCAAGGCTTACAGATGTGGCAGGAACTTCCAGCAGCTCTTATGCCCATCGACCGGCTGGACTTCGAGTTCTTCCACAGTCGCAGTACCTCGACAGGGCTTAAGTTATTGGACTACATGAATGCATGCGTCGGTTTAAAGGTCGGCGGTGTTGTTGGGAGAGTGTTATAATGAGTCAGTCCGTGTACGTTGCATCAAACTAGATACATAAGTACCACTCCAACATTGGAGCGCTGCATTCGAAGGTACATGCTTTGGAGAGACTCGATTCTGTGCAAGTGACCGTGCGTCTTTGAATAGACATCATTCATGAAAGTATACAGTTGCAAACCAAATGATGTGAATTTCCGCCTCGATACCAAATCCGTCCCAGTGAGCTCATATCGAACTCATACTCTGCTCCACATCCTCACTGTACACAAGCTTCATCGGCCACGGATACTCCAGAACACCGGGGTTGTTGTCGTCTGGTCGAGCATTCCAATCCATATCAGCCTGCTTGTTACGGTCTCGAACCGATCGGACTCGAGCGTCGCTGTGACCGTAGTTACCCCCGCGTTCAACCCACCAAATCAGAGTGGGCGTTTCACCGTTGCGTCCTACATCGCCGTTGCTGAATATTGTCACCGATGCGAGGACCCAGTTTCGAAATCGAAACCTTTGATCTTTCAATGAACCTTGACCTATGTTGTGGCAAGGCAGCTCAGACTTACTTGTGTGTCAAATAATACATTGCCAGACCGTATGAGTTGGCTGTTCCCAACAGTGCCGCATGGCAGTGGGAGCCGATTGGGAATGCTGAAGAGTGAACACAGAAGTCAGCAAACAGCTCTGACAATTATGAGGCTCTGCACCTTAAAATACGCTTACTCTGACGGTCCACCCATCTTGGGTACGCGTTAAAGCCAGGGGGAAGTCGCAAGCTCAAGCACCACTTCACGACTTCAAGGGTCTCTGGCACTTCATCTACCTCGTTGATCACGATCCATCTCGGAGGTCTGGCAATAGTCGTTTCGCTTTGCAGAGGGTGGAAGCCAAACTCTTTTGCTGTTTGTTCATACAAAACCTAGCAAGACCGCGTTTGTCAGCCAGCTGCTCTGGAAACAGCATGAGAGGTCGAAACTCACGTCAGAGAGCCTGTGCACTTTAGGCAACTGGCCAACCGGCAGGTTCGTCTTGCTGTGCGGGCTCCAAGCGCGGTTAATCACCGTGGCCGTGTCAACGAGTTGTCAAGAAGCATTTACAGAATATTAATCTATGAGCCTGTTGTCCTTGCTCATGCTTAAGTCGTAGAAACCTTTTGTTGGCTGATTTTCTGTATCAGCTGCCATTCCTGAAACTCAACTCAAGCCTTGGTCGCGAGACTTACCGGATACTGCAGGCCACTGGCGGAATACGGCTTGTTTTGTTCCCATGTAAATCTTCTCAAATCGTGGTTGTTGCCTGGAAACAGGATGGGGTCGTCTTCATCTTCGAAGCCCTGCACAGTACGCAGGCCCTGCAGATAGGCGATTTCTTGAATCTGCTGAAAGCTGGAGGGCAGGACCGACCAATCCCAATCTCGATAATCTTCCTTGAAGGGACTGATCTGGCCATTTCTCCCGCCGGGAAGTCGGTCACCTGTGGTGACAAACGTCACCATGCCTTGTTCGACCTTCAGGAATCAATCCACGTACCGATTTCCTGCTCGGGAGTGAACATCAGGTCCAAGATGTGCTCGCCCTTCTGACGATATGCTTCAAACAGCTCAAACAGCTCAGGAGTCGCATGCTCCAAGATTGCTCGTTTGTCAATCACGCGCTCCTGAAGCGTCACATTCGTAATCGTAGTGCCAGGTTCCGTGTGGATGCCTCTGTTCAAAGCCGAGCTGGTAACGTTGGTCATGGGAAGGTCAGGAAGGCCAACACCGTCGCCGCGCTGAACCACAGAGGCAGCGTCAGGCTTGTTGGCGGAAAGCAGAAGCACCAGCAGTCCAGCCACGGCGGCGACCACCATGATAGCCCGCAAGAGGAACTTGAAAGGCCCTCGCTCCATGGTCGCAGACTGATGCTGCACGGTTCCTGATGTTCATAAGTCACAAAGAGTTTGTCGTTTCCAAATGGTGATCAAGCCAAGGTGATCTCAAAATGTCAGTCGAGTTGCAGTTGTTTAGGATCTTGGAGTGAAGTATCCGGTCAAAGCGAAGTTGAACCGCAGCTCGAGTCTTATTCAGCTGGTGTGTGATCATTTTGCTCTGCGCTGGCATAGGACGTGGGCATCCGTTGTTCGACGTGTTGTTCGAAAGAAAATGACGCCCAGCAGTTGCGTTCGTTGTCCCTCGACACATAGTCACAGGAGCTGCGATCTGATGCTGAGAGCTTGTTTGCTTCTTTTGAGTCTTGACTCGAAGCTAGGAGTAGATGTATCAAGGTTCGTTCTCTTAGTGAATTGGCTACCGTGTGGGATGGAGACGGCTGCGGCAAGAGCGAACCGCTCATCAGCAAGATCGTCGTGACAAGAAGACGGAAAAGCGAAGGAGACAGCCGTGAATTTGCAAACCTTGGTCAACTGAGGTGTCATACTGCAAGGCTCGCTGCTATCTATGCACCAACTACGTGTGTCGCCCAAAGCCCCGATGCCAACTCAGGGGCACTTCGCTGCTATCCTATGCACAAGAAGGCATGCTATGTTGTGTCAATGGTGTTGTCGAATGGGTATCTTACAGCGATGCAGACCGTGCGACGACGCGGTAGCCTGCGATGCTGGGTATGTGTTTGTATCATCTACAATCGTGTTCGGGTTGTGTCGCGGAATGATGTGCCGTGTGGTTGGCCGAATGCTGGATTAACAGCCTTCAGCTCATGCAGATGCGATGGCGTGACCGTTCTCGAGCTGAGTAATCTGGCCCTTGGCGTTCGCCTTCATGGCGATGCTGACGGGGCCATTGATGTCCTTGTCGATGTCCGTCCAACCTTCCATGGCTTTTGAGTCACCGCGATCTTCCAGGTAACCCAGGTAATAGGAGGAGAGGATCTTGATCGCGTCGGAAGGCAGGGCTGACTTGTTGCGAATGGTTTCGTAGACCATCTTGATGCTTGCGTAGCGTGCTGGCTCGTCTTGCTCTGACCCTGGCTGGTCTCTCTCGAAGAATAGCCAGCTTTGCCAAAATGCCTGGGAATCGAGACAGTGTTGCTCATACTTGGTGAAGGTCGCACGTGCTGCCACTGCGTCGCCCTTGACCTTCCATTGAAGGCGTGCAAGCTCGGCGACCAGAGATCCCTTGACAGCAGACGTGAAAGACTGGCTGTTGATGTAGCCAGTGAGAACGCCAATGGCAGGATCAGCACCGTACTGGCGGCGATAGGTGTTGACGAGCGAGATGATAGTTTCGAGATGGCCACTCAGTTTCATGAGGATCGCCTCATGGATATCGATCGCCACGTCGGCTTTGCCAACAGACTCCTCGAACTTGGCATACTGCAGTCGGATTGCCGGAGAGCTGATGAGGCTGTACGTGCAGCTGGCGCGCCGATAGATGTTGCGCACTTCCTCATTCCGAATCATCTTCCGCTTTTCAACATCGAGCTCGTGTTTTCCCGCCTCAGCCATGGTCCATCTGGCATAGCGGTACCAGAACTCGTCGTACTTGGCGCAGCTGACCATACACCGCTCGTAAAGAAACTTGGTCCGAGTGTAGTCGCCTTCGAGCTCTTCGAAGTCAAGATACTTTCTCCAGTTGTCCAGCTCCTCTTCGTCCAGTGGTGTGACGTGGAAGTAGGGCCGCTTGACGTTCTGCTCGTATGTCCAACGGTTCGTGGTCTCAGTCTGGGTCTGTTTGAAAAGATCGGCGTGGTAGTTCTGGATCCGAGTCCGAAGGTCTCGCTCGAGCTCCGCAGGGTTCTTCTGTTTCTGCCCACCTTCACCGACAGCATCTTCGCGGAACTTCGCGATGATCTCTGCTGGGGCCAGCTGGTCCACAGGCCGAGTCTTCGCCAGGATTTGATATTTCTCCCAGTATCGCGCATATTGATGGAGAGGAATGTGAATGACTCGACCGAGAACGGCAAAGACATGGTCTGGAGATTCCAGGCGTTCTTCGAATTCGATGTACTTGTCCCAGAATGGATGAGACAGGTAGTCCAGGCCTACGCTCTCTGCAGCGCGGTCGAAGAGTCTACATTTGTCAGGTCAGGAAAACCACAAAGCTGAGGGGTAAGAGTGATGCGAACAAGGCAGGATGGGAAGGCAAACGTTCAGTGCTGAGCAGGAAGCTCCCATGTTCACACCAGCAGTCCGCCAAGAATGATCAAATGTTCTCGTATGAGAAGAATCGTGAGGTGAGCGCAATGGTGCTGAACAGGCGGGTCTGACAAGTAGACGTGAGACTCTCGTAGCAGCCAGACTGTGGGGTGGAATCCTCACCAGAAAGTGCGCCGCGAAGCACAGTATCCCACACAGCCAGGCCCTTTCGGAGGGGTGCCGCAAATGGAGCCGCAAATGTTACGGGCTGGGAAGGAAAGGGGTGCCCTGGAACTTACTCTCTGATGACATCTGCATCGTGGCTTGTCTCGATTTTGAAGGCGCAGTAGTTGGTCCACATGTCGACTGAGGTGCCCACGCTGGCGACACCACGCTCGTATACCTGCTGCAATCAGCTTGCCGTCCACCTGCCGCACGTGTGTATTCCACTGACCATCTCTGCAGCCTCTGTGCCGCCAATCGCAAACTCGAGGTCTGCATACTTCTTCCAGTAGCCGAAGAACAGTGGAAATCGCGCGAGGAAGTTGTCGTAGGTGTTTCGGGTGGCTGCGATCGCTTGTGGGCTGGAATTCCTATTCAAGCCGCCTTCTTGGGTCTCTGCCGCGCGGACAAGCTTCTCCCAGTGCTCGAATTCCTCAGGATCTTGGAGCTGTTCACAAGAGTCAGCGTGGGTGGAAAAGTCCTATTGCGCAAGCACTTACCACCTGAGCATGCAGCTTTCTCAGCTCCAGATCGTCGCTGTAGTTGAAGTCGAAGTCGGCCATGGTGGATGACGGCGCAATGCGCCCGGGTTTGTGATGTTATTATCAGAGTCGCAGAAGCATACAGTGTAGACTTAATCGGTCGTCGCGGAGTGCTGCGGAAGTGCGGGTGGTGGTGGGAGGTTGGGTTTGAAGGTGAAGTTGAGTTTGAAGATTGGCGGAAGGCCCAAAGGCTCCTCGGCTGCCGGCAGCTGAAAATGTTGTGGCCTGAGATTTCAGGCATCAACATCCGACCGTCATGTGACAGCTGTAGACCGAGAGCTGAACGTGACTGCTCCGGCCACAACAAACAAAACCATCAACATTCTCGATATGCGAAAAGAAACATACAGAGACTATCAAAATGGACCGCCTCAATCCCAAACCGCGATGACTCTACACTCAATACTCGACCTGGCCTCTTCAGTCTCCTGCTCCTTGATCAACGGCGCACAATGACCACAGCCGCCCGCAACACCAGGACTCTTCTCAGACTCCGTATCTGCCAGCTTAATGAACAGTACCTCATTGGGTTTCTGCTCCGGCATGCAGTACCAACGGTGTTTCTGTGGATTCTTTGGTGGCATCACGTTGTACGCCTCCAGAAGAAACTCTCCACTTTCTGTGACATTGCTGGGCACGCGGTATTCAAATGGGTCCAGGCCGTCCTTCTCCAGGCTTCTCCAATCCATGACTGCGAGACCATCTCGCTTCACAGGCTTGACAGGTCGCTGGCGGATTTGTCAGTCTTGATGCACCATAAACTCATATCGGGCGTTGTGAGAGCAAGTAAAGACTCACCCAGATACTGTACGCTGCGTATCGCGGTACCCTCACGTCCCTGCCTGCCTTGACCGCCTCCTCAGCTTCGACGGCCGCCCTGCCCATTTCCTCGACATCTTTGCGAACGTATCGGATGTTGCTCCTCAGGCCTTTGAGCGTGTAATCCAAATGAGCTGTTCGCAACGGCTCCAGCGACGACTCGACCTCCTTCCCCATGACTGCAAGTAGCGGTATCAGCTATGCGGTTACGTATGATCCAGCATACTTACCCAAACACTTGTCGCGAGGCAGCGCCGCCAGCATCGTGTCAATATCGTCGCCTTTCATAGGTATCCAGTTGGGATCCTTTTGCAAATCGACTGGCTTTCTCCGAAAAGCACAATTGAGGACAATCGCCTTGCTCGCGCCAGTGACTTTGCACACCAGATCGCAGACCTCTGGGAGGCTGTCGCACGGTCAGAAGCTGATCTCTTTCCACATCATGTATCTAATATACTAGATTTCCTCTACATTGCGCTCCGTGTACCAGGTATCCGACTTCGACAATGCCGACTCATGATCGATGTACGTGAAGCCCTGGACATCGAGACCTTCCGGGCCCTTCACCAACTCTTCCGCCTTTCGAAAGTCACGCACTGCGAGCTCATGATCTGTCCAAGAGCTGTTGGCCGCAAGGCCAAAGAGACTTCGCTTTTCTGGAGGCGGGTCCTTGGCTGAGACGATGTATCTGATGACGCCGTGGTGTACGACATCAGAGTCTCCAGCGTCACCCATGGTTGAATGACAGGACACCAGCGAACGACTGCGTTATCACGCCAATGATATATTTCAGAGTTGATGCTCGGTTCCTATCCGACGGACACAACACGCAGAATCAAGAAACACAATCTGATGCGACTTGGCCGAACTTCCTCGATATATGATCCCACCTGTCAGCGATCCGCGCAATCGCTCGAGGAACCCTGGACTAATAACAATCCTTTGAGTGATCAATGACCACTGGCAGAGGCGAGAGGATACTAATGGATTTAGCCACAGCTCCTTCCCATTCCCACGCCGATCGCTACAATCACAACGACAAGGTCCATCAGCAGGATTATTCCCTGGCGCAGTATAGGGTCCGCAAAGGACCCCAAAGAAGGCAACGTGAGCTTGAAGTATCCAGCAACCCGCCCCACTCCACGCAGCACCCACTCGTAAGGAAACCACGAGACATGTAAGACCGACCTCACGGCCGTCCCGGCATCGAAGAAGACTGCCATCTTGCCCGATGTTACCTTCAAAGTCGTCAGAACACGATGCCGACGGCCCTAATGTGCATAGCGTCCACGAGAACAACCTGTCCAGTGTTACATCTGGCGCTGACAAAGACCTAGGATGCGTTCGTAGCAAACCAGAGCTATACGCGTACGCGCGACCAATGGCGAAGGGTCCACACATCGAGAATGGGATGTAGTGTACCAAAGGTCGAATCCTGCATCATGAAAGACCTTCCATGCTCAAGTGAAGATTCCATTCGATGAACAGATCCATCCGAGTACGACCTCATCCAACCGAGATGAGCAGATGTCACCGAATAGCCCATATCAACGAATAACCCATGTTAACGGATAGCCCGTGTCAACGGATAGCCCATGTCGAAGAAGAGTCCCTCTCCAACTATAGTCCCATCCATCCCAAACCAGCACGACAATCTCATCGCATTCGACGAAAGCCATTACACAACACCACGCAAAAAAACCGCTCTCCCAAACACACATCCCCACCCTTTCCAAGGCCCAAAAATCCCCAACAACGAACCACTCAAAATATAACACGCCCAACATCTCCTCGCCAGACAAAACGAGTAGAAGAGCGTGAGAAGTGATTACATCAAAAAAAAAAACATTGCTACTACCATCCCCGCTATCACTAACAACTAGGTAACCATACAAAGACCCCCTCTCGCGCGAGCAAGATCACCTCATCATCAACATGCTCTTTTCAAAAAAGAGAACCAGCGTCATCAAAACCCGATGGCCCCCCATCATCTCCCCATAGCGCCCAGCGCCATCCTCCCTCCCAACACAACTCAGCAGCCATCGCAAGTTCTTTTCGAAATCGAAAAAAAGAAGGGTATCAAGTAGTAGCAGCAAAACGCGAAAAAACAAACGCTCGTTAAAAACGCCATGGGTCAAATCTCATTCATCAGCTTCATTTCATGTCTTCTTTGCTTTTCCGCGCATATTCGCAGCAGTAGCTCTTTTTCTTTTCATGTTTCCTTTCCTCTTCAGATTACATGTACTCGGACATTTTTGTTTCTTTCTTTCTTTCCCATTCTTTCTTAGATTGATGAAATAAACGCTCAAATCGCTCCGTCAGATAAACTCGTCAAATGCAAGAAAGATCCAGAAAAAGTGGAGAGCATACGAGATGTGCTTGCTTGCTTCCAGTTCGCAGCGGCGGCCAGTGATTTATCGTCATCACTTCTTCTTCGCCGCCTTAGCATTCATGCTCCCACCGGCGAACCACGCCTGCAGAGGAGAAATGTCCTTGCTCCTCTTCGAGTTCGAGCGAGGCTTGGAGGAACCCTTCTTCTCCTTCTCAGGCATGGGCATCGGGGGAAAGCCGCCACCGTACGGAGCGAAGGGGTCGCCGTACCCACCACCTGGTGGAGGGGGCATGCCGTGGTGAGGAGGCGGAGGCGGCATGGAAGGGTTGACAATCATAGCTTCTGGGCTGCCGCCGCCGGCTTTCTTCTTCTTGCTGCCATCACCCTTCTTGCCAGACTTGGACTTCTTGATGCCGGGGCCGCCGACTTCAGGGATCATGCCCAGGTCGCCGAAATTTGGCATGCCGCCGAGACCCATACCGCCAAAGGGATCGATCATGGAATCGATGTCGGGCGATTTCTTCTTCTCTTCCTCCATTGGCCACAGATGCATCGTGACTTCCCAATCGGGCTGGACAACAATATCCCATACTTGAGGCAGGATGATCTCGCCGTCCGGTCCGGTGAGATCGTAGTGGCCTTGGTGGACGTGGTCGCCGATGACATCGACATGCAGGAAGGCTTGCTTGATCAGGTTCTCCATGCCTTTCCATGTCTTGCAATATGGCCATGGAAAACTGAACTTCCTGCCCACGGCGTCCTTGAATCTGATCGGCGCTTTTGCTGAGTCGGGACTGGGCTTGCTCTTTGCCATCTCCTCTTCGAGCGCTTTCTTCGCCTTGTCAGCATCTTCCCTGGCTTTCTCAGCTTCAGCCAGCTTCTTCTCATGCTCGTCTTTGGCTTTCTTCGCAGCCTCCTCAGCTTTCTTCTCAGCATCTTCTTTAGCTTTCTTCTGAGCGTCAGCAATTTCCTGTTTGCGCTTCTTCTCCTCTTCGATTTTGGCCTTCTCGGCAGCTCTTGCAGCCGCTTCAGCCTCTTTCTCCGCTGCCCAAGCCTTCTGACGCGCGACTGCCTCCTCTTCATGCTTCTTGATGAGCTTCTTCAGATCATCAATCTCCGAGGTCTTTTCTTCCTTCTTTTTCGCATCATCGTTGTACTTCTGCTTGATCATCTCTTTCAACGCTTCGATTTCCGCGATGGAACGATCTTCTTTCGGAGGAGGCGAGCTGCTATTGGAAGCCGGCCAGCCAGCTATTGGTGGATAGGGAGGGTAGCCAGGCATGCCGAAGTGTCCATACGGAGGCATGCCGCCGTGATAAGGTGCCATAAGCTCTGACCCAGGGTAGGCCGAGGGAGCAGCGAAACTCTGGGGTCGCGGTGGCCCCTCAGGTCGGTGAGGTCGAGGCGGTGGAGGACCCATGGGATCTGTCGCAAAGTAGCTGGAGCCTTCATGGGAGGAGATTGGCGAAAATGGATTGGGGGCCTGGCTTTGCGGCGCGAATGGATTCGGTTGAGGGTATCCAAAAGGGTCTTGTCGTTGCATGTGCACGAGAGCTTGATGTGGAGGCGCATAGGGGTCTGGGTAACCTGCCGAGGTCATACTAGGTGGGTAGCCACCATGGCTTTGCGGCGGCCTGCTATACCCGCCCATTGGGGGGTATGCGGCGCGTGGCATGCCATGGTGGCCGTAGGGTGGGTAGTCATCGTGAGACGCCACGGTGCTGGACGACTCGTCAGAAGGGACGCGCCGTGAAGAGTCTCGTCGTCGATGTCGCGAATGGCTGCTGTCGTGTCGACTCGAATGGTGACGACGGGACGAATGTCTGCGAGGCGGTAACTCGTCTCGCTCCACCTCCACCACCCGCCTGTGGGAGGAGTGCCGTCTTGACGGAGCCGGGGCCTCCACGGTATGTCGTCGACTGTGGGGATGGCGCGATCGCGAGGCGCTGTCGGAGGGGTCGATTTCGTCGTCGTCGTACTCGACCTCACTCCAGCTCTCCTCGCTGCCAAAGCTTCCTCCGCTAGATGTTGGTGAGCGCGCCGACGTGCTGCCACCAGAGGATGTGCGATCCGCTCGGTCGGGGTAGACGTGGACAACGCGTTCTGAGCCTGAGCCTGAGGAAACGACGATGGAGGCACTGTCGAGGTCGAGCATGTCAGCGACGACTCCCTTTCTCGAGACTTTGGGCTCGCGTTGAGGGGCCATCCCTGCGCCGTCGCTGCGCGGAAAGCGGGATGGCATTGGCGATGAGGGACGACTTGCGCTGGGCCAAGCGCGTAGGTGAGGGTGGAGGAAGACAGGACAGGATACTTACGGCATCGATTAGTCGAATGATGCGGCGTACTCGATCCCGGCCTTGCTGCGGATAGCGAACAAGGTCTGAGATCAAGCGGCCAGGTGACTTGGTGACGCTGCCGGTGGGAGCTGAGTCCAGGGAGAGAGATGGAGGGACCCGCGTAGCGCACCGCGGCTGTGGCTTTGGCTGCCGTCGATGATTTACCAGTCTTTTGGACACGCCGATGCGGCTAGCGCACGAGGAAATCTCCGAATGCAGGTGTTTGATGAGATATAGGTGTCTGTCGTCGAGTCGTGAGGTCGTGACAGGTTGCTGGCGGTCGGTGGTGATCGCTGGAGGAGGAGGATGGATGCGCTGGCGGTACAGCAGCAGCAAGGGGCGATGATATGGAATCGTCGACACAAGCCCTGGCCGAGAGGACTGCGTCTATTCTGATTGCGAGGCGCAAGGTTGGCCCTCGAATCGATGCTTGCTCGCTTTCCGGAGGAGTGCCTACGCGCTGACAAGCCAACCGCGGGGTGGGATCTGAAACAGTCGACGCTATCGATTGAACCTTCGTCGACCACGACGACACTTCACTCAGCAGTGAAACGTCGTGTTGGAAGTCCGAGATGGAGTGCTTTCGTCTACTGTCGGCGAGCTGGCAGTGTTGTTTGTCCAGCGCAATGACGCAGCGGGGAGCAGGCAAGCAGCAGTCGGTCCCAGGTGTCAGTCAGTCAGGGCGAGTGGGGGATCGCTCGTCTGCCAGAAATAGGGGCGGCGGATGGCGACAATGCAATAAAACCAACGCTCGCTTGTGAGGCGCGAATCGAGATGCGCCGGCAGTCCGCAAGGGCCAACTGGGCGAGAGTCAGTACAAGCCAGTCCTCTTTTCAATCACATGCTCTTCTCAGCAACAACGAAAAAGTGCAAAGCAGCAGCTCTCCAGGTTAAAAAGAGCGGCGGCCTAACACGGGCCAAACCGGCGGCCATGGCAGAGACCTGCATGCAATAACGCAGACAGGCTTGCAGTAGGCGGGTGGGTCTTGGGTGAACATGGGAAACTCACAGAATTGTTCTTTGCAAAAGGCTGATGCGATGTCCAGATGGTAGTCGTCGTAGTCTCTCAAAGAAAAGCGTGAGATAATAGTCGTGCCGACGAGATGGCGAGAGAGAAGTCAGAGTCAGACTTGCGTTGTCCGGGTGATGATGATGCTTCTTCTTGCTGCACGCTGCCTCAACACCACGCAACGCAAGCAATGTTGTTGGCTTGTGGCAACGCTGGATTGGTCTCGCTTTGACACCCAATGCCCAGCCGCAACGATGCAGTGCGGCAACGCAAGCAGGATTGATGAGACTCTGTGTCTCTCGGTCTCAGCGTCTGACTCCTCGCCGTCTTCTGAACCTCCGAAGTCGTGTGTGCTCGAGCAGGTGCGGGAAGATTGACGGACCAGGGAAGATGACCAGTCGAACGAACGAGGAATCGCTGCAATACGCAATGTCTTGCAGCACCAGAAAAAATCCTTTCCCTCGTTACATGCCCCTCCTCTGCTGGCTGCCGTGACGACGTAGGTGGGTGGTACAAAGCGATTGCGGACGTCGTGTCACCCACAACCGATTTTCCCTCGGACCAGAACAAATATGCAGGATGATAAGACGGAGATGTCGCGATTTTCAAGATCTCCAAAGTACATGTATATTGTATTGCCTACACAGTAGTAGTAACCCTTGCCTACCATGTGCTACACTAGGCAGGAAAGAAAGACAGAGCGTCCCACTCTTGGGCCTCGACACCGAAAAATATCATCCCGGCGAAGAAACCAAACCAAACCCACGCGAACTTCACCGGATTCACCATCAACGCCTTGCCTCTTGCTTTCCCACATGCCTCTGAGACTCCGGCGCCAAAAGAGCAGGCAAAGCAAGGTCAATGCCGGCACGGCTTGGGCACAGCTACGTGGCACACCGAGATGTCTCGCCGCCGCCCAACCCAACATGACGCTACTGCACATGCCTTGGCGGCATGCATCACCACCACCATCGAGGCGTCACCATCGGCCAGTGGGTGAGAGAGTGAATGTCAGCCGCATGGACCGGGCCGGCTTTCTTGTGAGATTGCAGCCCAAGTGAATGATTATTTTAGCCTTGGGCTGCACGCGTTTACTTCGGTGTACTATTTCGTGTCTTGTGATGATGCTATGTCATTTGTTACTACTGCTGGTCTTTTGCAAGATGAGTATCTACTCGGGGTATCGTTGTGAAGAGTAAAACTGTACAAGAAGCGGTGAGGAGCAAAAGAGACTTTGTGGAGAGCCATCCATCCAACGTGGAGTTGACGATGCCCTTCCGTCCTTTTGCATGCATGCAGGTACGGACTGCGACGCCTCCACGAGCGCGTACTGCAGAAGCCATGATTTCCAAGCCATGCGGTCGTCGATTCGTCAGTCATTCAGGAACGTTGGCAAAGGGGTCCCTGTTTCGGGTGCCGCGTGAAGGTCTTGTGAGGGGTCTGGACGTTACAGACACGTCAACCCTCATGCATATCGATACAATACATGTCTTCAATCTCGGTGTCGGCCACGGTTTGGTCTGGCTCCACGCGTTCACCGTCAAATTCGAGGTAGACGTCCTGGCTGTCAGCGAATCCGAGGTTCTTCTTGCCTTTCTTCATGATGACGGAAATTGAGGTGGTCTGGTTGTTGTGTTAGCATGAGACCCTGAATCTATCAGAGAGAGGTATTACTCGCCGGCTTGACAATGACCTTCCAATCTGGCTTGCCCTTTGCTTTCACTGTCAAACGGATCTGCTTCTCCGCAGGTACCTCTACCGCCCCTTCATGCGCCTGCTGCTCTTCTTCCACGTCGTATACGCTGACGGCGGCTTTGGCTTTTCGGGCTTTCTCGGCTTTCATTTCCTCAAACATTTCCTGCGTGACTGCTTCCACGTGAACCTGCTCGACGCCCTCTGAATTTGGGTCGACAGTCCGGTATACTCTGCCGTCTGCGTCTGTTTCGAGACCGAGTCGTCTGACCGTGGTCGAGTCCCAGTACTGCCGGCCTCGGTGGACGAAGAACACTTTCGCCGTGTAATCGTCTGAGAATCCTTGCTTCTTGCACCACATTTCGCGTACCTCCCTCAGTCGCTGTGATAGCTTTCGACATAGTATTAAGGGATTTGTCTTTGGAATCTCTGAAGTGACCAGGATCTTGACAACAGGATCCATAGCCGGAGGTGTTGACGAGGATACATCGGGTGTGCCTCTTGAACCTGGAGACGCTGCATTTGCTGTTTCCCGTTGTTTTGCTCTTACTTTCTCCCGAGCTTGTCTCTGCATTTCTGCGATCTCTGGATCCGAGTCGTATTCTTCCTCAGGCTCTGGTGGTGCTGGTCGAGGAGGGGCTTTGACGGCCGTTATTTGAAAGTCGTCTTCGGACTCGTTGCCAAAGTCTATCGGCTCAGTCAACTTGCTCTTCTGTCGCGCAGGGCTCAAGACGTCCTTGGTCCGGGTGTTTCGAGATGATCGTCGGACCGGCAGTTGCTCCTTCTCCACTGGCTCGTCTTCGCCATCGGACAGGTCGATGACATTGGTTCCGAGTCCAGCTTTTGCCAGCAGCTTACTGCTCTCCTCGCTCGTTATGCGCCGCTTCTTGAACTCACTCTTCACAGTGGGCTCCTCGCTGTCGCGCCTCTCGGAAGACTTTCGCTTCCCCTCCTTCTTCGCCTTGCGTCGCTCTTCACGCTCTTTCTCTTTCTTCTGCCGCTCGCTCTGGTCCTTGAACATTGACATGAACGAGCCCTTGTGGCTGAACAGGTCCTCGTCGCTGTTGTCGTCTCCCGCTTTCGGAGCCTGCGGTTGCGCCCATGCTGGCGCCTTGAAGAATGACATGCCGTGATGGATGTTTTGCCGAGCGCGGTGCCGTCGTGTGAGTCGTGAGAAGTGCGGCTTGCATGTAAAGAAGAAAGAGTCCAGAAGAAGTTCACATGTCGCGTCTGAGCGCGCGTTTCAGCGAAACTCTAAATGATGCGGGGGCGGGGTCGCCGGCGCAGTTCACGTTAACATGTGACAGCCATACGGATCTTTGAATCACTAAAGGCTTGGTTTTCGATGTACACGCATTGAACACATGGTCGTTGTTGAACATTGGGAACGTGTGCACCATTGGCGTTTCGACGCGAACCCCCTTTCGTGTCGGGGAACAGATCTGTCCGCCTTCCCATTCGTGGACGACGATACGTTCGAGCCTGAAGGTACTCTTAAGGTCTCTCGGTATAGTGACAATCACGAGTAGAACTCATATCGCCGCCAGAGCGTACGAGAGCGGAGTTCAAGTCTGCCGGGTAGCACAGCCGAAGCCCTAGCTCGTCCAACAGGGAAGCTCTCCACACTCCAGACCTCCACGAAAGCGACATCGATGCGAAGGCAGAGCATTCGGGACGCATATGCTTTGCCCGTCAGCGTCGGTGCCATGGCCTTGCTGCAGTGTGACTATATATGTCTTGTTTCTCTTCTTGAGTATGGCTAGCACAGCGTCTCCACTTTACGATCGTACACTATGACCGGCCAAAGGACTACCAAAGCTCCCCTCGATATCAAGGTCGTGGGAGCTGGAATGAGTGGGTTGAGTGTTGCTATATCGTGTGCGCTTGCTGGACATCGAGTAGTTGTGCTTGAAGGCGCGAGGGAATTGGCAGAAGTATGCTCATATACAAGTATGGTCACAGCTGAAGCTGACGAGAAGACCAGATTGGCGCCGGCTTCCAGATCACACCGAACGGCAGTAAAGTCTTCCAGCAATATGGCGTCCTAGACCGATTAGCATCAAAGGCAGCAGAACCGACTCTGCTCCAAGTAAGACGATGGTCCGATGGCAAGGTGCTGTCTCGAACAGAAGACTTCAACGTGGAGATGAAAAAGAAGTACAATGCGCCCTTCTGGGACCTACACCGTGTCGATGTACAGCGTGTACTAGCGGATCGAGCCCGAGAGCTGGGAGTCGAGATCAGGCTGGGCTGTCGAGTAGAGGACATCGACTTCGACAACGCAACCCTACAGCTCTCGAGTGATGAGATCCTGCAAGGCGACCTGCTGGTAGGCGCGGACGGGCTATGGTCGAAATGCCGACAACGATTCCTGGTCGCCAAAGGCAAAGTAGAGGATTTGCCACTGCCTACCGGTGATCTCGCATATCGAATCGTGCTCAACCTAGATGAAGTTAAGAACCAAGAGGTCAAGGACTGGATATCACAACCTACCTGCCAATTTTGGGTCGGCCCCGCAGCTCACGTGGTGGCATACTCTGTCAGGAATGGAACGATGTCGAACATAGTTCTCCTCGTGCCCGACAATCTTCCAGCAGACGTCGCTCGCCAGCCTGGATCACTCGACGAAATGCGAGCCATCTTCACGGAATGGGATCCCATGCTGAATCGCTTCCTTGATGAGGTGAAGACTGTCGAAAAGTGGAAGCTGATGCATAGAGCCGAGTTGGACAGCTGGGTCAGCGACAAGTCCAACTTTGTGTTTGTCGGCGATAGTTGCCATAGCATGCTACCCTACCTCGCTCAAGTAAGCACAACATCTATGTCGTAGCTTGCTTGTCTAACAGCTTTCAGGGCGCGAACTCCAGCATAGAGGACGGCGCAGTGTTGGGCAACGTGCTCGCTGCACTAGAATCCAAGTCCCAACTCCCCGAAGCGCTGCGACTATATGAGCGAATACGGAAACAACGCGGCGAGGCCATTGTACGAGAAACGTTTGCTCAGCGCAAAGACTTCCACTTGCTCGATGGGCCCGAGCAGCAAGCGCGCGATGAGCTCATGTTATCGAAGTTGGGCAAACAGATCGATTGCAAGTTCCCATCGCGATGGCAGTGTCCTGAGGTACAACCGTGGCTCTACGGGTACGATGCGAAGGAGGAGGTTGATAGGGCCTTGGAACAATGGCCATTGACTGCGATTGCGGCGCACAACTGATGTGGCAGGTACCTTGACGAAAGACTTGTCGATGTGCTGCAGTGCCACCGTGAAAGTCCATGTAGTGAAGCCAAAACAGCGAGATCAAGATTGAATGCGCTTATCTCTGTGAATACTTCATTCCCCGTATTGACTGCGTCTGATGTGGCGATATGATCGATCGATCTTTCTGCGATATGGTGCTTGCTTTCTTCGCAAACCTCCCAACTCACTGACGCCTTCTTTAGTACTGCACAACGCTGACCCGCACACGTGCGAGCATCGCAGCAAGACAATGACTGACCAGCAACCTCTCACAGCCTTCGGGATCCAAGAACCGCCTCTCGCTCAGCAAAACCGCGTTGGCAGCCGGATTGCCTCAGGGATAGATCGTGCGACCAAAGGCGCAAGCGTCGCGGCGCATCAAACAAGAAGTCTCTTTGGCCTCGACCGCCAGGGCCCTTCTGAGCCCGCACAGCGTAAGTTCACCTCCAGTGGCATGTGATTCAGGGGCCAGCTAACAGAACCACAGCCGAATCGAACGACCCCAACGACCCTCGCAACTGGAGCGAGAAACACAAGCACATCACCTACCTCACAATATGCCTCTTCTCGTTCATGGCCAACGTCAACGCCTCCAACTTCACCGTCGCCGTCGTCCCCTTAACCCAAGCCTTCAAGATCACCACCACGCAAGCAACAGCTCTCACCGCCCTGAACGTCCTGACCTTCGGCCTAGGCAACCTCCTCTGGGTCCCCCTCATGCGCATCATCGGCAAACGACCAATCTACCTCATCTCGCTCCTCATCCTCATCATCACCAACGCCTGGAGCTGCACCGCCACCTCCTGGGTGAGCCTCCTCGCCGCGCGAATGTGCTCAGGCATCGGCGCCTCCGCCGCCGACGCCACAGTCCCCAACGTCGTCTCCGACCTCTGGCCCATCGACCAGCGCGGCCGCAAAATGATGTTCTTCGCCGTCGCGCTCGGATCCGGAATCTTCCTGGGCCCCATCATCAACGCCTGGGTCGTGCAGCTGCACGGATGGCGGTGGTCGCCGGGCTGGATGGCCATCGTCTTCGGCTTCATCTTCGTCCTCGCCCTCTTCCTCATCCACGAGACTGAGTACCGCAGAGAGCGAAAACACTTCCCGCCCGAGTGGATCCCGCCCCAACGCAAGTTCTCCGGCTACCTCTCCCTCAAACTCGGCCTCGAACCCCACCAACCCGCCAAACGCTTCTTGCGCACGCTCAAGGACATTCTCGTCATGACCCTCTACCCGCAACTCATCTGGTCCGCGCTGCTCGTAGGCGTCTTCGTCGGCTGGACAATCATCATCCAAGTCACCCTCGGCCAGAACTTCAGCAACCCGCGGGGGACCTACCGCTGGCCGCTAGGCATCACCGGGCTCATGCACTTCGCCGGCTGGATCGGCGCGATGCTGTCATACTTCGCGGGCGGCTGGCTGCTCGATAGGATGTATCGAGGACGGAAACAACGCGCCGAGCGGAAAGGCAAACTCACGCCTGGTTCACAAGCGCATTTCCGCCTCCCAGGCTTGATCATACCCTTCTTAATCGCCCCTGTAGGCCTCCTCGTCTACGGCATCTCCCTCGCGAAGCAAGCCCCCTGGCCCGGCTACGCGTTCGGCTACGCCCTGCACTCATTCGGCTTCGTTGCCGTGTCGAACTTCGCGACGACCTATCTCATCGATTGTTTCACGCAGCATGGCGGGGAATCTCTGGTTAGTTTCTTCATCATCAGGAACGCCATTGCGGTGCTGTGTAGTTTTGAGGTGCAGAGTTGGTTGGGGAGGAGTGGGGCGAAGGGGATGTTTGGGACGATGGCGGCGGTGGAGTGGGTTGTGCTTGCTTGGGGGATTGTGATGTATTTTGGGGCGGGGTGGTTGAGGGGGTGGACGGAGAGGTTTGGGCCTCAGAGGCGGTTGGTGGAGGAGAAGCGGGAGAGTGGTGGTGGCGAGGTTAGAGTGTCGACGAGGAGACAGGAGATGGTGTAGACGGACTGAATATAAGGTCGCTCGAGAAGTGATTTGGATTAAGGTATTAGAAAGTCTCGTCAACGCTTATCCATATCACAACTTCCCCCTAACCTCCACCCCCTCCCACGCCCCATCCAACCCCGCCGACCTCACCCAATACATCCCACTCCCCGTCCCCTTCCCCTCACAGGAATCCACAACCATATGCCCCAGTTTCAACCACTCCTCCCCGCGAATCCTAAACCCCTCCCTCCCCTCAAACCCCTTACAAACCCTCTCCCCATGCGCAATCGCCCTCACCAACTTAACCGCATGCCCATCATCCGGCAACCGCAACACCCTCTCCTGCACCCCCTCCCACCCGGACGGGATCTTCGGCTGATAATTCCGAATATCCTCATGGCGGAGCGTGGGCGCTTTCGGGGAGGCGTAGAAATTGAGATCCAGCCGGATTTTCCATTCGAGGAGGCGGGTTTTGGCGGATGGGGTGAGGAAGGGGAGGCGTAGGAGGCAAGGGAAGAAAATCGTGCTGTTGACGCAGTGGATGAAGACGAAGTCGAATTTGATTGCGCGGGTGGGGCGTTGGGCCGCGCCGGTGTAGTAGATTACGGCGTTGGTCATTTCGGCGGTTTTGGCTGAGAGTTCGGAGGGGGAGATGTGGATTTGGGAGGCGTAGTGTTGGATGGGTTTGGGGGTGTTGGAGGTTTGGTCGGCGTGGATTTCGTCGAGGAGTTGGACGATGGGTTTTGGGGTTTGTGGTTGCTCTTGGGCTGCTTTCTCGGATGAGAGGAGGAAGTCGCCCATGGAGTTGTTGTGGCATGCGGCTTGAGCGAGAGCCTCTGCGATGATGGCGGGTTGTTCGAATTCCACGCCGAAACCTAGGTGGATGATGGGATGTAGCAGGCCGGCGAACATTCGCAGCAGCATCTGCTCGGCACGCTCATCTCCAGCAAAGACGTACTTGTGAAGGACATCTTGCCAGCTAGTCTTCTCGATCTCTTCCTTGAAGAACTGGAGATAGTCGCCGTAGTACCTCTGCTGGCCGAAGTATCCCATGAACTTGCTCGGGTCTCCGAGATCTCTCAGTATCGATGCACTGGCCGACTTGAGCGGACGTTGGTACGAGGCATTGTGATCGTATTCCCTTTGCAACTGATCTGATGATGCCCCCAAGGCCCACATTGACAGCAGTTGGTGGACGATGTGGTTGTGGAAGCCTGAAGCATTGAAGAAGATGTGATATCTTTCGTGGTTGATTTGGAGCAATTCGGATGCCGTCCTGGTGGATTCGGGGGAGATGTCTGGTCGGTAGTACTCGGGCTTCTGATCGCTCCTGAGCTGGACCACGCCGGCGGTGGCCATTGTCCTGCTAATAGACCTTGTCGTCCCTCTGGTGGCGATGTTTCGAAGCACTTGAGCGGTAGACGTGAACATATGAGAGAGCCTGAAAGCGTAGGAGATCCAGGCTTCAAGAACCAAATATATCTTACTGAGCTGACAGTCTTCCCTACTACCTACAATAAGCATGTTCCATGTCAAGGATACGTCAAGCGGTATGAAGTTGGAGTAGCAGTGACCAGGGTAAACGCAAAGTGGAGAAAACAGGACGAAGGGAGGCGGCGACTGGCCAAGGATGATTTAGGCGTTAGTCATGCCTGCTATACCCGATGTCGGTCATTTGATGCCGCTGTAGGATTGTACGAGATCTCGAGGGCTGTAGCTGGTGTATTTGATGACAAGGCTAGGAAGTCTTGGTGGATGCATGTGTTTGTTCTTCTTGTTGTCGTTGCGAAAGCGAAGCAAAGCAACGAGGTGGCTGGAAATGGAAGGATCGAGCGATGTTGTGGTCACGAAGTCAATCGAGCTTGAGATCTCAGCGACTTCAGGACAGCCAAGTCTTTCTTCGAAGTCATTCTCATCCGCGTAATGTACATATCTTCGTGAGTCGATCCGTCTACGCATTCCACCTGTTGCAAACCTGCCGCCCACGATAGAACATTACCCACAGAACGCCGCCTCCCAGAGCTTTTGCCGTCGCTTCCGTAGCCATCTACTGTCCCGTCTCTGCACCCAGTGTCACGTAGAGCCCAAACCCATGACACCTACTCCTCCTCCTCGGGAGCGCCTGCTCTCATCGTCGCGTCAGGGTAGCGCGAACCGTTGGTATCTTCAAAGAGGACTTGGTCGCCCTTGCCACCCATCTCAATAAACTCCTGAGGGTCGCGAGCGGCATCTGGTCCAGGCTCGACGGTCTCCTCGAAACGTCCTGGCTTGCCACCGTTCTGCTCTTGACTAGCCTTGGCCTGTCTTGCAGCGTTCTGCTGGCTACCTGGGCGTTGAGTATGGAACCGTGCCTTGGCGTTCTTGTCCCACACTTTAACAGGTGGTGCGTCGGGTTGTGTCTCAATGACGCGGTCGACCTTCACGTCGTTGATCGTAGAAAGCATCGTTCTCTCACGCTGCGGCTTGCGCTTGGAAAAGTCCAGTCCAGCCAGCGCTCCGGTCAGGCCATCGGTACTATCGGTGAGACTGATGGGACGCTGGGTGATCCAAGGATGCTCCAGACATTCGTCGATGGTGATACGGCGCTCAACGTCGACGGTCAGCATTCGGTCGATCAGCTCGAGTGCAGGATCGCCGACAGAGTCCCAGTAAGGCGATGGGTAGTCGAAGCGGCCCATCTTGATCTGCTGACTGAGGGTGTACGGATTCTCCGCCGAGTAAAGCTCGTCTGAAAATGGAGGAAAGCCGCACAGACAAATGTAAAGAACGACACCCAGACTCCATACGTCAACCGCACGAGTGTACCGGCGACGGTTAGTCTGTTCCAGTATTTCGGGCGCGACGTATGATGGCGTGCCGCAGAGGGTGGTGGTGAAAGACTCTTCGCCGATGATCTTAGCGAGGCCGAAATCCGCAATCTTGACATGGAGCTCTTTGTCGATCAGAAGAATGTTCTCGGGCTTGATGTCGCGATGGACGATGTTTCGCTCGTGCTGGTAGACGTTAGTAGTGGTCAAGAGGAAGGATGGTGTCAGACTCACCAGATACTTAATCCCCTGGAACAGCTGAATGAAGATCTTGCGAGCCTCAATCTCAGTAAGCTTCTGCTTCATGACAATCCAGTTGAACAGTTCGCCCTCGGGTGCGAGCTCTAGGACGAGGTATACACCATCCGACTCGTCAAAGGTATCCTTCAGGCACAGCACGTTTGGGTGACTGACGCCCATGAGCACAGCAATCTCTTGGTGCAAGCCTTCGACTTTGCTGCGCTCTCCTGGACCACTTCGCTTCTCGAACTTCTTCACTGCATATCTCATTCCACTGCTCTTCTCCAGCGCAAGGTAAACAGTCGCGAAATGACCCTTGCCAAGTTGTCCCTGTATGCTGTACTGCTTCTTGAACGCATTTGTGTCTCGTCGACGAGGGTATCGAAAGATGAAGTTCGCAACGTTGAGGACAGAAATCTCATCGCCATCCTGCAGCTCGCGACGCTTGTTACGCCCCACGAACGCATCGTTCACGTACGTGCCATTCCCGCTCAAGTCCTCGAGCACAGCCACTGCGTCGCCGTTCTTGTTCTCCGAGAATAAAAGGCAATGGCGGTTGCTGACGGTGAGCTCTTGGATTTTCCAGTCGCATTCGGGATGTCTTCCGATCAGGTAGCCTCCAGCGGGAACACCATTCACTGCCTTGTCTGCTTCGTACTGCTCTTCGTCGGTCTTCCACTTTTGCTTAGGCACGCTCTGCTTCCCGTTGGGTTTGGTGTGAGGAAATGCGGGCACGGGACACGCAGCTCTCTTCCTTAGCACCAATGGCTGTTGAAATCCTGCAGTCGGCACAAGGTATCCCCACACACCTTCCTTCTCTTCATCCTCGACCTCGTATGATACCGGCGGTGGTGGGAGAAATTGCGAGTACGGTTGAGTGTCGGACGGTGGTGATGAAAGGTTACCGTAACGGCGTTGTGGAAGGGGAGGATCGGAAGGAGGTGTCGCTCGCTGTTCGTGAATCGGTCGCACAGGCGGCGTGATAGTATCGCCTGGTGCGTTGTCTGTGCTGCCTGTGTCCTTCCGCGTTATGGGGGATGGTAGCGGGCCTTGTTTCACCTGCTCTAAGGCCTCGTCGCCAGTGTGGGAGAGGCGTGTTGATCGACGAGGTTTCTTCTGCTCGGCTTCATCTCCTGTTGAGTTCTAGGCACCTCATCAGCTCACAGATCGATGGCATATAAGATATGTTGTCTCGTACCCTCGCGCGCTTCAGCGAGCTCTTCTCGTCTTTCGGCGCCATAATGTTGGGTGAGCTGCGGGCCAAGTCCGCGAGACCGTTATCGAATCTGGTAGTAGGTGCTGTCAGTCATCGAACGAAGAAACAAAACACAATTCGATGATCGGCGGGCAAAGCGAGCGGTTTCGGTACAATAGGCACGGCAAAAAAACACCAAGATGGTGGGTGTTCGAGCCTTCGTCGTTGGTAAACCGGTCAAGCCATCAAGGGAGCTGTTGCTGCAGGCTGCGGATGCTGCCGTTTCTGCCTCACCAATCGCATATTGCCTGCCTGCCATTCGACCAACTTCACTCATCGCAAACTTCACATGCTGCTGTGAAACATCGAAGGCATCGACCATACTGGGAGGGAAACCGCTTGAGGAAGGGAAAAGACACGAGGAAACGCGCTCAAGGCTCATAGAAGCCCTCTAGTCGGCGTGCATTCCTCTGTGCCCGAAAAGATACTTTGATACCCTCCAAAATCGGGCAAACGACGTTGAGAAGCATCGATTGCATTGCTCAGGATGCCATGGTCCCATCATTCCCACTCGGGCCAATTCTGCGGTCATGCCACCAACACGTTGGAAGAAGTCGTCCAGACCGCCATCTCCAAGAAGATGTCTACGTTCTGCGTGACAGAACACATCGCCCGACAGGAATCTGACTTCTACCCAGGAGAAGGCGATGTCCATACACAGAAGACCTTGGCCAAGCTCTACGATGACTTCTACCATGAAGCTCGACGGCTTCAGCAGAAATACGCCGACCAGATACAGTTGCTCATTGGTTTCGAGGGCGAATGGATACGGGACTACTCCTTGGGCTTGATACAGGACCTGCTGGAGAAGTACGAGGTCGATCTGTTCGTAGGAAGCGTGCATCATGTGCACACCGTGCCCATCGATTACGACGTGGCCATGTACCACAAGGCTCGCGATGTCGCTGGCGGCTCAGATGAGCGCATCTTTGAAGATTACTTCGACTCGCAGTTTGAGATGCTCAAGGCCTTGAAGCCACCGTTGGTCGGACACTTTGATCTCATTCGCTTGAACAGCGATCAGCCAGATCGCAGCTTCAAGACTTGGCCCGTAGTGTGGGAGAAGATCTTACGCAATCTGAAGTTTGTCGCTGAGTATGGTGGTGTACTGGAGCTGAACTCCAGTAGCTTGAGGAAAGGAATGACTGAGGCATACCCTCAAAGCGAGATTTGCAAGGTGGGCAGACCGAACTAGCAGTCCTGAGTGCAACGCTGACGATTGAGTAGGAGTTCAAAGACCTGGGCGGCCGCTTCACCTTCTCAGACGACAGCCACGGCGTCCACCAAGTCGGCCTGAACTACGACAGGACTTGGAACAACGTAATGCGTGCCGGCATGACCGAGCTCTATTACCTGGCGCCTATCGCGGGAGAAGAGAAACCTCACGATCCGCGGTTCCCGCGTGTTTGCTGGCAGCGCAAGTCAGTCTTCGCCGTCAAGGAACATCCGTTCTTCCAATCGTGATCGAGTAAGTTCGGTGCTGAGGCCACACGAAACTCGGCATCATGAGACAGCCGATACTGGTCGCACACTGTCCCAGATCCGCGCATGCCTTCCTGGTCTATAATGAAGGTATACTTTTCACGCCGACTTCAATCCTAGGCCGCGGACCAAATGGTCGGGTATGCTGATAGGACTGCTCATTTGCGACGCTCCACTCCAGTATGGCATCGTATCGAGGAATCAGAATGATACTGTCACCCAGTCCATTGCATGGAGCACTTCCCTCGCGATTAGTTATGGCAGAGGACAAGAACACGCTTACCCGTCTTGGCAGGTCTGCACAACTCTGACACGAGCCTCACCTGTCGGAATGGATGGCATACAGGCGACAACCACGCAAGACCGAACTCTAATCGGCAGATGGCATGTACGTCAATGACTCGCCATGCAAGTTGACGAGCGAGTGAGCGTTGTCTACAGCCGGCCCGTACCGCATCGACGACGACTCCTTCAAGCTTTTTTATGGCGTAGACATGCACAGGATGATTAGCGACGTAGGCGCCTCCTCGACTGAATGGACTTGTGAATCAAGATGGCTGACGTGTCTGACTTCGCATCGGGCATCGAGAACATTGCTTTGCGTCACAACATCCACAGCTGAAAGAGACCCATAGTGGAGCGTCGACAAGTAGCGAATCTCGCGGCTCTTGCGGCATCACGTCAATACATAGTCCTGTTTGCTTGTCAGTTGATACGGCCAATCGATGGAGACGAAGGCCATCTTTGATCTGTCGTAAAGTTAGAGCTGCATCAAAGCTCCCATTATTGAGCAGGCTCAAGAGGAGGCGGCTTGCTTCCGCAACTCCACCCGTCCACTACACTCAATCAATACCTCCCGAGTTCCCAGCTCATGCAATATTAATCGCGTGGAAGCCCAGGAGAGTGGATCGTGCAGATGGCGCCAAACGTTGGAGATCCAGAAGCTGGCGGGGGAGGTGTTGGGGCTGCTTAAACAAGGTGACTGATATTTTCCATCGCCTGTCGCGGTTGTTCAACAAATCCAAAGGTTTTAGTGCAAACGACGGCTCTGCGCTCGAGGGTTCGAGATACATGGAGCTGCTCCTTCGCATGCGTACTTGCCTAGCATGTCGGACCCGAGCGGGCCAATGAGCTCTTGTGCAACGTCCTCCATTCCCCTCGATGTGGTTGTTCAATTTGACATGTCTGGTAACACGGCACGAGAGTGCTCGAGCGAAGAGGTGAGGTCGAAGGGGATCGGCAGTGCAAGGACCCTGGTCCTCCGGCCGACGTCGCTTGCCGACTTGCCAACCACCATCCGTCGTTCAGCGTTGATCTGTTCGAGAGTCTCCTGCTGCCGGCAAGGCGCCGTCCGTGGCACACTGCCTCAAGCCGCGGAGCACAGGAAAGTCACGGCGAATCGAGGGAGTCAGTCGGTTCCTCGCCTCTTCTGGAAGGCCCACGCCCCCCATTGGCACCATCCCACAGTGCCTGCAAGATCTCAAACGCCATTATGCAGCCTGCGATGCAGCACCCGCGGCCGTTTGCTATAGGCCTCGCGCTAGACCGTCCCATGTGCGTCGCCGCTGGTAGCGGCCCGCCACATTCACGGGCGGTGGTAAGCACTATGCGGGAGGGACTGCAGAGGCCGGCAGTCGAATCACAAAAGGCGAAACCATGTCGGCGACGTGCTGGGCGAGTCAAAATCGAGGCGCAGCCGTGGTTTGGGATGGCGAGTGAGTGAATGAGTAGACGTCGATCCGTAATAGCCTTTTTGCTAGGAGTGGATGGTGGTTGCAGCAGATGTCGAGGGTAGAAAGATGTGGATCCTTGGGCTATGCGCATCGGCAGAAACTTACAAACCGCCAGCCAAGTCCCTCGATCCCTCGAAACAACAGGAGGAGCGGCGGAGGAGGACCCCTTGCACCACGGGCACTACTGCCTTTCGGCTGCCACCCGAGTCGAGCTGTTCAGAGTTAAAAAGCAACCTCATCCCTTCCTTCATTCTCTTCTCATCCTCCACATCCACCTCTTCCACTCACCAATCACACACAAAACACAATCACCGCAATGGCAGTCACCAAGCAACTCCTCACCCCCGGCGATGGCCAGACCAAAGCCAAGAAAGGCGACACCATCAGCATGGAGTACACCGGCTGGGTCTACGATGCTAGCAAGCCTGACAACAAGGGCAGCCAGTACGTCCACGACATCACTCAGTTCAAGAACCACCGAGCCTAACAAATCCTCTTCACAGGTTCGACACTTCCACCAAGCGCCCAGGTGACTTCGACACCGCCATTGGCGTCGGTCGTGTCATCAAGGGTATGGCGTCATGATCAGAAGCCTGATATGAGTGGAGACTGACTTGTTTGATCACAGGCTGGGACGAGGGTGTCCTCAGCGTCGACGGCGGCATGACCCTCGGCGAGAAGTCCACCTTGACCATCACTCCGTAAGCGAGCAACAGCCTCAAAACAGATGACCACGTATCTGACAGTCACGTACAGTGACTACGGCTACGGAGCCCAAGGCTTCCCAGGCCTCATCCCACCAAACTCGACCCTCGTCTTGTAAGCCTTCTTCCCAAGCCTTCACACTCACATAACACCCTGCTAACCACAGGCAATGCAGCGACGTCCAGCTCAAGGCCATCAACGGCCGCCGTGCTTAAGCGACAAACCCACCAATCTCACAGACTACGAAGAGCATGCTTAAACGACTATGCATACGAGCTTCTCCGAAGCCAAAACAGAACAAAAAGTCCACTGCTTTCGAACTTCCTCCAAAAACGACAGTCGGTCGTGCAGATTCTTGCACCTGAATGGGGTTAATGGAGTAAACGAGGCTTTTGATAGATGGGCAATGCCAAAATTCCGAGTTCACACTCTGATCATGCAAAGCCTTTCTCACGTTTCAAGACTCAAATCACACTCCATCCACCTCCCATTTGGCCAAATCGAAGACCTCTGAAGGTCCCTCGTAGCCCGTCTGCCCCATATCCGACTTCCTTCACTTCACAACTTAAACATCCCCTTCCACCCCTTCCCCCCAAACCTCAATCTCCACGCTCTCTCTCCGACTTCTCCCTCCCCCTTCCTCTCACCCTCACCCTCAGCTTTCATCCTCCCCTGAGCAAACTGCGTCGTCTTCTGCTTCTGCTTGACCTGCGAATCTTCCCAAATCTCCCTTGGTGAAGTCCGCTCGGTGGGAGATTTGTCTTGGAATTGTTGACCGAAGGGTGGGATGCTTTGGGGGATGCGGGGGATGGTGGGCATTTTTTTGGTGGGGGGTTGGGTGGTTGGTTGTTGGTGGATGATGTCGTTGGATGATGTTGTTGGATACACTCGTCGGCGGAGCGATGGCGGTGTATGTGTCTGTCTCTGATCGAGTGACTGAGTGAGTGCTTGCTCTCGACCAAAAGCCCAGCAGGAAGATTGAGCACATACGAGAGAGTTTTAAACCACTCTACCTCAGAACAATCTCGTGAACACCACACAAATAGTAAATACTGAGAAAGAGAAACAAACCACATGCACGATCGCTACGGTGAAGTGAAGTCAAGGTCCACGGACAACACCACATGCAAATCTATTCTCATGAAGCGTCATAGCGCATTGCATGCACAAGCGAAAGCCATCCTCACCCAACGACATCCTTGACCGCTCGTGCATACTTAGATTAGGAAGACGAGAATTGTGAGGCAGGGTGATTGATGGACAATAGCTGAAAGCAGCTGATAGTGTACACGTGTATGGTGTGAGCCTGGTGCTGGTTCACCGCAACATAGGTGAGAGAGGGCCCCTTATCGTCGTCTTTTCGTTCCCCTTTTTATGTATTACTTTTTGCTTCTCTGCGAAGAGGATGCCTTCCAACTGGCATCATGGCCTTCAATTATGTCGCGGGGTGCGTTGAAGCGGCCGTCTATAATGCAGTGCAGCTATACAAGCGTCCACATCTACTTCGTCACTGGGAATGACGACTTGCCAGCAGCCTTGCTAGCCTCAAGAGCACCCTTGAGAGCGAACTGGGTCGGAATGCCCTCAACACGGTGCGTCGAGTTGATGTTCTTGACGAGCGTGATCTGGTAGCACGTCGCACCACCTTGGCGAGAGGTGATGACACTGTAGGCGAGGAAGTACTCCCAAATCTGAAAAACTGTTAGCTTAATATCAGTGACTTGCTGCTGGTCTGACTCACCCGGAACCATCGGTCGCCATATTTGGCGACAACCTTGTCCTTGTTGGCCATCCAGTTCCTGTACCATCTCCAGAGGGTAGCAGAGTAATGCACACCGATCGTGTCGATAGCCTTCACTTCGAATCCGGCACCTTCAAGAGAATCCACGAAAAAGCCAAGAGGAGTAGAAGCGTCAGCACCAGGGAAGATGTACTTGTTCATGAAGAGACCCCAAATGAGATCCTCGTACTGCCAGCTCTTACGAAGACCAGCAATCTGCAGGAAAAAGACACCATCATCCTCGAGCATATCGTAGACTTGACGCAAGAACGTGCTGAAGTACCTCACACCAACGTGCTCGGCCATCTCCAAGCAGGTGATCTTGTTCCAGCCGCCTTCTGGCTTGGGGATGTCGCGGTAGTCCATGCAGAGAATCTTGCTCTGCTCCTCAGGAATGCCAGCCTTGCGGAGACCAGCGTTACCCCATGCAGTCTGGTTGCGCCCGAGAGTTACACCAGTTGCGTGTGCACCATAGTTGACAGAGGCGAATTTAGCGAGTGTGCCCCAACCGCAGCCGATATCGAGCATTTTCTCGCCTGGCTTGAGGCCGATCTTCTCGCAGACAATCGAAAGCTTGTTGTCCTGCAGCTGCTCGAGACTCTCCTCCTTGTTGATGTCGGAAATGACACCAGAGGTGTAGATCATACGAGGACCCAAGAACCAGCCGTAGAAATCGTCACCACGATCGTAGTGGTCACGAACCTGTTCTTCATCCTGCGAGCGAGTGTGCATAATCACCTCTGGCATCATGCCAGTGAGGAAGAACCAGAATAGGGAGAGCGTGAAGCGGAAGTTGGCCCAGTCATGTCTGTACTCCATAACCTCCAATGCATCGCCATTGAAATCCACCAAGCCGTCAAAGTACATCTCGTGGAAAGTCTCCATGGGAATTTTATTCTTGCCTCGGTACTTCCTGCGATCTTCCTCTCTCTTGAACTTGAAGTAGTGCTCAATGGGTCTGCCTGGGTAGCGGGCTTTCTCATTCAGGCGTGGAGACATGCTGGAGGCGATGGTCCAGAAGGCCATGAGGATTGGGATGGCGGTGAGGAGGGCGAAGAAGATCCATGTGTAGAGACCACCGCCGACCTGCCATGCGAAATAGCCAGGAATACCGGCGAGCAGGGTGAAGAGGAAGAGGGTGTTGAAAGTGTCGCTCGCTGGGCCATCGGCGGGAAGGGGAGCGTTCTTAATCGCTGGGTACTGTTCAATCACATGTCAGCATGAAGGATCCCTGAGGTGAGGTGAATGCTAATTCGAGTGCCTACCGAAGTCGTCCGCACGCCATATTCCTGGGTATCAGGCGAAGTAGAGGGTGCAGCGGGAGTCTCGATGAACTCGAAGTCGTCTTCTGGGAGCGATGCTCCCGGATTCTTGCTGGCCGACATGGCGGATGTCGTGCTGGTGGTCAATGGCCAGCGGCGGTGAGTGGGAGAAGTTTGGCGAGCAGAGAGTTGAAGCTCCACCCACGGCCAGACCCTGAAACGCTTGGCACTGCAAGGTACGACTGCATCTCCGACTGCTCGACTTTCCTTTCACTCACCTACCACTTCTTATCCCATTTGGAGTCGAACCACCATCTCCAAACTTGCAGGCTGTCTAATCAACCTAGAGCATGATCAATGGATCAGTCGCTCGAGGGGCTGGAGAGATGAGAACACCAGGCGTTCAACTTTGAGCGCAACGGCGAGAGCACCAACAGATCAAGTCGTCTGTTTCTGCGTCGATGCGTTCACTATGTGGCAGTCATCAGGCGGAAGAGTGGAAAATGTCCCTTACCGGCCACCGCCTAGTAAGCCTTTCGTCCCAGGAGTGAAGTCGGCATCGACCGAGGATCACAACGGCGAGCTCGTGCATATCACATGGATGGCCAAAGAAGGAGCCGAAGATTACTATGCCAGGGGGCTTCCTCCATTTCCTTTCCAGGTCTACATCTTGAACGCTGCAAAGGAAACATTGAAAAATCACGACTTTCCACACCAGTTCGTAGAGTGGATTGACCAATGCCAATGTCTACGAAACCCCAACATCGACGCCCACTTCGAGTTCTATTTGAGCGGATTCAATAGCGTTCTCAGCTGTAAAGCGCACCAGCACAGAGAGATTGAGTGCCGCAATCGCAACGCAATCTGGCCGCGTCTGGTCGCCAACCCGACCAGGAGGCTTGATTCGGACTACCAGGGCTTCATAGTCGTCGTAGACAGAGATGACTGGCAAGCTAACGGCGTTGTCGTTGTCACCTTTGGTGGCCGAGCTATTAACGAGGCGGAATTCCACTCGCCTCGCGGAGACGAGACTGTCCTGTGGGCGGAAAGGATCTATACGCCGGACGACCTAGGAAATGAACTAATGAGAGCCTGGTCTGCAGCTGGTGGTACCTGGGCTCAGTCGAGCCTCGACAGGCACAACAATGGCGGACAGTCGCCGGCTTTGTACCCAGCCGTGGATCCATCCGCTCATCACGATGCGGAGCATGACGACAACCACGCCAACGAAAGTGCCAATGGCTTGTTCGTCAGCAGCTCTTCGGAATCAAACTCCGTCGAAGTTGACAACTCGCGACCGGCATCTCTTGAGCCCAGCATGAGGGACCTGCTCAAAGTGCCGCAGGATCTGAAAGGACTAACAACGAGCACTTATAGTGGTCATTCGGGTTGGGAGACCACCAGCGTCTGGAAAACGTCATTGTCCAAGACACGGCCACCGTTCGCCTTCACACTATATCTTGCTTCTGACAATATTCCTTTTGCAGCAGAAGCTCTATTCGCCTGCCTTGACCGCGAATTGCTTTCAACGGCGACATGGACCCTTGACATCGTTCGAAACGTCCCCGACATGCAATCTGCTTTTCATCACTACACACATGAAAAGCGGCACCGAACATCTGAGAAGACGGCGAATAGGCTCAGGTGTGCACGGATGCTGGCCGACAAAATATGCGCCTCGTTGCTGCCTGAAGAACTCGTACAACTTATTGAAGATATGATGGTTCCACCTCCTTGCTCCAACTATTCGGCTCCGCCCGATCGCGTGTTCCATGACATGTTCATGTATCTTGACGCCCCAAAACAGCTGACAGGACCTCAGATAGTGTACAGCGAGAATTTCCAGGAGCATATCGACCCCGAATTCCAGCGACGACGGTGGCATAGGGACGCCATTGTGAAAATGCACGTGACTGATCTGGGGTCATGGCGACTGGTCTCCGACGAGCTGCACATCATCTGGAGTCTCTGCAGTCCACGAATAACAGTTTCAGCAGAGGAGCTACCGCAGTTCTTGGTCCGCCTCAAGTTTCCACATGTCTGTACTCTGCAACCTCGCCAGGGTCGTCAATATGGTTTCGGCGACCCTTGGCCTAGGGAGGCCAAAGCAAAAGTCAGTCTACGCGGAACAGCTGAATCCATCGTCATGCACGACGCCTGCCTATTCGCTGACGACTTCTGGTACACAGCTCTGGAGATCAGGGACGCCGACACAGGAGCGATGATATCCCTACCGCCGATAAGCTCCAACACCATACTCGACCCGCATCCGTCTAGTTGGTCCGAAGATCCATTGATGCGCTCTTGGGATCCTCCACACGATCAAAATGGCGGCATGCTCAAAAGCACGTATCCTCGCAAAAGAAAAACTAATGTCCGTGTCGAAGGACGACAAGACTGGTGGTTCGCGATGTATGAGATGGGAGCGCTCAAACACGGACATGAGTACATCGTCAAAGTCAAGAAGGACTGGGGAATGAGAAGGTGGACATATGGCTCCGTGCCAGGGTTGAAGGGGCCTTACAACCTGCCACCGATCCCGGTTCATGGCAAGAACGAGTGTCGCTTCAAGTTCGTCGTCACCGAGGGAGGAGAACGCAATTCCTTTCACGACGATATGAATGATGAGGATACGGAGAATTTGGATGATAGTGATAGCTCTGATGACGATGAATGATGGATGAAGTAATTTCTAAGTACCCTGCTCGCCTCATCTTCTTGAATAGGTCGGTCCGTCGAAGTACAGCTACTGAAGCTGCTTTGAGTACCCTCGCTGTTGTGTTCAAAGTAACACTCATCCCAATACTTGCCAGATGTCTGAGCAATCGAAACAATGATCGAGCGCTTAGTCGTACGCGAAAGCAAAGGCATGATGGCGCCGTGTCGTTCACCACTGGGTGGAGCGATGACGGTAGGTAAACTGCTCCAAGTATATCTTCTGCCCAAATTTCCCATTTGGGGCAGCGCCAGACTCGGAGCTGTACGGCCTGAATGGATAGCGGTTCCATCCTCGAAGGATGCTGAGGCACTATCCTAAGAGACGAGCCTTTTATTATTCAGCCGCGCGAGCTGAGCAAGCAGCTTTAATGGACCAAAAACCCAATGTCAAATAAAGTAGTCCAGGCCAGGCTGTTGTCTCCTTTTTCTTTCATCGATTACTGCTTCTGATGAAAGATGCCTGTGCTACTCGAGCATACGCTTCTTTCATACGTTCCGATATGGATTCTCAAACTCATCTTCCCTCTTCAAGAGGACTTGAGACGTCGTGACCGAGACCTCAAAGTCCTATGTCTTGGCCTTGGTCGAACGGGCACAGACTCCCTCCGCAACGCCTTCGGCGAGCTGGGCTACGACGATGTCGCTCATGGCTGGTATTTCATGACGGAAGAAGTCAGTAGTATCCATCCCCAGCAAACCTCGCCCATCCTCGAAACTGATCCCTCCAACCCAGAACATCAAAACCGGCATCCAAATCGAACGCCTCAACCGCGCCAAATACAGCTCCCCTCCCAACCGCTCCGCCCTCACCGCCGCCGACTTCGACAAAGTCCTCGGCCACTGCATGGCCACCACCGACCTCCCCATGGCGTCCTTCGGCATCGAGCTCCTCCGCGCATACCCCAACGCCAAAGTAATCCTGAACCGCCGATCCGACCTCGACGCCTGGCACCGCAGCCAACTCAACACCATCGACAAAATCAACATGGACTGGGCCTCCTGGAGCCGCCAATGGTTCGACGCCGAGGCGTTTTGGATCGGCCGCATGCTGTACTGGGTGCGGCGGGAGACGGATTTCGATTTCGCGCGGAATGGGAAGGAGTGGTATGCGCGGCATTATGCGGCGATGGAGGAGGAGTTAAGGAGGCAGGGGAGGGAGTGGGTGGATTGGGAGGTGAGGGATGGGTGGGCGCCGATTTGTTTGTTGCTGGGGGAGGAGGTGCCAATGAGGGAGTTTCCGAATGAGAATGCGAGTGGTGGGTTCGATAAGCGGAGGGCGGTGGTGCATGGGAAGAGGGTGGAGAGGGCGGAGGCGAAGAAGAGGATGGCGGCGATTGTGGTCAGTGAAGTGATGCTGGCAGGTGTTCTTGTCTGGTACTTCTTCTTCACGGAATGATCAGAAGCTAGCTTTGATGGGCATTGGTGGTTGACGATGTGCTGGCGCTCGTGATGTTGAAGCGACGACGTGCTCAGGCGTTGCGATCGGGGACTTGTCCAGCAGCGCAGTCAAGTGTCGTCGCCGTCGCAATCGTCTTCATCATGAGTCGGCAACATCAGTGAAGTGATGACGCGACGGCATAGTGAGGTCAATCATTGATATCGATGAAGGCAGCAGTCTTCTCCAGGCCCAAGCAGCAGCTCAAGCATCTGATGAAAAAGGCGTCGCAGTGCGAGCAGGGCAGCCAGCAAAAATTGCGAGACCGAGGCCCCCGAAGGAGACTCGTAGCCACTTCTCGCCGCGCTGTGCAATGCAGGAGCTGTGACTAGGTGTAACTCATTCATGAGCGAGCACACCCTCTCAAGGTAAGTATGGAGGAAGAAGGAGAGATGAGAGCATCCGGCGGAAATTTCGAAATACTTATGTCTCGATTTAAGGTTCGTCCCGCTCGCGCGGGCAGAATGGAGCCTCAGGCACTCTTTTGATCCAGGGATAAGGTTAGCGTGCTGCGACTTCCATATCGGGATCAGATCTACCGCCGGTCGCTGTTTCTCTGACTATTGCTTGAGCTGTGAAGACGGCAGGAACGACTGGATACAGGCAGGCAGGCAGCCACGCGACCGTCTCGCAGGGGTTCAGAGACAGCTCTTCACGCACATAGCGCTGGCGAGTCATAGTTACGGAAATAATGTGCCTTGAAGAAGTCTTGTCTTGACGAGCCTGTCTGCTGCCGTGGGCTGCTAGGTCATCTAAAGACCGATGGAGGGTAGACTAGGCCAGGTTTACTTTTGAAGCATGGAAAGATGACTCGTCCTGAGCTTCATATCATCACTCTCTCTGTAAAAGCCCAGTACAACTGAACGCCAACGCTAATCGGACAATGTCTTAACCTCCCGCACTTCAAAACCTCTCCTTCATCCTCCCCGCCACAGTCCTCAGGTTGCCATACACCTTGCCCGGAGGACTACCCAAAATCAAGCTGACCACCGCCTCTCTCGCGATATGAATGTTCTTGAACCCTCCCAGAATGTGTACCTTCTGATCAGCCAGCACAATTCTCGTCCGACTCGCATTCTCAATCGCAAACTTCGTCTTGCCATCCTTGCCCGCTATCCGCCCAATCGCTCTGCTCATGTGCTCCCCCTCCAGCGACTTGACGTCCTTGATCTCGAACGACTGAATGTAGAGATCGTCAAGTCTCAACAAAGCAATCGCGTCGTCCAGATCGAAGCCCAAGCAGAATGCTTGAATGAAGTCCGCGCCTTTCTGAATCGCACCTGTATCGGTCGTGTGCGATGATGTCCTCAGCTCGACCGCCTTCTTCGCAATGTTCATCCGCACTTGCAGTTTCAGGTGCTCGACGAGGGGAGGGTAAATTTTGGTCCAGCTGTTCTTGAGCGGGCTCATGCGGTGTGGTGGCACTCGTACTTTGCGCTCTTCGGCTCGGTGGGCGGATTTCGAGGCTTGTTCGGGGGCGAAGAGTGAGTCGTTCTGTGCATCTACCTCCATTTCAGTGTCTTGCGGAGGTTCGTCTTGTGCGCCAGAGGAGGCAAGGTCGAGAGTATCTTCTTCTGCTACCTGTGTTGCATCGTGGATCGTCTCTTCGACAGCCAGAGGCTCTGGCGCTCTTTGGAGAGCGGTCGGTGCGGGCATGGTATTGTATTCGTGCTCGTGATTTGAATCTTTGTTCTTTCGCACTCTCTGGGTTGATGTCTGTTCGTCTCGAGAGAACCGCTTTAGAAACTCACTTGCTCGTGGGCAGTTGCGGAGAAGTCGTCGATCAGAAATTCCAACCTGAGGGCACTGGGGCGGGAACTTTTTGCGCCAAGACTTCGGACCTCACTCGGCAGACCTTCCCCGTGTAGCAGCTACCAGCTCTTGCCGCGTCGCTGCTTTGGAGCCTCACGTCAAGCAACAACCATCACGAGCATCACCTCCAACAACGCCCTCATCGAGCCTCCGCACAACTCAGATCAACATTGAGACCACCACCCACTGAAGCTTCATTCCGAACGAGCTACCACCGGCCACCATGGCCTCCCTCTTCAACGCCCAGTCGATGCTCGACCAACCCAGCTACTCATTCGCACAACAACCCACGAGCCATTCAGAACCCCGGCAGCACGCTTTCTACCCGTATGCAAAAGCACCATCAATCTCCTATACTCATACTAACGCTTGCCATCCAGCTACACCGACAACGGCGGCTCCACCCTCGGAATCAGCGGCCAGGACTTCGCCATCCTCGCAGGCGACACCCGATCCACCTCCGGCTACAACATCAACACACGCTACGCCCCCAAACTCTTCAAAATCGGCGGCGACGGCCCCAACAACACCGGCTCGAAAATCGTCCTCTCCGTCGTGGGTTTCGCCGCAGACGGCCGCGCCCTGAAAGAGCGCCTCGACACCGTCGTCAAGATGTACAAGTACCAGCACGGCAAGGACATCTCCGTGGGCGCCTGCGCTCAACGCCTCTCGCATATCCTCTACTCGAAGCGATTCTTCCCCTACTACGTCACGGCGATTCTGGGCGGCATTGATGAGGAGGGCAAGGGTGCGCTGTACAGCTATGATCCCGTGGGATCGTATGAGCGGGAGCAGTGTCGTGCGGCGGGAGCGGCGAGCTCGTTGATCATGCCGTTCTTGGACAACCAGGTGAACCTGAAGAACCAGTACGACGCAGCGCAGCCGCAGGGCTTCGGCAAGGAGCCTCTCAAGCCTCAGCCGCTGCCGAGAGCGCATGTCGAGCAGCTGGTCAATGATGCGTTTACGAGTGCTGTGGAGAGACATATTGAGGTTGGTGATGGGCTGCAGACGATGATCATCACCAAGGATGGCATTGAGGAGACGTACGCGCCACTCAAGAAGGATTAGACGTGTGAGGGGGTAGAGCATGGTGGAGGACAGAGTAGAGGCTTGTGTACGATATCACGCTTCGCGAAAGGAGCTGTGTACAGCATGGCGAGCGGAGTCAGGCTACCATCGGAACATGAAATGCATGAATGTTCGAAATGCAATTGAGATCACTTCAATCTTTGATTCATCGTGCTATCTATGAGACTAACCCCTACCTTTGCGAAGCATTTTTGGGCTTGGGACGGCATCCCTAGGCAAGCTAGTAACTCGAAAGAAACGCTGGTTCTACAAGCCTCTCTGCAGCAGGATACGAATCGCGAAGGATCTACTCCGGACATTGCTTGATAGACCGGTTCAGCAGCACGAGCACGAGGAATCTGTAAATCGAAGTCAGCATCTGCTACAGCAAAATGTAAAGAGCAGTAGGCATCGGAGTTGTTTTCGAGTATCAGAAAAATGGTTGGAAAATACGTTTTCGCAGCATGTGCCGAAGCATCTGAGTGAGCTGGGTAACGTGTGTGCTCATCATTTGAAGGTGGTATGGATGTAGAAGAGGAGTTTAGAACTTACCAAGTTCAGTCTGCTGCCTTGGGATTGACCTTGGGAGCGACCCAGTTCGGATGGCTGATGGTAGTCAGTTCAGCGCGGCTTCGTCAACAAATTCAAGACTTGATGGAGATCTGGAGACCAGCATATCATGTCTGTGGTGATGCTCTCATTCGACAAGGGTTCAGGGACAAAGCCATTGAAAGGCTTGAACGTCTCCTTGAAGGCCTGCTGATGCTGCTCGAAGCTCACGTCGGAGACCCATACTCCGACGTGGGCCGTCAGCAAGCAATCGAAGTCTGTCGAAGAGTCGCCCAAGTAGACTATCAACGAGCTCGACCCATCGACTGGGGCAGAAGACGTATCAGGCATGTAGCCTAGCTTGTCGTCACTGGTTCGGATGTCCTGTCCAGACTCGCGACAGACGACTCCTGAGCTGCCTTCAGGTGTGTCAAGTCCTTCGATCTCGTTGGCGTAGATCTCCATGCGGTCAATGTAATGGCATATGGCAGCCTTGTACGCGTGGCTGGACCGCTGAGCGGCTTGCCACAAAGCCCGTCGGATGAACGATTCGCTCCAGTTGACGCTTATGATGCTGATGCTGCTGGCAGATGTGGGTTGTTCCTCTTCCTGACCGGTCACAAACAACTCGAAAAGGTCCAGCCATCCATCTCGCAGTAGAAGACTACCATCGTCCAAAGCAGCCACCACAATGCCATGGACATCCTGTCTAGTCACGCCTCTGAAGAAGCCAGCATCCTGTACACGCTGTGCACTGCGCTGCTCGACCCATTTGCGTGACGCCAGCCAGCCACTGTACTCTTCTTCATCATAGTTCTTCCATGGGTAAGGCGTGTCTTTGAATACCTGATAATCTCTCATATAAGCCTCGGAAGTTTCACGCCAAGATATGGGAGGATTGTTCGGCAGTCGACCAAGGATTGCCATAGTGTCGTTGACAGTGAGCGTTCCATCGAAGTCGATAATGAGTTTGGTTGGCCCATGTAGCCGTCGAGGAGCCATTGTGTGACCGCGGCGAGTAGAAACCGTGTAGGAGGTAAGTCGACCTGCTGGCCTCCGCCAAGACAAGTCGCGCCCACTGTGCAGAATGCGAGCGAAGGCAGCGTGCCTCATGAGCAGGTCTCCAGATAAACAACCTATTTGAACATGGCACTCCCACGTGATGCTTGCATTGGAGCTGTTATAGGCGGCGTAGGTCGAATGAGGAAGTAGAGGGAGTCGAGCTGGCAGCTGCAGAATCTGAGATTAAGTTTCGTTCGAGATCGTGGCGGCCATCGTGCTGGTCGACTCTGGAGGTACTGGTGAGCAGCTCTCCGTCGATGTTGGATGTTGTACCATCAGCTTGTCTGGACTTCAATGGCGAAGACAGCAATGTCAAGGACACGGCAGCTGCGAATTTGAGACCTCGTTTCTGTGGGTGATTCTATCGCCAGCCGGGAATGCCCGGCCTGCCCGGGAATATCGGTCTCACGTGATGCCAAGCCGACGAATCAAGAGATGGTGATTGGCTGTTCCGGCCCTTGAGCGTCCGTCGCTCGTAGCCGAGAAACACTCAGTGACCTCAAGACTTGTTGACCTCTTTGCCTTCACCACGCACCTCTCCCCTCTACCACCACACATCACACCATGGCTCTACGACTCGCATCACGGCGCTTCGCGCCCCAGGTCTTCCGCCGTGGCATGGCCACCACCATTGAGCACACCAAGGAGCCCATCGCAGCCACCGCGGAGGCCACCTCGGCATCTCGCCCACCAATTCCAGCCAACAAGACTGGCACCGAGCACGAACCCAAGAAAGACGAGAACTCGCGAATCAAGACGTTCAATATCTACCGATGGAACCCCGACGAGCCTGCGAGCAAGCCCAAGATGCAATCGTACACTCTAGACTTGAACAAGACGGGCCCAATGATGCTGGACGCATTGATCAGGATCAAGAACGAGGTTGACCCGACTTTGACATTCCGAAGGAGTTGCAGAGAGGGTATCTGTGGCAGCTGCGCTATGAACATCGACGGTGTGAACACATTGGCATGCTTGTGTAGGTACAAGGGGATATTGCCACACTACCGCGTACTGACCGTCCCTAGGCCGAATTCCGACAGACACCGCAAAGGAGTCGAGAATCTACCCATTGCCACACACCTACGTCGTCAAGGACCTTGTACCCGATTTGACCCAGTTTTACAAGCAGTACAAGTCTATTAAGCCTTATCTGCAGCGAGACACTCCATCACCAGACGTAAGCAAACAAACCACACCTGTTGTCTTCGCAGCGCTGATCGATCTCAGGGCAAGGAAAACCTTCAATCCAAGGAGGATCGCCGAAAGCTCGACGGTCTCTACGAGTGCATCCTCTGCGCCTGCTGCAGCACCTCCTGCCCATCATACTGGTGGAACAGCGAAGAATACCTCGGCCCAGCCGTCCTCATGCAGTCCTACCGCTGGATCGCCGACTCGCGCGACGAGAAGACCGCCCAGCGTAAGGATCAGCTGAACAACAGCATGAGCTTGTACCGATGCCACACCATCTTGAACTGCAGTCGGACATGTCCTAAGGGTCTCAACCCAGCGTTGGCTATCGCTGAGATCAAGAAGAGCATGGCGTTTTCGTAAAAGGTGGAAGCGGTAGAGAGGGCAGTTGGTGTTTTAATAGCGGCGCGAGCACGAGGAAGGAGCCACGGCTACAGCATGGGCGTTTTTGTATATACATGTATTCGCAAGTTCAAAAACATTCTTGATATCTCAGCTGCCTCATAACCTTTCCTTCATCGTCTGTGACAGATTGGCTTATGATGAACACTCCGAGCCATGTTTCATGCACTCCTTGAATTGTCCAACTAAAATACTGTGCCTCGCCCACTGCAAAACTGACTAGTACTCCATATTACTGCCCCGGAACAACATATCCATTAGAGTGGAATGGCCGACAGCGTGGAGATAAAAGCACGATTTGTAAAAGGCCATTGATACAATATCTCGCTAGTCTCAACTATCGCTCAATTCATGCATTCGTGACTCCTGTCCTCGGCTCGGGTAATACACACTTCTCGAATCATCCCACAAAACCCATTTCGCCTCCAGTCGCTCATTGATCAGAGTATGGCAACAACAGCCATACCAGCACCAAGGAGACCTCCAGCAAGGAGAGGGGCTGGGGTGATCATGGCTCCAGAGTCAGTGTCAGTGGTGCTCGTAGCGCTTGAGAGAGCCGATCCCGCTGCGCCTGTGGCTTCGGTGGCGGCGGAGTTGACGTCGGAGGTGATGGTCGAGACGACGCTGCCTGCGGCATTGGTGGCTTCCTGGAGGGATGTTAGTTGATCTGTTGTTTGTTAAGGGGTATGGGGTTGACGTACGGTGAAAACGGAACCTCCTACGCTGGTGATCCTCGTGCCGAGCGATTCTGCGTCGCTGGCGATGGTGGAGACGACGCTGCCGGCAGCGTTGGTGGCTTCCTAGAAGGAAGTCAGCGAAGTGTCCTATTGCTCGGGGGGATGGGGTGCAATTGCAGTGAAAACCGAGCCTCCTACACTCGTGATCCTCGTGCCCAGAGATTCCGCATCGCTGACGATGGTGGAGACGACGCTGCCTGCGCCGTTGGTGACTTCCTGGAGGATGGTTAGCGGATTGTTGAAGTCGTAACTGGTATGGGATTAACTTGCAGTGAACACAGAGCCTCCTACGCTGGTGATCCTCGTGCCGAGGGATTCGGCATCAGACACAATCGTGCTAAAACCAACTCATTAGTGCACTGAAATTCGACAACTGTGTTGCTTATGGCACTCACCTGACCACGTTGCCTCCAGCATCCGTCAAACGGGTGAACACGCTACCGCCTACAGAAGTGATCTCTTGTCCTACTGAGACGGCTCCAGATGTGATTGCGCCTCCTACTTCGGTGACGTCTGAGACAATGCTACGAGCTAGTGGTCAGCGACATGGGTCGATTTGATGAACCACAAGACTTACCTGCTGATGCCGTCCAAGATCTCGGTCACCTGGGCCGCAGCCAGGGCGGCCGGGAGAAGAGCGAATCGTGAGAAATGCATTATATCCGAGAGGTTCTTGTATAGTTTAGATTCGTAAGGAGGAAATGTAAGGCTGCAAGAAGACACCGCGAGAGAAGGGCTTCGAAGTATTTCAACCACAGACCAAGGCCTTCAAAATAGAAAGTCCACGCTACGGACGGTTGCCGAGCAAGCAGCGTGGCTGAGAGAGCGCAAGGAGAAACCGAAACACTGAAAAACACTTACGCAATTCCTCTACCACACACCACATGACGTCGCGGGCGTCGCCCCCGTCAGCAGCAGTTAAAATATCAGGAACAAGTGATCCGCTTTGTGCTGTGCACAGAGCACCGCCTCATCTTGCTGCGCGGCCGCGAATCATCAGCCCGGATGGCGTCGGCAGTCGCGGCGCAACCAAGACCCAGCTGAGTTGATGACGGTGAGCGAGAGGCTTGGCTGCCTTTAATGGTGAAATTGGCGAACCGTGCGGAATGCGAAGCATGCGGGAATGCGAAGCATGCGAGGCAGCACGTAGTCGTTTCATGGTGCGAATACGGATCATGTACTTTTTGCTGCTGCAGGTACAGAGGACCTGAAGTCGATGGAGGTGAAAGGCTAAGAGTTGAGCTTTGGCCACGCGGCCACTCCCGCGCCGAGGTAGGAAACATCGTTAGCGTGACCGTGAAAGCCGACAACATGAGCTCTCGAGAAACGACCTCACTCCATCAGGACAACAACAGAAGATGTCGGACCACGTCCGAGACAGCGGCAAATCGCTAGCATCAGACCCAGCCCGCACCTTCAACTACCCCTGGGCTGCCGCACCAGACATAATCCGCGCCAACCAAAAGGACGCCTACTTCCAAAGCACCCTCCTAACACACCTCTCCTCCGTGATCCGCGCCCTGTATGGCACACGCTCCGAACACAAATGGGCCAACGAAGCCTCCGTCTTCACCGAACTCCTCTATCTAGGCCTGACCACCTTCCTGGGAAACCGCACCCTGGGCGAGGAGTACTGCGACATAGTCCAAGTCGAAGATGACTCCAACCGCCTCCCCTCCATCGCCAGACGCTCCGGATACATCCTCTCCTCAGTCCTCCTCCCCTACATCCTAAACCGCTTCCTCCCCGCCTTCCGCAAACGCCTGCGTGCCAAACTGGAGAAGACCCTCCGAAAAGCCCACCACAGACGCATGTCCTCCCCCACCCGCGCCAAACACCCTCCCACCAAATCCGCCCAATTCCAGGAATACATCCTCAAACACCTCGACTCCATCACCTCCCCGGCCCCCATCTACGCCGTCAGCCTCGCCGTCTTCTACTTCACGGGCGCCTACTACCAGCTCAGCAAACGCGTCTTCGGCCTGCGCTACATCTTCACGCGCAAACTCGAAGAGTCCGACCAACGCGCCGGCTACGAAGTCCTGGGCGTGCTGCTCGTCGTGCAAATGGTCGTGCAGGCGTATCTGCACATGCAAACGACGTATCAGAAAGTCCAGGAGCAGAACGTCCAGCTCTCCCTCGGCCCGAACGGAACCAACGCGCTGGACGGCGGCTCCGCGGTCATCGACAGCGGCGTCGAACTAGGCGCCGAGAACCACTTCAACACGCCCCTCCTCTTCGAAGCCAACCCCCGCGGCAACGACCCGGAAGTCATCAAACGCCGCGTCGCCCAAGTCACGCACACGCCGCTCGCGAACGGCCACCGATACGATCTGAAGGACCCTGAGCCGATGCAGTGGATCGAGAGCAAGCAGGGGAGGAAATGCACGCTGTGCCTGGAGGCGATGAAGGATCCCTCGGTCACGACGTGCGGGCATGTGTTTTGCTGGACGTGTGTGACGGATTGGTTGAGGGAGCAGCCGCTGTGTCCGCTTTGTAGGCAGAGTGCGTTGGTGCAGCATGTTTTGCCTTTGAGGGGGTGAGATGTCAATTCGAAGGAGAGTTGTTCATTACAAAGAGGAAAAACTGAAAATGAATGTGAACTTCGTTGCACACAGAATTGTTTCCCCATTTTCATTATCCATTATGCATTATCATCCGCATCTAATGTCCTTGTAAGAACAATATAACAACGAAGTCCCTCAACAAGGGATCCCTTCTCATGCAAAATACAGCGCACAGAACACATCTCACGCGCTCCAAAAAATCCACCACCGCAACAGCAGCAGCAGAATCAGCACAACCCACTCGTCGACGAGACTTCATCACCATCTCAACCAACAGAGCTCCGCCCTCTCAACCTCAAAGTCCCCAACGTCCCGCTCTCCACCCTCGCGGGAGCAGTATTCGCCCTCCTCCGCAACCCCAAAATCCTCTCCTTAATCCCCGCCATAATCGGCGCCCACTTGACAACGCCAAACTGCGCCTGCTGCTGCTGGAGATGAAGATGAAGCCCCCCGCCCGCGGGGAACTCATCATACGCGCCGTCGAGCCCACCGCTCCAATGGGCGCGCATCGTCAGGGACGCCGGGCGACTGCGCGATCGGTGACGCTGACGACTTCGGGAGCGGGAGCGGTCGCGCATGTGGCGGACTTTGCTGTGCGGGGGAGGAGTCGTTAGCCCAAGCTGTTTGTGTATACACGAGGAGGAGTCCGGGTTGAAATGCTACATCTTTAGGCTTTCGAGGGCGTCGCTGGCGAGGCTGGCGCGGCTTTTGGGGCGGCCGCCGCTGTTGCGCTTCAGGAGCCGTTCGCGGTCTTTTAAGACGGGTGAGGGACCGTTGCCGAGGGATGCTGGGAGTGGTGAGAGGTTGTCGCCGTTGGCTTCCTTGCCGGCGCTGGCGGAGGTCTTGCCCATTCGAAGGTCGTTTTTGAATTCGATGTACATCTTTGCGGCGTCTGATAGTGGGAAGGGTGAAGGCTCGGTCGGGATCTCTGCTCCATTTTGCAGAAGCAACTCGGCAACAGGGAACGGCTTCCGTGGCATTGGGCTAGAAGGCCTCGGCGGCGTTGTTGCAGATGTCTGGCCGGATGGCACTCGTATGCTCGAAGACGACAGCCCAGGAGAATGGAAGCCACCAGGCGCTGGAGGATCTGCAGCAACCAACGCGAGGAAGATCGCATGCGTGTTTCGTGACCGGTCATGAGCATTAGGATTCGCCCGCAGCGCCACCGCATGCAACACGTTCTGAATGTCGTTCTTCTTAATGCTAGTCAGGAGGTGGTCATCGGGCAACTGCGTTCCAGGTCCGAGTTGAACATATGTCCGATCGCTGTACTTGGCCGTGATGAAATGAAGCCTTTGCTCTCGAGTCGAGTGTGGCGACGGCTTCAAGAACCGGTCCAGTTTGGCCTCCCAGATCATGTTGCTGACGCGGTTGCCGATGAGGAGCAGCACTTCGATGATATCTTGCGTAAACGCAGCCGTGTCCAGTGTCAACGACCGCACCTTGGAGATGTGGGTGCCAAGCGAACGATGGATCCCACTGCACTCGATGCAGAGCAGCACGCCCAAGTTAATCGAACACCAGTCGACTTTGCTGTCTGAGCCACAGTCCGCACAGATCTTGTTGCCCTCGTCGGCATTGCGAATGCGTTGCAGGAGAGCGGACGGCTCGCCCTCGGTATTGCTGTCGTTGCGCTTGTACGCAGGCTTGTCGCCTGTAGAAGAGTACCTGCTCACGGCCTTCGCAGCCTCGTGCCGGTTAGGGTTCGAGGTCTGACGATGCCCCGAGAACGAAGAACTCTTCCCAGTCAATACGGCCGCAATATCCTTTCGGTGTGAACTGGGTTGTGCAGGTGATGGCGAGCTTGGCAGCCGTTCTTTGTTTTCGAAAGCGCTTTGCAGTGCGTTGTTGATGGCTCCAATCCACGATCTCATGTCTTCCTCAGATGGTGCTTGGTATACACGGGTGAACTGTGGTGTGATGACTTCGAAACAGAACCGTCGATCAGAATTGCGCGCCTCTCGTACCGACGCCATGCGAAGGTCAATAGGCTCCATGTGCAGATCGAGCTTCTCCTTCCAGTTGACGTATTCTGAGAGTCTGCCTTGGTCCAGCACGATCCAGAACTTATGCCATCCTGGCTTGCCAATGCCCTTGGGATCGACATGACTGCCAGGCCTGCTTAGCGCCCACAGAAGTCCTTCCTTTCTCATGGCGCCGCCGTTCGTATTCGTTCCCGCGTTCTCCTGCAGATCTCGAATGCCCTTGAACTTGTCGTTAGGACTGCTGGACAGTGCTGAAGTAGTAGCGGCAGGAGTGCTAAGCATTCCGTTCACCGGAGCCTGCACTGGCGGCGCAACAGTACTTGGCGGCGAAGTCGACAATGATGCGGCTCCACTAAGGCTGACTGCCCGACTCGACTCGCTCTCAGCAGGTCGCAACGAGTCTCTAACTGAGCCAGAATGTGAAAGTCCTGGCGGAATGACGTTGCCGTCCTCGCTAATGAGCTTATTGCTGGTTTCGAGCATGCGTCGCTTCTCTTCCCGTTCTTTGCGCAGCAGCTGGAAGTCTTGGTCTGCGATCTTGACTTCAGCGATCAAAGCGTCGAGCTGTGGCACCAGTGCCTCAACCTTCTTTGCAGTCTGCAAGTAACTCTTCGTCTGCGCATCGGCGTACTTGGTCAGCTGCGAGAGTACTTCTTGATCTTTTCGACCGCCGTGCAAATCGTGCATGAAGCTCGAATAGTCGAAACGTTTGAGCTCGAAGGTCCTTCGCTTGGCTTGGTACTTCTCATCGCTTGATTTTTGCTTCTTCTCCTTCATCGATTCGGTCCGCTGGCCAAGGTACTTCCCAACGTAGGCGTAGTATTCTTTGCTTTCTTCGTCAAATTCGCGCTTCTTGAGGTCAGCTTGCTTAATCTCCAGGTTGTACAGCCGACTGATGGGATCGATGACCAGCTTCTGCAGATTGAAAGTATTCTGTTTCTCGTAGTGAAGAATCTCCTTTGCGATCTTCTCGAAGTAGTGTTCCAGCGCAGGCTGCACAGCATTCGCGTTCGAGCTCGCCGCATCTTTCAACGCCTGGGTGAAATCCGAGACTGCTTGGTTGCACGATTGCTGAGCAGCTTCGGCCGCTTCAGCTGTCCTCAGCACCCGCTTCATCTTGATTCGCATATTGCCCGTCTTCTGCTCCAAGGACCGCATTGTAGCTCGGAAAAGTGGTCCATCCTCGTTAAGTGACGGATCCTCACCGGGTTTGCAGGTCGCCACATCCACTTTCACTGGCCCAGTGGTAGACATGGTCATAGTCTGTGCGAGTCCAAGGCTGTTCTCGGGTATGGGATCAAACATTGGCGATTGTGGCTCCTTGTAGTCCTTGTAGCTTCCACTGCCTTCTCCTTCTGAATCACTCACATTGCTGACTCTCGATTCGATCGATTGTGTCGATGGCACTCGTAGCCTTGGTGGGAGGTTGACCTCTAATCTGTCCAGTCGCGGTGACTTTGGCAGCGATCCAGGGAATCGCTGTGTATTCTGCACCCAGAAACTGAAGCTCGCCAATGTGTCCAGTCGATGCGCACGCTGATTGTACTCGACAAAACTGCAGCTTGTCCGCCATCCACCTCCTCTATCTTCAGCTTGTTTCGGCGGTCGCCATTTCCACGACCAGGTAGACTGCACACTCGAGCTCCCTGCCGTCGCATAGTCGCCCACGAGCTGTACATTTGGATTCTTGTGCAAGTTTGGATCTGAATGGAACTCTCGCACCACCAGATTCTCCACCTCTTTCGCCGTCGAGGCAAATATCCACGTCAGCCCTGAGATCTGCGTGTCGACCACCGCTGGGGTGGTCCCGTTCGCGGGCGCATTGGGGGGAGCAGTTGACGAGCTCTGTTGTCGCACGACAAAGGTAAAGGTGAAGTAGAGTTCTTCGCTGTTGGAAAGGCGAATGAGGAAGGAGGGAGGGAGGCCGTTGGCGATGCTCTCTGGGTCCTGCTCCAATGATCAGTATGGAAGCCCACCGCAGCGCATTGCACTCAAACCTACCTGTATATACTCAATCGGGGTATCGTCGGGTGCTTCTCTCTGGGCGGTATATCTGGTAGCGGGGAATGCATTTGGCGATAGGCGTAGTAATGTCTGGCCTCTCGAATTGGTGACATTGATGCTGGATATGGCGACTGCGCAGATATTAGCTCTGTATGACTGTGAAGTTCATGCGACCGCAACTGACATCGCGCCTGATCAGTCAGGACCAACGGCGAGCTCTCGTCGAGCCTGCTGGAAATGTTGCCCATGCTGCTGCTGGTGGCCCCCGCGGGGTGCAGAGGCGGCTAGGCCTCCGGGCGTGGATCGCGCAACGTGGTGAACTGGAAGATTATGCTTGTGTAGAGTATTGTATGGCCTGGTGGGAATGCGGCGGCGGCGAGAGGAGGATTGGTGGTGGTGGTGGTGGTGTGGGAGGGGGGATGGGCGAGGGTCTGGGACAGGGAGTTGGCGATTCGGGACCCTGAAGGGCGCTAGCGGCGGTGCACGCGTGAGGCAAGATCAAAGGTAACGTGAGGCGTTCGTGGGAGGCGGGTGAGATGCGATCAACGATGGCATGTGCGACGATGATGCGGTCGGTCACAAGGAGAAGAGGTCACCACCACAACACCACCTGTCGGTAGTCGAATGCGGTCAAAGAGCACGTGGTTCGTCAACGGCGAATCCAACGGTCGCAAGGTCCCGCATTTCATCGGTGGCTGCTCCCCAACCTCCTTTCGCCTCTCCATCGTCACACAGTCCCAGACACGAGCCATCGCGTGTCTCCCGATCTGCCATAATAGTACAAACCACGTAGGCAGTGCTCGATCGCAACACCTGGCAAAATCAGGCTACCGCCAAAACATTGCTTCAAGCCTGAGGCCGCTTTTCACGACGAACATGTGATTCTACTATCTACGCAACAAACTCGGTCAACACCCTCTCCAACTCACCCACCCAAGCGTGGATCTGCTCCTGCCTCTGGATCTTCTTACTATGAGCGACCTGCAGCGTCAACCTCCCCTCAACAACCTGCGCAGCGACAAGGATGAGCGCCCGGACTTCAAAGTCCTCAGCAGCAGGATGAAGGTCCAGCGTGTCGTCCGACACTCTCTCGAAGGGCGAATTCGGCTTCTTCAGCTGATTGTAGACGCCACCGTGGTAGCGACAGAGGATTTCGATGGGGAAGTGACGAGCCCCAAAGCTGTCGTAACCAGACGGCGTGAGGAACGCGGCGTCGAAGTAGTCGGATCCGTTGCGTGGGAGAGTGCGATGTACGGCTTGAACTTGATTGAGGATAGCTTTCATATCGTGACACGCGAGTCCAGATTGCAGAGCGATTGGGAAGAAGGATGTAAACCATCCCACCGCGCGGAAGACATCGGGCTGATCGGTGGATGTCATGTTGCGGCCGTGATGATCGTTGAAGATAGCGGGAGGAGAGCGTCTATCAGGGAAGCTTCGCAAGAAAGATGAGAGCGTCGCAGCAGCGAGAGCGTCGCCAATGCGAACTACATGCGAGAGAAGTTTGCTGCTGGTCGTCTGATCGAGCGCGAAGCCGCTGGTAACAATGTCTCCAGTCAGATTTGGAACGGTGTCCATTCCCCAATACTGACAATCTGACTGTGGCACTTTGTAGGGAAGACAGTCAGACAGTCGAAGAGTCTTGGCACGAGATGTTTGTCGTATACACCAAGACTGGAAAGACAGACTCGTATCTGGTGGAAGCTCCTGTCCTGAGAGCAGCAGTTCGAGATCTTCCAAAATGACTTGCCATGATGTGGGGTCCGTTACGAGGTGATGAGCTGTTAGGAAGAGGTGCTGCTCATGCTGAACATCACAGAGGGCGGCGATGAAGACCGGGCCATCGCATATGTCGAGTGATTTCTGCATTGCCTCGATTGCATGCTCAAGCTCATGCAACTTCTTGACTGACACCTGGCGCACGACGGTGGACTGGTCATTCCAAGGGCTGATCCTTTGCATCCAGACATTATCCTGGCGAATGAATCGAGCACGAAGCATCTCATGTCGACAGACTAGCGCATTGATGGCATGTTGAAGCCGCCCAAACTCAACGACGCAACGAAGCCGCAAAAGGAAGCTCATAGCGTGTTGATGCTGTGGCACTGCTCTATCCCGCAAGATAAACCTTTGAATAGCTCCAAGCGGAAACCAGGCTCCTGGTTCGTCGTGCTCATCCACCACAGGTGCCTGGTGCTGTTCTACACGCTTAGCCAGCGAGGAGATCTTTCTGCGCGTGAGAATATCCTGGACCGTGACGTTGAGGTGTTGTGCTCGGCATTTCGAGGCGATTCGAATGGCAGACAGGGAACTCCCACCCAGTCTTGTAAAGCTGTCATCGATGCCCACCTGCGTGACGGGGATCTCGAGGACCTCGCTCCAGATTTGTTGGAGTGATTGTTCGACAGGGGTGAGCGGCCGTGATTCCTCTGCTTGGCCGTCTTTCTCCTGCTCTCGTGTCGGCTCCTGCGGGCGCAATCGACGCAGGATTCCCTCGTCGTTCACTACGGCAAGAACCTTTGCAGTGGATGCGTCAGGCTCTGCCACGATGCGATTGACAATACGGGCCAAAGCATCTGCCACGGCTACCGCTGTTACTTCGTTCAGGTGAGTCCTCTTATACTTGAGTTTCGTGCGTAGCTCATCCTTGGAGTAGGTAACGGCAAGGACAACATCAAACTATTCGTCATCAGTATCGGCCATCGAGTCACAAAGCATTCAAGACACCCACCTCGCTCGGGTCATCGAATTCCAATATCTTGATCCTGATGCTCGAATCCTCCCCAGCCAAATCATCAGCCCAAAGTCGCTGGAGCGATATTGCAGTATTGAAAAGCGCCTTGCCGCCAAGGTCGAGTGCATGATGAAGCTCCGCCATCGATACAGCCTGATGAAGGAGTCCGTCGACGAACCTCTCCTGCGCCCTTCTCATGAGACTGAGCACGCTTTCACTCCCAAGTACACTTAAGGATGATACCAGCATACTGATAGTTGGTCCCATCGTGGTCTCGATGCCGTCGACGGGGGTATCGCGTCCGTTGGCGAGGAATCCGCAACACGGAGCGTCTTTGCCCGTAACCGCTGACAAGACCAGGATCCAGGCGACCTGTATCAGCGTGGAGACGGTCGATTCATGTGATGAGCAAAACGACAGCGTCTTCGCGATGTTGATGTACGGGACGGAGATCTGACCCAAACCGTCAGTGATGGAAGCATCGTTGTCCTTGTTTTTCTGTGAAGCCGGAAAATAGCATGGCCCGAAGCCTGAGAGTTGAGACTGCCAGAACTCCAGTGCAGACATTCGATTTGCTTCGACCCAGGTGATGTAGTCGCCGTAGAGTCCTCTGCTTTCATCAGCAACACTGCCAGTGTGGCCGTAGAGCCGTGCAAGATCCTGGCAGATGAGTTGTATCGTGGCAGCATCGTTCAGAGCATGGTTCATCTCGAGCCGGATGAACATATCTATGCCACCGTGCATGATTGCAAGGTGATGATGTGGCTGTGAAGGTCTGTATGTCTGCGCTGGCAACGTCTTGATCTGCTCCACAGGGCTGACCGCGCCTTCGGGCAATTGATCTCGCGATATTGAGATAGCAGCTTCCTGCAGCACGACTTGGCAGTATGCTCCCTTTGCACTCAGATGGCTGACAAAGATCGTTCGCATGATTGCATGCTTCTTGCACAGCCTTCTCCAGGCCTCGACAAGACGATCAGTAGATACGGCCTCGCCGAGCTTAGTCGAAGAGACACGGAAGCACGCCTGGAGCCGATAGTGGCCGGCAACAGTTTCCTGAGCGAGGAGGATGCCTTCTTGGACAGGAGAGCAGCCGTAGATGGACTCAACCTCCGCCGCATCCACGCCAATACCAGACAAAGCGTCCTGAAGACTGTCGATCTCTTCGCCGTCCATCTGCAATCTTGGTACGTCCGCGCGAGTAAGCCGGCGTTCCCTGCCATCGAGGGAAATGGCGAGTGCAGCGAGAGTGACTTTCAATTCCTGTAGCCATACTTCCACTCGATCGGCATGCTTCATATGCTTATTGTGGTGTAGCATGAATCTCAGTTGGCCGTCCGCGAGTGTGGCACTGATACTGATCAAGCCAAACATCTCAACATCATCCGCGATAGGCCAGCAACGAAGTTTGTCCGAACTTACTCGGCGCAAAAGACTGTCATCGCTCTCAAGCTGCTGGAACTGCCCGCCATAGTTAAAGACGATTTCTACATCTCGGCGGGAGAGAGGTCGATTGCTGAGCATCCGCGAGCTGAACCACTCCCAACCGTTCTGGAGATATTGAGCCCTGGCGTCCTTCGTCTGACGTACGGCCTCGAGTACGGGAGTGGAAGCCCCAATCGCTGGATGAATTGGAAATAGTGTCGTGAACCAACCCACACTCCTGGAAAGATCGAGCTCCGAGTCCCAAGTCTCCCGCCCATGGCTTTCATTATACAAAGCGGGCGTGCCCCGATCGCGAAAGACTTGCCCGAACGACACGACAATGCCTGTCAGCAGCAAGTCGAGCAGCGAGGTATTGTACGCCTGGTTGCACGGTCCGCTGAGCTTTGCGGTGGTCTCGACATCCAAGGTCATCGTCTTGGAAACATTGTCACCGCGGAGATTCTGCAACTCTCTCATGCCCCAGAAGTCGGGATCAGCCAAGGGAAGCGATGGATCACGGTGGTGGCTCTGCTTCGTGAAATGCTCGGCTTGCAGCTGAACCCAGGTGGTGGATGGCAGTGATTCTGGCAGAGTTGTCTGAGGGCCATCTTGCAACAGATTTGAAAGGTCCTCTAGCAAGATCCTCCATGAGACGAGGTCTATGACGAGATGATGTGCTGTGAGGTGTAAGATGCCGTTCACAAAAGAGCCATCATTTGCCTCGATGTAGGTGGCTGCGAACACGAAGCCAGATGTGATGCTGAGGCTGGCCTCTCGTTTGTTGATCACCCGCTGTATTTCATCTGTATCCTCCACGCGCTGATGCTCGAATTGCTCCCCGGGTAATTCTGCCTCTCCGACAATCTCTTGCTTCCATTCACCAGTTGAAGACTCCACAAACCGGCATCGTAACGACTGATGATGCCTGACCAGAGCATCTATTCCAGCCTGCATCGAAGATGGAGATACGGGTCTAGTCAGCTCGAAGACCCAGGATTGATTGAAGTGATTGGCAGTGGCTGGACCATGATACTGGCAAAGAAGTTCCTGTATTGGTGAAAGCATACCACTTCGGACTGCCGAATTTGCACTGATATCGTATCCTTCAAGCCGGGCCATTTTTCTGTTCTGATCTTCAACCGATTGACCACTGCTGGCTAGCTTTGACACCAGCTGCCCAAAGCTGCGGCTCTGCAGTATGTCTGTGACGTTCAGGGGTATCTTGTTCTGTCGGCATTTTGACACGATTGACATCGCCGATATCGAATCCCCACCAAGCCTGATGAATGAACTCTCCCCGTCAATTTCATTGACTGGTACGTTAAGAACCGATGACCAAATTTGTCGAATGAAGTCTTCGTGAGAGTTTGCGACCGTGCTGGGAGCTTTCCACGTTGCGTTCTCAATCTCTTTGGCGGAGGACGCCAACCAAGCCGTCACCCGTCTACGATCCAGTTTCCCAGAAAAAGTAAGAGGTAGCGCCTGGACAGTGATCCAGTGCACAGGGACCATGTACGCCGGTAGGACCCCAGAAACGGACGATAAGGCTCGTGAGAGGACCGACGAAGCCGCCTCAAGCTTCTCGTAATGGAGAGCCCGCAGTACTCCATATGTGTCTTTCGACGATAGTTCAGTTTCAATCACGACCGTGAGGTTGCCCTGCAAGGTACCGAGTTTGGGCACAACAGCCATGGCCCGACAGATGCCCTGGCAAGCAGCTAGAGCCTGTTCCACATCAGCCAGCTGCAAACGTTGTCCATGGATCTTAGCTTGATCGTCCACGCGGCGTCCAAGGAAATGTAGGCTCCCATCTGCATTGTATTTCGCCATATCGCCAGTCCTGAAGAACCTGCTGCTGCCACATGAATTTTGACGCTGCAACGCCCACTTGGGAGGTCCGCAGAAGGCTGTTGTTGTCACCGTTTCTCCAAGATATCCGCTGCCGACGTTTGGGCCTTCGATGACTATCTCTCCAATTGCTCCAATTGGCACAAGTTCGTCGATGTTTTCTTTACGAACTAGCCAGACGGCACATGAGATGGGAAAGCCAATGCTTTCGGGAAATCGAGAGTCGCCGTTGACCTCCGCAATGGTTGACAGAATGCATGCTTCGCAAGGGCCATAGCCATTGTACAGTCTCACATGCTCACTCCATTGCTGAACAATCGAACGTCCTATCGGCTCTCCGACCGATACAAGGGTCTCAAGGCCAGGCACGAGCAAAGGATCGATACCGTGAGATACCGTTGGCGTTAGTGCAGCCCAGGTCGCAGCCTTTTCACGCATAAAAGTGACCAAACACGCCAACCGATCTTCGTCTGAAGGCACGCAGACAGTGCCTCCGAAGGCGACGGTGCCAAGCATTTCGAATACATTGATATCGAAGACATGCGCTGCAAACTGAAGCACTCGAATGTTCCTGGAAAACCCAAAGTAGCGTCCAAGGCTTTGCAGAGTTGAGGAGAGCGTGGAATGTTCCCATACCACACCTTTGGGCGTCGACGTGCTTCCGGAAGTAAATATAATGTAGGCATTGGAAGTCGGAGATATGACTGAAACAGGGGCAGTGGTCGTTATGGGCAGGTTGTCGAAGAGCTCCTGACCAACGACAAGTCTTTCAATGCCGTCAAGAGACGTGAACAGGTCGTCATGCGATCCCAAGACCAGCTCCGCAGCCACGTTGGAGATTATCATCGCTTTTCGGGCTTCGGGATATTTGGGATCGATGGGTACGCAAAAGCTGCCAGCTTTCAGTATCGCCAAGACAGCCACCGTAGTCCATCTTGTCTTCGTGAAGACAAAAGGGATGGGTTTGCTAGGAGCGGCATTTCGACGCCGTAGCTCGTCAGCTAGACGGTCGGAGTACACTTCAAGTTGCTCATATGTGAAGCTCCCGTCCCATGCATCGATCGCTATGTGGAGCGGCTGTTGCGAGGCTGTCTGGCGAATCATGGCACATATGTCCTTGAAAGGGGCTGCGGTAGTTGCAACACCAGAGTTCCATCTTTGAAGTTCGGCTTTGTCGCCATCGTTGCACGAGGACAACGTAGACAGTGTTGACTGGCCAGTGGAATTTGACATTGCCATGATTGTATGCTTAAACTGTCGAAGGACCCGTTCCATTTGCTCGCCAGTGAGAACGCCAGTGTCGAAGTATGCAGTGACCTCGACTCCATCGGGTCTAAGCTGACAATCCAATGTGAGGCTGTACGTTGTCAGCTCGCTGTTTGGCATAGGGATCGTAGTGAGCCCCAGCGAACTGATCCCGGCTGCGGTGTCGGATTCCGGCTGCACCACAAGAAGGGTCTGAAAGTCTACAGACGAAGCAGCAGCATCGCTTGCTTCGGAGATCTCTCGAAGACCAAGCTGCTCGTAAGGTATCATCTGGGTTGTCATACGTTGCACGTCAGACAAGAGGGAATCGACTGTCATGTCTTGTCGGAAGGGGACCTGGAAAGGTACGGTTGCTATGACAGGACCACATATCGCGTCGATTCCATGCAGGTCAGCATTTCGCCCAGAGATCGTCAGACCGAACGTCGGCCTCGTTGTATTTGCGTATGTCGCACTTACCATAGCCCATACAGCCTGGAGGAGGGTAGGAATGCTGAAGCCCCTTTGTGTGATTGGCACCGAGTCTATGGATATCGAGGTTCGCGCGGTTGCGTAGGGGTTTCTGCCCTTCGACAGAGTGACCTTAGGGAAATGACTGTCAGACCTGGCAGCCAGAAGAGATGACCAGAATTTCAAAGCTGGCGTTCTGCGCATGGCGCGGCAGTGCTTTACAAATGTCTTGAAGGGGGTTCGTTCGCTCAAAGGTTGGCTATCGTAGGCCTCAATGACGTTCTGCCATATCAGACCTAGCGACCAGCCGTCAAAGATCGCGTGATGGATAGTCAGAACGAACTCGCGATCTCCTATTAAAGCAAAGCGGATGAGCGACGCTGCAGGCTCAATTGTCAAAAGCCTTTCTGTGCGTAGACACTCCCCACGATTGCGATACCTTCGCCATGAAATAGCCGTGGTGGTCACTGCCTGCACTGGCCCGGCAGAGGTCTGCACGATTCTTGTTCTGAGGATCGAATTCTTCGCAAGTGTGAGCTCCCAGGCCATTTTGAACCGCTGAAGATCCAGTGAGTCGTTCATGTTGTACAGGGATTGGCGTGAATAAGCACTTGCGGCTCGCGATGACGACGTGAAGAGGGCCTCCTGCATCGAAGTACACGGATAGATATCTTCGATGTCTCGCTCTGATAGAAGGCAGATCTCAGCGACCTCCTTTCTGAGAGCGGCGAGATTCAATTCAGGAAATTGAGTGTCCCTATTTGGAAAGGCCGCAGTGAGATGTTCGCACTTCTCGGCCATTGCCGCCATCGTGTGATGCTCGAATATCACTGTTGCTGGTAGCCTGATGCCTGCTTGTCGAGCCGCTGCTACCAGACGCATCACATGTATTGATTTGCCACCAAGCTGGAAGAATGAGTCGCCCCGGCCGATATCGTCTATTCTGATGTGAAGTATCCCGGCCCACAGGCCTGCAAGCAAGCGTTCACTCTCAGTCTTCAGAGCGCTTTTGGTCATAGAGACTAATGTGAATTTTATCAGCTCGTCCTCCGCCATTTTCAGCGCCAGCGAGTGAAAAGCCTTCCGATCACGCTTGCCATTGACGTTAGTTGGCATTGCAGTGACGGGCATGAAGTGCGAAGGTAGCATGGAGTCCGGCAGCAGTGCTTGAAGTCGATCATGGCGTCCAAGAATCCTTTTTCGTTTTGGCTCTGTCAATGGGATGATCTCTGGGGGTCGAGTAGACGGCTGCGTTTCGTCCAGAAAGAAGGCCACCATCACTGTACACCCCGAGCTGCCGAATGTTATAACGTCGCATACCACAGCCTCCAGAGATAAGGCTTGGCGTAGAGCAGACTCAATCTCTGCCATGTCAACGCGAATGCCAGAGATCTTTCTTTGACTGTCTATGCGACCCACAAAGCTGATTGTGCCATCTGAGTTGTATTTGGCAAGGTCGCCAGTCATGAAAGCCCGAGTTCCAGGGCGACCACGCACAGCATCCAGCCAAGGTACTCTTTGGACAAAAGCTCGAGCGGTCCCGGCGGCATCATTCAAGTAGCCTCGTGCCAGTGTGGGCCCCTCTACAAGCAACTCCCCAACAGCGCCGATTTCAGCAAGCTGGTCAGGCTGTCCAGGCTCCACAATCCAGAGGTTGGCAATGTACCCTTGGCCGATCGATGTTGAAGGTACAGATTCGGCGAACCCGACTTGAGCCGCACACCGCACCGTACACTCGGTCTGGCCGTATGTAGTGATCACCGTGGCCGTGCCCATCCAGGCGCGCACGATGGAGTCGTCGACAGCTTCGCCACCGAGACACAGTGTTTTCAACTTCGGTACCTGCAACGGGTCGATGAGACCAGCAAATGACGATGTGAGCCAAGCCCAGTTCGCATCCATGCGATTGATAGCACCCGTCAAGTCTTCCAGTCTGTCGACTTCTGAAGAAATGCAAAGTGTGCCGCCCTTGAACAGAGTGGCAAATATTTCACCGATACTGGCTCCGAAGCTCCACGCGGAAAACTGAAATGTTCTGGTCTTCTCATCCATCAGAAGTGACGTTCCGAGAGCATCGGCGCTCGTGCAGAGGCCCTGATGCTCAAATACGACTGCCTTTGGGCTACCAGAAGAGCCGCTGGTGAAGACTAATGCACAGGCATTGTTTGGTACAGCGGATGGTAGTGGGAGAGCCGCATGTGCGTCAGCATCGTCCTGTTGTAGTACGGAGCGCCAGTAGTCGCCATCGACGGAAAGAACACTGGAACAAGTGGACCTGAGGAAGCTTTCTTGGCAGCCATCAGTTATCACAATAGACACCTCAGCATGCGTTAGAACCTCTTGGAGTTTCTCGACAGGGTGAGACGGGTTCAAAGCCAGGAAAGCGGCGCCTGCCTTGAGGATGCCAAGTTCGACCACAATGCCAAAGGCTGACTTCTCCATGCAAAACGCAACAAAGCTCTCGGGCCTGGCTCCAAGGGCAACCAGTCTGACTGCTAGTGCTGTTGCTGCACGGTCGAGCTGCTCGTATGTGAGGTCGAAATCCCACGCATGTACCGCCAGCTTATCGGGGTATTGCAATGCTCGCCGCTGTACTTCGAGGTGCACGCAAGACCTTAGGGGCTCATGTTCTTCAGAGTTCTGACGCAGTGCAAAAACGAGTGGTGAAACATCTATATGTGCTTGTTGTTTGCCTATCGCTGGTGTACAGTCTTCCGCATCGTCGAACATGTAGTCGTGCAAACCGACATTTTGTTCTTGTAGTATTCCGCGAAGTACCTTTCGATGGCATTTGCCCGACGGAGTCGTAGGAATGTGACTCAGAGGCATGAAGACTGTTGGCACCATGATACTTTGCAACTTGGTCAGCGCCAAAGCAATCGCTTTCCTGATATTGCATGCCCATTCGTCGCGCATTGAAAGGATCAGAGGGGTACTTTGCGAGGACCGTTGTGCTTGGCCGCCACGAGGCATGAAGAACGCCACCAGGCGTGCGGTGGTAGATTCGACACGTTCATTGCTGACTTCGATCACAACATCATCGGCCAACCCGGTAAGTCCCATTTTCACGTAATGTGTGATCTCTCCCAACTCCATACGGACACCTCGAACTTTTACTTGATCGTCTGTTCGAGTGAGAAATTTCAGTGATCCGTCGGACTGCCACTCGACAACATCTCCTGTCCTGAGCAGTCGACTTTCCTTCGTATGTGGCTCGAGCCATGCCGGAGTAGGGATGAACGTTGACGAAGTTTTTATTGTATCGTGCAGATAACCTTGGGCCAGGATGGAGCCCTCTACGAACAGCTCTCCGTGATGACCTGGCGGAACTGGCAAGAACTGTTCGTCACACACCCAAAATCTGCAACCAATCGAACGCCCGATGTTTGACGGATCCGATTCAGGCGTGTTGTCTTCCTTCCCCGAGCAGTAGATCGAAGCTTCAGCAAGGCCGTAGGCCAGTATCAAACGACATCGCCCTGCCCATCTGGTCAAATTTTCTCGGTGTACTGCTTCGCCTCCAAGAACAAGAGTACGAAGACCAGGTACTTCATCGGGCTCCAACAGTTTGGCCATTGTTGGAGTTAGTAGAGTCCAGTTGACTCGGCTACGCCTGATAAAGCCTGCAAGGTCACCAAGTCGTTCTTGTGACGATGGAATGCACACGCAGCCTCCACGCGTGAATACCCCGAGGATATCTGCGATTGCAACATCGAAGGTATGGGCTGCGAACTGCAGAACTCGAGATGATGGCCCGATGTCCCATTGAGAACCGAAGGCCTCGAAACTCGAGCACAAGGCCATGTGGCTCAGAGTGATAGCCTTTGGGGTCCCGGTGCTTCCTGATGTGAATTGAACAACTGCAACGTCTTGAGGCATAGTTGTGTGGATGAGTGTGCCAATCAACGGCTGTTTCTGAAACGATTCCTCCAGTACGACGGCGTGAGAGCTGAGAGCGTCAACGACGTCTTTCGTGTCCCGCCCAGCCAAGACAAGTTTTGATTTAGTCTGTTCGATCAGCAGTCGTAGCCTATCGTGAGGCATTTCCGGATCCAATGCAGCGCAAGCAGCACCGGCGCGAAGAATTCCAAGCATTGCGATTGGGACCCATTTCGACTTATGAAAGCAGAAAGGTACGATGTCGCCAGGTTTGATACCGTAGTCGGCAAGTTGCAAAGCCAAAATACGTGATAAACTCTCAACCTCCTGGTATTGCCAGTCACCATCCGAAGCCTGGACAGCTTGTGCAGAAGGGCGGGTAGACGCTTGATCGAGAAAGACATCATGAATGCAAGCATGCACAGTGCGTGGGACAGGCCCTGCCCACTTCAAAAGTGTTTCAAAATTAGCCGTGGAAAGATCGTACTGCTTCTTTTGAGCTGCGAGACCATCCATCGTAAGCTAGAGTGCGAATTGCTGGATGTGTTGAATGGGGTACTCGACAGCGTTTTGGAGGGAGTTGCAGCATTCGTGTCGACGGTGCAGAGTGTGAGATGAACTTGACATTCGCCGAAATGGCAAAAGACGTTCTTTGTATGAAGGCCATCGGATGGTTCGTGCAAGGGACGGGCGGCTCGACTCTTGAAGGACCAAAGACGAGAATGGCTTGCTCGCCTTGACCGATGCGCCAAAGATCAGATGGGTGCTTTGATGCAAGCTTAGAATCAGGTCCAACGATCATCTCTCGGATATGTGTCCCGAAAGTATGGGGCGCAATGTTTCCAATGCAAAGCCAGCCGGGGTTTTGCAAGAACCTGAAGGGGTAAGGTGTGCCATCCAATGCTCGGGTGGGTGGATTTTCAAGGGATCGAGCTCGAGATTCCGCGCCCGTGAAACCTGGCATGGGTTTCTGTATCCTGACAAGCTACATGTACAGAGGGGTGCACAAAAGATGACAACCTGTAGGGCACGTGGAGAGATGTCAACAAAGTCTTGATTGGCTCATTCGACGAAACAGACTCTCGGATTGGCCCATAGAGCAGTTTCGACTCCACGGGCACTAGCAGGGGTTGTCATGATTCTTGCACCAGCCTGTATGTGCCCAGCGGCACACTCCGGCGCGCTTCTTTCCACGTTGCTGCTTGGAAGGGGAAGGGGAGATCCCAGATCCCGAAGCCATCATGTCGATCTTGGGATTTGGATGCATGCAGTAAGTTTGGGGTGTCGTAGGTCTCCGCTACTGTTGACAGGATGTGTTCATACAAACACACCAACACCTGAAGGCTGCCATACCACAGGCGTTCAAGGCGGCCGTCGGGGCTTCGGATTAGCTTTTTGATGTTGTTTTCAACCACTTGGCTCAGACTGGCCCAGTTTGGGCGTCCACGAGAGCCGTGCACTATCGAAGAGGTCGGAGCACATGCAAGACGAGCATAACGGTTCGCCTCTCTCAAACCGGGGAGGTGTGGATGTGCCAGATCATGGGCTTCGAGCTTCTCGATTGCTGTACCTCATCCCATGGCGATTTCGACGGCCAGTTTAGAGGAAGCGCGGTGGAGGTCATCACCGCCGCCATCACAGGCGTTTTCGCCGTTCAAATGATGGTGGGCAAGATGCATTGCATTTCGATGGCGGTGTATGGGCAAGGAGGTGGGGAGTCTGCACCTGTGTAACGCCGATCAACGTTTCATAGTGGGCCTCTCTATTTTCTGACCTCGTCTTCACAACAATACCACCAACAACATTCACCTCGCAGCTGTATTCAAGGCTTTACCGGCTGAACTTGTCGATCTCTATCGTTCCCAAGATCGGATAGCTAATAAGCACGGCGACTAACGTAAAGTACTTGCCTACGTCTCCTCCTCCAGATCCTATCAGTCTCGCAACGGGCCCGACGTACTAGGGATTCCGAAAGTTAGCAGATTGTTCCTTCACCGTATCTCGGCCGCTGACAGTGCCACCCACCCACGTCTGGTTCATCCCCAAGAAGCTGACTCCGATTCCGAGCGCCAGACTACCGCATCCCGCCAGGCCCCATGGCATGCGCGACTGGTCTTGCCATCCCTCGATGTCGTAGCCCCCCAGCCGACGGCGGAACCAAAATGCTTCGATGGCGAGGATCGTCCCGAAACAGATAGTCCAGTAGCCCAGCAAAGCAAGGAAGTTCTCAAGAATTGCCTCTAGCGACGACCGGCCGCCCCAAGCCAATGCGAGCATGATGGCGGCGAGCAACGTGTTGAGTAAATGATCGCAATGTTGTTTCCCACTACACGAGAGTAGTTAGTGACGCCGTCCTCCTTCGCGCAGCCCGGGCATTATGCTCACTTACGGAAGGAAAACGAGTACATGACGCACACAAATTTGGCCCATCCGGATGGCGACATGGTGGCTAAGATGAGAGCGCCGACACGGCCATAATTATAAGCGTCAGAGAGCTTGCTGTCAGGCACAACGATGCCGCCATAGTAATTGCCAAGGATGAGGACAAAGACCGTTGGAATCGTCAAGCCCGTCCAGGTCATGCCAAATACCAACCACTTATTGATAGATGGCGGGTAGTGGACATAGTAGTAGTCGCCAGCCAGAGAGCACCAGGCGGAAGCCTCGCCAAAGACAATGGCGAAATATGTCAAAGCCGCGCCGGTGCGGTCGAGACCGGCGACAGACGACAGTGCCGGAGTTGGCGAGAAGTATCGCGCCGCCTGGCCGAACTGTACGCATAAGAAGACAAGTATCAGGAACCATGCGACTGACTCGTATTTCTGGATCCAGCGGAAACCACAGAACGAGACGAGGAATGAGCCGATGCACACAATCACGATGCCTACGACAATGGTCAACGAGCCGCCACTGACGGCGCTCTGCAGTTGTCCGGCGACAATGCAGTTGACCGTGCCGAAACCAATATTGACGATGATATTGAGGAGGCCGCAGATCTTGGCACCCCAGATGCCAAACGCATAGCGTGAGACAGCGATTTGTCGTAATCCTAGTGGAGCGCACAGTGTAGCCGTGAACCCAGGAATAACAGAGCCGATGACAGTCGCCGCATCACTAAGACCTATGGACTCGTTGACAGAGAGCCCGAGCAGCGGGCCCAGCATGCCCATGGTGATCAAACCCGGGCTCATGAGCATGGAGAACCAGAGCAGCATCATCTACACGGCCGTCAGCAGTGTGTGTGCCAGAAAGCAAAGACAATGAGGGTCACATTGAGGATGTGTGGCGGTCTTCTTTGGTCTTCACGCACGCGCTCCGCCCCGGTGCTTTCTACTCCCAGCTTTCGATCCATCCACTCCTCAGTGGCCTTCAGTTTCCGCAGGATAGCATTGCCTTGGCGTATTCGGATGACTTCGATCTCGCCTCGTCCGAGATGCGCGTCCGTGGGGAAGTCAGGCTGGGGTGGTGACGGCGAGACATCAGCAGAAAGCACTTTGCTCACCGCCTCGCCCTTCTCCAAGGACAAAGGTTCCTGCTGCGTTGAATCAGCCATGCTTCGTTGGATATAGTGCCGTTCGAAAGAGAGAGAAAGAACGACCCCTTGGAGCGGACGACGCATCGCGGCTGTGGTACTGCGGTACATTTAAAGACATGGAACACTCCTTCGCCCATCGTCGCCTGCCGGACTGGCTTCCAATCGCAAAATGATAAAGGATGAGGGACGAGGACGTCTGTAGTGCTCTTGTGGCCGCACAGGAAAACGTACCAGGTCTGGGTCATCCGAACCGGGGAAGACTGTGGGCCACGGATTCGGCGTTATCAGTATCACGAATCGTGTTACGCGGCGTCACTATATAAATGAAGAGAGCGAGCGGGCAAGAATCCTATGAGTGATGGGCCACTCCAACTCGAATATTGAGCCTCTTCTGGCTGGCAGTCCACGGCACGTGATACACGCCTGCCAAACTCCCTCATCTCGAGGTATATCGTCGTCACGTCCTTGCTACGGCCGTTACCGTTGCAGGGTCGTTGTCCTATACCGACCGCTTGGTCCTTCGACAGGATCTGCTCCACGAAAAAGATGCCTTTGTCACCAACATCCCCAAGGTCGAGCTGCACTTGCATTTGGAAGGAACCCTCACTGCGGAGCTGCGCTGGAAACTAGGCAAGAAGAACGGCGTCCCTCTGGGCTTGAAGCGCGGCGGTACTTACAAGGAGTTCGAGACACTGGAGCAGCTGAAGAGCTCCTATGCCCTAATCCAGCCGCGACCTGGCCACGGCTTTGACCATGCCGAAGAGCGCTTCACCTTCTTCGAGGCCTACTACACCGGCTTCGAAGTCCTGATCACGAGCCAGGACTTCTATGAGTTGGCGATGAATTACTTCGAGCGTGCCGCAACCATGAACGTGCGCTATTGCGAGCCCTTCTTCGATCCCCAGGGTCACACAAGGAGAGGCGTAGCGTTCGAACCGGTGATTGACGGGTTGCGAAGAGCGCAGATCGAGGCACGGGAGTCGCTCCACGTAAGTACAGTTTCAGCGCGCGCCACTCACTATCATCCTGAGGTCACTGAGACACATCGCAGGTTGAGTCCAAATATGCCATATGCTTTCTGCGCGACATGTCTCAGGAGTCTGCGATGGAGCATTACGAGCTGGCACTGCAGGCTCGCGACGTGATCATCGGCATCGGTCTAGACTCCAACGAGTATCGACGGCCACCGTCTCTGTTCGAGGCTGTCTTCACCCGCGCTCGTGCCGACGGCTTCTCGCTGACTTGCCACCGCGACGTCGGCCAGGAGCACACGAGCACATCCGCCATGTCGTCAGCCGCGTCGGCGGTACTGGAGCAGAGCGCCTAGACCACGGGCTCAACGACGCCGAGAAGACTGAACTGGTCGACCTGATCCACGACAAGGGAATCGGCATGACCGTCTGTCCGTGGGCCTACGTCAGGCACGAGCCGCTGGACGAGATCTTCCCGCGCATCCGCACCTTGTACGACGCCGGGATCAAGGTCGCGATCAACAGTGATGATCCGGCGTACATGGACGACTCGTGGATCACACACAATTTGCTCGTGACGAAGAGGATGTGCCAGTTCGGCGACGGCGATGGTGTGCTTGACACGACATGCCATTGACATGTGTTGGGCCCCCGAGGAGTTGAAGACTAAATTGCGGCAAGAGCTTGGTGCCTACGCTAAGTCGAACGGAGTCGTGCTATAGTATCAATGTTGATACACGCGGCGACGGTATTGCTGTTTAACTCTACCTAGGCGTGCTAGCTGTAGCAGACCTAAGGCCTCCGTTACAACATGACTTCGCCTGCAGGTATCGCGTCTGGATTTTGAGACAGCGGGGGGAGATTCTGTCATGCATGTCTTCTTCTTCATATCTTCGTCCTCACAACGACTGGTTCGTCGCCGAACACGATTATACTATCCCAGCGAGCAGCCCTCACGTACGACCGGCCGCTCAGATCGCTGCCCGTCCCCTTCGAAGAGATCCACCTCGAGCATACCTCAAAGGCAGCGGGACTTCCATCACTGAGGGCGTCTTCACCGAGACACAAGGCACACACGATCCAGCCCAAGTCTTTCGCCACGCTCCGTCCGTCAAAAGCGAGTTCGGCTCTGCTGCTCTCTTCGATTTTCTGCCTGACCTCTCCCCATGCTTCCTCGACTGGCTTCGCCCATCGATCCTGCCCACTCTTCTTCCAATGCACGACCACACTCTCAACAACGCCGGCTAGCGCCTCTAGCGTCACCTGCCCTGTTGAACCTTTCACAACCCTCACCAGATCATCGACCATGACGTTGGTGGTTCCTTCCCAGATAGCTAGGACGTTCGCCCCTCGATACAGCCTCGCGATGTTCATCGAGACGTCTTCATTCTCGAGATAGCCTACCCCACCGAGACTCTCCATGCATTCCTGCAGGCCAGCGATAGCGGCTTTGGCCGTGAGAAGCTTGGTCAGAGGGGTTAGGAGGCGGAGGAGGTGACGAACGGAGGCTTGAGGCAGGAGGCGAGATGAATGCGTGTCGCTTGTTGGGGTAGAGGGATGTTCAGCCGCGCCGAGGAGAGCGACTGTATAGAATGCCAGGTGCATGTTGGCGTGGTAGAGGACGTGTTGCTCCGCCAGAGTCCGCACATGGGCGGGTATGTCCATGAGGAGTTTTCCTCGGATTCTCCTTACCCGCGCAAAAGCTCGTGAGATGGAGAGTCCTCTTCCCCAGGAACTCACTGCTGAGACGGCGTTGTGCACGCGGGTGATGTTGAGGATCGTGCTGATTTCTTTCGTTCCCTGGCCTGCGGCGCCGATTCGCCAGGCGCGCATATTGGAGAGGACGAGTTCGGCGGTGGGGAGGGCGCGGGTGCCGAGTTTGGATTTGAGGCGCTGGATGCTGATACCGTTCAATTCAGGGGTTGTGGAGTTCGGTCTGAGAACGCGGGTGGGTGCGAAGAAGGCGGAGATGGAGCCATCAGGTTCTTTGGCGAGGAGGACGGTGGCGTTCGCATCGGTGGCGGAGGAGAACCATTTGAAGCCTGAGATGGAGTGTGGTCCAAGCGGGTTACCATCGACGTCTGTCGCTCTTATATCCTCGTTTGATGCTGGAGTGGCCAACGTCTCCGTGCTCCTCACATCGCTCCCTCCCGCCCTCTCCGTCATCCACTGCCCACTCGTCCACGCCTCCCCAGGATCTCTCTGCACAAGCCTCTCAAACGCCCTCTCAAACACCCTCCTCTCCACCTCCCCCAATCCCCCTTTCTCCAACTGCCCCCTCAACAACCTCGCCGCCCCATCCGTCATCGCACTCGGACACGTCACATCCGCCGAAAACGCACACCACACATGATACTTCAAGAACTGATACACCCTTCCAAACCTCCCAAACCTCCCAAACTCCTTCTCGTGGCCTATGGCCACAATCCCCTCTCGAATCCCGAGGTTCTGGAGTTCACGCCAGCCTTCGCTTGTGATGAGCTGATCAATCCGTTTACCCCAGGAATCCCAAGTCCGTACGTAGGGTGTGTTGCGTTCTGCGTCGGCGTTCCAGGCGAGGATTTGGGGGGTTGTGACGAGTTTGCTCATGTGTTGGAGGTCGGGTTTGATGGAGTGTTGGGTTCGGAGGGGGAGGTGGACTTGGAGTGGTTAGTTTGTGATTCTGTGATGGGGAGGTAGTGAGATGTACATCTGAATATTCTTTGCAGTGCTTCGTCTTCATTGAAAAGATCGCTTGGTGCCGGCTGTTGTTGGAAGAAGCCAGTAGTGGCACTGGAAGGCTGTCGTTTTGGGTCGGGACCCATGCTGACCGATGTTCAGTATTTCCGATTGACGACGTGGTATTCAAAAAGGGATCGAAACTGCAGGGAGAAGGTTGTCGAACACATACAAGAGAGGTGAAGTGTTCGATATTTGGTGGTCAGGATCTCCACCATTAGCTCTCACGAGAGCCGCGGCTTTCGATACGCCATTGGGACGCAGTCCTAGGCAGCTCGTACAGACAGAAGCAAATGCGCTTTTAGCCAAGTACTTTTATCTCCAAGAGCTCTGATTTATTCTTCGATATGCTTCTGGAAGTCGTTGGACACGATCAGAAGTAGACTCTTGAATAGCGTGGTTTCGCTCATGGTTTCACCATTGGCAAATCCCGGAAGGTGAGTGAATGAGTGGTTTTCAAAATCTTCATTCCATTGTAATCCGTACGAAAACACTAAAATAAGAGAGTACACAATACATCCACCCGCCTCTATAAGGACTGTCAAGAGTTTGTCTGTTGTTTCCCGAAGACTTCGTCATCATGAATCATCCCATAATCACCTGTTGCCAAAGTTGCATTCTTACAATGCTTGGGCATTTACCAGAAGCGGTTTGGGTTCCACTGGCCACCAAAGCGGTTGAGTTGGTTGAAGCGATTGAAGTTGTCGAAGCGGTTGAAGCGGTTAAAGTTGTTGAAGCGGTTGAATCGACGACCGCCACCAGGATAGAAGAACTGTTCGCCCTGCTTGGCCTGTTCAGCCTGTTCAGCCTGCTCGGCGCGGGCCTGGAGACCAGACTCGTCACGCTTGAGGATGTCGAGGAAGTCGTTATCTTGGAAGTCGTTCTGGAAGAAGTCGATGTCGTTATCGAAGCACCCTCGCAAGCCACATGGGTTGCCGAAGAACTGCTTGTTCTGCTCGGCGCGGGCCTCGAGGGCCTCTGGGTCTGCATCACGCTTAAGGATATCGATAAAGTCGTTGTCCTGGAAGCGATTGAATCGGTTGAATCGGTCAAAGCCGCCGCGGCCACCCCACAACAAAGGGCTTCCAATGAATTGGGCTCCTTGCTCAGCGCGGGCTTCGAGGGGCTCGGGCTCTGGCTCTGGATCGCGCTTGAGGACATCGATGAAGTCGTTGTCTTGGAAGCGATTGAATCGGTTGATGCGGTTAAAGCGGCCGCGACCACCCCACAACAAAGGGCTTCCAATGAACTGAGCTCCCTGCTCAGCGCGGGCCTGAACAGCTTCAGGCTCAGCTTCAGGCTGTGCCTGTTTGTGAATTTAGTCTCTACTCATGCCATTGATCGAGAAAAGTGCCTACCTCAGGTACTGGACTGCCGATTGCTCCAGTGGCGATCATGCCAACGAGGGCTGCAAGAATGTAGTCGAACTGCATGATGAAGGTTGAAGAAGGAAGCTGTGAAGCTGTTGATGTGGAAGATTGGCTGGCTGGTTGGCTTCGTTGTGCTGGCGGTTGCTTGCTGGCTTGTTGATATTGAGAAGGAGTCCAGACGTCGTGCTTATATAGCCATCGACGTACACATCAACGGACACCACGGAAGGTGTACATCAAGAACGTGCATCATCTTCGCGTGTTTCAGCATTGGCGGACTCGGCGCCGCGATCTTTTGGTGACCGAAAGCAGTGCATGGTATGTGAGTACATGAGCGGAAGGCGGAAGTCCGAAGTTCTTCTCTTCGGCCAAGAGAGGCAGAGCATCCGTGGTGCTAGGTTTATGACGAGTTGATTGCGCTGTGATTTGCAAAAGAGGATCTGCGAGGTGAGGTTGTTGCCTCGAGCACATCATCCAAGGACGCCAAGAGCTGTCCATCGAAGGGAACGCCTGGTGGACTTGAAACCAGGTTAAAAACCTGGCCGATCGCCCATCCTAGAAGCATTGGGCGTCCTAGATTGGCCTTGATCGCTATAAGGTTGTTTCAATCCAGGCACAACCCACGTGTGAGAAGAAGTTAATTCTAACTTTGGAATGTTCGCATTCATCCGCCGCATCCGTCTGCCATGTGAGGACTGCATGCGCTTACCAAGCCCTCCTCTCCAAGAAGTAGGGAATAGAAGTACAGGTCCATTCTGCACCGAGTCTTCAAGGAACACATCTTGTTCGCTGTACTTGGCGGTTTGAGCACTTCGTATTGGGAAGTCCTGCTCTATGTCGTTTCATCATCGACAAGTGAGAAACGGGCCGTTATGGAACAGACGGCAAGCGGGCTCGGGGCGGGCGGCATGGCCGACTGACGATGCATAGCACGCTGGCTCAATGTGTAGGCTTCTCATTCGATGCTGCGGAGTTGGACCAGCCTGTCTTCTTTGGGCACCTCGTCTCACGGTGATCACCGCGGTCGTGCCGGTCGTGATATGTTGATGCCTCGTATGATTACTGATGGATGCGAGGTACCGTAGCGATGAGTGAGGTTGAGAGTGTAGGAAAGGAGGAGGTTGAAATGCTCAGCCGCTAGTCGCGTAGCACAAGATCACGGGCTAGAATATTGTTGCCTCAGGCCGCAACTTTTGCGAACGACACGACTTTCACGTTCACAGGCATCAATTCTGACAACAACCCATCAACCGCGTTATCGACATCGACATCAATCCCCGAAGGCAATGCAAAGACCAAGCTAACAAAAGGCTTGATGCTGCGGTGATCGATTGAGGAGCCAAAACGAATACCTGTTTTGGCACAACAGCCATCATGACATCTCCGCCAGAAGAGAGTCCGTCGCTATTGCTGAAGCTCTCGGCAGAGTTGATAGTGTGGATCGCAGAAGAATGCGAGCCTACTGATCTGCCGAACCTCCGCCTCAGCTGTCGAGAACTGACGGCTGCAAGTCAAGATGCTTTCCTGGAGCGCTTCTTCTGCACGAGATACACTGTGCTGGCCGACCCGACAAGCATGCGGAATCTTGTACAAATCACGGCAGCTCCTCAGCTATGTAAGAAGATTAAGCATCTACGGTTCTCGCTAGCCGTCTTGTCGGACGACAGCGGTGACTACACGCGCAGAATACTCGAGTGTCGAGGCGACCAACTTCGGCCTACATGTGCAGACAGAGCTAAGAACGAAGCACTTCGTGGCGTTTACAGAAGGTTGACCAAGGAATGGGAAGACTATAAATGGACAAGTACTTGCGATGATCTGTTCGCCATCTTGACGAACCTTGCCAATTCCAAAGCTGAACCGCCGTACATCTCCATGGTCGACGACAGCCCGGATTACGAAAGTCGAGACCTACCTTCTGCACACGGTCGCCTTAGCAGCGAGTTAGGCTATGAAGAATGCTTGACAATTGCCAGGTTTATGCCCAGGGCGCCGTTCGAGCTGGTCATGGGAGCAATACACCTCACGGGATTTCCTGTCAAACGGCTTGCCTGTGGCAGTGCCCGCCATCCTATTCACTTGGCCGCGTTTATCGGTGTGACCTCCTTGACATCTCTCCGCGTATTGGAGCTCGATCTAAAGTGCGACAATCACCACTTCTTCTTCGGACAAAATCAACAAGAAGCGGCCTCGGCCATGGCGCTCCCAGACGCTCTCCTTCACGCAAAGCAGCTGGAGTCCTTGACCCTAAGCCAGACCTTCGCCATGGCCCGAGAGGCATACCAAAATGTCATCTTCAGAAAGATAGTAGAGTACTCTAAGCTTTACCAGGATCAGTTCTTGCCTAGACTCCGAGTGTTGAGGTTTGATGGCTATTTGGGCGACATTGCACTGATGGAACGCTTCAAGCAGCTCAAGTTGCCGATGCTCTCTGATGTCGTCGTTCGAGGAGCGAATTTCGTGGACTTTGGTCCCGGCCCACTGTTGATGGGTTGAGCATTAATGACGATGCGGAACTGTATGCGCTGCATGAGAACTGCTACAATTCAGAACTCATGAGTAGCGACACACTCATAATCCTATGCAGGCATTTGCTCGAGCGAATACGCAGGTCGCGAGCGTATGTACTCTGCTTGTGACCTTACGAAAACTTCCCGGATTGGAGAACTTCGCATTTCAGCCGCCTTTTGTGACTCCAGAAGCCGATCAGCCACGCTTGCTATACGAGTACGGGGAGTTTGATGAAAGATATATAGGAAGCGAATGCTGCGGGTCTGTACTTACACCAAATGCAAGCTGCTACAGATCAGAAAGCCTTTCCGACGATGTCGTCCATCAATCCGACCGAGATCACCACTCTATCAACAACGACCAAACTCGTCAGCTGGTCACTCCCACCAGCGACCCTCGCGTTCCTCACGGCCTCCTCCCCAACAACCGCCATCCTATCAATTCCAAGTCTCGCAATCCCGATTGCGTTCTTCCGATACTGCTACTTACAGGATCCGACCAATACAACCCACCTCGAAACGCTCATCTGGACATTCCTAGGCCTCGGGACGATAGGCCTGTCTCTCTCCGCGACGATCCAGGGGATCCTGTTCAAACCTCTCGCAAGTGTGCTTTTTGGAGCCCAGGCGGGGAAATATCTCGAGGAGTTCACAAGAACGAATGTCTCGGACCTCTCAGACGCAGAGAGGAAGCGTCGAGCGCAGATGGCCCGTCGCTGGCAATACTTCGCCTTTCTCTTCTTCTTCGCCTTCGGACTCGCAGGTCTCGTCGAGGAAGTCCTCAAGTCCTCCGCCATCATCCTCGCCCGACGCTGGGGATCCGTCGCGACGGAGAGGGAGTACCTCAACGCCGCCGTCGCCGCAACGCTAGGCTTCAGCACGGTCGAAAACATCGCCTTCGTCTACGCCGCTCGGAACGATAGCCCGGGTATACTCGCACTCACGCTCCTCGAGCGCGTCCTCTTGGGCGGGCCCGCACACACCCTCTCGGGCTGTCTCCTCTCTTTGAGCATTGTCCGTCGAGACTTGAGGAGAGAGGCGATTGGGTGGGTGCGGATTCTGGGGTGGCCTACGCTTTACCATGGGGCATGGGACTTTTCCCTTCTTGCGATTTGTGCTGCGAATGGGAATGTTGGGTGGGTGCATCCGAGACGTCCTGTTAGTTTGATGGCGGGGTTGGGGGTTGCGGTGGGGATTAGTGCGGCTGCGTTTTGGCAGGTGAGATCTGAGATGGATAGGTTGGGGGTATTGTTGTGAGTGTGGGGGGATTGGTGGTTGTCTCCGCTCTGTAGAGAATGTTATGAGATCTCTGCTCTGACTAGCTCGTCCATGGGATTTCGCCTATGCTTGATGATGACAGGACTGACACTGAGGAGTTCGACGTCGCTGGTGCCTCGCCTGAAGCCTGGACTAGTGGAGATTCCTCGCTTGGGAGTCAGGCTGAAGCAAACCCAGGCCGCGAATGTCCACGACTTTAACGGCGCCGATCCCAGTCCTGGGCGAATGGGAAGGCGAACCGTTGAATTTTGTTGGCTTCGCATTGCTGTCCCGGGCCACAGGCAAGGCGTCAGCTCACCAAGAGCTGCATGGTTGCCTGGGAGGGTGGAGTGGGTCCTAAGAATCGTTTGACGTTGACAAGCGGCAAAGGCTGCGGTCAGTCAATGTCTTTGATGGATGGTGGTATTGTGTAAAGCAGGCAGTGCTGGTCGTGCCTTCCTGATCTGTTTCACGATAATCGAGCTTAATCCGACCTCGCCTGTATGAGGGTGCATCTCACCAACGATTTGTGAGCAAACACGCATCAGTTCTGGGGACAAGAAATGATGTATTACTGCCCGACAGTTGTGCATCGCAGAGGCCATTGGCGTGACAGGCCCGATCGCTAGCATGTGCAACAGGCAACATTGGCCAGATGAAGCACGAAACCTTGCTTCGCCCTGCTCACCACACCACATCAGCTCTCACCAGCAGTTTCGGGTTGTGGTTGGATTAACGTTCCGCGTCGCCTCGCCAGAACAGGCAGCCACACTATGTTTCGACTGCTTGACCGGAGTCTGAGAGGGCTAGCTTATCGCCTGAGCAGGAATCGTTGAGGGGGCACTTTAGCGCTGGGGACGGCCGTGGTCGCATGTGAAGACATGTACCCCAGAGAGGCCTCCAGAATCACAACATTAGGCAGCTTTGAGGCGCGAGACCCTGGGTTGGATGATAACCACGCCGCGAATCAGCACTGCCGTCAGGCACACCTTTCAGAGGACGCCCGGTTACACTGCTGATCGAGAAGCGGAGATGCGCAACCGGTTATCTCTGGTAGCTTCGCAGATACAGTTCACAGGTCGGCTGGAACCTCAGGCATGAGCGCGAGACATGCGTCACAGCGGTCTCGGGAGGAGGGAGAAGGCGCACATGTCAAACGACACGTGTGTGGCGGGTAGTGAAGGTTGCTGTGGGCGACGGCGGATCTTGGGGGAAAACGCGGCATTGATGAGGCGGTAAACGATGTTCGTGATAAGTGCTGGGAAGGTTGTGAGAGCCGGCGAAGACGCGAACAATGATTGGGATGACGCGGGTTCGCGCGTGATGCTCGAGGTCACGACTGGCGGCTGCCGAGGGGCTGGCTGTCGCGCGGTTTCATAGAGGAGGCAAAGGCAAAGACAACAATCACGCAAGCCGGCTGTATGATGACGCTTTGTTCACCACTTCCATCGTCGCTGGCTGCTGTTAATATCGTCGGGAAATAGATGGATGATGATTGATAGATACAGAGTCGTAGACAACCGGAAGACTGTTATCAGACACGCCGCTACGTCAAAAGCGGCAGGGATAAGCTTTAGTTCTGGCAGCACTGGTGAGAGCTTGCTTGGGAGCAGCAGCTCGCCCGTCACTCACATCACCCAATCCTCCCCCGAGCCTCGCGCCTGAGAACATCCAGCATCCTCATCGACATTGCCCACCACGCCGCCGCCGTCTATCCCATTCCTCGCCGCCACTTTGTGTCTTTTGCCGCTTTTAATAATCCTCGCTCATTCTCCCCCAGCGTGAGCACTGACCCGCCGACATCATCCATCACCTGCACCGGACCTGGGGTTCGACCTAGCCTTCGAGTCACCGCGTCAACTGCCACACCACGCCCAAGCCCCCATCACGAGAGACCCTGCCGCGCCGCCCTCGCCGTCTGCACCCCCACCGCCGTCCGCGCAAATAAACCCCTACCGCTCATTCACCTGCGTCCATGCCGCCCGCGTAAACCCGCCAAGCACCACCACCGACACCCCGGCAACGGGCATCAACCGCACCGCTTCTCCTCCATCCATGCATCCTACGATCAGCGCCATCGACGAGAACGGCACTTAGGGGTTGAAGAAGAGGAGGTCGCTGATAGATTGTCCTGCAGCAAACCACAACACCGCAATCATGGCGCATCCCAGCCGCCTGCCACCATCCTCGAGGCGGCCGCCTCCACCTACGCCAGAGATGGAGCCAGACGAGATTATCGGCGAGTTCAGAAGAGGCAAGGAGATTGGCAAAGGCAGCTTCGCTACTGTGTTCCTTGCCCAACATCGAGTAAGTGGCCCCCGAGTCTGTGAGGCTGGACAACTGAGCACTTTGATGGTTCGCCATCAAGACGATGTTCACGATCCCTATCTTGAGTACCCGATACTAATGGTTTACATCTACAGAAGAAGAAGTCGTTCGCCGCGGTCAAGGCGGTCCAGATGTCCAAACTGTCTAGGAAGCTGAAGGACAATCTGGCCACCGAGATCGACATCCTGAAAGGCCTCAGGCATCCGCATATCGTGCAGCTTTTCGTCTGCACAGAGACCCGCACATATATCTATCTGGTCATGGAGTACTGTCAACTGTCGGATCTGGCGCAGTTTATGAAGAAGCGTCACCAACTCTCCGCGTACCCAGAGACGGCAGACATCTTCCGCAAGTACCCCAACCCAGAAGTTGGAGGCCTCCACGAAGTCTTGGCTCGACACTTTCTCAAGCAGGTCGTCAGCGCTCTTCAGTATCTTCGGTCTAACAACCTGATCCATCGAGACATCAAGCCCCAGAATCTCCTGCTTAATCCTGCGCCTACGTACATGGTCAAGCAGAAGCCCGAGGATGTCCCGCTGGCTGCCAGCGAAGGCTCGTTGACACCGTCTGTTGGCGTTGCATCTCTGCCCATGCTCAAGATTGCCGATTTCGGATTCGCTCGTCACCTTCCATCGACTTCAATGGCTGAGACTCTCTGCGGTTCACCATTGTACATGGCTCCTGAGATTCTTCGTTACGAAAAGTACGACGCTCGCGCTGACTTGTGGTCGACCGGTACTGTGCTCTACGAGATGGCATACGGAAAGCCGCCTTTTAGAGCTCAGAACCATGTGGACCTCTTGCGTAAGATTGAGAAGGCGGACGACGTTATTCCATTCGACAAATTGGCCAAAACAAGGGAAGAGCTCAGGTCACTCATCAGTGCTTTGCTGAAGAAGAGCCCACTGGAGCGCATGACGTACGAGGAACTCTTCAACGACCCTGTAGTCACTGGTGAGATCCCAGGATTGGTGAATGAAGACAAGCCCCAAGAGCGTAGCAAGCCAGCCGCCATCGCAGAACTTTCTGAGCTCAGCCGCAAAGTCAACACCGCTACCCCTGACCCGTCAAGTTCTACCAAAACTGCGCGCGAAGTAAAAGTGCAACCAAAGAGATCGCAAGAAGATGTCCCTGGGCGGGCGTCCAGAAAATCTTCAGACCAAGACATGGGGCAGCGGCACGCAGAAGACACTGCCAGACGGAAATCATCTGCCGGCAGCCAAAACCAACCTGAAGCTCAAACATCGGGCCTCAAGCGTCAACCGAGTCAACGAGAGCAGCGTAGGCCGAGCATCGTGGCCCACATCACTGCTCCAGGGCGTCAAGAATTGCATCAGCAGCAACAGCCACTCGCCCCAGCACCTCGAATGGAGAGACGAGCCAGCCGCTCTTCGCCACTGGCCGGACCTCCATTAGTCCGCGAGCCAACCGACGACGATAAGATGAAGAGGGAGCTTGCTGTTCGCGAAGCACGGGAGCGGACTCAACAGGATCTCAATTTTGAGAAAGAATACGTTGTCATTGAGAAGCGAGCTGTTGAGGTGAATGCGTTTGCAGATGAGTTGGACGCTGTTCATGGACATGGTTCGTCTGGAAATGCAGGCGCTATGACACGACGTGCAACCACTCAGGGCCAACCAGGATCTGCCAGTGGTGCTCGACCGGCAAGTCCTTCTCGCCAGATGCAAGTGGCCACCGGTAGATTGCCTCCTGGACACACACGAGTCGGCTCTTTCGAGCGGCGCTACGCGGCATCTCCCCAGTCAGCGACCAACATGCTCACCAAAGCGTTGAATGCGGCCAATGTTCGTCTCTTCGGTGCCCTGGGCACATCTCCACCTTTCGGCAAGGGTGCATCTCCTCCACGCAGCTATGGTGCATACCCAGCGTATCCAGCCCCGGCTCCAGGTACCTTGGCCATTGGAGACGGCAGCGAGGCTAAGACGCCGATGGATGAGGATTCTAAGATTGTTCGCATCATGGAGGACGCCGCTCACCGTAGTGATGTGATCTTTGGATTCGCCGAAGTCAAGTACCGACAGCTTCTCCCAGCAACCCCTTCGTCTCAGGATGCACTCGGCATTCAGCAAATTGGCGCGCAGGAGAACACTGCCAGTGGCGAAGAGGAGGAAGATAAGGACATGACTACTCTGGCCATCGTCGGAGTCTCTGAAGAAGCTCTGGTCTTGTACGTGAAGGCGCTGGCGATCCTGACGAAGACTATCGATCTCGCAGGCTACTGGTGGAACAAGCAAGGCCGTAATGAAGGCGTCACCTCTGACCCTTCGTCTACCACATCTTCCAGTGTCGGCACCCGCATCCTGAACGTGGTGAAGTGGTCACGAGCTCGATTCAACGAATGTCTGGAGAAGTCTGAAGTCGTGGGCCGTCGACTTCAACAAGCGCAGAGACAGCTACCAGAGAACCACCCTGGCCACCCCAACAACCATGCTACTGGGTCGGAAACGGTAACGACTTCGGCAGAGCACATCCGCATTACTAGCGGCGTGACAGCAGAGAAGCTCATGTTTGATCGTGCTGTTGAGATGAGCCGTGCTGCGGCTGTCAGCGAACTGGTTGGCGAGGAGTTGCATGACTGCGAGTTAGGCTATAAGACAGCCATCATGCTTCTGGAAGCTGTTCTTGAGCGTGACGATGAGCCACTGATGCGCAAGCCAAGCTCTAAGAAGGACAAGGCGGGAGATGAGCTCATCAACGGGATGGAGACTGAGGATCGACAGCAGGTCATCAAGCGTGAGTTAAAGTCCAACTTCTTTCCTGTAACCGGCTGACATCTTTGCTAGTCATCGAAGGCGCCAAGGCACGACTCAGTGCACTTCGAAAGAAGATCTACGCCGCCCAGCAGACTGCTAAGCGCGCTTCTGGCAGCGGCTCGTCGACACCAAAACCAGCCAACCCATCACCATCAGCGGCATCGCCTGCGATCGCCAACACACCACCACGTTAACGAAGTGCGAGGACTTATGAACTTTTTGATGTTTTGTTTTTCAGCGGGCGTTTCCAGCACGAGAGATTGTTTTCAACAGGCGAAAGGAGGATATGTGAGATTGTTCACTAGGAAAGAAGGCACGATCACGACATGATCAACACGGCACGAGATTACGCGGGCGTTCAACCATCAGACTGTCTAGAACGAGAGGATTTTCGGTTTTTGAAGAAGGGCGCTACGGAAGGGACATGGAAGGCGTTATCAAGACTAAAGAGGAACGGACAGGCTGGAACAGAACGGCGTTTTGTTTTGTTCTGGAATTTGACCTGTGGCGAAGGAAGATTGATGAAAGGAAGAGAGAGAGGGGGATATGGGGTGTTTTTTGCGGTTTTTGACTACTCGCATTGTCTATGGGCTGGCCTGGACATAACGAAAGAGAGACGAAATGGAAGAGAAAGGGCGCATCTATGGCGCAGGCGAGCTGTTGTTGCAAAGGGACACGACAAACAAACCACGGGATGCATGATTTTTGGGTCTGGGCGCCGTTATACTACTATGATACCACTACCACTGACTAGTTACTGCGAGAGGCTACAGATTGGACTGTGTGCACTTTCAGCGGGTACTTCTTGCTGTACTGAAGGGAATGAAGAGATTTTTGGATTGATTGGGTTTCTTTTTTTTTGAATCGAGTCTCTGTCTTCGCAACTTGTGGACGTCGGATGAGCGGGGGCGGGGAGGTTCGGGTTCTTCACGCTTGCAGCAACCTCACGTCTTCTACTGACTGCCTAACCTACCTCTCCACACATGGCGGCCAAATTGGCCAACTGCGGGACGCTCGACCTCACAGCTGGATGCAACATTGTGACGAGTGGATGATTCCACGGAGGAACTACTCACGACAGTTCTTAGCCCCGGTGGTTGTGCGTGATTGTGGAAATGCTAGACAGGGTTTCGTTTCGGATGTTGGCATTGATTTGAGAGGTCTACGTGAGTGCAATACCCTCGCTACTTCGGGAGCAGCAGCTCAAGTACCCAAGCAGACTACCGTTTCTCTGGATTCCATCATGGGCTATCGATTCTGAATGCGCTCTGTCTTTGCCTTGCACACTGGCCCATGCAACACCCAACCAGGTCGAGAGCTCTGGCGCGTGTGTGACGTTAGGACTACTCGAAGTTCGATCTCTTGTTCTTACCAGAACCTTCCGCCTTCGATGCAGCCTTTGACCCAGCGATCGATCCAGCGTTTGATCCAGCATTTGCTCCAGCATTTGATCCTGCAACAGAACTCATCTTCTGATCCTTCCACCTTTTCCACAGCTCCTCATCGGTCGGCATCACTTTGGGCATCACGAAGTCCGTGTCCGCCTGCTCGAAGTCGACGATATAGCTAGAGTGTTGATTAGCAAAAGCATGCAGCACCTCCGACTTCCCAGGGGCAAGCTCACCACTTCTTGCTTCCCCCGTCCCACAGCACATTGCCGAGATGAGGACTCTTGCTGTCCACTCCGCAACGCCAGAGCTCACGCATGGCCACCCCGAAAGCTCTCTTAATCTCGTCCTTCTGGCCTTCGAAATCGAAATCGTTGTTGTCAACGAGAATGCTCACCGCCGTTCCTGGGAGGTACGTCAACAGGACCCAGCGTTTGTAGCCCTCGTCTGTCGTCTTGCGGAAGTCGTGAATGTAGTGTGGTGCTGAGGTGCAGTTCTTGTCCCTGAGGTCCATCAAAGCGGCCACTTCGTTGTAAGATCGGATGCTTTCCGTGCGTGGTGCTCCGGTTTCCGTGAGTGTTGCTCCGCTGGGAAGGATTAGGTCAACGTCTTCGAAGGCATGATGGAAAAGGGGGAAGGTTGTCACTTACGTGACGAGGAAGTACTTGGCGATTACATCCTCGTTGTTGTAGCGACCGTGGAATACGGCGACCCACTCGTCTTCGTCCTTCTTACGCAGTGGCTCTAGCTCGCTCACGAGCTCGACAGTGTGATTGCCATCGTTACTTTTGACTGTCTCCAGATCTTCTTGGGACTCTTTCTTATCCATGGTCAACGGATGCGCTTGATCGATGGACGAGAGGATCCAACATGACCTGGGCAGAGAGAAGACATCTTATAGCATGGGAGAGGACTTCTCTCATGCTGGATTGCTTGCTGCTTGAAAGACGCAAAACTCTTACGGAACAAGACAGAAGCAGATGTCCATGATTGCTAGCGGTGCATGAAAGAAAGATGAAGGACCTTCAGGTTTCTGGCAATCATGAGTGAAAGAAACAGGAGATCTGGATGGACTTAACGCTGGAGTAAAGTCCAGAAAGACCGTGAGAATTCCAGCAGTTTTTGAATGAACAACAGTGGGAATCCGAAGACTGACGACTTCAAGCCAGATGTTTGCACCCATTTTTCGGGACTTTGGACAACCTTTGTCGCCTGATTTGGCACGCTTCGACTTGCCCTGTCAATATTGGTCTGCCGAGTTGTCAACGCCCTCTTCAGGAGAAGACGAACTTCGAGCACTTGCCACCAGTAGGCTGCAGAAGCCTTCTTCGAGGCGGTGGAGGTGTTCTTGATCTCCACGTCTATTGCGTTAAGCATATCGATCGCGACTTTGCTGGTGACACTGGCAATGGTCTTGAAGGAGTTCAGCTTGACTATGGAGACTTCAGCAAGTGGTACTAGCTGATGGCCTGCCATGGATGGCGAGATGGTCTGCATGAAAGGAATATGATGGATGGGGATCGATGAAGGGCATGTGTTGCAGCGGTTCGAGTCAGAGTGCCTACATCGGGGTCGTGCAAAAATGGAACGTACGGAAGACTCTTCAATTGTGTCGATTGCTGCTCCCTCATTTGAGTCCTTGCAAGTGCTTATTGATATCATTATCTTTTGTGAGAACGCATTCGTGAAAGATGAGATTGACCACATTCAGTCAAGGCCACTGTCACATGTTTAAGAGTCCATGCCGACTCAACCCTCGGCGGCGATCCTGCGGCGTCATGGTCTCGTGCCAGGCGCCGGGGAAAGAAGCTCCTCAACCACGAAAAATAGCTCTCGTTTAACGCGCACCTGCATGTCACCAACCCATCTCTGCTTCCTCAACTTATTGTGGTTTACAGCTAGTAGTTGGAAGTAGGAGCGATATATGCCTCGTAGCTGCTGTTCATTCACTTCGCCTCCCGCTCTGTCGTCATTCTTTCGGTTCAGGTCCACGCGCCAGATCTGCGTTGCCAAAACTTCGGTTCGGAGCTTCTTCTGCGCTTCACCTCAACAACACGGTGGAAAGAAGACATTGGTGGGAGATATTTGCAAGGAGCTACGAATCAAGAAGAGGAGAGATAATTGGACAACAACAAGAGCCATGGCGAGTTTGGCGGTACACTCCAAGAAGCACAAGATGTGCGTGGTGGGCTCAGGCAACTGGGGCACGACAATCGCCAAGGTGATTGCAGAGAACACGCGCGAGAACAAGGACCTCTTCGACGAGGAGGTGCAGATGTGGGTGTACGAGGAAGAGGTGCAGATCCCCAAGGACAGCAAGCACTACGACCCGGGCTCGTCGCTCTGCTCGAAGCCGCAGAAGCTCACGCAGCTGATCAATGGCTTGCACGAGAATGTCAAGTACCTGCCGAACATCCCTCTGCCGGAGAACATCGTCGCCAACCCTGAGATCACGGACGCCGTGAAGGATGCGACCATTTTGATTTTCAACCTGCCGCATCAGTTCATCAACAAGGTGTGCGAGAATATCAAGGGCAAGATCCTGCCGTTTGCAAGAGGTATTAGCTGTATCAAGGGCGTGGCGGTCTCAGACAAGGGATGTGATCTGTTCTCGGACAGCATTGGACAGAAGCTGGGCATCTACGTCGGTGCATTGAGTGGAGCGAACATTGCGAACGAGATTGCACTGGAGAAATGGTGCGAGACGACGGTTGCATACGATCCGCCAGTCATGGACTCTCGACAACCCACGCCAGAAGCCACGCCCTCGGGCTCACCTCACGGCTCCTCAGCAAATCTCAAGGACCTCAATGGCACCACCGCAACCACACCGAAGGGCAAGACCCAAAAGCTCCTCGCCCTCCCCGCCGAATACCCGCCCCTCAACCACAGCAACATGAAGAAACTCTTCCACAGGCCCTACTTCCACGTCCGCATGGTCACCGACGTCGCAGGCGTCTCCCTCGGCGGCGCCCTCAAAAACGTCGTCGCCCTCGCCGCCGGCTGGGTCGACGGCCTCGGCTGGGGCGACAACGCCAAAGCCGCCGTGATGCGCGTGGGCATCCTCGAAGAAACCAAATTCGGCCGGACCTTCTTCTCCGAAACCTGCCGCACCGAAACCTTCACCGAGGAATCCGCCGGCGTCGCAGACATGATCACATCCTGCTCCGGCGGCCGCAACTTCCGCTGCGCGAAGATGAGCGTCAAGGAAGGGAAACCCATCGAAGAAATCGAAGAGCGCGAATTGAACGGCCAGAAACTGCAAGGTACAAGCACAGCCTACGAAGTCAACGAATTCCTGCGCAGCCAGAACCGCGAGAAGGATTTCCCGCTCTTCACGGCGGTCTACGAGATTCTGGACGGCAAGAAGAAACCGCAGGATATCCCGAGTTTGATTGAGCCGGCGAATGAGTAAGGATCCACGAAATTCTTTTTTGCCACGACGACGAAACTGCAACGACTTCTGCTGTGGCGCGGGGCGTTCTGGTGGAGTACGACATGGGGTGTGCGTGTTTTTGACTGACGTTTTTGTGTGTCTTCTATAGGGTGAGCGGAGAGGCGCAGGGGCGTCGAGTTCGCGCGCGATTATGAGAGATGAATGGTATGCGATGGGATGAATGATTGCAATAAGCGATGCGTTTGATGAGAGGCGTGTGTGTATACAATGGCGGTACCCAGGTATAAGCAGGAGGAAGGACACTAAGAAATCTGAATGTGAGTCCGACACCACCATCCTCTCAACTTTCTCACTTCAAAAGTCATGATATCGCATGGAACGAGCCTAGTAAGTCCAAGAGATCATCATTAACTATTCACAGAGACCTGGCTCGGTAGATACATGTACGCCAACTCGCAGACGGTCATCAGATCAGATCTTTTTTCAATCAAGATTTCCTCTTCCTCCACCTAAACAGCCCGTCACAGATCTTTAGAATATCATGTCTCGCGAAGAAGGATCGATTTCGTTTTCCAAAGACATCTGTTCGAATCATCAATGTCAGCGACATGCGCAAGTTCTCAGGTCCAGATCCAGTCAGGAAAGACGAGAAGAGCAGAGAGGAGATGAAGACTTACACATCAACGCCGTCAAACAACAAATCACCACCTGCACGCTCGAAATGGCCAAAAAGACGGGTTTAATCCCATTCTGACTCAACCAATCATACCCAGAAAACGTCAGTCCAAACGAAAAGATATTCTTGAACACAAGCAAACACGTGAACCCTTCAACGGCGATATCGCGATGCGCATCGACGATGTACAGGGCGGAAGCGACGGCGCCCAGGACCATACCGGCGACTTCGAAGGCGAAGAAGAAATCCGGCCAGAACCAGCCGTATTCCCACGTGTTGTTGGCCGTGATGCCGAAGCCGTACAGGCCGATGCCGCCGAGGATGAGCATGGGGATCACGAGGACCATGCGGAATTCGGGCTCGTAGATGCCGCCGTTGCGTTTGGCCATCCATTTCGGGATGCTGTCGGCCATCAGGCCGGCGAGGGCGAAGCCGACGAGGGCGCCTATGAAGGCGCCGGTGTACATGTAGCCGGTTTCGACTTCGTTGAACCAGAGGGGCGCGCCGAGCATGATGGCGGCGAGCACGATTCCTATTAGCACGGTCCAGCCGATTATGGTGCCTTGGATTAGGCAGGCCCAGAGGATGCCGGGGTGGAAGAAGAGGGGGAAGGGGCGGAGGAGGAGGACGAAGAAGGATTCGGAGGTTTTGCGGCCGTTGAAGAGGGCGAGGTTTTCGCGGGAGAACCAGGAGAAGGGGGCGTGGGTGGTTTGGGATTCGGCGCGGAGGGCGGCGGTGGTGGGTTCTTCGGTGTTGGGTTTGTCGAAGGAGGACGTTCCTGACCCTGATTTCATCTCGTGGCTCGTGGAGGGACCTTCTTCGCCCATGCGCGTCCAGGTGGTGTCGGTGTTGAAGTGGGAGTCGCGCACAAAGGTCGTTTCTGGACAGAAGAAGATGACCAGAGGCAGCATGGCGGCGCTGAAGATGGCGACGAAGTAGAAGGTCCATTGCCAACCAATCGTACTCGTCATCTTGCCGACAATCACCGGTGTGAAGAAGGCGCCGCCAAACAGACTCAAATTGCTCAATGCCATCCTCTTGCCTCGCTCATGAACGAAGTATAGATCCCCCACGCTGGCATTGACCAACGCCTCAAAAGGCGCCAACGCAACGCCCTGAAAGAACCTCGCCGCCATGAGCGATTTGAAGTTGTGGTTGCTCCCACCGCCCCATGCCGAGCTGATGACGATGAGGACCGTGCCGAAGATGTACAGATGTCGCTTTCCCCAGACTCTTGCGCTCGCGACGAAGATGAAGCCCGCGACGCCCACGCCCAGCAAGTGGTATCCGGTCAACAACGCGATGTCCGTAAAGCTTCGCCGGAAATAGAGCGTCAAGGTGAGGGTATTGGCCGCCAGGAGCGGGGAGAGCGTCGATGCGATGACAGAAAGGACGCAGAGAATGAAGCAGATGATATCGCGGCGCCAGAGCGGCCAGTTCTGTATCACCATCAGCTTTCCCTCCCTTCCGATATCTCGATCGTTAGACTGACTAGAGGATCTCGCGGGTCATCGCTCGGCTGAGGGACGAGGATCGTGCCATCTTTCGCCTTCTTGACATGCTCACCGTTCGGTGCTGCGGCCAATGGATCGAGGTCTTCGAGCGTTGCGGTTCCTGCGATCGTATGCGATTAGTGTCTCTTCGACTCGGTATTGCGGCTTCTCCTGATTACCGGGAACGTGCTGCAGCTTGCGGTCGTTCAGGACGCCCAGGCCCATGTTGTCCTACAAGCACTCAATCCAAACAGACAGAATAAGGAATAAATGGTACGATATACAAGCAACGAGGTGAAGTGTTCCTTCGGCGGGATTCCCACTTTAAAGCGCGCATCCTTCCTCCACTCTCCAGCTGCTCCCCCAACAGTCGACGACGATCTGGAGGGGCCGCTAGCTTCGATTCGCTGCAGGGACGTGTTCCCGTGGGCCAATGGTGTGCGTCCTCCGAGGCCAAGGTCCTGGCCCTTGCGTTGCCTCCGCTGGGAGCCGCTTCTTTGCTTCATCAAACTTGACAACCTATCACAACATCTTCACCAACATGTCTAAAGCGATCATGGCAGACCGTCTTGGACGCTGTTGTTGTGAGAGATGATGTCTTTCGCCGCGAGACTGGAGAGAGTCACCACCGCTCGAAAACAGACGACGACGACCGACCCAGCTGCTGAAACCACCCTGGACACAATAATCTTGCTATTTCCAACAACCTGGTGCTCCAAGCCACGTGTCGTGGGACTCAATGTACCTTGGAGATGACGATGTTGTGCGGCATCGCCGGATCGTGAAGTTCAGAGCATATGGTACTACTCGGCGGGACGGCATCGCATCTCCCACGACGAGATCATTAGGTATCCTCGTGGACGAGCGTTCAGCTGTTGTATTTACGACACCTTCGAGATCGTTGGCTCGTTTGGCGTACTCCGAGTATGGACGAGGCGGAGACAGGCCTGCCTCAGTCAAAACGAATTGCATAGAATGATCATTGTTTTTGATGGCAAATAAGAATCATCGGTTGATGTTGTCACAGATTCTAAATTATACGAATAGGCTCTTACCTTGGAGGAGGCTCTGGGTCCACGAGTGACGGTAGAGGCAATGTGTCTGGGAGTTTCGAGACATGCGTAACTATTGTGCGGTGTCGATGCTTGGAAAGTGGTCCAACAAGTATTCTACGCCGCTACGAGCGGTGAGCCGAAAATCGCATTCGCTAAAGACCATTTGACCACAAATTTGACAGTGGTATTTATACTGTCGCCGCCTCAAATCCGTGCCCACCTGCGCGAACCTGCTCCTGATCTGTCTTCAGTCATCGTAATTCATGTAAAGTCGGAAAAACATTGAACAGGCTCAGAGAGTGAGTACGGGTTTTATGCGACGGTATAATCCCACCAGCCTCTCGTATACGAACATATATATTTGGTAATCTCTGGAAGCTCGAACGCCTTTGGTCTAGCAAGGCTCAAAGATGGCAGACCTGTGGAGTTCGACCCGGCTCATCTACCGCGGCGTGGACAACGAAGACGAAGCCTTCCTCGCCGACCTCTCAGCAGACGCAGAAGCCTTTTTGAACGTTGCGCCGCTGCTTCCTGGTGATTCCAACTTTCTCGACTCGAAAAAGCTACCCGGCTAACGGGCCTCGAGTCCCTCGCAGCAAGAAGGCCATCCAAGAGTACCGCGAATATCTCCAAGAGCCCGTGTTCCTGCTCTCGGCGATTGTCTGTCTGCCACCGCCGCCGTCTGCCAGCAGCCAGGCCGACACGGCCGAAGACAAGGCCAAAGAGAAACCAAAACCAACACCCGTCGGTGTCATCACGCTGCGGGGAGAACCTCCGAGAACCTCCCACCATCGACACTGTGAGTCCTTGCCGCTAACATCCTTTCCCAAACTCACTTCCTGCAGGCGACATCGGAATCAACCTCCTCCGCGCCTACCAAGGCCAAGGCTACGGCACCGAAGCGATCCAATGGTCCTTACGATGGGGGTTCAAACGAGCGAATCTTCATCGCATGAGCATAGGCGCTTTTGCATGGAATCAAGGTGCGATTCGGTTGTATGAGAAGTTGGGCTTCGTGCATGAGGGGGTCAGGAGGGACTTCTTTTGGCACGATGGGAGGTATCAGGATGCTGTGGACTTGGCGATGCTCGAGGATGAATGGAGAACGTTGTATGATCATCCACAAGACTGATGCCATTCTTGCAGTCTCGATTCATAAAACGACGACGGACTGACAACCCCTCCAAATGTCTTGAACTCACCCCCTTACGCCTCAATCTCTCTTCGACCTCGCCAACCGATTCGCCTCCTCCAACATCTCCCAGCTAATCTTTGGGCCTGTGAATTTCTTCCTCCCAACCGCAAACCACAGCCCCAACACAATCAAAATCATCCCCACAAGCACTACACTCGTATAATTCATCGCCGCAACCGTCACCGGCAGACTCGGCGGAAAGCAAGTAATCACCGTCAGCACCGCCGTCCACACCACCGCAAACGCATTGCAGAACGTCCCGAACCACCCCAGGCTGAGATAGCGTGTTGGAAGCATTCTGGCGCGGCCCCGGACGAGCAGGATTCCTTGCGGGATGGCGTAGGAGAGGTTGAGGAAGAGGACGGCGGAGGTCATGATGGAGTTGAAAGCTGTTGTGGATGCGAGGTAGAGCAGGCCGTAGAGGCAGGCGAAGGTGAATGCCGCGAGGGTGGAGCGGACGGGGAAGTGTAGGCGGGGGGAGATGTGGGTGAAGAATTGGGGGAAGGGGGTGCCGTGCTGGTGAGGTGGGTTGGTCAGCTTGTTGATTGGGACAATGGGGGTGGTGGAGATACATACGTCTCGTGCGAATGCCCAGGCGATTCGGCCTGCTGTTACCCATTGGGCGGGGAGGCTGCCTGTTGTTTGTGAGTTGCAAGGTCACGAATGTCATCAGAGCGCTGATACTTACCCATGTACACCAGCCATAGCCAGACCATCAGAAACGTTGTGACGGCTTTGCTTCCCGTGCTGCGAACGTAGTCAGACGCCATAACAAAGAGCACAAACACGGCTTAACTCACGCTTGATAGACCAGCTCAATGGACGGCAATGGCGACGATCGAACAGCATCCAAATCCGTACTGAACAGCATCAACGGAATAAAAAGCGGCAACGTCGTCCCAAGCCCCAGCGTCATCGTCGCTATCATGACCTGCGGTACGCGACGTCCAGGATTGATAATCTCTTCGCTGATGTGGATGGCTGAAGAATTGTGTCAGCGACGAGGTATCTTCAGTGTATTGAGATTCTGCGCTTACCGCCATCAGTCCCACCATACGCATACATGCCATTGCTGATCGCCAGCAACCACGCCGCCGATGTCGACCACCCACTAACACCGAGTCTCGGCTGCGTTAAGTATGAGGCCGGCTGAGTCTCCTCGTGCATTACGCAGGTCGTGATGAGGAACATGACGCATCCGATGATGGACAGGAAGTGCGAGGAACAGGGAAAGAACTATTCAACATCGTTAGCCTGGAGATTGCGATGGGAGTATGCATCTTACTCGTCGAAGCGCAAACTGCGACATAGATGAGGTACGTCTGCCACGACGTAGGCGTCCACTCGGGATGCCAGAAGTTCGCTATGCCGCTGATTGTGATGGCGGCGAGAGACAGCCCAGAACATCTGATTTCTGTTAATGTCATGCTCAGACATGAAGAGCTGGCCATCACTCACGTCACGGTCCACCAAGCCAGGACCGATGTCCACCCAACGATATAAGCTGCAAATCTCTTGGTCTTTTCTGTGGAGAGGACGTAGACGAAGTGATACTGTCCTCCACTGCTAGGAAATGCCGACGCGAGCTCTGCGAGGCCCAGAGAGACAAACCCCTGGCAGAAGAAGGCGGCTAACAGGCCGAAGATGACCTGAATTGACAGGTCAGTCGGGGGCTCCAAGACAAGGGATAGAGCACCTACCGCAGCTGGGCCAACATAGTTGAGATTCTGTCCGAAGCAGCTCTGACGGACAGTTCAGTATCGCTTCTACGTTTATCGCGCTCGACAAGGCTTACAAGATATCCAACCCACGAGTTCGTGATCGAGAACCCCAACCCCAAAGCCGCCAGCCAACTGAACGAACGTCTCATGACAGTGTCATGGCCGTTCGCCGCAAGGACAGCAGCGTCTGCACCTTGTTGAGGGTCGAGGATATCCCCTTCCTCTAGTGTAACCACGTTGTCCAAAGTCTCGCCGTCGGACTTGGGCTTGATGGACATAGATTCAGGGGGTTCGAGGCGGGATACAGGAGCATTATTCGGTTTGGACGAGGAAGCCATCATTGTTGGGAGAAAGCTCGAACAATGATTGACAGCTGTCAACTTATGTGCGACATGATAATCGACCCCATGATGCTCCTATGTATGTGCTCGTGCATGCTACCTCGCCCTCCCTCGCTCAAGCCACGAGATAAGCCAGGACCAGGCGTTGTTACTTTGGCTATCAAGACAAGCATTGCGGAGTGCGATACGAGTGCGGAGAAGTTCCATATCGAGTATATTGACACCTATCTTGTGTTCTGGTTCTGATAGCTGGATGTATGTCCAAAAGGGCCGACTTGAATTTGGGCTGAGACTCTTTCTGCTTTGGGCAGCGGTGGCAGCTGGGCTGTCAAGCGTCCTCGAGGGCGAGATAAAATGTAGCTTAGCTGGAGATTCGGCAGAGAGGATTCGTCGACTTGCATTGCTTATCTTTGAGAACATCTCGCTTTCGAAATACCGTTTTTGTCGTTGGAATGGCGAGCCAGGAGAAAGATGAGAGCCAATTGCAGCTCGCCCGCACGCTCAAGTACATTCCCTGGTGCGAGCAGTACGAGAGGATGGTGTCCGGGATGCTGTAGGAACCCTTCCAACACACAAACCAGTAGTGCACGAAACTTATCTCTATGTTTTCTTACGCAGCTACGACTCCTTCATCCCGGAACTAGAAGCAGCCCGGTTCAAAGCCAAAGCCTTCATCCACGACTACAACCACTACTTCCCCACCGGACCAGATGCATCGTTCCAAACCCTCACAAGCAACCGTCTGGAAAAACTAAAAGGCGTCCTGGGCCACGTTGGCGCCGACGACATCTACATCGACGCTCCCTTCACCATCGACTACGGCTGCAACATCTCCATCGGCCCGCGCTTCTACGGCGCCTTCAACCTCACGATCCTCGACTGCGCGCTCGTCGACATCGGCGCGCGGGTCATGATCGGTCCGAATGTTAGCATCTTTACCGCGACACATGAGACGGAGGTGCAGAGTCGGAGGGATGATGCGGAGTTTGCGAAGCCGGTGAGGATTGGGGATGATTGTTGGATTGGAGGGGGGTCGATTATTCTTCCTGGGGTGGCGGTTGGGAAGGGGTGTACGATTGCGGCGGGGAGCATCGTTACGAGGGATGTGCCGGCTTGGAGTGTGGCGATGGGGAGTCCGGCGAAGGTGGTGAAGAAAGTTACGGCGGTGGAGTAAGTGGTTGGAGTTCTTGGTTGGTTGTTGTCATTGCTATTTTAACCAAGATAGAGTGATAGAGAGGGTCACTAGAAAGATTCACCATGAAGTGATGACCTAGGAGGGAGGTGTTTGTGGTTTCCGGGGGGGGGGGGGGGGGCACAAGAAAAAATGGTAAACAGGAAGACGTAGTACCGCCGCTGGAGCAACTTGAATGAGAAAGGGGAAGTAGGCGCATTCGAGAAGGCCGCACAAGGCAGGCCATATCAATGTTTTCTCCATCTCTCACTACTAGATCATTACGAGATACAAGCCCCTGGAAACAAACAGCGAAAAACTCCAATCCTCCGCCTCATTTGTAACACAGCCCATGTCGCTCATCATTGGAATGCATTTAAGCGTTGACTGGATGGATGTTAGAACTTGATCAGCTCACGTGGTGTCGGGGTAACTTACTAGGGATGCAAGAGACGTTGATGTTCAGGGTGCCGTCCTGGTTCGTTGGGCAGCAGAAGGTGTTGCCAGCTGGGCACTGGTTGTCGAGAGCTGGGGGTTACCGTTAGCATTGTCGATTGGATCAAGATCAGCTGAGAATACATACCGGACAAGAGGGAGACTTGGTCGAGCAAGCAGCTGCCACCGAGGACATTGCCCAGGGTACCGCTGTCGCCGCTGTTGGTGACGCAGCAGGAGATCTCGGAGCCCTTTGCGCAGGTGCCGCTGCCGGAGCTGGAGGAGCCCGACTCAGTTGGCAGGGCGAGGGCGGTGGCAGCGGCGGCCAAGATGGTGACGATGGTGAACTGCATTTTGAAGCGAGTGGTTTGGTTGTTGGAAGAAGCGAGTGGTTTGGTTGTTGGAAGAAGCGAGTGGATGTTTGTGGAATTGGAAGCTGATGAGGATTGGAATAGCAGGACGAGATGCTCTTACTTATACCAATCCATCGACTCCTTTGTCAAGAGGGAGGTCTCATGGTAAACTCCAAATTTACCATCAACAGACTTCGTTGTCTGGTTGAACATGTTGCCAGGCTGAGATCCTGTGGTATTGCTCATGTTGATAGACAAAGACTCACTCGTGTCTTTGGTGAAGCAATAGAAAAACGGCCCCCGAAGTTTGATCAAGGCCATGTGCGGATCCTGCTCTTGTATATGCCATGCGAGATCTAGTAGCGCGTTACTCGCCCAGAGATTCGGACGCGAATGGAGGCCGATCGGCCGGCTGCAGGCCTGATTCAGCAGCGTACCATCGGTAGTCTTGAAGGAACACGTGCAGCACGACTCGTTCTTCGGTTCATCGACGCACTGCAGAATCGTGATCTGTAGTGTATGATCTGGATGAGGCGCAAATTGAATCTCAAGTTCCAGACAGCAAGACGGGCCAAGTGAACATGTTTTATCGGCTCTCAGTCCTCACCAATGACAATGCTGTGGCACTCATAGCAACGATGACAATCTAAATTTGAATACATTGCTGTGATTTCGCATGTCTACTCTTCCAACGAGGTTGCTGGGTGCACATAATAATTCAGTAAGACAGACCAGGCTGTGGACGTGGGCCTCGGTATAAACAGCACCGAGAATTTAGACTCCACGCCAAACCCGCCTCGACCGCACCTCATCTCGAAAGGAGACCGCACACGTCCATCGTCAGCTATCTGAGCATTGGACACGATGTCCACTCGACATGATTCTCCGGCGTTATGGGCCCTACGCGGTTTTCGCCGTTCTGGTCGTTGTGTTGTTCTATGGCTATACTACTAGAGAGCTGCAGCCGCTGGCAGCAGAAGCAGGACAACAGACAACCAATGCCCACGCGTGTGTGGTATCGCCAAGGACCCCTTTGAAGATTGTGCCCACTGGCGATTCCATCACGGAGGGCGAGGGCAGTAGCGATTACAATGGCTATCGACTGTTCCTCTATCAGCACCTCATGGAAGACTGTGCCGATAGGAGCGTGGAGTTTGTTGGTGAGAGATGTATCCTTAATGGAAGAGTCCTACCATCCTTGTTAACACCGCGAAGGGACACGACGCTCGGGACTCTCTCCTGACCCCAGCATCAAAGGTCTGGAGGAGACGGAAGGCTACAGCGGCTGGGACATTGAGCGTCTGCTCAATTTCAGCATGGACCCAATCGCCCAGACTCTTCAGCGCGAGCCCAACGTTATGCTTCTACACATCGGTGCGTGACGAAGATCAGCTGAAACCTGCGTGTATGAAAGCTGACCATGGTGACAGGAACCAACAATGTCGCCCCGCTCCCACTGCGCCCTCCCGACATCGTCGAGCCAGCACAATCGCCAGAGAAGCTCGAGCAGCTAATCGACGAAATCCTCCAACTCGCCCCCTCCATCGTCCTCATCGTCGCTCAAATCATCACCTCGCCGAACTTCGGCTGGAAAGACAACACGCCCATATTCAACGCTCCAATACCGGACATGGTGGACAGGAAGAAGGCGAAAGGATATAAGATATTGACGGTGAACATGAGTTCTGTGGGCACAGAGTGTGTCCGAGATTTTGATAATTCGCCTGTGGATTGCGAGGACATGAATGGTGATGGACTGCATCCTAAAGATGAAGGGTACCGGAAGATGGCGAGGTTCTGGTATGAGGCTTTAGTGGAGGCGACGAAGAAAGGGTATTTCGAGCCGTCCCATTGACAGCATAACAAGTCGTCAGTCCTGGGGAGCTCTCATTGAAAGATGACCAATCTACTCTTGGATGACCGCAGCCTCATGTGGATTCTGGACACCGTTGGAGGTCAGACGCCAAGGGTGAATGCAACCACAGTCTTCTAGGAGGCTTTAGAGAATTCCGACGTCACATCACACTGACTGCCAACGAGCGAATCCCAACACATTTCGTGCACTCACCGAAAGCAAAATGTGTGTTTCTGCAATGTCAACACAATATCGGAGGAGGTCCGTGCGGTCAGGCTGGACACATGTCACGCCACATCTCTTCGCAACCTTGCCGCTCTCTCCCCCTGCAACGGAGAGCCTTCTACAGACATTTCAGAATTCAGTCTTTAGTCGCGTCCCCTTGACGTGGTGCACGGTTTGTGTGTTTCTATTCACCTTCAAGGGAGACTTTCCCTCGAGGTAGATGATTTACTGCATCACCACAAAGAACCTGATATTGCTACAGACCCAGACCAATGCTTCAAACATCAGCAGCCTCATCCGCCTCACGAGATCTTCACCGTCACCTTGCCGAAATGCTTTCCGGCCCACATATACTCATACGCATTTTTGAGATCACTCAGCTCAAACTCAGCGGGATCAACTTTCGGCTTGATGCCATTCGCGTCAATGAAATCATTCGTCTCGACGATCTCCTCTTTGCTTCCAACCATGGTTCCTCGCACGATGCATGACCTTAATAATATATCCATGATTGAAGGACTGTTGGCGAACCCGCTGGCGAAACCGATCAGGCTGATCACGCCGGCTGGAGCGATGGCTTCTAATGCCTGCGCAAGAGTACCTGCACCGCCAATCTCTAGGAGATGTTGGACACCTTCGCCGGAGATTTTCTTAGCCTCTTCGCCCCAAGTCGAACATTCTTTGTAGTTGATGACGTGGTCTGCGCCCTGCTCGCGGAGGAGTTGACATTTAGCCTCGCTGGATGAAGTGGCGATGACTTGAGCGCCCACTGCTTTGGCGAACTAATGCTCGTTAGACATACAGAGACGATGGTCAAGAACAGCAACTTCGCATACCTGCAAACCAAACAGACTGACTCCTCCCGTTCCCTGGATTAGCACCCAGTCTCCAGGCTTCAATTTTCTCCCACCCAGGGCGAAGAATGCGTTCCACGCCGTGGACGCCGCAGTTGTGAGGGTGCTAGCTTGCTCGAAATCGAGACTCTGCGGCATCCTGATGAGCGCGTTCTCATCCATGGTGCTGTACTCCTGCAGTGGCCCATCGACCGCACTACCGAGAATCGTGGGTATCATATGCGGCTTAAAAGGACCAGTTTGATATGATAAAGCCGACAGGCTAATGACTCGATCACCAGGCTTGAACAACGTGACTTGCTCGCCGCATGAGATCACTTCCCCGGCTGCATCAGAGCCGGCAACGACACCAGGCGTGATTGGGAAAGGGTATTGGCCCTGTTGCTCTAGTCACTTGGCCGTCACATCAAGAGACAGCGGCTCGCACGTACCAGAGGAATTATCAAGTCACGATAGTTGAGCGACGCATATCTCCACTTGACAAGAACATCTTTCTGTCCCAAAACCGGCGATTTCCTCTCTGTGAGGACCAGGTCGTCCCAGCCTTTCGTGCCGGTCACTCTCCAGGCTTTAAATGTATCCGCTGACATGTTACTTGCGTAGGGGAGACGTCTTGGGCTTCAAGAACAATTTGCAGCATGCATATCGATCTCAAGGGCGGTATTCGTTGCTCCCAGTGGTTTATAAGCCGTGTTGTTTGCATAAATATATGCAAAGCATACAGCAGCTGATGGCTGACTAACTAAAGCAAGACGAGAGGAGTTGAAAGAAACACGCACACAGAGGCGAAGAGCTGACGAATCTTTGGCGAAAGTATCAGGCTGAGGACGAAGAGGCGTTCAATCTAGACTCAACATAGCAGTCAAAGAAGGAGAGCGGTCAGAGGGACGAGGCCAGCACAGTACCGACAACGCTGGCTGATAAAACGAACTAGTCTCTCGACACAAGGCTGCGAGGCTCCTCACACAATCATTTCTGACGGCTACCATGCACAATCGAGAAGCACTAAAAGCATGTACGACGCTCGACAGATGTATGTACAACTATGGCATCTTGGAAGTACCGCCAACGCCAGCCAGTATGACCTCTTGCCAACGTCTATACAGTCTCGCTCTTTCTCCATCTTTACATGAGCATCAACACGAGTAGAATCACCATAAGGCCGCCTTGAGAAGGGCTCTGGTTGACCCGGAGCGCGGCTGTGTTGGCGCTCGCGCTGGTGGACGTTGACGGTGCAGATGTGCTACTTCCAGTAGCTGTAGCCAGCGTACCCGACTGCGTAGCAGGCGCCCCACCACCAGTAGGAACAGCACTCAGAGTACTCGTCATCTGAGGTGAGCCATTGACGATGCGAAAGAAGCTGGCCCCAACCGGCGCGCTCAGCCCTGCCGCTTGCTGGAAATCCGCCATCACAAAGCCGATCCTGTCCCGTGTCTGCGCCGGTGGGTTGATAGAGGAGTAGGGACTCGGGATGGCCCAGTTTGAGGGTTGTTGGTATAAGAGAATAACGTACTCGTGGGCGTAGTTATCCGTTGGCGGGTCTGGTGCTCTGTAACTCGCTCCTGCAGAGCTGGAGGCACCGCTGGCTGTTGCATCGACTGTCAAGTTGCCGGTGGTGTCTGCTACGAGGTTTGGCTGTAGCAAATGCAGGTATGATCCCGAAGCGCTTGTCGGGTCGACTATGAAGGCGACGTAGTTCTGGTTCGATGAGTTCGATAGGGCGAGGGAGGGAGAGTCCACGACGTCTTGAACACTGTTAGGGCTATTTAGGAACTCGATCTTGGTATAGTCTACGAACCATTTGCGGAGACAAGCTTTCCTGGAGAAAGGGTGATGTTTCCAGGATTGAGAACTACGCTCAGGGGGTTGGGAGACACAACTGAGAAGTTGCTCGGTGTTTGTGCGTGAACCAATGCCAATGCAGCAAAGGCAGCAAAGCTCTCGATGAATTTCATGTCGTTGAAGTACGGTGAAACAAGCTGCTGCGCCCTAGAAAGGATGAGTCTGAAAGGGTGCGATCGTTGTAAAAAGCTTTTCTATGCGTGACTGAACCACCCCAAGCCTCGGCGACGCCATGTGACGGAAACAGGGGCATTATATGCATTTGGTGAAAGTTGTGAAGCCAAGAAGCCACAGCGTGTTGTGCGTTTTCTGTGTGTATCTGCAAGGTACTATCTCCGCTTCACATGAAGCGGAAACCAATATGGTGGATTTTCCGAGCCTCGCACGCGGCTGTGTCCCTAGCTGAATAACACACCCCCATCGACGTCTCTGTCTCGCGCAACACTTCCGTCCGATGACAAACACAAAGAGCATCGGACTCTCCTGAAGATTCTGCGCCTCCACGACATCCTCCTCACGCTTCGTAAACCACCGCATCAGCCATCATCTCCACGTGCATCCCCTCTTGAGCCAAACTCCCGACCCCAACCGTAACCATCGTAGGCCTATGGTCCGGAAACCTCTCTCTCCAGACCTCCAGAACCAGAGGATCATACTTCACATCCAGCAGATAGACCGAGATCTTGTATGCCTTGGCAAGACCTTCTTCGGCTCCAGCAGCCTGCAGGGCGGCATGGACGCAGTCGAAACAGGCGCTGATTTCGTCCCGGACGGATGAAGTGACGAGTTTGCCGGTTTGCAGATCAAAACCTGGCTGGCCGGAGGTTGTGATGAAGGTCGCTCCTTGGAGAGGGATCTTGACACTGTTGGAGACGCCGAAGGTGGAGAAGAGTGAGCCCATGGGGCCTTTTGTTAGGTGGTAAGTAGGTGCGGTCATCTTGACTGTCAGCTTGGAGCAATGTTAAGTGTAAAGCCTCTGCGAGGAGGAAGCCCTTATATGGACTGTTAACGGTTCAGAAAGAGGGCTTTACTACAAGAGGCAGAAGAAGCAGCGTCCGACTCCCTATTGACATTTGAGCCTTGCGGCGCTGGAGCCATTCTGATGATCTCAGTCTCAATAGAATGACTTCATTCTCTCGGCATTTTAGAAGCGTGCCTGCGTACTGTTCGCAACATTCGCTCCCTGAATTCCAACCTCCTCCATGACAGTATCAGCAGCCTGGCCGCCCTGCTCCATCGCACCTTCGATGAACGCTCTCCATCCAGAAGCCCAATCTGCATTAGCCATCAACACATTACCGTGCCGTTTCTGAAGCTCTGGCAAGTACTTAGTGAGATATCCAGCACGATACCACGCTGGGCCGCACATCGAGTACGGGTCAGAGATCCAGTCGTGAAAAATAACTCTCTTGATATCCATTGGGTGGAAACGCTTGAGTGCGGTCTCGAGCTTCTCGGGCTCCTTGATCGGGTCAAGCTTGCCACGGTTATCACCAGCAAATGAGGTGATGCGAGTTGTCTTGCCACCGGCACAGAAGCCGTCTCCGTAGATGTAGAGGAAGTCGCCAGGCCAGGTGCATCCTCGCAAGCCTCGAAGGTCACCTTCGACTTCGGCGTGGATTTTGGTGAGGTAGTTCAGCTGCCCGATGTTGATGGCTTCTTGTCGCAGAGGTGAGAGTAGAGGATCGAAGTGGATGGTCGGCAGCACGGCAAGTGGTATGGTGTTGACGACGCGGTTCGCGCGATATGTGTTGCCATTTTCAGTTGTTACGAACACGATGCAGTCCTTCTCAACGAAAGATTTGATCGGGGTCTTAAAGGAATACTGTAGACCAAGTCTCACTGCATCATCAAATATCCTTCGTGCAAGTGTCGATTGGCCCTCACGGATCTTGTACAGGGTCCAAATGTCTTCGAAGGTCTCTGGGCTGTACCCTTGAAGTGCTTGTGCGCGCAGCATCTCGAGGAATCCCATATCCTCAACTGAGCCGCCACCGCAATGCGGGACTAGCGATTCAATTAAGGCCATCTCGTCAGCAGTCAATTTATCTTTGACTTGGTTCAATCGATCTCGACAACTCAGTTGGTCCACAGCCTTGACTTCCTCGGGCGAGACACGTAGATTTCCGAGAGAAGAGAATGGGAGAGGGCAAATATCTCGGCCCTCATTGCCGTCAATGCTGATGAAGATCTTCCATGCTCTGGCCGTCATCTCACCGGCCTCTTCCAGCGACAGCTTTCGTGTTCCGGAGCCAGTATCCAAAGTGAAGTAAGAGCAGCCGCCGCCTGGAGTTCGAGTCATCGTGACATCGTCTTTGAGTCCATATCGCTGCAGCTCGGCAAACAATCTGCCATGCACATGTGAAATCCAAGTACCGCCCATCTCGAAGGTTGTGCCATCAATCTCGGCGCTCCAGGTCCGGCCACCAACTCGATCGCGCGCTTCCAGCAGTAGTGTCTTCTTACCTGTACAGAGTTAGCGTTTGCGTACAATCAATTAGACCCGAAGCCTCTCTCCAATGCTATCGTTCGCAACAATTCCTAAGCCCTGGATCTTCAAGGGGATGCGGTTGCCGCTCCATTGACGTGTGTCCTCCTAAGGGTAACAGTTTCTATAGGGAATTGCGAACTCACCAGCTTTGACGAGATCTCGAGCAGCTATCAACCCGGCATAGCCCGCACCAACCACGATCGCGTCCCAGACATCGCCATCATTAGCTTGCTGGATTTTACTCTCGGGCTCTATCACAGCATAGGTGTGCAGGCCGCCGACAAGACCGTTTGACTTGGTGTAAATGTAGCCATCGTGCGAGAGACCAGCTTTGTACGACGTCATGTTGAAAGATAAAGGGGCCGAATCTTCGTAGTGATTGTTTGGTCCTCCTGAAGCAAAGCAAGCCGTCTTAATAAACTGTAGTCTAGACCAAGATCAGCTGCCGAGAGCATTGGGGTCGAACGACCAGTCAGCTGAGCTGAGAGTATTTCTCCTTCGAGCAAGACTCCCCTCGAAGCTCATGCGGGCCTTCTCCACCAGACCACAAACCTACAACCTGCTTGGCATGGAGTCCGTTGGCAAACTCTTGGCAATCATGTGTTGCCCGCCCCCTCCTAACGGCCACTGGAGCCATTTTGGGAAGGAGTCGACCCGTCCATCTTTCGAACTGGATTTGGAAGCTCTTCCCTTTCGAATTGCGCAATTGATACGCCTGTATATAGGCGGCAAATATCCAAGTAGAGGTCTGCTGTCCCGTGGAAGCATTAACGGTTTTCAAGATGAACGGCAGCCAGAATGGAACTCAGCAGAATGGTTCTGTTCAAGCACCCTCGTTTGCTGCAAACTTGCAAGGCAAAACAGCCATCGTCACTGGTTCTTCGCGGTGAGTGTGTTGCGGAAAGACTTTTAGAACTCACGCTGACGACAGTCCAGGGGAATAGGGGCTGGCATTGCAGCAGAGCTAGGCCGCCGAGGTGCCAATGTAGTTTTGAACTATGTGACAGACAGAGGAGCGCAAGCTGTCGATGAGTTGATTGCCGCCATCAAATCCGCGGGAGGGAACGCAGTCGCCGTCAAGGGAAGCGTATCGGAGAAGCACGTCCGCAACAACCTCATCAAAGCAGCGGTCGAGTTGAGTCCAAGCAGTCATATCGACATTCTGGTGCACAATGCCGGCAATGGAGACGACAGATATCTGGTCGACCTTGATGAGGAATTTTTCGATATGCAAGTTGGCATTAATCTCAAAGGTGAGGAACATGAGATCGACTCCTCTGCCCGTTGAAAGTGGGCAGTCTAGAATGTCAGCTAAATCATTACTCAGCGCCGGTGTTCTTGACCCAGGCAGCATTGGATCATATGCCCTGCGGCTCTCGAATCGTGATCATCTCGTCTTGTTCGGCGCGAATGGGAGTGCCACAGCAGACGGTCTACGCAGCAAGTAAAGTCGGAACAGAAGCGCTGGCCAGGTATCTCTCTCCCTTCGTCCCAAGTCGATTATGATTCCTGTGCTGATGAACATGTAGAGTCTGGGCGACAGAGCTCGGCCAGAGCAGAGGCATTACAGTCAACTGCGTGAATCCCGGCCCCGTTGCAACGGACATGTATTACGAATCAACGCAAGAGTTCATTGATTCCATGAAGCCTCTGGTAGAAAGCACACCGGCCGAGGCACGAATGGGCGAGGTTCGAGACATCGTACCGTTGGTCAGCTTTCTCTGCTCAGAAGAGAGTCGCTGGGTGACGGGGAGTGTTGTGAGTGGAAGTGGTGGTTTGTTGTTCTTCTGATGGAGATTGTGTGAAAAGGAGAAGCTGGAAGCTTCGGTACCAGCGTCGCCATCTTGTGATTCGAGCTCGTTCACATGCGGCCCGAGTCGGCCCGACAACGACACCATGAGTATACTTGACGACAGTCTTTCTACGTCGATACCACGTCTCGCAATGTTCGACTTGACATACAAGAATGTCAATTCTGACGCACACCTGTCACGACCCCATCTCGATTGAATTAGTACCTAGTTACGGAGTTGTGTAGTTGCCAAGAAAGACTATCCTTGATCCGAGCAGGCGGGGGCGATGTCTCTTCTCGGTAGTACTTCCAGCCAGATTGTGCTGCTCTATGTCCTTCCTCTTTCCAACCCCTCTCACTCCTTTCAACAGGTAACCAGTAGGCAATCTAACACGATGCGAATCCAACCTCAGAAAGGCGCTCGGCTAGGTCAGTACTACCGCATCCGAATTACGCAAAACGGCAGCTCACCTCGAACTCACAGATCCCGCCTGTGGCACCTGCAGAAGACGATGCCGCAAGTGCGACCGTGCTCGCCCATCCTGCGGACAATGTGTGTCGAAAGGCGTCGACTGTGAAGGGTCTGTATTTGCCTAGACCGATGCAAAGGTTTTGCTTATCTAACACAAATTGGCCTAAACAGCTACCCGGCTCGATATCAGTTTCTCCCCTACAGCGCTGCGACTTCAAGTCACCGACGGCAGCGGACTCAGCAGAAGGATCGTGCTGAAAAGCAAACCTCTGCGCCTCCGGCAGAGCAAGAGCAGGAGGGGGACACTACTACTACTGTGCAAGATGCGTCCACACCCATCGTTACTGAAACTGCACTCCAAGAATATACCTTTCCTGCCGTGCCCCTTGCTCCACCAGCTCAAGCGTCACCACTTTCCATCGTGACGTGCTCCTCGGATGTGAGCCCAGCATCGTCGAGTGTCTATGGTCTGGCGGATCTGAACGATGCTCTGGCTTCTGTATGGGTTCAAGAGATGCTACTGTATTGTAAGATATGCCTTCCACGACAGCAATTACTTCATTTGACCTGACATCCAACTTGATAGTTGACACCGACATATCGAAGCATCTGGTGATCTCAGTCGATGCCATGAATAACCCGTTCAGCACGCTGCTGCTGCCACTCGCCTATCAACATTTCGGCGTTCTTCAAGCACTTCTCGGTTTGGCGCTGTGTCACTCTGAGAAAGGACGCAATCACTCAAAGTACGGCGCAATGCCCCTTGCCCTCGAACTCAAGCTCTCTGCCATACATTCACTATCAGAATTGTTACAACGAGAACAGGGCCCTGGTCTCTCTGGGGAGGAGGAAGAGGTTGCGATGGCTATGGCGTTGTTGCTGATACTACATGATGTAAGACCGTCGACAACTCGATCAGAGATGGAGGCTCTAACGGTTACTAGATCACTGAGTCGGGTATCTCAACACATGGAGCACATCTCAACGGTGTGACATCGTTCTGCTCGAGATCCATCGAGAACCCCAACGCTACAAAATCACCGTTGAAGGCGTTGATGTTGACCGCTTTTGCTTGGTACGATAATTTTCATATCAGTTCGGAGAAGGCAAACACTGAATCAACACAGGCTCGACATCCTCCGAGGCTTCAGCGGTTCAGATAAACTCGCCTTCTCCAACGATGTCCGCCAAAAGATCCTCGACAACCGTGAATTCACATTCGAGATCTTCTCCGGTTGCCCCTCGGTACTCTGCCGCCGCATCGGCAAAGTCCTCTCTGCCGGCAAGATGTACCTCGAAAATGAGATTTCCCTCCAGGAATTTGAGGTCTTGCTGGGACAAGCTGAGACGTTCTTCCGGGCGTGGTCTCCCGATGATGAAGCGTACCCGGGCGCTGACCAGGCTTGGAGGTTGCTGGCTAATGCTTATCGACATGCGTGTCTGTTGAGGGTGATGCGATTCCCGCAGCCCCTGAACTCCGTCACGCCTGATCATCCATCTGTCGTCGAATCTGTCGAAGCGATTCTAGATGTCTGCGCTGAGTTGCAGCGACATGATGCTAAGTTTCATAAGCGACTGCTGTTTCCCCTGTTCATGGCCGGTGCTGAGACCTTCTCACCACACCTGCAAGATTATGTCAGTCTTCGGGTAGCTGCTATTTATTCGGTCACTGGGTTTCAACGGGAGGCTATGTCCTCGATCTTACAACAAGTGTGGCAGGAGAGGGTAGAAAACACAAAGGGATGGCATAACGTCCCGTGGATGGAATACGTATGGTTTACAATCCCCGCTCCATTTTTGTGCTAAACTAACATTTGTGCTCACACAGACCTGTTCTACCACCTTACATCGCCAACATGACTACCTATTCCTCTGAGCCGCCGATATGATCAAAGATGGCACTTCGCTTCTTTCTGTCCCGCACTAGAGCGGACTTCCTGGTGCAGCGTCGACCGATTCAGCGCTTGACTTGAGCGCGGAACATCGTTTGATGGGTTGCTTTCGAAGAAGCTCGTCGGCTTGAGCGTCACCGTCATCTTCTCGTTCGGCATGACAGGGAAGTCTTCTGGACGAGTGACGTGGGTTATGCCGAAACTGTGCCAGAGTACGCAGTCTGTCTTTGCGGTGCCTTCTTTGCGAGCCGCTGTTCCTTGGTCAGCACAATCATACTCATGGTGACGATTCCTCTGGTAGTACTCACCAAACTTTGCAAGGCCGGTATCCTCACGGCTCTGGTTCGTGAACTCTCCAGCGGCATAGAGTTCACCGTCTCGGTACTTGGTAACCCAGATGGGCTTCGACGCGAACAACCCTCTTCGAAGATTGAACGTCTCAGGCCCCATCATCATCATCTGGCTCGGCACAGCATGTAACTTGTATCCAACCGGTTTTCCGGAGATTGCGTTGACAGAACTGGGGTTAATGACCTTGAAAGTCCTCGAAGAACTGAGGTCGAGGTCATATCCGCCAGGCTGATCAATCACGGTGCTCTTGACGCGGAAAGCACAACCGAATGGATCGAGCTCCGGCTCGTTGCGAACTGGGACACAGTCGTCGTACTGGATGCTGTTGGGACCGTTGTCGAGGTTGGGATCTACTCTCACACAGAAGAGGTGTTGGTGGTTGACGGCAAGGACGCCTGGCGCTACTGTCGTGCCCCATTCAGAGTGTACACCCGGTCGAATCGGCATCGTCGACACTATCCCCGTCGCCTTCAGCTCGATGTGCAAGTTTGCTGCCTGATCAAGGACGAAAGCGACGATGTACTCGTAGTTCGCGACTGTTGCCGTGCTTTGGATCACGAGTTGGCGGTCTCGAACCATGGACGCTTGGCCATTGCGGACGTTGGTATGTTTCCAGCCAATTCCTTGGTCGACCTCATGCATGCAGACGACGTTGGGCATGTGGACGGGCTCTCCTTCGCCAGTCACACGGATGCCATCGAAGTATGCGATATGGCCCAAACAGTCGCAGCCCAAGGCAAGAGTGTTGGACGTCAACCCAAACCCGGAGTCGCCCAAATCGAATGCCTGCTTGCGATGGTATGGTGATCTAGGATCTCCGTACGGAACCGTCATTTCGCTCAAAGAGACTCTGTAGAACAATGACCGGCCATCGTATCGCACGTCATTCAGAACAGGTCCCTCTCGAATCGTCCATCCTAGCTGGAAAGTCCACTTCTGCCAGGAGATGCAGCGGCCTTGGATGTTGAAGGATGGCCCTTCGGGTTGGGTGATGACGAGTGGCTTGAGGTCATTGCGGAAGTACGTCTTCTCCAGTAGCCGCTCGCTATACTCGACGGGCTCCTTCGGAGTCCATGGCTGCGTCTCGGCGTCGATTTCCTTCCCCTCGCCTTCTGGGAGGCGCTCGAAGTTGACGAGTTCGAGAGTGTGGGCATCGAATATCGGCGCGAAGGGCAGGGGGAGTGAGTAGTGGTTGGCTTCCGGATCGTCGTTGAGAATAGCATACATGTAACACTGGAACAATCGTCGGCGTTCGTTGGCATCGTCGGTGCCGTATGCCCAGGGATCGTTGACGACTTTGGCTCTACAAGAGATTCTATCAGCGCATACAAAGGACAGAATGCTGGTAAAAGACTCACCCAGCTGGAAGCTTAAGTTTCTCAACCTCCTTCTTCACCAAAGGATGGTCATTACACGCCTCCTCGACCTGAGCAAACTCTACCCAGTCCACAGGCCCTTGTACATCCGGAATCCCCTCATCTTCCTCAACCTTCGCAACGGTCACATTCACAATCGCTTTCCGAAGAACCTGCGATGGCTTCTTGTGATAGTATATCCTCGCCTTGCGATGGATTCGGATATCGGAAGCAGATACATGGAAGTACTGGAGGACTTGAGCTTTAGGGGGTTCGAATAGATCGATCACTTTGAATCTTATGTCTGTGCTTGAGGTGATTTGGAGGTGTTTGCGGAGAGCGCTGGCGGCTTGCCGCACTTCTTGTGGTGACAGGGGCTCCAGTGGGTGAGGCATGGTTGGTAGATTGTTGTTGTGAATGATGAGAGTGATCTCTTGAAGGAACGTATTATGAAGCTATTGCTGTTTTGTATACGTGAAGTCAATACGGCGTTCGGCATTGGCACTCTGGAGATATAGCGAGTCATCTCATGGTATGCTAGTGGCGAGTCTTTCTCGAAGAGGAAGGTTCTCCAGCCGCTGTCACATGCTCACACTGGGAGACTGATGCATCTCGCCACCTGGGCCGGAGTTGTTCAAATGCGTCTACGGCGTCAAACGTCAATCAGGCTCGTTCGGCGGTCACTCTGTCCGAAAGAGGAGATTCCAAGAACATGTGTCGCCGCTTTCCTCAAGAAACATCGATTGCTTTTCATTCTGCATATGGTAGCCGCAACAATCAGCACAATATCCAATCACGCACCGACATCAACCGCTCCATCCACATCCTCTCCAACCCCTTCTGCTTACCCAAAGCCTCTCTCTAGTTCCAAATCACATGAATCAACGGATGCGTCGTCGTAATATGACTACTATTCGCAGCATCCTTATCATTCTTCGAGAACGTCAAATAGATGTCATTCCCGCCACCATTGCTACTCGTCAAACCCGGATGTGCTTGCTGGCTATAAGCACCCAGACTCGCATTGCCGTTCGTCCCGTTGTAGAACAAGATCGGGCTCGTCCAGGGTCCTTCGGGAATCGGCGCGGTGGCGACGTAGAATCCGGAGCCGATGTTGATTGAGTCGGCGCCCAGCCACATGTAGGAGCTGAAGTACGACGAGTAGTAGAATGTTCCTTGGCCATTGGTGCCGGCGTTGGCGATGCGGGCTGAGGTGCTGGTTAGGGAGGGGGCGGTGGAGGACCAGCCGCCATTGTTGTAGTAGGAGTATTGGGACTTATCCTCGATGGAGTTGATGGGAACGCGAGCGAGGGCTGCCCCGAGGTTGGCGGTGCCGTTGTTGAGCTGACCGTAGAGATAGGCGGTTTTACCGTCAGGGGAGATTGCCCATCTGCGTTTCGAGTTAGCGCTGTGGTCTTCCAATGTTTGTCTGACCTACTCACCCGTAAGAACCATAAGGAATGGATTGCGCAGGCCAGAAGTTCTCGTTCACAAGTGTCACTGGCGGAAGCGTCTTGCTTACGCCTTGATTCGCTGGGTTGTAATCACTTCGATACAGACTGGTAGCCGGATTCTTGGTAATGGGTGAGAGGTCATTGTTGAGGTACGATTTGATGATCCATGTGTACAACTTGACAGCATTGTTTGACCCAGCCACAGGCAAGGGTGGTGAATCAGGCCAGATCGCATAGCGTGTACCGTTCATACAGTTGCCCGAGTTTGATCCAGCTTGACACTCATCGGGTTGGTTCTTGAAGTACTCTCCATTGTCGTCTCCATAGAGGTAGAGTTGCCCATTCGTGATCAGGGGACCATTGTTGAAGTCACTCCAGGAGGCAGTCGATGAGTAGAACTGCCCGCCCTGGCCGGCGCTGTCGCGACAAGTCCAGAATTCGCGATACTGGACGCGGACTGATGTGCACGAGTCCCGGTTCCAGTATGGATAAGAGGCGGTTGCCACCTGGCTTGCGGCTGAGAGAACTGGTGTTACTGCGCGTTTGTTGATGGACTTGTCGGGCGTAGCGCCTGTCGGCGAGGCCTGAGCGCACTGGAGCAGCGCAAGGGACGAGAGCAACGATGCAAATGTAGGAAACATCGTGAAAAGCCTTGAAGGAGTTGCACTTGCGTTGATGCTGAGCGCCAAGCGACCACCCAGCAGAATCATTTACCTTCTTATATGTTCTCTCGACCATCTCCGCTGCTCTACTTCCCTGTACCGGCGTCTTGAACATTAGCAGGTGTTGTGGAATTCCCATCTCCAGAGCTCGTGCCGTGTGGAGAGTCAAGCAGCTAAAGATGCACAGGACATGCTGGTGTCTGTTTAGAGAATGCTTTCTTGTCTCTTGGTATCCTGTTCCGATATAGCAAACGAAGCCAGCCGTCTCCAGAGCCCACATACCGTGAGGCTTGAACCTTGAGAGGGCGCTTAGTTGGCGGTATAGTGAACTATCTGCAAGTTTGCCTAGGTGACAGCCAAAGACATGAACGCTGCCATCGGAACGCCCACGGTTGGAGGGAGCGTTGGTTGATCTGAAGAAGATAGCGTGATGCATGGAGGTTGTCTCGTGCTCGATTATTCAGCGACTAATGCACAAACCGGTGATCGACAAAGCCCAATTCGGCTTCAAGAGCAGGTGTATGGACTTCGAGTGCCTCTTAATATTGAAAGGATTTACCTCCACATGACAGAGCCGAAGGATTGAACGGCAGGAAGTAAGCCTATTGATAAGTTTTTAAGCCTGAAGCTGTTTCCCGAAGAACTTTTGGGAGGCTACCATGTTACCTCGGAGTGTAATCTCGTTGGCTTCAAGCACTGCACTATCCTCATGTCCATAACCGAACCAGAGTTGGCGTCTTAACTGTAGACATTTGCGCAGCCAGGTTTCCTCACGTATTCGTGGGCAAATCTTGAGCGGAGTCGTGACTGGTGCCGTCTGTCTCCTCGGTCCCCGATAATTTGAAGCACTTTATGGAGCTCGATATTCCAGGATTTCCAAACGTGGTCCAGAAGCCTGCATAATAGCTTAACAGCTTGGCCCTGGGAAGCCACTTCTTCGCTGCAATCTCAGATGCAGCCAAGGGTTGAAGGAGACCGTGGTTTAGAACCGAGTCGTCGACGTGGTTCTTCCCGCTGTGAAATTCCTCTAAGGTCGTGCCAGCCTCTGACCCTGCAGCTGTGTCCGCTTGTTTGCACACCACTATCCGTGCATTGGGATGAAGACTATGAATGGCTTGTGTCTTCGCTAGACTCGTGGAGTGATCCTCGCAACAACGGAGAGGACGAGAGAGATGTTTCTTGTCGAGCCGGGCCTTACGTTCGCGGGATGGATCGTGTCTCTTCCACTGGTCAATGACACCGGCGAGGAGAGTGCGCTTATTTCAATGAGTCCCTATACTGTCAGTGACATGCTGGTGAGTATGCTTGGGCAAATTTCGTCGTGCCCAAAATTCGCAACACGTCCTCTCGAGCCGCCAAGTTCGTCCATAGTATTGCTGCTTGGGAAAGGTCTGTGACGATCTGGCTTCAGAGCACCCAACACAGAGTCTATAATAAATCGGTCTAGCTCGCTATCCAATCGAAGCAACATGTTACTGAACATGCAGCCGACGTGTAAATATAGTTCCGGGGCAATTCGCGAGCAGTAAGTACACGCGCTCCGGTCCTGTTAACGTGGAATGTGTGTACGGTTTTAGCTGGTTCGGATGGCCGTCAGGGCGACCCCAAGACCCACGAGCGGTAGGACAGAACGTCTATCGGGTACTCCCCACCTCAGTTCCTGTCGAGAATGACACCAAACAGTGGACAATCGCATGGAGCGGAATTCAAGACGTGTTGTTGAGAAGGAAGCACACGACATCACCGCACAGACCCCCATCGGCCCGGTTGCCCGTAGACCTTCTTTCACTCCCCTCAAGCTCCAACACCAGCACTACGAAACGTCCCACGACCTACATCTCCCGCGCCAGGTCTGCACTTATTCCACTCCGCCATCCGCAACCGCAGACCTCCCAGGCGAATTCAACAAACATGGCGGCGGCAATCAAGGCTCTCAACGCCAAAATCCGGGCAAATCCAGTCACGGATTACTTTTGGTGAGTCCGCGCGGAGCAGTGATTGGGGACTGTTGTGCTAATGGGTTTGCAGCTCGACTCACTTCTGGGGTATGAAACGATTCGAACTCGAACTGAAATAGGAGCGACAGCTAATACGACTTTCCGCCTGTTAGGTCCTGCTAGCAGTGAGTCCCCGACCTAACACTCCAATCCTCCACAAGAACAACCTCTCTAACATCCCTCGCAGACTTCGGCATCCCTATCGCGGCTGTTATGGACACTCAGAAGGACCCCGAAATGTAAAACCCCTCTCAACCCAACAAAACCCGCCAACCCCAAATCTAACCGTATCCACCACAGCATCTCCGGCCGCATGACCGCCGCCCTCTGCGGCTACAGCGCCGTATTTATGCGATACGCCATGGCCGTCACGCCCCAGAACTACCTACTCTTCGGCTGCCATCTCGTCAACTTCACCGCGCAATCCACGCAAGCGTACCGATTCGTCAACTACTGGTACATGGGTGGACGGGAGAAGACTTTGGAGGGCAAGGCGAAAGAGGGGTTGGCGGTTGCGGAGAACACGGTGGAGGGTATTGCTGGTCAGGCACAAGAGCTTGCGGCGAAGGCGCAGAATAAGGCGGGCGATTTGGCAGGTGAGGCGAAGAAGCAGGTTGACAAGGCGACGAGGTAGAGTGGTTAGGTGAGAGGGGAGGCTATGGATAAGTGGATACTATTGCTGCCCTACAGGTGGGAGCATCAGGTAGACGATTGAGATTCCTATGTCACTCTGCGATACTACTTGTACAGCGAAATGTGAATCCTAGTCAAGACCAGCATGATTTATCCACGTTTCCATGCATCTAAAACATTAACATCAGGGGTATCTCATCAGAACAAAATCGCTAACAGCACATAAGCAACGACCAGCGCCGCCATCGACCTCCTCAAACCCTCACACCTCCCCTCCGCCCCCCCAAACCCAGGCTCCCCATCATCCGCCGCCCCAGACTTTCCAACATTATACCCAAACTGACCCTTCACATTCCCTCGCGGACTGTATTCGCACACCAGATAAGCACCCTTCACGCCATTCTCAGCGTCATTATCACATTGCACCAGACCACATCCAACAGACGTCGTATTCTGCCAGACCAATTGCGTGAAATGCCCCGTTTTCTCCGTGAACTTGCGGTCGTCGTAGCTGTACTCGCTTTCTTCGTTGGCCCAGGCGTCGATTGCCAGGGTGGGGGATTCGAAGTTTGCGGCTCTATATACCAATCAGCCAGATTCTGGGATGGGGTGGATTGGAGAGCACTTACAGATTCTCGCCATAAGGACCGCCTGAGTGTTTCCATACGCAGTTTTTGGCGTAGTTCTGTGCGTAGTTGGCTAGTGTTGAGTTCCAGGTAACGTTTTGTGCTTCGTAGTGTTGGCGGTAGATGTTGGTGCTGTTCAGAACTGCGAATTGTAAAGAATCGCTACTCGAGGACATTGTTGAGCTGGGTTTCGTTGATGGTGAAGTTGATGGGGATGCGAGGGCAATGGTTGTAGGTCCAACGATCGTCTCGGTGGTCGTCTCGACTCCTGATTTCCTGCTCAATGTGAGGGTCACGGTCGTGGTAGCGACGGTTGTGGTTGACGTCAGGGTCGTTGTAGATTGGTCCGCCAAGGCATGATGTAGGTGCAGTGAAATAGCGAGGAGCAGAGCGCGTGCCGGCCGCATGGTAGTGACAAGGATGGAAAACCTGTTTCTTGGGTGGAATGTAGATCGTTCAAGAAAGAAAGTAACGATATCTGCAGCGCTCAGCGCCTTTTCCTTGTCGTAAGAACTAGAGTGAAGGTATACAGAAGAGAGTGTTGAATGGGAGGACTTGAACCTCGCTGCTGCTGTCCATCACGCGTTTCTTCGTGGAACATCACACGCGCCGCACGACCAAGTCCTCCATCTATGGCTGGGACCAGGCCCTCCTCCATCTTTGTGTGTACGGCGTAGATTGCTCAATCTGAAGCATGGAACAAGGTGCTGTCTCGTTTCAACGCAGGAACAAAGGCACAAAATAGTTGGCTGACGTCGCGACGTTCTCGCCCGCTGAAACTCAATCCGACGGGCAAAGACCCGGCGGCCGGCGCTTCTTCCTGTTGCTCGGCCGACCTGCCGCCAAGCGTTTTAGCGTATGCGGCCGCATAAAACTCTTGCGGGCTTTTGGAATCTCTTTCCTCTCGCCAGATCAAAAACAACGGATTCAGCCACGACCCCCTTCGCGCCCACTCCAAACGGCCGCTTCAGTGACGGCCGGGGCATTTCGCAGATGGGGGTTGCCAGCTCTCTACGGAGGGTGTGAATCTGAAGAGCGACGTCTCCTGGATATAGGAAGCCTCGATGGGGTCACTTCATTGTGAGCTGCATCTGAGGTGTCCGAGAAGGGAGTACATACTTCATCGTTGGGAATGCTGTGTCAATTGTGTCTCGTGTTGTCTGCGCTTTTGTCTGTCCCTCGATCTTCGTAGGCTGGGAGTCTCGTGGCCGGCGAGTGATGATTGATGGTGCCTGCCAGCCATCTGCTGGTATCGACCACAGGAGCTTTCGTGCTCATCAGTACTCATAGGCTGGCATCTGGTCCTTCAGAACTCACAGACTCACCACACACGCCATCAGAATCAATGTGACGAGACTCAAGTGGTGGGCCTTGGACTGTGAAAGTCTCAGCGGTGTGACTGGACGATTCAAATCGCTGATGCCCTCCAACATTGCGCCTGGTTGAGTGATGATGAACGATCAGCTACAGCAGCACCATGCCTGTGCTTGTAAGATACGCATCTTGTTTGCTGCCATTCGAGCAGATGCGAGTATGCGTTTTGATTGTCACCACCACCGTCGTAGGCATGTCCACTACACTGAGTGTACCTCTGATGATCTGATCCCATCATTTGCTACGCGCCAGAGACCTCTCCACACGACGGGCGTTGGGCGTTCATAAACATCAGCTGTTTGTATTCTGTGCCGTCATTGATAGCATAAGTGAGTGCAGTGTACCTGCAAGGTTTTTGTGGACTGCCAATGAGAAATTATACCAAGGTCGAGTGAATGTGGAAAGGAGAAAGTACGTTCACGCGCTTGAGATGTCAAACCATAACGTTTCGAGAGACAGTGGCTATATTACAAGCAATCTAAATTCTTTTTCGTTCGACTTCCTCTCTCACATCAAAGCCCATCCCTCCCGCGAAAAAAGCCCTCCATCTCTGCCCTCTTCTCTTTCCACAACCCCTTCAACACCGGATCATGACTAGGGTCACTATCCCAAAACTTCGCATGGAAACTCCTCCCTCCACCCCTCCAGTCCTTCTCCGTCGCCCAGTTGACGTTCCAACCATACCACAGCGGCTTCCATGGCATGTTCCCCTCCCGACGATGCGCGTAGTTGAGGAGGTTCTGCTCCATGAAGCCGGGGTCGAAGCGGCCGGGGATGTTGAGCACGGACATGTAGTAGTCGAAGAGCATGAGGGAGGGCGTGAGGACGAAGAAGCCGCAGTTGAGGTAGTTCATGTCTGCGGGAGGCGGGAAGGGGTGGTCGTAGCCCCAGTAGTCGGCGTGGGCGGCGAACATGTAGGTTCGGGGCAGGGGGGATTCGTCGTCTTTGATTTCCGCCGGATTCGGGAGGGTGGCTTGTGTGAGGGTTGCTTCGTCGAAGAAGACGCCGTCCAAGGGCCCGGTGACGAGGGTGTCAGCGTCGATGTAGCAGATTTTGGCGTAGTCGGTGAGCTGGAAGAGGCGGAGTTTGGCGAGCATGTCGGCCCAGCGTGCGATGCCTGTGTTGACCCAGTCGGACTTTAGCTTTTCGACGAGGATGATTGTTGCGCCGTCCTGCTTTAGGCGGTCACGTTTACGCTTGGAGACGTCGCGGGTGCAGAGGACTAGGAAGTCGATGCTGTTGTTTGAGCCGGCGGATTTGGAGTGGAGGAGGGTGTAGGCCAACACACGTGTGGAGACGAAGTAGCCATCGTCTGCGTCGTCGATGGCGGCGGATTCTTCGTCCGTCTCTTTTTGGCTTGGGTTGGCGTTAGCTGCTAGGAAGGTTGCATAGGCGACTTTGTGAGTTTTCAGGATCTGTTGCTGGGTTGTTGTGACTGCCTTGACTCCTTTGTGATGTGTAGGTAGGAACTGGATCTTATGGTGAGTCTGCTTGATGCTGAGGGTGATGAGTGCTGAGGCGAGGAAGAGGAAGATGCAGATACCGATGGTCTTGGGGTTTGCCATCATCGCAAGAGCATTGTTCGTCGGTTCTTGGGGGAGGATTGGAAAGAGGTAAAAGACACATTTTCAGGAGACGCGCTGGTGGCATTCCAGTGCGACGCGAGGCGGAAAGGGATGCATGAGAGTTGCCCTACCAGTTCGAGATGGACGTGCAAGGAGACAGGAGTATAGGCAATATTCTGCAAAGGAGGCGTCTGGCTCGTGGAAGAGGACTGGAGGTATGCCGTGGTGAGGGACCTCGTACTCCTCCGTTGAGTCTTCGCCCATGCCGCCGACTGGCTTGTGATACTGGCCTCCAACAACGTCGCCCGCGAGAGTCTATATCCATTCAATCGACGTTGAAGTTTTCTTTTTATGCTTTCAGGCCTTCAGGCATCTGGGACTAATAAAAGATGGAGATGACGGGTGCGTGGCATGGAGGACCCTGGAGGCGGATGGTGAAACTGGATTCGGGCGCTGTACACTGCCCAGTACGGCGGCTTCTGTACGCATTTGTCGTCTGTCATCTGCGCCTGTGACTGCTTCTCCTCTCGCACAAACAAGATCTGCTCAGCATGAAGATTGATGGACGAGGCTGGGTTCACGTCGGCCAACACATCACCAACACACTGGCCCCCGCGCTAGCGCCGCTCTAGAGAGCTCACACGTCGCAGGCTGCTCACACCGAGCGATGCCCATGCGAAACTATCCAAACCCCTTCGACCCAGCCCTCCCCCAATGCTCGACCATGCCATCCTCCCTCGACGGTGAGCCTCGCCGCCGCCGGAGACACGACCATGATCGCGACCGCGACTCGACCAGCTCACGAGACAAGCCGCACCGATCATCGCATAAGTCTGCCAGTTCCAGCAAGCTTCCTTTGCACAAGCGAAAGTCTGCCAGCCGTGAGCGGGAACGCGAGCGGGACTCGCCCAGGGCGTCCGCCTCGCCCATCAAGACCAAGACCTCTTCTATCGTCGTCCCTGAAATGGAGAGGCGCGGTAGCGGCGAGGTGCGGCCAACTACATCGTACCCCTCCTTCAGCAAGGCCCACAGCCGCGAGGCCGTAGGCAGCAGAGAGGACATCGCGGCGAAGACGCTCTTCACGCCAGATGCGACGGACATTAGCAATGACGGCGCGAAGAGGAGGAACTCGTCGCCGGCGAAGCCTGGTGCGCCGACGAGGGCCCCGCCCAGCCCTCCTCTTACCGCTGAAGATCCGGACATTAGGAGGTCGGGCAGCTCGAGGAGTATGAGAGAGGCTGCAGAAGACGTCAAAGTCAAGATGGAGAGTGGGAGGAGAAGTACAGACAGCCCTCGAAAACACGGCATGAAGGCGGCCAAATCAGGGACGAGCCTGCGGAAAGAGGCACGGTTCGATGCATCCGATGTCTCGAGTATGCCAGGTGCATTCCCAGAGGACGAGGGCAAATCTACACCAAATAGCAGCTACAGGCGCACAGCGTCGACAGCGTCACAACCTCCGTCTACCCTGACCGAAGACACGACTGACTCCGATGCCACCTCCATTGCACCAGAGCGAAAGCCCCATAAGCGGCCAAACACGACCCCTCCAGATGAAAAGTCGCCTTCGAAAGGGACAGAATCTCGGCCAAAGACGCCAGCACAAGATGAAGTGCCGATACCACCTCAAGCACGCGCCACGCCAATCATCGACGTTGGCATTGCCAACAAGACCAACCTACAGCCCATGAACACGCCCATGACAGCTAAACAAGTCCCACCACCGCCACCGCCTCCTCCCATGACCGAACCGAAAGAAGCGCCAAGAGTCGACTATCTCCTCAAGAACGGTGGACTGCCTACCCCAGTGCCAAAGAGACTTGTCCAGCCGCCAACACCGATACAAGCCTACAGCGTATATCAGTCACCTGCGTTGACGCAGGCAGCTCCATTGGAGGAGTACGCCAAGATCTTTGGTACTGTTCACAAACGATTGGACGACTACATCCAGGTCTTGAAGAGCAATGGGTCTTTAGCAGTCGCAACGGGTTACAAATCGGTTGCTCGGCGATTGCTGGATAAATTGTCCCAGGTCTTTGCTCGAGACATTTCGTCTCAGCGATGCGACTGTGTGGTGTGCAAGACTACGCCACAGCCGCGTCTGTCAGACGAGGAAGAGAATGGTGTTAGCTGGGGAGAGATCCTGGAATTCGTAGCTGGGCGCCGCGAGCTGCCTCAATGGCCGCCATTCACCATTCAGCCAGATGATAGCGGACTTGGGATTTCAGGTACCACCCAAGCACCAATGCAGAAGCTGGACATCGATGTGCCTGAAGAATACAGGGATCATTACATTCGGCAAAACCAGAAGACGAAACGTGCTGTGCAGAGCTGGCTTGCACAACAGCCTGAAGTACCTTCAGCTCCGCCAGAGGAAGCGGACGAGGATACACTAATGTTTGCAATGATGACAAAACTGACCGTCCAGCAGCGCAACCTCTTCATCGCGCTCATGCACGGTCAGAACTTTGTGTCCGAAGTCAGGGCGCCTACCCCAGCAGAGCGACCTTCGACTTCTTCGAATGCATTGAGACGAGCGAAGAAAGCTCTGCAGCGGCTTTACCGTCTTGAACGGGCCCCACGAGACTGTGAAGCGGCGATGTACCTTCTCAACAACCCGCACCTACACGGGATGCTTGCCACATTGGCGGAGGTGAACGAGGCCGAGTGGGAGATCCTCACCTCGGGCAGGTTTGATGGCTTCTTGTGGTCAGGGGCAGAGGCGGCGTTCCCTCCATCTGCTTCACATTTCGCCTCCATGGCATCCCGCGGGCCATCCCGTGGGCCCAACGCCACACCATTTTCACGAAACACAACACCTTTCAGCGGAATGAGCGCTATTCCATCTCGGCATGGGACTCCTTTCAGTCCAGACCTTGGCCAACCGCCGTCGATGTTCCCTTCTCGAGGTCCAACGCCGGGCTTGAACGGGTTGGGGGTTACAGCGCCAGGGCCTGTACAACTGGACGAAGACACCGAAATAGCAGTTGCTGCCGAGCTGGAACGCAACCTCTTCTTGGACATGGAGCGTCTGGAAGATGCGTTTGAGATCTTGCATGGCCGCGCAGAGCTGGTGCGACAGATGCTGCGCGAACGTTCAGCAGGTCTATCTGCTCAAGCCCAACTGCGGCGTGGAAGCGGCGCGGCGGATCCCGTCGGCGTACGACTAGACACGCCTGCCAGTGGTGTCACCGACTTCGAAGAGGAAGACGATGATGGGTTGGCGGATCTTGCCAGTCTGGCGCCTGATGACAGCGCCTCGCAGATCAGCGTGAACCGAAGACATCGACACAGGCGTGAGCGCAAGACGCCCAACCCTGAGCCAGTTCCAGAGGAGGACGAGAGCGTCTTCGAAGAACATGAGAGGACACGGAGAGAGCGTAATGGACGACGATCGAAGTACTGATGAAATGAGAACACGGATACTATACGAAAGCGAGCGATGCAGCATCTTGAGCAGGGGTGCGAAAAGCGAGAAGTGATGTTCTTGTGTTACCGAGCATAGCGGAGGGCGTTTAGGCATTGACACGAGCTTGGTATCGACGGCCGGGTATGAGACTACGGTCGTGGACTATTGATGATGCTAGGGACTTTTGATATGAGATGATGAAGTGCCTCGCTGGCCAAGAACGAGATAGATGCCGCTGATGATGATGAGATGAACAAAGCTCGTAGAGTTACGGACGGCATAAGTCTCTACATTCTGACGCCCAGACCTGTCGCCTACTTCCCTGTGCTCCTTCGTACCTCGTTCACCCTGTATACCAAGACCCCGTGTGGCTCAGTAATGCAGTAATATTACAAACGAATCGTCCGCAGAGCCTCCAACGTCATCGACAAAGCACAGAAATCTCACCTTCGGACATCTCACTCTCCTCCCTTCCGTCTTGGAAGTACACCTGCAGCATACACACGGCGCAGCGGACATTGACCACCGCAGACATTTCCGCAACGGTGCATGATTGCGCTGGCTTGCCCAGCCAAATGCATAGCCATTGCCATGACTGATCCGCCCTATTCCGAGGAGTGCGAAGTTTGATTCGCGCCCGGCTTTCGCGACATCATGGCGAGAACATGACGTAGCATTCACGCGACGACTGGGACATTGGGGAGAGACCGAGTTTGTTCGGGAGCGGTGATGGTGGTTTTCCCTCTTGCACTGCCTCTGAGTGAAGTATTTCTCTCTCATATACATTTCTTGAGTCGGAAGCAGGACGTCGCCTCGCGCTTTTCGTGTTTTCTGATTTGACTTCACGTCGTCTGGCTGCTGGGAAATTTGACTTCCTGCTCTCAGGGAAAACAACTGCAACATCCGACGCCTGTCCGCCCTATACTGCGATTACATACACACTGTTCCACGACCATCCGGCGCGATAGAGCAACAAGAAGCAGGGTCTGCAGATAGTGCGCGAAGATGTTTGGGTTATCATACTGGTTCCTGCCGCTGTTCGCGGGATGTGTATGGTTAGGTGCGTACCGTCGCCAAAACAAACATCCCTCATCAACCCATATCGCTGACGACCATGGATGTGTACAGGCACCCTCCTCGCCATGCTGGGCCGCTGGGTCGCCATCGGCAGCCCGCACTACTCCACCTTCAACGACACCCAACACATCGCATACATCTCGGACATTGGCGCGACGTCCTGGGGCAAGCCGCTGTTCATCGCCGGTAGTGCGGTATGCGTGGTGGTGTTCGACCTGGCCTTCGTCGCGGAGCGATGGCTGCGACACAAGGGGCGCTTGACGCAGAACTACAACAACACCGAGAAGATCCTGAGCATTTGCGCGACCATCGCGGCGATTGTGGGTGCGCTGGGCTTGATTTTCCTCACGATTTTCGATACGAAGAGGTATCCGCATGTGCATGATGCCATGCTGATTGTGTTCATGTGAGTTTTCAATAAGACACCTGCGACTGATAACATACCTCAATAGGAAGACACTGACATCCTATTTCACAGCGCCGGCTACATCGTCTCCGCCATCTTCATCTGCGCCGAATACCAGCGTCTCGGAATCCACTACCGTGACCAACGCATCCTCGCCGCCTCCTTCTGGATTAAGCTCGCCTTCATCTTCATCGAAGTCGCGCTCGCCATCGCCTTCGGCGTCCTCGGCTACCAAGACCACTACAACCGCGCCGCCGTCATCGAGTGGACCATCTCCCTCATCTACATCTTCTACATCTGGTCCTTCATCATCGATTTCCTGCCCGCCACTCGCACGCGGCACGTCAACGATCGCTTCCCCGCGCCGCTGAGGAAGCAGGATGATGAGATGGGCATGACGACCCAGGCGCAGGGGAATATGATGGGCGGCCCCGTGTATTCGAATGGAGGGCATTATCCTGATGAGCAGGGGGTTCCTTCGAGGAACTTTTAGAGACAAGATAAGAGGGCGTTTTGGGGGGCAGACATGGATAATTTGTACAGAAGAATTGGGAATGTTTCGTTTCTTTTTCTCTTGGGAATACAGCACGTCTTAAGCTAAGCTTTGGCGTTGGGGGATGTGGGAAACTCATGAAGCATTTCGAGGCGGGAAATGAGGTTTGGGATGAATGATAGTGTAATGCTTAAAAAAGATTGAGATAGAGAATGATGATGTGAAAAGACAACATATTGACGTGCCTTCCTTTCCGGGAAGCGAGTGGTGGGTGCACGTGCTTTCACGATTCTCGCGTGGTTTCGTTTGCGCTGACTTCCATGTTTCGTTTGTGTTGTTGTTGCTTTACTTCATCTTCCATCTTCCGTGCGCACAGGAAGACACACCAATCACGCCTGGACTTGCAGTGTCTGGCTCGCAGTCGGAGCTCTTTTCACTGCTGCTCACTCTCCACTCACTGCAGAGGACCTGGCGCGCCCGCAGCAGCACTCGACTGGGCACCACCGACGCCGTGAACGCATCGATCCGCCGCAAATCCTACGAGAACAAACGACATCCAACACCTCCGCCAGCCATGGCAGGCCCACGACCCGAGAGCAAGGACGACTTCCTGCAGAAGCTCGGCGAGAAGGTTTCGGATTCACAACATGCGGACTTCACGATCGTCAATTGTGGACTGGAGTACAAAGTGCACAAGCTCGTTCTTGGTCTGCATTCCAACTACTTCGATCGGCTCTTCAAGAGTCGCTTCATGGTAAGAGTGTTTCGCACTGCGAGTGGCAGCGCATTTGCTAACGTGAGGGCAATAGGAAGCTCGCCACAACCGCGTTGTACTTGAGGAGGATCCGAAGATGGCTGTCAAGTACATGATCGATTACTTCTACAAGTTCGACTACGAGGTCGACGTCTCCGATGTGCCGTTTGACTACGAGCTATGGGTCTCGTCACACGACCAAAGCTACCGATCCGATCTCATCAGCAGAATTGCCTCGGACGATGTTTCAAAGCCCCCGTATGCAGCTCTAGAGTCTGCACTCGAAGCCCATGCCTTCGTGTACACGCTCGCCGACAAGTACGACATTCCCAACCTCAAAGTCCTCGCCAAGGAGAAGTTCCGCGACGAAGCCTTTTACTGCACTGGGAGCCTCGAAACGCTACATTTGTTTCTGAAGATCGTGCCGTTCGTGTACGAGCACACTGCGCCGGGCGAGACAGGCCTCCGATCGTGCATCGTTGAGGCCTGGCGTGAGAAGGCCGACTGGGTCAATGGAGATCTTGGTGATCAGAACCTACGCGACCTGATCGAGAGACTTCCGGATCTCGGTACGGACCTCTTCACGAGCATGGTGGAGGTTCATCAGCCACCAAGTAAGACGGGAGGCTGGCGTGCGCGGCGACGTGGTCAGCCTACTGGGACCTCAATGCGAGGAGGGCTCGTGAACAGTCGTGGCTATCTACGCCCATAGAATGCGACGGGTCGACAGCAAAAGCATGGAGGACATGATGGAACGATTACTTGGAGTAAGTTGAACACGTTTCAAGTGTACAGTCTGCGAGGCAGATATTGGAGGCAAGGAGTTGTTCAGGTCTGGGGAGTGTAAGGCGTTGGAGCATTCTGTGGCGACTCTGGCATTGCTTTTTGGGCGCTGAGAGCAGCGTAGAGGCTCGTTTGTAAGAGGCTTTTCATTTGAATATTAAGGGTTCCTTCCTATTCGAGAAGGTGCGGCTCACTGCACGTGATTCCCGCGTGTTAGCGCCATTTGCTTGCCGCGCTTCGCTTCCTCCAACTTCTTGCAGCTCATGCACCCCCACACTACACATCAAAAACCATCCACCATGAAAGACGGAACGGTCGAGATCGACGGCGCCTTCGTCGCTCGACTTACTGAACTTCGTGACGAGCCAAGAACAGCCGACTTCACCATCGTATGCGGCACTGACAAATACAAAGTACACAAGTTCCTACTTCACCTTCACTCGAAGTTCTTCGATCGCCTTTTCAAGACAGACTTTGGGGTTAGTCCACCCGGTTTCAAACGCATGCCGTGTTTATGCTGATAACGTTCACCTCGCCGAAGACCTTTGCCGCCCTGTTCGCTGCATGATCGAGTACTTCTATCACTTCAACTACATCTTTGTCCGCAGCGACTTCCGCGGCCCACACATTTCTGATGATCAAGTTGCTCTCTGTGGACTTCCACCAAGCACTGGCCAAGACCAGGGCATGCCATCGGAAGCTCAGGCTCACGCATATATGTACACTCTCGGGGAGAAGTACGATATCGTCGGCCTGAAGAGGCTCGCCAAGGCCAAGTTTGAGGCAAGTGCTATATGCATGCTCAACTATGGCATCGGCAAGCGGTCTGAACTCGATATCATGTATGTCGAGGATGACGGCGACTCTGAGCTGGGTGAGTCAGGCCAGCTCCGGCCATACGAGAAAGCATTCCTGGACCTCATTCCATACGTCTACGAGAACACTGCACCGAACGAGATGGGATTGCGAGATTCGATTGTCAAGGCTTGGGGAGCGGCTTCCGAAGGAACGAAGATCTTCATGCCTAGGCAGAAGTGGGCGGAGTTGCTGGAGAAGTATCCTGAGCTGGGCGTTGACATGGTTATGGGCTTGGGTGGAAAGACCACGGATCGACATGAGGATTCGGAGGTAGGAAGCTTGAGCGGTAGCTTCATCGAGGGAGATGAGTACATGTAGAGGATGGGTTTGAGGAGTCAGCTCAAGGCCAAGAAGGCTCGAAGTTTCACGTGCTAGCGTCTCTTAGCGCAACTCTATGCCACGTCGCTTAGCTTTCCGCTCGATTCTTTCAACCAAAGCCAAAGCCAAACACACCCTTTTCTCATCTCTCTCACACAGTCACCGCAAGACACCGCGATCATGGCTGACACCTCAACCCTCCAGTCGCACGCCCAGCGCGACTTCCTCAACGCCCTGACCCAGAAGAGTACCGACGCCGAGTCCACCGACTTCACTATTATCAACGGTGGCCAGGAGTTCAAGATCCACAAGGTCATCTTGAGTCTGCACTCCAAGTACTTCGACAGGTTGTTCAAGAGCGAGTACAAGGTATCGGGTTACCATGGCTGTAATCTACTCTCATCATATACTTAACAGAAGAATCGAACAGGAGACCAGCCAAAACCGCATCTCGCTCATCGGCGACCCACCCCTCGCCGTCAGCTGCATGGTCCAATACTTCTACCACTTCAGCTACAAGCCAGAACCAGACACCTACACCGAGCCCAGACCCTCCATAAGCCCAACTCCAACGCAAGCCGACCCACTCCTCCCCTCCCTCGTCCAAGTCCACGCCTACATCTACACCCTCGCCGAAAAATACGACATCCCCGGCCTCAAACGCCTCGCCAAAGCCAACTTCACCTCCACCGCGCACCACATGCTCCAGTGAAAATCCCACAACGCACCGTACCCCGGCCAGATGCAGGCTTTCTACGACGTGATTCCGTACGTGTACAGCAACACTGCGCCGAACGAGATTGGTCTGCGGGAGTCTGTCGTGGAGGTCTGGGCGGGCGCGAGGAAGTTTGTGCATGAGGCTGCGGAGAAGGGGAAGTGGTTGGAGTTGGTGGAGAGGTTTCCGGAGCTCGGGGCGGATATGATTACGGGGTTGGTGGGGGATGTTGAGATTGGCGGGGAGGGTTACGATGCTGTGAGTTGCTGTGGTGTGGCTGGGGATGATGATTGGGCGGTGGACTTTACGGATCGTGGTGGTTGGGCGAGGGAAGAGAATGATGAGTCGGATGATGATGAGATTGAGTATCCTGAACTGATTGAAGTCTGAGTGTCGACGATGAAGGCGGAAGATCAGCTCAGTCTTGAGCATTTTGGAGGTGAAGCGGACGGCTCGATATTTGGTGGAAGCTCATAGACTTAGCCATGATAGCTTTCGCGAGCAACGTGCAGCAAAACTCCTGCAATGGGCGTATCGAGTTCTGTGACGTTCTTTCCTATTCGAGAAGCCGTCAGCGTTTGCACACGCACGTGCGTCTCGCTTGCTAGCGCGAACTCTTTTGTTCGTGCGTACAACAAAACCCTTAGACTTTCTCCTCCTTCAACACCAATCATAAGCGCACTTCACACGGCTCAACATGGAAACGCCTGTACGACCACCAACCGTGCCCCATGACTACCTGAAGAACCTCGAGAAGCTGGGCGCAGATGCTGCGTCATCGGACTACACGATCGCCTGCTGTGGCAGCGAGTTCCAAGTCCACAAGCAGGTCGTGAGCTTGCACTCGGAGTACTTTGCGCGAGTCTTCAAGAGCCAGTACAAGGTGAGAGCCGAGAGTTGATTGCGACTCCGTTCTGAGTCAAGCACATGCTAACGACGAGACTTGACAGGAGAGCAGCACCAACCGCATTGACCTCGTCGAAGACCCAAAAGCTGCCGTCGAGAGCATGGTCCAGTACTTCTACAAATTCGACTACGCCACTGCACACATCGAGACTGCTGACTCGATCGACCCGGACGTCGTTCTCAACAACCTCACCTCTTCCGATGCTACGCCCTGCCCCGACACCCAGCTGAGTTCGGACCTCCAGAGCCACGCCGACATCTACACCCTCGCCGACAAGTACGACATCCCCGGCCTCAAGACCCTCGCAAAGACCAAATTCGAATCTCTAGCCTGCCTCCTCGCCGCCTCCGCCGCAAGCCCATCCGCCCATCTCCTCGCCGACTTCCTGAAAGTTATTCCCTTCGTCTACACGCACACAGCACCCAACGAAGAAGGTCTCCGCTCCTCCATCGTCAAAGCCTGGCGTCAGGCGCCGGAGGCCATCAGCGCCACGCTTGGCGACAAGCGGCTGCGCGAACTGGTGGAGAAGTTCCCAGAGCTTGGCCTGGATCTTGTCAAGGGTCTTCTCACACAGGCCGACGTCAGGGCGCTGGCACGAGAGGACGAGGATCGAGACGAGTACGAGGAGGATCTCCGCGAGCGCCGGGCGGCACGGGAGGCTCGTAGAAATGCACGGGCAGAGGCGATTCGTTGAGCCAATATGCCGCCGACGGAGGGCGCCTTCGAGCAAGGCGTCTTCTCAGACTTCATACCTTCAAGTACCACCGGCTACGGGGTCCTCGTTCCATCCTTACCGAACGCCGCAACCTCTAGCCGTCGTCCACTGGGCACGCGGAACGACATGTACGGCTACAGCCCGACCCTGCGTTCACAAGCGCCGCGCCATTTCTCAAGTCTATTCGCGACGGGCAACCAGGCGGCTGGTGGCAACTCTTCTTGATAGTCGGGTTGGATTCCATGAGATGATCGAGAAGAGGCATTGGAAAAGGATACGGATGGCTGAGGGGCGGGAGACTGGCTTTCGGTGGATGACTCCAGTCGTTCCGTGGCGGACATTTGGCTTCTTTGAGCCTATCTGAGATGAGTGCCATAGCGAGATACTGAATGAACAGGAGAATTGAACGAGTCATGCCTCTCCATATGCGATCGTTAGCGCCCTCTCTGTGAGCGACGTACGCACCAGACAGCGCTGTAACGACGAATGCGCCTTAGACTCTCCACAAACACACGCCATGCTCAATCCCCACACTACATCTCCCCTTCTCACTTCTTTCCAAAGCCCAGGAACTTCTTCATCTTAGCCTCCAAATCTCCCTTCCCCTTCCCACCACCAGCAGAAGGCTCAGGGGCATCCTTCTTCGCCATAGCAGCCTTGTGTCCCTGCTCACCCTCCGCCTGCCGCGCCTTCAAGTCGACCTTGAGGTCCTGCGCTCTGCTTCTGTACTCCTCCTTCAAGCTCGGTCCCTGTCTCGCCTTCGTAGACGCATCTGGCGCCCATAACAAGTTGACTAGGACTTTGCCTTTGAAGCCGAGATCCCGGACCAGACGCTGATTCGATACGTTGGGGACGGTTTGGTGACCTTTTGGTCCGGTGTAGCGGAGTTCGAAGGGTTCAGGGGCTTGTGCGAGGGTGCCCATGACTTTGGCGTAGAGGTCGGCGGCGGTGTCTGAAGCTTGGATGGTGGTCTCGATCATGCTTTGATCAGGGTAGCGAACTCGGACGGTGACGTCTTTGACGAGTGCAAGTTTGGCTTGACGTGCCTGCTCCTGTTCTTCGAGCTCCTTTTCGGATAAGAGGCGGGTGTTTTTGCCTGCACGCTCGAGTGAAGCTTGGTGTGCTTTTGCGTGTTCGATGCTTGGCTCGAACGCCGTTGGGTCGTCGGGCTGAAGGGCTGCGGCAGGTGTTCTGGAGGAAGGCGGACGATAGACGGAGATGCCATTGACCACGTTTGAAGGAGGTTCTGATGGTTGAGGTTGGGTTTCTGCTGAAGTGGCGAGGACGTCGTCTTGTACGGGTTGCGCAATTGGTGCATCGGTCATTGTCGCATCCGGCTCTGCTGGCTCGGGACCTGCATCACCTTCCTTAGGTACAGCGGCGTTGTCGGCCGAACCGTCAACTTGGCTTTGCAGGTTTGCTGCAGGCGCGGCGTGAGCGCCTTCAGCCTGTTGGGCAGGTCCTTGTGATGCGCTTGATCCAACTCCAGCGGGCACTGTGTCTACCGAGCTGAAGAACTGCCCAATCTCCTTCATAGCCTCCTCAAGAGGTTGGCCACTATTCCTGAAGCTCAGTCGAATCAACACGCTGCCGTTGTTCACACCGAGCTGGGCTAACGTCTTCTGCAGGTCTGCGAAAGTCTCGAGGTTCCTTCCAAGTACGTTCAGAATTGGCTGCTCGTACTCCAGTCGTCCTGAGCCGGAAGACTGCTTCGATGGGACGCCTCTTTGGGTGAGGTTCAGCTTCCGTGTTGACCCTCCGGCGACAGCATCTTCGTACTTCCTCAACACCAGCCATAAGCTCGTCGTGCTTGGGAACTTGTCGCTCAGTCTGATCCCGCCTTCACTCTCTGGTAGTTGCAATGCCACATTGACCACACTTGGTGATCGACTGCCCTGCACAAGCTGGAGCTTGGCGCCTGTCGTCAGCCCGGATAGCCTGAACGGTTGTGACAGATCCACGGTCTTGTTGTTCTGTGTCTTCAATGTGTACGCCTCTGGATCCCATTTCCTCGCCTTGCAAGCCTCCTCCAGTACCTCACGCAGGTACTTGCCAGGCGAGACCTTAATTTGGGTCCTCTTTAGCGCCGAGTCCAGCACGAACACGTTCCCGCTTGCCATCGTGGCAGGGACAATCGGTGCTGTGAATGTTTTGAAGTCTTGCTGGAGCTGACCAGCCTCGAGTCCTCCCAGCTGTCTTTCGGCCTAAGCTCTAGTTGGGCGCGTTTCCTCGTTGTCTTTGCTCCCTCTCTTCCCGTACTTGCCTCCTCGACTCTTGCCAGGTAGCGAACAGGTATCGCGACAGCTTCCGACCCGTGCTCCAGATCACAGGCGCGCAGAACAGATAGCTCAGCGTGACAACGATAAGGCGCTCGCTCTTGGTTAACCGCAGACCGTCGAGGTTGGAGTTGCTCATCGCTAGGTGAGTGAGTGGTCGAGGAAACACGTGGGGTTCAGTGGCGAAGTGATATCATGGCCGGTGGTGTCTTGTGTCAGCCGCAGTGATAGAAGAATGAACAGCTTCGATGCGATTCCGTGACTCGATCTGGTGCGATATTGTGCTTTCAGGCGCCAGAAGTTGACGACTAAAAAAAGAAGGAGTGCTTGTGCTTGTGCTTGTGAGGCTCGCAGCTCCCCACTTCACGTTGCAGCAACGTGCCTGGCCCCACCAATCCAACCCAAACAACTTCCAATTTCTAATCGGCCTCACCTCTCCATCCCACAACACCACCGCCACCATGTCGAAGACCGTCGCCGTCACGTCGCCCTCCCACTTCACCCAGATCCTCCAATCCTCGCGAATCGTAGTCACAGACTTCTGGGCAGAATGGTGTGGACCATGCAAGGCCATCGCTCCCGTCTACGAGGCTCTCAGCAGCCAACTGTCCCGTCCAGGTCAGATCACCTTCACCAAGGTCAACACCGATGAGCAGAAGGATATCGTACAGACGTACAACATCAGCGCCATGCCCACGTTCCTCATATTCAAGGGAGGAAGAGAGACGAAGCGCATTCGAGGCGCGGACCCCAAAGGACTCGACGCAGCGGTGAAGCAACTGGCACAAGAGGCGAGCAGCGCGGATGAGGGAGGTGCAGGTCCATCAGACGGCGGCAGTAGCGGAGGACGCTGGACAGGCGCAGCAGCACCCAGAGGGTACACCGAAGTCACGGAGCAAGTCGACATTCAAGGTCTGGACTTCCTCAACCTGGACGGCAACGCAGGGGACAAGAGAGCAGTTTTCGCTCCGGAGAAGCCGTCATCATTAGACGGAAAGGGCAAAGCATCAGAGAGCAGCAAGAAGGACTGGATTGAGAGCGACACGGACGAGCAGCTGATGCTGTACGTGCCCTTCCAGTCAACACTCAAACTCCACTCTATTCACATCACCTCGATACCCTCTGGCTCAGAAGAAGCCATGCGGCCCAAGACTCTCCATCTCTACAGCAATCGAAGCCACGTTCTGGGATTCGATGAGGCAGAGGACACGCCAGAGACGCAGAAGATCGAGATTCAGGAAAGTCAGTGGGACGAGAAGACTCAGACAGCCAAGGTCGAGCTGCGGTTCGTCAAGTTCCAGAACATCAGCAGCTTGACCATCTTCGTGGTGGATGGTGATGGCGATGCGGAGAAGACGAGGATTGATCGGTTACGGTTATTTGGTGAGAGCGGCGAGAAGAGGGCGATGGGCAAGTTGGAGAAGATCGGTGATGAGCAAGGCGAGTAGCGCGTGCCATGGATTGGCATGATGGTTACATGGACGCCTGCACAATGCGTGACTACATGAGGATCGTAGTCGCTTCAGTAGCATGAGAAAAGCATCCAAAACATTGCATGGAATTACGAGATGACAACCCCAACTGCAATTTGCATCCTTTCACCAAGCATTTTGCTTCTCAACACATTGTTCTCCATAGGGACAAGGGTCGAGCTTTCTCGACCATACCCACCACGTCGAAAGTCTACACTAAGCTACTGCTTCTTGCCGTTGGGTACCGAGCGAGTTGAGCCATCTTCAGCATGATAGAGACCGTACTGCTCTGATTGTCACTTCGAGCAGCATGTGGCCATGAGGCATTCTATATCTCTTCGTGAGGCTGATTACATCCTTGGTATGGCAGCACCAAAGATGGGAGTTTCTCTCGATCTACTCTTATCGAGGGGTACTCGAAATAAGTGGGCGGTTCCGTGCAGATACGGCTGGCTGAGATGGATGGTCGAGGCCATCTCAAGTTCTGCATGCGCCGGTGAATTCGTCCAAGGGTGAGATATCGACTGTGTTCATTACTACCCAAACAGGTCTTCACGTCATGACACGATTTGATATATGCGGGATAAACATGAGCTTTCAATGCACTTTCATTCTGCAGTACGAAAGCCAAACCTGAACAGCCCGGCCTGGTGCTGTCCCACTCTTCGAGCCACAGCGCCAGATTTTCGTGAAGGCACAGCAAAGCAAGAAAGTCGGAAGGAAGCCGATGCCGTTATTTTGCGCCTTTGCATGCCCACCCACAAGTCATCTCATAGCAACGTGTTCCCAGCCTCCCACTTAGTGAACGGTTCTCCTGCTCTCAGCGATGACCTTGGTCATCTCGTCGACCTTTCTCTTGGCACGGCCGAAGGTACCGAGTCGCTTCTTGGCCAGCTTTCTCGCGCGCTTGTCCTTGGAGTTACGGAGGAGTTCGATGACACGACGCTCGTATGGGGCGAGACTGCGGAGGTGGTGGTGTTAGTGTGTGATGTCCTCTTCTGAGAGGCTTGGCGGACGTCTTCGAGACGTACCCAGAAACCTCCTTCACGACATCCCGAACAAAAGCAGTCCTCTTGCTCAAGTGTCCCTTCATGCGCGAAACACGCGGCTTCGGCTGGCGGGGGGTGACCTTCTGTATGGCGGATGTCCTGTTAGCCCACACTGTCCAATTTCATCGTTTTTGCCGTCCTGGCTCTTGCTCGGTCGCGGGTGGGGGAATCGGTGAGAGACGTACGTGGCCAGCATTGATGCCAACGGCAATGCCGGACTTCTGCTTGACTTCCTTGGGCATTGTGGGTGGTGTTGTCGATGGGAGGACACTGCCTTGAAAATAACAAGTCCAAGTCTGCGGGCGGCGAGGTGGAAAGGCAAGCCCGGAGAAATTCGCTCCGAAGTGCGCGCCAAGAGCTGCTTCCAATCAGCCAATCAGCGTTCAGCTCAGCAGACATCAACATCAACGAGAACACATCATTTTGCCAGCAACCTGAGCATTCTTACCAGCTTGAAATAGATCCGTACATGCTTTGATATAATATGTGATCATTTTGTTCGATTGAGGATCAATATGCAGTCCCTCACAGGTTTCTCCTCCTTTGGAAAATATGGAGCCAGAAAATGGACTAAGGGTTCCCGGTACAATCATACAAGACGTGATCCTCCTACCACATCTTGCATCTAAAGACTCTTGTCACTCTGAGATGAAGTGAAGTGAATGAATCCGTTCCACATCACGTGCTGTCACATGCTCGGATGGATAACCGGTTTCTGCGGGTCTTCAAACCGATCCCGGCTAAGCGTCATCGAGAGACGAAAGCTTGGAGCTGGGATTTGACTTCGTCGAGACTTTGCTTTGTCCCACGACCTTGACCCCAGCCATTTACCCTGATCGCTGTGCCTGCTTTTTCAACAACTGCGAGGAAAGGATTCTCAGTTGTTGCTGCTGTCCATTATGCGCGGCGAACAATGAGTCGGCATGCGGTGGATGTAGGGCGGAAGGGTCTACTACACCTGTCTGGCGCGAATCACATCCTCGCCCTGCCTCTCATCCGGACGAACCCCATCTCCACGACTCTTATAAAGGCTGCGGTGCGAACGCAGCACACGGCAACTGCGCGGCCTGTTGCAGGACTCCTGAGCGCCGCACGATCCTCACATCGATATGCTGCAACCACGAATACGTTGTCCAGATGGCCTGGAACGGCGTCACCGGAGATAACGAGCCTGCGATTCACCAGGACATTCCACTCACATCTGCAGATATCGGAAGGCTCGAGTAGGCCATCTATCAGATGGTTGCTGCAAAGAAGATGGAATAGTAGCAAGAAAGGCCCTGTTGAAAGCGCAGCGGCGAGGGAAACAGAGAGCAAGACGATAGCATCATCGCCCAAGAGCCAGGAACACACCACACATAGCACAGGCCACAGCCTCTATGATCGCCTGCCACATCTTCATCGCCCGACTAAGGAAGAGTTATTAGCTGCTGCGACCGGCTTCTGGCACCGACTACAGATTCGTTTCAAGTGGTTCTCAATACGAAGCGTACGGCCCTTCAACCATGAAGAGATCTTTGCGTTCATGAGCTGGATCTTCTGGGGACACTTCCTCTGGCTTATCATCGGCACGACGACTTTTGTCAGCGTAACGATCCTCATTCTCAACACCGTATTCGCTCAAGAGACCATCGCTGGGTCCATCGGCAATTACTTGACCAGGAGCAGCGGGCTGAAGGTAGTCTTCGAAAGCGCTGTTGTTCCAGACTGGTCTGATGGAGTCATTTCTTTCAAGAATGTGTTCGTTAGCCGACGACCCCAGAAGGACAAGCGCCAGAGAGCTGTCACCAAGGGATCCTCAACGACAGCTGCGGCGGCTGCGGCTGTAGAGGCTCGAGCAGAGAAAGAGAAGCACAAATATGGACAAGCCGCAGACGCTGCAGCAGACGGCGAAGATGACGGCAATTACAGCCAGTTCGACGTCACGATTGACGAGGTTCAGGTCTCGCTGTCGTTCACCAAGTGGTTCAACGGCAAAGGCTTGTTACACAACGTTTCAGTCACCGGCGTCAGAGGAGTGATCGACCGCACTTCAGTACAGCCACGCACAGGGAACGAAGATCCAAAGAGCTATCGTCACGAACACAACACGGGCGACTTTGAGATCGACAACTTCCGCATGGAAGACGTGTTGCTCACGATTTACCAGCCAAACGACTTCCGACCCTTCCAAGTGAGTGTCTTTAGTTGCGAGCTACCAAGATTGCGGAAGCAGTGGCTGTTCTACGACTTCCTCTGCGCCAACAACATCCACGGCAGCTTCGACAACTCCCTGTTCAGCGTACATCCAAGACAGGTGCATAGCACCACTGGCATTCCTTTGGTTGATGGCCACGAGGAGGACAGCTCGCAGTGGAAGAAGCACAGCCGCATTCGCATCGACGGGCTCAAGATTGATCACCTCAACCGAGGCGTGGAAGGTCCATTCTCCTGGATCTACGAAGGGAATGTTGACATTGTGGCAGATGTCATGATCCCGAATGACGCAGACGGCAGCATTGCCAAAGTGATGAGCGACTTTTACGACCGCATGGAAGCGACTGTCACGCATCAGGTGCAAAACGGTCGACAAGCGATCACGCAGCAGAGTGACAGTGTCATCAATAACCATGAAACATCACTCAATCACCTGCAGGAGAAGCCTGAACCACAGGCACCAGAGGACCCGAACGATAACCGATTCGTTGTTTTCGACATTGGCATTCACCTCAACGATGTGCGCGCTAGCGTGCCTATCTTCAACAAGGACTTATCATACGTCAGCAATGCTGCCGTCAGGCCGATTGTGGCGTACATCAACTCCCACTCCCATCGATCATCAAACTTCATCCCCATCAGCTGTCGAATCGTCAAACGCCTGAGCGAGTTCGACGGCTCATGGACCGTCTTCGACAGCGGCTTGCTCGACGACTTATCCCAAGAGACCTACGACGCATTTCTCAGGGACATCACAGACCGCAAACAGAGACAGAGGCGGATCAAAAAGGTCGGCCTCTGGGCCGCATCGGTCGCCGCCCAGGCGCTCTTCATCGGACTCGCTGGGCAATTGGCCTAGCACCGTCCAAGTACGACAACGATAGAGCTAGAAGCTCACTAATCTCGACCCTTCCCCGCGAGGAAGAATTCTGTGTACAGTTTGGCATGGGCATTGAGGAACAGCACCACAGCGCGGCGTTAAGGACAGGTATCATGGGCGTGTAAAAGTACATTGGGATTCTGGGTTTGGGAATGGGGATTGTGACTATACTCCGTCACAAGTTTGGGATTCTGGGCGGTGTTTTTGTATTATTTATTAGAGATGCTGACGACGCTTATGGCCTGACTGTACACTTTCTACCCTCCTCCACTTACCAAGACCTTTCATTCCGTTGAGTCAATACACATCAGTGCGAGGGGCCTCTCCACGTAACCTAAGTAAGATAGAAGTAAGTCTGATAAGGCTCGCTGATCATAGTGTTTCTATACTGGCGGGCAAGAACTCAAAGCCTGATCTAGGTAACAATCAAATCGTATTATACTCTACCTAGCGCCGTTTTCTTCCCGGGCTACATAACACATACTGACTCTATAAGCTAATAGGCTTTAGTACCGGATCTCGATTTAGGAAGGAGCAGTAAATACATTAGGAGTTTTTGTCAGATAGTTCACTCAAGCCTCCACTAGCTAGATAGTTGTCGTCGTGGTCGTCGTCTGAGCACTCTCAGACAACAGCTTCGCAAGCGCAGCCTTCTTCTCCGACTCATCCTGGATCTTGTCAATCTCTCCAACCTTCCTCTTAAACTCCGCCTCCTGCTCTCTCTTCTTCTCCTGCTCCTCGTGTTCCTCAGGTTCTCCAATGGAAAGCCCAGTGTCGAGCTCGACCTCCACCTCGGAGTTCGTCTCGTGGAGTTGTTTCTGCTCCTCTTCTGCCGCCTTCCGCTCGGCCTCCTTGTCGATCTTCTCTTCTCCGATTTGCTGGCCGTTCTCGTCGAATACGGCTCGGTAGTACTCGACTCCGGTCTGTTCTCCGTCCGCGTTGTAGATCGGTTTGATGAACTCGTTGGTGGCGGAAGTTCGGGTTCCGGTGTACTTGAGGGGCTGTGTCGATTCAGTATCGTTTAGACACATCAACAAATATGTGGGCGGTACTTACGCCTCCACGGAACATCTTCGTAAAAGTGGCGACCCTATAACCGGTTCCACCGTATGAGACGACGAGTGACTGGTCGGTCTGCAGGATTTCATGATCAGGATCTCATCGTCATCGTCGTGATGTACATAATATACGCACCTCGGATGCAGTGTATGTCGCCCAACCCTCACTGTTGCTTTTCATCGAAGTCGACGCGCTAGCTCCCCCCTTCGCGATGCCCGTGGCTCCAACGTTCAAACCGCCGCTCGTGTCCCGGCTATGGGCACTCTCCATCTTGATCTGGCACTCATCGGTCGACCAAGTCCTCGAGATAACCCACAGTCCATACTCGGCAATCTCCTCTCGATACTGACTCTGCACAATACCCTTGGCATTGGCCTTGATCCAGTCTCCAATGGTCGCTCGCGGCAACTGCGCGAAGCTATCCTCCACGATAATATTCTTGGTGATGAGCGCCGCCTTGCCCGTCTTGCCCCATTTATTCTTGGCCTCAGCCGAGACGTCAATCGGAGCCGCGGACAGGGCTCCGGAGACACCTGCCTCGAGTCCGAAGGAATGCTCCGCCTCACTGCCCGAGGACGTGGTCTCCCATGTTGAAGTTTTCGAAGGCGCCCGGGTCAGCGTTGGGCCGAAGCGCCCAAATCCGTCCTTCTCGGGACGGCCAGGCTCGGACAGGTCGGTGATTTGGTAGAAGATGCCGTTTTGGTCGAAGCATCCCACCGCACCCGGGTGGCACTGGGCAAATGGCTGAGGTCGGTATAGGTAATACCCAGAGCCATTGGGCTTCATGAGGGCGGCATACTCTTCGTGTACGGAAGGAGACATGGTGATATGGGTCAATGGGTTGTGCAACGAGTCGGTTTGCTGTTTCAGTGGACCCCTTTCCTGAGGGCGCCCGCTCTCATATCTGCGTAGCCAGCGCTGGGAGTATGGAAAGACGTCTCCTCAGATGCACTGGTTGGTAGACATGAGATCACGGATGAAGTCATGGTCGCAGGGATGGTCTTCGATCATCACCAATTTGGGATATTGCACTCTGGTGTCTTCAGGTTTTAGGTCCACGCTTGGGAGCAATAAAGTGGACTGTACCTAAGTAACTGGGAAGGTAGAAGCTCAGGAACCGGTCTTTCTCGTCCATATTAGTCGTCGTGCGTACGAAATCTGGCCTCTAGTCTGCCATTGCGATGCTGCTGCCAGGTAAGAGCGAAGGAGAGCTAGAGAAGAAGAAGGCGAGGGCAACAGTGGCACAGCGCGATGATGGACGTGCAGATACCTAGCCAGTGTGATGGTGCGCTCACTCTGTCCCAGAGCTTCGAGAGAGCGCTGAATGCGAGGTGGGTACAGCAGTTCTCTCGTCGCTCGTCGCAAGGCACGAGATTGGATGGTGATGGAGGAGGAGACGAGGTCAAAGGGCTAGTTGGAGCTAGCAATGCCGTGTGGTGGGTATTGACGATCTTATCTTATCTAGGATCTAGCTCGACACAGCTCCCAACGTCAGCTGCTTCTCTGACCTTTCTTGGCCGTCGACAAACATGTATTTCAGCACTCAGGTAGCACATTGCAAGAGAACGACATCGAGACTGCATATTCGTCTTGAGTGTTCTCCTGGTTCGCCTGCCTATGTCGTGACCACGAGCCCCGGCGGCGATGCTAGCCACCGAAGCAGCTGCTAGTACGCAAGACAATAACACCATCCCACGCGCGATGCACGCTGTTACTTGAGAGCTGGCCAATGATAGAATGCCACGAAAGGCTTAAACAAAGTCCCGGGTCTTTGAAATTGCCTTGAAGCACTCAATATGCTCCGTGACCGGGCATGAGAACTGACGTCCCGCTTTAGCCATGTGTGGTTGAGTAACAACGTGACATTGTGCTGGTGAGAGAGACTAGGACGCTACCAAATTGTGCCATAGTAGCGAGTATAGAGCGTGCCCGTTTGGTACCAGCAGCATCGACCTTGGGGTTCATGTCCAATCTTGTTCTACTTTGCATTCAAAACATTAGAGCAAGGTATTTTTACCGCCAACCCAACGATCACCTTGATTTACAATCGGCCCCTTGACGGGCATTTCTGCCACCATAATCCCTTGAAAGACCGGAAACATGGTCATTTTCAGCAACATGATCCCAGACTGCGAGGGAAAGTGTCCGACGGTTGAGCAATACATGATTCTCTTCCAGTGACCAATGGGTCCTCATTGTAGGGGGTGTTGGCCCAGATTGCCAGGAAGATGTCCTGCGTCCTTGCAATGGACTTCTTCAATCTACTCTTCGCAGCCGACCGTAGCCCGTTCAACATGATCCACGCGTAAATTGAGCTCTGGGCGCTGTTCGGCGAGCGCCTTAACTACTGCATCCGCTTCGCATACATGCAGGCGCTGTTGAAGCAGCAGCCTACCTACTTCCACGCATTTCCAACTATTTAGATTGCTGGCAGTCTCGATGCCGACATGACCAAGATTGATAACGGAACCGCAGAGAAAAGTCCATCTACATTACCAGCATGTCGCAGTTCATCACCGCTTACGCTGTGAGCTTCTACCAAGATGCTCGTCTAGCCTGCCAGTGTACTTGGCCTTTGCCCAATGCAGTGCCCAACACCTGGAGCACTTCACCAAGATCATGGACAAGGTATGCAGTCTGCTACTAGCCTCGCCGCCGAGTACCTGCACAACACTCCGCTAATACACTTCTTCCTTGCGGCGGATCACATGAAGAGCTGTTTCGACAGAGGTCGCAAAAAGTAGCTCCCGCTGTGATCAGAAGACACCAACAGCAGCCATCCAACTGGCTTTCATACCAGCAGCCGTCTATATATTCAGTACGCTGGCTCTATGGTCAGGGAGCAGACACATTTCGCACTTCTTCACCTTCTTCGTTGCTGCATCGACTTCCTACGGCATTGCGTATTGGTGGGGACCGAAGCTAGTTCTTGCTGATACGTTGACTTCGGCACAGTTCTTTACTGTTCTCCTTGCTATGCTGGTGGGCGCTCAGAGAGGTGGTCAACTATTCACGCCGGAGACTGATGCTGCCAGGGCGACGACCGCTGGTGCTAACGTGTTTGATCTGATTTCGCTCCTACGACGAAGCTCACAGCAGCAGCCAGGAATCGGGCATCTCAATAGAGGATGGCTTACTGCTCACCACAAGCACGATCACCATAACCGTCAAACCCGTCCAAGTCGCCGACTTCGTCGACTCCATCGTCTTCCGCGACACCACCTCCCTCGTCCTTGAAACGAACATGATTTTCGACGCCTCTGTGGCATTCGTGCTGAACTTGGTTGCTACGGCATGGGCCACAGCGACACAGTCTAACATCCCAAAGCAGCCCACAGTGCCAGAAATCCACGACACCGTAGCCTCCATCCCAAAAACCTACTTCACTCCTGCGCATTTTCGGGCAACCACCGCCGCTCCCCGGGTCTCCTCCTCGTCTGAAAGTCGATGACAGGAGACGCCTGGGGAGATTAGGCGGACGGGAGAAACGACGGTGGTGATCATCACCCGTCGATTGCTTACGGTTCAGAAGGCGCATGTGATTTTTTGCATGGAGGAGGGGAGGGTTGTGGCTTGGATTGGGGAGCGCATGGAGATTTGGCGGGTAAAATGAAGGGTGCAGGGCGAATGATTGGCAGCAGAGTTCGGGGTGATGGGTAGAGGACGATGGAATTGCAGGTGGGAGGAATGTCCTTTGATTCTTTGTCTGGTTGGAGAAAACCGTATCAAGTATGCGTGGTAATCCTGGCCTCTACCTCCTGCGATCTCTGTCCCGATCGTGGTGACGGTCTCTATCATCCCGGTCTTTATGCCGTCTAGATCGTTCACGGTCATAATCGTCGTTTTCTCTTTCACGATCCTTCCTCCGCCGCCTTTCCTTCTCCTTGCGGCGATAGTACTCTTCATCACTCTCTTCATCATGCCTCCTACGATCAGAATCACGCTCGCGTCTGTGATCGTGGTCCCGGCCAGCGTTCCTTTCCTTCTCTCGCCTGCGATCTCTCGAATCACGCTCCTCACTCTCATCTCTCCGCCGCCTCCTCTCCTTGTCTTTCTCCTTTCTCTCAAATTCGTCTTCGTATTTCTTCCTCTCGTCCTGCTCTCGCTTCTTCTGCAGCTCCTCCTCCGTGTACATCTTTCCTGTCTTCTTGTCTCTCAACAGGACAGGGTTGTAGATTTTGATTTCCTTGCCACCCTTGGCGCCTTTGCCCCAAGCGCCCATCTCCTGCGCAAGCGCTGCATCTTCTTTGGCTCCGATACCCAGCAGATTCGCTCGTCGTTCTGGGAGTTTGTTGATGTCTTTGGGCAATTTCTTGCCTCTCTGCGATCCAATCCCCTCGCCGTCTTTCCAGCCCATGCCACGAAGTAGAGCAGCCCCGAACTGTTCTACGGGAACGCGAGCGTAGTCGTCCAACGTGGCTGCATCTGGCGCAGAGGTGTAGTCGTGTTGAAAGGCGTCTCCTTCCGTCATTGTGCCCTCTGCAGCCGGTATCGTGAGGCTCTTATTCGTGGTGGTCTTGCCGAGAAGCGCATCCATAGCCAGTTCATCGTCTGTCTTCTGACGTGGCGGCTCGGCCTCTTCGCCATTTGCGTGGCCGTTCTGGTCTGTCGCATGTCCGTTCTCAGCCATCTCGTAATCACCGTTCTCCTCCGCTCTCTTATATGTGTTCAGCCCAAACTGAGGCTTCTTCGCCGCATCCGCCGCTTCGACTGCCCTCATCTTCTCTTCCATGTTCACATCGTTGCCATGAGTGGGCAATGCGCTCTTCTGCCTCTTGCGCTGATTGGCCGCTTCCCTCCAGTCTCGATTTGACATCTTCGGAATCACCAGCGGGCCGGTGTCTTTCTTCTTGCGACTCTCGTCGATTGCGCCGCCTGCTTCGCGATCAAAGTGCGAGACTTTCTCTTCTGCGCCAAACTCGGCGCCTGCGTCTTCTTCATCGTGCAGGCTGGAGTGTGGGCGCTTGACGCCGTTTATGGGTGGTGGCCCCTTGCGCTTCGCTCCGAGGGAGAGCGATATCTTGCTGGCCATGGTGTTGGAATGGTCTTTGAGCATGAGAGGTTGAATGGTGAGTCTTAACTTTTGGGCAGAGGCCGGAGAAGGAAGGTCTGCCGATTGACGTCGTGCTTGGCAGTTTTGGGCGTTCATGTGACAGCAGCGACCAACCTGGAGAAACCGAGAACTTGCAGTCGCAGGAAGGCTGAACAGACTCACTACGACGCAACACTCACATTAGGCCATGCGTTAGCCATTTCTCGTGGCAATGCCATCTCTGCAAGAAGTCGGCCACACCGCGAGGCTCAGCATTCTCCGGCTACTCGGGTACAGCTGCATACCCGGACCGGCTAACGCATGACTTCTGCATCTCACCGCCAGGATGAGATCATGATTCGCTTCTGAATGTTTGCCTGACTTCCTTAATCCAACGACATGTTGTGGTCAAGAGTGACTGCACAGTATTCATCTTGCTCAAACAACCACAATGCGCCGATCACATACCAACGTGAATCGCAAGATGTTTGAAGGCGCCGGGCTGTCGCTTAGCGCGCAAAACGGCGATACCAACCACGACACATGAGAGCACCGCCATCGATGCCCAACTGCCGTGATAAGGCTGCCGACTTGTGACCATATTCAGATCTCAAAGTCCACCACGACAGCAAACGTTCTGCCACGAGTCAACCAGATCGAAGAAACCTGCACGTTCTGCTTCCTCCGAAACGAAGATTTCCGACACGAGGCATGGCTTGCATCTATAGGCCGATCCCGCTATTGCATGAACACGCGCAACATGCCTGATGCTGGCGTGCATCCAAGGCTGGAGGATAGGCTTTCAAGTTTAATCCAGTATCCAGCGAGTTGCAGAAGGTTTCGACTGGGACGGCCATGATAGCTGACGACGAGGTGTAAGCGCGATCTGGTACCTGCAAGAAGCCTGCAGCCAATGACAGGCCAATCCTGGTCCAAGAGTCTATATGACAGGCGCCTTGAGTTCCGACGATGTGGTTGCACTAACTCAACCTCATCTGAAGGCCGACGTGAAAAGGGAGTGTGGTTCCTCGTTTCCTGGACTTTCTCGCTCCTCGTTGACCTCTGGACGTCGCCTTACAGCTTTTCAACGCCGAAGAACGCCAGACCAGTGGGCAGCAATGGACCAATGGATTACCGAGTCAACATCGAGACCTGGTCGAGCGTGCAGGGACAAGACGAGTCGAACCAATATTGGGCCCTGGTCATACATTCAATTGCGTCCAAGGAGCCCGAGAGAAAGTGCTGACAGCACAAGATAAGCCAACAAGCTATACGCAACACATTCTGTGTGTATCGAGAGCGAACATGAAGTGCAACGACGGCGATTATCAACTCACCTGGTGCTTGCGTGCAATCATTGCGCACAGGATGTCCTTCAGGGTCGAACGACGTACGCGATGCCGAGCAGGACCCGACATGGCTGTTTGACCTTGCCGTAGCCCCCACACACGGTGTTTTCAAGTTGACCTCCTTGTGCACAGCTTGAAGAGAATGCGGAGATTCCCCTGCGCTGCCCCAGATTCAGCGTGCTTTTGAATAGATCCCAGACGCTGTGATGTCCGGATCAGGCCGAGCAACGAAGACCCCATCTTGCTCTGTGCATCAGGGGAGGTCGTCGATCATGGTACGCTACTATGGCTCCCGTAGCCTCTGGGTTCTGTCCTACAAGACATTCCTTGTGAACGTGGGCAGATTCACACCGTCCTTCTTCGAGTTACAGTACCTTTGTAACACTCTTTCAGATGTTCCGAGATTTCGGCTACCCAAGCAAGTCCTGTACCTGCATCATGCATGACCGATCTACGATACCCCAGCATGAGATACGACGTGGAAATGAGAACATTGGGCCTGTACTTGATTAGCACAATACCTGGACCACCTTGGGAAAATTCAATGGTCAACGTACTCTCCAAGGCTTGCCAGGACCGATCTTATGGCCTCGATTGGAACAGCACCAATGATGGATATACAGTGCCCAATTCATGACAAGGCCGCCTTGATCCGAAATCGCGACGGTCATACACGACCAAAGGAAAGGACTGGCTAGTTGGAGAAACTACAGAGCTCGAAAACCCATGGCTACGGGCATCAGCAAACTCTGGACTTTCGGGCTGAAGGGTCCAGATTCCAGAATGTCGACAGCACTGAGCAGCCGTTTACGACATCCCAACATCGACGAGCAACACGAGAGAAAGAGCTGGAAGCGGCACCGCTGGGAACGTCGCGAGTCCTTCCGACCCTGAAAATGGACGCGTTGAGGCCAGCGGGACTCGTCTTTGCGGACCGAAAGTATCTTACCTCCGCCATCGCGACGTTGAATAACACCTTTCCATGTGGCGAATTAGCATCGACAATCTTCTGCAGTTGGATCTCACTTGTCTCACTCTGTGGCTACCTGAGGAAGGACAGCCATGGCGGCATCCTCTTCCAGTGGCAAGAAACGCCCGGCTGGTGGTCGTCAACGGTCTACGATCCTCGGCTATGTGCAGTCCAAGTACCGCGTCGCCGATGCTGCCCATTGTTGTGATGACGGGCTCGAGCTGCAGGTACATTTTACAAATGCAGGTACGCGGAGCAAAAAGGAAAACAAGCGTGACGAGCATTCGAGCTTGTGCATGCTGCACAGGGCAGGAGAGACGTGTAGACTTCGACGCTGGGCGAGCGCCGCAAAGTCTGGATGCTGGACTAGACTTTTGCTCTTGACGATGATGTGCGAAGGTCGAGTGCAGTGACCGTTATTGGTTTGGACTTCCTCGGCGACGCGCTTTTCGCACTCGAGTGAGGCGTCCCATCTTATCGTCAGCCTGAGGCACAGTGGAGCCTACGATCGTCCCTCGCGGGTCTGTCCCGTACACCCGCATGTCTCACCAGGACGAGATGGACCCCACGGCTCCACGAGCTCGCCACCTACGACGTCAGGAACAGCCGGCGATGGCACATGAAGTGGGAGAGCGAACAATTACCACACCGAATGGGTCACGCTGCCATCACCAGCACGAGCTTCGTGCAAGCGAAGTTGAAGCGAATCTCGACAAGAACACCCACGAGCACGTGCGATGCGAGGCCCTGGATGATGGACAGGCACGATTCATGAACCCAGGCTTCCAGAAAGTGCTGGTGTTTGTTCGGTCATTCGGCTCTTGAACAAAAAGTCCCCTCCACCTTTGAACCGAAGTGGCAACAAGGAATCCCAGCTGCTGATCGCAGGCATGTGAAAGTCGGGGTCGCAAGGTTCCCAACGCCCAGCTGTCAATCTCGGCCCTTGGCTGTGCCTGGCACCGTGGGCGATATACCGCGCAAGGTGGGAGAGCTAGAGAAGGATAGCAAGTGCGAGGATTTTGGACGGGTTGTAGGTTCGCTGCATCCCAGTGCCGCGGCGGTGATGTGGATGCTAGTCGCAAGCCACCGTCACCGAGAGCTTGTCACCGGAAAGGAAAAAGACATGACGATGGAAGATCGTCGTCGAGGTGGGTTGGGAAAACGCCCAATTTCGTTTAGGGTCGATCGTCCGCTGGGCGGAAGTGCTGCAGGAACAATTCTCGTGAAGAAGCGACGGCGGAAAGTCTGAACAATTCCCCGGGGGTCCTACGTCGGTAGCTCGGCACTACGGACGGGACTGGCGGATCAAAGTCAAAGGCCCAGATGCCGTGGACGAAAAAGCAGAGAGCAGCAGCTCGTGATGATGATGAGAGCTCCTCCAGCAGCTCTTCTCGGCAGCTGTGCTCGCAAAAGGGCTGTGTCGCGTTCGCACACGAACAGGAACAAACGAGGCAGGGCGGCACAGATTGTTGTTGGGCAACGCGTGCCGGCTAGTTGAACCCGGACGAGCTCCCGTATCTGTGGGTGTACACCCGAGGAAGGGCTGGCTGCCGGCGAGCCAAGTGTATTTTGATTGACAAGTAACGTCCAGCCCGCATACGGTGTTTGACATGTGAGAGAGGGAAGAAAAAGGCCAGATATACCGACCACTTACAGAATAGATATTTTCTTTTTGGGCCCTGATAAGACCGAATGCAGAGTCAAGGACGGCTCCCAAGGGAATCTGACAGGCCACAACCAGCGACAGCGACACCTCCTGCAGCGTGAAATTAACATGTCGGCCTCCAGAGCGCACTCGTCGCTCCTGCAGTAGTTCCGCATAGGGAAGGGTGCCTACGCAAACTAGGCGAAGGCTGTGCTACATTCGGTGGGAGTGCCTGTTTGAAGGTTTTCGCTGTGCTCGCCGTGGCTGCATACAGTACCTGTACCTGCCGTTTGAGTTTTGTGGACGGCATAAATTGTGCATTAGCGGGGTTTTTGCAGCTTTGCACACGCGCTTCTAAAAATTCACGACCAATGCCGAGGCGTGGACGCAGCCCAACTGTGCCTGCACCTCTGGCTGGCTGCGCTGGAGCTCGCTGGCGCCGACGAACGACAGACTGACAGACAGCGACACTGCGGCAGCCGACGTCCGGCGGTCGTTCGTCTGCTTGTTTGTCGCACCGAGATGCGCTCAATATGGACACGTCTTCTCGAAGGTCGATCGGCCTTCTAGTTGATACAGAGCACCGGTAGACCGCTACCTGGCAAGTGGAGCTGGTATTTGTGTGCTTCGAGAAGACGCTGCGTCAGAGAGTGAAACAATGGCGTGGGGAACAAGTCGCCGATGCATATCCACCAATCACGACGCCGCGAGTCTGTCCGGTGGCCTGGCGGGCGGGCAGCGACGGTACCTGGTACCTGCGTTAGGTGCTGCTCGTGTGTTTCAACTCGTCCGACGCCAGGCCGCGGTGGGAAGCAGCAGCAGGAGCAAGAAAGTGATGAGATTTTTCCTCGCACGCGTCGATTTTGACTCGCCTCTCGCAGCTGCGTGGCCACGGCCGCCGCACTCTGATCAGCCGTGGAATGGTGCGACCTACCCACTGGCAGGCGCTGCAGTAGCGAGCACCAGCAGCCAGCACAGCGCAGCACACCACACCACGCCCGTGTCTTTCGTTCGCCGCGACCGTGAGGCCACACACGGCGTGATGGCTGCGCAGCGAAGCGCTATTGGAAGAAAGTCCTGACACATGTCTGCACCGGCGCAGCGAGCGGTCCAGCGAATCCCGAGCTAGGGTCTCGACGGTTGGTGATGATTGACTTCCGGCACAGGTTATCGATTGGAAGCGAAGCCGTGGTGATAGGCTGACCGGTGGCGTTGGCAGTCTGGCCACACGGCCTGGCGATGCCGCGAGTGGGCAGTGAGAACGACGAAGAAGACGAGTCGCAGCAGAGACAAACGACCAACACTGCGCTCACGACACGGCAGGCAGGCCTGGGCTATTGGATTGCACTATTGACGGATCTGAGCAGAAACATACACGCTGCAGCTTTGCAGACTGACTGGCCGTGTGGCCACCGGCGGCTTGAGACAGCTGCATCGAATAGTCGTCGTCACTGTGCAGCTGTGCAGAGCGCGTCGCCGGGTCCGAGGAAAGCGGCCTGTCGTCGTTCGCTGGACCAGCCCAAGCAGCGACGCTGTGTTTGCAGCTGCACCACGCTGACTCTAGACGCGACTGTGTACCTGAGATGCTGATGGCGGATGAATCGAACAGACATGCCGCCGCAAACAGCCCACGGGAGTGCAGTCGGCGGTGGTGATTCATGGGCGGTGCTGGGATGGGATGATACAGCTGAGGATGAGACGCAAGAGAAGAGACCTGTCCGATCCCACACTACTGCTGTCCTTTCCTACTCGACCTGCACGACGACGTCGAAATCTTGTGCTGCTCGACGCGCTGGTGTGTGTCGCCTTTCTCGTATGCATGCATGCACGGTCAACGACTTGTGGCCAGCCGGCACCGCACACCAGCGACCTGTACCTGGGAGGAATGGAGCAGCAGCGGCGTGGACGTGGGTGGATGCAGCGGCGCAGTAGCGTGGTGCCGGGGTGGGCGTACCTGCATGGCGGTGGGACGCTGTCGTTGGCTGCGTGTTGGGCGGGCATGGGTCTGGGATGCGTCCCGATGTGCCCCATGAGCCAACTCGAATCGCGCACGCACTACCGCCGCCCTAGCTCTTGTTCCTGGGCCTAACGCTTCTGGGGCTCGCCGCGCAAGTCTGCTCGCTGATCTGTCTTTATCGCCCGGCCGCCCCCATCCATCAATTCGCCCAGGGTTTATCTTAAACTTGGTCGTCGTTCTCTTGTGCCTCTCCTCTATCGTCATCCGTCGTCTCTTCTTCTTTCATCGTTCCCTTTAAGGTCCACATCCGATCTGTGCTTTCGTGCAAGACCCGGACGGCCTCGTCACTCCTTAGGAACAATCTTCTATGCTACACTAACTTCCTGTACCACCATCAATCGAACATCCTCCGCCTCGGCCTCGATCCTCAACGACCACCACTACTACGACTCTCGTCATTCCTTCCTAGTCATCTCCATTGGGACCTCTGTATTGTAGCTGGACCCTTGTACAGTGTGACACTATAACCGCATAATCCAACAACGAACAAACGATCAATCACCTCGTCCATCGAATGTGTCGAGACGTCTAACAATCCAACCACAACAGGAAAATCCAAAACATCAGGTCAGTAGTTGGTAGCGATGCGGTCTGCAAATCTACCAGCTCGACAGCATTTGCTGACCTCCCGCAGAAAATCGACACGACACAATGGAGTACGCGCACCAAGCAACTCCCCCAATGGGGCAATCACCATTCTTCTACTACAACCCAGAGCCAAGTCCAGAAAACCGACAACATGGACACTTCACGCCGCACCCACAGCACCCACACGGTCTGCCAATGGCCATTGTGCCATCGAGTCCTCAGCACGCGATGCACTTCCAGCAGCCAATGTACCACCGCCCACAATCCGCCGGCATTCCCGTACATTACCAACACCAGCACGCCTATGGCCCAATGCTCACCCCAGATGCTTCCCCGCGTCAGCACCAGAAGCCCACATTTATGGTGCCGCAGCCGCTCCCACAGCAAGACGTTCACGGCTTGATGGTCGACACTGAATGCCACTACTTCCCAGCGACGCCCACGCTCTCTGCATCGGGCTCATTCAGCTCAGTCTCGACTCCTCCGTCGACATGCGACATTGTGCCAACTCCGGTCAACGGTCAAGGCGTGTTCTTCGCCAAGCCACAAATGGTTTTCCAGCCAGCGGTCAAGCAGGGCTGTGAGGAAGAGGTGTTCCAAGAGGTGCTGGCTGGTGGTGACTGGACTCGTCCGGGCTCACCTCCCATGACGCCAGTTTTCCTGCACAACAACTCGGTGTCTGCTGCGAGCGGCACGTCGTACGAGATTGCGACTGGGTCTACCCAGGTCTCTCCTTCCCCGTCCCCGGTGCCAAGAAGCGTCGCTTCCGAGCAGGACGTGTGCGACCCCCGAAATCTGACCGTGGGCAATGCCGCTGGTGAATTCACCAACCTGGCGACGCTCTGCCCCGGTGACGACGAGGAACACAAGTCGGCGTTCAAGGGCGACTTCGCGGCGCCGCAGCACGAGCCGCACGTCCAGATTGCGGCCCCTGCTGAGCTAATCAGCTACGGGGGCTACCCGACTTTCGAGCCAATCTTCGAACTCGACAACGAAGACGACTACTCCGGCATGGTCGCCTACTCCCAACCCGAAGTCCACTACAACGGCAGCAAGCGCCAACGCCTCGACCTCGTCCCCGGCCTCGTCGAAGACGACGGCTTCTTCAGTGAGGAGAGCTTCAGCGACGACGAGCTCGCTAACGCCGGTTACTCCCCGCCAATGTCGGAGTTTTCCATCCCTGATGACTCTGCCGCCGCGCAGAAGAAGTCGCGCAAGAACACCAAGAAGAGCGAGCCCGCCCATCACCAGCACACCGCCCAGACTACCCAGCAGACCTCGACGGCTCCCACCTCGACGGCGCCCAGCACCACCTCCGAGGCCGATGCCAATGACTCCGGGGCGCCCACTCCCGCCAGCAACAGCAACGTGTCGCGCCGCGGTCGCAAGCAGTCCCTGACTGACGATCCATCCAAGACTTTCGTCTGCACGCTTTGCAGCCGCCGCTTCCGCCGACAGGAGCACCTCAAGCGTCACTACCGCTCTCTCCACACCCACGAGAAGCCGTTCGAGTGCTCCGACTGTGGCAAGAAGTTCTCCCGCTCCGACAACCTGTCGCAGCACCAGAGGACTCATGGCGCCGGCACCATGGTCATGGGTGTCCTCACCCAGCCAGGCGAGCCTCAGATGCAGCAGCCCATTGAGTCAGTCAACGGCGGCGACGCTGGCAGCTTGATCCGACCCAAGCAGGAGCAGCAATATCAGCAACCTCAGCAGCATCAGTACCCTCAACAACACCGCGTGAGCCCTGATGCCCATGAGCTCGGCTCGATGCTCTTCGATGTCACTGCCCAGGTCGCTGGCTCCAGCTCAAGCAGTGTCGGCTACTCGGATGGCGACTTCTCCCCCAACTCTGATCGCAAGCCCGCGAAGAAGAGGAAGAGGGAAGAGTAGAGCTTCCCGGACTGGGATGCCTTCTTACGCCTTCGGTCAGGACGACTTTGATGTCACCCATGCATGATGGTCGACACTGCCTTTTTCTTTTGATCGATACGAACCTTACGTCGTCACGCCTGGGGATACCACAATAAAATGGGACATGGGATGGGTGCAGATGAGGCGCCACACAACGGTACTATCTCGAGGGGTCCAAGAGGGTACCACTTCACTTCAACACCACACCTTTCTACTTCGATTCAAAGCGGCTTCAAACAGGACGAAGATTCTCGACCTACTACCTTTTTTGGACATTCTTACTTTCGCTACTGTACAACTAATACCTTTCTTCTGGGGACTGGAACTTTATGGGCATGCTTTTGGTTTGGGGGAACTTTTTTCAAGCTTCGAACCAGACTTTCACAAGTCGGCGAGGCTGCTTTTCTGCATGCATTGCGTTATGCGACTTTCTTCGTCCTTGCTTTGCGCCTGCGAAGATTTGTACATTACTTTTTCCTTTGTGTGTGGTGTGTGTGTGCTTTTGCTTTCTTCTTTCGACAGTTCAAGACGTACGATGGGAATGAGGCGAAGAAGAAAGCTGTCTGTACGTTTATACATCTGCTTTGCCTGCTTCTATCACCAACCACACACAACTACCTGCGCTGGTCGAAGGGAAGCGGTGCGTTGGGGAAGAGAGAAGAAAAAAGCTGTCTGTCTTACCACTACTACTACTGTGTACCTACCTGTATCATAAGACCTCGAACCAAAAAAGCATCTGTCGTTTAACATGATCAACTTTCATCATCGTCAGTACTGCTTCCTTTTCTTGAACTTCGTAACCGTTTCGCCTCTGCGTCACAGGTCTTGAATCGCGCCATGCGTTCTGGATTCCAACAGCCACCGCCATGATCGAAAACGCTCACAACCAGACGCTCAAACATCCACTTCATCATCACCTATCGAGACTCAACTTCCCTGTTTTGCAAACCAACGCCTTCGTTCATCAATCGTTCCTGGTTGACTCGAAGGGCTGTCAGAAGCAAGCCACCATCTCACATCTCACATCTCACACACTGACACTCCCGTTTCCCTGTCAACTGCATCGATGGCCAATCACAAAAATGAGAAATTCAAGCCCCGAAAATGTCCTTGACGAGACAGACGCACGCCACGCACATGTCAGGAGAGGAGAGACGTCCGCGAAGGAGACAGGAATAGCAATGGAGGCGGGCTGCATGCGACCTGTCAGCGACAAACAGGGAGAGAGAGATCGGTATGCGTGTCCCAAACAGGAGAGTGCGAATGTCATGCACAAGTACAAGCACAAGTAACAACAAGTCCTGACTCTTTTCGGTACGGTCATGACTCTTCTCGGTACGCACACGCAAGACTGAGATTGTGATGGTGCGGGATGCATACATACAAGCTGAGTGGCTTGTGGGGCCACGCGATGGCTATGAATAGAATGTAGAAGAGAAAGGATAGATCTAGCGACGGTGACGATGTACGCTATAGGAGAACAAGATAGGCAGTAGTAGTGTTTGTGGAAGAGGATCACAGGATGTCCAAGATCTATGGTACACACACGGCAGGTTTTAAGGTTCTGTCAATCTCAGGGGGAGGGGTGGGACCAATCAGGTTGTGGAAGTGCATCAAGAAGTTTGGTGTGGCTTCTGGGACTCTTCCTTTGGCGAGTGTGGCTTGTCTCCACAATTAGGATGGGACGGCTTCCGTGTTTGTGATGATGTTTGCGAGACGTGGATGGGGATGGGGGATGCGAACTGGTTCGTGGTTTCGGTGCCGAGGGTTCGGGTGGAGGAGGAGGATCTTTTTGTTCGTGGTCGTGGTTTTGGGGATGGCGGCTGTGCTGTGGTTCCTTCGAAGTGGAGGATAGTGAGGTGAGAGATAATGGTGGGACGGCAGCATGGTCGACTGTGATTGTGATGTTGTTGAGAGACGCGTCGAGGACGTGATGCAGCTGGAGAGTCCGACAAGCTGCTTTGCTTTGTGCGAGTCTCGCTGTTGGAGGACGCTCTACCATCCCCAGTGCCATCCTCCGCCATGTCCACCACCCCTCCCCTCCCCAAAATCCACAATCACCGCACTACTCCTCGGCACTCCCACACTCAATCTGCCTCTCGAGACGCTCACCTCCTCTCCACGGGTAACATTCCGCAGCAGAACCGGCCTACCATTCTCCCGCTCGTAGTTATAGCTAAACCCATCAAATGTCACGCCCGAGATCGCATCGCTACCATTCGCGATAAGGCGTTGAATGCCGAAGTTTCCCTCGAGGTATGAGGGGAGTTGGAAGGAGTAGTTTTCGGTGGGGCGTGGGTAGGTGTTGATGTATTCGGCGTTGTAGTCGGTTGCGTTGTAGGACTAGATGAGAGGGGAGGGGGTTAGATTGTTGGGGGTATGCGGGAGTGGGAGGGTGGAGGCTCACCATCATGTTGATTACGATTATGCGGGCGAGTTTGTTGTTGACGTAGGCTGCGTAGGCTGCTTCTTCCTCGTTGGGAAGTGGGAGGTTCACGATGCTGGGTACGGACTTGGTGATGTCGCCCAGGAAAGCCGCCACGGCGACGTTGCCGTAGTAAGGCGCTTTGGTCCCCTTTGTCGCTTTGTCGGTGTCGATGGGCTGCCAGCTTTGGTAGCGGTAGTTCGTGCCCATGTGCATGTGCACACGTTGGATGTTGTTCGTTGCACACCATAGGTTGAAGTCGACGCCCCAGAGAGCGGCCCCGAAGGTGTTGGAGAGGCCTGGTCGGCCTTGGTTGTAGAGGGAGTTGGTTTCGCCTAGGATGAAGGGGAGGTTGGGGTTGATGTTGTCGGGGAGGGCGGCGAGGCGGCGGGATTCGTTTAGTTGCTTGGCGATTGAGGCTACCGTTGAGGAGTGGTTCATGAGGGTTCCTTGGAGGGTCACGCCAGGGGATTCGGCTCCGCTGATGTAGCTGCGGCTGTTAGTGATGATGGCAAAGATGTGGTTACGCAGCACCTACTTATGAGAGCTGATGATTGCGATGTCCTTGTCGGCGTCCAGTCCATCTTGCCATGCCACAATCGGATCGAGACTGTTGGTACCTGTGCCTGCAAAGGAAGGTGCATAGTATTTGTAGGCTGCATCAGTCGCAAGCTCAGGGCATGCTGTTCTCATAGCAGTACGGATCTCTCGCGAATACTTCAGCCACTCATCCACGTAGTCCTGTTCATTCCAGGTAGGTGGCCTCACGTCTCTCTGCCCGGAGGTCTTGAAGAGGTCTGGTTCGTTGCCGAGTTCCCAATATAACAGCCGTCCATTCTCCAGAGCTCTACAGGCGTACGGGGCAGAGTCGATCAAGCCTTGTCTTGCTGTGGTGCTGTTTCGGCCCAAGTTGAAACCATGTACGTACTTCGTGCCAGGCCAAGTATGATAGCTATCAAAGAAGGCCGGTCCAATGGTAATGGTCGTTGGGTAGTCTTCCGTGATTGCTGGATCATAGATTCCGATGAAGGCCTCTGTTTGTGATTTGTTGAAGACGGCGTAGTCTTGTGTGTTGCCACCGACCCGGATATGAGGCTTCGTGCCACTGATTCTTCCGATGTTGTTGAGTAGATTGTCGGAAAAGACGTTTGGGTTCGACGTATTTCCAGCGAAGTCTACGAAAGAGCTGAATTCAATCGAGTACGAAACGAAACCTTCGCATGGAATGCCAGCTCCAGCAGGAGGCGAACCGCGTACGGAGATGATGGGTCCTCCATGCTGGCCTCCACTGGGTTGATATGTTGTTGCTACAGCAGACACGGCAAGCGGTATGATGGCCGCCAGCGACTTGGAGAGGGCCATACTGAAAGTTTGATACTGGAAAAGAATGCTGTACGTGGTGAAGTCGTTTTGTACAAATTTATACTTTCCTCTACCACCACCTATCGATGTAACATTGTTCCCCGCATTATAGCAAAGAGTTCCGGATTGTGCTGCCGCTTCTGCATGTCGTTGCCTCTTCTTGCCGCTTTGCGGAGATGTGCCTGCTGATCAATGCGGAGTACCTGGAGACGGATGAGTGTGGGCATCCGTGGCAGCCACCATTTGCCGGCTGAATGTCTGTTCAAAGGCCGACACGAACGTGGAGGAGATGGATGAGTGAGTTGTTGCCTCTGGATAAGTAATCTGGAATCGGGAGGGCACTGGCTGCATTGTACAGGCAACGGACAGGTCTCGTGTGCCAAAGCATGAAGCAAGCAACGGAGAGGTCCTAGCACTTGTGATGCCATCTTCCCATGGCAGAGACGAATCTTGTGACAATAGACGAGACATGCGCAGAGAGATTGAAGTCGAGGAGGTGAAGTCGAGTGCGCCGTCACCGCGAGTGCTCTGACCTCTCCTCATTGGTTGTCCAGGCAAGCGGACCGAGCGCTTTTGTCTTGGCGGTCGCATATCACGAATTTTCGGCCTCACGTCCAATCTTCTTCCTTCTTCGTGCGGCGGACGCGATCAGAAATTTCCCCAAGTTGCGCATACACCTCCTCCGTGGTGACTCTTGCAGCGTCTATCGCGTCCAAGAACAAACATATTGCATCATTGGTTCTGCCAGCCACCTCCGACTCGACTGCCTCCTTTGCGTGGCCTTGTTGGCGCGTTGACAACCGAACAACTTTCCACGTAGCTATCATCATCCAGCTGAGTCAGTACGGGCTGTCGTCTGATACTCTGTAGGTGTCTGTCCTTCATTCGCTTCTCAGACCTCGCTCGCTCGCAAGGTCAGCTGCTTTCAGCATTGCCCTAAAAGTGCATATGCAGCAGATCCGCATGTACCCTTAGCTCACAGCATGAGTAACCTCAATGTCGTCGCCCTCATCTCAGGCGGCAAAGACTCTTTCTTCTCCATCCTCCACTGTCAAGCCAACGGCCACAATGTCGTAGCATTGGCGAACTTGCACCCTCCTCAGGTAGAGGGAGCTGGGCAGGCCGACGATCTCGAAAGCTACATGTACCAGACTGTCGGGCATGCGGTCATTCCCCTCTATGAACAAGCCCTCGGACTGCCTCTTTACCGGCAGGATATCATCGGCGGTGCCGCGAATCAGAACAAAAGCTATGGTGTGACCACAGAGACTGCGCAGGACGAGACTGAGTCACTCCTGCCACTTCTACGGAAAGTCCTTGCTGCTCATCCAGAGGTCAACGCTGTGAGCACTGGCGCCATACTCTCAGATTACCAGCGGACACGAGTCGAATCTGTCGCTCTTCGCCTTGGGCTCACACCTCTCTCATACTTGTGGCAATGGCCATCGCTACTACCTCACACGCCATCGTCTCTGCTGGAAGACATGGCTTCCGTGGGCCAGGACTCCCGCATCATCAAGGTAGCTTCTGGTGGGCTAGACGACAGCTTTCTATGGCAGAATGTTGCCGACCGACGGACTATTGCACGACTCATGAAGGCTACAGGGAGGTTCGGCTCGCCTGGAGATGGTGCCGTGCTCGGAGAAGGTGGCGAATATGAAACCTTGGCAATCAGCGGCCCTGTTCCCTTGTGGAAATACGACATCGTTGTCCCTCCCGAAGGAGTTCACATTCTGTCTGGCGAGGCTGGCAGTGCTTCAGTACAGATCAGCCAGCCGTGTGTCTGCCCGAAAGCTGGAACAGCACCTGCAGCTGAATTACCCAGACCACCACTTCTTGAAGACCAATTCCAAGCCATGTATGAGGCTCTTGTGGCGCACAACCATGAGCATACCGACACGCCTTCAGAATCCTCGAAGCTAGAATCACCTACTGGTGGTAATTCTGAAACGGATGACTTCGTGCTGCTGTCGAACCTGACTGGCGCAGGCCACACTCCAGCCGAGCAAACAAGATCAATCATGGACAGGATCATTGCGCAGCTGGGCGGCAGGAATCAGGGTCCGGACAATATTGCCTACACTGTCATCACTTTGCGAAACATGGGCGACTTTGCGGCCGTGAATGCAGTATACGGGAGCTATTTTGTCAGTCCAAATCCACCAGCACGAGCAACAATAGCTTGTGGTAGTGTGCTCCCAGCCGATGCACTCCTCTCCATCAGTGTCACTGCCTCTCCGGATCCAAGGGAGGGCTTACATGTGCAGTCAAGATCATACTGGGCCCCCGCGAATATCGGGCCATACTCTCAAGCCGTCAGATTTTCCGACAACTGTGGCTCTAAATCAATGGGCGGTGCCGTCTTGATAGCAGGACAGATACCCCTCATACCTGCTACGATGGACCTACCGAAGCACTCGCATCCTTCTCGCACTCAGAGTTTTGCAAGACAAGCAGTCCTCGCATTACAACACCTTTCTCGCATCAGCCGGGTAATGAAGGTGAGGCGCTATTCCTACGCAATTGCACTTATCGCGTGTTCAGGGACCGAGCTCGATGGCTTGGCTGCGAAAGCAGATACAGTCAGACGTGCTTGGAATCTGTTCCATAAACCACCGCCAAGCACTCAGACGGAAGACGACGATGAAGATTTTGACATCTGGCACCAGAAGTACGGCGCCGAAAAGACGCCATGGCTGGCACACAGCTCAGGCACGATCGAAGACGACGACGAGGCCCAAATAGGCGTGCCACCACTGGTTGTTATCTCTGTTGACAGCCTGCCACGGCAGTCAGATGTCGAATGGATTGGCAGTTGTAAGACTGTGATTAATCACGATGAGAGACCTCCTCTACACCTTCAATGCCTACTAGATGCCTTTCGAGACCGCATTCTGCTGGGATGATGATTGGTCGCAAAACAATCTCCGAAGCCCTAGGCAAGGCTGGATGAGATGCGGCTGGGAATGCATCTGCCCTATAGATCCTGCTACTCTGCATCCAGAGCGGTACCGTGGGGAACATCCGGCGGAATGAAGAGGATTAGAATCGCATTTCGAGATTGCGAAGTCACCGCCGTCCAAAACGACCCCCCAAATCAACCCCACCTTGAGGCTCTAGCTGCATGGCGCTTGCCCTGCCCCGCTTTCTTCTCGGACGACATTGCGTGGTGTCTCATATTTTGCGAGAAACTGGTTGGCTAGCACAAAGCCTAATCATCATGCTCGAGTCGGACCCGTTGACGCGCCTGAAATCCCAACAAGGCGCCTATCTGGTAGGGCATTGAGGGATTAGTCGAAAGATGTCATGGAGTTCGAATCCGCCTCCAACCGCAAGCTCGGGTACGAGATGATATCGAGGGTCATACAAGGCCCACTCTGTGGAATCTTAGGATCACCCGCGTGTTGCGGTGCGCGGCGGCCGTGTAACCGCAAACGAACCCGAGGCAATGAATCCGTGTGGCATGGCTTAGGAAAGAGTAGGTCGCTAGCTTCGATTCACAGGTAGGACTTGAAAACCACAGCTCCTTCTCATCTCTTCTCACTCCCTCTATCCCACTCTTGCTTTTGCTTTCATCTCACTGCACAGACTACAATGGCACCTGATCTGAACGGCGTCGCCGCAGGCGGCAAATTCGACTACTCCCAGCCAGGATCCTCTGGGTACGACATCAGGCAGGACCTCACATGGAAGTCAGTAGACCGAGAAGAAGCGTGAGAGCTCGAGACAGCTGCTAACAAGAAACACAGAGACCCGAAGAATCGCAAGCTCAAAGTCCTCACGATTGGAGGTGGCGTCACGGGGATCTTGATGGCATATCAGATCCAGAAGCTGTGCGAGAATGTTGAGCATGTGATCTATGAGAAGAATGCGGATATCGGTGGGACTTGGTGAGGAGATGGTTGTTCTTGATGTTTGGAGCTTTTGCTAACCTATGCGTCCTATCCAAGGCTAGAGAACAGGCATGACGTTCGAATCCACACATGCTACCACCTCTAACACACTCGTAGATACCCCGGCTGCGCCTGCGACATCCCTTCCCACGCCTACACATTCCAATTCGCCCTCAACCCCGACTGGCCACGCTTCTTCTCCTACTCCCCCGACATCTGGAAATACCTCGACAAAGTCTGCAACACCTTCGACCTGCGCAAATACATGACCTTCCACACCGAAGTCATCGGCGCCTACTGGGAAGACAGCAAAGGCCAATGGCGCGTAAAACTCCGCCAGTCCAAACCCAACGAAGAGCCGCGCGAGTTCGAAGAGCACTGCGATCTTCTGCTACATGGCACGGGGATCTTGAATAATTGGAAGTGGCCGGATATACCGGGTTTGAGGGATCGGTTCAAAGGGAAGATTATTCATACGGCGAGGTGGCCGAGTGAGTATCAGACGGAGGAGTGGAAGAAGGAGAGTGTGGCGGTGATTGGGTCGGGAGCGTCGTCGATTCAGACCGTGCCTACGATGCAGCCGCATGTGAAGCATTTGGATGTTTTTGTGAGGACGGGGTGAGTTGGTTGAGGAAGGAGGTGATGTGGTGCTGACGGGGATGACAGGGTTTGGTTTGTGCAGATTGCCAACAATTACGGGCAGAACAAGGAGTATGACCAGAAGGAGAAGGATGAATTTCGCCACAACCCCAAGGCTCTCGTCGCTCACGCAAAGGTCAGCCTTCCACTCCCCCAACCACACAAAACTCCACTAACATGATCGCCCCACAGGACATCGAAGACCAAGTCAACGGCCTCTGGGGCGCCTTCTACTCCGGCACGGAAGCGCAAAAAATGGGCCAAGAAATGTTCAAAGCCCGCATGGCCGAATTCATCAAAGACCCACGCCTCCTCGAAGGCTTCACGCCCAAATTCGGCGTCGGCTGCCGCCGCATCACGCCCGGCGACCCCTACATGCTGGCGATCCAAGAACCCAACGTCGATGTGCATTTCACGGCCGTGGCGAGCTGCACGGAGGACGGGGTCGTGGGCGAGGATGGGGTGGAGAGAAAGGTGGATACGGTGGTTTGTGCGACTGGGTTTGATGTTAGTTATCGGCCCAGGTTTCCGCTTGTTGGGAAGGGGGGCGTGGATTTGAAGGTATGTGTGGCCGTCTTTGAGAGGGAATGGGGGTATGTGCTGATGTTTGTTTGTGCGCAGGATAAGTGGAAGGTCTGTCCCGAGTCATATCTTGGTCTGGCGATTCCTGAGTTTCCCAACTTCATCACGTTTGTGGGGCCGACGTGGCCGGTGGAGAATGGAAGGTCCGTACTGAGCTTCTCGAGATCGAGCAATGAAGGACTGAGCTAACAGAACATGAATGGCAGCGTAATGGGTCCTCTTCACACGGTCTCAGATTACGCTATCCAGATCATCAAGAAGATGCAGAATGAGAATATCAAGAGCTGGGCTCCGAAGCAGGACATCACTGACAAGTTCAACGACCACGTTCAGGTAAGCAAGCCCTCCAGCACCACAACCCCCTCGCCTTCACACTGACAGTGATTCTACAGGAATGGATCAAACACACCGTCTGGAAAGAAGACTGCCGCAGCTGGTACAAAGACAACAACACAGGCCGCGTAAACGGCAAGTCCCCCCTTCCCCTCCCCCTCCCCCTCTACCACCCTCACTAACATACCCCTTCCCCTCACAGCCGTCTGGCCCGGCTCCTCCATGCACTACCAACAAGTCATCGAAACGCCACGCTACGAAGACATGGAAATCTCCTACTTCGACAAGAACCCCTGGGCGTGTCTGGGCATGGGATGGACGGTGGAGAATCGCATCACCGCGCAGGGTGGGGCGGATTGTAGTCCTTATTTGAGTTTGGGGAATTTGGATCCCAAGTGGTATGTTGCCAATGGAGGGGATGAGGGGGTGCTGAGGGAGCAGGTCGAGGAGGAGAGGAGGGGCAAGTAACAGGTGGTAGAGAACATTTCAAGGGGGTTGTGCATGAGATGGGAAAGTACTATGTCGTAAAAGGCACTGCTTTCTCTTGATCGATCCTAGTCGCGATCAATTCGTCTTGGCTTCTGGAAGCGCCAAAATCCTCCTCCTCCTCCTCCTGTCTGACTATCAGTCTCGAGATCTTCTCCACAATCTATTCCATCTTCATCTCTCACATTTCTCCAGGCGACGACACCCTTCTGACCTCTTTCGACTCCGCATCCCATTCCTTGTTGCTGACCTTGGCGTAGGAGTAAGGGGGTCTAAAAGGTCGACCTGCCTGTCCAGCTGCCTGATAGCCACGTCCAAAAGCGAACAGGCCCTTTGGCAGGACGTCCAGCATTTCCGTCGCCTTCGACATCCACCTCCCGTCTTCCTCAGCCGCAGGGAATGGAGGTAGCGAAGGACGGTTCCATGCCGGCGTTGCTTCGACCCTACGCCGGTATTCGCGACCCTCTGGGTCGAAGAGATCAATGCGGTCGGTTGTAGTCGGCAGGCCAAGAGCGTCGTTCAAGTCGCCCCCGTTGATGATCTATTGAATGAGGTCTTCGTAGACCTGCTTTCCTTGGATCCAGACGTCCTTTGCCTTGGCCCAGGCCTGCTTCGTGATCCGGTCATTAACCAACGCCTTGTAGTCTGTTTTCGACTTCCCTCGTATTTGAAGCCACGACACAGACACGAACCACTCAAAGCCGCGCTTACTTCGATCCTCGCGCAACCTCTGCCCATGATCGCGTTGGCACTGGCTGCTCCTTCTCTCCTGTCTCTTCCTTCTCCTGCTCTACCGGCGGGATCTCCATGGCATCGAGCGCGGCCAACATCTCAGTGGCCACGGACTTCCAAGCGCCGTCTACCTTGACCGTGGGAGTGAACTGCAAATCAGGACGATTCCACTCAGGAGTGGCTTCGACTCTCTGCCGGTACTCCCTGCCTTCTGGATCCATGAGATCGGTCAGGCGAGTCAAACTGGGAAGCCCTTGGTTCGCGTTGAGCTCCACCTCTGTTGCGATATTCTTGAGGAGAATGTCGCGGACTTGCTCGGCCTGAACTGCCACCTTCTCGATGCCCTGACGCTTTTGTTCGTCTAGGGCTTGCCTTACAAGGGCTGCGTAGTTTGGCTTAGCAGAGTCGATAATTGGCGGGGGGTGGTATGTCGTGGAGAGTTCGCCAAGCAGAGCGCCGGATCCGGTCTTGACCTGAAAGGCCTCATAGATGTTGCGCGCGTTGCTCAAGCCAGCTCCACGCACACGCCCAAGCCACGATGGTAAGCCGTGCTCGCTTCCAACAGCGGCGCCAAATCCAGGAGGTGGTGTAGCGTCCTTGCATCGTGAAAACTGCAGAAACTCGATCAGAGCCTCCGCATAAGTGGTACCAGCTCGAACAATCGGGTCGGGGTAGTCCTCCTGGAAGATCCTAGCGCATGTGGCGGGAACCCAGAGCGCCATAGGGTCCATCGTCTGCTGAAGCAGAGCCGCTTTATGCTGATCAACCCCCTTCTGATCGTCCTCCTCCAACGGTGCGTAGATCGACTTCGATGGAGCAGCTCGGGACAGTTTCCCACTCTTCACCAGAGACCTGTTGATCTTGACACGCTCGTCGTGCTGCCAAGGTGCAAGGAAGGCAGATGCGACGACCGAGTCGTCCATCTCCCGCACGTCGTAACCTCTCAAATGCGCATATTCCTTGCAGAAAGCCTCTCGCTTGAAGGTCTTGGGGTAGTCGTCGAACAAAGGGAGGTTGCCGATGGACCTAGAACCTGGTATGTCTTGCGGTCCTTGCGGAAGTGCCTTCTTCATGAACTCTGGCGCAAATTCAGCGTGTGCCCAGGAGTACACCTGGCTCGCAACGAAATGCAAATCGTCTCGGGCGAACAGCTGCTCGAATATCATGTTGACACCGTAGCAGTTTCCAGTCAAATATGCCATGACACCGTCGTTCAACTCCATCCCTGGGTCGCCGAGGCTCTGGTAGAATCGGTCTTTCGCCAGCTGTCCATACGGGGCCTGATCCTTCATGTGCTCCAAGATTGGATACAAGCGGTCTTTTCCTAGCAGGAGGCCGAGCAGATTCGCATAGTTAAAGTAGTGGCGATGGCCAGTTCATGGACACTTGGTCATGGGAAAGCCATGGAGGAGGGCGAAATGGGTCAGGAGGGCGGCAATGTCGATGTTGCCGGTGTGACAAGGGCAGGACATATCCAGATCGTTGGTGCCTGGATCGTGGATCTCACACTCACGATCTCCCTTGGGAAATATCATGTGCTTCGGCCGCTCTCCATTAAGGTACTGATTCTTGACCCGGAAGGTTGGGGTGATCGTTCGAGGGCTTAAGTTCTGACACCGATGCGGTCGGTAAAGGAAAGGCTCACGCTTGGTGCCCTGGTACATGTGTGCGATCGTGTTTTCGAGCACAAAGAAGTCCGATTGTAAGTTCCACCAGAGCTTCATGATCTTGGCGTTGAAGATGGTTTTCTTGAGCAAAAGCTCCAGCGCTGGCACTGTGTGCTCGTTGGCGTTCTCCAACATGTGCAAGATGTTCACAACTAGAGAGCAGTTTTTGCCAACCGACAAGGTAAGAACTGAGCTGAGCTCTTCTACCTTGCCGTCTGCGATCATCTGGTTCTGCTGATCCTTGGATGTGCCGTCGACGAGGTCCTTGGGCAGTATGACGAACTCTGCGTCAGCTGCGACGTGAGGTAGCGTCTTTCCAGGCTTGCCACTCGACGAGACCTTGACGTCTCTCTTGTGATTAGGAGCAAGCTCTACAGACTTGAGGAAGATCTCCAGAGCGGGCTTCACGTGTAATGGGTCGTTGACGACGGTAACGAAAGTATCCATGCGGCAGAAGTCCTTTGGAGCGGACACATCTTCTGGCTTCGAGTGGGCCCGAAACCCATTGAAGCACTTGATGGTCGTTTGCGGACTCATTTCAGGCGCTCCTTTCTGCGGAATGACTTTCTGTAGCGACCAACTGATCTGTTGCATCTGCAGGCCGGCAAACGACCGATTGGAGACGGCGAATCTTGGTTGGGTCTTGATTCGCTTCGTCGTAGTTTCCAGATGTTCCAGGAGTGCTTTGCCTGATTCGTCAAGCAGGAGAGCTGAGTAGCGGACTGCCAGAGGGCCACTGGCTGGTGTCTGAAGCAGTGCGTGCGAAGTTCGAGCCGTGGACGATCCAGCAACACCGCGCAACTCTCTAAGCTCCCCATCACGAGTGATCGAGGCGTAGATGCGTACTTGCATCTTGAGAGCGCTCGCCACGATCCAGCACAAGTGTGGGTTGGCAGGGACCAGGTCGGGGCAGTCGAGAACGGTGAAGACGTCCATGCCTATCTGCTGTCGAAAGGATGCTTCTCGCTCCAGATACGAAAGATGTAGAGGGTAGCTGGGGTTGGATCGTACGCGGATTGCGAAATGCAGAACAGCGTCGTGAATGTGCCGGTGTTTGCTTGGATCGCCAATCACCTGCCGTGCGAGGGCACGGTACATCCAATGACCGTCTCTCTTGCCCGACTGCAGCAGGCTAACTAGAGACTTTACATCTCCCTCATGATGGACATGATGATAGCGAGATGCTGCGGAGGAGTTAGTGCTAGCCATGAATGCGGCTTTGAAAGAATGCGTTGCGAAGAATAGGCGACGAATCGAGCGGGTGTCAACAGTGTCTCGGCAGATGCTAGGTTCAAGTTGGGGAACTCGGAGATCTGTAGAGAGCGACTGGTCTGGAGTGTTGTTGGCAAGATGGCGTGTAGGACAACTTACCGATCTATTTGGAGGCCTAGTAACAACAGTCGACTCTTCACGAGTTGCGAGTGAATGCGTCGCGCGCTCGTGACGGGAGGGGACCACATCGTCGCGAGGGGGAACACGCTGTCGCGAGGAGGTGAATATAAAGAATTGGTGAATGTCTTTGTTAGTATATAGCCCATCTTGCCTCTCCTTTAACCCAGAAACAAAGGAACGAACAGAAAGGGAAGAAGGGGCCCGCGAGGCTGCAAGGACGGTAGATGAGTTGAAAAGGCTGCGAGCAACGCAACAGGGAGAGCGCCATACCTAGGTATAGTCATCTGCGTAGCCATCGTTTGCTGGACTGTGAGACAATTGCCAGGATCTTTGCCTGGCGAGACATGCAGTATGCATAGCTCTCGCACCACAGTAGATCACTTTGCCCTGCCGCCGAACCAGAGCACAAATTCATCGAGAGCCGTAGTCATCCTGGCGTTGCAATGTCCATTGCGACTCGTGGAATGAGTATGACCAGGTAACCCTTTGTTACGATGTTGTTCGTGTCCACGGAGCGGTCCTGATATATGGCAGTTGGACGAGGCCGAGGAAAGACTGGTTCAAGAAGCCATACGCGGACTTTTCATTCTCTCTACCATCGAGAGTAGATGGTCTTTCGTGTTCTTTCCGCGGAAGTAGCAGTCTTGTACTGTAGAGTGACAGCATCCCCAGTTTCTAGTAAAAGTTCCGACATCGACGAATCCTTCAGAGATCGCAAATCAAAGGCATGATGATTGATAGGCCGCTTCATGAAAGAAGACGCGCAATGGCAATTGTATTGTTTCTTCTTTGAGACGTGAGGCCGCTGGAGAAAGTGGAGTGTGAGGTTGGATTGAGTTAGCGTGTCACATGCCAAGACGCTAGTCAAAGTCAAAGGCATTCACTTCACGTCTCGCTGACGTTACCATTTACATGTTTTGTGCCTGGTCTCTATCTGATCAGGGCCTGAGGCTAGGAACCATTGGAGTATCATGTAGGAGATTTCCTACTGAGATCAACACGGGCGCCAATAGAAAAGACACAGACTGAGCTCGTCGAAAGTCCATTAGATGCCGGCGCATCCTTCGAAAGCCCCTGTTACGTGTTGCTGCGCCTCGTTGGAAGGGATACGATATGTGGACAACATCCTTTGATATTGATGATCAGGCAACAGAGAATGGTACTTTCCAATGGTACATAGCTTTCACAACGTGTCTCGAAGCAAAACGATTGAAACACCATTGATCTCACCTGCATCTTTTGATCTTTCCAAATCATTACATCCATCATGAAGTTCACAACAGCCCTCTCCGTCCTCGCGGCTTCCGCGAGCATTGCAAGCGCCAAGTCGCTCCTCGATGATGTCCCCAGCAAGATCACGGTCGGGGAGACATACAACATCGAATGGAGCTCGGACGCCAAAGAGGTACGTGTCGGTCAATGCCTTGAGGTGTGGGTTCGTTGTCTAACGTGGGCTCAGAAATCCGAGCTCCTCCTCGTCCACAAGACCGCCTCCGGATGGGAACCCACCGAGACCTTCTTCAAGAACAAGATTACGGAACAGCCCGGAGGAAACTACACCTGGAAGGTCGGCAAGTCGACTCCCACCGGCGAGTAAGTCGACGTTCTTCTTTGCTTGGGCCGTCGATATATGAGGCTGACGAATACCTGCAAACAGCGGCTATGCTCTTTGGTTGAGTGCAGCTTCTCTCAAGAACCCCGGCACCGGGTACGCCGACCTCAGCAAGTGGTTCGAGATTGTGGCTCCAGAGATCGACGCCGCCGCTCCAGAGGGCAGAGAAGATTTGAAGATCTGAGGACAGGTTAGATCCGCAACGGCGTCTTCTCTGGCAGGGGTTGAATGATGTCCATGTCTTTCGTTAAGCTTGCATATGTCTCTTTCCGCATGGCTGCCGTATCTAATAATGATGCTTCAACCGCCCTTCAGCAATTCATACCACCTGCGAGATATGCGCATACGCCGTACCGAGAAGAGCTCTGCTTTCTCGGTGTCTCCATCCCAGTGCCTGATGACCCTCTGCGAAGCTATGTCCGTTCCCACTAGAGATCCGCCTTGGCCTGCTTATCGTTCTCGCCCTTCCCAAGAGCGTGTAAAACGATCTTCTGGTAACCCTCCACAGCATCATACAGATCGTCGACCTTCAACTTTTCATCGGCACTATGGGCAACAAAGATCGTACCAGGGCCGTAGAGATAGCGCTTCTGTCCTTTCAGCTTCTCTAGCCAAGGGATGTCAGTGCCATAGTTGACAGTGATCACTTCGAATCCTGGAACGTCTGCATCGATGTCGATTGGCCCGTATCCTTTCCCGCCAAAGTCAAGCTCGACAATGTCTTCGGGCTCCATCTCGCCCTCCAAGAATTCACGCACTGCATGATGGACTGCTTTGGTAGCACCCTTCTGGATCGTCTCTGGCGTGCCTTCTGCAATGCGAACAGCTATCTTCGCCGTGGCAGATTCAGCGATGACATTTGCTGCAACTCCGCCCTCTATCTTGCCCAAGTTGAACGTCGTGACGCCGTATTTGTCACTCTTTGGGAGCTTGTCTCCAAGAGTAATAACGGGCTCAAGTGCTCGCACCAAAACCTCATTGGCGCTTCGTCCCAGCCAGGGATATCCGCTGTGGCCAGACTTACCTTTGGCAGTCACGACCATTTGCATGGTCCCTTTGTGGCCTGACACAAGCTTGCCTTCAGTAGGCTCTCCGAAGATGACTGTTTTTGGTTTGATCCCGAGATCGTTGGCTTTGCGCATGCCAGCGCCGCCAACTTCCTCACCAACGACAAACAGGAGCGAGACATCGTCAGGGCTGATCTCGCCTTTTGACAAGAGCTTGTTGACTGCGATGATTTGAGCGGCTACACTGCCCTTGTCGTCTACAGAACCTCGACCAAAGATGGTTTTGTCTGTGTGGTTGTAGTGATAAGGCAGGAATGGAGGGACCTGACAGAGATCAGCGTGTGATTCGAGTGAGAATGGTATACATAGCTTACAGTGTCTATGTGACTGGACAAGACTACGGGAGCATCTCTGACCTTGCCCGGCCAAGCAAAGACATTGAATCTTTCTGGGTCCTTCTCGACGATCTGCTTCTCGACAGTGTAGCCTTGAGACTCTAGACTCGCCGCAAGCCAATCACCCACTTCCTTCTCATTGCCTGAGATGGACTCAATCTGGGTTAGATTCTTGTGCAAAGCAATCAGATCACGGGTGACAGATAGCTTCGTCCCAGCCACCTCGACGTCGCTCAATGGGTGTTGCTCCGCAGGCAGTGTAGACGCCCAGCATAGCGGCGACAAGCCCAGCGTGATCAGCCATTCACTTCCCCTCATGATGTCGACGGTGAGTGCTTTGTAGGTAGAGAGGAGGAGGAAGATTGGTGCTCGTTGAAAGACGGTCCCTCGCCCACGGAACGCGCTAGCGCCCCACCAATCCCACGTCGAGTCGTCCAATGTTTTGAAACTGCCCTGCGGTGTTTACAGCGTATCCTTGCGCCAGACAACCGCCAGCTCGAATTAACCTCGCCGCCCCTTCTCGCCCGTGACACTCGCACCGCATTGTTGTTGTGTTTCGTCGCATTCACTCGGGCGGCAATGTGTGGCCACGAGCCTTGACTCCCGAGCGGCAGCGGGCACTGGGCGGCTCTTTCTTGATCCCTTCCTACATCGGCATTGCATCTCGCTCGCATGGCTTGCACGCGATTCTTCGATTAGCTGGGATACTGCGAGAAGGAACTACGACGACAACATCTCTGCCTCCCCCGGCGCCGGCAGCTAGAACTTGCATCCCTTCACCTTAATTCCAGCGCTCCCCCACTCGAGGACCTCCCCGCGCGAACATATCTCAACATGGCCACCACAGAAAGTGCCGATCCTGAGGCACTGTACACCAAGCAAGCATGCATAGGAGGAGGAAGCTTCGGCAAAGTCTACAAGGGCGTCGACAAGAGGACAGGGCAATCCGTGGCTATCAAGATCATCGACGTCGAGAATGCAGACGACGAGGTGGACGACATCATTCAAGAGATCTCTATCCTGTCAGGCCTCAACTCGCCATACGTCACCAAGTACTACGGATCATATCTCAAGGGATCAGACTTGTGGATCATCATGGAATACTGCTCGGGAGGTAGCTGTGGGGACATGCTCAAGCCAGGCGTAATACCGGAGGACTACATATGCATAATTGTGCGCGAGCTGTTGTTGGGACTCGAGTATCTCCACAGCGACGGGAAGCTCCATAGAGACATCAAGGCCGCCAACATTCTTTTGGGTGCCAATGGACAGGTCAAGCTTGCAGATTTTGGAGTGTCTGGCCAGCTGACGGCGACTATGACGAAGAAGAATACCTTTGTCGGCACTCCGTTCTGGATGGCACCCGAAGTAATCAAGCAATCTGGATACGACCACAAAGCAGACATATGGTCTCTTGGTATCACTGCGCTCGAATTAGCGCTTGGCGAACCTCCTTACAGCGACATACATCCCATGAAGGTCCTCTTTCTGATTCCAAAGAACCCCGCACCCATCCTCGAAGGCAATTTCAGCAAGGACTTCAAGGACTTTGTATTCAAGTGCCTTCGAAAAGAACCGCGGGAGAGACCGAGCGCGAGGGAGTTGCTGAAACACCCCTGGATAAGAAGAGCGAAGAGGACGGCGTATCTGACCGAGCTGATTGAGAGGCACGAGAGATGGCAAGCCACGCACCGGGAGGATAGGGATGGCGACGATGACGATTCGTTGATCGACTCCCCATCACGAGATCCAGACGAGGAAGATCTTTGGGACTTTGGCACTGTCAGACCTGCTGGACGGCGGAATCATGGGCCCGGACTCAGAACCATGAATGAGTCCGGGATGAATTCACGAAGCTCACATGTGCCAACCTCACCAACGAAGCGATCCGTCTCGAACAAGGAGAACGATGCATCCAGTAACGACGATCACGAGAACAACGAAAACATAGAAGGTAGTACCATTCGCGGCGGTGGTGCCATGCTGCCTCCTCCATTACCAAAGACACCTTCGCCCACCAAAAAGCCAGCCCCGTTGCAGTCTCCTGGATTCGCCGCGAAGACGGCTCTCCCAGCATCCCCGGTGCGAAAGCCGATTGCAGTTCAGACACCACCACAGACACCACGCCACGAGGAAGTCGTATCATCACCCAAACCTCCAGCAACACCGCAGACGCCACGTTTGCTCAACGATGACTTTCTGCAACAGTCCATTGCTAGCGACATGTCACAGTACATGAAAGGTTTATCACTTCAAGAGAAGCCAATCTCGGCACCGAAACTACAACCCGCGACATCTATGCCCTCGAACCTGGACGGCGCTGCGTCTTCACGCCAGCCACAGGCGAACGGTGCGTCTTCCCACGTGGCGATCCCATCGAGTCAATCCACGAACGAGTTGTACCAAAAGCCTCTTCCCAGTTTTGCACCCCCTGCACCTGCGGCGAAGACCGAGCAGCAGCGACCACAATTGCCGCGAGTCCAGAGCGAGCAGCCACGCTCTTCCATTGATTCGGCTCGGAGCGAGGCATCCACATCCGCGTCTCGTCCAGCGACCGCCACAACAGCCTGGACAAGCACCGCCGCTAGTCTCCAGCCCCAGCCAGTCTTCGATGTACAAAATCAAGACCTGCAAGCCGAGCAACCAATCACCGCCCTGAACTCGGTCGTGATCCCAGCCCTGGAAGCAGCACTGCACCGTCGAAGCTACCAACTCTCCCTCTTGCAGAAGAAGCACAACTCTGCCGCGAGTCGAACGAGCAACAGCACGAGCGATAGAAAGCAAGCAGAAGAAGATCTGCAACTCAAGCGGGAGGCGCACGATCAGGTCCGCAAATGCATGGGCAAGGTATCTCGGCTGTTCAAGGAGATCGACCACTGGGACACGGTGGCGCCTGTGGGGATGGGCGATGGCGTCGAAGGGCTGCTCGAGGGCTTTCTGGAAGAAGTCTTGTGTCGCGTCGAGGCGGAGGATGCTTGAAAGGGGCTTGCTGTGTGGGAAAAGACGCCGCGTTGTCTTCGTTCTGCTGTCATACGCTTGATGGCTTTTTTGGGCGGGTTCCTCTGTTCTGGGTTATGCTCCGATCGACATCCAGGTTCATCGTTTGGCATTAGGGAGCATTGGCGTTGCAAGGACCACTGGGCGGCAGGGATTGAGTTGAGATACAGACTGGGACTGCTTACTGACGAGAATGGTCTTTTCTTTTGTCGTCGACTCGAGCAGGAAAGCAGACTGCTTGCTCTGCTCAGTGTTTTGTTTGAAGATTGCTAGAAACGCTCATATACCACCGAATGCTGTTTGCGTGACGCTCTCCGTGTGCTTTGGACTTGTGCTGTGTGTACCTTCTTTGCTGTTTCCTCATCTCGTCGCCTCTCGTCGTCGTCGGCGTCGATATCATGCAAAGCAATGCAGAAAACAAAAAAGGCCTCGCTGATGCAAGATCTCAACCCCTGAACCCTCGTTGCTCATGCTCTGGCACACCATGCTCCCCGTCGCTCACGTCCATGCCCTCCCCACTCCACGAATGGAAAAAACCAAAGCCCCTTTCCTTCCCATGCAACCCCATCAAAGAACATGCAAAATCAAAGCCCACAATTAACAACCCCCAACCCCCTCTCCCTCATAACCCCCAACCACTCCACGCCCTCCACCCGTTCCCCACCCCTCCTCACCCTCTCCTGCTCCTCACAAACCGCCTTCAGTAACAACCTCGTCCGATACGTATTCTGCCCAATCCCACTCCCCTCAAACGCCCTCACCAACTCCAGCGCCCTCCGCTTACTCTCCGCATCGAGAGACACCACCCCGGCGATGAAGACCGGGAAGACAGTTTTGCGCCGCGAAGTCCCCGCGGGGGTTTGCTGCAGGGTGGCGGAGGCGAGGGAGAGGATTGCTTTGCAGCGCGCTTCGGAGTCGGTGGTCAGGGTGTTTTGGGTGTAGGAGGGGAGGGTGCGCTGGGTGGGGAAGAGGGAGGTGCGGGCGTAGAGGATTGACGTGTGGTAGAGGAGAAGGGTGGTTGTGAAGAGGGCGGCGATGCGTTCGGGGAGGGTGGAGGGGTTTGGGGGGTCGGAGAGGGGGCCGAGGAGGTTTTCCGGGTAGGACTGTTGCCAGAAGGTGTGCAGTTCGGTTTGGAGCTGCGCGGCGGTCGATTGCCAGCGGGCCCAGGTTTCGGGGGCGACGGCGCCTTTGGCGGCGGTGGCTTCTTGTCGGAAGGTTTGCGCTGTTTGGGCGAGTTTGGCGGTGCGGAGGAGGATGCCTTGGTTGAGGTGGAGGATTGCTCGGAAGATGTTCGGTTGGTTGGGGAGGAATGCGGCTGCGCCTTGGGTTTGGGTGGTGGAGAGGCCGAGGATTTGTTGTTCGAGGGATGGGATCATGTTGTGGTTCATCAGTTTGCGCAGAAAGTCGCAGTTGCCGCTGCCTAGGAGACAGGCGTAGACGTCTAGCTCGCAGATTGACCAGAGGGTATACGCGTATGGCTCGTTGCCGGTGCTCTCTCTTCGTTGCACGGCGATTCTGCCAAGATGGTTCAGATGCTCAGCCCATAACGCGGTCCCGCCATCGTCTGATTGCATTGGTATGCAGATATCGTAGACGAACAGCAAGAAATGCCGAAAGAACACCCCATCTGACAGCAAATCAGGAGGCGAAGACCTCGGAGTCGCGGACGCTGCCAACGCCTGGTGGTAATGCTGCATGGCCTCCTCGAGTGACGAACGTCCATTATATGTCAGATGTAACGCACTGATGGCACACATCGCGTGATGTAGAGGTGGAAATCGCGTCGCTTCAAACTCGAGCACGTCCTTCGTCGAACCCTGCGAAGCAACGCCAGGTCTCGAATCCTGCTGTGGCTGCGCCAGTCTTGGGACGATATATTGGCGAAAGTGCGCGATCAAATGCTCGTCTGACCGTACTTGCGGTGTGTGAGGTCCTGTGCTGATGCTGGGATTGTATGGAGGCGTCGTGATCGATAGCTGCCCAAGAGCATCCGGAAAACTCGATCGCCGGCTTTCTGTCGCTGCTGACATCGGTCCAGTCGAGACAGGAGACGCATCTTCAAACTTGTCGAGCACCACCACCGTTGGATCTGGCACTGTATTCGATCTTCCAAGGCCCGGCCTGCCGCTGCCACGTGCCCCTCTTGCTGAAGAAGAGCTGGCACCGCTCATCCGCCTGCTCTCCTGGGGAGACGTCGCCGCATATTCAGGTAGGTCATAGAAGCTCTCAGGCGTGACGACTACTCCATACGTGCCAGGTCGCGAAGTACGGGCTTTCGTTTCTCGATCTTCATCGTTGGTGAGCGTCGAGAACTCAGGGAGGCTGTCGAGCTCCCCGGGTGCCGTGCCGGAGCCGTGTTCGTGACGAACAGTTGGGTCCCACACCGCATTTCCAGCAGTGCTAATGTTCGAGTATTTGCCTTGTGTGGTGGTCGTGGCATCGTTGAAGTTCCAGCGGTGGTCCCAGTCGCATTCACGGTTCAGTCGTGTACAAGGTCCGCAGCGCTAGAAATCCCAACGGTAGAATCAGTATGCGGTGTCTCGGTTCAACGAATGCTGTACGTACAGGGTGCTGCTCGTCGCCTGAAACAATTGTACCATCAGCGTGATTCCGAAGTTCAACCACTTTATACGTACATTTGACCTTGCGTCCACGACAAGTCCAACATCCCGCCCTGGATCGATGCGATAGCCGTGGAGGTCGGCCGGTAGAGGACGAGGATCCAGACGTGCGCTCCCTCGTCGACGAAGGTCTTGAATCGCGAGGAGCCAATGGCGGAAGATGACCACTGCGTCTCTGCTTGGACGACGACGACGACGAACCCTCGTCACCGCGGCGGTCTTGCATGGTCCAAGATCAGAACGAGCGGAAGCAGCCGAGCCCCAAAACCAGCAAGGCAGCGGTTCAAAAGAATCGTGAGGCAAAGATTCCCGACGGGAGCAAGCCAATGAGTGAGCAACAGCTGTTGGGGGTATGCTTTGAAAGTGGGACAAGTCTCGCGATCACACTCTCAGCCGCTTTGCTCGCTCCAGTTGTCACCAAATGGTAGACATGTCAAAAGGATTCGGCCCGGTGCTGCGTTCTGTAGTGTCGTTGGACTTCCGGATGGGTTAGTCGTCGTGTCGGTATATAACCAAACTCAATATCAGACATCACTGCCGAATCAGGCCAATAGACTCCGCAAGACAGATGGGAAGAAGAGAAGAAAAGGGTCAATTCTCGTTGGTGTCCAATGAAGGTGGATCACAGCGATGCAGCCACGGACAGAAGTGGGCGAATGGCGGCGGTGTCTCGCATCAGAAAGCGGGCGCTGCGAGGTATTGAGGATGGCTCCCTGAGGGTGGGTTGTTAGTAGCACAAAGAAAAGAAAGGGTAACAGACGGGCTGCGGCGAGGGACCAGCTAGCTGCTGCTGTTTGCCTTTGGACATTGGCCGCACCCGTATGGCCAACACATGCACGTCCAATGGCGCAATGCCTTTGAAACCAACCTCGCTGGCTGCGGTCGGTGGCTGCCACGCGGGTGATCAGGCATATCACCATCCCAGTGACTGATGAGCGGCGCCAGGCCAATAGCGAGGCGGAGGATGCTGCTTGTAACGTAGTCTGCTGCGCCTGCTCGCCTGGGCGCATCCCACCGGAGTGGATACTATTGTCAGGCGACATGGTGCCTATCCTCAGTGGGTGAAGTGTAGAACTCTCGTTCGCGAGGGCACACCGAATTGTAGCAAGTCTTGCGTTAGCCCTGCAGTTGTACGCTACGGCGTAGTCACCGGCATACGCTGGCTGTCGTATGGCTTGAACCTACTGCTGAGAAGGCGAGAGGTGAGCTCGGGTAGTTGGTGTTGGTGTCTTGACACAGGATCTAGGGTCTGAAGTGGTGAACATCCGACCACCGGCGCCTGGCTCCGCTGGCCGCAAGCGCATCCCAAACACAAGCTGTTGATGCTGGGGAAGTGGGTCTTGGGCATCGTTGGATTGCGGCGTACCCATATCCGCTTTCGTCAACGTAACAAGTATGATTGATCCCAAGTAGAAGTCTCTTACTCCGGTCAGGACAGCGCTGCATGCCGGTGACCTTTGAGGCGTAGGAGGCGCCTTCTAGCTTCGCATCTCGAAGCTGTGGCGTGGCCGTGGTCGGGGGATGTGGTACCAACAATGAGGCGCATTAGACGACCGTGGCAAATGCTCCGCCATAGGGCACTCCGGGATCAGGCGTGGTCTCCACGGTGCCAGCGCAGAGTTTGGCATGAATTGCCTGCGCGGCGTTACAGCATTGCAGGAGTAGTTTCACGTTAGCAGCAGAGAGATGCGGGCGAAAGGCGAAAGTGAAGAGTCTGGAAAGAAATCCGAGAGTTTGACAAGGCTGCTTTCCGGGTGTGTGGGAGCTGCTCGCGCTAAGAAGGGCTGACACCGAACCTTACCGTCGGGACAGGGCGGCAGCTAGCATCCTTCGAACTGCCGAGGCCTTTGAACCGACAACATTCTTCCTATTCGTCTTGTCGTCTGCATCTCAGTATCAGTGCGATCGCTTGTGCAAAAGCCACACCCAGATTTCTTCGAGTCTTGATATTCCTCATTCGACGCGGCTTTGCCTCCAAAGCTCCGAGACACAGTACCATTCACAAATATCTTCCGAGCTATGCTTTCGGATGGCTTTTCCTCCAATTTAGTCTTTCGTGGCTTGCAGAGACCGCTGCTCGGCCACGTGGTCCACACGTGAGGATTGCAGAAGGTCAAACGCCACTGATGCCTCAAGACGCTCTCACTGCAGCCGCCAGACGGTCTCGAACGGCCGATGACACTTCACTCGAGATTAGCGCCCGAATGTCGCCTTCCACCTGCGTAGACAAAGACGGTGACATCTTCGTCAGAGCGACGAGGGCGTCTGCTCTCGTCAACCGGATGGCCTCGATCCCAACAACCGGTCCGAATAGCAGCGACTTCAGCCCCTGGATGCTCTCTGGATCGAGCTCGACGTGACGCTTTTCTTCCTCGATGCGTTTGGCCATGCTTGCGAGGCCTTTGTAGGCGCTGCGCAAGCCTGCTTGTGTGGCGGGTTTGGAGGAAGCCACCACGTGGATCGCACGCGACGATTGACGCTGAAGCGAGTCACTCTGCATGGCAGCCGGATTAATAGAAGCGAATACAGCTTCGATGGCGGCGGCGATGGTTGCATCCTTGATGTCCTCAGCCTTACGAATCTGATCTTTGTTGCCGCCATCGACATCCATCTTGTCCTCATCAGACTCGTCTGACAGAACAGGCGCAACAGCTTCGAAAATGGCGTCGCTCATATCACTGTCGGTGCGAGTTCGAGCAATCCGCGCCAAAGCCTTCATAGAATGCTGACGATAGGGAGCGTTCTGGTGTTTAGCTTCCCTGATTGCGATCTAGCGAAAACGTTAGCTGAAAAGGACGGGCGCTTGATCAAAAGCAGAAAGCACACATACCTTGTTGATCGCAGAGCGTACGCTGTCATGCTCCATGTAGTACGGCTTCCCGGTTTCGACGAACTTCACGAAGCCCGACAGCACATTCTCCTTACCCTCCCAGGTCTTCCCACCGAGCGCCTTCTCGATCGCCGGCCATAATGCCGCGCCAGTGGCGGACGACATCTGAGCTTCGCTTGACGACACTGCAACAGCTGCGTCAGCTACAGCACGAGCAGCAGTGTGTTTCAGCGCCCACTGTGGCGAGTCGAGATGGGTCATGCACAGTTCCAAAATCTCGGAGAGATAGAGCTGAACTGCTCTCGATCCCGCGACGGCTTCGCTCCACGTGTCTTGGAAAGGTTCTTTGACCTGATCATGAGAGTCGTGCTTCGCCACGAAAACGAAGGGAAGCACAGCGCTAGCGAACGAGTTGAATTTGTCACTCGCATTCTTCGAGAATGCAAGCAAGATGTCGCCAGATGTGATGCTTCGTCGTGGCGTGACAGCTTCACGGTCGCCTTCAGATTCGAAGTACAGCTTCTTCGCGAAGGCAATCAGCCTCAGTATCTGCTTGTCGGAAGCACCGCGAGCGAGGTACCCAGCCGCGACGGCGTATGAGCTGGATACGGTCTCGTTTCGATCAATCACGACTCTCTCGATAAGCTTGAGCGCATCATCTGAATACGGCCTGAATAGCACCATTTGCCTGGTCGATAGCGAGACGAGAACCCGACTTGCGCCGACCTTGGAAGGTAGTCCAATAGCACTCTTCATGGCGTTCTCAAGTCGGGGCCACAATGCCTTCATGGTATCATCATCGAGAAGGTCCAAGCATCGTTCAATCGCTTCCATCAAGGGACTCATGCGGACACTCGACAACCGCATATCGTCAATCTTCTGTTCGGTAAGGTCATACTTGGCGGCGTTCATGTGGATGTAGTTTACTGCTTCTGGCTCAAGATCGCTCAGAGAGCCGATGAGTCGCTCCACCAGTTCTGGAATGAATGGTCTGATGGTCGCGCCATTGGCCTTCTTGATGATCTCGAGCAGTGTGGTGATGGAGAACATCTGGATCTCTTTGGCACTCGACTCCATTCCAGAGGGCGAAAGCAAAAACGGCAGGACGTGCTTCAACATAGCAGATGCGTTCTTCGTAGAGGTATGGTCTGCTTCCAGCGATCTGGTGAGGACTCCTGTGAGAGTTCGTGCGAGAGACGCCGCGGAAGCACGAACCGACTCCTTGATGTCGTCCAGGACTCTGAAGCACTGCGTCCAAATCTGTTCCAGGTATTGCTCGTACTTCTCCAACGGCCTGCCTTGCACGAGGTCTGCAATCGCTGCACAGCATGCTTGCCGCACCCTCCACTCTCTGCCGAGGATACTCTCAAGCAGGTCTTGCATAATGGCGTCGAAGTACTTGTCGATTGTTGCGCTCGAATCCGAGACCAAGGCACTCCAGATATCGTTCATCGACCTCTGTACGCCACTATTCGGATCAAATCGATATCTGAAGAGTTTGGGGTAAAGCTTTGGATTGTTCGCCAAGTAGCCATCAACGCTGGAGTCGGAGAGCACTCTACTGAGGCCAAAACGTCCGAAAGCAGCTCGACTCGACCAAATCGCGTTGGAGGAGGCCATGGACATGAACTTGTACACCAAGCTGGAGTCACCGACTTCGGAGGCCAGGCTCATGATGTCCTTGTAAGTCGAGACAGATCCATCGCCAGTAGGAAGGGCACCTGGTTCGAAAAGTTGAGTATCTTCGGACACATTGCCGGCGAGCTGACTCTGCTTGTCGGAAGAGAATGAAGTGATGAGTTGGCGTACGAGGTCATCCTTCAAGTTTCGATCGCCCTTTTCGTACACCAAGCCGAGACCTCGCGATGCAGTCTCCTGAACCAGCTCATCTCTGTCGGATAGGCAGCGCCTGAACGCATTTTGACAAGCTGCCAGCTTGTCTTGCAGGTTCTCTCCACAAAACTGGACCAAGCACAGCAGCCACATCACTGCTGCCTTCTTCAGAGAAGGCTTGGTGTTGGCACAGTCTTTGAGAGTTTGTTCTATCAACTTATTGAGTGTGGTCGATCGTAGTTGGCTGGACGGCCAATCTGCCTCGATGTTGACATCCAGCTTCGTGGCAAGGGCATCCGACTTCCATCCGCTCGCTACGTAGCTGAAAGCCTCGCCGACTGTGAAATGTACTTCAGCTTGTCGAATCTCATGAAGCTTGTGTAGCTGGTCGGAGATGTGCTGCAGTTCCTCGTCGTCTTCGGGTAAGAGCATCGATAGTTGACCAAGGGCCAGAGTTGCGATCTCATTCCCATCTTTGGCCTTTTCGTACAATCTGTCCGTCACTGTCCGCATTTTAGAGAACTCGTCGATGCTCTCAACTGAAAGGCAGCCAAACATGCTCATCTGGCCAATGGCAACATGGCTTGCTTCGCGTAGGAGGTCGTCTCTGGCATCAGCAAAGATCTCAAATAGTGTCTTTAGAAACTGTTGGTATTCCGTCGTTGACGGACTGCTTTCGTGACGATATAACCACCTGCTGAAGTAGAATCCAAGAGCAACGACTGCTCCATGGACTGAGCTCAAGACCGCTCCGAGTGCAGTACTCCACGACTGTGCAATGCCCACCAGTTGGCTGATGCTGGCGGCAGAGTCTGACTTTTGGTGAGACGCAAGGATGCCGAATGCTTGAGCTGCAGCCATTCGACGGATATGGTTATTCGACTTCAGGGTGGCAACGAGAGTTGGCACCTGTGTTACATGCTGCTGGATCAGCGCATTCGGGCCCAGTGACAAGAACTCCACGAGGCGGTTGTCCTCCAAGGTGCTTTTGGAAGTAAGACAGGCGAATAGCGAAGACACAAGCGTATCCATCAGTGCGGGGGAATGCTCCTGTGTCGCTTTGATGTGGGCCTTGACGGCTTGTTTTGCAGGCACATCGGATTCGACCATGGTATCCAGGCGTCTCTCCCACTCGCTATCCAGATTCACCGGCACATCAGCTGCTTTGAGGGCTTGGTGTACCAGCATGCGTCGAGCGTAGGCCGTTATGTGCGGAAATGAAGTCTCGTGGGCTTCTTGTACCCGCCTCGTGAGTGCCATGCGATCCGAACCTGTCATGGGTGCCTGCTTGACAAAGAATTGATCGATGACCTCCTCGAATGTTGGATACGTGAGCTCCACTTCCTCGGCGCCGACGTTCGTGGCATTCAACATTCGATACCAATATGGGCTCAGGCCTCGCTCGCCCTCTTCCCGCACCTCTTGCCGATCCGTAGATGCTCCGACAGCCAGGACATCGATCCATCGTGCTTTAACAGATGCATATGGTAGACATCTGTTCGCAAAGCGCACCGCCACATAACGTGTACTTCGCAGTCGGCCGTTGGCCTCGAGATCTGCAGACTGTGTCATCTGGTCGATTAGCAAAGATTCCAGAACATCTTGTTCCGGTCTATTGAGCTGGATTCGTGTCATGGCAGCCAGGATCGTAGACAATGATTCCTCGATACTGACAGTGATCGAGTTCCCCGATGAATCTGATGCCAAGGATTTGAATAGCCATCGTAGTAGATCCATCGTCGTGGCCTCTTCCTCGACCAGAAGAGATTTTGGTCCAGCTTTCACGAGAAGTCCAATGACTTCATAAGCATACGCTCGGGAGATGAGGTCCTCGTTTATGCCAGGTCTTGGCCATCCTTGGTTCTCGATGAAGTCTCTCAGTCGCCACACGACTTGTGAGGCGATGGCGTGGAGATCGTCTTTTTCGCCAGTACGGGCGGCGAAGTTGATGTATGAAAAGATTGCTGATCTTAGCTTGGTCGCTTCTCTGCCGATATTCGTGCTTCTGGTAGAAAGTCAGTGGGGTTGTTTGACAAAAACGCTAGGGTATCCAGTCGCTGCGCAATGCTCAGCATCGGCCGGCTTAGAGGAAGGAATGAAACTTACGGGGCAATGCCATTGGACATTACGGTGTCCTCTCCATCCTGCTGCGGCGGAGACACTCCGTCATTCACCAGTTTGATAATGTTGTTCGCGAATGTAGTACTGCTCTTCGACTTTTCCAGAAGCCAAAGGATCTTCAACTTCAAGGGCGCTCGGACTCCAGGTGCTCCGTCCACACCGAAGTAGAGGTCGAAAAGAGTCCTGGGCAAGTCCTCCTTTTCCAGCTCAGGCTGTGTAGCGGGGAGAGCCCGTTTCATCATATCATCGCCAACGTCGCTGATTGAAGAAGCCGGATCAGCTGAGCAGAATACAGCTGGAAGAAATCGTTCGTGATCGTTGAACAGTCCACTTGCCAGAAGCCTCGCGGCCAGGGTCTTGGTCCTCAAAAGGTTCAGCCCACCGGCGTTCGGGTTCCAAGCATCATCTTTGCCCTGCACTGTGAAGAAGGTGTACTCCTCCGTGTTGAGTCCAGGACATGTCTTGCTCGTCCCCTTCTGCGGCGCAAACAAGATGAACTTTCCAAGCCACTTCGCAAGATACTGCACATCCGCATCTGCCACCTCAAATTTGGTGCGCATCTCCAGGTCCTCCTTGCTTCCTCTCGGTGGTAACGTGAAAGACTCCAGCAGTCTCAACAACAGGTAGAATACCTGACTTGCTTGGCTCCCGCCCTTTTCAGCACCCTGCACCACAATCGGCAAAAGCTCCGCACGCTCCTTCGCGGGTAGTCGCACAACACCCTGCTGAATGTAGAGCATATCGAAATGCCGAATCAGCGAGCTTTCCTGTTCCCTGAACTGCTTCACGAGCGCGGCCACGGGAGGCTGGATCGACTGCGGCTGGATCCTAGTGTTGACGTGCTGACACACTGAGATGACTTTCTGCCGCACGCTTTGGAACTCGGATGCCAGTTTGAGGAGGAGAGGTGCCAGATATGTCTTGAGGATGGATTCGAACTTGGCGTCGGTGTCGGCCAGTGCGATGCGCATTTCGACTTTGCCTACCAGAGCCAGCTCGCGCTGCTCCGGCGATTGCGCTGGGGCGCTCATCTTGATGGCGCTCTCGACGGTGATGGCGTTGTTCGTATGTTTCTGTATGTGTCTCCTTCACTCCATGATGGCAAAAGTGAGAAAGGTGGCAATCTCGACGTTCCGCTCTCTCGGCGATCTGTTTGTCGACTTTTGCTTGTCTCTCAGAGGCAACACCGGCCACGACACCAGATCCGCTAGTGGTCTGTATGATGATGAGGGAAGTAGAACAGAGGATGCCGGACGCCACGTGAGGAATACGTAAACCATCTGCAGCCTTGATGCTTAGGTCAGAAGCGGACTGTGGTGGCGTCGAAGTGTGAGGTCAAACAAGCCGAACTCTCATTGGACGATTGGCTGGTTCTTCTCGGATAGCAGAAACAACTAACGGGGGTCTCCGGCTATGTCGTGTCTTGCAGTTTGATCTATTTCGCGCTGATGGACGCACTCAAGTGTGCATTAGTTGACTCCTACATATTAGGTGGAGTGGGCACCTCTCACGCGCGCAGAGGAAGGCATGGCACAGACTTTACATGGTGAGATCGTGACACTCAACGCAAAAACGCTGCTTTGTACAGCACAATACATCTATCGTCTTGCTTTCTGGCTCATGAATTACTAGTGGTACAACTTTAGTTCTTCTGCCGTCTCTCCCACTTGATCACAGCAGGACTCAGTGGTCTGCTAAAGAGACTCGTATAGTCCGTCTCCACCACCTTGTCGGTTCCGTCTGTGTTCTGAAACTTGAACTCCCGGTTCACCATAGCAGTGATCGTCTGGAGTTGCGTGTAGGCGAACTGCTCGCCGATGCAACGGTGTCGGCCGGCGCCAAAAGGCAGATATGGAGACGCAGCTCCCTTGCTAACCAAACCGTAGCCATAGTCTTCTTTCTCTTCGGCGATGTTCTCGTTCACCATTGCTGGGATCAGATGCTCATACTTCTTGTCTGGTTTCTCGTCCCACCTGTGTGGCTCCCACTTCAGCGCCTCTGGAAAGTGCGACTCCATCCTGCTGGTGCAACCCGGCGCGGCCAGCAATGTGTGGGTTGGTGGAATGACGTAGGGTGTTCCCTCCAGTTGCATAGGTGACTTGACCTTGCGCAGAATGGAGTGAATAGGTGCATGGATGCGAAGTGTCTCCTTCACGACCTGGTTGAGGAGTGGTAGGCGCGACAGGTCGGCATACGAAAGGTCCTTGATCGTGCCATCCTCGTTCACGCCAAGAACGTCCTTCTGCTCTTGCAGCAGCTCTTCTTGGACGTCGGGTCTTGAAGCCAGCCGAAGCAGAATCCAAGACGATGTGGATGATGAGGAGTGTTGTCCTGCCATGAGCAATGCAATCATCATGTGTGCAATCTCATGATCCGGAATTGGGTTCCCATCCTTGTACGTGCATTGCATCAGGTTCCAGATCATGTCCTCTTCCCTGCCTCCTGACTTCGAGTCTCCAGCTTTCCTTCGCTCTTGAATGATTGACTGATATGTTTCCGCCATCTTCTTCTGTGCATAGTCGCGTCGTCTGTTCTGTGGCAGTGGTGCCCATGGAAGCATGAAGTTGATCGGTGTGAAGCCCATGTCGAGGTAGTGGTATAGATCGGCGAATGTCGAGTCGAACCTCTCGCGCACTTCCTTCCCTTGCAGCGATCGGCTCGCAGTATAGATGGTGAGTTCTGCCATGGCCGGAGGCAGATCGACAGTCCCACTAGTGGAAGCGAACTTCTTCGAAGGGTTGTCTCTCGAAAAGAATTGGCGTACTTCTTCAGAGATCAGGGTGACGTAGGATTGGAGGGCGGAGGATGTGAGGCCGTACTTGACGAACTATTGAGAACTTTAGCAGCGTAACCCTCGACCTTCTCGCAAACAGTATACCTTCTTCTGCTCCATGAGCTTGGAATTGGGACAGTCGTAAACAACATCCTTGCCAAACACTGGAGTCGTGAGAGGTGTGTAGATCTCCTCGGCATTGACGTCCTTCAGCTTTCCGTTCAAGATGAAGTCGTTGCCCTTGGTGCCCAACACGACCGTGGTCTTCTTGCCGAGGAGGATAAAAGTAAAGACGTCTCCATACTTCTCGCGACAAGTGAAGAAGAACTTGTAAGGATCGATGCCGTAGGATATCGTACTTCCAATGACAGGTACCCAATGGAAGACAAGCGGCGGTTCGTTCTTATTTCGGAAGAGTATTTGGTGTACGACGTTCAGAAGCATTGCGATCGTGACGAAGGAGACGAAGCCCAAGGTCACGAGCTTCCACGTCGCGGTGTTGCCAAAGTAGGAGTCGAAGGTCGCGGCGGCGTCCTGGAGAAGGCCCATCTTGTCGTCCTCTTCTCGAGCGCAGCGGCGCCGGGTTGTATGGTGGTGTGGAAGGGGAGTAGGAGACGTCTAGAAATCGAGAGCCATTACCCTTCCGCGAACCTTAAGTGGCCAATGGAGGTCTTGAAATCGTCTGATTTTCTGAAGGGACCTGCATTAGCGTGCATATGATTGCACAACTTGCGCAAGTTATGCAATCCGCACCAGGCATCTCGTACGTCTCTCGTGCCATGGCACCACTTCATTCCTCATGCTCGCAAGCAATGTAGATTGCGGAACGAGAGTCAGCGAAATCGTCTCATTCTTGTTTGGCCAAGACTCGGGGATCTCCAGAGACCGCTGCGATGACAAGCTCCCAAGAGCTATGCTCTCACAGGTCATCACTGCCGAGTCGCAGAGCCGGTGGATAAGAGCTCCTCCATTGCGCAAGGTAAAGGCAAGGAATTGTGTCTAACATCACAGTAAAGCATCATATGACTGTCACTTCACCTGCCCCGTTCAGGAGCGCACATCATCGTCATGAGGATCCCATACGCGCCCAAAGACCCCGAGAACCCCACGCCCGAAACGAAGGCAATCTACGAACGAATCGCAGCTCGTCGAAACCCTCGCCCTCTGATACCACTGGATCTCGCCTTGTTGCACAATCCTGCAATCGCGGACGGCTACAACTTCCTTCTCGGTGCCATCCGTACCAAATCCTCCCTCTCTCCAGCCCTCGCCGAGCTCGCGATCTGCTATATAGCAGTCCTCAATGATGCTGTATACGAATGGACCGCACATGCTCCACTAGCTCTGAAAGCTGGGGCGAGTCGCGAGGCACTGGAAGCAGTGCTGAACGAGGATGTGAAGAATGAGAAGGCACTCAGTGAGGCCGAAAGAGAGGTCTTGGAGTTCACGAGGCAGAGCACGAAGAACGTTAAAGTGGACGACGAGACATTTGAGAAGATCAAGAAGAGGTTCTCGGATCAAGAGGTCATGGAGTTGACGATTACCGTGGCTGGGTACAACATGGTCAGCAGGTTTTTGGTGGCTTTGGATGTCACTGAGAGCAATGGAAAGAAGATGGAGATGCCGGGAGTGTAGTAGAAGGCCTGAAACGGCGCATACTCGACAACAAATCAGCTCACGAGGTTCTTTGCCGTGGTGGCCGTCAGTGCTGGATTCTTCACAGCTCAAATGCAACGCCACCACAACCTCAACATTGTCTTCCGACAGCACTGTCTACCATGGCTGAACCGCACAATGTCTTCGGCGCAATCATATTCTGGCTCTACATTGTCTTCGCCCTTGTTTTCATCTTTCTCGCCATCGAATCTATCCTGAGGTTACCGAACCGTGTCCCTCGCAAACATGTCGCCACTTTCACCGTGTTGGCCTTTATCAGCTTCTCGAATCTCTCCTTCAACATGCTCAATGTCTTGATCGACTCGTACAGTACCTGGTCTGAGTGCAAACTCCCGCCTGCAAGGCTTTCACTGCCGAGCCTTTGGCAATGGTCGGTGACGTCCACCTTATTCCGAAACTTTGGAGAGGCGATTGTGCAAGACGAAGCAAGGTTCCTTTGGACACAGTCTGCTCTGATGGCCACCATGTCTGTGAGCTTTTTCATGAGCACTCAAGGTATCATGTAAATGTTCGTGTCTCGTTGCGCGACGCCTGCTGATCCGGTTCACCAGGCCTACGCCAACGAGTCCCTCGTTTGTGGGCCTTCTTCGCCCTATCCCAGATCCTACCCATCTCCTTCGCGCAGAACTTGTTCTACATCGCTCTGCTGCGTTCGCCAAACGTCAAGGGATCCAGTGTTGTCTTGCCACGAACTTCGACACTAGTGATCTTGAACGCGTACTGCGCGTGTCTCTTTGTCGCGCCTTATACTGCGAGAGGACCGAGTCTCATGCCGACAATACTAGCAGCAAGACTGCTGTTGTTTGTACCATCATTCTTGTCGCAACCTCTGGACCTCAAGGAGGGAAGATCTTCGAGCCAAGAGAGAGCGTTCTTCACGCAACGGCAAGCTCAACTTGCGGTTGCTGTGTACGCTGTTCTCATGACGGTCAAGCAACTGGCTTCGATAGCTTTCCAAGGATTCGCTCTGTCACAGATCTTGATGGCGCTGGTCAGCCATCCAGCAGTCACGTCACTGGGTTTCGACTTTTTGGTCACGGCTATCAGCTTTTCAACCTGGTCTTTCATTCAGGATGAATCTGGGCAACAGTCGATCTCTCCACCAAAGAAAGAAGAATAATCGTGCTTTGCTGCAGCAGTCAAAAGGAAGCGCGTGAGGCAAGACATTGGCTCTTCCCATGCTCCGATTCTTTCCCCCCCTTCTGGCCGAATCTTCGCATCAAAGGAAACTCACTGCCGTACGCCCTCATCTCCTCACCACCTGGGCTCACCATCTAAGGTCGGTCTTTCATAACCAGGCACGGGCTCTTACATTGGCCGCATGTCTTGACCTTGGAAAGTTTCTGATGTTCCTTGGCGCACGACACAACAACCTCAAACAAGCGACGGCTGTCCTTGGCTGGTGCAGAAGGCGTTGCCATGACTCTTTCCAGTTTGCACTGACACATTTCCCCCTTGTATGCGAGGGTTTTGGACAGATACGTGCCAGAGCTTTGGCGCTTTATGGCGAGACTACCGTCTGGCAGCAGATTCATCTGGGTGTCGATGGCCACTGTCTCCTCTCTCCAGTGCCCGGGATGCTGACCATCATGAGTGTCCCACCAGGCTATGTCGACTTCGATAGTGTTGAAGATGCTTCGGATGTGCTTTACGTCTTCCCCCCACATACGTCGTAGGGGTCCTGCGGTGTGCATTGCGCGTGTCAGGAATGTGTTGCCAGAGAAATAGATGGGTGCCACAGTTTGGCGCAAGTACTTGCAGACCATCAGAACAGATGGCCTGGGGTGCGGTACGCGGAACCAGAACCCGACAGATGTCCTGATGCGCCAGACTGTTGCATTTCTATCTCGTGTCGCGGGCCAGAGATGCAATTCAATGGGCTCGGCCTCAATGACAGCAAGCTCGTATATGATATTCTGGACCTCTGGCGGCAAGGTGAAGAGTCTTGGAATAGTCGTCGCGATATTCGAGTCGTTGGCAAGGGCTCCAGTCGCATCCGCTGTCGAAGAGTTAGTCTGCGCATGCTCGACTTTGCTTTTGGATTCTCACATCGCTCCTTCCCATCGAGAGCGTCCGAGTTTGAGATCTGAGTGGGTCCGATGGAGTAGGACGGGAGGGTATGCTGCACAGAAGCATCGTCGCTTGCGATGGCATCAGGGGCTGCACCCTTCGACCGGGTAGGGTAGCGGTGTTGGTGCATGCTGTCTGCTTGACCCCGATGCTTGAGAAACTCGAAGAAATATGAAGGGAAGAGCGGGCTTTAAGTACGTACGCTGGCTAAGCACGCACGCGGTGCATTCACCTGCGCGACGAGCACGTCACTTGTTACGGGACACAGGAACATTCACGACCATTCTCCAACTCTCGGAAACCATCAGCAACTCGGCTTCAACTCCATGGACACAGACGTTAGCCATTAGGTTTCGATTCTCATTCTGACTACGCTGAACGGCTACTTTGCAACGAATTAACTAGGACGGCATGTCCAGGTCAGTTCGTGAAATCTTGACGTTGGAAGCAAGCAAGCAAACAAGTTATCTTACCAAGACGCCCTGATCCTTTGGGTCTTCCTCCAACGAAACACCCACTGTTTACCCTCGTAGTTGATGAATGACACGCTCGTCCCACATCCTTCTCGTTCAATCAGCGACGCAGATCGATGTTGGTCAGCGCCGGCAGACTGCAACGAGAACACTCTCCACCAGAAGCCGTGGCTCTATGATATTTCTTGCACTCTGCCATCATTTCAAACAAGCGGCGGTCGTCGGTGGCTTCGTTGCGCAGAGTCAATGCGATCCTGTCCAATGCGCAATGGCAAATCTCTCCACTGGGCAGATTCTCTGATTCCCTCGAGCCAGAGCTGCTCACCTTGAACACAAGCGTGCCGCTTTGCAGAAGCTTGATGTTGATCCCGACACCAACATACTCGCTCTTGTTGCGTCCTGGCGGAGGGAAGTTCTCGCGATCGACGAAGCGGACAGAGACTGTGATCATGTATTCGATGCTCCGAATGTGCTTCACACACTCTCCCCACATCTTCCGCAGCATCTCGATGTTCTGGGGCTTCCAATCGGTCGAGACCACTGCGAAAGTGTTGCCGGCGAGGTAAATGGGAGACGCGAAGCTGCGGAGGTACTTGCAGACTGAGAGAAGAGCGGGTTTGTCCTTGTGCCGTTGCTGGACCGCGGTGCGGATTTTCCAACAATCAGTCTTCTCCGTTCGGCTGGCTAGGAAAACGCGGATCCAGATGCATAGGGGTTCGAGGACAAGGTGCTTGTAGATGATCGTCTGGAGCTCATCTGGAAGGGTGAACAACCTGGGTGTTGCCTCTCCTGGTACGGGGGCAGTCAAGGCTGAGACTGAAGAGGTTGCTTGGAACTTTGGTCGCGTCGCTCTCTTCTGGGGATCTGGCTGTTTGGTGGCCGGGAGCTGTGAGGTCTTCTTGGTTGTCTTCTGCGATGGGTCGCTGCTGCCGCTGGGTTCAGGACCAGAGCCTGGGACCTTGGATCTTGTGTTGTACCGATGGTCGTGCATGTTGCTCCGGCACGCACTGCAGTACGCTCTGGATGTCAAGATAGATTGATGGGATGGAAGGGCGCGCTTTATGGAGAGAGAAGGCCCGGCTGTAGCCTGCGTCTGAGATGTCTCGAATAGCATTCACTGGTACTTGGAACGGACTTCCTGATTCGAACACATTCACGACCATTCATCGAGCGTCAGGCGGCGTCCGTGCCCTTCAGCATATATGGTCTCGAGTCGTTTCTGCGATATGAGCATCGAAAGGGAAGTGTTGCGCTGTTGCACTTGACTTTGAGGTATTGCCTGCGCTCTAAAGCACTTCAATCTGAGCAAATGTCTAGTCAACGTCCGTGGCCTCGATCATCCACTCAGCAACCCCTTTAGCATGCAACACATTCGTATCGAACAACACCACATCCAAATCCTCCGGCTTCAACGCGAACGCCAAATCGGTGCTTCCCAGAACAATGCCCTGCGCCCCCTGCTCGACCATCCTCCGCGCAGACCCAATAAGAATCTCCCTCAGCTCACTCGACACCCTCCCACTCGGCAGATTATCCATCAACTCAGAGTGGACTCTGTCTCGTGTTTCTTGATCCTCCGGCACAAGAACTTCCACACCAAACTTATCCCTCATGCGGTCCTTGATATACCCCTCCTCCATCACCATCCTCGTCCCAAGAAGTCCAATCCTCCGCTGCCCCTTCCGCAGAATCTCCTCCGCCGTGAAATCCGCGATGTGAAGGAATTCCAGGCTGCTCAGTTCAGAAACCCGCTCGGCGACTTTGTGCGGGTAGTTCGCGCAGATGACGAAAGCCTCTGCGCCTGCGGCTTTCATGTGAGAGAGCGCGGATGCGAATATCTCGACGACGCTGTCCCATCGGCCTTGGTTCATGTGTTCCAGGAGTGGCTGGAAGTTGAAGGAGTGGAGGAGTAAGGGAGCAGAGAATCTTCCGCCGAGGCGTTGGCGGATGTGGTCGTTGATGACTTTGTAGTATACGGCTGAGGCTTCGTAGGTCATGCCTCCGAGGAGCGCTACGGTTTTCATTGTTGCTTTCTGTTGATCCGATGATTTTCTCCCAAGGACGACTATAGCTGTCTTTGCAATTAAAATGGATTTAACAGAAGGGAAATCCATCAGGTCAATTGAATTGTCGGATTCAAGAAAAGTGGGTCCTCACTGCGCCCTAGCACAACGCTCGATGACAACTTAGGAAGTAGCGATGGAAGGTCTGTGCTCCAACAATAATCGCTTCACAGATTCGATTCACGAGCATCGCTACATGCGTCCACCACATTCACATTCACACCCACAACCACATTCACCAACCCTCAAAACCCCTCAGCGCACACCCTAACCCACCCCCTCGCAACAAAAGCCCTACTCTCCTTCATATGCCTCTTCGACCACTCCGTGCCCCCCGCCGCCACCGCGGCCTCATGCGCCAAATACGCCTTCACATCATCAACCTCATAAATCGCCAAATACGTCGGGGGATCCTCGTCCTTGGTCAGCGGAGCCTTGGGGCCCAGCTTGTATCGCAGCGCACGGATGAAACCGGGGACTTTGGACATCATGGCGAGATGCTCTTCGCGGTACCATTTGTCGAAGTCGGAGGGGTTTGGCGGGTGCATTTCGACGGCGAGGATTTGGGGGGGAGGGGTGTCTTGGGGAAGGAGGTTTGTGAGTTGGTTTTGTTCGAGGAGGATTTGGGTTGGGGGGTTGCGTACCGTTTCCTACGCCCTTCGAATCGTATACCTGGATCAACTCATAATTCCTCGCGTTGAAATCGCCGTTCTCGCCGATCGACTTCGTGTTGCCTTCCTTGGGGAATAGCTCGCTTGTAGTTCTCAGATTCGTGTAGTTTTCCGTCTTCAGACATTCTTGAAAGTCGGTCTGGTAAAGAGCTAGGAAATTTCGAGGATTCTTCGATTCACCACCGAATAGAGATGGAAGCTCTTTGTAGAACGTCGCTCGTGTCGATGTCTTGGATGAGACGAGATCTGGCAAGTGCTCTTCCGTGTACCATTGTGTCCAGAGGTCGTCGGAGACTTTTGTTGGTTTGGAGTTGACGTGTAGTAGGTATGGTGAGACGGACGACATGATTGAAATCAATGCGAGCGAGAACGCTGTATTCCAGAGTCATATCGGCGTTGGGACGTTGACATTCTTGCATGCTGTTGTGCTCCACCAGACCCCGCAAGGATGCAGTTGTAGCCGAGGGGAGCTGAAGCAGTCTGCGCTCAAAGCATCCTGTCGCGTTATATACCAACAATATACTTAGCAAGTCTTAAGTGACGAGGACCATTTGGAAGTATCCGACCAGCCATCGGCGTGCTTAGGATGGGATTCCAGTTCATTCACTTGAGCACGAGTTAGAGTTTGGCCTAACCGAATCTAGAAGTTACATTAGACGTATGTGGTCGAACGGAAAGATGAATGGGATTGCATGGGCGGTAGAATTTTCTTGCAAGACTTCCGAGAGTTCTTGTTCATTCATGAATAATTCATTCTTTCACTGTCAGGTCCTATCAATCCCATTAGCAACTAGCAAGCGCCTAGCAAACGGACGATCTAGCCTACATGAACCCCCATTGATAGATGCAATGTTTCTACTACCAGCTGCCAGTGACCCTAGCCCAAAGGCTAGACTACACCATGCACTGGCTCAACGTCCCGAGCAATGACTTGACAGAAGAACCCGCCGAAGGCGAAGAGGCCCAAAGTTTCCTCACCATCAACATCTTCATCTTCCACGAGGGCGGCACCCTTCTCCTCCACAACGCCCAAGAGAACACATGGGTCCTACCGCACGAAGCCTCACTGCCAAACAGCACTCCCGAGACGTTGTCCAGCCTCTACCAACAAACCGACCCCGAACCCGACCCCACCTCCAGCGGCAAATCCCTCCAAGACATCGCCATGCAAAGCCTCGAGCACGGATTTCGAGACTTCGTCCTCGACAACCTCCAATTCCACGACCTCGCCTTCTCCAACGTCCTCACCATCCCCTCAACAACCACCCAGAACCAGAACCTCCTCCTCACAACCTCCATCGCGCGCCTCCTCCCCCACAACTTCAAATGCAACCCCGAAGGTCTCTTCACCCTGAACCCGCTCTCCCCAAACCAGTACGACGACATCCGCCTCTGCAGCCCACAGGAGACCATCGACCTCCTCCCAGCCGAGCAAGGCCGTCTCGCCGAACAGGCCATGCGTCGCTACCTCCTCGCGTCCAAGAAAGCCGTTGTCCTACGCCCCAGCGGCATCGGACCCCAGGCTTGGATGGAAAACGTCCTTGCGACGTATATCCATTGCCAGAGCCTTCACCGGGGACAGAAGTATTTCGATCGTCTCCCCGAGGAGTTGAGGAGGCATCCTGTTGAGCTGGTGATGCGCGATTACAAGACGGCGATTTGTAGGAAGGTTTTGCGCGGTGGGGAGGTGCAGCTTGTGGTTTATCCGATGACGAGGGTGGGGTTTGAGTACTTCATGAGGGCGGTGGGGATTTGGGGAATGAGGCTTGTGGGGACGTATGCTTGGAGGGATGGGGCGATGCGGTTTGAGTGGCGGGAGCGTGTGAAGGGGGAGTGGGTTACTGAGTATGGGAGGTTGAGAGTTGCTTGGATCAATTGAGGGCGATGGAGATGGTGTTTGTTGTGTGTCCAGGAATGTTTTTGGTCTTAGGGCGATGTCTTCAATTGTAGGTGAGGTAGCCTTGGAGTACCAAGCCTGGTGGACATATCGAAAAGATGGCTGGACCAAGTTCGATGATGATTGCTTCCTTTCGAAAGTCGGCCTTCGACCATCGCATGCTGCGCCGTGCTTGCGCAATTCTGTATCTGTACAGGCTATCCCATCGTTTTACAACCATTCTAAACGCCATCGCTATGCATTCCCATGGAAACCACAGTCTTAAGTCTTCCTTTCCACCCTGTTCAACTTCCTTGCCGTCATAATCTACACCGACGTTAGCATAACCGCAACACCACCCCTCAAAAGACATCACTTGCCTGCGTCCTCGTCCTCTGCCCCCTAACCGGCAGCCCCATCGCATGTCTCCGTCCCCTATAACTCCCCATATCCCTCAACCTCTTAATATTATCCTGCAGCTGCCTTCTCAGGTCATTCTCCAACGTCATCGTGCTCAGTTCGCCCGCCATGTTGTTTATCTGTCGGTCGGAGAGGTCTCGGATGCGCGCGGTCTTGTGGATGTGGAAGCGGGCCATGAGGCGTTCGCAGACTTTGGGGCCGATGCCGTAGAAGGAGAGGAGGGAGCGGTTTACGAGGGCGCCTTCGAGGAAGTTGACGCCGAAGATGAAGACCTGAGGGGTGTTAGATGTTATAGGGAGTGATGGAATGCGATTCGTACCATTTTGGCGACGGGGAATGTGAAGAGTAGGCGCAATGGATGGTCTTGAGATCTTTTGGAGTTGAGTTGAAGTCGCGAATGTTTCTCGCTGAGATATCGTATCTGGATTAGCGTGAGAGCTTCTGAATTCTGAGACACGTCCCTTGCAGCCAACGTCCAGCTGTCAACACTCGCCCGTCTTTTCTCTCTTCCAACCCAGTCAATCAGTCAATTGAATCAATTGACCACCATGGCTGGCATCCAAAGAATCGCAATCAGCTTGCTGCTGATTGCCACGTTCGCATTCGTCTTCCTCGCCCAGACCGCCGAAGCGCAGAAGGGACCCAAGATCACCAAGAAGGTCTTCTTCGACATTACCGTGGATGGCGAGGACCAGGGCAGGATCGTCATTGGTCTTTATGGAAACACTGTGCCAAAGGTAGAACGATACAGTCATGGAGCTGGACTGCAAAGACTGACCGTATGGGCAGACCGTCGAGAACTTCCGTGCTCTCGCAACTGGTGAGAAGGGCTTCGGATACGAGGGCTCTGGCTTCCACCGCGTGATCAAGGAGTTCATGATCCAAGGTACGTCCACCCTCCCCTCACCCACCCAGACCCCCGACTAACCCCCCCTCCCCCCAGGCGGCGACTTCACCAAAGGCGACGGCACCGGCGGCAAATCCATCTACGGCGACAAGTTCGCCGACGAGAACTTCAAACTGAAGCACAGCAAAAAGGGCCTCCTCAGCATGGCCAACGCGGGCAAAGACACCAACGGCTCGCAGTTCTTCATCACGACCGTCAAAACCCCCTGGCTCGACAACCGCCACGTCGTCTTCGGCGAGGTCCTCGAGGGCTACGACATCGTCGAGAAGATCGAGAACCAGCCCAAGGACGGCCGCGACAAGCCGAACAAGGACGTCAAGATCAAGAAGAGCGGGGAGCTGGAGGTCCCGGATGAAGGTATACGGGCGGAGTTGTAGTGCCAGTACGTAGGATGAGTAACGGGACTACGTGCTGGATGCAGAGGACCAATGCTGACAGGAGGTTTCTGTGTTATAGGCTACGCCGGATCCGCCGAGCCAGCCGCGCCGCTGAGCAACGAGGAGTCGATCACGCAGGTTGGCGATGTTAGCAGCAAGGATAGCGTCAAGGACAAACTGTACGAGACGGGATCGACTCTGGCTTTCCCCAAGAGCGAGGGCCTTTCCTTGATGATGAAGCTCTTCCTCGTCGCGTGCATCATCTTTGCGTGTTTCCTGTTCGTGCGTGCGCACAGCGCGAGGAGAGGCTTCAAGGCTGGTCGGCACGGAGCTTACGAGAAAAGTTTACCATAGAGAACAGAAACGAATGACATGCATCTTTACAGGTCCGAAGCGTAGTGATACACTACATCGTCAAGCAGTCAATCTTGAACCGTCTTTCAATCTGCGTGGAATACCAGTCATCGCACTAGTCGTTGATCAGTTCCTCCCGCGGACGCAAGTCCGCCAAGTGACTCCACAATCCTTCCAGGCATCGAGTGGCGGAGCAAGCTGCAACGAGACACCGTTACCTCTAGCTCCTAACAACATCTCCAGCTTGCAACAAAATAACAAACTCAAGAGCGGCTTCTGCTCTCTCTGTACCATCACTGTAACTGTTGCATATACCCTCGTTCTCGCAGTCTCTGTTCCAACCAGGGAAAAGATATAACCATCACAATGGCATCCATCGAAGAGCCCTTCACATTGGTCGAGGAAACCAACACCTCATCGGGCCCCTACCAGATGTTCAGAGACGTCCTTGATCTATCGTCCGCCAAAACAGCAGACCACGATTTGCAATATGTCCAACATCTCCGAACCGCTTTCCCTGGGATGATTGTGACCGCCATTCCAGCGAACAACATCCCACTCCTCACATTCGCTGCGTCGGGCTACGCTACTGTTGAGCAGGACAAGGAAAGCGACTCGATTTTCACATGGCGAGGATACACTGGACCTTCGCCTTCCGCGCGGGATGGATCGCTGGCTGAGGCGGTGCATTTCGGAAAGTATGGGTATCATTGGGGAGGGGAGGATTTTATTCTTTATACCGTGGGGAATTTGCAGTATGTGCTCAAGGAGAGGCGGGAGGGGGAGCATCCTCTTGGGCCTTCCAATGCTACGGATTCCCTTATCAAGGCGGTTGGTGGTTGGATTCTGAATGATGTGGTCTGGGTGTACGACAACTATTGGTATCAGGACAAAAACCTCTATCGACAGGTTCAGAAAATGAGTTGGGATAAGGTGATTCTGGATGAGGGAATGAAGCAGGATCTCCAAACGGCGGCGACGAAGTTCTTCGATTCGAAGGATGTCTATGATGATCTTGGTGTGCCGTGGAAGAGAGGTTTGCTGTTCCATGGTCCTCCTGGAAATGGCAAGACGATTTCGATCAAGGCTTTGATGCATACGCTGCTGGACCGCAAACATCCGATCCCCACGCTGTACGTCAAGAGTGCGCCTTATGTCTATAACATCAACCAGGTCTTTTCTCAGGCGAGAGCGCTGGCGCCTTGTATGCTCGTGTTGGAGGATATCGAGACGATCGTGAAGCCGGATACCAGATCCTACTTCTTCAACCAGATGGACGGACTGGAGAACAACGATGGTCTCTTCGTCGTCGGGTCCACGAATTTCTTGGACAAGCTCGATCCTGGATTGACCAAGCGGCCTAGTCGATTCGACAGGAAGTACCTCTTTCCTATTCCCAACGAGCATGAGAGGACTCTTTATTGCCAATATTGGCGCAAGAAACTCACGAACAAGCCGGAGATCAAGTTCCCCGAGAAGCTCTGTCCGGCGATGGCTCACATTACTTCGGGTTTCTCTTTTGCGTTCTTGCAGGAGTGTTTCGTGGCCACTTTATTGGTGCTTGCACGGCAGACGGATGGCATCGAGAGGGATGATGATGACCTGGAGAAGTACGAGCTGTGGAAGGTGTTCAAGAAGCAGGCGAATATCTTGCGGAAGGAGATCAATACGGAGGTACCAATGAAGCCTGATGTAGAAGCGGAGACGTCTGATCCGGCTGTGCCTCACCATCACCACAGCTTTCAGCCTCTATCAGCTGGCCCGGGAGTTCAGACCAACGCTACGGGTCTTCCTACCTTCAACCAGAGAAGAGGACCTACATGGGGCTTGGACCAGTTCTCCCGGCTGAACATTGCAGACCGCGACAGCCTGCTCGTTCGCCTTCCGTTGGGAAGAACCAATACATCAACCCAGCGGCGTTTGAGTTGAAGTGACAGCGGGCTACCGATGCGAGATGCGGGAACCTAGCTTGCACTGCTCCTGTACAGTAGACAGCTGAATCTACGTCATTGCGGTTGTTTTTAATACGGGTATGACATACTGGATACAGTTCTGCCGCATCTTGCCAGTGCCGCAAAAGGATAGTCTTGAAAGTTGAGCTGCAGCTCTGATGAACATCACGTCAGCTGCGGCAGATCCTGTCATCAAGCACTCCCTTTCGGAACATCTTCTGTCGAGGACGCGTGCTCGATGCCCCAAAACAGCATGTGTCGTCGACGTACTCGTGCTCGGTATGATACACCTTCTTCACAATCGACGTCGTGCATGAACGAATCGTCCTCGCAGGGTTTGGTAGAGAACGAGATTGACTTTCGTATGACAGCAAATCAGGGAAGGAGCGTGAAAGCTTAGCTGGTTTGCCAAGGGAGCTTAGCCTCCTCGTGTCTCTCACAACCCGCCCGTGCGTCACGCCATCCAACCTCTCCCCAGACCTGTTTCTGCGACCCGCGACCTCGTATTTGTGCCTGCATTTTTCCTGTGTTCAGTCCGCTGTATCCTCCTGCAGCTCCCTGCGCGTTTGCTGCGACATTTATTTTCTTGGATCTTGTAGTTGTTTAGAGTAATTGACTGGAGACCTGCGACCGGGGAACCAGCGGGCCAAGCATTCGCACGGCCTCTCTCGCGTGGTTGGCATCACCATGGACTCGGCGGCGCATCAGACGGAGAAGGCGGATCGCACCGTCGACGACTCTCGTCAAGAGCCTACATCGCAGCCTCTGAACGAGAAGCAAGAGCAGAGCAATGGCCCCCCGACCAATGGCCAACCGAAAGAAGCCGAGAAGCAGGATACCAACCAGTCCGGCGACGATGGCGCGGATAAATCGAAAGGCCCCTCGGGCGGCTTCGACACCACCCCTATACCTTCGCGACCGTCAGGATACACGCTGAAGATTACGATCCACCGTGCGGAGAATCTCCCTATCGCCGATATCAATGGCTTCTCGTCGGATCCGTTCTGTCTGGCGCAGCTGAATACTGATACGCCGAAGCGTCACAAGGAGGACCCTTACCTGCGCTTCAGGACACATACGGTGCGAAAGAACGTGGAGCCAGAATGGAATGAGGATTGGATCATTGCGAACGTGCCTTCGACGGGTTTCAAGTTGAAGATTCGCATTTACGATGAGGATCCAGCTGATAAGGACGACTTGCTCGGAAAGGTGCACTTGTCCGTTCCTTCCCTACACGAGGGGTGGGAGGGGATCAAGAACCAAGGCGTGAAGTTACTGGCACACGATGGGAGTAAGAGGGCGTATCTGTTGCAAGCCTTGACGACTTGTTTTAGGGAGAACAAGCACTTCCGAGGCTACCTGTACCTCAGCATTGAGATGCTTGGCAAAACGCAACCGGATGGTCAGAATGGAAGGGTATACACCGTTGGGCCATGCAAATGGGTGCGACATTACAGTCCGCTCCTGGGTCGCTTGGTCAACATCAAGGATCCGAACGCGGACGATGGCCAGCAACAAGGCGGTAGTCAGCAGAACGGCCAGAAGAAGCCGGCTGAGCATTACAATTTCCAGGCCAACCAGGTACAACTCCAAGGTCCTGTTCCGGCGAAGCTGTATCATCGCTACGTCGAGTTCAAGCCTTGGGTGTCCCGTATGTTCACGAGCAGTGGATTGTCTGGTGTCCTAATGGGGAAAGCGCTGCATCATCAACATTCCCGGGTGTACAACTTCGGACGCTCGACTGAGTGGGGAGCCTTCCCACAAGGGCCTTGTGAGGAGATGACCAAGAGGTTCTTGGAGCTTGTTCATTACGACCAAGGCGGTCGGATCTTTACATATGTGCTCACCTTGGATGCTTTCTGGCGCTTCACGGAGACTGGCAAGGAGTTTGGCATCGACATGTTGAGCAAACACACTATGCATAGTGACGTGAGCATATACATCGCCTTCTCCGGCGAGTTCTTCGTCAGGAGACTGAAGCACGCCAAACAACCACCGCCACCAGAGCCGATCGAGGAATCAAGTCAATCCCACCCACCTCAGCACGCTCCCAACGAAGAACACCCACCCAACGAAGTCGAAGATGGCCCACCCTCAGATGACCCCCCAAAGCACCCCAACCACTACGAACTCGTCATCGACAACGACTCCGGCACCTACCGCCCCAACGCCGACATGCTGCCCCTTCTAAAAGACTTCCTCGCGCGAAACCTCCCAGGTCTTCACATCCTCACCCTCGACTGCAACAAAGACGCCGAAAAGCAACAAAAGATGAAAGCCGAGCAACGCGAACGCAAAAAGAAAGAAGGCGACCACATCATCTACACGCAAGGCGATCGGTCGAGTTCGATATCTTCCTCGGATGAGGAGGAGCTCGATCACATCCAGGCGGGGCTGCTGGATGAGAATGCTTTAAGCCATGAGCATGGCGCGATGAGCCAGGCGCGCAAGGACGCCAAGTTGAGGAATAAAGCCAGACTGGGCAAGTGGAAGCAGGATTATCTGGCCGGCAAGAGGAGTGATGCGCCGCCGCCTGAGGCGGATGAGGAGGATGCGCCGGCGCCGGTGCAGGCTTCTTCGGCGAATGCTTCGTGATTTTTGGTTTTTTTTTGGTTCCTGGTTTTGGGGTTGATTTTCCCCTGGGTGTGCATATGCAGCGCTGGCGTTCTGCGAGCAGGTTAGGTGGTTGGGGGAGTTTTTTCTTTCCTTGTTCGCGCGCGTGACCGCCGTGTTGTTCACTTATACCGTTCTTCTTCTTCAGGTCTTGACTTCCTGCGATACCCGCTGATTGTTTTTAAACAAAGTACACGCTGCAAGCTGCAAGCCATGTTCCTCTTATGACGGCCTCGAATTGTATATGAGTGTAATTGGTTATAGGCGACATATAGTCAAATTAAGATTTGATCACGCATTCCATCCGTACATGAATCGTAGATTTGATGGTTTTGTATTCGGTTGTGGATGAATGGCATGCACGGATGACTTTGAAGGCGGTCTGGCGCTGTTCGTTGTTATTGCTGCCCTGGTTCTTATGCGCCTGGGAGAGAGGGGAGGCCGAGGGCTACGAGGATTGTCGTTCCTCTCTCGAGCGCGTGTGATCTGGTGATTTGAAGGAACGTGATCAGGTCGCGGTGTTGTGTTTTGCCAGCGCATGTTATCGGAGCAAGTTGGCCACGAGTGTGCTTCAGGTTATTTCTTGAGATCGGCCAGCCTCATTGTACCTACCAAGCTCCACATCCCCCAATTGATGGTTGATGGTCCAGTTGGGCTGCGCTGGCATGTCCTCCAAGTCAGTGGCATGCCTCGATCAACGAAGACGTTAACGCGCTGCCTCCATCACGTATCGAATCGATAAAGAGCACGTGCAGAGGCGTTCGCGATTGTCGGTGTCCTAATCCCCTCATTCCCCGGGTGTTGTCGTGATCGGGGCATGTGCTCAAGGTGCAGGTGTCTCCTCAGCGGCAGTCTGATATCAATGCATGCGGCACTGATCGCGGGGCGCCAGAACAAGAAATTTGTTGTTGGCAGTCCCGTTCTGCTTTTGAGTTCTGGAACGTCCATCTCTGATCTTAAACTTGGCAGGTTGACGTGCCCGTTGCTGGGAAGATGCTGGACGGCCGAGATAAAAAGTCCGAGAATTGGAAAGTTAGTTTCTTATTGCGGAGAGCAGTGGCTTTCGAGGTGATGATGTGAGAGTGATGTCGGAGTCGCGAGGCCTCGTTTGGGTGAAGTGGAGGATGGCGCCACAGATGCAACAACGGCGGTGGTGGCATAGCAACGGCGCTAGGATGCGAGATGGCCGTTGTTGCTACGAAGCCTCTTTTATCGATATCGGTGCGCCATTGAGCGACGATAACAGAGTGTGATGTGAATGCAGACATCCGCCAAAGCCGAGCGAGAACAGGATGTCTCGATTCTCCGTCGGTCGTGCTGCAGTCGAATGCAAGCAGAAAAGGCAGCGAGCATCAGCCACCAAGTTTACCACCTTCCCGCTCTATTTTCAAGAACAGCGGATCGATGAGCCAATGAGAGGAAAGAGAATGGTTGGTGGTGGCTTCCCAAAGCGGCAGTGTGCGTGGAGCGCCAGGGTGAGTTGAAACGCGGACCCTTGTCAGTCGACAGACCGCATCCAAGTTTCGCCTCGCCATGCCCAAATCTCCCCCAGCTAGAATGGCCGCAATACAAGTGCAGACCGGTTCTGCGGCCGCGGTCAACTGCCTCCATCTTGTTTTGTGCTTTGTCGGTACTTACGTTCGTTCTGTGAGGGAGATGATATAATACGGTCAGCCAGAGAATCACCACATCTGCCGTTTGACGCCTCGCCCGGCTGTAACCAAGTGCAACCACGACGTTAAGCTTTCTATCCACTGTTACAACGCCTGGCGCGGTTCGTCACCTGGGTGGCTGAGAGGACAACGACACATGTGAAACTGCTGCCACACGCCTGCAACCACGCAATCACATCCCCATTCGACATGCTCAGCTGCTGAGGGCCTGCTTGCCATTCGTCCTCCGCCTTCCCCTCCCAAACTGCTCTCCTCTCGGCGAACTGGCGGGCAGCGTGTGGGAAGAGACTTAATTGCCAGTGCTTCTGTGGCAGCAGCAGACGCGGTTTGAAGCTGGAGCAGGTCATGAGCGGCTACTGGAACTAACTACGAGTCTAATATCTCCCACATTCGTTTACAATCGGTACGAGCAGCCCTGCAAGTGCAGACATCTCAAGCTAACTCACTCTAAGCGCATCTGCTCGTTCAAGCGTAGCAACAATGCCATTTCGCAGTAATAAGCCAGCAAGACTGGAGAAGCCACGAACTAATGACAACTCTGGCTCGAAACCCTCGCCTGCCAGACACGACGATGCCGACGATACGAGCCTACGAAGCCCCAATCGATATTCGATCCAAAGTCTATCCCACCAGCAGTTGGTCACACGGCAACGACAGCTGCTGTTGAGACAGGCCAGTGACAACTCTCCGTCTCCCAAGAATGGCCAGGATCGATTGGGTCGAAGTGCAATCAACGAGAACGACCCTTATGGAGACCCAAAGGCTTCGACATCGACTGTCAATACCATTGTCAACGATATTGAAGCCAGGTCGAGGATCGATGTCGAGCAAGCTATTGGCTTGCTGCAAGAGTTGAAGAAGACTGCTTCGCCAGATGAATTGGTTGCATTGCACAGGGCATTGCTCCCTGTCAAAGAGGACACCCCTCCACCGGCCTCGGCACTGCCTTCGATTGAAGAGAGAGCATACACATCCATACCACCAGATAGGAGACGGTCAGTCATACCTCCGGGCTTGGCAACTCGCAGCGGCAGCTCGGACGACATACTGCGCAGACCGTCTGATCCCTCGTCGGTCCCAACTCCAAAGAAGCCGCAAAGAGATACTTGGATGTTCGAGACCCCAAGAGAACAACGCAGGAACGACTCACCCAGCCGTCTGAGCACTCGATCAGAACAGGCATACTGCCATGCTGGAGCCTTCGCATCCGGAACGCTACGCATAACGAACGGCGCAGCATCACCAGAGCCGAGCATCATCTCCAAGCTAGCGCTGGAGTCCAACGATGTTGAAGAAGAGGGAAAGTCTAAGCACCCTGCCAGCGCTGTGGACGCTCGATCAAGCCTCCAGTCTCTCAGAGAACGAAGAAGTGAGGATGCCGGATCCACGCGGTCGTATCGACTCTCTGTCTTGGACCACCAAAGCTCAGAGACTCTTCGACCAGCTGGCCCTCGACCTGGATCTCTGGATTTTCATTCACGGCAACAATCCAAAGTGCGTGCAGAACTTCGTCTCGACCCTCCTCTGCAGCGACACAGCTTCCAGCATATCCCTGACTCTCCCGCTGAAGATGCCCCTCGCTTTCAGCAGAGGTGGAGTCACCGTGCCGCGTTCTTGTCCCAGGAGTATGCTCTTGACTGCGACATTACTGAGAGTCCATACGAGGAGAAGAATGGTCTCTCCGAGTTTGGTAACCGACTTAGCACTGTACACGACGACGGTGAGAGTGAGTATGGCGAATATGCAGAAGTCGATCACAATTCTCGTGCGGATGCGTTATCCAGGCTCACCGGTGTGTTTGAAGGCGAAGCGACTGGAGCCGAAGACGACATTGGCACGGCGCGAACCAGTGATGAAGCTAAACCATCTTCCCAACAAGATGAGCCCACCATGATGCAGGACAAAGTTGTCCGCAAAGTCGACAGTGGCTACTGCTCCGATGCATCGACCTCGCCTCTTCAGCGAAAGTCTTCAGCAGAGGCAGGAAAGCCCAGAATTGCAAGTGCAATTCAGGAGCAGCCCAGCAGCCCACACCAAGGCAGTGACCAGTACGTCACAGATAGCGACCTTCCTGCTGACTCGCGTGGATCAACGAACGACACCAGCAGCCTTCTGACCTTTGAGGAGATGGTCACCTCTTCTCCTCAAACTGATGCGGCTTGGAACACCTCGCCTTCTCAAACCACCAAGAAGTCACCACTTTCCCTGTTCAAGTCGAAGTCAAAAGCCACCAGGAAGAGCAGCTTCAACGTGTTGAACGTGTATCATGGCGATCGACCCAGGACGAGTGATGGCTCGGACGCTGCAACATTCGCGGAGCCATCACCACCGCCGTCGAGATCAGGACCAGCCGACAAGCCTTCGAAGAAATTGCAGAAGCCCATGCCTGAGTCTGTTCGACGCCAGAGGAAGAAGACCATGGAAGATCTGAAGGCAAACATGTCTCAGCACTCGCCCACTGTTCAGAACCTCTTGGCAGATGGGACCGCGACACAGGAAGACTCAGATTGTTTCATCGGCTGCCAACCAAAAGAACCTGTCGGTGATCGCGAACAGAGCCAGGAGCAAGCAAAATCACTAAGGCACCGCAGCAAAAGCTTCGTAGGCAGGAAGCGAAGCAAGACTGTTGGCGAATCTGAAGACATGTCTGAGCAGCCTTCAGCCTCATCAGGCCCATCTCGCAAGCGTAGCAAGAGCAATGCCGACCACACTGCACCAATACCAGTGCGTGCTAACGAGGAAGCAGTTCCCAGCATGAACTGTCTCAAATCCCATGAGTCCGAGACTCCTGCTCGAGACCGACCGGTACCCGCGCACGCAGACTTTGCTTCGGTTGCGCGTGCGCTGCAGTCCCATCCTCCAGATCCATCACCTGCAGCGCGTCGCAGTGCTCCTGTGCCTAAACGGTCTTCGATGCAGCGATATTACTCGCTTCACAAGATCGACATCCCTGTGCAAGAGCCGTCTACGGCACAAGACGATGGAGCCAAGCAGGAACCCGAATCCAACGTTCAGGCTCAAGAGACTCCGCACGCTGTACAGGACGAGAGGACAGTGACTGAACAACGCCCAGCTCTCCCGTCCCACCACACATCTGCCAGCGTATCCTCAAGCGCTCTCACAACACCAGTGGCCGTCGGATCTAGTTACTCCGTGGAAGATCGGTTCCCTGGCTGGCAAGGCAAACCAGCTTCACCAAATGCCACGCCGCCTCAGACTCCTGTGCACAGTCCATCATCTTCAGTCTCGTGGCTCTCGCTTCGAAACAATCGATCTCAGAGTGCGTTACCATCTGGAATACCTCCACTTCCAGAATTGCCAGCCGACATCGCAGCAAAAGTGTCTCGAGCTGATCAGATGGTCGCGAAGAAGATGAGGTTGAGTCCACGCAGTTCACCAAGTACGTCCGCTCGCAATAGTATTGACAGCGTGGACACCAGGAAACAATTACTCGCCAGGAAAGCGGAGGCTCGTAAAGAGCAGGATGAAGAGCGCTCCAAGGAAGCCAGGCAAGCTGCTCTTGACAAACTCAACGTGCCAAGAGAGGAAGACGAAGACGCTGCTGATAGACCAGCAGCAGACAGAGCGCGCTGGAGTGTCGACGGCAGCATCCAGCTACCCAGACCTGAAGAGCAACCGCTTCCTGCATCTCCTACGCACGACTCACAGCATCCAGGTTGGCCAGGTTGGGAACAGCAGTCTAGTCTGTGGCGGCAGAGGAGAGAAGCACTTGCTCAGTCGCTTGATACAGCTGACCAGGGTCCTATCGATGAAGTACCTCAGCAGACCTGTGACTCGCCGTCAACGCCGGGCATTGTCGTGTCTCGTTACATCACCCCTCTCGGTGCAGAGAACGCACACAACGCCTATAGAGCAATGGAGACCGAGCACGACTCTGCAAAGAAGTACGCCCAAGAGTATACAAGCCTCATCGAAGACGACAAGGAGAACACGCCATCACGTCCAGCCATCCCTCGTGCGGACAGCGTTGTGTCGACCGCAACCCTCGTCACAATGCAGTCGTCTAGTGAACGCCCCGTCCGCGTCAACCCCTCTCGATCAAACAGCGAACTTTCATCATACACCACCACAACCACCGTCTCCAGCACAACAACCTGGTCGAACTCGAACCACGGCAGCAACCGCAGCCCATTCAACCGCGACCGCCAACAACACATGCGCACGAAATCCGGCCGCTTCGTCGCCTACCGCCCCTCGGACGCCTCCCAAGCCGAACGCTCCCGCGCCTTGAGCCTCGCCCGCCGCTCAACTCAACAAGCCGCCACGTCCAGCGCCGAAAACCTCGCCGTCCCACCTCCGCGTCCCGAGCTGAAGAAATCCAGCTCCGAGACGCTCTTCGACCGTTTCGGTGGCGGCATGCAGTATGGCTGGGACCGCGACTCGGGGAGTTTCGGGGGTTCGGCGGGGATGAGGTCGAGTGGGGAGGTGGGGAGGCAGGAGAATCGCAATCGGAAGAGTGTCAAGATGAGTGAGGAGTTTGGGTTGGATTTGAGTGATGTGCCGGTGTTTTTGAGGAGGGGGGAGACGTTTTCGACGGCGTTTCATGGGTAGTTGGGGAGGGGCTGAGGTGTGGGACTGGTGTTGGGTGATGATGGGGTTTATGGTGACGAAATTGAAGAAGTATGAATTCGATTCTTCTGTTGGGATGGGACGATGGGTGAAGGGTGAATGGTGGATAGAGATGGGGTGGCTGGCTGGTGAGGTAGGGGAGGTATATAGATACAAAACAAAATCACCGTGCTCGACGGAAGCATACAACGTTATAGGCGGATAGTATTTCGGCAAACCCCAATGAAAAATCCCAACAATAACACTTCTCAGGGGCCCACTCCTCTTATCTGCGTACCCTAGCTTTCTTGGTGTCTCCTCGCAGGTGTTGTATCGGTACTTCGAGCACAGTATGCATGATGGATGGCTGCGTGTTGCACCGTGTGAGGCAAATGTTACCTGGTCGATGGATCTCGCTTCCTCTCTCAAGGTGGTAGGTACATGTAGACAGAAGACACGTCCACAAGCACGAGATGTCGTGCGCCTGTGGTTGAGTTGGATCTCTGTACGCGGTTTGTGTCGTTTGGTGTTGCAAACAAAACAATACAAAAGCATGTTGTTACTGGGATAAGACGCAGGACAGTCTGACTCGATGCAGTCCTCCCTCCATCCTCGCAAGTCTCGAAGACCAGGAATATAGGAAAGGTGAGCGACGATAAGGAAAACACGCACACACACATAAGGAGTTCTCAAACAGCCAATTCTCGGCCTTGATTTCGCTTCGTTCGTATAATACATCCCACCTCTCATGGGTGGTTCTCTGGGGGTATACCTTATACTTCTTCTTCTCTTTCTCTAATATCATTCATCTACTCGTTCACACATCGACAAAACAGCCGTCCGATCGTGTCATCACAACAGCAAGCAAAGAAAAACCGCTCAGCAAAAGTACTTGTACACTCGCTTCCACTTGGGCCAATTCGCGCGCTCGGCTTTCTCCTCTTCAATGAGCTCCGCGACGTTCAGGTCGCGGATGCCGGTGGCGATGTCCATGTTGTAGGAGCGGGCGACTTTGGTTTTGAACCAGAATTTGTAGGGCTGTGAAGGAAGGCGTTGGTTAGTATGGGCGAGACTTATGAGTGCGGTTGTGGGAATGGAACTTACGATGTAGAAGAGGATGACGATCGGTGTCGCGAGGTATGCCTGGAAGAAATCGTTGGCCTGACCGGCAGGACCGTCGTCGCCGTATCCGATGGGCCATGCGCCGACCCAAAACTGAGCAATGAGGACGAGGCAGTTGAAGATGAAACCGACCCAAGAGCCGAAGACACCTGGCGCGCTGCGGAAAGCGAGCTCGTCGAGAGTGTGGCCTTGCTTCTTCCATGCGGCACGGAATCGGATGTGCGCGAGACAGATGCTGCCCCAGGTGAAGATTGAGGAGAGACCAGAAAGCGCCAGCATCCAGTTGAAAGCATCAGTCTGCTTGTCGGATCCGGCAAAGAAAGCGAGGAAACCAAGAAGGGAGGCAATGCCAATAGCGACGATCGGACGACCTTTGCGGTCAATGTAGCCGAGAATCTTTGGCGCCTGGTTCTGGTCTGCGAGCGCGGCCAGAGTACGTGAGCTTCCGTAGATGGACGAGTTGCCGACGGAGAGTACAGCAATCATGATAACTACATTGAAGACAGATGGGAGACCGCTGATTCCGGCGTTGGTGATCGAGATGACAAATGGCGATGCCCTCGCGTCAACGCTGGAGGTGGCATTGAGGAGACGCTCGTCGGTGTAAGGAACAAGGAGGCCCACAAGCGTCAGCGAGACAATATAGAAGATGGTGATTCTCCAGAAGACCTGCTTGACGGCGGTGGGAAGCGACTTCCTGGGGTTTGCAGTCTCCGCTGCGGCGAGACCGACCAGTTCGGTACCGGCAAAGGCAAAGGCTGCAGTGACGAAGACAGAGCAGAGACCCTTGAAACCATTGTTGAATGCGCCGGGATTGTGCCAATTCTTTCCTCCAATGTATCCACCGTCTGGACCGCCGCCGCACGTAAGGATGATGCCGAGGATGATGTAGCCGACCACAGCGATGACTTTGATGATGGCGAAGATGAACTCGGCCTCGCCATAGCCCTTGACACCGAACAAATTGATGACGATGATCAAGACGAGGAAGATGGAGACCCAGGCGTCAGGGTTGATCGAAGTGTTCCAGTACTCGATGGTGATGGTGGCAGCGACGATTTCCAGCGGGAGGACGACAAGCCATTGCATGGCGTAGCTATACATTTGTTAGCGTGGTTCGGGAGTGTATATCAATTTGTCATGACCTACTTCCACCCCATAGCAAAGCCCCACGCAGGATCGATGAACCGAGTCGAGTAGGCGGAGAAGGATCCAGCAACAGGAAAAAGAACGGCCATCTCTCCCAGAGCATGCACTGTGTTGTACAGCATGATGCCGATGAGGACGAAGGCGATCAGGAGGGACGCAGGACCGCCATGCGCAAGCGCAGAGCCCGAACCGACGAATAGGCCAGTCCCTATCGAACCACCGATTGCAATCATCTGGAGATGGCGACCCTTCAAATGCCGCTGGAGGGGTGAGGTCGCAGTCGCGGCAACAGCAGCCTCAACATCGAAGACTCGGCCATCGGCGCCGACGGTGCCTTTCGGTGTTGCGTGGGCGTTTGGATCGCGTTTGAAGCTGTCGACGAAGCGAGTCGACCAGGAGCGGTGTTGGGCCATGGCTTCGCCGTATTCTGGCAGGCGAGGTGAGTCTTGCGGCGAGTACTCAATTTTGCCCATGGTCTTTTCCGGATCGTCCATGACGGCGGTCGGAAGAAGAAGATTCGATGCGGCGCGGCTTTGTTTGCAGCTCGTGAAGCAAGCAGAGAAGTGAAGAGCGGGCGGCTGAGCTCGGGTTAGCTGGTTAGGACGTTAAAGATAGTCGGTCGATCGAGGCCGTCGGATCAGGTGCTGAGGGGTGAAGGGCTCGGAACCACGGGCACACGCACACAGCAGCAGCGTCGAAGAGGCGGCCGAGCGTGTGTGAGTGCGACGGGCGTACAGCAGCAGGTCGAGCAGCTGGACGAGTCTTAAGGGCGCGGTGGTGTTTGGGTGGACGGCCGTCTTCCCAAGGTTATTTAGAGTTCCGCGTGCGCCAACGGCCGGCGGGAGGCTCGCGAGTGGCTGATGAAGGGGTCTATCGACGGCGATGAGGAGTTGCAGTGAGAGATTTCATGGGCATTCACTCGCTCGGCTCGCGGCTGGCATGGCAGGAGGCAAGAGCGCTTCGAAAGACAGGGTCTTGTCCTGGTAGACGTCGTGCGACCACACTGCGCAGCCAACAGCATCGCTCGCCGCACCCGTGCCAAGCCTCAAGACTGGCTCCTTCACTCGCCCCCTCCACTCCGCGCCGCACTACTCGATAAGGCCACTCGAGAACCAGCAGCGCCATCTCTCCAATGACAATCATCCATCAACGCGACGTTGTCTGCGAAGCTTTCTCGTCATCGTGCTTGCCATGCGACTGTCGCAACCGATCCTGCTGAAGCTTTCAGCGGTGGCGTTTTGACCACGCTGCACCACTCCACGGCCAAACGTCAGCCAGCCTTGCGTGTTGAAGACGACGCCGACGCCATCCATTCTGCCCGCTCGGCGCACCACACTCTTCTGTGCCCCAATTGTCTCGAGCCTCCACGCACCGACGACCTTGCACGACGCACCGCAGCCTCATCCAGGGTCGTTGGTAACACAAACGCTGCTCATTGGTCTCCCCATGTCACTCCATCATTAAACCGCGGGGTTTTGGCTTTTCCCTTTCGCACTGGCTTCGTTTTGCTCGTGGAGAAGGGCGACAGCGTGAAGTCTGGTTGTGAACATCTTTCCCGTCTTCAACTTCACGTACAATCGGATGGTCATCGCTGTGGCATCGCAGTGCTTCCAAGTCTCTCGGATTCTGCCCGTCTCGCGTAGACCAAGCATTGTTGGAATCGCCGCTAGACCCCTGCCAAGTGGGCCGGAGTGATAGCAGCTGACCGACGCCAGTGACAAGTCGGAAACCCATCCAACACCAACATCGCCTTCTTATCGAGCATGACGAATCTCTTCAACTTCAACTCTTTCTCCCAGTCGACCGACCCTTCGCTTTCCATCCCAACTGACATGGTGTCCGGACCGAATAGTCGTCTTGCACATGCTGCCTCCCGACCCACGATTTCCAAAGCAGAAGCGTTGAATACGTGGATGGGGTACCTGCCGTGTAACAGAACGTGCGCGAGGTTGGAAAGAAGTGTCTGGCCACGTATTTCTCCGACTGTCGCCATCGCGCTGAATTATCACTCCCGATCTCACAAGCTCACGCATCCTTCATTTGGACCTGCATCTCCGCCGAGCATTTCGAACGAGTTGTCTCCTCCCACGCACGGCGGTGTGCTTTGACGTGATCCCAACCAACCCACCCAGTACCATGGACTGTGAAGAAAGGGTAACACGAGGACATCGCGTGGCGGTGGGTCGGTGCATGCGTGTGGCCAGTTGTCCTCCCACGAGTCGACGACCATTGGTAAAGTATTCTCTTTGTCTTCCTTGGCTCCAAGAGAGTGATTGTTCCTCTTCATTTCCACATTGGCAACGCCGGGCTAGGAGAGGATGTTAATCCAGCTGCCAGCGAAGCCTACACGGCATTTGATGAGCGTCTTTCGAGAGAGAAGAGATCTTGTCTTGTCGGTGAGCGAGGTGCTACGTATCGCCATGCGACGTGATGGAGCATGAGATGGGTCTTGGACGGCTGGCCATGCGGGCCACGATGAGGTGCAGTTATGCTGATGCGGTAGGGTAGAGATCCACCACGTTTTGCAGATGCGTTGAGAAACCGATACCGTCGGATTGGCAAGCATCGTGCGCACAGTTCTCGTCCCCGTCTGCCTCGATCGATAGGGATGTCTTCCGCGTAGCCGCCAGTCGAAGATGTCGCTCATCGCTTTGCAGCTTGATCTTTGGAAGGAGTGAGTCGCATCCCGATTTCACATCCTTCACATCCCCCGTCTTCTAAGAATACGATGTGGATGGGGAGATCTTCTCTTCGGGCACTCGAGCTCGTTTCCATTTTGGTATTTGTCTCGGATCCAGCAACACATCTCCGCGTTATGATATGGGCTGTGCTTCATCGCGGTAACGGAGTCCAACACGGAAAGAATCGAATCGAGCAGTAGCTTGCCATACCAGAGAGTCTTCGATGCGGCATCAGCTTCTGGAGCAAATATTGAATCCTCATGCGATGAGATACCCATCACAAACTCCATCGTCTCTGGCAAGCCCCAGCACAGACTTCCGCCGTGGCTTCATATTTACCAGGGGACTATTCGACCATGGCAGTGCGAAGGACCAGCACAAGACAGCAAGAAGAGACTAATGATAAAGAAGGAAAGAAAAAGCAGGATGGATGAATTAAAGTAAGCTTAACCTTCACCCCTCAGAAGGAAGTGAAATGCGTTTTCATCCTGCCCTCCACATTATTGTCCTCAGCCGGGGTACACACGCCCTATAAAGTCGAAGGCTCGAGGCAACCTTCTAGAGTGGATTATCTTACGTGATATGGCACTTTTTATCGAATGATCATTCGCAGGGTCAGTTACTGGGAGCCGCATTCTCCTCTCTCTGTCTCTTGAGTCGTGCGACTTCGACTAGTAAAGTACAATATACCTCGCGAAATCAGCCTTCTCGCACCTACCCCTACAAAGCAACAAGAACAACGATCATGTTACTCGATATGCCTCGCTGATTGGTGGATCCTCATCGGGCGCTGCCGATGTTTTCCTCGGGGTTTGGCCGGGAGGATGGCTTTGGGTTTGGGGGTTGGAAGGGGGAATGGTATAGAGGTATGTATATGCTACGAAGACCGGTGGAGAGCGGGTTTTGTTTCGTTGTTCTGCTGAATAACGAGCTGGGTCATCATGTCTTAGTGAAAGACGGGTGGGTAGGTATGCTAACGAGACGATGGTGGTGTGGCTTTGTTGCGTGGTCAGATATTCTTCGCCTTTCGAATGTATAAAGAAGGCCCGTTGACTTTAGACGATTATCGACATGTTCTGATGTTCCTTACAATCGGGCTCGATCGATTGAGCAGTCTTCACTTCGGTCGTCGGGCACACATCATTGCCGGACTCGACATCTCTGTGCTGTCCTGGACTGGCCAGACGAGGGGATGAGCTGTTGAAGCTGAACCTAGACGGTGAACGGCACGAGCACACTTCCGAAGAACATGGGCGTAGATGTTCATTGTTCGAAGTCACGAAGCCATCTCGGAGAGGTGAGAACTCCAGAGATCCGACCCCTTTTTCTCCCCATATCGATATGCAGGTACAGAACTTACCTGAAGATCCTGGTGCTGGTACAATCCAGCACCAGGGTAAGAGGCCCTGGTGAAGTTTCTCTTGTCCCTGAAGCTTCTGTTCTTTTGTCATTGAGAGTAGAGGCCCCTGAACTGGCTGGCATCGGGGTTGGAAAGATCGGTCGACATTGTTGTCGACCAACATGGTGTGTTAAAGGTCTTCGAACCTTGCCGTGAGAAGGTCCATTTGGCGTTGGGGGTGTTGGAAATGGGGAGATTCAAACCAGGAATGGCATCTGAGGCAGAGCTGTTCAGGTATTCGATTCGAACACAGGCGCTCGTATTTACGCTCCGTTCTCCTGCAAGTCCGTTTGGATGTTTCGCAAAGAGACGCTTCGACGTGATGCACGACGGCTTTTTGCTAAGAGCTGAGGTCTTTCGCAGGACGTCACGAGTGGAGCGGATGTCCTGCAAGATACTTGCAGAGGAGATTTGCAGCTCCAAGAAACACGGAGTGGTTCCCTAAGCCGGACCTGGGATTTCGAAAACTGTTCACATGTCGATGTTTCGTGAGTCTCGCCATATGCAGCGCTGGCGTTGGCGCGACCATTGTGGACTCCTAGATTTCGACTACGCGAGCAAGCAAATGTTCGATGCAGCTTCGAAAGCTGCCGATGGAAGAACACTCGTTCTGCACCGCTCAACTCTCGCGGCGAACAGCTTCTTTTGAGCTGTTGGAGAGAGATAGAGGCGTCGAAAGCTGCCGGCAGATACTTCAATGGCCATCCCACGTGGTGGCGAGCTGCGTTACTTGCAGCTGCCTTCCCAATCAGTGCCGAAAAGGTGCCTTTGTGGCGGCGAGCTGTGCAGAATTGGGCGAGATAGCTCTCGATGTGGACTGAAAAGAGCTGGGTGCCTTTCTGCCAGCTTCAGATCTAGACTGTTTGACATGTGAAGTTGTCGTTCGATGCCCAGAAAGAGTGCGCCGCGGAGCCAGCACGTGGCGGGTGAAGCCGTTCTTGAAAAGGAATGTGGAATTGAGTTTTTGGAGGTCAATCCGGCACGCACCGAAGAGGCGTTCCTGACGATCACCTTCCAGACCCGTCAGCTTGATCCATGACGGCGAGAAGAGGTGAAGTCCTGTCGACACGACTCGCGGAGACGCATGGTAATAATGGAAAAGCAGTGCCGTCAGCGAGAGGTTTCCACGAGCAAAGCCGTGCCAGAGGATCGAGACAACTTTCCCAAGAGATAATGGGGCGTCTTGTCTAAATCGACGCCTATCATGCAGCCTCTCCCCCAGCCGAGACTGCGATCCGTCGCCGTGCAGAGGTGATCGAAGATTCATTGAATGCACAGGACGAGGAGTGTACACTTTTTACGAAGAGTACGACGGGACCAAGAGGTGAGGTTGTGGTTGCGCAGTTATCACAGGGTTTCTGCGACAAGGACAATCTCGTGACCCCCGTCGTGAATGATTTCGGCAGCTCTGGCCGAGATTGAGCCTGTTTGCAGCGGTTCCCAAGCTTTGCAACGGCTCGACATTGGAGGAGCAGACCGTTGAGAAGTGAAAATGGTGCCATGGCTTGCTGCGACATCATTCACTATCGCCAGCGCTTGCGACCGCAGCAAGCGAGCGAGCGAGCAAGAGCTACTTTTCCTGATAGCATGTGCGTGTTAAGAAGGAGGAGAACTTGGAAGCGCTTGGCTGGTGGTCTGGGCTCGCTCCTTGTCCGCAATGGGACGGGCGGCGGAGAAAATAGAGTCGCAGTGACAGGGAAGGCGCCGGGGGTTGATTGGTCGCGGCAGCACAGGCTCGACTTTAGGCAAGCTTTAATTCTCCCAGGTGGAACCAGCGCCGGCCGCAGTGAGGATGAGCGAGTGCCAGGCTGGGGCGTCGCCGCGGAGGGGTGACGAGGAGATCCAGCGCACTTCCAGCGCAATCGACGACGGTCGGCGTCGAGCTGGTGTCAGTTGAGCGTCAGTCGCGGAAGGCTCTGCTCGGCCGCTGCCCTCTGTCTGGGCGTGTTGAAAGCCAGGCCTGTCGCGGGCGTCGCAAGCTGCAGAAAGCCAATTGCTGCTCTGAAAAGCCATCCGTCCACCATCGCCCATCGACCTTTGTCCCTCGTCCATCGTTCACGCCTGCTGCACGCGCTCGCTCATTCTCTGTCCACGCCGCCAGCAGCACATATATCGCCGTCATTCCCTTGTCGTGCACCGCCGTACCGTACCAACGTCGCTGCTTCCCGCCAAGCACACATCTCCTCCAATTCGACCACCGCCCTGTTAGACCACTGTCTCGACGCCTGCTCCGACGAGCCTTCATTTGGGTGCCACCCTGTCGCACTCGCCTCCACCACACGGCCTGGCCTGATTGCTGCATCGCTCCCTTATCTCAAGCTCAACCGACCTTGACATCTCTCATCGTCTTCCACGCTTGCTTTCACAACCACCACCTTTCGACATGGCGTCCAACATCACGTTCGGCGCTTCCATAGTGCCCACCAAGACCGACGACAACCGCCTGCTGCCTCAACCGACCACAGAATCGCCAGCACTTACCCCTGCTGTCTCCCGTGACGACTTCTACAACAGCAACGTGCCAATACAATCACCCTTCTACCAGCACCCACCTGCTTCGCACGAAGTCGTCTCACACAGCCGCCAGAACAGCGATAATAAGGTGTCGACGGCCGTGTTCGAGAAGGACGTCGAGAGTGGTAACGTCACTCCCCTGTCCGGCGCCGACGACGAGAACCCATTCACCAGAGACCATGGCATCGAGAACAACAAGGAGTGTGCCATGTGGCCATCGAGAAAGACCTTGAAGCAGAAGAAGAAGGAGGAGAGGAAGCTCAAGAGAGACCAACGGGGATGCACAAGCTGTGCGCCCGTCATGAACGCCTGGAGCAAGCTCACCAAGAAGCAACGCTTGCTGGTCAAGATTGCTGTCGCTCTCTTCCTCGTTGGTGTTGCCGTAGCTATCGGTGTCGGCATCAGCGTGGCTGTTAAGGGCACCTACTATGTTGCCGATGGCAGCTCGAAGCACATTGGAAGATGATTGCTCGATGCCAGAATGGGTATGTCAACATCTTTATGCAACCACATCAACATCGCTGATAATTTCCAGGCTACCACGATCGCGCTCTGCTATCTCTTTACGACCCATCGTCTCACGGCACAACCTTCGCTTTGGCGCTTCCCTTAACCCTACGCTCGCTCTCATGAGTCGGTCGAGTGGCACTGGCCACCCTTATGATGATACCCGTCTTACTGTACAGATCTTTTTTGGCGAGGTGCTTGTGGAGTTTGTTTGTTGGGGACACTTGTCGTTGAATGGTATAGAAACTGCACAGGGAGGGAACAAAGGCTTTTACACATGCTTGGGAGATTGAGCGGCTGGATTGTGCCCCTCCTATTACGGCCTATGGTCATGTCGTATGTATTTTGGCACGTAAATGAAGTTTTGTGTGTCGATGAGTGCATCTCGTTGACGGTTTGTGTTGACTTTCGATTCAGTTTCTTATGAGTCGTGTGGCTTTTGTTCTCGATGTCGATGATGAAGATTGGCATTAAAGATGACTCGCATGAGAACGGATACTTGAATCGTGAGTATAATGATCATCAAAGACTGACTACACCGTTAGCGGAGAAGTATCGACTGCTTACTACGTCCTCCACCCGAAGTACACTGTAACCCTCTCAAGGCAACACGAAAGCTACAACGAACCCTACTTCCGACATCACCTCCATTCTCTTCGCACGAGCTGAAACTCACCACCACCACCCTCCTTCGCCATCCGTACATCGCACCCAAACAAGCCCATCAACCGACCGAAACTCTGCCCTATAAGCTACTGAGAGTTGGAGCTTAAGCGAAGCCTACTTTCTTACCTGCCCCACGCAGGGTTCAGCGGAGGGTACGGTAGGGCCTCGCGAGTTGGGTGGGAAAGCATTCACATACGCAATGTGTCCCTGCGCGTGGTAGTGGGAGCGAGGGCTGAGAATGGTTGAGTTCGCGAAGGGGTGTGGGCTGGATCTGGGGATTGCTGAGTGATGGGTTGGGGTTGGGAGGCGCAGGGCTGAGGGGGCAGGTGGGATATATCTGACGGGAGGTGCTTTTTTCTCTTCGAGGAGGAGGGGTTTTCATCTGGACTACACACAATTACTGCGACTCTTTCCCAACGAACGATGTCCAAGACCACCGAACTCCAAACACTACAATCCCTCCTCTCCCCCTCCGAAATCCTCACGCAAAACCACGATGGCTACCTGCAAGAATCCATCGTCTGGGCACAGCAGGCATACCAACACCCAACCCTCGTGATCCGACCAAACTCCATAGACTCTCTCTCGAAAGCCGTCAAGTTCCTCACCGATTCCTCGCTAGACTGGCAAGTCAAGACCGGTGGAGCGGGTGGCGCATCCGCCACGGATGTCGTGTTGTCGAGTCGAGCGTTCAACTCGACGGAGTTTGTGCGCGAAGAGGAGGTTGTATATCTCGGCGCTGGGGCGCTGTGGGCGGAGTACTATGAGGTTATGGAGAGGGTTGCGCCGGAGTGGACTGGTGAGTCTTCTCTCTTTCATTCATTCTTTTTTGCCTTGCTTCTGTGTGTTGATGGGACTGATTGTGGTAGTTATCGCGTGTCGAACGCCGTTTATCGGCGTTGCTGGGTCAATCATCGCGGGTGGTTTCAGTTGGCTTTCGGGGGATTATGGATGCACGTCTGATCCGGATAATATGCTTGATGCGCAGGTCGTCAAGCTGGATGGGAGTGTAGTCTGGGCGAGCGAAGAGCCGGATTTGCTTTGGGGGTTGAGAGGCGCTCAGCTTGGTCTTGGAGGTGAGATCCAAACTCCTCCTTCTAATCAAACGATACATCACTGACGAGGCTTGATCTTTCACAGTGATAACGAAATTCAAACTCCGCGCCCGCAAATACACCCAAAAAATCTGGGGCGGCATGATCCTCATCCCCAAAGGCAAACCCAACGAACAAACCGTCGCCCGCGGCATCGCCAGCATGGACACCGGCGTGCCCCTCCCCAAAGTCTCCATGTTCCTCTACACCCTCTCGGGCATGCTGGCGAGCGTCCTCGGCGGCCGCGGCGACGACGTGCTGGTCCTCCACATCCTCGACGCGAACGGCGAAGAACACGGCCGCAAGCTCTTCGGCTGGGCCTTGGAGATCCCGGGCGCGGTGGATAAGACACAAGTGCTGAATATGCAGGGCTTCGCGAAGTTGCAGGCCGCGGCGGTGGCGAATATGGGCAAGGCGAAGGCGTGGGGGCAGGCGATTACGATGGCGAGGGTGACGGAACAGGTCGTTTTGGATGCGTTTAGGTGGCTTGAGAGGATCCAGAAGGGTGGGGGGAGGATTGCGAAGGAGACGTATTTTCTTTTTGAGTTGTTTTCGATGGTGGGTCTTGTCATGTCCACGGCATTCAGACTTCGATTGATACTGACTGAACCGGCAGAGAGACCCCACCACCCCGTCCTCTGAATCCGCATGGCCTCGCCCTCGAGACGCCCGGCATGTCTTCCTAACGAGCGCTGGCTGTGGTCCCGACGCTGGACAAGACGAAGTCGAGCAAACGATCCAGATCGGCAAGAACGCTTTGAAAGAAATTCTAGGCGACAAGTATGAGGAGAGATATATAGACACGAATGCTTTGGATGAGTGGAATGATCTTGAGACAGTAAGTCCTGTCAGTCACAGTGAAGGGGGTTTTGTGAGTGCTGACGTTGATGGGTAGATTTATGCGGAGAATTGGAAGAGGGTGGTGAAGGTTAAGAGGAAGTATGATCCGAAGGGGAGGCTGAGGAGTATGCCGGCTGTTGATTGGAAGGAAGTTGAGGAGAGGTTGGGGGCTTGAGGGAGGTGAGGGTGAACGGCTTGGCGTGGGGAGAGAGTTATCTTTCCGAATCAGGAAGAGGCCTCACGGATCCAACAACTCTGTCGCCAAAAGCTCGTTTCTTGCCTCATAGCTCATGGTCATGGATAATACAGGCCGAGGACTCTCTCGTGGTTCCTCTTTACGATGCATTCGAAGACAAATACGCAGGTCTGAGAATGCACACCTATGTTCGTGGCTCAGCGCAAGTGCCATACAGTGCACAAAGTTCTGAGAATGCTGCTGCTCTGCGCGTGAACCAATAAGAATCGTAGGACAGTCGGAGTGAGCTCCGTCGACAATTTGCAGCTGCACTTCCCTCTCCTAGCTTTCCGGTCCTCGTCATCACACAAACCGTCAGGAAATCGACATCCACACGACCACTACCATCATCAATGCCATACTACTGGACTGACTGGAAGAACAACGCCCGAGTCCCTAAAGCGACATCTGTGTGGCTCAGCTCTCAGCCCCGGAGATAAAACGACTTCTGTACAGGTTTCTAGAGCGTCCAAGGACTCTTCTCACGAACAAATCACGATCGACCGGAAGTGAGACCGAGAACACCTCCAGACTGTCCATGTCTACCTTGCTCCTCTCTCTACCACAGCCCAAACATGAACAATCAATCACGCATATCGACGTTGCTCAGCACGACCATCAGATAGCAAATGAACCTGGCCTGAAGAGACGCGCGCGCATCGGGGATGAGGCTTTCAAAACGATCGCCTTCTTGGAATTTTTTTCATGAAGCTGTGTCATTGTGGCGCGCGTTTGGCGGCCTCAGAGGTTTGGGAAATTCTGCGATTCTGGGGGTGAACCAATCAGAATGGACCATGAGCTTGAAGTCGACGTGTACAACATGTCAGAGCATCATTGTGGCAGATACCCTCGACGGGTAGTTGAAGCTGTGATGTGATATTGTACCCTACTCACGGATCTGGCTGAACAACAGGAGGACTGAGATCACGAGGACTTCCTACTCCAGGTTACGACTCCAAGAGCGGAGAAGACTGGCTATCACCGCCGACTCACTCGACAGCCACATCACGAAACATCGCCAGCTCCACACGCGAATCCAGGAAGGGGACCTCACCAAGGCCATACGTGCTCATTCTACATCTCTCGATAAGGTGGGACGGTATACCACAAATCAGGATTCCCAAAAAGGCAATGAAGCTGAAGTGACTGTGGCTCAGCTCAAATCGAAGAGGCCGCAAATTCTGAAGAATTCTGTTGCTATTGGCGTGGACCTATCAGAGGCAAGCAATGGTCTGAGGTGAGTGGGAAAAGATCATGGTGTGGCTCAGCCCTTAGAAGTATCCGGTGAACAGATTCAAAAATCTGAGAAATTCTGCTGCTCCTCCCGTGGGCCAATCAGAGGCATGCACTGGTTTGAAGTGAATGGAGAGAGCTCTTCGATTGAACGTCAAAATGTGCATGGTCTAGGATCTTCAGTCTTTCTCATGAGTCCGTCGGCCGGCCATTGGGAGTGAGAAGGGTGGGAGATACGACGCTGTCGCCCCACCTTAGAACGGAGCGTGCGTGTTTCCGTCAGATCTACCACGACATATCCATACATCTCGGACAGGCGACTCGGGGTCTAGGACTGATCGCCACATCAGTGCCACATTCGCCGTGAAGGGAGGATGATGTACCAGTACTCCAAAAGAGGAAGTGAAGCTGATGAAGGTGGCTCAGCTCAAAATACCGCCTGTTCCTCCTGGGCAGAATGTTGAGAGATTCTACTGCTCTTCTCACGGACCAATCAAGACGATGAGATCGCTGTCCGTCTTTGGTGAGTGAATGGATTAGGCTAGGACCGCCGTGCTCTTGGTACGAGATGTTAGGGATGAATCTGGTACAACATCGTATCTCTTGCCTGCAGGTCAAACACCACAGCGCGATGTCGGGGCAGACGAACAACGCAAAGCCTCTTGAGCAGACAGATCTCCTCGAGGCACCTACGATGTTGACAGTACAATCCTTTCGACCATTGCTTTTCGAGAGCGTTGGACTGGACCTATCACGAACCGGGACTTACCGCAATCATTGCCATGGGAGAACGGCGAAAGTCCACTGTTCCATACTAGGAAACGACGGCAAGCTGCAATTGTGGCTCAGCCGGCCTTTGAAGGGCGGGTTTTTGTTCGAAATTTCTGGGAAATCTGCTGCTCTTTCCATGAGCCAATCACGATCGATGATGACCATGATCCCTGTTGAGTGAATGAGTCGAGCCAGGATAGGTGGGCGCCTAGTATTGGTCTTATTTGTGCCTTACTTACAGGTCATCGCCATGACACTTTAAGAGCTGGGCAAAGAAAGATATCAAATTACGTTTTAAGGTCAGGACTCTACGAACCGCCTGTAGTGGGCTGAACATACATTTTTCTTCGACTACTGCATCTTTGAAGTATTGGACAGGACCCACGCGAATCGGGCTCTACCTCGTCGATTGGATAATCTGCACCTTTGGCCTGCCGGCTCTATCTACGAGATCTTTAGCCAAGTGACAGGCAATTTCAAGCTTGTAATGTTCTTCAGACATTGTTCGTGGGACGCAAAGGCTGAAGCATTCGTCCTTGCTTTGGCCATCTTTGGCCATCTTTGGCCATCTCTTTATTTACACCACAGCGTGCATCGCAGCTCCTACGACCGGCAAGCGTTGACTATCGTGAAGCTCGCGCTGGCTGGCATTTCTTCGTTCTTGCTCATTGTAACAAAACAGAGACGACCGGCATCGCCGACAGCCACCTCAGCTTTACACGTCCCACGTTACACAATGACTGCGCAAGGCGTTTTTACGGCATGCCAGCAACACAGAGCGTACACCGCAACACCCGCCCTTTCTACGCTGGACTAAACTTGGCCTAGCCGGACCATAAACTGCCATCAGTCCACTTAATACCACCTGAACTGTGGAAATTGCAAACCACGGCCAGCACGAATACGTGCTTGGCGATGTTCAGCCTTCACCGTACAAACCATCGCCGGCTGGAATGGTATGGCGAGGTTGCATTGAAGAGATGCTATGGCTACTGTGGCCTGAGGGTTCACAGCTGGGCAGAGCGTTTGAAGGCCAATACGAGGTTGAGGAGTTCTATAAGGCTTCACTCTCGTCCTCAAGACGACGAACATCTTCCAACCAACTCCCATTCACACCAACAAGACCACCACATTGGCCCCTTTCCCCTTTCTTCAACGAGAAGTCCCCCATCCAAACACCAAGACGTCTCTTTCCACAGTCATCAAAACAGTCACCCTCCTCAGCACCCTCAGCCTAGCTCTAGCCGACGTAATCACACCCCTCTACCCCATCGCCGCCACCGACGGCGCCCTCAAATGGCGGCCAGTCCTAGACTGGGACAAAGACACCTGCTACCACACCGCAGCCATCGACCCCAACGGCAACACGAACCCCGGGCTCGAGACCACGCCTCAAGTCGGCCCTTGCCGCCAAGCAGACCGTCTCTCGCACTGCAACGCCTACTCGCGGGAGCGCTGCAACCACGGCTGGTGCGTGTACATGTACGGGTATTACAGCGAGATGGACAACAATGTGTGGGCGAATGCGTATGGCCATCGACACGATTGGGAGCATGCGATGGTTTGGATCCGTGGGGATGCGCCTTGGTCGGTTATGTGGTCTGCGCATGGGGATTGTAAGTCTTATTTTAAAAACAAGGCCAAGGTTGCTAGTGTGTGCTAACTATCTCTCATCAGACTCCGACGCCGACGCCCGCGAAGTACGCTGGGAGGGCGATACGCACCCCAAGCTCGTGGCTCACCACGGCGGTGCCAGGACCGGATCCCTCAGGCTGGCTAAGGGCGACGATGACAACATCGAAAATGACTTCGGGCGTTGGTTCACTTGCCATCTGCAGTCTCGTGAGAAAATGGATGATGGGATTGGTCATAAGCTCATGACTACCAATTGGGGTTCCGCCCATATCGACCTGACGGATGAGAAATTCCCCGAGGTCTTGGAGAAGTATATGCCGAAGCAGGCGCGGGCTGATGGGTTTGATGCGTGGCATTGAGACTTCGTACGATGGTGATTAAGACGTCAAATATGGCGTATGGAAAGTCAAAGAGGGATGGATAGGGGTTGAGCAGTGGCGCTTTTTCGTTCTAATGTTTGTCTGGCTTTTGTCCCGTTTAGATCTCTTGGTGCTTTTGCGGAATCTAGCAGTGATTAGAAGTATTACAACGTATGTCAAAAGCTCTCTTGCTTCGGCACGACTCCTGACACTTTTCTCAATGGCCAGTCAAAAGAGCAGCAGAAGATCTTGAAAGAGCCATGAACGCTGAAGTGAGTGCGGCTCAGCAGGAATAGGTCCAGCGCAGTAGAAGTTGAGAAATTTTGTTGTCCTGCAACGGAGTCAATGGGATGTGTGTGGTTCTGCTGTACTGGAAAAAGCCTGAAGAGCTGCATAACATCAACAAGATCTGAGGCAAGCAATCAGTGAAGTGGGCTTCGCAAGCATCATGAAGTGTCGCGAGGGCGTAGCTGAAAGATGATCCTCAACTCTGAAAAGACTTTTTTGATTCTGGGAAACTATACGCTCGCTTATGCTTCGTAAGTCCTCGAAACAGGCGAGATCATTGATGTTCTTGAGAAGATTCAGGGCTGAGCTGATGATGATCACATGCGTTTTTCGAAAATTCGACGCTAGTGAACCTTATTCGACTCAAACATTGCCTGGCAGCAACTTGCAATATTTGAGGCTTGACTTCCGCTGAGGGTCCCTCCCCTTAAATAAAATGATACACTGATAGTACCACAGTACAATTATTGTGCGGACTTGACCCGATGCATCACCTTGGTCATGCCCTATTAAGCTTGTCGGGCCATTTGGCTTTGACTGCTGCATTTCGCTGTGGGAATCATTACGACGCAGTCATCATTGGCGGTGGTGCGTCAGATACATACACAGCTGTCCGAATAAAAGTCGAGGGCAAAAGAGTTTCATTGATTGAGCGAGAGGACCATCTGGGTGGCCAAGTCAACACGTACATCGACCTAACCACGCAGCAGCCTTTCGACCACGGCGTGCTCATCTACGAGAACATCTCCGTCTTGCGAACTTTTTTCGACTCCGTGAAAGCACCCTACAAAAGTGCAGGACCGTTCCTCCCAGGCATGAAAGACGCCTACGTCGATTTTGCATCGAAACAAGCCGTTTTGCCCGCCCAAGCCGCTGCCATATCAGGAAACGCAACAGAGCAGACGACGATCTACATCGAGCAACTGAAAAGATTCCCATACCTCTCAGAAGCAGGCTGCCATCTCCCCGATCCCGTGCTAGAAGAGCTGATAATCCCCTTCGGCGACTGGTTGGAGAAATACAACATCAAGGGCCTTGCAGCTGGTCTTTTCAATTTCGATTATGCGGGAATATCCTTGCTCAGCCTGCGTTGTATATGCTAAGGTATCACAAGCTTGTGACGGTGGAGACGCCGCTTCCTGGTGGGTGGGGGTATTGAGGCAGGCGGCTTTGAATAGTTAGGCTCTTTATGATGCTGCTTACCGACATTTGGGGGGAAGTGGGGATGCGTTTCTTAACGCGGATGTGAGGTCGATCGTCCGCGATAGGAGAGGAGTGGAGGTGCGCCTGACCACACATGGAACGCATGGACGGCCAGAGGTGCTACGGGCTGATCAGATCATCATGGCTATCCCACCCGTTGTCGACCAGTTGGACAAATTCCTCGACCTGACCAATGATGAGCACCAACTTTTCCGCCAATTCAACTACAGCTACGTCTGGAACGCAGTATTACTCAACTCAGGCATCCCCATCGACACAGGGATCAACATGATCTCACCCAAAGCAGCCGTAGGCGTTCCATCCGTGCCATCAACGTACGCCTTCCTGCCCTCCGGTCTCGAAGGCGTGCACTCCGTCTTCGGCTCCGATCACTTCCTAACCGACGAACAAGTCAAATGCCGGATCCTCGACGACGCGGTGACTGTTCGCTCTGTGCTTGAATACAACGATTCCCAAGGCCAAGAAACGAGGCTGGTTGACTTTCATAATGATTCCCCGTTTCTGTTCACGGTGCCGCCAGACGCCGTTCGGGCTGGATTCTTCGATCGGCTGGAAAAACTGCTGGGTGCATCGAGGACGTGGTGAACGGGACAGGCGTTTCAGGTTCCGATTTCGAGTCTGATTTGGAACTTTCCGGAGTATGAGGTTCTTCCTGGAGTGCTGAAGGCGCTTGATCAGTGATCTAGATGTATACCAACACACCACGTTCAATTTCGTTTTAATTGTCTGGCGGTAAAAGCCTCTCCTTATGCGCAACATTCTTTCCTCTCGCCCACTCGTGGATCAGATCGAAATTCCGGCACGTCTTCACGATACTCCATGTCGGATCATACTTCCTCGAGGGTGGATCGTAGCGAGCGCTCATGACGCCCACGTCCGCATGGCATCGAAGAGTCTGCTCTAGATAGCCCCAGCAATGCCGTGCGTGGCCGGCTTGGATTGATTCGGAAGTGTTCAGGTCGTTCGCTTCGGGGAAGTAGTACATGCGTCGGAGTCGGTTCTGGGAGTGGGGAGAGTGAGTCTTTGCAAGGGGGAGTAGGGGAGGTTGGGTACTTACGAGACAGTGCAGCTGGTGGAAGACTTCAATGTTGCCGGCGTAATATTCCTCTTCGCCGAAGACGGGGCCAGCCTTGGAAGGGAGTCTTGCGGCTTCTGTCTCGGACATCCTCACAATACCGACTAATTCCCTCTTGTCGTCAGCCAGTTGTCTCAGGATGAAGTGGAGAATCGAGTCTACCATCCAACAACCCATTCCAGTAGTCTTCAGTCATAGCACCATACGGGTCGTCTTGAGGTCGTGTGTGTTCCTCCGTAACGATGCCGCTGAACGTTTGCTTTACGTATTCGATTGGAGCGTCCATCGGATCTGTGTGTACGTTGTCAGAGCTTGCATTCCTGGTAGAATTGCAAGCGTACCTACTGTCGAAGCCTTGGCTAGATCTTGATCTGATCACGATGAACGGCAAGACCAAGAGCCAACCTGCTGCTAGGAGCCACCACAGTACATCTTTGACAGTCCACTTTGATTTTGCTGGGCGATGCGACCATTCGTCGTCGACCAGAGACTCGTTCGATTTATCGTCGATAATCTCGTAAGATGCCATGCTGTTAGATCTGGCATTCCAGGAGTGTGAACGGAAGAAGCAGACTCTCGATACGTTTTGAAGCTCCCTCCCCCCTCTGCTCACGTGCGGCCTCCTCATAGCACGAGCACTAGAGGATGAAGCTGAGATAGCTCTTGGTGCACATCATGTAACTTCCTCGTGTGACCTTCTATTCAGGGCTTGGCGTGCAACGCATGCTTCGCCAATCCCCAAGTTGCAAACCGTCAGTTGTTTATCTTGGCCCAATAAATTACATGTACTGCCGTATGCTATCCTCGATGGATCTGTTTGGACGCGTGCTTTGTGTTAGTGTAGGAGCCCTAACTTCCACTACTGCCTGCGAGGCATATCGGTTGCATGTGTATGCAACCGTCCCCTTTGGCGGGCAGTTATATATATCCACCTTGCTGAATTGGCATCTCTATCACTTCAAGATCAGCTGTTGAACAAGAAGGGTAACCTTTCACTGCCTTCACTCACCGAAATGCAATCAAAGTTATTACTCCTCATCCTGGGCTTTACCGCTGGCGTCCTGAGCAGCCCTGTCAAGGTCCGTAGTTAAGCTGGCAAGAGCGTAATCTGTTTCGTGAACTGACATTACGAGAAGCGAAATGAAGCAGACACCAACTTGATGTACTCCGAGTACGCAGGCTCGGATAAGAGAAATGAAGCAGACACCAACCTGATGTATTCCAAGTATGGAGCATCCGAGAAGCGCAACGAAGCAGACACCAATTTGATGTACTTCAAGTACGGAGCTTCGGAGGAGAAACGGAACGAAGCGGATACCAACTTGATGTACTCCAAGTATGGCAAATCGGAGTAGACAAAGGGCGATAAGACACATAGGAGACTTCTAATGGCATGAGGTTCAGCATATAACTCTGTTTCCATCTCTGATCGATTTCACTTACAATTTGGTTTCACGTCAATCCCCGCAGAAAACAAAGAGTAGACGGTCATCTGATACTGTGAAGAAGCCACCCGACGGCTGAATAACCAGAATGTGGTGTTGAGAAGTCGAGGAAATTCGCAGCTCTTCAGGAGAGCGGATGGCACAACTCGCAATTGAGGGCTTGCCTGTATCTTTGGGAAATGGCGACAGCTCTGCGTGTACCTCTGTAGACATTGCTTCGATACTCTGTGGGTCCTGAGACGTCTTTGCAATGGAGCGTTTAAGGGGTCCTGTCTCCTACTCTCGTACGAGCCGATGAGGCAGATCCTTGGTTTTCCGTGCAATGGCTTCAGGTAGAGGAGGACCGGCCTGGGCCTTTGGAGACGCCATGACTGGCTGCAAACAACCCTCGAATCTGGCCAGCCATAGTGAGAAAAAACCGCATTCTCCCCTTCGAGACCCAAGAGGTGAAGTCCATGCACCCACCAACCGATGACATCAACCCCCTTACCATCACATGCCAACCCACCCTCCTCGTGTTCGCAGCAAATCCCCAAAAGTCCAAGGAAGGACAAAGAACATGTATGACGCGGATGAGATCTCACCAAGATCTCACGCACCATACCGCAAGCAGCAACATGTGTCACGATGCACCAATCATAGCGTGGCGCTGGCGATCGAGAGTACGAAGTCTATCGTCACTGAGTTGCCTAGGAGGGGAGGGATCGTCGGGGAAGCCTTGCTGGGTGCCGGTGTTTGGCGGTTGATGATGATGATGGAAGTGGGGAGGACGGAGTGAAGATATTTCATCATCAAGGAATGGGAATTGAGTGAAGAGAGGGATATAGTCGCTTCAATCCCAGAACACATACTCCTCTTTTGGTCCACCACAGCGCTTCGAATAAAAGCTCACCCTTAACAAACCAGTCCTCGAACTACGAAACCCACCCAAAATGTCCTCCTCCTCCGACTCCACCACCACCCCCGCCAACACAATCAACCGCGAAAAGTCCTCCTCCCTCGACGTCGGCCACAAAAAAGGCCCCACCGCCCTCTTCTCCGGCATGCAAGAATACAAGCGCGACTCGACGACCGCGTCGGAGCAGCGAAGATCCAGTTTGGAGGATATGAGTGCGAAACCGCAGGGAGGCGTGTTGGCGAATATGTGGAATAGGTGAGTTTTTTGTTGAGGGGTTGCTTGGGTGGATGGGGTACTGATGTAGGTGGGGGTGTAGTACGTTTAAGGGCGGGAGTGCGAAGTAGACGATTATGGGAGCAGGTGGTGGAAGAGGAGATAGTAGAGGCCAAGAGTTTGCTGGCGAAAAGGGGAGGGTAGGCGTGTACGGTAGAAGAAGAAGATGGTAGGAATGGGAAACGGGAATGGGAAACGGCTGTCATGACCAGTGGGTGATCAGGAATCATTTCCTTCCTTGACAGGTTGTGTAAATTGTCCATCGTCGAAGCAAGAGGAAGAGGAGCATCGAAAGACGATCGCTTCGTGGTCGATGTATCTTCCAACAAAAGAGCCGCAGAATCACCATAGCCTTTCGCATTGCCTTCCTCATGGCGAGCGAGCTGCTCTCTCCTCTCGAAGGTATCGTGACATTCCAGACCGCCTCCACAGAACGAATAGGTGATGGGGTGCATTTTTCGTTCACGCAGTCCCAACTCCGACTCCGACTCCTCTGGAAGGCATCCACCAAGTATTCTTCTAATTCAAGCCTGAAAAAGAAGTAATCATATTGCTTGCTTATTTGCCGTTCCCGCAGCAGTAGAGATGCACATAGGTTGTTCAAACATGAAACTGAGCATACAGGTTCTTCGCCGCTGCGATCATGCCACCCTCATCGCTCAGCACACCCGCCTCAAGCTCAGTGCCACTGGCTACTGTCGACGGACTCTGACCTTCCTTAGGGGACTTGGCTCGCCTGTCACCCCTGGCAGCATGGAATTCCTCTAGAGCACGCTCCACCTCGCGCAGCTCATCCACTCGACTGGGATCTCCCATCAGGTCCTCCCGCCGCTTCTGTACGCGCGATAACAATTGACTGGTTTTCATGGCTCTCGTGGCGCCGGGCACGTACGGCCTAAGAATGCCGTGTCTGTTTCGCCTCAGTCGCCGTCTTCGACTGTAACCTTTACTTCTCAGAGAAGGCCCTGGCGTGCTGTCTTGTTCTTTGACATTGTCATCTGTGGGCGGAACCGAGATTGACGAAGCCTGCAAGCTGTCATTTCCGCGAGTAGCGGCCGTGTGCTGAATCACTCCGAAGCCAGTCGGTGTAAAGAGATCCATTGCACTGATGGATTTCATCACAGCCGGTAAGCTGTAGCCAGAATCGACATAGACTGCGCCGACGATAGCCTCAACCATCGTCGCTTCCCACTTCGTCAGCGACTTGGGTTTCGGTCCATCTACCAGATCGCTGAGACCGAGACGCCTTGATCTTTTACACATGTGCACGTTGGTAGCGATTTTGTTGTACGTGCGATGTAACGCTCCTATGTGTCGCGTCATGTCAGCGATCCCCAGAAGGATAGGCAGAGACGGGTATACGAACCAAACGCAGCTGATGGGAAATCTTTCAAAAAGAAAACGACCTTGTAAATAGAGTCCCCGATGATTGCGAGCTCGTCCTGGGGTTTCTGCAGCCGTCCGATGCCAATTCGCATAGGTCCCCGAGCGAGCGCAGCTTTTAAATAGTCCGGATCCTTGAATTGGTACTGAATTAGACCCTCAATTCGCTGGCGTACCAAATTGAATTTGGATGCCATACCAAGTCCGAGCTCCAAGGCGGGCGTAGGAGAAGCGGCCAGTTCAGCGTGGCTCAATCTCTCGTCGGCTCCAGAGATAGTAAAACGTGAATGAGGCTTTGCACTTGAAGAAGGGTGTTGTAGCACGGGCGTCTTGCCATTATTCCCAGCCTTTGTACTGCCGCCGGTCGGCACCGCGCCCTCAATACTTTGAAGTCTTCGGATCTGGTTTCGAATCCTTTGGTCGCCTTCAAAACCAGGATACCCAGGCCGAAAAGAATGTAAAGCATGCGTTATCTCATCTAGATGATTGCGTATGTCGTCGTCAGCTGCAGCAGCTTCGAGTCGGGCCGCGAGTGCGTGAGTGAGCTGCTCAAATGTCGAGTTCTGGGTTCCGGCAGGCAGGAATTTCCGCAATATGTACTTTCTCTGCCTTCGTCTGGAATCCTGCGAACGAGATGCTTCACAGGCATCATTATTTATGGCCAACCCGCCTTCTCTCTGCTCCGTGTCACTGTCAGGCGTCAAGCCTGACGGCAGAAAGCCTTCTGATGGGACATCCTTGAACTCTGCAATTGGACTATTCGTCGAATCTGTGGCTTCTCCCGAATCCAGCTCCACGTCAGGCTCAAGCTTTGATTTGTTCTCCCCAGAAGCGGTAGCAATGGCAGTGAAGTCACCGAGGTTTAGCGCATCAATGGCCAACCTTGTAGTGTGATCACTTCTTCCGGAGTCGAGATAGACAGCGCCGATGATGGCCTCGATCAGGGTAGCCTTCTTCCAGATAGATTCGCGGCGGGACTGCCAAGTTGGTGTGGCGAACATGCGGCGCCTCTTGGAGTCAGACGGATTCTCCGTGTCGACGAGACCAAGACGCTCCGCTATGGTCGCGAAATGCAGATTGCTGGCTAGTGTGTTCAATCTTTCCTGCGTGGCTGCCGTCGAGACGGATCAGTGAACCTGCACATCTAGAACCAAAATTCGTCGCCGCAAGATTGTGTACTGACCTACACGTGATTCACTGGCCCGTGGAAAATGATCCGCGAAATACAAAACTGTATGAACAGCACTTCCCACTTGGGCAAGTTGTAATTGCGCCCTCGGCAAGGTGTGTTCGTCGATATGTGCATCTCCAAAATACACCGCCAGCCGCAAGTAATCCGGATCCTCAAATCGATACTTAATCAAGCTCTCTATCTGTTCGCGCTTGGTGTCGAAATCGAACAGCGCCTTGCTATCGTCGACCCGAAGTTGAGGGCCTGGTGATGCTGCTGGCGGTGGTTTGGCTGTTGGTACATGATCGAAGTCTGCCGCCTCGCTGAAAATCGAAGATGATGCTTCTGTCGTCGCGTATCTTCGTCCATGCTCTCCAAGGGTACTTCTCGGATTGAAGCATATTCTGGTCGAACGTGGCGTGGTTGGTACATGATTCAGACATGGCGACCTCTCAAACGTAGCCGCCGTACGTCTTTCACCACCATTCTTTCTGCCAGTGAAACATCCTCTCGCGGCAGTAGCAGTATAGCTACGACTAGCGCGGCCTCCAATCCCAGCAGCGGAAGAGCAGGATTGGCGGACCTGGCAGAGGTAATTAAACTTTTCGAGCGTAGTAGCACCACGAATCGTCGCGCAGCGGCACCGCGGCGGGAAAAGAAGCATTCAGGATAGCACACACACACACACACACACACACACACACACACACACACACACACACACACACACACACAAAGCAAGAACGAAAAGAGTGACGAGGTTGTTGATGATGATGTGGTAAGATGGTGGAGGTGTTGATCGGTTGTGGCGATGCGATGGAAGGAGCGGGAAAGTTTTGGCGTGGGTTCTCGACCCTGCATGCATTGGAAAGTGGAGAGCTGAGAGTTCACGTTGCACAGACCAGACCAAGTCGTGCACCACCAACTGATTCGAGTCGCAGACTTCCGCTAGAAAGGCGGGCGCGGCGGCGTCGACGAGGTACATTACCTATCCTCGTACCTACAACAAGTATCATTCCCATCTCCTCATCCTCCTCCCTCCATCACTGTGTTTATTGTATTGTATCATATCTCCACCGCGAATCCTCCGTCGACTCCACACTCTCCACACGCAACGACGCGAACCATGTTCTCCCGCACCACCACCCTCGCAGCGGCCCTCGCCCTCCTCGCGACCACCGCCCTCGCGCAAATCCCCGGGCTGCCCACCTGCGCCCAGGGCTGCATCACCAACTACGGCGGCTGCAACCAAGTCGATGTGAAATGCATTTGCTCCAACAAGCCGCTGCTCACGACGCTGTCGTGCTGCGTGAGCCAGAATTGCGATGCGCAGGGCCAGGCTGGTGCGTCCATAAACACCTCTCCTCTCCTCTGTTTCGTCGTTTCGTTGTAGACTGACGTGTGTGTCTTGTTTGATGTTTAGATGTCATCTCCTTCGCCGACTCCCTCTGCAGCGGCCAGGGCGTCAATGACCTCCCCACGCAAGCGACCTGCGCCCCGGGAGCCTCCAGCACCGGCTCGGGAACTGCTACAGGCACTGCTTCTGGCTCTGCGTCCGTGACCAGCTCTGGAACTGCTTCTGCCTCTTCCTCCGCCAGCGAGTCCGCCGCTTCGACCTCCGCTGCCGCTGCGACGACTTCCTCTGCTGCTGCTGCTGCTGCGGGTAAGATGAGCTACCCAGTCGAGGGCGTGGGATTGGGCATGGCGATTTTGGGGTTGGTTGTTGGGTTGTAGATTGGGAGGTGAAGGGAGATAGAATGCTGGATATATGGAAGGAGTGTGATGTAGGAACGGGGATTGTTGGATCTAAGAGAGGGAATGTGAATGAGGTGAAGTGGAAATGATGTGTATGACAATGTGTGAGGATAGGTGGTTGTACAAGTTTGCACAAGAATTGGATATTAATTTGGAAGAGAGAGAATGCAACTACCCTTTCCCTTGTGATACCTGCCTGTAACGCAACCTCATTGATGACGATGTGGGGTGGAGTACGAGGTCTTAATGGGATTCCCAGAGATGTTAGGTGAACGAACGATAGGAGCACATAGACGCATGTGCATATAAGGTAGTCGGTGATGTTGAACGGTGAAGAAGTGAGGTGAGTTATAAGAAAAGTCATCAATCATAGTCCCTTCCTTCCCGAGCGACAAGCTTTCGGAAGACCTCGCACTCTCTCAGATGCAAATGCACCATAATCAACGAAGGAAGGCACGAACTCTCTTGACCTTTTGAACGATCGGTTCTCTTTTTCGTTTTTGTAAGCTCGCGAGATCCATGATATGACCTCCCGCTTCCCACGCTACGAAAGCTATGGTTACAAAATCTTCCTTTTTCAAACCCCACCTCTTAAGATGCATCATTAAATCTTTCCTAAATCGGCCGTTGAATCTCCCTTCGTGAATGTAGCCGCCAATCCGAGCCCGTTCTCGGTGCCGGCAACGTATGGTTGTATGCCTTCAAACGCCTAATCCAACCGTTTCCATGTCCTCGCCATGTCCCTAGATGTATCAAGCCGGGAGGTTCAAGAAAGGCAACAAGAACCTCGCCGTGCACCTGGTCGTGTAGAGACATTGCGTTTCCGTGCCGAAGGGCACGTTCTCTCTGCTTTTCAGGTGGTCGTCTGCGTTGCGGTCAGCATCTCGTCGTATGTAAAAGGTGATCGTCATCTTCGAACTCACATCTCTGCAACACCAAGTTCCTCAAAGATCTTAGAAAGTCCTTCTGCGCCTTCTCCTTCAACTCCGGCGTCCCATTGCCGAAACTGCCCTTTTCGCCCCATTTTCGATCGCGGTACTTGCATTGAAATAGCCCAATCAACAACTTGTACCGCTCGTCGATGCGCTCACAAGCATTGTACGCTTGTCGTTGTGCATCATCGTAGGCCATTTCTTCTTTCCGGACGCTGGCGTCAGCTTGGATTTGAATTAGGCGTTGCACTTCCTCTAGGACCATAGCGAAGCCCAGCATGACGCAGAATGTCTGCAACCAGGTTTCCTCTTTCTTGCCAGCAGTGTGCAACGTCTGCTGCTGCCATCTGAGAATCTTCTCATAGATGTTGTTGCGCAAAACCGCGAAGAAGAACTTCAATTGACGGTTGGCCAGGCGGGGCGAGGTGTACTTGTTGTATTGATTGGGTCTGCTCGAGTGGCGTACATGAGAGATGACAGTAGGCAACGTCTCTTCCACGATGGTCAGGGTGTGGCCCATGATGTAGGTGATTATCTGCATGCGGAGGATGTCTCGAAGGACCAATCGTAACTGGCATGTGTTAGCCCTGAAAGCAAGAATGAAGGATGGCGCAGACTCACCGACTCATCCGTCGTCTGCATATGGAGCTGGCACAGCAGGTCAAGCATCTTTGCTTGAAACTCTCCTGGGTCGACCTGGGACTCTTCTTCGTAACAACTCCATCCCAAGTCGAGAAGATTGTGGGGCTCCAACAATTGGTCGAGGTATGTATCGAAGTGAGCATCATCGCTTGTGTCGATCTTGACTAGACCAAAGGGCGGCGAGTACTGTTGCCGGCTCATAGATTGGCTGGTGTCTACCTTCTGGTAGTATTGCAGCTGGGTCAACAGTTCTTGCGTCCTCGGCTTGAACTCGTACATTGTCCATCGTAGCGGCGGACCATAACCGCTGGACAAGTAGACATCTATGCCGTTGTCGAAGTCCCATTGCAGGATTTCCTGAGACACGGTGTCTTCGATCGATTGCTTCTGGTGCATCATAGTCATAGAAGCTTGGGCTACATGGTCAGTGAGGTGCTCGAGAAGCTGCAGGGAAGTGGGAGGGTGACTCACGAGGCAAGAAGTCATGCACAAAGTCCGGGAGCTTCGATCGGTCGCAGTCGAAGAAGTAGGTTTGGCCTCTTTGGGATCGCATCAAGCATCGTGAGCACGGGTTGCCATCGTCGCACTGCGGCAGTGTTAGTCCACGGCGTATCGGATAAGATGTAACATGTTACTGACAGGATCTCTCTGCATTGCACAGCGCCAGCAGGCGCCCACTTTTCGCATGGCGTGACTCTTCTGTCGCGTGTGTTCTGTCAGATGCGAGTTCCTTGTACGTCCGCCTCGCCGGCCCTTTTCCGTCTGTGACGACCTCACGGGTCCAGTCGAAGATGTCGCTGCTTGGGACGATGGCTCCCTTTTCACAATGCTCGGATACGGGTTGGCTGGACGAGCACTGAATGTGGATGTCGAGTAATTGTGCCCACTAGCGTTTGTCGGTGATCGTTTGCTGGAGGCGACTGGCTTTTCGTCTCCTTGAGTCGTGGCATTGAACTGCGTTTGCTGTAGTTGCGGGTAAGGCTGTCGCCGTGGTCGCGATGGTGCAGATGAGTTCGAAATTGGCTGCTGCATCCCGATCAGGGGCTGCCCTGAAGTATTCGCGTTCGACGGGACGACACGACTTGGCTGCGGAGGAGGCACGGTAGAGTTGATTTGGTTGCCGTGGTACGCGAAGTCGTGGGCATTGAAACCACCATACTGTTGCTGTGGAGCGATCGAGCCAAAGTCGTTGAACGTTTGGTTGAGCCTCTGCTCTGGAAAGGATGTCGCCACATGTTGGTGTTGATGAAGGGTGGTGGGGTGTTGGGACAGGAGAGTCGTCTCGTCGAAGGAAGGCGGTAGTTGAACAGAGCCATCGGTGTAGGTCCTGAAGGGGATGTTCTCGTAAGTCTGTCCGTTGAAGGAGCCATCGAGATCGCCGACGGGGAGGAAGGCTTCATCAGCGAAAGAGCCGGTTGAGAAGCCAAGCTCTGCTGCCGATGAGTACGGGATGAAAGTGTCATCCATACCGGTGCTAGACGATGATGCGAATGACTGCCATTGCTGATGATGAGGCCGTGTGGCTTGAACAGTTTGGGGGACTGATGATTCGCGCGACGGCAGGGACGGTTGGGTCGATGGAGAGACCCCTGGCTGGAGTGGGGGCCGAATGTTCATCCTTCCTCGATACCCACCCAACTCGCTGCCTACATGAACAAAGTCATCGGTGTGATTGCTGCTGCTGACCGGCGAGGTAGTGAGTTGGTCAGATTCGACACTGTCGGTGGCAGCGTCATCTTGAAATTCCAGCAGAGTTGAGGTGGGCGTGTAGATCAAGGCATCGCCGGCCGGGGAGAGCGAAGAGCTGCCTCGAGAGCCGGCAGCAGCTGTGGCCTGGAGACTCTGCTTGCCGGGTGACCTCAGGTCGGATCGGGACGAGACAGTGTCGTTCGGGGAGTGGTGACTGAGAAAGATGGCATCCTCATCGAACTGGATCTGTGTCATGTCCTCGAGGCCCGGAAAGAGCGGTAACGACTGTCCTGTGCCGTCGAAGAAATGGAGGTCGTCGAAGCCCGCGTCGTAGCCCACAGGGAAGAAGGGACCGCCATCTGTAGTGGCCATGTCGAGTGAGCAATGCTATAAGGGCGCCCGCCGTCCAGCAGCGGGGCTGGCAGTCACCGGTGAAGGCAGCGAAGGATTCTCGTATGCGACTCTGGCCTCTGCGGCGCTGGGCCTGGAGACGATGGGAGTTTAGGGTCGAGCCGACGAGCTGAAAAGACGCTCGTTTTGCGCATCTGGGTGAGGATTCGGGCCTGAGGCTCTGCGCGGCAATCCAGCGTGTGGCAGGCAAACCGGTGAGGTTCGGGCGGCACAAGGAACGGCGGGTGTCGTCGACCGGTGTGAGATGCCTAGCGCGATGCCGCCGACATTAGACTTTCACGGCTGGCGATGGTATAAAGTGGCCGACAGCCTCGTCGAGTGCGCAATGTGAATGTCAAAGCAATCGTCAACTCTGCGACTAGGAGATGAGGTGAGCAGAAGGCGAATGTGAGGTGCAGCAGTCGGCAGGGCGGGTTCGGCATGCTGGAGGTGGCTCAGTCGATGCAGCCAGGCCAGCACAGCAATGCGCCTCAGCGACAAGCACACAAGCGAGCCCTCGCGCTCCACCAACGCCCTCGATACACGCTCGATATGTGAGGCCGCCCGGCCAGACGTGGATGTCGCTGCATCGTCGTCCGCCTTACCGCGACCAGATACATGCCGAGGGTTCTCGTCTGCATGTCATCTGCATCGAGGATCCGCCATCTGACCATTTTCCGGTGAACTGCTTCTTCACCTCATTCCTCGACCTCGGCTCATCAATCCGCACTCTGCTCTCTGCACTCGCATCTCTTACCTGGGGTCTGGCAGACATTGCACCGTTCTGGCTCCATCAGAGTCTCTTATAAAGGCGTCCGCATCCATTCGACTCCAAACGACAGATCCAAGGCCAAGTCGAGCTACACACGCGTTCCTCAGGTACAAATCACGCGGAATGACGTGGGAACTCCGCAGAGCAAGCAAGCTTCTGCCCCTTCGTGACCGACCATCCAACCTGCCTGAAACCATCAACACGACAATTCTTACTGCTGATGACGTAGGTATAAACATTTCCCAATCAACTGAACTTTCTACTCGCGTGACATTCTCAAGTTCTCTTCACAACTCTGACCTTGTTCAACCCAACCCCCCCGAGCAAAGCAGCAAACACCTGGCTGGTCTGCACTACATCGCACTCGCGCATTCGTTCACCGGAGTTCAACACTTGACCGGAGCATGCATGTGATATCGTGAATCTCCCAAACAAGACAGGTCCACCAGACCGCCTTGCTAAGCGGTGGAAGCAACCGCCGAACCCGTGCTGCCAGACAGCTCTCATTCCGGTGAGGACCATTAAGCTCGGTACTACTCACAATGTCAGGCCACGAGGATGCAGACGAGGCACAGAGACGCTACAAGGCTCCGTACAGCAAGAATCACACGATCCCTACCATTGCCAAGTACCGAGAAGAGAAGCAGGCGCGGAAAGCAGAAGCTGTAAACGAGGGCGATGGGGCCGACTTGGAACAGTCTCGCACCGAGAGAGCTAGAGAGGGTTGGCGAAGCTACTGGGCGGGCGATGACAAGAAAGAGGAGAGCGGAGAGCACAAGCAACAAGATGGAGGGGCGAACCAGAACGGCGTGGACGTTGATGGGGACGGAGATGTAGACCAAGAAGATGAAGACGAGGCGGCAGCTGCCGTGGATACCTCTGAAGCCACACCCATCGCAGACCCCAGGAAGAGGAGGAAGGGCAAAGAGGAGCGGGCTGAGCGAGAAGTCACAGACCCGATCACCCATTTGCCAGTCAAAATCTACGATTTTACGACAGACGCGCTCAAAGAAGTCGAAGAGAACCCACCACCGTTTGGATCCACCGTCAGGACCTCGACCGGGCTGAGCAACAAGAACAAATCGGGCAGGGACTTGCACAATGAGGTTCAAGAGATGCAGAATGGCCAGGATTCCATGATGGCCCAGTTCCCTCCTCCCAACTTCGACGTGATTCGAAGAGACCTCATCAGCATCAACAAGATTGGAATCACCGTCGGCCTCATCGGCTCGGTAATCATCACGACGCTGGCTGTTGTCGTTGAACGAATACTCCACCCAGAACTCCTGGCACGTCTTCTACACATCAAGAAGGATTCAAGCTGGCTCTTCAGACTCGGTACCTGGCCTCTGATTGCCGTTGCGAGTGTGGCTGGCATCTGGTTCTTGATCGCAGGTGTTCGCGAATGGATGGCGAACCGTATAGACGACACATGGGAGAGTGAGGTGTGGGAGGCTAACTTGCAGAGCAAGAAGTTGCAAGCAAAGGCCCACGAGACTGAATCGGTGTCGTGGTTGAACTCGCTCTTGAGTTCCGTGTGGCCGCTGGTGAACCCAGACCTCTTTACTTCGCTCGCAGACACTCTGGAGGACGTTATGCAGGCTTCTCTACCAAGTCTAGTCCAAATGGTAAGCTGCGAGGACATTGGTCAAGGTTCTGAGAGTTTGCGAATCTTGGGCATCAGATGGCTACCTACAGGTGCAGCGGCACGCTCGGTCGGTGCTGATGGTAAGCTTGAATCAGTGGAGGACAGCAAGAAGAGCAACAGTGATCGTAAAGTCGCTGGAGAAGGCGAGGTCGACGAGAATGCTGGCGAGAGCCAAGAAAATGGCGAAAAGGGCGACAAGGACGAAAAGAACAAGTCTGAGGACGGCACAGAGAAAGCTGCCGTCGCAGAAGGCATGGAGGCTGAGGAAGGAGACTTCATCAACCTCGAGGTTGCGTTCGCCTACCGTGCACGCAAATCGGAATCTTTCAAGGAGAGGACTAAGGACATGCATATGTACCTGGCATTCTGGCTTCCTGGGAAGATCAAGATCCCAGTGTGGGTCGATGTCAAGGGCATTGTCGGTATTGTCAGATTGAGGCTGCAGCTGGCACCAGATCCACCGTTCTTCCAACTGATGACCATGACCTTCCTCGGACAGCCAAAAGTCGACATCAAGTGTATCCCGATCGTGAAGCGAGGCTTGAACATCATGGACCTGCCACTCATCAGCAACTTCGTCCAGAGCTCGGTCGACGCCGCAATGGCTGAATACGTGGCGCCGAAGTCACTCACCCTGGATCTCAAGGATATGCTTGCTGGCGACGACTTCAAAAAAGACACGGCTGCTCGAGGTGTTGTTGTGGTGGATATCAAGCACGGCTACGACTTTAAGATGGGAGACGCTTCTATCCCGCTCGTCTCTGATGGCAGCTCTGATCCTTACGTTTCGGTTGGATGGGCGAAGTTTGGCAAGCCCGTGTTCAGTACGAGGGTCTTGATCAGCGAGATGGAGCCTTACTGGCACGAGAGGGCTGTTTTGCTGGTCACGCCGGAAGAGCTCAACGTCGACGAGCGACTGAGACTGCAGCTCTGGGACAGTGACCGCTTCACGGCTGATGATGACCTTGGCCGGATCGAGGTTGATTTGAAGCAGATCATGAGGGCTGAAGAGACCAATGGCAGAATGAACGATCGCACCGACGGCTTCAGAGCACTCAAAGCCGGTGAGAATATGCCTGGTAAGCTGGAATGGTCGGTCGGGTACTTCTCCAAGACTCGCCTACAACCTTGCCAGTTCGAGAGCCAGAGCTTCGACAAGTCCATTCGATCGAGAGACGATCTGGAGAAGAAAGTGCAGGAGACTTGTCAGCGCAAGTTGCGTGAGGCCATGATCAAGAAGGGCCGGCATGCTAAGAGCGAGGAAGAGCTCGAACAGCAAAAGGAGCAGGAGCGAAAGACGCTGGAAGATGCGATTGTCATCTCTGCCCCGCCGCCTGAGGGCTACCCCAGCGGCATTTTCAGCATTCAGATCCATCAAATCGTAGGCTTGGAGTTGGAGAAGCAGAGCAAATCCCAAGTCGACAAGTATGAGAACCACGAAGAGGAGGCGGAGGACGACGATGACCTCCCCAGCGCCTTCTGTACTGTCATTATCAACCACAAGAAAGTCTTCAAGACCCGCACGAAACCCAAGAACAGCAAGCCCTTCTACAACGCCGGCACCGAGAAGTTCGTCAAAGACTGGCGCAACACCGAAGTCTACGTCTCCGCCCGCGACGCCCGAGTCGACGAGAATGACGCCCTTCTCGGTATCGTCCACCTCCCCTTGGGAGATATCTTCAAAGAACGCGCCCAGATCAACGGCTACTACCCGCTCATGGGCGGCGTCGGTCACGGCCGCATCCGCATCTCCATGGTCTGGCGCAGCGTACAACTCCAAGCACCGGCCGAAGCACTGGGCTGGGACTACGGCACGATCGAAGTGAAACCCAGCATCACAGCCTCCAACCTCCCCTCAGACCTCCAAGGCCTCAAGATGAAATTCCACACGAACCTCGCCACCGGCAAAATGTACCCTCAACAGAACTCACAAGAATGGAAGACGCGAAAAGACCGCAGCCTCCACCTCCCTCTCCACCGCCGCTACGCCACCAACCTCGCCATCCGCTTCAAACGCCACGGCATGCTCAAGGACAAGACCGCCGCCTTCGCCATCCTCTGGCTAAAAGACCTCCCGGACGAAGAAGAGCGCGAAATCACCCTCTCCGTCATCAAAGGCAACTACGACCGCGCCCGCGCCAACTGCCTCAGCGACGAAGACGCCGGCGAGAAAGTCGGCACCATCACGATCAAAGCCGTCTTCTGGAGCGGTTTGGGCGCGAGACATCAGAAATGGGCGAGCAAAGACCCGGATATGGCGAATGTGATGGAGGTGTTAGATGTCGCGAAGGATAATTACGAGAGTATGAAGAAGGAAGCTGAACTTGGGATCGTCGACGGCGATGAAGACGACGATTCTTCTGATGACGATGATTCGGACAATAGCTCCGACGACGACGATGACGGCGAGGATGTTGATGGAGCGGCGGGCAACAACAAGACGAACATCATCGACAAAGCGAGGGATTACAAGAAGGATGCGAAGCAGAAGCATCGCAAACATCGGGGTGTGATGCAGTATAAGGTAAGCCTATCTACCTAACCCCATAGATCCTCTTATGCTTGGTTCGAGTTGTGATACTGACGCAATGTGTTTTTTTGTTTAGCCTGCGAGGAATCTCGACTGGGTCGCGCAGAAAGCCGGACGCGTGGAGGCGAAGTTTGAGGGGATTTTTAGGAGGCATACGAGGGAGCCGGGGGTTGAGACGGAGGTTTGATGATGAGGGATTGGAGAGGGGGTTGATGGGAAGGCGAGGGGACGAGGGTATGTTGAAATTGTTGGGGTGGTTGATGTATGTATGTGATGGTGCAGATAATACCCATTTTGTTGCCTCCTCGATGGATTCCTGTTTGTTGGATGGGGTTGGCCTCTTACGTGTCGTGCAAGCGTCAGTAGTATGATCTTGTTGCTTTGGGAATTCCTCGATCAAAGACGACGACGGCTATAGGAACAAGGCCGACGTGTTACAATATTTGTTTTTCAGAACAAATGCATAAATCGCTCACAACTGTTGATGCTACAGACTCACCTCCATTTCCTCCGTCTCGCCGTCCCGATAAAGCAAACAACTTTCAAGCAACAACCTCCTGCGTAACCACCGCCTCCGCCGCCTCAGCAACCTCCCTCGTAGCCGTCGCCGTCTCGGGAGCCACAACCTCCTGCTGCACGGTATGCGTAACCTTGATCGTCTGGATCTTGAAATGCCCATCGCCATCGTTGAGAGGAGGGGTTTCCTCCTTGCGATCCGCCTTCCTCTCCCAGCCCGTCGTGAAGAGCTTGCCCATCTGGAAGCGCGGGAAGGGGTGTGCTTCGGTGTTGAAGACGACGTCGTTGAGCGGGAGGAGGTCGTTGGGCGAGAAGAGCAGGTAGAAGTATTTGAGAGTTTCGGCCTGGGGGGATGGTAGTCAGTATTTGTAGATGGAGATGTTAATGCTGTGAGTGAGGACAAGGACGACTTACCATCCAGAAACTCTCCATGTTGTCACGCATCGGGGGCGGCAATTTCGTGACGTCGGAGACGCTGCTGAATCCTTCGCCATCTTCGACTGCGGTCCATTTGATGAAGGCTTGGAACATCTCCCAGCCCCATTGGCGGTAGATCTCGTCGCCTGTGATCCGCCACATGTAGAATAAGCTCTCCACCGTCTCTGGTCGTTGTAGATTGTGTTTGTCGGCCGGCTTGAAGATGTAGTCGTCTTGACCGATTTCTTCTTTTTCTGTACACGCCGTGTTCTTGCACTTTACAAATGATTCCGGACTCTTTGGCTTCTCCTTTGGCTTGAAGTCGTTGTATATTAGCGGTGGGTCGTGGATGTTGAAATGTGCGATTTCTGGCGCCAGTCCTGACTCTGTGTGGTACATTCCCATACAGGTCTTGGTCAATTCTCGCGCGAGCTCCATATCCTCTTCTTGTTGCTCTCCCCAGTTTGGTCGCTTCTGCACCTGACTCAGTGGCAGTCCACCCGTTGTAGCCAAAGCCAGCGTGCCCGGCAAGAAGCAAACGAGATGGTCCATCTTGGCTTCAAGGTCCTTGTTCAATCCATTCGGTCGCTCAGCAAGCACCGTGAAGTTGTTCGGTGAGCTGTACGTGATCAGATGCTTCTTCATTCCGACCATACTCTCGTTCCACATCGCTTGGTAGACTGGCTCCTCTTGTGAAGTCTGCAAGTACTGCTTAATAAGGTACTCGTAATAGCTATCGCCTCGACTGCCAAATCGAATGTTGTCGCCACGGAATGTCCCTCGGTCGGCATAGATGAAGATTGGAACGAGCCCGTCTGCTGGCTGATTGTCATCAACGGCTCTCATCACCCTCTCGGCCTTCTCCCAGTAATGTGATTCTCCGGTCAGTTTGGCCAGATACTTCATCTCCAGTTGTAAGCTCGTTGCTTCAGCAGTCGACGAGGCGCCTGCGTCTGCGTGGGATGGAATGCCTTTGTAAGTGTGGAGATTGACGCTCGCAAGCGGAACACCAGATTGTGTTTCATACGCACTCAGCAGTCGATCGGCCAGATCTGCTGCCTTCTCAACGTATATATCGTCACTGATATCGTCCTGCACAGGTGCGAACTTGCCCGGGAAGCCAACACTGAGATAATGCGCCGACAGCAATCCACCCAACATTCGAATGGTCGTCTCAAAAGTATTCACATCGTGATCCTGATCGTACGTGAGGTTTGAATGGACCCATTGCCGCGCATGGGTCAACTCCGTTGTCATGTTCATGAGCATCATCGTATCGAGCGCATCGACTATAATCCAGCCCAGCCCCTGAGGCGTCATCTGCTTGCCAGTGTGTGTGACTGGGTGATACTCATCATACCCTGCCCACCTGTCAGCCTTGTCCGTGAATCATCCTCCTGGAGAGGCATACTCGGCACCTACCCCATCCATACTTTTCATACCCAGCCCATGAAATCTTGAACGCATCTTTCACCCTCTCTGCCCTCTCGTCCCAATTCACCACCTCCTTCCCACCAAACCAGCCCTTACTCTGAGTTTTACTCGCCTCCCCGCTGCTCTTACTCGAAATCCACGACAAAGGCGACAACACCCCAAACCACCAGCTCAACAACGCCAACACCGCCAGCACGCCCCCTAACGTCCTCTTCTTCCGCGCCCAAGGCGGCAAATGTCTCCTCCCACCGGGCCCAGAATAATTATACGGCTTATCCTTATACATCGGCAACGAATCCTTCCTCCCACCCGTGAACATATTCGTCACCTTCTCCCCAAACCCCTCGGTGTCATTATGGTGGAAACGTGCCCGGCCAGAACTCTCCCATTGCGAGGCCGCGCCATTGGGCAGGCCGTATGTACTCATATTGCTGCCTGCAGCATTCGAGACGTTGGTAAAAGAAGTTCCGGATTCAGTGCTTTGCGGCCTTTTTCGACAATCGTCTCAGTCGCGGCGACGGCTCGTGAGGTCGCTTGGGAGATTGACGCGGCGCTGGTGCGGAGGAGGGAAGAGGCTGGTGAGGTGCGGCGGATGGAGAAAGGGTCTCGGCTGAGGTTCATAACAACATGAACATGGAAAAGGAAGGAGAGGCGGATTTGAAGTGAATGTTTCTGGCTCCTGCTGCTGTGTTCGTTCGTGGAAGGAGGTGCAAGCTGTCAATTCATCCCTGGCTTTCCCCAGACGCCACGTGGACTAGCGCCCTGCTGAGCCACCTCACATGTCGAGATCAGGGCATTGGTTTCCAAGGCTGCCATCTTTCGTGACACATTTCCTCATCAATTAGACAAAAATATCAAGTTATTACCGTCGCTCTATCACCCTACATCCCTAAGTGAATCCACAACCACCCAAAATGCCGACTCCCCTCGACAGAGCCCTGAACTCCAAAGTACGCCACCCTACCTACCATCCCCACCACCTCAAAGCTAACGATTCCAGAACCTCTTCTTCGGCTTCGCTGGCCTCATCAGCGCCGCAACAATCTGGTCCATCTGGGGACAAGACATGTTTCCAAAGGAGGAAGATCCCAAAGGCGAGCCGGAGACGTGGACCGAGGAGCAGATGAAGCGGTGGTTGACTAGTGTAAGTCGTTCAAGAGTGCTGTGGATGGGCAGTGGATGAGTGTGCTGACTTCCGTTCAAGCGGAATTTGATGGCGGGCAATACGGCCACGAGAGAGGAGTTGCTTGCTAGAGTAAAGGCGAATTTGAGGGCGCCGAGAGTTTAGGTGGATAGCAATGGGATGAGGATGGAAAGTTGACGACATACCAGAATGATACCCTGTTAATGAAATGAAAGCTTTTTGATGACATGATAATACTCCGCTACGTGTTGGCTTCCTTTGCCAATTGTGAATCTGTACCACGAGTCGCAGTAGGCCTGAAGTCGCTCTCCAAGTCTCGCAAAAAGCCAAAGTGTGATGCTCCGGTCGAGCCGCATAGTCCAAGTAAAACACCACTGCCGCAACCACTCACTCGGCCTCAGACTCCTCGTCTTCGTCTGCATCCTCGCCCTCATCCTCATCGTCATCCTCATCGTCAGACTCCTTCAACTGCTCCTCCATCGCAGCGATCTCTGCATCATACTCGGCATTCTCACGCTCGAGCTTGGCGATCTCCTCTGCCTCCTCTGCTTCAAGTCTACGCTTCTCCTGTCGCTTCGCCTCTCGCTTCGTCTCCTTGGCCTCGTTCTTCGCCTTCAACTTCCGAGTCATCTCCTCCTTCATAGCTGCTTTCGCAGCCACCTGCTGCTGCAACTCGTTCTTTCGAGCCGAGCTTTGCTTCTTCGCGCGCTTCGCGGCTGGCGAATCCGTTCCTGGTGGCGAGGTCCGACCGCGTTCGCTGGCCGTGCGCTTGGCGCTCTCGGGTTGCTTGGTCTGGTGAGGAGTAGATGGCGCGGCTGGGATAGGAGTGGGAGTATCAGGGGTGGCACCGATGTCGACCTCTTCGTCTTTGATCTTGACAGCATCTGGCTCAGCCGCTGGCTCTGGCTGAGGTGAGAAGAGCTGTCCGCGACTCACGCCATTCAACCACGAATTGAGATCAGGACCTTCTGGTGGAGCTTCCGCGGGCTTGTTTTCGATGTCGCGGAGTGCAGAGTCGCGGCGTGGGGAATCTTCTCCTTGGTTCGAGGCTGAGGCTGACCCATCCTTTCTGAACCATCGATCCGAGACGGGGTCTCGAACCGCCACCTCGTTCTTCCGGCTGTCAAAGGCCGCTTTCGCCTCGTTCTCATGGTGGCGAAATGCTCCGAGATCGACGTACATCATATGAAAGTCGAAGTCTTCGAGGCCATCAGGCGGTATGCGGTCGCGGATTGCTGATGCAGTTGGAACTCGACGCAAAGTCGCGGCCAGCGAAGCATCAGAGTGAACCATATCGGCGGTCACGTCAGTGCTTGCAATTGCGAGGTTGCCGTTGTCGTCGTCGTGTTTGACGTCGGGCTGCACTGAGTCCTCGAACTGTTTCAAAGGTGGCGGAGGAAGTGAGGTTGCGGCGGCTGGAGAAGTTGGTCCGTGACGGGTTTCGGATGCATGTGACAGTGCATTCTCCGTCTTGGAGTGAGTGAAGCCCATAGACCGCTTTGACGACGCTTTGACGGCGCTGGCAGGGCGAGAGAGGGGCTGATTTGGCGAAGTGAAGACATCAGGGCTTGACTTCAGTGATGCATTCTTCTCCGCTGCTCCATATGCAGTGAAGATTTCGCTCAGAGACTTTTCTTGCGGGTTGGTGTTGTCTCCAGGGCTTCGTCCGACAGACTGGCTTGTACCGACATGTGGCGATCTGGGCATGCTTGGAGGCAAAGACAGCTGACCACCAAGACGCTTGTTTTCTTTCTTCCGAGCCTTCTGGCGATGCTCCTTCTTAGGCGTTTGGTCCATGTCGTTGGATGGACTGGCGACTGCAGGAAGTGTGTAGTCTGTGTCGTTGGATGGACTGGCGACTGCAGGAAGTGTGTAGTCTGTGTCGTTGGATGGACTGGCGATCACAGCGGCTGCGACGTCTTCTTCTTCATCAATTTCATCTGATTGCTGCGTCTCGTTTGCCTTTGCTCCAGCGTGGATAAACGCGGCTTTGTTGGCAGGCTCCAGGTTTTGGACCGTGCTGGGTCGCTCAATGCAGCCTGCTCTTCTGATTGCCGCTTTGCTACGGTAGTAGAAGACAAACTTGGCCCACGGCATGGACCCAAAGTGCGTTCCCGTCCAGTGGCGTCTGTGCCTAGCACTGCGCTTCTGAGTAACTGGTTCTGGCTCCACCTTGAGCATCAGCTCGTATTCTGGAAGAATGCCACTCTTGCGAACAAGTTGGCTGTCACGCGTCCTCCAGTGACCAACGGTGATGTCTTGGTACTTGTCGTAATAGTAGTCCCCTGCTCGCTGGTTGACATAAATAATCACCTGCAGACTACCTAGCCCAGGGATCATGCCTTCGTGGCTGGCGAGCTCGAAACGCGTGTAGTCTCCATACTTGGCTTGATCTAGGTGCTGGACGTATATTGGTCCTTGTTCCATGTCCTTTGGTGACTCGATGCTTGTCCATCCTGGCGGTATTGGGCAAGTGAGTGCCTTCTTGAAGATGATCTTGCGGTTGGAAAACAGCCTCAAGTCGGAACCCTCGATGTGGGTATCCGCAAGAAAAGATCCATCGAGTAGAAGGTCGATGGAGCCGTTGAGGACAGAGCCGTTGAAGTTGCCTCGGATGGTGATGCGATCTCCCACCTCAACTGGCACGACGCACTCAACGATGTCGTCGCGAGCGTTGGCGCCATTATCGGGCAGCGAGTACTCGGTCACGGGCTTGCCGTTGACACAAAATATGACTTCAGCGTCCTGATCGGTGTTGGGTTTGTGGGCTTTCATTTTGGAGTCGCGGTTAGGATAGTGGTGGTAGTGCAGTGCGCTGATGTTTCGCAAAGAGAAGCGACGACTTGGCGGGACGGCAGAGCGGAGGAAGTGAGATTGAGAGTGGCTGCCCAGCGCTTCGTGAGATTTAGTCACGAGACAAAGGTGCAGAAATATCTCGAAGCTGCGAACGCCAAGTGAATGGGATTCAACCGGCAGTGACGCCAATTTTTGAAGGTTGAAGTGAATACAAACCGCCCAGGCCGTCACAAGTGCATAGACTATGCGTGGCAGACAGTATGCTGTGGTTCAGCCCGTGTGAGTCAGCCGTCGCGGGCGAGGTAAGCACGCTGCCCTGCAGTCACTGGTTAAGAGACGCACAGCAGTCTTGAGTTGGACATTTCGTACATCAGTCCGATCGGCCGCCTTTCGACATGGCCGCGAATGCTGTCGAGGACATTGGTAAGTGACTATCCATTGAGAAGGCCCAAGGATCTACTCACCATCGTTCTCCTATTTTTCTAGAACATCTCTGATGTTTCCCAGTGACTCCGTGCCACCGAGCCTTGCAATGATGAACTCGTCCTCCAAGATGACCTGGAGAGATCATGTTCGAACTCGAGCGGCCATTGCTCCAACAGTTAAAGCCTTTTCGCATCTCCATCAGGAATGATTAAAACTCCTCTTCAAACCACATATCTGAAGTTCTGCACCTGAATCAAGAACTGCCGTCCCTGACCCGTCTTCCCATTTCCCCTCCCTCCAACTTCCTCCTTATTCGGCACCAGTACGATCTGGTCCGAGAAACCGCGCATCGGGCCATCCTTACGCTCGATCAACCGCACATAACCGCTGACCTGAATAGTGATGCTCAAATTGCGCTCGGCTTCCTTCTGAGTCCTGCCTCCGTTTGGATCGATGCAGGGGTTCAGAATGTGGGCATTGACGGACTGAGCTTCGTAGTATGTGTATGGCATTTCCTCGAATTTTCGCTGGAATTCAGCGCCGTCTGTGCTCAGGTCGCCATTGTAGGCGATGTGTGGAAGAGTTCGTCCCGGTGTGGCGCCTTCGATGTGTGGGATGTAGAAGTCCTTGAGAGTGTTGCGGGCGCTGTTTAGAGCTGTGTAGAAGGAATCGATGAAACTTTCTGCCGTCTCTGTCGCGATGCGCACCTTGTCGGTCTCTGAAAGCTGGATAGCCATCTCTGTTTGTTTCGTGTTTGGGACGAGAAAGAGACGCGCGGGAAGACGTGAAGTTGAGTTTCACGCCAAGGCGGAGTAAGTTCCGCGCGAAATCCACCCGCATTCAATTTCGGTCTCAATCAACTTTTCGAATCCAGCGCCCAGTCAAGGAAGCACGAATCGCCCATCATGCCTCGCGAAATCAACGACATCAAGACCTTCCTCGAGATCTCCCGCCGCAAGGATGCCTCCTGTACGTGCAAAGCACAAGACGCCGGGCGATTGGAAGATTATGGGTACTGATCGCAAACAGCTGCACGGATAAAGAAGAACAAGGCCACCGGCCAGACCAAGTTCAAGGTCCGATGCCAGCGCTACTTGTACACCCTCGCCGTCAAGGACAACGACAAGGCCGAGAAGCTCAAGCAGTCTCTCCCACCAAGTACGCCAGAACACCTCCCCACAAACTCCAAACACAGTTCCTAACACATTCCCCTTCTCCAGGCCTTACCATCTCCGAGACGCCCAAGAAGAACGCCAAGGGCAAGCGTGTCGCCAAGTCATCGTAAACCACGAGCATGAAAAGAGGCGTTCTGAGGATATTCGACATGGCTTGATGGGTATCATGGTGCGACCTGGCTCGAACAGAGTCAGTGGAGATCAGTTAGCCTGAAATGAAAATGGCAAACGTCTTGTTGCGCGCCCGACTTCAGTCTACCCAGTTCGAGAGGCACGTCCTATACATATTCGTGCGCTGTCTCGATCGACCCCGGGAGCGATGCGGATCGTCTTGCACCGGTCTTCTCTTGAGACAAGGGGCATTGCAAGCACTACTGATCCACCGCACGGCATGTTCCTACGCTGAAAGGATTGGAGAATATCGCAGGCATGAGTAGGGAACGTCGAGCTGGTAGGTTCCCACGTTCTGCTTTGAGTCCTTCTGTCTTAAACGCCATTCCCGCTCTCTTCTTCCCGTCATTGCAACCACTTCGCATGAGCTTCGACGCTCAATCGGCATCTTCCAAGCCAACATCTTCGTCGCCAACGCTTCTCTTAGACAGTTCCACTTTCATAGCTTCCTCGGCCATTTCGTGCAGTTTCCAAACCTCTTCACAGTCTCGTTCCAACCGCAGCCTGTTCAGCCCGTCGACATTCCCGTCTCCCAGCAGCTTCTTAGCCCGCGCGCTTTCCGTTGCCCACTGCTTCTTCATAGTCCCAGGCATTAGCATCCATAGGCGATGCGCAACGCTGGCGATAGTCTCGTCGAGATCAGTCGGACGAATGCTCTTCCACAAGTGCGGCGTGGCGTAATAATAGAAGAACTCCTTGCCCGTGGGATCCAGTAGGTCTGCGAGCTGGCGTAGAAGTGCTGTTTGGTGCTTGCCCTCGGCCCTGCGGATGGAGTCGTATGGATAGAGCTGAGCAAAATTGCCGTAGATAATTCGAGGTTCTGCAGTGAACGGCTCTCGGATGGTGTCGAGGAGGTCGAGAGGTGCGGTTGACTTTTCAAGGCGAGATTCGTTGGAGCCGCACTCAATATCTATCGTGTCGAGTTTCTTGATCTCATATATGGGCGGTTCATCTTTCGGCTTCGTTGCGTCCACGCCAGCATCAAGCACAGCGAGTCTGGCGCTATCCTCAGTCTCTTGGAGGTACGTGGGCAGTGGCAGCTGCAAGTATGTGGCGACAGAATTTTCAGAGAATCGCAAACACTCCTTCCATTCACTGCGAAACCCAGCATCTTCCACGCAATGCTCATGTCCCAATGTGCGGTTCGCAATGCCCAAGCGGATCAGTTTGACCTGATGATCCCAGAACCCCCTTTGCTCATCATCTAGAGTCGTCCATAGCTGGCTTGTCGATTTCGGATACTTCTTCTTTGTCGTACCGCTTGCGAGCAAGGTCTTGCGTCTGGCTTCCAGAATCGGCGAGGTGTAGTGGATAAAGAGGTGGACGCCGTTGCCAGAGACTTTGTCCACAAGCTTGATGAGTTCACGCTGTCGGGCAGCGCCAGGAAATCTGTTGAGTGTCTTCAGGTCCAGTAGCGGTCTTGGGCGAAGTAGGGGTGAAGCCGCCTCTAGCGGCTGGTCTGGCTGCGTCGGCATCTGAACGAAGTCAGCTGGCTTGTCGATTGCTTGTCACTTTGGCTTCTTAACTCGTCGTGTATCTTGCACTCTACATGTCTGAGTGACTAACCATGTGTTACAAAGACGTGTCGAGAAGAAGTGTCGTCGAAAGGTCGGGATTCGGATGGGGAAAGGGCGTGTGCCAAGACTTTCACATGCAAACGCTGCAAGATTGGCAAGAGCAAAACACCTTCACACTGTGGACATTCTGCTGCAACCTGAAGGCGGTGACTAGTAACAAGCAGCTGTACAGCCATAGAAATCCAAGTACCCCGTGAGGAGACGCAGTACACAAGTCGGGCGTACTCACAGGACCTTACCCAGCGAGGCGCGGAGACACACGAAGAGGGACGGATGAGATATATTAAGTGTCCGTCGAAAATCAATAGCATTCAGTCCTTCTATGAGACTGTCGGGGTATCATCACCATGCAGAACAGCCCCAGCCACCGAGGACGCCGTTTTCATATCCAGTCCTTGTTGTAACTCCTTATACCATGCGTCGAATCATCAAAACATTCAATTCGATGCTTTTTAATGCCTAGAGCTCTGCACCAGCGCCCGCAATCTTCTTCAGCTCAAACTCCTTCGTGAACTCCTGGTCCAAGTTGTGCAGTTCTCCCAAGAGATCCTTGCACGCCGCGACAACCGCCTCCTTTGGAGTCACCTCGCCGTCGGTTTGCACACGCAGCTTGAAGGTCGCGAAGAGTGGGTGTGGGACTTGGTAGCCGGCGAAGAGGACGTGCTGGGACTTGACGAGCTTGGCGCGGAGGAGGTTGCCGAGGGTGTGATCCTCCTTGTTGAAGGTGAACATGGCCGCATTTGGGACGCCTGGGGATGGTCAGCATTTGCGATCAGCTACTAATGATGCGCGCGGTACTTACGAGTCTCTGGGTCGACCTCGACTTTCTTCTCATCGTCGGCAAGGATGAAGGACTCGTATCTTGACTGCTGGTCAACATCGAGATCGAGAAACCTGGGTCCCTGCGCGCCAAATATGCGAGGGTCTTGGCAAGCAGCGACACGGTTGCGGTTTGCATCGCGACCCCAAAAACGGTCTGATCCGCCCTTGTATTGTACATTCGGCATGATGGGTGATGCTCTTGATGTACAAATTTTCTGTGCAGTGGTGGTGTGGGAGATGTTACGTACCTGTCTGGGGCGTTCATTTTTAAAGTGTCGCAACACGTAAGTTGCCTGGCAAACGGTGACTGGAGGTGAATCAAACGGAGCGTGTTGGTGGTGAAGTCGAGGAAGTCGCGATGGCCGTTTCTGCACGTCCCTTTCACGCAGCGGGCCGGACCTTCTTTCTCGGACTCGGTTTCACACACCTCACTTCAGCCGAGGAGAAGCTGGAAGCATCGTCAGCTGGTGCACACCACACCGTCGTGCTCATGTGTCATACCTCGCCGAAGTCGCTGTTTGACGCTGTCGAGAAGCAGAATATCAGAACGGGTCTGCCGACTGCTGGCTGAGTCGTGACACCGGTATCGAACTCGAAAATGGAGACGTTGAAGCGCCTGCAGGCGGACTATCCGTGGACGAAGTTGCCGCTTGTGTCGTGTGGTCCTATGCGCCTGATCGCACTGGCTGACCTCGCGGTGGAAGTGTCTCGAGCTGGAGGTCTGGGTTTCGTCGGCGCTGGCAACGATGCTTCAAGCTTGGAGAAAGAGTTTGAAAGAGTGAAGCAGTTGCAAGCAGGTGCACAAGTGCTGCGAGAGATAAAAGAAGTGCTGCCAATAGGCGTCGGCTTCCTATTGTGGGCCGGCGACAATCTGCTCAATGAAGCTCTTCCTATTGTCGCCAAATACGTACCCGCTGCGGTCTGGCTTTTCGCTCCCAATGACTTGGATCAATTTTCACAGTGGACAAGGGAAATCAGGAGAGCGACGAATAAGAAGACCAAAATATGGATTCAAATTGGAACCGTTGCAGAGGCTGTAGAAGTTACCAAATCTTGCCAACCAGATGTGCTTGTTGTGTAAGCATGTCGAAGGGCGGAAACCACCCTTTTTCTCTCAAATGGCTACTGACTGTGCGCTCATAGACAAGGACAAGATGCAGGCGGCCACGGGCTCATGGAGGGAGCTGGCTTAGTGCCCTTACTACCAGAGGTCGACGATGCGGTCGCTTCAGTCGCCAAAGGCAACAAGCCTATCATCATCGCCGCCGGCGGCATCATGGAAGGACGTGGTGCCGCAGCAGCTCTCGCAATGGGCGCCGCAGGATGGACCATGGGTACCCGATATCTGTTCTCCCATGAAGCAAATATCGCCAAAGGCTACCGCGACGCTGTCGTACAGGCCTCAGATGGAGGGGCTAACACGGCAAGAGGGAAAATCTACGACACCTTGCGAGGCACGAGGGACTGGCCAGAGCGCTTCGGTGGACGTGGCGTCCTAAATGAAACCTGGCAGGATGCGAAGAATGGCATGAGCATCGAAGAAAATCAGCGTTTGTACGACGAAGCGTTGGAGAAGGGTGACGATGGCTGGGCCCCTGGAAGCGCTCGTTTGACGACTTATGCTGGCGCTGGCGTCGGCCTTGCGAACAGCGTCAAATCGGCCGCAAGAATTACTGAGGAAGTCAGAGAGGACGCCAAACGTGTTTTGAAGCAAGCCAGCAAGTTCGTGTAATCGAGCGCAAAAGCCTGAAGCCATCAATGAGACACTGCGCATCTCCGGCTGGAATGCTGGCCATTCTTCAATTGTCCGTCCCAAGGCGTTGAATCTTGCCAATAATCAAAGGCTGAGACTGTACAACAGCAAGTCTCTCATTCTTGAAAGTATTTGGAAGCCATGATTGTATATCAGACTTCCGTCGATTCGAAATACATCGTCTCAACGCTTCACCGCTGTTCGTCGCCGAAGCTGACTGTTCATTAGGGTCGACCATGTACAGCAAGTGGTCAGGATTGCGCTCCTCGGGGGCTGAAAAAACGAAAAGCTCCACTCTCAACACGAAAGAGTTGACTATTAGCCATACGGACATCTCCACAAATTGCCCTACCTCACGCTCCTTGCGATGATACGTTGGACCTTTGATGCGCTATTCGCTTATTGCATCTGCAGTATCTGTCGAGGTGCTTCCTGGTCCGTCTGAGTCTTGCCACTCTGCCAGCTAGCCTGAAGACTTGCTTGTCACGGCTCAGATGACGACTTCGAGTCAATACTGCAATTGCTCACCTTGCCTGTCCCTGGCGATATTTGCGAATGGCGTCAAATTATATCATCGACACGGCGCACACGCACGCCACTACAATCGACCAAGATCGGATCTGTTTACTAACAAGCGAGCTGATAGTCAAAAGTATCTCGCTCGTGAACCGAACTCGAGAGGCCAACCGAGTCAGATTTAACAGGCTATCTCAATTGCCGATGCTGTCTTATTATTCATCCCATATTCGCTATGCCCTAGTCTAACTAGGTGGGCACCTTTATGTAGACCACACGCCTCCTGGCCTAGGATTCCATCCACGCGGACCATCTCACGTAACCGGAATCGCTAGCTGCGCCTTTTCGAGCGGTTTACGTGTCTGTGAGACGAAAGACTCCACTCAGCGCAATTGTCCCAATGGGGCAAAAGCCAGAGGACAAAAGTCTGTTGAACAGACGGCTGATGAGAGACTATATCATGTCTTGTGGACGCTCACCGCGCACTTGGCAAGTCTTGACATTCCGCTGTTACATTTGCCACCAATCAAACCCTTAATCATCACGATGGGCCTCCCAAGCCACATTGATACATTCTCTGAAAGTAACCCTGATCCAGCTACTCCTGCCGCTCGAGGACGCCGAACGACAATAGCCACTCTGTTTCGACGAGCTGAAGTAGAACCCAACAAAGTATTTGGCTCATTCCCGTTGACAGACAACATTGAAGATGGCTTCCGAGACTTCACATTCGCGGAACTGGCAAAGGCTGTCGATGCTTGCGCCTGGAACTTGAAAGAGACTTTTGGTACGAGCGAGCAGTTTGAAGCGATCTTGTACATGGGCTCGAACGACTACCGCTATATAATCTTCTTCTACGCTGCGATAAAATGCGGGTTCCAGGTAACACACCGGCGAGCTTCACGAGTGCTTATACATTAAAAGCTCACATAACCTAGGCTTTGTTCATCAACCCTCGATACCCTATCGAAGGTGTCATGGCAGTGATCGAGAAGATGAAATGCTTCAAAGCCTTTTACTCCCTGGAAGAGCGAGCTGTCATCGAGAACATACAATCTCATCGTCCTGGATTTGAAGCTTCGGAGCTTGCACCACTATCAAACTGGCTGGACGCAAACCCCAGGCCATTCCCTTTTAACAAGACTTGGGAGGAGAGCAGGAACGACCCAGTGCTCTCGGTTCACAGCTCCGGCACGACCGGTCTGCCCAAGCCCATCACCTTTAGAAACGGCTATTTCGCAACATGCGACGTCTTGTGGCCTATTCCACCGGGAAAGCGAAGTATACACCCTGTAGCAGGCATTGAAGGATGCCAGCTCGCATTCTCAATCTTTCCACAAGCCCATGCCGGAGGCCTCATCATGAACAACATCCGACCCATGTACTCAAACTGTGCGACTGTCATGCTACCTGCGAGAGCAGACTATACACGGAGTGCCGCAATGGTCCTTGAGATTCTCAAGCGCAGATCAGTGGACACAATCTCTGCCACGCCGTTGCTCTTGGAGAATATCTGTCAGCTTCCTGGCGGCGTGGAAGCACTGCGTAAACTGCACTCCGTCCTCTACGCAGGAGGACCCCTGCGGCACGATATTGCCGAGACGATTGCGGCGAACGGGATATTCACTCTCAATATCTACGGCGCGACCGAGACGGGATTCATTCCAGGTACGATGGCGCCTAAGAGCCAAGAGTATATGATGGTATAGCACACACTGACAATCAATAGCGCTGAAGGTTGATCCAGAAGACTACGAATACTTTCACTTCAATCCGTACTACAAAACGGTATTCGAACCCGTGGGAGACGAAGTTGGCTCTCATGAACTTGTCATCCGTAAAGATTCCGGCCCAGAGGAGGAAGAGCTGCACTCGAAGCGAGGCATATGCTGGTCTTTCGGTGTGGACGAACATCGCACCAAGGATCTCTTCGTACCACACCCGACAAAACCAGACCTGTGGAAGTACTACGGGCGAACAGACGACATTCTAGTATTGGCACATGCTGGTAAAATCAACCCTATTCCTCTGGAAGACATTATCAGCACCCATCCGGGTGTTTCTGGCACCTTCGTCACAGGAGAGTACCGTTTCCCGCCTAGCATTTTGATCGAGCCCGCAAGCAAAGTCGCCGATCACAAGCTTTTCATGGAAGAGGTCTGGCCTACGATCGAAAAGGCCAATGCTAAGCTGAGGAAGGAGATGCGGATTCCGAAAGAGATGGTCGCTGTCTTAGAAGAGCGAGGGCTGGCTAGAGGAATCAAAGGGCAAATCGTGCGCAAGACGAATGTTCAGAAGCATGCCGATGTCATTGACAAGCTTTACGCGGAGCGTGAGAAGCTGGTGAAGTAGATTTGAGATCCTTGTCAATGCGTAGCGCGCAAGAGGCCGACTTCGCTTTTGCTTGTGGTGGCGAGATAAATGATAGAAGCGAGAGCAGACTTTGGTAATGGAATTTCGAAGCTGTCTGTTGTAACCGCCTCGGGTCAGCTCATGACAGACGGACTACATGATTGAAACTTGTTCATTAGCATTAACCACGCTCGGCATCGGAAACTCCATGAATGGTCTGCCGTAAGATTCAGCCTCACCGTGTGGTGAAGCTGACCTCTGAAGGAAGACTGTATTCTGAACAGGGCACGACGAGGCCCCAGGTCTGACTGTAACGAAGCATTCACGAGTTCGGTCAAGATTTTACTGCGCTGACATTGACCCACCCTTTTGCCAAATTCTCCGTGTCGAAAGTGCTCCAATCGAAAGGGCTTGTGCTGTGACACGAGCTTTGGAATCAGAATTGCTCCACAACATGATGGCTGCGGTAAGACTGCCAAAACTCTCTCTCAGACACAGTTTGAAGGTGTAATGACGAGGCGGCGTGCATGGTGTAAAAGAAGGCTGCGTACACTTACGGCTGGCATGTGATCAGTCCGGTCAAACTTGCCTGAATAGTAACAGGTCTCAAATTGTGTATACTGCTACTGCAGCGTTGACAGGGGCTTGGGGAAAGGCATCCTGCAATACGAGTTCCTTGTTTTCATTTTTGTCAAGTCATCAGAGTACGGAACACTATGCCCACGAGGCTCTCGTGGATAAATAAATGGCTAGTAGCATTTGGGGGGGG